GTATGCTTCCGGGACCGAAGACGGTCTATGCTGTTGCCAGGATGTCCGCGTCGTGGTGTCCAGCCTAAAGCTAAGCCGCCTTAGGCAGCGGGGACGGGTGGGGTGGATAGGTCGGCAGCCGTCTTACTAGATCTCACTGCTCGCCCCGCTGCGCTGCGATAAGGTATGTAGACTTCACTGCAGCTTCGATTCTATCAGGAAGTCATCATGCCACCCTCGCATCTTCCCGGCTCGGAACTGTGGAGCTCTGGCGAATGCACGGTTGTGTTGAATTCTGCGAGTGTACACGGCACCTCACTGGTTCGGCTGCGGACTCTCGCAGGCACGTCCTACAGACTGGTTTAGCGCGGGCTGAACATCCGGGCTCGAAGACATGGTCGAGAGGTGAAGCCGACGAGAACGGGGATTACGGATGGCGGCCTCGCGGGAACCGGGATTTCTACGGTGGGACAGACATGCCGCCAGAGTGGCAGTTCCTACCGTCTTCCATGCACGCAGGCTTCACACAGATCAGCCTTCCTCCATCTGTCAAGTGACTGCACGGTAGGTTGGCCGTTACTTGTGGGCGGAGTATCACTCCCCGATTGCCCCCCCTGTCCTCTTGAGCCTTAAGTGCGTCGCGCCTGGGCTTGCTGTTGGTTGGCCCATTGACATCCGCAATACTCGCCCGTCCACTCTATCGCCGACGATGAGTGCTGCCGAGCATAGCAACATCGCGATCTTGTACGTTTGACTAAATCTGCGCGATTACCTATTGACGATCGATCTCGTTCTCTCAGGGCAGGCCCGAAGGTACGAACTTACCACCGTCTGCGACGAACGTTCCTTACAGTCAATCACGCCCCAGCTCCTCGGATATTTCTTCAACTGGGCCCTTCTTGGAGTTCTGACCCTCCAAACCTGTGAGTCCAACTACTTAAGCGAGCCGTGACCAATTAATAAGAGTCTTCATGTTGTCCACCAGATCTCTACCATGTCAGTTTTCCGCACGACCCACTCCTTCTGCAATGTTTGGGTGAGTGAAATGCCAGTCTCTGTGTACTCCAGGTTCACGACTGCTCGTCAGTCTACGGCATGCTCGCCTTTGAATGGGTCCAAACTGGACTCGTCACCGGTGTCGCCTTCGAGATATTTGTCTACAATTATGGAGACTTGAACAGCCTCACGAAGATATACTACGCGTGATTCTTTGTGGACGTAATGTGTGCGATTGTATCGATGGCCGTGCAGCTATTCTTTGCATGGCGGATCTATGTGCTTGCAAATTCGAGGATCGTTGCGGGCATCATATCGTTGGTATGGTGCGCGTTATTGACCTTTGACCACCCGTCACTCATCGTCCTCCTTCTCATTGAACAGATATCGCTTTTGCAGGGTTGTTCGGGAATTGCGCTGGGCGCCCTGGTATAGGTTCCATCTTCGGTGCTAGAAGTCATCTCAGCAGATATGTATATGTAGCTCAAAGACACACCCTCAACTGCAGACGTCACTGCATCTCACCGGGTAACTATTGTACTCAACGTGAGCCGCTCGCTCTCGGATGATGCCTGGGCAACACGCTCCAGATATGGATAATTGGCAGCGCGGTAGTCGACGTATTGATCGCCTTAGCAATGACACTCTTGGTGCGTATGCAGCGATGGGGCGCCGCCGCTAGCTAAGGTGTCTTTGGATGTGTAGATGCTTAGACTGCGTCGTTGGACCAGTATAGCCCAACAGAAAGGACGATCAACAAGATCATCCGCCTGGTCGTAGAAACTGGCACCCTCACGGGTAGGTCTTCCTTTGCAAAGCATGGGGTACCGGGCTCACTGAATTTGGGCAGCTGGAGTGGCGATCGTCACCTTGATCCTCTGTACCAGACTACCGGTATGCATGAATCCGTAGTGTCCCGAGACCCGATGCCAACTAACGTATCACATACAGGGCACGCAGTACTACGAAACAACGTAAGTCGCCCATCAACCCACGTACAATAGATCGTACAACTCATCCTCATCGCCACCACAGGTTATACGTCCTCACAAAGCTGTACGCGAACACCTTTCTGGCCAACCTCGTCAGCCGCGCGTTCCTCGAGCCCCCCACACCGGCGGGAGTGTGTCCGACAGGACCGTCAGCTTCGCCATCCCGATCACGACCGTCTCTGAAAGTTCGGGACGAGACTGGAGACGCGCGAGGTCGAGGATAGGCTGGATAGCAGCATCCATTTGCCGGCGCCGGGCACGGCCACGAGCTGAAGGTGCTTCCGACGGGTTTGGTGAGTGTTGCTCGGGGTTGGTGTTTGAATGGTTGTCTGACATAATTGGCAGGCCACTGTATAGTAGTGTTTGATCTATAGCCTCTACTTCCCGGGACCAGCAACATATGATCAGCACTTAATTTTCAAGCTGTCGTTGTACCATTCCGTAGACGTTTTGAAGCAAAGATGAGGCTTGCAAGCGAGCGTGCTCTGAGAAGTGTAAATCGAGTCTCGGCCTCTGATCTCGAGTGTGATATGATTGATGTAGCATCAGGTCGGTCAATCGTCCAAGAGCTTCCAGTGAGTGAACTGCCGAACAAAGAGTGAAGCCAAGTCACTCCTTCAGACATGGCGCATCCCGCTGCCTGTATTCCCATCAGACAGTCAAAGATACATACATCCAGCTCGCGCTAAGTTGAAGTAGCACTCTGCCCAGCACCCGCGCCCCCACTCACATCTACGTCTATGACCATGTCCACACCAACATCTGTCGCACTCACTCGCCCCGCCAATACCTCGTCTTCACAACGGCATCGACATGAGTAACGTCATCCGGAGCTTGTTCCGTACGTCCACCGCGAGCTCCGTGCCCTTCTTGTGCCAGCCGGCCTTGACGTAGCCCATCGCGATGTTTTTGCCGAGCGTAGGGGAGGGGATGCCCGAGGTCACGACGCCTGGTGGTGCGTCAATACTGCGTGGTAATCAGAACATCGGGACGTACCGACTTGCTCGCCGCCATTGGGGGCAAATATCTTTGCGCCCTCTGTTCATACGGGTCAGTCGAGCCATAAGGTGGAGGTGGAATCTTACGTCTTGCAGGCGCGCCCTCGACGACCATGCCGACTCGTCTCCGCGGTGTGCCATCCTTCAAGTGCTTCCTTACGCCCTCCGCACCAATAAACTCGCCATTCTCCCGCCTGTCTTTGCCTGCACGGCGGCGTCCATATGGTCAATGTTAAGCACGCGAGCTGACCAGACTTACCGATGACCCAGGTCAGACCAGCCTCGACCGGCGAAGTGTCCTCGTCGAGGTCGTTGCCGTAGAGACACATCCCCGCCTCGAGACGCAGGCTGTCGCGCGCGCCGAGGCCAGTGAGCTGTACGGGCGACTTGGAGAGCATCTGTGCGACTTCGACTGTTTCCGAGGGTGGGATAGAGATCTACGGGAGAGAAAGGTTGCAACAGCATGCATTAGAACACGGGTTCCTGCGCTTGTGAGTGGGGACAATACGCACCTCGAAGCCGTCTTCGCCGGTGTAGCCACCGCGGGCGACGTGCAAGTTGAAGCCCTCTATCGGGATGAACGCGGACTTGCCGAATGTAAGGGCGCGCAGGTCGAACGACGTCAGGGCCTGCAAGTATTGCGCGGCTTCCGGTCCTGCGGTCAGAGTCAGGTTCCAAACACTCTCAGGTGGCGGTCAGACCCTTGTGCGCACCTTGCAGCGCAAGCAGCCCCCACCCCTCGAGCACCTCAAGCTCCACTTTGCCGGCCTGTGCGCGCTCGCTGGCGTTCCACTCCTCCAGCTTTTGCGTGAACCAGGCGAGGTCGCGGTCGCGTCGGCCTGCGTTTGTGACGACGTAGAACGCGTCCTCCGCGTGTTTGGTGATGACGGTGTCGTCGATAATGCCGCCCTTTCGTTGAGAATGACGGAGAGCGTGGAGGAGTAGGGCTCGAGGGCGGAGAGGGAGGAGGGCGTGAGCCATTCGAGGAAGGCGGTTGTGGTTGCGCCGCGGAAGCTGTGGATGGGTGAGGCACAGCGGGAGCGGGGTTTAGCGGAGGAGGGACGTACACGCTCTGGACCATGTGTCCTACGTCGAAGAGGCCCACGGAGTCGCGGACATGGTGGTGACTTGCCACTGCAGTAGAGTCATTTCACGTGTGTGCAGGGAAGAGCTAGCAGAACGGACCCGCCCGACGTCTCGGTAGGACAGCGGCATGGAGTACCCCGCAAAGGGCACCATCTTGGCACCATTCTCGACGTGGAAATCATACAGAGGCGTCTTCCGTAGCTGTAAGTCATAACACAACATTGTCAATTAGTACAATGCACGATCACTGACTGTTGTCCACGCACTTCACCCGACGGTGCGCTCGCGAAACGTCGCGTGAGGGTGGTTGGTGTGCGCGAGGCGAGTGTTGCACTACGGGGGCTGAGGCCTGCTCGGGCAGCACATCGCAGAAGCACTGTCATGGCTCTCGTCTGGTCAGCACGGCGAGGAGAGACGAGGAGAGACTCAGTTGTACTCACGGAGAGCCGAAAGGAAGGCCGGACGCGTGCGAGACGCGTCTGGAGGTGTGCGACGAAATAATTACGGTGGGCGTATTACGTCTCGGCTATCTCCTTTTCTGGACTTGACACCCATAGTGATCGCCATGCCGATACCGCACTGCTACTCCGTCTACTCACCATCGCCACCGCGACATCCGTGCCCACTCTCTTCTCTCTTTGTGCCAGCTCAGCTGTTGGACAGCGCGGTGACACCGACCGCCAAGGACCGCACCAGCAGCCTACCACCGTCCAGGATGTCTCGTTTCGTCAGGGCATCCAAGTATCGGTGCGCAGTGCTGTCGACGTGTGCGCTGTGTCCGCGAACTGACCATCTTGTTCAGTCACGTCTTTGGCCAGCAGGGCAAGAAGGAGTATGGCATTGACAATGTCAAAGTGACCAACAGTGCCTGGGACACCAACCTCATCGCCGCGTCGTCCGTACGTGCCTCCCATGCTGCCGAACAACCGCGCTGAACGCACCGCTGACCCCCGCGACACGTAGCGCTACATCAGCGTAAACTGGAACGCGTCGGGTGGAGGCGCGTTCGCCATCCTCCCCCTCCCCTCTCCCTTCGAGCCCCTCCCGCTGGCTTCCCGACCAAGCTCCCCGACCTCGTTCCCCTCGCGCGCTCGCACTCGCCCTGTTCTCGACACCGACTGGTCGCCTTTCAACGATGCCATGGTTGCATCTGCCGGCGATGACGGTAAGGTCATGCTCTGGAAGGTCGAGTCCTCCACATTTGAAGGCTGGGGCACCGAGCACTGGGTCCCACAGGACCTCGACCCCGTCCTCCGCATCGACGTCTCGCCCCGCCGCGTCGGCCAGGTCTCTTCCACCCGACTGCGAACAACGTCCTCGCAAGCACGACCGGCGATCACGTCGTCAAGATGTGGGACCTCGAGAGCCCGAGAGCCCAAGGCTGTACTCGGCGGTCATGGCGACGCGATTCAGAGCTTGGCCTTCAACCCGAGCGGAACCTCCTCGTGACGACGTGCAGGGACCGCAAGATCAGATTTTGACCCCGGGCGGGCGGGGACGCCGTCCGCGTAGCGCATGGGCACGACGGTATCAAGGTGCGTTCATCTGTCTACAATCAAAGCTACCATGAGGTGTTCTCTGTATCAATATGTGCATTGATATGAGTCGATGGACATGGCGACGCTTCCAGCGGACTGGCATTCCGCTGGAGCACGCTAGCCTTGCACGCGCTGAGCAAGCAACTGTCATGATTGTCTCCCTAGACATGTACTTCTGAAACTTACCACTCATGAACGGCCATATCATTACAGTCTGCACGTGTTGTCTGGATGGGCGAGCGAGATAACATCGCTACGACTGGCTTCAGCAAGATGAGTGACCGACAAGTCGCCATCTGGGAGACGGGTGGACTGGGCAACGTCAAGACGACGCGGCTCGACCAAGCGTCGGGCACTCTCATGCCGTTCTGGTCAGACAACAACATCCTTTCCTTGGTGCGTCCTCACCACATCGCCTGACGTCGCCTCGCTGACCTGTCTGTCTTCTCGCAGCGGGCAAGGGGTAAGCATATATATGCATGGCAGCCGCCGTTGACGCCGTTCGCCAGAGATGGAAACATCCGTACTACGAATAGAGTCCGACTGCTGTACGAGCTCGCAGAGTACAAGTCCTCCGACCCGCAGCGCGGCATGTGCTTCCTGCCGCGGCGCGCCCTCAACATCTCCGAATGCGAGATCGCGCGTGCCTACAAGCTCACCGCCTCCTCAATAGAGCCCATCGCCTTCATCGTCCCCCGAAAGGTGCATCCCCGCCCTAGCGCCTTCCCAAGTAGCTGTACTAACCACTGGGCTCACCCCGCCCCGCACAGTCCGACTCCTTCCAGTCTGACATCTACCCGCTCGCGCCGTCCTCCGAGCCCGCGCTCACCGCGGGCGAGTTCTTCAACGGCAAGACCGTCCCGCCGAACCTCGTCAGCCTCGACACGGGCGCGATCTCCGCGGGCGCGCCGCCCTCCGCCGTGCCCACGCCCGCACCCTCCACACCCGCAATGACGAGGAGCACCAGTGCGCCGAATCCCGCGCCTGCGTCCGTGCCGAGCATCGCGGTGGACACGACGCCCTCGCCGGTGAGCGCGGCCGTGAGGAAACCGGAGCCGAGCCCTGTGGCTGCGACGCCGTTTGAGTCAAGGACGCCCCTGCGGTCGCAGTCGGGAGACGTACGTCGCCTCTCGTTGCTGTGGCGATTGATTTCTGATAAAGCCCGCTGGCCCCTGCACGCGTACAGGAATCGCCGCTGAAGGAGGAGAACGCGCGCCTGACGGCGGAGCTGCGCGAGGCGCGGGCGCAGATCCGGAATCTGGAGCTGCAGGTGGAGAGCATCAAGGCGAACGCGCGCAAGGCGGCTGCGCTGCTGGACAGCTGAGCGCGCGAGATGGGAGAGATGGGAAGTGCTGGTTGGAAGGATGGATGGAGGACTAAAAGCAGATCGGGGGTGCGTAGTGCGCATGGTGTGCTTTGGGTTGTACAAGAGTGCGAGCAATTCCTATTTCCTTTGCAATGGTTTGGTGGGTAGTCTGCAGGGGCTGAGAGCTCTAGACGGTCCTTGGAGTGCTGCCTTGATACTCTGCTGAACCACGAAGACGCCCTCAATTTGTGATGCAGACGACGGGGAATGCCATGCGCACCTAAATCCCGCACGGAGGAATGGTAAGCCAATCGATTTGGACCTATGGTACTCATGCCACTTACTGTGAATCGAGTTGTTGCATAGGCCTGAATAAATGCTTGGAGCAGAGTTTGATACCCATCCGAGGACATATCGCCTCGGCCCGTGCATCAGTCGGTGAGCTCTATGACTGGAACAGGGACCACACGTCAAAGAACCGATGATCCTGTGAATCTCGGGATCGTCCTACATCGGGGCGCGCACCGGGCCCTATATCGGTCGTCTACGGTCCACCAGGAACAGCATAACAGACGTTTGCCGGCTTTTTGGTCTGCAGCGGAGACTACAGTAACAGCTGACCTGACGTCGAGCTGTCTTCCTTCCGACTACGACCGGGAATATGAACACCCATCTGCGCTACGCGGAAGAGTTGACCTGAAGGGGTACTTACAATAGCGACGTGATGCGCACAAAGCACGCTCAATACCGACAGAAGTATTTTTGCAGCACTGCTGACCATGGTATGGCTTTCGTGATCTCATGGAGGCATCCGGACTCTGAGGGAAGAACATTAAACTGTCTCGTGGGCCCAGGTGCTGCTCATGCGGTCCAAGATGTCGAAGCCGCATCACCTACGGTCGGGGTTAGAACAGCGCAGTCACATTGGCACAGTGCTTTAAAGCTGCTCGCACGGGAGGTCGAGGTAGCAGTTTCCTGTTCGTTCAAGATGGCTCTTGGCCCACTTTTAGGTTTGCTGGTGCTCGGGACGGGTGCGCTGTGCTCAGCTCCCAGCGGTCCTTGGGATGCTTTCAACTTCGCGCCGGCATCACGGACTGTCTATCCTACCTCGATCCGACAAACCAGTGGCAATGTCTCCAACGCAAACAGCATCCTTTCGAACAGCAGCTTGACCCTCAGCGGTGACGGGTCGTATGTCACGCTCGACTTTGGCTTTGAGGTACGTGTCCGTTCGCATTCGTAATTTACGCCCGACTCCACTGAGTATACTCCACGTAGGTTGGGGGAATAGTCTCCCTCAACTTCGACGAGGTCTCCGACGACTCCTCCGTGGCCCTCTCCTTCACCGAGTCGCCGCTCTTCATCAACCCGCTTGCCTCGGACGACTCCGTCGTCCCCTCCGCCAACATGTCGTATGATGGCGTCCTCCACGTCGCCGCGCCGCTCCCGGCCGGGCACTGGACGCAGCCCGCTGCTCAGATGAGGGGCGGGTTCCGCTTCCTCACGATCGCCTTGACGTCGGACAGTTCCGTCTCGCTCTCGAACGTGTCCTGCGAGCTCAACTTCATGCCGCATGTGGACTCGCTGCGGAACTACTCTGGGTACTTCTACGCTGCTGATCCGGATTTTGTCGACCCGAACTTCTTGACGAGGGTATGCTCTACTTTAGATATTGCGGAATGGACACACATGTTGATGATGGCGCGGGCAGGTGTGGTATGCCGGCGCGTATACGGTGCAGATCAATACCATACCGCACGATAGAGGACGCACTCCGAATACCCCGTCTCCAGGCATGTTTCTTGTCATTCATATGGAGACTCCACTCATTCCACTGTTGTTAGGTTGGGAAAACGACGCACCGATAGGTAACACCGGTGCTGTACTTGTGGATGGCGCCAAGCGCGATCGGTAAGTCAAGGCTACCAGGTATATGTCAGGTCGTATCTCAGGCTGATTGCAAGCTAGCTCCGTCTGGCCAGGTATGATTGAATGACAACATTGCAGTTGTGATCTGCACTCACTACATCGACACAGGTGATCTCGGCATTTCCCTCCCCACGCAGTTCGTATCCACGAACGACCTCATCACCACGCGCAACGCCCTGGACACGCTATACGCCCTCCAGAACGCGGCAGGCGCACTGCCTTACTCCGGGCCGCCGCTCAGCCTGGAGCTCGGGAGCGACACCTATCATGCATGGACGCTCATCGGGACGTACAACTATGTCCTGTACTCGGGGGACGTCGATTGGCTGCAGGGGCTATGGAGCAACTATACGCGGGGTGTAGAGTACCTCGCGGAGAAGGTGGACGAGACGGGGTTGCTGAACGTTACGGGTGTGTTGGACTGGGGAAGGATCGGGCAGGGAGGACATAACGCAGAGGCGAACGCAATATACTACAAGGTATCGTATTTCTTCTGTCGGGGCTCTTTTGATTGAATTCGGGTGCATTAGCTCCTGGCCAGCAGCGCGGACCTCGCGCTGTGGCTGAACGACACCGACCTCGCTTCCGCCTATGCCGCGAATGCGTCCGCGCTCAAGCCGGTATTCAACGACGCGTTCTGGCAGGAGGACCGCGGTATGTACCGCGACAACCTCACGACGACGTTCTGCGCGCAGGACGCGAACGCACTCGCGATCCTGTTCAATTTGACCGACTCGGCGGAACAGGCGGCGGCGGTTAGCGAGGGCTTGACGGCGAATTGGGGCGTGTATGGGGCGGTTGCGCCGGAGTTGCCGGATACGATCGCGCCGTTCATTGGCGGGTTTGAGGTGGGTCTGCGTCGGGTGCGCGGGACAACAGCTGGTGCTCGTGCTGACGGTGTGAGGACGACAGGTGCAAGCGCACTTCGTCGCGGGGGAAGATGCGCGTGCTCTGGACCTCCTGCATCGCGAGTGGGGATACATGCTCTACACGCCGCTCAGTGTGCAGTCCACCATGCTCGAAGGCTACACGTCGAATGGGTCCCTGTAGTAGGCGCGACCTCCCCGGGTCTGTCCGCCCTCCTCTGACCGTATCTTCCGTCTAGCTTCCGCTCCACCGAAGGCTACAATTACGACGCGTCCTACACGAGCCACGCACACGGGTGGAGCACGGGGCCCACGTCGGCGCTCTCGTTCTACGTCCTTGGACTGCAGGTCACGGCGCCGCAGGGCCGGACGTGGGCCATCGCGCCGCACACCGCAGGCCTGCCGTACGCGGAGGGCGGGTACGAGACGCCGCTGGGGTGGTTCGGCATCAAGTGGGCGTTGGACTCCGAGGAGGGCTGGTGGAATGCGACGGTCTCGACGCCGGAGGGTACTCGTGGGAGCTTGAAGCCGCCGGTGAACGGGACGGTTAGTGTGGATGGGGAGGCGGCAGAGGTGGATGGGTTTGGGGTTCTGCAGCTGAGCGGGGGAAGTCATGTGGTAATCGTACAGATTGCAGCATAATGCGCGTTAACTATGCTAATGGATGGGCACGTACTGAGCGGGGACGGGAAAAGGCTAGCAACCTCGTTGCAAGGCAGTGAGCAATAGTCGATACATGTGGTTGGCGAATGTGGGGGTAAGAGCTGTCTGACAGTCTCACATTGGAACGCTGCCATGGGGTTCCTACATTCGCAGCTCAATGTTTGATGTACAGGAAAGTCGCGACGACCACAACAACTTTGCAGCGAACATGCTATCGCTATCCGCAATGCCTGTGAACGCACGTTGATGGCTGCTTACCCCACAAAGCTGTAGGCGGTAACTTGAGTTTGCTTCCTCAGCGACAATTGGTCGGTGTATAGGAAGATGACGTCCCTTCTGTGTTGCTAGGCATCGATGTTGCTCCTTTGAGCTCACCTATGATGCAGATAAGGGCGACCGGGAGACGAGATGTATACATTCTTCTATCAAGCGATGCGCGGAACGTCGCTCCGCAAAGGATAGGAACACGCGAGCTACGACATCGAGGCCAGCCTGCGGGTGTGGAGATTGAGAGGAACGTGTCCAGGCTGTTGAGATGGGTCGAACGTGCGTGGTATGCCAGTAACTCAGAGTGGTATTCATTATCTCGACTTGATTCGCACACGGAAGAGTAGTGGTTGTAAACCTGCTCGTACAGAGATGCACATGCACACGTTGAGATGCGTGCGGTTGATGGGTCTGCGGGGAGGTGAGTAGCCGCGTGTTGTGGCGGGTGCGGGGAGATAGGCGGGGAAGCACGTGCGCACGGAGGACTTAATGACGGTGACTGGGCCCGCTCCGGAGTAGAGATACCCTCTCCAGTCCCCTCCTCCTCCTCGCTCTTCGTCTTCGCTCTGTATCGCTATTACTCCCCGCCCTAACTTATCCCTCTAACTTACTCGCCTCTCCCGTCGTCCACCGCGTCGTCCAGCCCCCACTCTCCGCAAGCCCCTCTTCGCCGCTGCATCCCCCCGGCGCAGCTATCGCCCCTTCGTCTCACCGAGCAGCTCGCCTTTGCGCTCGGCCTCACCGCTGCATCCCCTCGGGTGTAGCACTCCGGACCACTCGATCTAGGCAGGGAGTCGCCCCGGCTCCTCTAGGTCGTCTCGTCCGCCCCTCCATCGTATGACCGTGCTCCATGCCCACTTCCACCTACGGAACCAGCAGGCCTTCCAGCGCCTGCTCGATGGCGGCGGGGCCCCCGACCCCAGGCCTCCGGGCTCAGCAGCAGCGGCGGCAAGTCCTGGAACAGACCGAGTCCCCTGAGCGGAAACGCTGCGGCACCGCCCCTCGACGTCAACGCCCGCGACTGGCTCGGACGCACCGTCCTCCACCTCGCTGCCGCCGCCCAGGATGCCGCCGCGACGGAGTACGTGCGCATGCTGCTCGCCCACTCTGACATCCAGATCAACCTCACCGACGCCGAGAGCCATTGGACCGCCCTCCACCGTGCGCTCTACCACGGCAACCTCTCCACGGCCATTCTCCTCCTCCAGCGCCCGGACATCGACGTCACCCTGCGCGACCTCGAGGGCTGCACCGCCTTCGACCTCTACAACTCTACGCTCGAGGGCACGAAGCCCGCGAGCGACGACACTAGCACGGCGGATCTACTGACATGGGGCGCGAACCGCAACGCGGCGCTCGGGCTGGGCAACGGCGACGACAGGGTGTACCCCGAACAGGTCGTCGTGCGCCCGCCGGAGGGATCCGCGCCGTCGGAGAAGGAGACCGTCGACGCGCGGTTCGCGCCCATCCGCGTGGGGCAGGTCGTCATGTCGAAGCTTCACACAGGTGCGCGGCGATCGTCCGATTCCGGTGTGCGGTCGCTGATAGCGCGCAGCGGTGGTCACGTCCGAGCCGCGCGCGAACCTGCGCGTGTGCGGGTTTGGGAGCGGGGGCCGCTTGGGGCCCGGGCAGCACACGCAGTACGGCCTCGTCCCGCTGGCGCAGTTCAGCGGCACCGTCGGGTCGGTCGCGCTCGGCCAGGACCACACGCTTCTCGTGACCAAGTCTGGCGAAGTGTACAGCTGGGGCCTCAACAGGTTCTCGCAGTTGGGCTACGCAGTCGAGGCCGCCGACGGCGCCAGGGGACGTGCAGAGGAGCCGATCCAGGTCACCGCGCGCAAGGTGGTGGGTCCTCTGAAGAACAAGGCGGTCTTGGGCGTCGCGGCATGCAAGACCGCCTCGGCGTGCTGGACTGCCTGGGAGGTATACACCTGGGGCACCAACAGTGGCCAACTGGGTGAGTACGCGTTCGTCGTCTGCCGGGCATGCCCTGACGTGTGTGTCGCCCCAAGGCTACGACAAGTCCGCGCACCCGGTCCAAATCCTCCCGCGCGTCGTCACCAAAGTCTCGCAGCCCGTCGTCTCAGTGACCATCAGCGTACGCCGCTCACCTCTCCCGCTTCATGTCCGCTTACTCGCTACAGGACACGGCGATGGCCTGCCTGCTGTCGACGCAAGACGTGATCTGCCTGTGGCACGACGGGCACTTCAAGGTGAATTTCCCCGTGCAGGCGTTCCCGTCCGAGATTGCGGCGTACCGGCCGCCGCACTCGGTGAGCAACGCGAGCATCGAGAAGATCACGAGCTGCGAGGGCGCGTTCGCCGCGCTGTCCAGCAACGGCGAGCTCTTCACCTTCGCCGTCCCGCCGGCCCGGACGCCGGCGGTGGCAAGCCCCGTGCGGCGATCGTGCCCCAGCGTGTCTGGGCCCTCAGGAAGAAGATCACTGCTGTCAAGGTACGTCACCCGCCGCCGGTCCTCGCGCCGCGCTTCCGACGCTCACCTCCTGCAGGACGTCGCGCTCGGTGCGGACGGCTCGCTCATCATCTGCACAGAGTCCGGCCACGTCTTCGTCCGCACCCGCGCCGCAAAGCCCGCGCACGGCGGCGCGGGCGGCGCGGTCAAGACGCACAAGTTCGCGCAGATGCCGTATCTCCAGCGCGTCGTGCGCGTCTGCGCGAACGTCACGGGCGCGTATGGCGCGCTCAGGGTCGACTACGTCCCGCCGCCGGTGAAGCTCGCCGGGCGGCTGGTCGCGCAGGACATGGCGGAGGTGCAGCCGTGGCTCACGTTCGAGCCACCCGTGCAGGAGGCGAGTATCGGCGCGTCTTCACCGACTGACGCGGTTAGCCCTGGCGGATTGGGCCCACTGTATGAGGATGTAGAGGAGGAAGTCGCCGACGACGAGGGCGGGGACATCGCCATCCAGAAGGACATCAAGCACATTCGGACCTTGCTCAGCCTGCTCGAGGCACTCAAGGCAGCGCACGCCTCTGGCGCCGCACGCAGCCCCTTCGAGGGCCGTCGCCTCCCGCACGGCGCAGACATCCTCGTCCAGGTGCACTCGTACGAGGTCCCAGCCCACCGCGTCATGCTCGCCGCACGCTCCCCCGCGCTCGCCACCTCCTCTCAGGCGGGGGCGCCATCCAAGACGCGAGCTGGCGCCTCAGCATCAAGCTCCTCCCGCCCAAGTCGCCCGACGCCCACCCGCGCCTCGCCGTCTCCGCCTGCCAGCCGCTAGCCGTCCTTCTCTATGACATATCTGTACTCGGACGACGTCCCCGCGCTGTGGGACCCCCGCGTCGGGCTCGCGCTCTCCGGCGCCGTCCCCGCGCTCGGGGTGCGCCTCGCGCAGGTGAAGCAGGAGCTCCAGGCGCTCGCGCGCGTGCTCGAGCTCCCCGCGCTCTCCACGTCGCTCGAGGCACCCGTCAAGCGCGTGCCCAGGCCGACGATGGGCGCGGACCTCAGCCGGCTCTTCGCCGCGAGCCAGCGCAGCGGAGGGCGCGCGCCGGGTGCAGGACCCGCTGCGCCGACGTGGTGCTCCGCCTGGCGGACCGGGAGGTGCGGACGCACGCGGTGGTGCTGCGCGCGCGGTCGCCGTTTTCGCGGCGTTCTTTGACGAGGAGGAGTGGACGCGGAAGCGGTGGACGCCGGAGGGGACGGTCGTGCTGGATTTGGGGCATCTGCGGTGGAGGGAGATGGAGGTGGTGTGCCGATATATGTGCTGTGGAGGGGATGCGGAGATGTTTGATGTGATAGGTGAGTGTGGGTGCTGCTGAGACGCGGAGAAGAGCGCTGATGGGCTGTAGAACATGTTGGGTCGGTGGATGAGCTGGTGGATTTCATGTTCAACGTTATGGCTGCGGCGGTACGTGCATTGAATTTCATTGATGGTCCATCGTGCTGATAGAGTCGGCTTGTAGAACGAGCTGCACATCGACCGATTGATGCTCCTCTGCTCGCAAGTCATCTCAAGCGTGTCAACATCATGAACGTCTGCTCCGTCCTCTCGGATGCTTCTTTCTACCACGCGCTGCCTCTTGTCGACTCGCTCCACTCCTACATGGCTGCCAACGTGGAAACACTGCTCGAGAGCCACATGCTCGACGACCTCCCGGCGCACCTGATCAAGCAGCTCGCCGTCTTCGTGCGCCAGCAGCAAGCGCACAAGTACCCCGTCTCGCGTTCCACGCGCCTGGTCGACCGCGCGATGCAGGCGCACGGGGCGTGGCTCGCGCTGCAGGACATCCCGCAGCCGGTCGTGCCCACGTTCAAGATGGGTGCGTTCAGAGACTCCCGCGGCTCTCGCCGCCCGGCCGAGTAAGCGTAGTCGCAGGACGTCCCAGTTCGCGTTGTCCCCGCCGAGCAGCCCTGTTGTGCGGCCCGTACTCGCGCCGCCGCCGCCCGCGCAGAGCTTGCCTGCGGACGATGAGGTGTTCGTGATGGACGATGCGGGACCATCGGCGCCGATTCAGCCGAGCTCCTCTGTACCTGAGGTTGCTGCAGGCGGATGGCGTGCCATTTCGACTGCGCCCAGGTAGGTACACGTGTATTCGAAGCTATGCTTAGTCTGACATCTCTTCAGGGTCGACATGAGGGCTATCATGGCAGAGGCGGAGATCAGTTCCTCAGCGAAGCGGACTCCCATCCCAGGGCCCATTGCTCGCAAGTCAAGCGCCGAAGCCCCCACTTCCTTCCGCGGCACACCCCCCAAGGCTGCCAGCTTCCCCGCCTTGCCGCGTGCGACGTCTGATTCGCCGTGGAGGATGCCTGTCACCCCTACAAGGCCGCCCGTGGGCTTGCCGTCGACACCTAGCAGCAGCGGTCGTGCGGATCAGTCGACCGCACCCAGACCAGCCGCGACGGCGCCCAGTACACAGCCTCCTACGCCGACCAAGAAGCCTGCAGGACCGGCCGGCATGGGTCCTATCATCACGCCCTCCAAGAAGGCGGCACCACCCAAGGACTCTCCCGGGAGCATACGTCGCGTGTCGTAAGTCTCACTCGTACGTCGCGCGGTTTCCCGGCGGACTGACTTTGCTCGCAGAAGCGGCAGCGTGTGGACCCCCCCTCCCGTGCAGCCTATCGTGCAGTCCTCGACTACCACCGGCATGTCGTTCGTCGCCATCCAGGAGCTCCAGCGCGAACAGGCCCGCGAGCCCGCGAAGGACAAGCGGTCGCTCCTCCAGATACAAGAGGAGGAGCAGGCGCGGCAGGCGGAGGAAGACTTCCTGAGGTGGTGGAGCGCTGAGGAGGCACGGCTGAAGGCTGAGGAACAGGGTGTCCCTCAAGGTCCCCAGCGGCCTCAGAAGTCGAAGAAACCGAGGCCGTCTAAGCCCAAGGCTCCGAAGGCCGAGGGGATCAGTGGTTCGTCTGCGCCGACTCTGGCCGCTGCCCCCGCTCCGAAACAGGACCGCGAGACTCAAGGTCAAGGAAAGAAGCCTCGCAGGAGCCGGCCTGCGAAAGGCAGTGCTGCTCCGGACTCCACGTCTCAGTAGTTGTCCGCCAGATCTCCTATGTATGTTGCTGTTGGCCTTTTGCGATTTCGTACCCTCTATGATACCATGGACACCTTCCACGTTGCATGCAGCATGAGCAGAGATGTTAGATGCATCTGAGCGGGATGTAGATGTGATTAGATGTGTCTGTACAGTACAACATGTCCATGCGGTAGTTTACACGAATATACAGTACGTCGTCTCGTGAGATATGCCTATGCATCGTCAGAGGACAAGGGCTTTCTTCAGCGAAGGGTTGACGGGTGTGGACGATCCACGGATGCATCTGGCTCGTGGTTGTCCTTGATATCCAGCGTCGATCCGTCGCTGCTTGCTCGGATGGTCACGACGTCTCCATCCCTGTCACATCGTTAGCAGCTCGTATGGATTGGGTGAGTCGGTATAACATACCTGATCGTGCCGTTCAACAATTCTGAGCGAGAGGGAACAGGACCTTGGTCCGTACGACCCGAGCAATGGCCCGCGCGCCATAGACGTCCGAATAGCCTTGCTGTGCGAGCCACTCCCGTGCAGCGTCGTTGATGTCAAGGGTGATACGGCGACCCCTGAGGCGTTCGGCGACGTCGGTAAGGCGCAGCGAGACGACCTGGAGGATCGACTCCTTCGATAGCTTGTTGAAGACGAGCATGGAGTCGAGGCGGTTGAGCAGCTCCGGAGGGAAGTATTCTGTGGTACGAGTAAGGACTTCGTCGCGAGCTTCCGCGGTGACTACTCCGTTGCCGTCCGACGCTGACTTGTGCGCGAGGATGTCGCTACCTGTGGGAAGTCAGCGCACTGCTCAGATGAAGGAACGACAGGACTTACCCAGGTTGCTCGTTAAGCAAATAATAGTGTTCTACCCCGCAGTCGGTTAGCAGGTCCATTAACAAAGTCGGAGGCATCATACCTTGAAGTCAACTTTGCGACCTTGCGAGTCAGTGATGCTGCCCTCGTCGAGGATCTGGAGCAAGATCATCGCCACGTCCTTATGCGCCTTCTCAAGCTCATCGAGCAAGATGACGGCTGCGGAATGGTTAGCGTCCCACCGAGTAGGTGGAAGTAACTATTAAACACACCGTACGGCTTCCTCCGAACGGCTTCTGTAAGTTGGCCACCCTCTTCGAAGCCAACGTAGCCCGGGGCTGCACCAATCAGTCGGGATATGGTATGCCGGTCATGGTACTCCGACATGTTGATGTTGATCCTGAAGAGGGAAGACACATGAGGGTCGTTGCGACGCAGAGCGAGAGTATCATTACTTACAAGCCACGCTGCTCATCGTTGAACAGGAAGCCAGCGAGGGCTTTGCAAAGCTCAGTCTTGCCAACGCCAGTCGGACCGAGGAAGAGGAATGACGCGACTGGCCGATTGGGTGCCTGCAGACCTGCACGCGAGATTCTGACCGCATCGCTGACAGCAGCGACGACGTGATCCTGGCCGACCACACGCCTGCGAAGTGTATCCTCCATCTACAAGGCCAATGAGCATTGCGAAGAGGTAGATCAGGTGCGAAACACTTACATGCACGAGCTTGTCCCTCTCACCCTTGAGTAGGTTCTGTACTGGAATACCGGTGCTCTTGGCCACGACCCTCGCGACATCATCGGACGTTACCCGGTCGTGCAACATCGACATCGGGCCAACGTTCTCCGCATCACTTCTCTCCGTCTCCTGCGGGAGCTGCGTCTCCAGCTCGGGGATCGTTGCGAAGCGCAGCTGCGACGCACGCTCATACTGGCCCTGTCTCTGCGCGACCTCCAGTTCGTGCTTCGCCTCCTCCAGGCGGCGCTTCAGGTCCTGGATGCGCTCCAGGCGCGCACGCTCCGCCTGCCAGATCTCCGTGAGGCGCGCGGCCTCCTCACGCTTCTGCTTGAGCGTCTCCTCTACCTTCGTCCGCCGCTCGACGCTGAACACGTCCGACTCGTTCCGAGCGATCGCGTTCGATCTCGAGCGTGACGATCTCGCGGTCGAGCGCCTCGAGTTCGTCGGGCTTGACTCTTGTGCGAGGCGTAGGCAGAGGCGGCCTCGTCGACGAGGTCGATGGCTTTGTCGGGAGGAAGCGGTCCGAATGTAACGTGCACCGTAACAGCAGCTGGAAAGGTGAATCAGCCTTCCGCCGCTTAGACGCTGTGAGACAGCATACCGGTGACAAGCGCGCCATCTGAGATGCCAACACCATGGTGCACCTCATACTTGGGCTTCAACCCACGAAGGATAGAGATGGTAGCTTCCACCGTCGGTTCTTCGATCTGTACAGGCTGGAAGCGTCGCTCAAGCGCTGCGTCCTTGCCGATGGTCTTCCTGTACTCGTCGGCTGCATAGGCGACATGAGCACATACTGCGAACAAGCGAGACAGGAGTGCGTACGGGTCGTCGCTCCGACAGCTGCAAGCCTCTAGCAAGCGCAGGTTGATCATTTGTCCAGCATCAATACCTCCTTCAGCCTTGCCGAGGTTGAACAGCGTGTCTGCGCGAGCATGTCAGAGTGAACCCGGGACGGAACGGAGCGTGTTACTTACGGACTTCGTCGATGAAGCAAATAACATTGCCGGCCTCATCTTCGATATCCTTGATGAGTGCCTTGAACTTCTCTTCGAATTGACCACGGATGCCGGATCCTGCCATTATTGCAGAGAGGTCGATCGAAAGGACTCGCTTGTTTTGGAGAGACTGGATAGATGGTCAGTCACTGTCGGCAAAGCAATGCGAGAGCACGGGCTTACCTCTGGAACCTCCTTCGCCACGATGCGGCTAGCAAGGCCTCAAGAATGGCCGTCTTACCGACGCCAGGGGGACCGATAAGCTGTAGGACAGAGGCATCAGCGACTGCAGCATTTCGTACCTCTACGGCTTATGGAGTCTCACCACTGGATTCGACTTGGTCCTTCTGACAAGACTGCATACCAAGTCAGGAGTAAGTGACGTGTGGGCATTCTACTCACTCTGGATGGTTCTCCGGATCTCTGAAAATAGAGAACGGTTAGTAATGAATCTCGAGTCGATATGGCGTACCACCTCATCCGACCAATGGTCGGGTCAGTTGCCTTCCGTGCAAGCTCTGTCAAGTCCGCACTCTGCAAATTGAAAGCAGTGAGACAAAGAATGTTAATGAGGGAGGCGGCCGCACGTACAGGGCCTGTGCATTAAGTGCATGGTTGCGGGAAGTGCTCCTGCATGCTCAGGAAGCTAGAGAGCACACAGAGAAGGCCCATGCATTTCAGCACAGACCCTGTCCGTACGAGTACCGGCCGAGCTACTCACGTATTCCTTCACGCTTCCCCTTCTCATGCTGCGGGCCCATCTTGAAGGAGAAGCCTCCGGGCATACCTCCCCGCCCGGAGGACCTTGCGCGTAACCTCGTGAAGACGCATACGGCGGCGCCAGCCTTGTCGCTAGTTTTGGAGATAGTCTTCGCGCCGCCTGGGGCGTTCGCAATAACGGGTGTTGAACAAGGGGCGTAGAGATGAGCGACCGCCGGGGTGCTGTTGTCCGTGCAGCAGCGGCCGTTTTCGCGACGGTATTGCGCAGCATCGCCGAATTGAAACAAGAGTAGACGAAAGCTATAAGTAGAAGAAAGGGAAATGATGATAGGGATGGAAAGCCAGCAAGGACGACCGAGGTCTCGTATTTGAGGAAACGACGACGGAGCCGCAACGCGTCCGACTCGCAAGCGCCGTCCCCTTCGCGCGCGTTCTCGCGTCTTCGTCGCGTGACCTCGATCAGGTCTCCTGAAGAGGCAAGCCCGGGCTCTCTCCGATGCGCTCCTCCGGCAGCTCGCCGACCGAGCGTCTCCGTCGTCGGGAGCATCCCAGTCGCAGCGGGAGCCGATGTTCAAACTCTCATGCACCGCGCAGCCCTCGCCCAGTCGCGCAGGGCATCTACGTCTGCTCGCCATTCCTTCCCCTTTCCGACCCATGCCCAACCCACGCCGCACCAGATCTTCCACCTACCTGTAGGTGCGAGCCAGCAGGATATCAAGGCGAGATGTCGCATCCTTTCCCAGTGCTTCCGCGCCATGTTTACTCAGTGATGCTGCCGTGCTAAGGAAGACTACGACCTTGTCCGCGTACATCATCCAGACTCCCCTTTCTCTCGCGACGTCCCATCACAAGAGCGTCATGTCCGCTTCCAAACTATAACCAAAGCCTACGACATCTTAAGAGGCGTGGCCAGGAAGGTGATGCCGATCCAGTACTGCGAGAGATCCTGCGACGCAAGAAGCTGCAAGAAGCGAGACGGAGAGAGGAGATGAGGCGGCGGGCAGCGGAGCTCGGCCAGAATACGCCAACCCAGATGTCCCACCGCCCGGTGACACACCTCAGGTGGCAGGACACGGTGATTATGCATGCGCAGGGCTCGTGAGTTGTACAACTGCCTTACGCATCCCTGTCAGTCATTTAACTGGCGAGTCAGGCCGTGGCTATCGCAGTAGCTCCTAGCTTCTTCAGCCCCAGCATCGCGGACCAGCGCCATCACGCCGCCGCCGCCAACCTCGCCCAGGCCCGACGTGAAGCACAAGAGGTCGGTCACGAACGACGGAAAGAGGTCCGTCGTCGTGTGCAGGAATACCGCGAGCAGGAAGAGCGTCAGCGAAGCGAAGGCAACGACTCGCCTAGTTGCAATTGGCACAGAGAACGGGGCGCGTAGAGTCCATTCGTCCATACGCTCAGAGCACTGTACTTTTGTTGTAGTTGTAGTGTACACATACCGATTTCACTTCTTCTTTCCCGTCCTCTCGGAAAGCGTGTCGTAGGACTTTCATGACTGCCTGGGCAACTCCAAGTGCTCCGGCCCGAAGCTATGCGGCAACAACTCCTCGATACTCGTTTCCAACACACCACCGTCCGCCTTTCCCTCTGCGACGAGCTTCTCGTAGTTCGAAGGTACCAGCAGGACCGGCATCGTCAACGCGCAGAATTCGCGGAGGACTTGGCGGCAAATCCGCATGGCGAAATGGCAGAAGGGACGTCGCTGTTAAACGACATCAGCACTCAAATCTTGTTTGACTGCAATTATAAGTGTACTCACGTTGTCACCGCTAGCGCAACGAAGGCTCGTGTGCCTTCGCTCTGATTCTCGACTCAGCTCCTTGCCCAGTGTTCACGCAAAAGCACGACTCACGACTGCCTTGACTATCGCGGTTCGCTCAGCACATATCGTCCCACCTGTAATGAAGGCACATAATCATTAGTAAAACATCGCAACCAAGGATACAATAGGGACAGACCGTACGATGCATTCTCGATGTTCGCTCCCTTAATAATCGACCCGTCCGCCGCAAGCAGCGCAGCGCCGACCCGGAAGTTGGAGTACTTGCAGTAGGCAAACTCCTTCGCTATCAAGCATAACATCTTGTTCTGCCCTTCTGAAGTGGAAGAGATTTGAAGTGTCGCCCACCTTCGGACGCAGCCTTGATGAGGCGCTCCCTATCCGGGACGCCCAGAGTCCACGTCTTGGCTGTGACGGACATGCTTCGTGTATCACTGTTATGTTCAGCCGACTTGTCGATGCAGTTCCGAGTCGTATGAACCGGGATTGACACAAGAACAAGATGAGGAGGACAATAATTGTCGCTTTCGCAGCGATCGGATCGATCACGGCCCGGGACGCTGGCATGCGTTCGCCCACTGGCACCTCAGACTCCTCCCCCACTCATATTCAGTACTCGTACTCCGTACTCATCATTCGCGACCGCGCCGTCTGCAGCCATCATGGTCGGTTCAATGTCGTATGAAGCCTTCCTGGCTGAGCTCTCGAAAGCGGCCACCACAGCAGAGCAGCGGAATCGGCTCACTGGAAAGCAGTTATTCACGGACAAACCTTGGGAAAGCACGAGATGGACAGGAGACGCACTTATGAGACTCAATCGCACAGTGCGGGCTTTCTATCACAGTCCATTGACTTGGGAAGCTTTTGAGTTAGTAGTGCGCGAGCACATCTTTGTGAGTTGTCTGCACGATGCCCTGTCCTGTACTGAGTTGGAGGTCAGACCAGCGACTGGGTCCACGAGATTCGAAACTGTGGTCATTTCGGGAAGTTGCCTCTGCTGCTGCGTTACTGCTGGGAATGGCAATTTTCGAAGAGAACCAATGAATATGTCTGGCCGTCGAGCATTGAAAAATGGCTTGTGAAGTGGTGCGGCCGGCGCCACGGCCTAGTTGTCGACGAGAATGTATGGGGCAAGAAATTTGTACAAGACGCACTGTGCGATGTTACGTCACGATGGCTTGGTAGGTAGTCTTACATTTGCTCAAGGTGATATGCTCAATGACGCTTTAGCTAATGACCGTCTCGCCCCATGTACGTGATTCGGTGCTTGACGTCAGACACGATGCCTAAATGAGCCTGCAAACAGACATGCCCCCAGTTGGCTACGATGCGGCTGATGACCCGGACAACCCCAAGCACTCGCGCCACCTAGAGCGGATTCAGCATGCGAAGGATCGCGTTGCACGGGATGCCGTAAAGGTTGTCGAGGAAACTGACCATACGGTGGGTCGAAAGCTTAAGGAAGTCGGGCCGCTCAACCCAAAACGACGTGGCAAGGCCCCGCTCAAGCGAGCCAGGGAGGACATCACGGTTCGGGCATAGGCTTGCTATCCACGAATACCGCTGATCAGCGTCTCATAGTTCACGAACGGTGACATGTGTGAGCGATGCAAAGAACGGGGTCTAGTATCCTGCGAAGTCGCAACGGGATGTCGCAGTTGTGAGGGATGTCGGGCAGTCAGGCAGAAGTGTGTCCTTCCGGTGAGGTCTTCGAAAGACTCTGAGTGAATCATACTTGCATGAGAAGCTTCCAAGCACACCGGTCATATGTCGAAGCATAGTTCTGTTGACTTCTGTTGTTAAGGATGTATCTGACTGTTCAATGTAGCGCGGGTTGCGGATGGGCCGAGTTCTGCAAGCATTGGTACTGCGAAAACGAGCTCACCGGAAACCATCTCATATCGTGGTGAACGTTCAAACTACCAACGAGTGCTATGTTCACCTTCCACGCCCCAACTCACCTGTTCCACAGCAGGCCACCCAAGCACCTCTGACTTACCTGACACTGTACAGGCCTAGGCCCTGCTGGCAGAAAGAAACGAATAGCATTGAGACGTAAGAGATCTCACCCTACCGCCGCCCAACTGCCCCCATCCCCGACTCTTCGAAGAAGATTGCTCTCGATGCCCAATGGGCAGAGCAAAGGTCAGTGCGAAAGGAACACTACTTGGCCAGAAATGCTGATCATTTCCTTCTGCAAGCCGGACAAGCACATTGGTACGTCAAGATCTCAACGGAAATGTGTGCTGATAGTGTCTTACCAGAACTTGTAATGGCCTGCGATGACGAGCCGCCAGTTGCCTTCGTCTACTCATCGACTAGGGCGTTATCTCTGCCCTCTTCTCACCTGGCCTTAAGGCTCTGATAGAATCGCTCCCCATGACCTCCGTACCTCCAAGGTTTGCTTCTTTCACGGTGTCTGTGCTTCTTCGTGACGTTCTGTAGACGACTACCGTGGTCCAGACTCCCAGGTCCCTTTGAACTCTACGCGAGCCTCTCTGTATATATGCCTAGCATCCACGGCGTCCACTGCCCACCACTGGCACGCATACACGTTTACACTCGCTCAACGCAGCCTTCGAGATGGTCTTCACCCTGACAACCTACGATGTATTTCTCAAAGATAACCACATCCTCGTAGCATACTGCTACACCAAGGACGGATTGTCGAGACGTTCCGAACTCAACCTCGACGAACACATCGGCAATGTCGACGGGTCGTTCCACATCCTGAAGCCCTCTGACAGCCACTTCTTCTCGCACACCTCGAGGGACATCACCTACAAAGACGGCGTGATGCGCGCGTCCCTGCGCAAACTATCTCAAGATTACAACATCACTTCTGTCTGCCTCGACCTGTACATCGTGAACGACAACGGGTGTCTCAAATTTCGCAAACCGCAGTGAGTCCGTTACCAGTCACCCAAGCTCTCTCCGATGGGCTGAGGCCACCACGCCAGTAGCGGAGACATCCTCTCGTCGTGCCGCACGTTCTCCCTGACGTACTCCGTCCTGTCCGCGCTCTGCCTCGGGCCGGACGGCGCGTGGCACGCGTCGTCCCTCGACCTCGACGAGCACTACAGCGTGTACGAGGGGGCCGTGGTCCCCATCGGGACGCACTTCTACCGCGGGGTCCGCAACGCGTCGTTCCAGGTGCGCGGGGCCCGTGCGTTGCTGTGCGCGGAGGTTCGCACGGAACATGGACAGTTCAGGCACGGCGAGGTGGATCTCACCAACTGTGTCTTCAACCGCGATGGCAAGCTTGCGTTCGAGCTCGACCTGAGTGGCTCAAAGCCATTCAAGCTTATGTAGGAGTACGTGGCATCGCATGTGGGCGTGCATAGTTCGGAATCAAAATGTCGACATTTAGACTGCAAGGTGATCACTAGCTCAGTAACTTGATGGAATACGCGAGTCGTGTGCTTACTAGATCTACGCATGACATGGTCCCGGTGGAAGATCTTCCGAGTGGCACATCGTGTAATAGTATGTCCCGCCTGGGCAGCTCAACGGCTCTACGTCGTCGACGCCGAAGTCGCATCCACCGCGATGCAGTCGTCCGCCCTCCATCAATGTCCAATGTTAGTATGCAGCGAGGTGTGCGTGTCCGTTGTGATGGCACGATACCGGCGATCGTCACAGCCTCTAGGTAAGGATCATTCCGACGGCCCTCAATGTTTGACGGGAGATCCTCACCTCGGATGCTCAGGCCCAAGCTCAGGCTCACCCTCGAGAATACATCCAAGTTCACTTCCACGGTCGAGGGTGCTTACGCGCCGGATGTCCTTTCATGCAGAGCCGCGTGGTTGCTCTCACGCATGTCGAGACGTAGCTGAAAGACACCTCGTATCTGAGTCAACAACGGGTCAGTCCGCCTTGTACAGGCCTCAAGGCCTTACGACCCTTCGAGTGTACACTCCGGCTCAGCACACTCCGTGGAACCAATAATAGCACTCACACATAAGAATAGACCGGCGACCGCACAGCGCTTCGAGGAAAAGAAATGCATCCTATTCGTGCCTACTGACGTGTATTCTTGGGCTACACAACACGACGTATGCACACCCTGCCGGCGGAGGCAGAGCGGCTCCGGCCTCAGACGCGGTCGCAAGCCGCAGCGTCTGTGTAGTATATATACTCACCGCAAGTTCCGCGACCGCTCGCGACGGAGTGCTGTTCATATATTTATAGCCCCTCCGACTCGGCTAGGACGAGTTGCTCGCGCGCGGAGGTCGCTTCGGCATGTGGGACAGACGCTGCTATACATACATAACTATTAACATCGACAACTGCCTGCAGGGTATACTTACCGCCGGGAAGTTACAAAGCCCCGGGGATATCATTGGCCTCCAGAGATGAGCGGTCCTGCACAGCGCGGCACACCTCCGATGCTGAGGCCGCCGGCAAAAGAGCACCTAGCCGCGCGTAGCCTGCGTGCAAGCTTGCTACGGATCGCCCGAGAGCGCGACATGAATGTTTGAACCCCGAGCGCCGCTCCCGAAGTCGAGCCGGAAGTAAGGGTCCTGAAAGGAGAAACGCGTTACGGAGGAAAGGATGGCTGCGGATGATATGGATGACTCGCCTGCTCCGTAAGTTATGTGCATTGCCGGGCCCCGAGTACATGTACACGAGCGTGCCTTTGGCTTTTTGCCGTCTGCGCGCATGCATATCGGAACGGAGGCTTCTGACATGGTCCGAGCGTCATTGCAGGTATCCCGGCGCGCATAGGATAGACCTCGCGGAGGTCGAGCGGTTGTTGCATACGGCAGCAGAGCGCAAGGACGCAAGGCGTGGCGGTCCAGAGCGCGGCCATATGCGTGGCTCGATGTCTGTGAGGCGATCGCGCGATGATGATCGTCCGTGTGGCTACCGCCCGCGGTGCACCGAGGTGCTGCGGAGCGCGAAAGCATGAGAAGAAGCGGGACGCGAAAGCATGGGAGGAAGCGGAACTGTTGAGGTGGGACCGAGACGCGGGCGCTTGTGATGACACGGACACGTGACGAACGAACGGACTCAACGGACGCGCGTAGAGTAGAGCTACCTCAGTCGAGTACCACGAGGACGCGACTGAGGTAAGCTTGTTTGTAGTTTTATTCTCGGATGCTGGGCACTGATACTGTATTCCTAGACTCTGTAACCTTAACAGGTAGTGTAGCAATCGAGTCGAGTACCACGAGGACGCGACTGAGACTCTGTAACCTTAACAGGTTATGAGCCCCGTGTCGTTTTTTTAGCCGCTTCCTCGTTCACCCCGACGACGCTTTAAGGGTACAACCACCCGTCTTCGACGTTCCCACGATACAACAATCGTTTTCACGCGCATATAGTCATCGAAACAACGCATACACTCACTATGTCGGACGACAAGGAGAAGGTCATCATACTTCCCGAGAACTTCCATCTGAGTCGCACAAACTGGGTCCAATGGAAAAGTAAAGTCCTCACCATCGTCGAGCTTCAGGGTAAACTTGGCCATCTTCTCGGAAAAACGCCTGCTCCTCAGCCTGCCGGCGCCACTCCCACACCCGACGAAACCACAGCGCTTACGAAATGGACGAAGGACGACCTTCACGCGAAGGCTACGTGTACTCTCAACATGGACATCGAGAGTTGCGGGGTCGAACCACTCGGCCTAACGGCGGCCGAGTTCTGGAAGGCGCTGTTGGCGGTGAAGGAGAGGCGGAGCGAACTGGCGGTGCTGAATGCGGAGGAATACTTGAAGAAATGCAAGTACGTCCCGGGTGCGGATATCCACGCCCATTTCGAAGAATTACGCCGTCGCCGCAAGGCGTGTCGCGAGATGGGATCGCCCCTCACCGACCACCGATTCGCCATCATTATATGCCAATCCATGGGCGACGTTTACAACCATATCACTGCCGGTCTCCTTACGAAGTCTGACCCCGAGGACGTCATCCTGACGATCCTCGCCGTGCATGACAACGAGATGCTACGAACTGGGCAGCCGCAGAACCCTCTCGGAGTCACACAGACCGCGGCACCGGGCGAGCAACTTACGTCGGCGTTTATGACCGCGTCGAAAGCGCAGCTCATCTGCGACTGGTGTTTGTGGAAAGGCCACTCGAAGGAGCGCTGCTTCTGCGAGGGAGGCGGCATGGCAGGTCAGCAGCCGGCTACCTGGAAGTCGCAGCCACGCCCGAAGAAAGGATCACCAGCAGATCTAGCCCACCCCACCTCGAGCGTTCCGACTGCTAACGTCACCGCGACAGCGTCAACCATCACATCGACTCCGAACTACAACGTGTTCATGGCTACCGCTACAGTCACGCACGCGGAGCTCAATACACCTGCAGGCACCATACGAGCGTACCTCGACTCTGGGGCCAGTCACCATTATTTCACCGACCGAGTTCACTTCTCCGAGTATCTTCCTTTAACTCCTCACTCCGGGAACAGTGCAAAACGTGGAGCCGACTTCACAATCGTAGGAGTTGGGTGCGTCCACGCGGAGATGATCATTGAAGGACAACGGTCGATTGTGACGTTCCGAAACGCGCTCCACGTACCGGAGCTCGCAGCAAACCTGATATCTTTATCGCGGATTGACGGAAGTGGATGCAATATCCAGATCAAGAACGGAGAGATGCGCATAGCTCGCCAAGGCGGAGTGAATCCCATCCTCATCGGGAAGATGATGCCGAACAACCTCTATGAAGTCGTCTTGGCCCGCGTCAATGGGAAGTCGATCCCTTCCGAAAGCACTAAGGAGCCGAGCGCGCTAGCGTCCTTGACCAACGCAAAAGCAGCCGATGTCCACACCTGGCATCGCCGCTTCGGACACGCGAGCGAGCGCACTGTGATGGAGATGGCCAAGTCCGGCGCAGTGTCGGGCATGGAGATCGTCGGAGGCATGCCGCTCGGCAAATGCGAAGATTGTATCAAGGGGAAGCACCCACGCACCCCGTTCACCTCGTCCTGCGTCGAGGAGGAAGTATGTGAACGCATCTACATCGACCTAACCGGTCGAGCGCGTGAACCGTCGATGGGTGGAGCGTATCACGGGATGACCCTACACGATGGCAAGTCGTCGTTCGAAGTATGCGACACGCTGAAAACCAAGGAAGCGTCGGAGACCCTCGAGTCATTCAGCGGGTTCAAAGCAATGGCGGAACTGCACACGGGGAAGAAGATTCGTCGCATACGCACCGACAATGGCCACGAATTCGACAACGCCCTTTGGGAAGCCTTCACGCGTAAGCACGGGATCATACACGAGATGACGACGCCGTATACGCCGCAGCAGGACGGAGTGGCAGAACGCGGCCACCGCACCTTGGGCGACCATGCTAGGTCAATGCTGTTCGACGCCGGTCTCCCTGTGAGCCTATGGGCAGAGGCGTACAGAACTGCGACGTACCTGAAGAACCTGACGGCGTCGGCAAGGCAAGGCGGGCGAACTCCCTACGAGTCGTGGTTCGGAAAGGTGCCGGATGTTGCGCATCTACGAGCGTTCGGCTCTATAGCTTGGGCGAAGGTGCCCGACGAAACTCGCACGAAACTCGATCCGAAGTCTATACGATGCATCTTAGTGGGCTATACCGAGAACGCTAACTACCGTCTGTGGGATCCAGCAACCAACCGCGTAATCCGAAGCCGAGACGTCATATTCGAGGAGGGTCCAGGGCATCGGACACTGACCCAGGAGGCCCAAGATGTCTCCGTGGTGGTGTCCGCTGGCACACAAGTCACCGAGCCGACGGACGAGGCGTTGGCACCCAAAGTCGTGGAGCCCGAGCCCGAGCCAATGGACAATGTCAACGCCGCGCCCGTCTTGGAACCGCGCGAGCCTATCGCTCCTCGTCGATCAGCGAGAGCGCCTGTACCGAGTGTGAAACTCCGTGAGTCGCGCGAGTCGGATGCGCGCGAGGCAGAAGCACGAGAGAAGGGCGAGCCATGGGCAGCTGACGGACTGGGGGAGTCTGGTCGCAACCTGAGCCCGGAAGGCGCATATCTGGCGATGTTCACGGAGGCGGTCCCAGTTGGTCATGACGACGGAGTGAAGTGGTACCGCGGGGGTAAAACACCGGAGACCTACAAGGAGGCGGCGCGAGAACCGGAGGTATGGACGCCGTCGATGGACAGCGAAATCAACGGCTTAGCAAAGATCAATGCTTGGGAACTCGTACCTCGCACGCCCGACATGAACGTCATTGGGAATAAATGGGTATACGCACGGAAATTCGACGGAGACGAGGGAGCCGACGGAAGGTGGAAACCGAAGGCGAGGCTGGTGGCGAAGGGTTTTCAGCAGATACCCGGAGTCGACTACTTCGAGACTCATGCATCAGTTGTACGTTTCGAATCCCTGCGTCTGGTTTGTGCGACGGCGGTCGTACGCGATATGGAAATGGCCCAAGACGACGTCGAGAAGGCCTACCTGAACGCGTCCCCGGAGGAAACTATCTACATGGAGCAACCGGCCGGATACGTCTCCAAAGAATTTCCGACGCACGTCTGCAGGATGGTGCGCGGACTGTATGGATGCATGCAGGCGGGGAATGACTGGTGGAAGCATCTGGATGAGACGTACCAGGACCTTGGGTTCTCGCGATCGCGGTCAGACGAATGCGTGCGGGCGAGGTTCGATGAGGACGGATTGGCAATCACCGCGACGTACACGGACGACATTGGGGAGGCAGCGGACTCGGTCGAGGGGCTGGCAACCGTGCGATCCGAACTCGCTGTGCGGTACCGGCTCAGCGGGGGAGGTGAGTTCAAGTACATGCTCGGCGTTTTGATCGAGCGAGACCGGGCGCAGAAGACGATGCGGATGTCCCAGCGCGCCTACGCCGAACGCGTACTGGATAGGTTCGGGATGAAGGACTCTAACCCGGTCCGCACACCACTCGAGCCAGGCTGCAAATTATCAAAAGAGGCTGAGCCGGCGACCGCTGAACAGCGCGAGGAGATGGAGAAGATCCCCTACCGTGAGGCTCTGGGCGCGATCATGTACCTCGCCGTTGCGACTCGCCCCGACCTCGCATACCCTGTACAGCTGCTAAGTCGGTTCATGGCAAACCCGAGTTACGAGCACTGGCGTGCGCTCAAACGTGTGCTTCGCTACGTCAAAGGCACCCTCGACTACGGGCTGACTTACGACGGCAACCACTCGGCAGGTCTTCAGCCCACGGTGTACACGGACGCGTCGCAGGGCGATTGCGTTGACACGGGGCGGTCCACGCACGGTTACGTGGTAATGATGGCAGGCGGACCCGTCTCGTGGAGCTCACGTAGGCAAGCAGTCGTGACCTTGTCGACGACCGAGGCCGAATACATCGCGGCGGTACACGCGGGGCAGACAGGCGTGTGGATCGCGAACTTCATGGACGAGATCTATGTGCCGATCGCACGTCCGGTGGTGATTCGGATGGATAGTGCTGGGGGAGAGAGCTTAGCGACGCGCTCGACGAACTTCTCGCGAGTGCGTCACTTGCACATCCGGTACCACTGGTTGCGAGAGGCAATACGTGGTAAGCAATTGAAGATCATTCATATTCCGGGCTCAGAGAACCCTGCGGACATTTTTACGAAGGCCCTTACTTTACCTACGCTACTTAAACACCTACTTTACATGCGCGTCGCGGTCCCGGGGGAGTGTTGAGGTGGGACCGAGACGCGGGCGCTTGTGATGACACGGACACGTGACGAACGAACGGACTCAACGGACGCGCGTAGAGTAGAGCTACCTCAGTCGAGTACCACGAGGACGCGACTGAGGTAAGCTTGTTTGTAGTTTTATTCTCGGATGCTGGGCACTGATACTGTATTCCTAGACTCTGTAACCTTAACAGGTAGTGTAGCAATCGAGTCGAGTACCACGAGGACGCGACTGAGACTCTGTAACCTTAACAGGAACGCGAAAGCATGGAAGGAAGTTCTTGCGAAGTGAGCGGACAATGTTCCATTGTCGCAGGGCTTGCCTAAGCATATCACTGCCTGAGCTCTACGGAGCCAGTACTATGAGCACGGAATGAGCGTAAATGGTTAGACGCAATCACTATCAGGTCGCTGCCACGATGGTGCAGTCTTTCGCCGGTCTAAGCACACAGGACGCAACAGAACTCTCTGCAGAACGCCCGCCGCAAGGTTTCTGCGTCTGCGAGCTTGGAAGGAGATATGCAGCGGACTCGCGGAAGCACGGATACAGGTTCGGGCGCGAACAGGATAACGAGTCTGAGCACGGCACGATAGAGCGTAGTGACACACCTGGGCAAATCAGATGCATAATCGCCAACTGTTCAGTCCCGGAATCAGTGGTAGGATAGCCTTGTGGAAACCGTGCGTAGGCTTTGGAAGCGGAGAAGAAAGCCAACGTGTGGCTCTGGCCGGGACTGGCGAAGTACGAAGTCGCGCGGAAGTTCATACAGCTTGAGTGATGACTCAATGTGCGGATTGCGCTCGGGAATCGATGCATGGACGCGACTGCTAGGTCCTTCTGGATACAGATGATAAGTCGCGCCATATCCACGTCAAGGATGCGGCCGCGCTAAGTCCACGATTAGCCCAAGATAGAGCGAAGTTGCATGGATCGACGGGCATACGTACGTTCCATGCCACGTCAAGGACGCTGTCGCTGGCTTGCGATTCGAAGTCGACGTCGAGATGGCAGTGACAGCACCGATCGAGAGATCGCCCGATGTACGCCTCTCAGCATACGGTACCGTTGTGGCGTCGATTGACACGGCACTGCAGCATGCATGTGGAAGGGGTCGCGGACAGGTCGCAGACCAGGCTCGTCTGAGCTGGTCCTCGTTCGTTGCCATAGCTGCCGTTCACCGGGGGATCTGGAACGTCGTAGACGCGACGAGGCCTCCTCGCGTCGCTGAAACCGCGAGAGGGATGGTGGCTGACGAGCTGTGCGGAACTTGCGACGGGACTGGAGGGTGCCTGGTATGACGCAGGGTGCATACGACGGGGGTGGTGGAGTGGCGCACGGCTGTCAGTCTGCCTGCGATGCGGCGGCAACGCCCAAGGGCGCAGACACGCGATGGACGATGAGGCAAGAGAAGGTCCCGGCTGTCGGGCCGCGAGTGATCCGTGGCCTATTGGGGTTGTGATGCACGTGAGGGAGGACGGCGGCCAAGGACCGCGTGCGGGGAGACGGCGCGGGTGGCTGGAGGCTGGGCGAGCGGGAGCGTGCTGGACGGAGCGAAGGCCGCAGGAAGGCCGGGCGCAGGCCGGGCGTGCGGCGGGGCATTGATGAGAAGCGTGTCCCTGAAATGGGTGACGTCCGCGAGATAAGTATAGCAGGCGCCTCTCCTGCGCATTTCTCCTTCGCCTGCTCAAAAACTGGCTCGCGACGCTCCTTGCCTCGTTGCTGCTGCCCCACGCTCTCTTCCTCCTACAGCCCCCCATGCGCGCCGCCACCTTCCTCGCGGCCGCCTCCGCCCTCGGAGCTGCCCTCGCCGTCGCCCACCCCAGCGACCCTGCTGACGACCTTCACGAACGCGAACTCCTCCGCCGCAACATCGTCTATGACGGCCAGATCTCCGACTCTTATGACTACATCATCGTCGGTGGCGGCACCGCAGGCCTCGTCCTCGCAGCCCGTCTCTCAGAAGACTCCAACACCTCCGTCCTCGTCCTCGAGGCAGGCGACACTGGCGAAGCTGTCCAGAACAAAATAGGTGTGTACCGTCTTCTCTTGGCTGTCCGCGGGGAGACCTGGCCGTGAGGGACGTCGGCGGCACCAGTGCCGCATCACGCGCAGTGTGTGAGACGCGAGACGCGCAGCTGTTGCCCGCGTCGGTGCATCAAGCCCGGAACAGTCGTGCGTTGCTGTCCTGTGCTAACCTTCCGCCAGACATCCCGTCTATGACATACTACGACTCCCTTGTCGGCTCCTCCTACGACTGGCAATACGAGACCACCGCCCAGACACACGTCAACAACCGCCAACTCGGATGGCCGCGTGGAAAGGTCCTTGGCGGTTCCTCAGCCGTCAACGGCATGTACCTCGTCCGCCCCAACGCCCTCGAGGTCAACGAATGGGCGTCCCTCGTCGAGAACGGCTCCGCATGGAACTGGGACAACCTCTTCGCCGACATGAAGAAGAGCGAGGCCTACTCCGCACCAGCTTCGTCAGTCCAGTCGACCCTCAACGTCCAGGCCAACACTTCTGCCCATGGTACCGATGGTCCCATCCACGCCTCGTATCCCGGATAGTGTGTACTGCTCGTCTTCTCGCGCACTGATTTGCGTGCTGACTCTCGCAGTGTTCTTCCTGCTGTCGGAGACTGGACAGAGACCCTCAACGCAGTCGGCGTCGCGTCCTCAAGTAACCCGGACTCGGGCAATGGCTGGGGCACCTTCATCGCGACCTCCGCGATCAACCCGTCGAACTGGACACGCTCCTACTCTCGCTCCGGCTACATCGACCCGCTCCCTCCGCGCTCAAACCTTGCGATTCTCCCGAATGCAACTGTGACGAAACTTGTCCTCGCGAACGCGACGGGCGGCATGGCTGCACAGAGCGTGCAGTACGCGACCTCGAAGGGCGCCACGGCGAGCAGCGTGTCCGTGAACAAGGAGGTTATTCTGGCCGCGGGCGCCGTCGGCAGCCCGCAGATTCTCATGGTCAGCGGCGTCGGACCCGAGGACGTCCTCCAGGCGGCCGGTGTGCCTGTCAATGTTGCACTGCCGGGTGTCGGCCAGCACCTCCAGGATCACATCGTGCGTGCATTTCTCTCACGTTTGATGATTGTGGTCTCGATGTGCTAATTCGAACCGGGGCCCGCTGGACAGTATGCGGAGGTGCAATGGAAGACCTCCGAGCAGACCGGTGCGACGATGTACTACGGCAACTATACTTCCGGGGTATGTCCGCTGCTCTGCCTGCACCCTCGTTCGCGTTCTGACGCTCTTCGTCTACAGGCCCCAACTACATCCTCGCCCTCCCTGTCGTTCATCAACTCCGCCACGGCCTACGTCAACTTCAGCACGCTCGTTGACGGTGCAGAGACGTACGCGTCGCAGATCGCAGCCGCGGTCGACTCGTCCGCGGCGTCGCTCGTGCCGTCGCAGTACCCGGAGGTCGTCGAGGGCTACAAGGCGATCTACAACCTGACCGCGCAGAAGCTGCTGCTCTCGTCCGTCGGCCATATGGAGATTCTGCTCACGCTCACGGGCGGGGGCGAGAACGACCAGCAGATCATCGCGGTGCAGGCGGCCCTCCAGCACCCGTTCAGCCAGGGCAGGCTCTACATCAATAGCTCGTCCGTGTTTGACGCCCCGATCATCGACCCGCAGTACCTCTCGCACGAGGCCGGTACGTCCCCCCCCTCCCTCCTGCATCCCGGGACGAAAGCTGACCCGCGTCTGTGCGGATAGATATCACGTCGCTCCGCGAGGGCCTGAAGATGTGCCGGACGGTCGGGAGCACGGCGCCGCTGAGCGGGAACATGGTCGAGGAGGTGTCGCCGGGGTCGAGCGTGCAGACGGACGACCAGTGGGACGCGTGGCTCGTGAACAACATCTACACGGAGTACCACCCGTCGTGCTCGTGCGCGATGCTGCCCCAGAACCAGGGCGGCGTCGTCGACGCGAACCTCAAGGTGTACGGCCTCAGTGAGTGCCCGGACCATACCGCGCGTGGGCAGCTGCTGACCCTGCTCTATCTATCCTACAGCGAACGTGCGCGTCGCGGACTCCTCCGTCTTCCCCTTCGAGTTCGCCGCGCACCTCCAGGCGCCCGTGTACGGCCTCGCGGAGCAGGCGGCGAGCATGATCAAGGGCACGTACACGAACGTGGACTCGACCTCGTCCGCGTCGAGCACGGCGACGTCCGCGGGCTCGTCCGCGACGACGTCGGGCGGGTCCGACCAGAAGAGCGGCGCGCCGCGGATGACCGGCGCGCCTGCGTGGACGGTCGCGCTCGGCCTGGCGGGCGTGCTCGCCGGGGCGGTGCTCGTGCTCTGAGCGTGAGTCTTGATCTGACTGCTCTGATCTGACTGCAGTTCGGTCGTCTGTCTGTCCGTCTGATCGCTCGTCTGCTTGACAGACTGTGCGTCTTGCCCTAGAGGGGACATTTCCGGTTCGGTTTGGTCTGGGACACGTCTCCGCCTCCGCCTATGAACCCGCCTCCGCTCTACGCTCTACGCCTCGCGCCTCGCGTCCTTACTTATTATAATCCGTGCTCCCTCCGCTTCCGCTTCTCGTCTGTCACTCACCACGGACAATGTTGTATTGGACAATCTCTATCCCTCGCTGTGTCATACGATACCTGCCCACCCACGCACGTCGAACCATCGAAACACTGAACCTGTGCATACCAGATACAGCTCTTGCGTATACGTACGATATACATATACTCGGTCCCGCACCCGCAGTTATAACCTACAGCACCTTTTTAGTGCTTATTCGAGCTCTGTCTTTTTGTCAGTGCGTTCTTGCGTCGTGTATGATGTGCGTTGTGCGGTGTGTCGCGGCTTCTGTTGAGCGCGTTCGGAGAGTTGTGTCCCTCGGGTGTTCGGAGGCTAACATAATGCTAGTCTAGACGGTTCCGCGTCGGTGTATATTGATGTATACATACGTAGGGTACATGCATACGGAGTATGCGGTACAGCGTCCATAGTCCAACTTGATGATCGGTTCGATGCGCGGAGCAAGTGATGTTTGTCCAGTGAATCGCTGCACTGAACTCGAGCTCAATTGACTCATGTCTGCGCGTTTGAACCTCGAAGGACAGCATGCCGGGGTTATCAGCAGTACTTCAGGGATGAATGTCAGTAGGTTGGCAGAACTACCAGTGATTGTCGCCGATATAGTCACAGTGTGGGCAACGTAAGGTCTGACGTGCTTACCTGTCCCCGAAAGCAGCTGGGGCCTGTAAACACGACTCGCTGAGTCGGAGTACAAGGCCGCCCAGGCCCTGGTCCCAGGGTAGGCAATGGCATTGGACCTCAGGGTACGCAGTCTTCTGACTATATATGTTGGGTCGTGTTGGTTATCATAGAAGCTTGAGTGAAGTGAATGACGACGGAACCGGAGCTTGAGCTAGAAGCTTGAACGGAAGGCGCTGCCTCGTTCAGACGGCATTACTCAAGAGACAGATCGCCTTGCGATGCCACGAAGATTCCGTGTTCCGCGCCCGGTTCCCACTGCTATCGCTTCTTGTGCTGCTCTTCGCAAAGCGGCCTGCGTTTTATTGGCATTGGGCATCTCGTTGTCATATCACGTCAATCAATATGGGAGAGGAGAGATGGGGGTGGGAAACGCACCGCACGCACGAGAATCACTGTACAGGAGAGGTCGAATAACAAGCAGCAGCGACGTAATAGGCATATAGCCGACGACGCAGTCCTTCACAAACCTGATCAACAAGACGCCTATCAGGCGCACGCACAGAGCAGTCGTCACTAACTTGAGCTCACCACATCACGTTATATTGTTCGAACGTCGGGAGTTCACGTTGGCGACGGGTCATCCTGCTCCGCGCGCCCGAAGCGCACGACGGTACCGGGGGCATGCCCAGTGACCGCTCGATGTACCGGACATGACGTCCACCCTGAGCGGCTGCACGGGTGGGGAGCTTGGTACCATGGGAGGCGCGTCGCCAAGTTGGTCAGGATCGCCCGCGACGAGGACGCGATCATATCATTGGTCGCTATCAGCCATCGATCTGAGGGGCACCTCGAGCGGAGGAATCGCCTATGATTGGAGGCGTGGGCGGTGCGGATGTGGAAAGGTCGGATGATGTACTCTGGGACGAAGAGTTGGCGATGTGGTACCACGGGTGACAGACTCGGGCTTCGGTTCGACACAAACCCTCCACCTGGCGCCGTGTGGAGGGTCTTGGTATGAGACTAGACTCGGGCTCGTCGTCCTGGGCTCAAGTTGGTCCACCTGTGCATATATCGAGGCCAGGATCAGCTGTAGCTGCGTAGGCGTATAGTACTATCTAGACGTACCGCCTTGGCACCATGCTTGTCGTATAATTCCCGAAGATTCTACCGCCGTGATAAGTCATTACAAGACAAAACCGGCGTCGATGAACGTACTGGGTCTGATAGCACTTGGTATGCTTTCCTGTGGCATAACTTGTTGTTCGTGGTCAAACGGATTCGAATCACTGCCAGTGTCGCTCACGTACCTCATCTAGCATTGCGAGTCAGTGTTGGACTCAGGCAGATATGCAAGCCAGACGTACCTTGTAGACATGTTCTATGTACGCTCCCATCAGATCGCGGTCGATTACGTCTGGTGCGACCCTGGATATTCCTGATACTTACACATGTGGTATGAGGCTAGTATGGACGCAGAAGGGAAGGGCGAGAATCAGTAGCCTGAGTACTGCACGCACGGGAGTAGTTATACAGCAGCAAGCGAACATGGGAGCCTCAGCAGCAACATGATCAAGATCCAGTCCGACGAGACACATGTCCTTCACAAACCTGCCAAGCAACAAGGTGTGTCCAGTCAAACGCGCACACAGAGGAGTCATCACTGAAAGTTGAGCCCACCAGTATCAGGGTTGAACCACTCGTCGAAGTCGCACTCAAAGTCCATGCCCAGACCCGGATCTCCGCGCCCGAAGAGCGAGTCGCCGATGAAAGAGGTGTCCAATTGCGACGCGACGGACCGTAGGAAACCGGTCGGGATGATGAACTGATCTGAGCTGGGCGGCATCTGGGCATGTACAGGCGGGTGGCTCGGCACCATAGCCTGCGTACCGCCGTTGCTGAGCATCGAGGGCGGGGTCATACTGCGCCAGGAACACCAGGAGGACCCTAAGGTACACCAACTGCGGTGTTTTGCGGAGATGTGTTCGGTGCCGATGACTCGCCACTGGCGGGGTCCTTGCCCGGCCCTCCCATGATCTTCGCCGCATTCATGCCCGGCGACGGCGGGGACATCATACCCACCATACCTTTGTTCTGACTCGTCCGATTCTGGCCTCCGGGCCCCGGTGGCCCGCCTGCAAACTGTCCGTCGGTGTTCGACGGCGAACCCCCCGCGCCCTGCGGAAGGATGTTGCCCAGCGCGCCGTGCGGCAGGTTGCTCTTGTGGAGGTTGTGCATCGGCTGCCTGTACTGGTGCTCACGGTGAATCTGTGTCATCTGTCAGGATATCAGCTACCCATACGGCTGTCTACCGGCATAAGACACGCACTTGTTGGTTCAGGTGGTTCATGGGCATGCCGTTCGGCGGGGGGTGGTTCATCATGCCAGGGCTCATTGCATTGCCCATGTGCGGGCCACCGATGTTCGCGCCCATTGCCATAGGCATCCCGGGGGCTTGCCCCATCTGGTGCATCCCTTGGCCGGGGATTCGGGAACCCAGGCATCCCAGGCATCATCGCACTTCGCATGCCGCCAGGCATCTGGTGGGGACCAGGGGCACCCTGTTGGAGGGGATTCTGGAACGGTGTCCCGCCCTGCTGCATCGGTGGCGGCTGTTGCATCGTCGCACTTCGCACGTCGCTAGGTGTCTGAGCTTGGGGCCGTATGTGCAACCGTAGGACAGACTTGGGATAGATATGGACAAGGAACCTGCCGCAGACCGCTGCTCTGAGGACCGACAGCAGAGTAAGTCCAGATCATGCAACGTCAACTTGAAGGGATGCAAACCACTCATAATGATGCTTGCATCGTGCCGAGTAGAAGATGGACCGTAGCCATGAGTAGTTGCAGTCGTATGTCTCGGTCCGAGGGGTCCTGGGATCCGTACAGATGGGCCATAGGCAGCGCTAGGTCGGAGATGGCGTCGCGGCGAGGTAGGCCCTTCGTGACCCCGCGCCCGAAGTACTGAAAGGAATAGTATGTGAAGTCACTGATTTGAACGGCTCTTGCAGTGTCCATGGTTCACTGGCAGGTCGGCGTCACGGTCAGCCCTCATCACGCAATGCAACGTCAATGTGCGATGAAAGATTATGATTACATACATATGCGATAGTGACTGATGTCACGGTGACAACGAGTGCGCCGCTATATCAGAATTAGCTATGTCTGTCATGCAAAGCAACGAAGGTTACTACTTACTACTATAGTAGTACCCATGAGGATCACGTGGTTTGTATGTATACCTTCTCCGTTGCGGTTCGCCATCGCACGTCCGGAGTTCACGCGTTCTCGTCTAAGTTTTACTCACGATCACTGCCAGCGGCGACGGACACCAGTACCAACGAGCTCGCACTGTCGAATTCCTGCGTATCCATCTTACTCACTTGCATCTCTGACGGAGGGAGACTTATCACGAAAAGGTGGGACACCCCCTCAGGCTGCTCCTCCGGCTTGCCGCCCTGAAGAGCGCGGAAACCCTGACGTCTCAACATTCTACCGACGACGCGGTCGTCAAATTGCGCTAATGCTATCATTTCGGGAATAGACAACTCACTGGGTCTGATCAATACCGGCTCGCCTTCGACTCCATAAAGCAACGCTACACCAATGATCCATGGTTTCCCATGTGCGGACGTGATACGCACCTTCGCCGTGCTCGAACACGGCGATGATGGTCTGGAGGATGTCTTACGAGAGCTCTAAACCGGCATGGGATAGGCGAGCTCCTCATTTTGAAGGTGAGTCGCCACCAAGTAAGGTGAATGCCGCTTTTGACCACAGTAGAGAGCATTTAATTGCCAACTGCATTGCTCGTCAGCGAGCTTCTCATCCTCTGAACATGACCCAGATGCCGACATCATCCCATAGCCATCGAACTCTCGAAACGCACGAGGCCTAGGGACAAATTCTCGTATTCATTCCGCAGTGGGTTATTGTCAATTACTCAGAGCCCTTCACGACAGGCGCAGGTCAGTAACCTTCGATGGGCCGCATGTGTGTTGCGAATGCCCATAACCGTGTCGCCTAATTGTTCCCATGACGTTAACTCTTTGCAGCCATCCATCTCACTGGCAGATGGTCTCGGCTCTCCACCACGCCTCGAAGGCCTGGCAGAGTTACTGTCCATGTTCGACAATGTAATAGTGCTTCGCTTCCTTCGAAGATACGTATGTCTATCAGACTCCTAAATATGATGCACTTACTCAAGGCCTTAGCCATGCAGACGCACAGTTAATTGGGTCCGAACGCGTGTCTCCCCCCGCGCTTGCCACCCACTCGCGGCGTTCTCCACAAGGGCCCGCCGCACACCGGCGATTGCACATTGAGCTGTGTTCTTTGATCGCAGTTTCAGCCGTCCACAACGGATGTCCCTCTTACGCTCGCAATGGTACGCAGCACGGCCTGAAGCTTATTGACTGGTCGTGCCAAGATCGTACGAACGAGAGGCTTCCTAGCGCCTTATTCAGGTAATTGTGGTCGCCGGTGATACAACATTAATTGATACGGCTGCCAGCAACACTAACTCATAGATGGCTAGGCGTCCATGAAGGTTTGCGAGCGATCACACTCTAACTATGGCTCGCAGATGGCCTCAGACGGTCTCATCCGACCGACCAGCAACCCGGACTAACTCAGAAATGGGTCAAAACCCGCGCATACCGATGGATTCGTATTTCAGCGGGCCGCTCAGTGGATGTTCTCCTGTACCGACGTTAGTGTGCGGTTCCTTGGTAAGTGGTCCTTCCGACTCGGATGTGTAGTTGTCTCGCTAGCAAGCGGGCGGTGTCAACTTAGATGATCATTCCATATCAGTCTGCCGTGCGGCTCTCTCTTGGCACTAGCACTACGAAGCTTCACGAAAGGCTTCCAGTGACATGTGGCCAACGGAGAGCATCGCGGCTAAAAGTCTCTTTAGTTCGTCTGTCGTGCGGTCAGTGCGGTCGCCGCACGTGATCTGCTGATATACTCCTGCTCGCAGTGTGGAGAGACGAGTTGGTTCAGCGCATCCTGCCGACTAGCAGGCATTCTTCCGTCATTGTTCGGTCTCACCGTAACAGTCTTCCAATGTGGACAGCTTCGAGGCTGGACCGGCCTTCAGATGCTAATCTTTGGTTCGAGCTCTGGGGTACTCTGTTCTATGTTTCCATCAGTCACGTAGCGGTATAACAGTCGAAGCTCGCCACTGTAGTTATGCAGTGCGTCGACTGCATACCTCTATGACCTTACCGAGCTGTGTAATGAGTGAACCGCGTCTCCTCCGGCATGTGACAACGCATGATGACATTATCAACATCGCACTCGAGCGCTCTCTCATGGCCACGGTCAAATGTGTCTCACAGATTTCGTGGATCCGAGCGGAGACGCATTTAGGGTGGTTTTCCACCCACCTTTCCGGATGATATACTGCTGTCGTTGTTTCTCCGTAGAAGCAGATCTCACGACAGCGTAGTCGGATCGTGTGATCGCTGGAAAGCAAATCTGCCCAAGATCCCGCCATCCTGAGGGATCTTCTACACACATACGGATAATTGCGGTCTTGAAAAGACGTGCCTCCCACGTCATTCAAACCCTGTTCGCTCCCGTCTGCAGGCCGTTGCACCGAAGGTAGAAGTTTAGACCCAATTGTGCCTCGTATCACATCTCAGTTGACTCATTTCCTTTCGGTCAATCCGGCAACAGAGCATTAGCCTGAGAAGCTCGTGGAAGGCGAATACCTCGAATAACAACTGCTCTCGATAGGCCATGCTGGAATTCGCTCCACATTTGCCACGAGTTTGATTTGCGCTGGATGATCTCGAGCTCGTTGGCAGAATTGGGCATTGAGAGCAATGGCTGTATCGTCTTTCAAACTTGCAGGGAAGCTGCGTCGCACTGGCGAGGCTTGTAGTAGCCTACCTTTTTCTGTGGCACCAATGCTCGCACCACACTCCACACCGAAAATTTTCTTAGTCTTTGCTTGTCATCGCGTGCGCAGTAGCCCACCGCAGTTTGTGCGAAGTCTGAGTGACATTGTCGCCTTGTACGGTAGTGTCAAGCCCTCGGATTTGGACCATAAGTAGTTGCGCGCGGGGATCCGGTGGCGTGTGGCGGCACCGCCACAGGCCGATGGCACGCATGCACATCGCACCACTCCGTCATGTCACGGAAGATATACATAGTAGCGTTGGTAGGTCTGCGGCAAGCTGAAAATGAAGCTGACGTCTTGAACATCGGATGGAGGGCTACCATGCTGACTTTGACTCTACACCGGCGCAGAAATTGTCACGGGTGAGTCGCCTCGGACCTCGTAAGGAGACGCCGACAGTGTACGCCGAAGTGAATCCAGCATCCCTGGAGAGGATTCTCCGAAGGACCGTGCTCCAGCACTTTTTTATGACACGCACAGCCTTCAACCTTCCTTCTGCACGGGATACTTGCAGCGGGCTAGCCGGCCACTGCTGGAGCCACCGGTGAGCAGCTAGACCAGCCGCGCTTCGCATTCGCGCTGATGATGCTCCGTCTTCGAAGGCTGTCGTTCAATTTATTTGCTTGCATGGTCCGTCGATTTCCCAGAGCACATTGACGGGATGACGGACGTCCTGAGAAGTAAAGGTCCGTCAATTCATAATCTTCGCCCTCAGGGTCGAATTTGCGACTCCCCGAGTCCAGGCAGTGTCCACCGCTCAGGCCCGTCGCTGACCATCGAAATGTGCACGGTATGTCAACCACCTGCCCAGCAGCGTGCGGTGACCGTCAGATCCGGGGGACTGGTTTTCGGGGCGCCCGAAGAGCCCATTTTCAGACTCATGAGTCACGACTACCATAGCCAGGTGTCGTGCGTTTGAAACTCTGCGAAGAGCACCGCAGATCTCGTGGCATGACTCCGTGCCCACATGCTGCTCAGTACAGTCCCCGAGAAAATTGCATGTGCGAGAACTGGTTCCGCAAGCGATGGTCACGTCGTCGAGGGGTTTTGTTTGGATGTCGGTCATGGTGGACGATCACACACATGGAAGGTCATAGAGTTACTCGCAATGTCCGATAGCTCGGCGTGGTGCGTAATTCCCGTTCCTTGATGCATCGCAGTTTCTGACCGATGCCAATCACTTTTAGCAGCCTTCAGTTTTGAGGAAGTACCAACAACATCCGCCTCCGCTCCGATGATCAGGCAACCACGCTGAACAGCTGGAGATGGTATGAGAATGCCCCGTGATTCCTCTTGACAGGTGCCGCGGTTCATCCTCTCTGCAGATTTGAACGCCAAATTTCCACTTTGAACCTTCTCCGACGCACGGTTCTTCCGGGCAAGACACATGAAGGTCATCACTGTGGCGAGACACATGCATTGCTGTGCCCGTATCTCCAATCTCACACCATGACTCCATACAGGCTCTCAGGACGGCCATATGGCGTGCTGCTGTGATGCTTTGTCTGCGGCTGTAGGCGTTATGAGCCTCATGTATCTCGACACATCTAACTTTATGGTCGCTCCGGCGTGAGCCGGTTAGTCCCTTTCTCCATCTTCTGTGTTTCACTATCTAGGCGACTGTTTTAGGCCGACTGAGCCCGGTTGAAACCCGATTTGCGCCAAGCAATACATGTTCCTTCTTCCTGCTATTGTCAGAGGGGAAACATTTCGGCGCTCCCGTCACAAGAGTCAGCGCACGTCACCGTGGCAGAGAAGTTACATCTGTCTGGAAGCAATCGTACGTGCTTCTGACTTCACATCCCTCTATTTGTTCGCTCAGATTTTCTTCAACACGAGTCATCTGCGAGGAGGCACTCCGACGTGAGCCGCCGCCTATGTAACATCCGAAAGACGTGAATGTGTCTGATGACATGTGTCTGCGGTACCCAGGTGCGTGTTGCAGGCCATACCAGTGATCGACTGAGTGTATCGAGCTTGGAAAATGAACACCGTTAGAATAACGGCAGCAACACCATTCGTCTTGTCAATGTACAAAACGGCCATTCCCCCGTCCAAATGATACATCCCTCAAGGTCGCGCTTACACGAGTGTTTCGGCTGACTCGGAAACACTAGTACGCAGTCTCTGTCCTGTCCCTGATCCTCTAATTGTTGTCACTTCAACGTCGGATTCACGGGGCCCGCTACGAGGTCCGGTGATTCAACTCCTCCAGCGTCGGGGCCTAGTGAGCAGCCCGGAAACACGAACTGTATCACTCCGGTCTTCCCGGGTTCAATGTTGTGACGGAGAGGACGCCACGCCGGAACACCTTGTTCGGTGGAAGTCCTGCTAGACAACGGTATATAAACCTGTACCCAAAGGCTCGTAAGGTTTCCAAGTCGGGTCCTACTCGGATCTGACCACTCTTAATGAGATCTGGATCGAAGATATAGACAGTTGCGAGCATACTACACCACGATGTCAGCTATGCCTCCAGGACTACAGTTAACTGCGATGTTGCAGTTTGAACCGCACGACAGCCCCGAATCTTACACTGGCTGATACCATCGAGCAGGGGAAATTATATCATAATCACGTATATACTGTACCTGTTTGCGCATCGGTTCTGGATGAGGCTGGACGGAGCTCGCGGAGACCACAGACTGAAGGCACCCACAACGGGTCCTGCCACATGAGGAAATTTGAGGAAATTTGATGACGGGGTACGTTTTAATCGAGAAGAGAACCCTTGGGCTCCCATGGCGTGAGCACCGTGCGGTCGTTGAACCACACACTCAGGCTCTACGGCGCTGAACCTTGTGGTAGGCGTCCGAGCCTAGGGCGTCCTATAAGAGAACTCAGAGGCGAGGGAATTCGGCACGGCGCTGGCTCGATGGGAGTCTGACCAGCAGCGCAGAGAAGAGATGCTTCAGGACGCGCGAGGACCCGGTAAAGTATAAAGAATGCATCAGGTGCAGGAGAGCAGACGCTGACTCTCGAGGCAGGCAAGCCACACCGTGGGTCCTCCAGATCAAGTCCTAGCCAGCGCAGAGCACAAGCCGCATCCGAGTCTGCGGGGCATATGCCCCCACGCCTCCCCCAGGAACTAGCAGAGATGATCATCGACGAGCTCGGCGACACGTACCAGCGCCCAACCCTTGCCGCGTGCTCCCTCACCTGCCGGGCGTGGCTGCACCGGAGTCGCGTCCACATCCACTCTGCAGTCAGACTCGACCCCAACAGCCACCTCGACCGCCTCTCCGAACTCTACAGCGGCCCTCTCGCGGACTACGTGCGCAGCCTCAGCATCGATGCCTCCGTCGAGGGCGAGCCCCGCCCCACCCGTGGCTGAACACCGTCAGACCCCTGCTCGAGAGGCTCAAGAAGATCCACCGGCTCGCGCTGGAGGCCCTCGTTTGGGAGCAGCTGGAGGAGCAGACGGTGCGCATATTCCTCACCAACTACGACGACGTGCGCGATGTCTGGTTGGCCGCATGCGACTTCTATAACCCAGCCGCTTTCGTTCGTCTCCTTCAGTCGTTCGGAAAAGCGGACTCGATTCGCATGGAGGGCATGGGATGCGACCCTGTGGATTTCGAGGAGGCGCTGGAGGAGAATGGCCCGGTGCTGCACTTGCAGGCCCTGGATGTGGGAGAGTTATGCAACGCCCCGAGCATCGTCGCCCGGTGGGCGTACCACGGGCGGAAGGAGGTCGTCATCGAGAGCATCCACTTTTCGTGGAACCACGAGGACCCCGTCCATCTCTCGAGGCTGCTGCAGCTCGCTGGTCCCTCTGTGAAGAGCCTTTCCATCACTATGGACGACCACGTCCAGCGCGTTCGGACGACCCCAGGTGAGAACTCTGCAGACGAGTATCACATCCGGAAGTGATGTGCGGACAGCACCTAACTGTTTGATTGATAGGCGAACTGCAGGGTGCTGTCGACCTCAGCCAGAACACCGGCCTACGCACGCTACGCGTCCTCCTTCGTCTCGAGACCAGCAACTACATCGAGGTATCGTGGATTGGAGATGTGCTGTCTCAGCTCTCGTCACAACTTTTGGCGCACATCCTGATATTCATCGAGTTGCCCTCGTACGAGCTACTTGACAAGCTCAGATGGGATCTGATCGACTCCGCCCTCGCAGATACGCGCATCCCCGCGCTCAAGAAGGTCGAGTGCTGCATACTGCGACGCTACATGCTCCATCAAGGCCTGGACCCGAACGCAATCAATCGCGTGAGGAACGCCCTGCCAAAGCTCGCGGCGTTGGGAATACTCGAAGTCTCCCAAGAATACACCTAACCCCTACCGCCCCTTTCATCTTGATTTACTCCCTTTTCATCTCTTGTCGCCGGTCTTGTCGGACCTTCAAGTTCGGCGGACTGCCAACCAAGCTCAATCGCCCTTGCTTCGGTTGGACGTTGGTAGCCTGTTGTAGGACCTTATGATCCTGCTCGAGGTTGTCGACGTGCTTCCCTTGCGTCAGTAAACCCTTCACCTTCGGAGGAGGATCGACACGTGATGCGCGTATGTACTGTACTGTTTGGCAGACCTCCTGCAGATCTCCATCGAGGATGGTTACATGGGTAGCGTCACACAAAGTGTCCCCTTCCGATTCTACGTTGATCAAAAATTCATCGTGTTTGTTTTGCGCCTTCCACCGTTCGACAGGGCGCTCTGTTTGGCACAGTCGCAGGGCCTATCAGTCAGCTGCGGGCGGTCCTCGAACGAGGGTGCACCACATTTGGTCAGACTAACGCTGCACTCACTACTCTCACTCGTTCTGTAGGAAGCTCGCGCCCTTCTTTCATCTGACTATCGGTGCGCGAAGTTGAACAATCCCACTCCGCTGATGTAACCGGTAACTTATCTGCATCGCACAGCGCTGAGTCCCAGACTGGCGCGCGACTACCTCTTTGTTACGGACACCGCGGAGCAATAAGTGCGCGCCGCGTTCATGGTGGGTTCTTGCGTCTGACGGCATCCACATCATATCTAACTGTCTGCTCAGTTGTTTCGACATCCCTACCGGCCCGAGATCGCCTTGGGACTGTGTCCGAGGAATCTCTAAGATAGGTTCTCTGTGTAGCCGTTTGAACCGGAACGCTGGCTTGGAATGCTGAGCGTTGGATGGAGTCGAATACCGACACGGGATGGTCTATGCCACAAGTACGATCGCGCTGACAAGTTTTGGACAGGTTCGCTACAACTCTCGCCACCAGGTCAGGACACACATTCTTCCTAGGCGGCAGTGGCGCGCTACCCAGTGGTTGGAAGGCGTCTCCATTGTTGGGCCTCCAGGTCTTGCTCGTCTCCATGCTTGTGGCGACTAGGCGTCCACTAGCGGGACAGGTCAGTTTGATCTCGGGCTACGATTGACCATACCTTACGTGCGAGGAGGCTTCGATGCGCGTCATGCTGGGTTTGCACAATCCCTACACGAGCATATGGTATGTTGTCGTTCTCGCCACCCTTGTCAACTAAGCTTATGACGAACGATGACTAGCTTTCGGTTAGATATGCATGTGACGCCACAGTGCGGTTCCGGACGTCTTCTGAGATGTAGTGCCGTCACTCAAGACAGTCATATAGATGTCCGTTCCATGACTGTTGACACCACTCCACTTCATAGCTTACCTCTTCATCTAGACTCGAGACCTGTCGTGTGGCACCGGAACCAAGCTATGTATGCCCCTCCCTCGGGCTGCTATACATACACAGATCAAAGCAGTCACCGCTCTATGTAGTCTACAAGATATTGCACGCCTTTTCGCTGAGGCACGATGATCTGACTGGCAGTCATGATGTTTGCAATCGGAGCGGCGTCCCACGACGAGTGATTTTGAGCGTCCTCATGCTCAATACCTCCAATGACTCTGCGCCTCTGTATCAGCGCTTCGCGAAGCTCCTCCCGATAACATAGTGCACCAGTGCACTGGATAGCTCGTAAGCCTGGTCTAGCTTAGCACAATGCGAATGCGCCTGAACCGATCGTCAAATATGTAGCCGATACTATCGTGCTTGGTTCGTTCACATCGTAGCTTCGCTCATCTTGTCAACAGTCAAAGAGGTACTGCGCACATGTCCGGGGCATCTCGTAAATCATGAATTTCAGCTAGGAAAACATATGGAAGACATAACACAACACGTCACAGTTCGTAATAATCGTGCTAAAAGTCAAATCTCGACGCGACGCACCAGCCAAGTCTCATCGGAAGCATTCGTGGGCTACAAAGCTCGGTGTTATACATCTCTATAGTACATCTCGAGACATAACTTATCACGGATCCCAGGTGCGGACTGGACAGCATGTATCGACAGCAGGCGACGTCGGACAACTAGGATTAGGATACGGTAAGGAGCGTGTGGGTTGCGACGAGAGCGTTAAAGATGAGCTTGAATTTGGGCAGGAGCCTGTCGTGGGATTCGCGGCACAGGAGGGATGAGCGCAAGCTGCGCGTTGCCGCTGAAGAGCGGCAGGTTGTTCAGGAAGTCCTCCCATCGCTCCTGAGTGAGGATAGGTGACACAGCGTACGGCTCGGCGCCGGTCTCGGCCAGGTATTCGTCCACATGGGGCAAGGCGGCGGTGATCGCACGGTCCTCCATCTCGAATTGCGCCCAGCGCGGCAGAGCTGCATGCTCCGCGTACCAAGCAGGGTCCTCCAGTACGACGCTGGCCTCGTACAGGTCGAGCAGCGTCTTGTCGACACCGGTGTTGACAGCTGCTTCGTACGCTATACGATGTCCGATCGCCTGGACCAGAGGCAGACAGCGAGGAAGCATGAGCCGACTGAGGCTGTCGTGACGGTGGTTCCCGCCTGCGCGGTCGAGGAGGGCACGGCATTCCGCGAAGAGACCGGCTTCGTGTCGACTGAGAAGAGAGTCCGGGTACTTGCTTGCGGGCATACTGTAGCGACCGATCAACAGTTCATTCGCAAGACCTTTAAATCATGACCATTAGCTGTGACTCGCTGGACAAGATGATGTAAGGGAGACACACGGATGCTCAAGACAAGAACATCGCCCTCGGCGATCCTGATACCACGCATGAGGAGCTAGACCAACTGTCAGTTCAACGGTCAGGGAAATCGCATCGCAGTTACACACCTCCGACTGGAGGACGTTGTTATGTTCAAAGACTCCATGCGCGCCGATTCTCTCAGACAAGTTGCTCAGGCTAGCCCAAGCGTGGCGCGTCATTGAGGCCTTTGCAGCGGCCGCAATTCCATCACGAACACGGGGGTCGATGGACGAGTCCGTGTATAGGTCGATGGCGGCCTTCGCGTGCGCCTTCATGACGGCTACCTGTGCCAGTGCATGAAGGATAGGGCCGTGTTGAGTGCGGAAAGACATGATAGAAACGGGAGCGCCACCGGCGCCCGTCACAAGCCGCCGGAGGCTGTAGCGAGCTGCGAGGTAGGCGTTCACCGAGAGCAGAGGGATGGCCATGGTCCCCAGCGCCAGCGAGCCAACAGATACTCGCCAGATGCACGAGATGAAATTAGCGCGTAGATCAGCTGGCTTAGCCAGTGAACCCAGCAGAGCGGTAGACGGGAGTCGGACATGGTCAAACGACGTCACGGCATGATCGACAGGTTTGATGCCACCTCGCTGCGGCACCAGTCTACGGATAGGTTAGTCTAAGGTCATCAAGGGAAAGCCTGTCACCACATACCGGGCAGTGACGCCTTTGCACATCTGTTGACCGTCACCGAGGGCCACGAGGAAGGGACGAATCCCCCGGTTCTCCCCTTGCACGACGAGCCTTGCAAATACAATAGCAACCCGAGGCAACGAGCCGAACGGTCCTGTCGGAGGCATGTACCTACAGCCAATTAGCTCCTTGACGAAGGCTGTACGACGTTGCACTCACTTGCGCGCCCGTTCACTAGGAGTGTGCAAGTCGAACTCCCCATTTGGTAGAAGTGTCGCCGTCGTCTCGAGGTTCGGGGCGTCGAGACCATGGCCGACTTCTGTGAGAAGGTACTGCGCACTGTCATAGCAGTCAGCGAGGTAATGCGGTATATTTTCTTGTCCGACTCACGATACGTCGAACTTCATAACCTTGTCCATGATTGGCCGGAGCTCAGGACGTTTCTGCGCGAAGGCCGCCAATGTCCCACCCATCAAGTTATACTGGATGGTCAGTAGCGTGAAGGCACCGGCATCCAGACTGTGGATGTTGTCGGTATGGAACTCCCAGAACTTGGGGCGCAAGAACAGAGTGTCCTCCGGTGTCATCGCTGCCAACAGCGTCAGTCCGATACAATACCTGCACTAGAACAAACGCACCATATGCCTTCGCAATAGCCCGGGCGCGCCGGTAAGACAATGTAATCCTCTCATCCAAGGAGGCACTGTCGGGCAGAGGTTGGAAGTCGGGAGTCCCGGGCAGGTGCGCAGTGCGTGAAGAACTCATCCTGTCACGTAGAAGGGGGGAAGGGTAGAGAGGGGTTCGCTGGGAGGAGATGGTCTGTGTGTGGACAGAGAAATTCAACGCAGCCAGCCCCAATTTATGTGTGATGCGATCCAGAGGGTCGGTCGACCGCAATTACCGCAATTCAACTAGCGCATCTCGGGCTCTACGACGCGAGGGCCGTATCTACATCTGAGATCTTCGAGATTTCGGTGTTGCTCGTGCGTGTGTAACGCTCATTTTCGGCAAGAAAACTAAGGCAGATTGAGACTCGCGGTCGCAGGTGTTAGCATAATGTGTCAGCGGCACATGTGATGGGGTTACGATAGGCTTCTTCGCAAGCCGCGTGGATATGAAGCGTGTAAGTGGTGTAGTAGAGCCAAGTCGGACAAGGGCCCGAGTTGCACTACACTGATCTTCGTATCCGCCTTGTCAAATTGCAGGCTAATATATGGCGCCAGACGCTGCATCGAATTTGTGTCAGAAGTACTCAGCTAGTATGCTGTGAGTACTTACGTGGGGAAAGCGACAGAGGTTTGGCATGCCCGGCGGAGCTATGGAAGGTTCGATACGGTGACCCGTAGATCGGCAAGTAAGTACTATAGATGGGCGCCTTCGCTATGTCGGTGACCCCGCACAAATCGAGATAAGAAGGCATCCGATGCAAAGGGTCGGGCAAGGCAGGCTTGTGCCGCTTGTCTCGACATGCCCGGGCCCAGCCACCACGCTAAACATCCATCAGCTTCACCAGTGATTTCTAGCGTGCCTAGGCGACCGGATCATTCGCTGCAATCGGTTCATACGCGCGATGTCATCTCCGTCGACCAGCACGTCAAGGAACCAATTTAATGACGCGAACATGACTGGCTTGTGCGTGAATACTGCTGGCACGATAAGGAACCACTACGCAGCCACTACGTACCGTATGCACTAGTACTTGGCTGAGCGACGATGCACTCCGTATATGGCGATGCGGAACATTGGTACATGCACTGCGGGCGGGTTCGAAGCTGGACGCATCAATCCTCATGATCAGACCGTCGTTGTGGATTTGCTACGTTGACCCCGACAGCGTCTTCTGTATGAGATATTCTCGTAACGTTCTTTCGTATCGCCGTATAGTACGCAGCGGATGACCATGCTAGGGACTCCAATCGTGGGAGCTGCAGCCCATAAGGTGATGCTGGTCGGCTATAACCATTCGCTAATCAATTCTGTTAGTCGTCCCAAGTGATATATCATCCTACCAGACGGACGCCACCGGTGTGAATGTGCAGCATAGCAGCTGACTGCGATGTATTTGGTAGAGTTACGAGGGATAGTCTTGAGGGGTCTGAACAAGTTGCATACGCTCACAGCATGGGCAGCGCTCACAATGAATGTCACTGATCACGTACGTTGGTACACCACATGTCGTGTGTTGCTGACGGACCGGCGTTGCAGAGTTATCTTCTAGGGCGAGGCGCTACGTCCCGCAAGCGTCCCTGTATGTAATGAGGGTGGTCCAGTGTAGATAGACAAATTTGCGGGAAACGCGACGCCGCAACATGGGCAGGTGACGTCGACGGCATTGTCGATCCATAAAGCAAGTGTCGTTCGGAAGTTTGGTAGCGAGTACAGTTTTGGGGAGAAGCATTCTCGACGCTAGAGATACCGGGCGCGCAAACCGAATATTCTGTACAGAAAGATTGTGCGCCACTTAGTGGCGGATACAAATGCCGTGATCGACGAGCACGCCGCGGAACTAAAGAGGAGCACGGATGGGCTGTGAAAGTTCTATGAAGCTCGGAAGCGGACACCCCTTTGCCTCGATTCGATCATGATAACGACGTACCGTCCGCCTCGAACATCACAGACGGGCAGCATCCTTATCGCAGATGCTCGAGCACTTGTCTTGAACAAGGCCCATCGAACATAAGTAGCAACCGTCGGGGGCATTGCGCACCGCTCGGTGTGTGCTGACGGATGCGTCACGCGCCACAGACAAACTTCAAGACCAGAGCGCTTACAGGCAGGCACCATGCTCGGAAAACGCGGCTGCTGGCATCTACCCGGGGATAGCGGGTGAATAAAACAACGTATGATTGACGGAAAGTACAGCATAACCCGAGGCACTCACTTTGCCATATGCAAGAGCGTGGACAAACTTTCAGGTAAATCTTGGGCAATCCGCTTGTGATGATGGGCCGCAGCGCAGCCGTGCAACAGCTCAAAGAGAAGTGCATACTAGGACTAGCTCCGTTAGCGGATCGGCTGGAGGTGGAGAAGCTAGTCCAACTTACGTTACAGTCGGATGGTCGGACTGACAGGGCAGACGGGGATTGTCTGATCCATAGCGCAGTCTTCTACTCCAGTAACGGACACGCGGTCCGTTTTTGATGCCTGACAGTTGGTGCGACTCCACTGGCGGCCTCAGCCATGCAGAGGGCCAGCCAGAACGCCGTATTACGGCATATCGACACACTGTGGTTCTAACCCGCTGTATGGTGGCCATAAGCGACGGTCGTTCTCCAGATAAGTCCCTTGATTTCAGCAGTCACCATTTCTTCGTACCCGATCGTCCGGTAATATACACTCACCAGAAAGCTTGGTCTTTCGCTCCGTCCTTCCCCGTCAGAGGTCACTCTCGATTCCTTGGCGACATCGCCTGAACGGGTCTGTGGGCCTCTGTGGGCTTGTGTCGACGAGTTCGGGGTGATAATCAGGAACCTTGATCTAAGTTGGCGCCCAATTGGCAAACTGGGCATAGAGTTGCAGAGTAGCATCCGCGCGTGGCTTTTGTTCCCTATCTCGAGACCGGTCAGATGTGGGCGGTGGAGGAAGAGGGAAGTGTAGCGAAATAATCGAACGGCGTACTCGCGTGAGAGTGCGATCTAGGGAGGTCTAGGCACTGCGCCACGCCATGCCTGCCCATCGATGCTACGTAGGAACATTGACCCTGGTTGGAGAAGCAGCATGATGCTGTGCCGCGGCATTCGTTTGACCCATAACATCTACGACGCCAAAGTGTGTCCTTGTTTCGGAGTTAAGAGGTTGCGTGAAGGCTTACCGAAGTCGTTCGGTAATATCAATACCGAGCAGCCCCTACCCCCGTCCTGCTATCTGTACGAGATCAAGGGGCTGTTGAGACGGCAGTAGTAAGTTATGATCGCTGTTTCGCGCGCCGAGCGGCCAGTTCAAACGGTCAGAATTCTGCGATGCCAGATATGGAGGTGCGTACGTATCATCCCGCTATCAATGAATAAGTCAGGAACGCTCTGGTAAGTGCATGCACCCGGTCTCTAGGGTGATCGCATGCCCTTGCTGACATTGTCAATTCCGCGTGCTGTGAATACAACAGACAGTGCGAGGCTGCGCTCGGCCGCACCTCAGCGTGAAGCGCCTTCACGCGCAGCAGTGGCAGCGAGTCGCCATCAATTTTGATCTTAACGGCTGCCGCGATTCGTGATGTCTGCACGATGTTGACCAGCGTTGCTCGTAATGCACTTCATTTGAGTAACACAGTCGACAGTCTCACCTGAACTGCATCCGCGCTAAGGGGTTCCTAACCAGTCTATGAACCATGACGATGGCTCGAGCCCTCCCGGGAGAATGCCCGCTTCGTGCTACCAAGAAGTTCCTGCTGAAGACAAAGTCGGCGAGAAGCAAGTCAAGGTCCATTACAAACTAGTCGCGACGCAGCTCCAAACGTACTGTAGTCCGTTCAAGAGGTTAAATTGCTAGTCTCGCGAACCAGTAATCCGTGATGGGGTCGCAGCTCCAATCAGCGTAGTCCCTAAGTATCGCATTCTGTGAGTCAAAAAACAGTGCAAGATGTTCGTAGAAAGGGAGAAGAAGAGATCTAGGAATGGGCAATGGTCATGTACCACATTGACGCCGTTTAGTAAGCCCTGCCAATGGCCGATTACGTCTGAGCGCAAGTCAGCTGCAGCCTAGAAGCAACACGTTCAAGGGTGGTCGGCGACAGGTACTCTGCGACGCAATAAATCGCCTATGCATGAGGTCGTTGCTTAGCTGCCCACATCTATCAAAGGAGTGAGGGCCAACGAGCAGCATACGGACGAGGCTTCACAGTTGATCAGAACGAAGCTCGGAACACGCGTTACGGTGGAAGAAATTCCTTGAGCTCATGCATCCACGAGGACAGCAGAAGTGTAATGTTCACGGAGATCCTCTCACCTGTCTCGTCATATGTCTCGTCGCCGTTCATAAGAACACCACTGACGCTTTTCGTCTGCCAGATCCTGCGGTCATCAATATGAATCACGTCCATTCCGTTGGACTGGAGTACACATTCCGTAGCGTGCTGGAGTGTCTGTTATACTTTTGGCAGGCTTTGACGTGGCTGAATGAGGGGAGGAGGAGGCCGTTTGGTGGTCGTCATGAAACGCAGAGACTGCTAGACGCCCCAACTGACGCGGTCCAGCGCGCTCCGCGCGGTCGGTCGTGGCGCGCACGTGATGGCGTATGTGGCACTGGCTGCGGTGGGAGTCGCTGCGTAGCGCGTAGCACGTACACCACCTCACTCACTCGTCGGTTCCAGGCAGCTCGTCGCGCGCTGCAGCGAGCAGTCCAACTGCAATCATGACCCCACGGTCTAGGACGACCCTCGTTCTATGGCTTGTTCACTTTCTATCCTGTCTGCTCGTGACAACTGCTCAGCAGCCCGACTATTCGGTCAACTACTTCCCAAATCTTCCCAGTAGACTCTTCTTTTTCGAAGACACGACCGTATGGCCCATCTCTGCGTTTACGTGACCTGGACTAACCTGACGAACGTACTAGACTGCTATATACCATGACCTGATAGACGGGAATGTGTACGTGTCGCAAGACGAGGGAGCATCATGGGCACGGGCGGACGGAATACCGGAGGGCGATGCATCTATGGTCATAGAGCATCCATTTGACAGCAGCTATGTGCGTGCATGACCTGTGTCGCTACATTCTAACCCTTAACGGTCACTTAGGCCTTTGTTCTAACTCGGGGGGTTTCCCATTACCGCACCGCCGACCGAGGGAGGACATGGCAGCGCTTCGATATGCCCATCCCCCCAGCTCTCGTGGGCAAACCGCTTTCTTTTCACTCAGACCCCCAAAAATACGGGTACATTCTGTATCAAGGCACCTCTTGCCAGTCCACGGGCGGTTGGGGCAGTGTCTGTCATGATGAGGTATGTAATGCACGGTCCCTCAATGCTTGTCAAGCCATAACGAAAACACCTTCTCTCGTCAGACATATTACACGAAGGAAGCTTTCAGCGATCTCCCTGAACTACTGCTTTCCGAGACATCCCGCTGCCAGTTCGCGCATAGCAGCGCAGACTTCAAGCATGATGCACATCCTGACCTTATATATTGCGTCGCCTTTGACACCAGCACGTCCACGGGCATGCACTCGCTCTCAGCAAGTCGCTTGTTTTCATCAGTAGACTTCTTCGAAGAAGACCTCAGAGTTGAAGACCTCGGGATCGGCAAGAACGCACGCGGTGTCGTCGCATTCGCCATCGTGTCCAAATTCGCAGTAGTAGCATTGCGAGATCTCAGTCCTTCCAGCGACGGCGAAATGCTCCTCTATGTCTCCGTCGACACCAAGACGTGGGCCAAGGCGCGCTTTCCCCATGCGTCCTCCGCGCGTCTCAGGGAGAATGGTTATACCATAGTAGAGTCGACGACGCACTCGCTGGCTGTCGATGTCATGCTTCAAGACATGATGACGACCATTGGAACACTGTTCGTCAGTAATTCAAACGGGACGTTCTTCGTGGAAAGCCTCAAGGATACGAACCGAAACGAGATGGGATACGTGGACTACGAAAACTTGTACGGCATCGAAGGTGTCGGGCTTGCCAACATAGTCTCGAACGCAGAGGAAGTGGAGGGCCGCAGGGCACAGAAGAAACTCCAGACGAGGATTACCTTCGACGACGGACGGACCTGGTCGCGCCTCGTTCCACCGTCCAGGGACAGCGAGAACCAGCGCATTTCATGCAATCCTGACAACGATGATTGCTCGTTACACCTGCACTCGGTCACCATCCCTCATAACTTTGGCCGCGTTTTCTCCTCTCCTGCTCCTGGCTTCGTTATGGGTATTGGCTCCGTTGGGCCGTCCCTGAAGCCGTATGACGAATGCGATACGTTTTTGAGCACGGATGCAGGCCGCACGTGGACGATGGTACATGCGAATGCGCACAAGTACGAATTTGGCGATTCGGGAAGTATCATGGTGCTCGTCAATGACGAGGAGAGTACCGACCAAGTCACCTACTCGAGTGATCTCGGCAGGACATGGTAGGTCAAGCCGACTGAGGTAGCCAGCACATGCATTGATCAGCGATTCAGGCGTACCTTCTCTTACGGATTCAACATGCGTGCTCGCATCTTGACGACCGTATCGGATTCGACATCGCAAAAGTTCATGCTTGTCGGCCAAGTATCGAGGCAGGACCAGCCGGGCCGTGGACGTTACGCTGTGGTCTTCCTCGACTTCGCGCCCATGCGCTCGCGCAAGTGCGGCGAAAATGATTTCGAGCGATGGTATGCTCGCTCGATGACCCACGAGTGTCTGATGGGCCATAAGGTGATATTTATGCTCAACAGTCGCTGTCCAATCAATCCACTGACGCGATGCTCGCCCATTTATAGCAATGGTACAGGCGCCGAAAGGCCAACGTGGATTGCTATGTCGGGGAGAAATTCCATGAGCCAATCGAACACGAGGAGAACTGTAGGTGCACGGACGAAGACTACGAATGGTGAGTGAGGCTGCGCGGGCGTGTGGATACCTAGCTGAAAGCTTCACGCAGCGACTACAACTTCGTGAGGCAGGGTGATCAGTGTGTCCCCACAGGACCGGAACCTATTCCCGCAGGCGTGTGCCCTCCCGACAACCCCGATGCTATGTATCTAGGATCGTCTGGCTATCGACTCATCCCGGGCAATACCTGCGACAGGGCATCTGGTATCAAGAAAGACGAGCCTATTAGTAAGCCTTGCGCCAATGGTGAGTCTCACCGTGGTAGTATGTTGGATACGCGTACTCATATGAACGCTGTAGCACAACCCGCTGAGGGCGAGGTTGTCCATCAGATTGTAACGTTCTTCCTTATCATGGCGTAGATTCCTGACTCATAGAATCTCGCTCAGTTCGAATTTCCGGCAGCCGTTGTGCAGTTCGCATACTTCAAGGATTCTACGGTCAGTGTCTGCTCGCTTGTCATTGATTCATGTACTCACTCGCTACAGACAATTCTCGTTCGCCTGGAAGACTACAGCATCTGGCAGTCGAGCAACGAAGGGTACACCTGGCATCAAATCCAGCCCGAGGAGCGTTTCGTCGCCTTCTATCATCATGCTTTCAGTCACGACCGTGCATACCTCATCACTGGGACCAAACGGTACTACTACACTACGGACACAGGGAAGACGTGGTTATCCATGGATGGTCCCCTACCGCCAAACAATCTCGGCCTCCAGATCTTGCATTTCCATCCATCGAACTCCGACTACCTGATCTGGAGCGGCAGCGAGGGATGCATCGGCTTCGGCGAGAACTGCAATGTACAAGCCTACTACACTCGCAACAACGGACGTAAGTGGAACTTCATCGAGAAGTACGTCCGAAATTGCGCATGGGCTCGGGACGCCGAGTTGGTGGTGGATCCAAACCAGATAATCTGCGAGGTGTATAAGAATCAACAGGGCAATCAGAGGTTCTTCCAGATGGAGAACCCGCTGCAATTGATCAGTGGGACAAACTTCTTCTCGAAAAAGACGAAGCTCTTCGACCACGTTGTCGGTTTTACCAAATTTAGCGAGTTCCTGATTGTCGCGGAGGTGCGCAGGCTTGTCCTCAATATCTGCCCTTGTTGACCAGGCCATGTCCTCAGTATCAAACACAGCGACAAACTTTGGACCTGCAAGTATCCTTGGATGGGCGGTCTTTCGCTAGTGGAATGTTCCCTCCCAATCTGCGACCGGATCAACATGCGAGTGCAGTGTCCATTATTCCGAGTGCGTGTGCTGAACTGTCTACAGGCATACACTATCCTCGAGTCCAGTACCATGTCCGTCTTCTTGCACGTCACTACGTCAGAGAGACCGAACCCGTACTGGGGAAGCATCCTGAAGTCCAATTCAAACGGAACGTACTACGGCATTTCCCTTGAGAACGTCAATCGCAATGATGCTGGATATGTCGACTTCGAGAAGATGATCGGTCTAGATGGGATCGCCCTGGTCAATGTCGTATCAAACGCGCTGGAAGCCACTTTAACCGGCCGAAAGGAACTGGAAACTCGCATCACCCACAATGATGGTAAGCGCACGTTCTGTCACCCACAGACGCACACTAATTACCAGTCTTCCAGGTGGAACTTGGAAGCGGCTGGTGCCTCCCCCTAAAGATTCTCTTGGCAATCAGTATTGGTGTGACAGCACTGTGAGCGGGCCACCTCCTCAAATGCGACGCGTCTAAACATTCTTGTTACTATCAGCGTTGCGCATTGCACATACATGGATACACCGAGCGTTATGATGCGCGCGCGACCTATAGCACGCCGTCTGTGCCGGGTCTGCTCATGGCCGTTGGTAACGTCGGAGAGACGTTGGCAGGCTACTCTGACAGTGACACATTCTTGAGCCGCGATGCTGGATTCACCTGGGAAGAGGTCCACAAGGATGCTCATCTATGGGAGTTTGGCGACTCGGGATCCATCCTCATCATGGCGAACGACGAGGAACCAACTGATCACGTGCTCTTCAGCACTGACGAGGGTATTAGTTGGCGAGAATACAAGTTTACCGATGAGAGGATACGCGTCAAGGAGATCGTCACTGTTCCGACAGATACAAGTCGGCGGTTCATCCTAATGGGCTACTATCCCCGGTCACCAACCGTTCATGTCGCTGTGCACGTCGACTTCACGGCCCTGACATGGAAAGAGTGTCAGTGACACAATTTTCTATGCTCTGCATGCATGCTCACTGTCTGTCAATCTAGGTACTTTCAGCGTGGAAGATCCTGGGCATGATGATTTCGAACTCTGGAGTCCGAGTGAGAATCGAAATGAGTTGTGTCTTTTCGGTCGGCAGGTGGGTGACGCAGTGACACAGTCCGTTCTTCGCTTCTTACTAAGGGGCCGTAGACTATGTATCACCGCCGTGTACGTGAAACCAACTGTGTCGTTGGTAACCGTCCGAAGGCCGAGGCCAAGATAGTACGGAACTGCGCTTGCCAGGCTTCCGACTTTGAATGGTATGCACAGTCATCTCGTGCCGCATCTTGCAACAGTCGCTCACGTCTCAAGTGCAGTGAATTCAACCACTACAGGGACGAGAACGGCGAATGCGTCCTCGTTCCGGGCACGCAGTCACTTTCCGACGATGATTCGTGCAATGGCGATGACGATTACTGGTACGAACGCACCGCATACCGCAAAATCCCCTTCTCTAGTTGTGAGGGCGGGGATCGTCCGGATCGCGGGAAACAGCACATTTGCCCTGGGATCAGAGCACATGGCGCGTTCTTCTGGCTCATGATGCTCTTCATTCCGTGCGCCTTTGCAGGTCTCGCAGGATGGTGGTATGTCCGTAGGCGCGCAAGAGGGTACGTTCACCAGCAAGGCCCTCAGTAGCTGATGCTAATCCTCACCAACAGAGCCATCCGCCTTCCTGGCGGAGATACCGGCCCAAGATACGTGGGCAACTCAGGTACCCTCGAGACGCTCGCGTCTGTGCCCTACTTCGTCATAGCCATGGCCGGAGCTGCGTGGGAGACAGTCGTAGAAAAGTTTGCCGATGCCACAACTGGTATGCGCACGCGCAGTGGGTACCGGACGGTGCCCATCGACGAAGATGCACAGATTTTGAGATTTGAGGACGAGGAGTAGGTTGGGCAGGGGATGTTAGTTAGCCGTGTTATGTTTCGATAGGTCCAGTGTAGTCCACTCTGCTTTCGCTTCACATCGACGCTCATCTATGTATCATATTTATCTCACCTGGATGTACCGCCCAAATTACGGCCCATCTCGACTCAGACCACCTCTTGGTGAACGCATGAGTGGCGCTGTTACTCCGTGTCTTCGACTGATTGCACAAGGAGGCGTCTCATGTGATTAGTACATTATGTTGCTACACGATTATACACAGCAGTAAAACAACAATCACAGCACTAAGTCCGACGAGCCGAATAAAATGAGAGAAACATGCGCATGCTCGGGACACGCATCCGCTTTTTAATCGATAACGCCGAGGTGGTCCTCCTTGATAGTACCAATCGCGAACTAAGATACTGGTTAGTGCATCCTAGCTCGGCACGAGGGACCAGGTAGAAGGACTTGCGATTTCCGTGGCGTCGACACGCGTTCCGACAATTTTTAGTCTGACCTTCGTGTTTTTCTCGATGATCTGAGGCGCCGTCGCCATGAGGCGTCCGTGGAACGGGAAGAGAAAACTCGTACCTGGTCTTCTGATGCGAAAGACGGCGGTTTGAGTTGGGGTCAAACCGCATATCGGGATGGATGAGCTGCAAAGCACAGTAAGCAATGTTCAACCGGCGGGAGCGTGGCCGAGGGTGGCACGCACCTGATGCGAGACGAAGACCGTCAAAGGTCCGACCTCAGCAAAGAAGCCCATCTAGTGACCATGTTGCAGTAGCAGGGGCGAAAGCGACGAGTAACAGCGCACCTTGTTTACATTATTTACCACTCCGTCGACCACCTCTCCCTTGAAAGGCTTGAATACGATAGCCCGGTAGCGCGTAATGAACTCGGCTTGACCACTGCCGGGGAGGACCATCCCCTTGCCTATGTCCAGGATGGATACGACCGCGATGATGTAGCCGAACTGTCCAGAGCATGTGCCTTCGACATCTGAGTAGAGCTTGGACTCGAGGAACTGCAGCATACGCGGGCCAAAGTAGGACGGATGGAGGAGGATGGTGTGTGACAGCTCTTTCTGAATGTCTGCATTGAATCAAGCACACCAGGCGGAAGTATGTATCTCACTCACGATGAAGAACATGGTGGACAATCACATCGGCCAGCGGACGATGGCCACTGCAACAAGCAGCTGGAGCCGCCACGACCGCGTCGGTCAACCCACCGCGCGGTAACCGCGTTTTGAGACACAATTATTACATTAGAGCGTATAGATATGGCCGACTAGCTCAGTTGGTTAGAGCGTGGTGCTAATAAGCATTGCTTACGTAACGCCAAGGTCGTCGGTTCGATCCCGGCGTTGGCCACTTCGTTTTGTTCTTTTGACCTCTTTCATGAGGTTCTGGAGGAGTGCAAGGTGGTCATCCGCATCACGTCGGCAGAACGATTGTTTGTGGACACGCTCGACATATTTGTTGTTTTTGTACCTCTTAGACCTCAACAGACCTGGTATACTAATGGCTACACAAAGACTATACTACAAGCAATTGGACTACGAGGCAGTGGTGCCACATCTTTCCTCTAGTTCCTCCTCTTCCTTCTGCAAACGTTTCATGGTCGCTTCTAATAGCCTCCGCCGCCTTTCCTCCCTCGACTCGTCGCCCGGCAAGATCGGCGTGCCGCCGAGAATGTACGTCTGCGCCTCTGCCTCGAGCTCTGACGATGGCTGGTACGCATCACCGGACCCAACGAGATGGTGCGTCCCCTCCGTCGCAGCGCGTTCGAATTCCGCGACCTCGCGATTCAGCTGGGAGTTCATCTCTTTGAACTAAAGGGTGCCCACCAGATCGTCAGTGCGACATCGCGAAAGCAGAGGACCCGAACTCACGTTGTTGTCATGATCTTGCCAAACGTTGTGCGTCAACTCGTGACACAGCACCTTCCGCACCTCGCTATACAGCCGGAACCCATCATACCGGTCCGTGCGCAACCGGAGTTTGATCGCCTGGCCTGCGTTAACGTTCAGTCCGAGGAGGTGCGGCTGCTCGTGCGGCGCCAGCTCCGTCAAGAGGTCGACGGCGAGGTGATGCCTCTGCATGACGTGCCGGATTGCAGGGTCATTCGCGAGCCGCGTCAAAAGCGCCCGAGCGGAGGCGGGCTCGGGGAGGTGTGCAAGGGGCTCGATGCGATTGAAGGTGTATTGGGAAGATGTGGAGGGCGAGGAGGTAGAGCGGACCTGAGGCGATTATTCAGGGAATGAGCGTGACCGGAAAGGATGAGCAAGCCTACGCACCTTGACAGGAGCCTTCAGTGCCCTCTCCCGCAATATTCGCTCCTTCCTCTGATGTTCAGTGTCTGCTGAGAGCGTGCGGCCCAGCTCCTCCGTCGTCGAGCCTAACATCTGGACTTTCGTGCCATTCTTGAACCCAGCGAGTGAAAGCGTGTCTGTTTCCTGGATATTGGCTTTCTTGCCCTTGAACAACAGCTTTTGGAGGTATGGAGGTACGGACGTGAGCTCTTCCAGACGAGCCTGCAGGAGAGCAATGGTATCATTTGGCAGCAAGGAGAGGCGGTGTTGTACACCACGGTGCGATACAATGAGTTCTATCGGTTGCATATCGGCAGACATAACAGAAATGGTGAAACCTGAGTTGAGGTTGGTGGTAACGAGACGAGTAGGGGGCAAGACGCAACCTGTAGTTTGGGCAAGATGGCGGGAGGAATGTGGCTGTGATCATGCGTAAGTGGGCGATCGAGATGGTGTGGGTCGGGTAGCACTCGGGTTGACGGAGCCAAAATGAGTCAGTCGGAAACGTCCGGAAGGTACTCGCGTCCTCCGGAGTCCGAGGAGCCCGCTGTGCGGCGGGCCGAGGCCGCCGCCGGCTGACAGGAAGAGGGTGGCGAGCGAAGCCTGGGCGATCAAGAAGCTAAAATGCGTAAATGAGTTCGATGCGATCGGGACTTGTTGCTGTTGGGGCGTGGTCTGGGTAAAGGTCTGGGGAGTTTGGCATGCGGGGTAACACAGGATGTGGAGAGGCGGGGGGAAAGTCATAATACACTTGGAAGGGTGGATTTCATTGCGCAAGGTCTGCACAAAGGGCTTGTGAGCGCGAATTAGAGACATGAGGACGGAGAGAGGGGCAGACCGTCTAAGTTCGTGATAGGGTCATACTGAGGCGAACGGATGTAATCGAGCACGCGATCGCCAATGCGGTTCGGGATAGGTTGTGTGGTCCGCTCCATGGCCCTACCGACAGCTCTCCACCACCTGTGTTCCCCCAGTCTGTCCGCGTCGCCAAAGTGTGGGAGCGAAAGATATTGTACTGAGGGAATCGTGCGAACCAGCTTTTCGGGATCAATGGTTTGCGTACACTTCCAACTCGAACGGTCCAAGGATATTTTGAGACACACGACGCGGGAGAGCATTAGTCCTTCCTGCAATGCTGCGCCATCAGCATCTCCGTCGTCCAGCATGCTGACACCCTCACCAGCCACTGAAAATCACTCGCCCCTACGTTAGCTGAAATGACGAGCACAATCTCGAGACTCCTCATGCGCGTCGCGGTCTGCACAAGATCGACGAAGAACGAGTACGAGGTCGTTCCGACGTCCTGGAAGCGGAAGCTCAGCGCAGCAGGCGGCAGGACCTTCATCGCGCGCAACAGTGCCGGGCGATGCTGCGGCTTTTCCCAGCTGGCTGCTATCAAATTCAGCCATTGTACAGGGCAGCACACAGGCCAGTCGCCGGTCCCAAAATCGCCGAAGTAGTAAGGCAGTCCGTAGACGTAGTCCAGGTCAGGCCAGCACGTCATTTGGCCGTCCTTGTTTTCGAGCAGCTTCCAATGCGGCTCCGTGATGCTAGCGCGCCCGAGGACGAATTTGCGGACATTGGGGAAAGTGTGAAGGAGAGTGGACATCGTGACAGAGGTGTTGTCCATGCCAAGACGGCGTACGTTTGGCCAGACAGGCCAGGTAGGCTTCACAGGGTCGTGCAGCATCGTGATGCCTTCGAGCTCCAAGTCCAAAACGCTGTGGAGCGGCTTTATATCTGGTACGACGCTCGGGTAATGTGCGAAGCGCATACGGAGCCTGCTCGGTTGGCCCTTGAGGGAGGGTAGCAAGCGCGTAGAGTCTGTCGTCATGTCGTCGAGGGTGAGGTCCTCCAGAGTGAGTAAGTTGGCGATCGCGGGCCATATACGTTCGTCCAGCTTCATGAGCGCGGACGCGCACCCCAAGCTGAGTGCCCGCAGGTTCGTCGTCTGCTCGAGCAGGTCCGCGAGCGCATCGGCGGAGGACGAGTCTGCGCTGAACGCGCCACCGTCCACTGAGAGTGCCTTGGAGGTGACCATGAGACACTGCAGGCGCTGAGCGCGATTGTGCACGTCGGCGAGCATGTGCGCGGAGAAGCGCGGCGTCTGCATGGGAAAATGGAGCTCGACGGCGGTGTGCACGCGTCGCTTCGCGATGGGGTGGATGTGTCTGGCGGTCGCGGAGAGGCTGAGGGCATCGCGGCAGCCGAGGAAGAACACGATGTTCGTGAGGACGTCGTCGTTGAGTGCGAGGAGGTTCATGGCGGGGCGCACGACTCCCAGCGGCGGATAGGGGCGGAGGGCGAAGAGCTTGGTGCGAGTGGTCGCCGTCCATATGAAGCCAGGAGTGTACTGAAGGGCCAATGGCGCTCTTCCGCTAAGGCGCATTCGGAAGCGCCCCAAATACGCCTTCACGTGGCGGCGCCTCCCGACCGCATCGGGATCAACTGATCGCGGTCCTCGGTGCGGCATCGGTGCAGCGCTCCCGCTTCCTCCCTTCCCGCCTTGTCCTCCCCACCGTCTCAGGCGACCACAGACAACGGACTTACCTCCCTACGACCGATTATTTACTGTCCCTGTGGCTCGTGATCGCAGCGCAGCGTTGCCCAGAAATTTCACCAGACTCTGTCTTGGCTCGGTCGGTTGGTAGCTTGGAAAGACAGGGACTGCTACTGACGAACATGCGTTAGTTCGGATCGATGTTTCTGACGGAAGGGTCCACGTACTCTCACTATCTGCAACCGGGTAAATCCAATGCCAGAGTCTTATTACGGTACATAAGTCGCATGATGCGGGGGCTGCGCATACATGGCACTCCGTTCTGGATTTGAGCATGCTCTTGAGTTGGCCTGAGGGCCAGTCGCAAGCTTGGAGAGCTGGGGTCGTCATACGGTCTGTCAGGGTCGCCGTCAGTCGGACTGACAGCCGTCATAACCGGTCCATGTAAGACATTACCACGGTGCCTGTGGCAGGATCACGACCGGGAGAGCAGAATTAGAGGCGTGCGCGTAGAGGAAAATTCAAACCCACCTTTGTGCGCAACTACGTACAGTACTGATTACCAGTTGTTTGTGGCAGCCGAAGGTCCACAAGCGACTCGGAGGGTGCCGAGCACGGGTCGATGTAGAGAGAAGGGGATCTATCCATACTGGGCAGTGCAGGTTCCCTGTGGTTTCATATACATAACTCGTCTGCAGGAGTGGTGCCAATCTCAGAAGCCACGGCGGTGTTACAAACGACACGGACGGGAGAGGGGGTCAAAGACGAATGGTCGACAGATTAGGAAGGTGTACTCCTTAAATGGAAGGTGTTGTACGTCAAAAGTCAAGACCGTCTGGGAGACGTTCGTTGAGTTCTTATCAGAATGGTCGATCGAGGACTCGGGCGGACGGCACCTACTAGCAAGTTCGCGCTGCTTCGAACACGACAAACAATGAAACAGCATAAATACATGATCAAAGTACTGACAGAAGCTCAAGAACGCTTCATTCCCTCTTTTCCGCTGTTTTCGGGAATCATGCGTGGTCTGGTAGTATTTATCTAAGGCGGCGTACTCTAATTGGGCGGCAACTGGGACACGCTCACAAGTTAAGGCTACGACGGCACTAGTGATTCGTCGTTGGCGAGATGCTATCCAACAAACAATACAGCACATGAGTTCAAGTTATCGGGTGCGTTGAACGGTGCAGAAGTGGAGGGCGTAAACAGCACCAGGTACCATATTCAGTCAGCACGACCGTTGTCATCATTGTCAGGGGTCCCGTATGGCGTTGGAATTTGACCGCGGGACAGAGCAAGGCCTATCACTGCGCACCGCCCGGTCGGGTGCTGATGCGCCATCGGAGTCGGTTGGTACTGTGACCATGCAGCATATCGGCCTAAGTCCGGAGACAGACTCGGATTCGACAAGTACTCGTCTGTGGGGGATGACGCCGTGCCAGGAGGGGAGATGCAACGAGGTGTGTGCTGGGCTCGAGGCCGGAGCGGGGAGCTGGGATGGCCAATGCAGGCCTAATTTGAGGGCTAGCGGTTGTGTGAGGTGACGCCGATTCCTTTGGAGGCGAACCGCACGATCGGGGAGCGGCTTCGCGGGGCTGGAAATGGTTTGTGCAGGATTCTTGAAAGGCCCGGAAAGGAATATGGGAGCGGATGCCGAGGGGATAGCCGGATGCCGGGTCTGCGCCGGGCCTGGAATGGGACATAGCCGGATGCGGGGAGTGCCTGAGTGCACACTCAAATCCGGCGTGCGGCCCCTGTGCGCTCTTCGCAAACTCTGGCTCTGCGTGCACCGAGCAAGGCTAGGCAAGGCTTCCCGTGGGCTCCCCATCATCGCGCGCAGCGACCGCGCTGCCCACCCATGCCCTTCCGCTCCCGCACCTCCTTCACCACCGCCACCACCGCCCACGGCAGCGACCTCGACGTCCCCCTCCCTATCATCAAGAACAAGGCTGCCCACGAGAAGGCCGTCGCCCTGGAGAAGTCTGCGTCCGTCGGCACGTCTGCTCTCAGCGACACCCTCCACGGGACGCCGTTGCCGCCTCCCGTGGTTCAGGGCTCCGGGTCGTCCAGCAAGCGGGGCAAGAAGAAGAATGCGCGGGTCGACCGCGGACTCAGGGTGCACTGGGCCCAGTTCAAGCGGCGGATAGGCACGGGCACGGCGCCGTCCACGTCGTCCGCTATCGAGCCAGATGAGAGCGGCGACAGCTACAGCAATGGGCGCGCGCGCCAGGTCCAGATGGGCGAGGAGGAGGAGGACGGCGTAGATGAGGTTGTCGTCGACCGCGAGTGGTCCAATGAGATCAAGAGCTCGTCCTGCACGCACTCCGAGAACGGCGGCACTCCGGACAGAACGAGCAATCCACTCGGCACGAACACTGACGGGGAGAGCCTGTTCGTGCACCCCGAGGGATTCTGGGCTTCTTGTGGGCCTCTGATCTTCCTGCGGTGGAGGTGCTGGCCGTTCGTGCACGACTTCTTCGTCAATCACTTCATGGACGCAAAGTCGGAGCTTCACTACAGCAAGGAAAACTGGTTCATGAAGAAGGTGCGTATCCATCGTCTGCACCTTGCTTATCTCCAATTATGATCTGCAGAACCTAGCCTTGTGGTCTTCGGCGTTCCTTGTCGTCAACTGGGTGCTGGCCATGTCATTCATCCAGAAGCCCATCACAGTAGCAGATGAAGCCTTCTATTATGGCGTAAGTAGTCCTTCCTAGCCATCATCACCCAGGCTGAAAGAACTCTTTTCAGGTGGCCCCCGCGCTCACGTTCCCTGTGTTCGTGTTCGTCATGTACGACTTCCCTCGGGACCGACCAACATTCTATCAATGCTGGGTCACGGTCGCGATTTGGCAATGGGCGTTGTACAACATCATTTTGATGTGAGCAGCCCGACCTTCACGCGGTAGCCTGTAGCTGACTCGCTCTAGGTATCTATGCGGCTACTACGGCAACGAACGTACTCTATACTGTGGGACCCGCGATTTCCTCACCCTCTTCTAGTGAGTGCGACTTTCTCTGCACATTCACTCAACTGACAGCAGAAAAATAGCTATACAACCGCGATGCAGACCGTGGGGTTATTCGGCTTGAAGATCAATCGCTTCCCCGCCATGCTAGCCGCATCGTGTTTCTTTGGTTTGTGAGTTCTCAGGGGTCATGGCTTCTGCACAGCGTACTCACCGTGTCTACAGAGCTTGTGGCTTGATCATACCGATTCATACGCAGATGGTCCGAAGTCAGTGACGTCGTTCTGCTTCCGTCGCTTGTCCCGCTCATGCGCTCCACAGATCTGATCAACTTCCTCTGCTTCCAATCCTTCTTGCTGTACATTCATTACATGCGAGAGAATGTACGTACCTGTTGCTGTCATACCGCGCGGATCGTGCTGATCATTTCAGGCGGAGCGGCGGTTGTACACGTTGCGCGATCAGCTCAAGATCCAGTTTCGGGCGACGCAAAAGGCGCAAGTCAATGAGCGCAAAGCGGCGGACTCGAAGCGACGGCTCACATCGTAGGTTCCATATGTCAGCCTGTTGTATCTCTCTAATGCACCACTGTCTCACTCGAACAGCTATGTCTTTCACGAAGTCCGCGTGCCGCTTAATACTGCGCGTAAGTGCCAGTTTGTAACCTCACGTGTTATGACATATGTTGACGGCTTGCGCCTTATCCAGTCTTGGCGGTGCAGAATATGGAGGCATCTGGTTCGGTCGCGAAGGCTCAGGACATTGAGTTCAGAGCACTGGAGGGCAGTCTCAGCATGATGTCTAAAGGTTAGTGCATACAACTTCTACCTATCAGCCGAGTCTAATTCATGGGATATAGTGCTCAATGACGTATTGGACTTGTAAGTATTCACTTTGCTGGCGCGCGGGATCGGTACTGAACGAAATGCAGCAACCGTATGGATAGCGGGCGTTTTGAGTCTGTCCTCAAGGTTGGTGTTATGTTATTCTACGGTTGCTCGCGGAAATTGATCAGCGTTCCAATTATAGCCGTATTCATTTCACCAGGTCATGCGCTCGATGTTTGTCCCTCTTCGTTTGGCGACAGACGCTCGCGGTCTCGAGTTTGTCATTGATTTGGACAAGAATATCGACGAGGTAGGTTGAACTCCCCATATAGGTGGCACCGAGTCTCATCTCACGATTGTATAGATCGCAAGAAGAGCGTTGCATGAAGCTTTGGGTGAGACCTCGGATGTCGTTGAGGCACGACTGAAGGAGAGCTTGAGTGAGGATGGGATCGTCGTCGGCGACGAGACAAGGTTACGGCAGATCATCACGAACCTTGCAAGGTATGCACTATTAGAGCTCTATTGGCAGGAGCCCCGCCTCATGGCCCGGTTTAGCAATGCATGCAAGTTCACGCCAGCAGGGGGCAAGCTTACGGTTACGACTAAGCTTGTGTTGCCTGGGCTCTCGCCGCCGGATGCGAGTGTGAGCGCATGCGATATCAACGAACAACTTCTTGTCGACGAGGACAAGGGCAACCCATTCTCCACCCTCGAGAATGGGCAGCCTCTACCCCATCGGCTGTCCGCTACGCACCTCACCCAGCACAACAACACGATCACCAAGCCGCCACCAACTGAGTGGATCGTTGTACGCATCGAGGTTACGGATACGGGGTATGGTATCAGGCCTAAGGATATGGTGCAGAGCAAGCTATTCAGTAAGTGGCGCTTCAGTGCTTTTCGTACCGGCCGCGTGCTTACAGGGCTATGACAGGTGCCTTCAATCAGACTGAACAGGGTCGGTTGCAAGGTACGTCACAATACAATTATGCGCTTCGTTGAGACATGAAAGTGACATTTGAGTTCATCGTAGGCGGGAAAGGCACCGGTTTGGGCTTAGCGCTCGTGCGTCAGATTGTCAAGCTCAGTGGCGGTCGTCTCGGCGTACGGTCAAAGGCGGGCGTCGGTTCCACATTTTGGGTCGAGCTCCGTGAGTACATGCCCTCGCTGCTGTCTGGATTGTCCTGACAGCTCCATTTAGCTTTGGGCGTTGGGGTCAAGGCGACGCCTGTGTTTACGATGCCGAGGGACGACTTCCTGGACACACCTTCGAGTCTAACCAGGACAATGCGATCAGCGACTCAGGTGGACTTGCCGCTTCTGCACACTTTGTCCGATTCGATTCGCGTACCCCTCCAGGTTGGTTCGCAATCAACGTCCGCTCTGCACAGCATCATGGAACAAGGTAGGTATCAATGATATCTAACCTTGATTGGGAGAAACCGACTTATATTTCTGCCAGGCGGTCTTGTGGAAATCTCGACGAAGCGTGACGGACGCACGATGGTCCTCACGCGCGCCATCGGAGATCCATCAACCGGAACACAACCGACCATCGACGACACAACGCCACCAGCCGTTCAGGAGCCACCTCCCGCGCTCACCACCGACAGCACCACCAGCTCATCCACAACCGTCCGCCCGCGCCTCTCCCAGCTCCCTAAGCCCCGCACGTTCTCTCTCGAACCCCGCTCTCTCCTGCCGGCTCTGCGGCGACGTCATCCACACAACCGAGCATGACGCCGGGCTCGATATCTGAGGGCCCGCTACGGGTGCTTGTGGTCGACGATGATCAGCTCACGCGCAAGTTGATGTCGCGCATGTTAACGCGAATAGGTTGCAAGGTTGCGACGGCGGAGAACGGCGAGATCGCGCTGGAGATGATCTTGGGAATGGGCCAGCGTGCGACACCGTCGGAGGAGGACACGGGCAGTGTAGGCCTGTCGGTGGACGGGCTGCTCTTGGGCGCGAGCGACGAGTATCGGTATGCGGTTATCTTCTTGGATAATCAGATGCCAGTGCTGTCTGGGCTGGATCTCGTGACGAAGCTGCGAGAGCTGGGTAGAAAGGATTTTGTGGTGGGCGTCACTGGTACGTTTCCTTATTAGCTGCGTCGCCGTATCGATGCGAAGCTGACGGTCCGTACAGGCAACGCCCTGTTGACAGATCAGCAAGAGTATCTCGAAGCAGGGGCAGATTAGTACATACCGTGTTTTTATTCACCGGTCATGCCACGTTAACGTCATTTTTGCAGCGTCCTAACAAAACCGGTTCTTGAGAAGAGTCTCAAGAGCATGCTCGTGATCGCGGACGAGCGACGAAAACGCGGCCCACCATCACCGCTCGAGCCACTGCGACCAAGCGGAGCACCACCCGCCCCATCATAGCAATACTGCCAGTGGGCCCGGAACCCCACCTAATACTTCTTCTGTATCCTCTCCTCTTTGGGCTCGTCGGCTTGTTGTGCAACTGGTATCTGCTCTGTCATCGTTGGACCTCGCACGCATCATCACCCATCACCAAACTACATACGAATCTCACCGGCACCCGTACATGCCTAATTGTCCATCCCCGCACCATCTGCATCTGTTGTCTGTATTGCTCATTTCTGCTTGGTATACACGAGTCTTCCTTACGGTTCCGTAGCACATATACGACCTGTAGCGCCACCCTCCCTTCTACTACACTCACGTACGTACGTATGCTCCATCACGACGACGCCATGCAATAGAGCTCGCTCTTTCCGGTCTCGTAGCTCCGTTACAGTGCTTTCGGGTCTGCCAATCTGCCAATTTCAGTTTTAGGTACTTCTGTGCTGGGAAGCGACGCTGTCGGGATGATCTCGCAAGAAGTGGCCGAATCAGGATTCCGACTTCTTGTCTGGTGCCTCGTATAGCGGTAGTGATATGGAGGTTGAGCAAACCTGACAGCTGTGTCATGCTTGAACTGTTCTCGGCACTCTGTGTACCCAACGCAGGGACGGAAAGTACTCTGCGAATTTGCTGGCCGTTCCTGGCGCAGAATAATACCGCGATACCCCCGAGCCGGCGGGCGTGGCGAGGACCCGGCTATTGTGGCATACTCAGCGGCCCGGTATGAAACGCCGCCACATGTAACGACGACGGAGCGGCCTGCGACCACCATACCACAACGGCTCGATGGAAACAGGCGGCATGCGGAAGGCTCGCGGTGGGTGTGAGGTCGAGTGAGTTGCTGGATGGGCGACCAACGTGTCCGCTTTCGTAATATGCAAAGGACCCCCTGTTCGGACAATGCCGCTCCACGGCGGGTACCTGTAGTTCAACTCGCCACTCGCCGCCACATTGGACGCGCGTGGCCCAGCAGCGTGCTCACCACTCTGATCTGAGCGCGGATTCCTTCGCTGTGCGACGAGAAGTTGGCAGAGAATGAGGCGAAGAACGACAGCAGACTTTACGGTATATTCGGCCGGATGCTGTGTAGCCACCGACCACGGCGGGGACGTCTGGCGTGACAAATTAGCGACCGAGGCGCGGGGCTTTCGTCGCCCGCGGTCTGTGGCTCAGCAGCCACAGTGGCACACGCACGCAAGGTCCCTCGCGACCCAACAAAAATGTGCGAGCCTGCCCATCCTGGGGCCTGAGGATGGGAATCGCCAGTATTTGTGGTGTAAAATGAACGTGGTGCGCGAGCCGCGAGAAGGAGCTGGGGCAGGACAAGGCGTTCGAGGAGGTCTCCGCGTCGAGATTGTCGGAGTTGAATCACGTTAGGTTCAGTAAACAGATCCGGCTCTCTCTGTAGCCTGTAGACTGTCCATCTCACCTCCATACCCCCACCACCGCGCCCTCCCCGCCCTCAGAAATTCCTCCCGCACTCCCATCTCCTTCCTCGCCCCCTCGTGCACACATCTGGCCCTTTTGTATTTTATTCCGCCGCACTTTTTCGCCCCCCGCCCCAGATCCCTCTTCACGACGAGCGCTAACTATGGCGCATCCCCCCGCCCCGTACTACCAACCCTCAAGAATAACGACAAGGTCAAGGTCAACGGTAATTCACGCCTTCATGGTGGACCGCCGCGTGCCCTCAGCTGATTTTTAACTAGACCATGTCTATTGCTCCCCGAGTTGGACCATCCGCGATGGCACTCCATATTCCATCGCACGTATCATGGAGTTCCTGCCAGCGCAGGGCGTCCCAATATTCGACCAGGACGGGAAACGCAACGAACCATATGCGCGAGTCCGTCTCGCATGGTATTATCGCCCCAGTGACGTGAGCGATCGTCCGTCCGCGGACTGTCGCCTCCTTCTGGCCGCAATATATTCCGAGGTTTGCGATCTCAGCCAGGTTCGCGGAAAGTGCTACGTAGTACACCGAGAGAGGATATCCGACCTCGCAGGGTGGAAAAAACGCCCCGACCGCTTTTATTTCACTCGCCTCTTCGACCCGTGGATCCGCAAGGAATTCGAGGTCATCCCCTCAGCCACTGTTCGTAACCGTAGGTTTTTATGGTTTCAGGACACAGCAATCATGTTTTGATCAGACGCGTAGTTCCGCAACACATTAGGGACGTCCTCCTCGAGCGCTACGAATATGTGGTCGCGGAAAAGGATGTGGTACCCGACCTCACTGACACCCTCCGGACCTGCGATACCTGCACGCAATGGTGCTCACCGTAAGTTGCTGATCTCCTGGTCCTTCCCATCAGTGATGCCGTGTTGACACCGGGGCGTCACTTGCGCAGTCTGGAGACGGTGCAGTGCGACAGATGCAAGAAATTCTTTCACATGGGCTGCGTGAACCCGCCACTCCTGGCCAAGCCGAGTAGGGGATACGGATGGACCTGCGCGCCATGCTCCCGGCGGCACGAGGAGGAGGTGGACAGCCACGAGGGCCTGCGCCAGCTCGTGCCCGCGCAGCCGAAAGTGGTTAAGACGAATGCGCCCGCCGCGAGGGGCCGCGGGCGCCCCCGGAAGGATCGCCAGCTGGCGGAGAAGGAGGAGAACCTGGAGGTGAAGCACTTCAAGATGTGGCCGTTCCGGTACTTTGGGTGCGCGCTGTTAGCCGGGGCTGGGCAGGGGCGCGGGACTGACGGGCGTGGCCACAGGTTGTACACCGTCGCGGAAGACACGCTTGGTCAGTCCTCCTCTCGGGTCGCTTCCCGCCCTCGCTAATTCTGCCTGTAGACCCGGACGACCTCATTTTCCCACGCGCCACTACGCGCGTGGGCCCGAAATACCAAGTCGTCGTTCCCCCGGCCCCGGGCGCCGAGCCTTCCAGCGTTACGGGTAGGCGGGATGCGCTGCCGACGTGTGAACTTGACTGACGAACTTCGTAGGTTTGGAGGAGAGGGGAGGCGATGCGACCATCGAAGTCCTCAGCCTCGTCAACGAGATGTCAGAAGAAGAAGGTGCGTGGGAATGTCCCCCGATTTGGCAATTTGATCATATCTCAATCGAAACTCAATTGTAGTTCGCTCATGTGAGTATCGTGTGATCTGCACTAACGGCAGATACTGACCGTCCTTCAGTCGAGACGCACAAGGGCTCGCTCGCCACCAACCCGACGCTCAAATGCAACATCGACTGGCTTACAGAGGCGACGCGCCGCCTCACGGACGCATGGACGGCCCACCGCGACTTCGCGGCCGTGAACATGAAGAGCGCCATGCGAACCGAGAAGGTTAGTTGCTCTTCCTTTGGTGAGCCGCATCCGTGTTCTTGGCTTATGACATGTTCTCCAGTGGAAGAAATCCGAGACCCGCTACCTCGACCGTGAGTGGACCAACCAGGAAATAGCCGCATTCGAAGACGCCATTGCTGTCCACGGGGCCGAGCTGCGCCCAGTACGGGAAGAGGTCGGTACGCGGTCCATGTACGAGGTTGTCCGATTTTACGGGCGTTGGAAGAGGCAAGTGTGCTGTCTTGCGCTCCCACGTCGTACTCACGCCTCACCGTGCTTACCAGCATGAAGCTCGGTGAGGAGAACGCGCGCATTAGGGCCGCCCGCCTCAGCGGGCGGGCTGACCCGCCCGAAACACCATCGCGCGCGCCATCACCCGACGAAGAGGGCTCGATCCTCAAGGAGCTCACTCGGGGGAACAACAGCTGCGGGTGCTGCCGCACACGCGAGTCTGATGTCTGGTGGAAGGCACCGAAGGGCCTCCCGACGAATGTCCTTTGCGACAACTGCGGCGTGAGCTGGAGGAAATACGCAGACTTGAACGTGCGGCCTATACGTGAGGAGTTGATTGACAAGAACAAGCCAGCAAAGCGTGAGGGGACGCCGCTCAGCGGGCCATTGGTCAAGAGAGCAAAGGTGTGTCGCGTTGTCCTTTGAGCAACGCAGACAGATGTTAATTCGCTGCTGGGATAGACCGCGTCTTCTGTGCACTCGACGCCTCCGCCTGCCGGACCTGCACCAGTCGCTTCACAAGTCCGCTGTCTTGCATGCCAGAAGACTGGTCCGATGGGCAAGGTTCTAAAGTGCCGACAATGTAACTTCCGCGTGCACGCTGGTACGTTAGCCTTCCATGCAATCATACTTTAGTCTGAGACTGCGGCTCACCTTTCTCGCACAAGGTGTCTGTGGAGTCATAGTTGATCAATCTACGGTGGAGTCCTGGGTATGCGACCTCTGTGCGAACGAGAAGACATTGGAAGCGTCACTAGTTCGTCTCCGTCTTTCTCACGTAGTCTCACGTTCTGAACAAGCAATCAGAGCGCAGATTGTCTGCTATGTCCTCGACCCAGACGAGATATTAGGAAGAGCATAGTATACCCGCCCCCAGATACCTACCTGCGCGCCTGCAAGCCGACGGAAGGCCAAGCCTGGGTCCACGTCATCTGCTCTGTATTTGTACCGGAGGTCAACTACTCCGACGCAGCGCGGTTACGGCTCGTGGAGGGCATCAGCGCTATCCCACAGTGGCGATGGGCCAACGTGAGTATGCCGGCTGCGAATATCAGGGTAGCATGTTCCCTGACGAGTCACTACTTGCCCAGAATTGCACGATATGCAATCAGAACGGAGGGTCTGTCATACGCTGTAGCGAGTGTCCTGCGGAGTATCACGTATCTTGTGCGTGGAAGCAGGGACACAAGTTTGGCTTCGAGATGCAAGGGGTAAGTCGTAGCTGGCTTCCAGGCTTCTAGGCTATGGATGTTCATGCTCCTTTGGCAGGTGAAGCCGAGTCGTAGGGATACAACTACGATAGTCGATTGGAATGAGGTCGAAGGCTGTATGGTTCCCGTGATCATCTGCAAAGGCCACGTCGGACACAGACGGGAGCTCATCGACATCTGCGCCACGAACGATCTGGGAGAGGTACGTTTCTGTTCTCCACAATTCCTGTCAGGCCTGCTCAACAGTTCTTGTAGACGGCTCTTCAGGTGTATTGCAAGAGCTACAAGCAAGTACCAATAGCCCAGACGCACGGCCTGCTCCGGAAAGCGCGACGGCTCGACTCCATCCTCAACAACGGCACCGAAAGCCTCCCAGCCGACAGCGACCTGCCCCCATCCTCCGAGCCTCGCTGTTACCGCTGTCACAGCGAGTTCTCGCCCTTCTTCCATCCTGTATCTGCGACCGCGAACGGTACGACCTCGCTTGCGGACCGGCGGACGTGGCAATGCCATCAATGCTTCGTCGAAACCCGGGAAACTCATAACCACGTCGCTGCAAATGGGATAGTGTCCTGATGTAACGAAAAAACCTGTGATGCCTACACGATTACATGTACTATTGTTATAGGGAGGGATTATCCAATGCAATGGGGTACGAAGATACACTGACAGCGGGAAAGATATGAGCGCGAAAGATGCCGGGTTAGTAAATAATAGCTTAGGGCTTGGTCCTCTTGTAAAACAACATGTACGCCGGCTTGCCCTGCGTGACTGTCGGCTCCCTGCCTGATATCGAAGAATGATGTTGATGCTCACCACTACGTCCTTGGGGTCAGCCTGGGAAATGCGACTGTCATCGCAGTACAGCCATCCGCCGCGCGATGATATGAACGCAGTGTCTTGTGTGATAGCGTCAATTAGTCTCCAGACGGCGCAAGAACGGACGAGCTTACAGTGACCACTGCTGAGCGTCCCGAAGTGATTCGTGACACCGTACAGATCATACTTATATGGCGGGATCTGCGCTCGTGGATCGTCGCGCGACAGCTGTTGACCACCGTTGTGAACACCCGGTGGCAATGGCGGTGGCATGTAGTTTGTAAGATCAAGGTTCTTCAGCGGGTAGTCGACGAATGTCTCGATCTTGTCAGTGAAGTGGCCCTTCGACGAGAATCGCTTCAGGTGGATGAGGAGAACCGGCGGGAGTCGCGACAAGGACAGAGTCTTCGTCGCTTTTCGCATCGCATCGCAATGGGGACAGTGCCTGTAGCAGGCATTGAGCAAAGGGTCTATGAACAGCTGAAATGATGACCAACCATGCATCCGACTTCTCCATCACTTCTTCCTTGACGAAGGCGTCCAAGCACGAACTCAGTGACACGCGTGACAGGGCTCGACCAGTTGGGATCGGAAGCGTCAAATACATGAACGTGTTATACGTCGTCGACGTCTGAGAAGACCAGTGAGAACCCTGCACCGTGGGACCACCGGGCAACACCACACACCTTATGGCACGTCAAGCACTCAAGGCGGTTCCGGAACTGGCCCTGGAAGAAGTCGACGACGAGGCTGTCATTGCGCATTCGCCAAATCTGCCACTCCTGCTCGCTCGCAATTTGCACCGGCAGCCTCTCCAGCTCCGCTTCCCTCTCCGGCGTGGTGTCTAGTTGTGGTTTTTGCAGTACGCGGTTCAGATCTTCGTGCAGCCCGTCCAGCAGGAAGTTCAAGAACTCCTGCGAATCGTGTTGCTCGGTGCCGCCAAATTGTGGAGCATAGGTACATATAGACCGCTACGGAAATGGTGAGTCCATTTCAGTATATCTGTGATCACGTCACTTACCCTGAATGTCACCGGCATCAAACACTGGGATTCGCCTTGCCACATATCGCGCAGGATATTCGCAAACGCCTGCGCCAGACTGCCCTTCGTGCCCATCGGGTTCATCATGTTGACAGCGCTCTTCCACCGACCGTCTAGAACACCACCAACTTGTCAAAGAAATGCTCTATGGAGCTCAAGAGAAGCCCACCTGTGAAGAACCGCGCAAAGGGCACCGTCGCACTCAAACACTGTATCGTCGAGTTCATATAACACGTGTTCCCTAGATTCTTCAGCCCAGACGTTCCGATCTGGATATCCGCCCAGTACGTGACCGGGTAATCTGACTGGATCGTCGGCGGCCTCGGCATGCCATTCACGAGCGACCGTTCGCAAGGTTGTTGTACGACGCGCGCTGCATGAGCCGCGGCCTGTTGTCCTGGCGCTCCATGCTACTCGACGCAACAGCGGGCGGTGGCCTCAGGATATGCTGTGACGACAGATCAGGGTAGTCTATCGACGTGCGCGAGGCGAACCCGGACAGCGCCTCCTGCGACTGGTCGACATAGTCGCTCCGGCGCCGCGACAGAGGCGAGGGGTTGATGGAGGCCTGTGGAGGCAACGGCACGGCGCCTGCAGACGAAGAAAAGGACGATCCAGATACTTGGGGGGATATATGGCGCACGACGGAGGGGTATTGTATTGGGCTCGTCCCATTGACGACGGGCTGTGGGGAGACGTGCTGGGTAACAGACTGCACAGGGGCGTGAGGTGCGGACGCGCATCTGTGTGACGGGAGACTTACGTTTTCGGGTATTGCAGGAGAAGGGTTGTATGGATATGATATGGAATTTGAGTGGAGCGCGTCATGGCGGGCTTGCGCACGAGCCGCCGTGCGGGGTCGATGGAAGGGGAGAGTGGAGTATCTATGTTGTGTCTACACAACACGGTTAGCCATCTACCATCCGACAATAATGTTCGGTAGTACCGACCTCATCGACACGGGCTGGTCGCCAGTGTAGTGCCCATTAGGCACCGCAGGCAACCTGCGTGATTGCAGATCGACGGCCGACTCTGTACCTGCTCTATGGCGCCCTGCGAGAGCTTGCTCGCCGCTCGAGACGGGAACCGCAGAGTGGATAGACGACGTCTCCGCAGGCGCACGCACATGGCCCGCAGACCTCGGCTCGACATAAGGCGACGCCAGCGGCGGTGACGACAGCCCGTTCAAACTCATCGACGACACGCCGTTAGCCAAACCCGACACGCTCCCCGAGCCCACTGCTGAGCTGCCCCCGCCCTGGAGCTCCGCCTCGCCATATTCACGCTTCCACGCTTGCAGGCCGCCGACGAGTAGCACAGGCGGGTGCTTGAGGAACTTGCGGAACGCGATCTCGTAGATGGCGCGCGTGAGGACGGACAGCGGCGAGTTCGTGTCGCCGAACGTCTCCGAGGCGTCGTCATAGATCCCGACGAGGTCGAACTTGTCGCGGTTCGCGAAGAGCACCTGTTCACCGCGTGGGGCGACCACGAGGGCATCCTCGATGCTCTGGGCTGTCACTCTGCGGGGTGAAGGGTCAACGCGCGATGGGTGAAGAGGGGATGGCACGCACTCGGGACGCAGGAGCACGCTCGGCTCGATGCACACCACCGTGTCTGTCTTAATGTGCTCCCTCTCAAACTCCGACCTCGTGCGTACGTCCAGCAGCAGCACCTTGTAGTTCGGTCGTTTGTTGTGCTCCATCAGCGTCTTCGGGAACAATGAGGTCGTAACGAGCGAATCCACTTGATTCTCCGATAAGGAGTCGATGGAGGAAGTACAGGCGATCTTGACGCGGACGAACGGAGTGAGAGTCCGGACGGCTTGCGGGGCACTGTCGGAGAGAGTGGAGAGCGCGCGGGGGATGCTGGACGGCTGTTGAAGGTGTCGATCGTAGGAGGTATGGGCGTACTGGATGGGCGCGGACCAGGGTCCATGGGGAGCACAGGGAAGCGTGGATGTACGAATGGCGACCTGTCCGCCCGCCCCCCACTGGAACCGGTCGGTATAGAGTGTAAGTTCAGCCCATCATGCTCTTCTAGCTCGTCGATGGAAGGGAACGACGTCGCGAACTCCGACAGACTCAGGTGCGACACGCGGGGTGAGGACGACGTAGACGAGGATGGCGAGGGCGGACCGAAGCTCGATGTCGGAACAAGAGCATGGGGCGACGGTGCCGCTGCGCTTGCGAAGGTCGGAGAGGCAAGAGTGGTGAAGCTAGGTGGTGACGGTAGGTTCTGCAAGGACATGCGCTGCGGCTTGAGCATTGGCACGTCGGGCAGTGTCGACGGCAGCGTCGGCGAAGCTACCTCGCGCGAAAGTCGTTTGTTCGTTGATACTGCGAGGCCGCCATTCTGTAGTAAGCGGATCCGGTCCGCTATGCTGGTTCCTACGGCGGGGCTCTCCGCCTCGTCCTCGTTGCTCGCCGACGCCCTGTGCGAAGATTAGCTCAGGCAATGCAACATGGTTGAAGGCGCACTGAGACTGCTCCTGCTCCGTGATCCTCGCCTCTAAGCTTTTCATCCTAACCTGCACATCCGCGCCTTCGCGCTGTGGAAGGTAAGCTGGGAGCGCCGTACAGTCACCGTGATACGTACCTGCTGGAACTCTACTAACTCTTTGGAAAGCACACCTCGCTTCCCAGGCTGCATCTCCGCCTTGAAATCTGCAGTTTCCATGATCATAGCCGTGAGCGAGACGGCCTTGGTCAGCGCGCTGAGGGCGTTCTTGAGGTCGCCGGACAGCTCAGACTCGCGCGCATGGGTGATCTGCGCGCGTGCACTGCGCAGGAGCGACAAGGGAGATGCGCCCTTGACCTTTAGGGCCTGTTCTTTTGCTACCTCCTTGATCTCCGCGACGGTGCCGTTGTGAGGAGTACCGTATCCATTTTGCATCCTGGGTGAGGCGAGACCTCCTAGAGCTGAGGCAGGCGGCAGGACCGTCACACCGGGCATGGGCCCTCCAAAGTCCAGCAGGAGAGAGAAAGAATAAAGATATGTTAGTGCAGAAAGCGGGGCATAGGGCGGCAGCCGTTCGATGTCCAGTCAGGCCAATGCGCTCAGCCACGGCAAGCCAGTATCCAAGCCTCTGGCCGCCTATTGTCTTACGTAATCGTCGCCAAACTGGGCATCCTGCGCACTCCGACGGCACTCGCGCGCAGGACGTTGACCGCTCTCTTCAGTGTCACCGCCACCCGCAGGTCGGCGCACATCCACTACTCACCGCGGGGCGCAGCGCGCAGAATTTCGGCGGCTGGCTGTGCCCACACGAGGGCTGCGCGGCAGTGATGCTGTTCCGTGGCCACTAGGTTGATCAAGAAGCTGCTTGTGGTGAGCTTCGTGCAGTCTGACGGGAAGCCATTCGCTTCCCCTGCGATTGGCCCATGGCCAGGTCCAAAGCATGGTAGAGCATGATTTGTGTTCGCTATCAGACGTATTCACACCGCTGGTTTGCATGCAGGAGATCATCTGCCTCCAGCCATTCACCGCCTTACAGTATGACAGTCATTGACGTGAATACTCCAGGCCACTGCATTCCGTAGGCCATGTATGTCAGAGAGCGATGACAATTGCCAGCAGTCCACCGTGTACGATGTCAGATGTGCACCTCATCGTGGAGAGCTCGTAGGCTTGTTGGAAGGATGTCAACTGTCGAGCGGGCAGTGGGATGCTACTGGTCCGTCTCGCAAGCCCGGTTGGATATTCTCTCTTCGTCTTTGTCCTGCTGATCCATAGTATTCTATGCACGTCTGCGTGAACTTATGAGCCTAGTGGCGATAGGGTCCCTGCCGTTAACAGGCTTGAAATTGGAGGAGTCCAGTCTCCCGACCTTTCATTCTTGGGCGCCACAATGTGGAACCACCGGGGTCCAGTCCGTTAAGGTTGTGTTGAACACGATGAACAGGGTGTTCTCTGCGTCGTCTTAGGCAGCAAGTCTTCCTTGTGGCCGAACGTGCATGGTGGACGAAGCTTTATCTCATGCGAAGATGTTCTATCGCTGCCAGTGGTCGGTGTGCACGTCTTCGGTGTTGGACGCGTTGCCCAGAAAGGCAAACCGCGGCGCGAGCGTCACCTTCGCGAGTTCCGCCATCCCATGACCCGTTCCTGTGGGCGGTTCGGCCATGCTGCGTGTGTGTCCTTCGCCCATCCACGGTCGTCCGTGGCGGCCCAGTATCCTCGTATGCGCTGCTACTCCTTAATAACACAGGTCTAGCCTATCAGGTTGGATGCGTCAAGCGAGGGTGATTACTTCGACCCAAGAACCGCCGGGTGGACACGAGTTGCGTCCGCACTTGTCATCACGGTAATGGTCGGCGTGGCTCCCAAACAGCTAAGCCTTCCTTTTCGAGGCCTTCAGATGACACCCTCCACGGCAGCCCAACCGCAGGATATAAGGCGCTGTCCTTGTCCCTCAGTGTCAACGTGCCTCACCCCCACACACATCTAACTGTAACACATCATGCCAATCCCCCTGACAAAGAGAGCGAAGTCGATGTCCTCGTTATTGGCGCCGGCCCCGCGGGGCTCATGGGCGCGCACGCCCTGCGGAGGGCCGGAGTGAATGTGCGGGTGGTCGACCAGAGGTATGACAGATTTCGGCTTGTGTACATGTCGAGCTCGCGGACTTATGCACGAGTAAACCTTCAGGCCACACAAGGTCGCTGCGGGACAAGCGGACGGCATACAACCCCGTACGATCGAAGTATTCCAGGTAGGCCGTCATACCGTGCGTACCGGATGCGAATCTGACCAGCCTTTAGAGTTATGGGCTGGCGGAGCGTCTCCTACGAGAAGGCAACCAGATGCACATGGCTGTGAGTGGCTATTTCCGGACCGAGCTAGAAGTGAACACCAATCTCATCCCGGTCAGGCATTCTACAACCCGACTGCCAATGGCGGCATCGAGGTACATTTGACCTTCTTCTTTCAAACGATGTACTGACGTGCTCCGCAGTGCGCTGGACGGGCTCCTGATGTTTCGGCACCGACTGCCCGCTACCCCTTCGAGGTTGGTACCCTACGCTATGCAATGGTGTTGATATCTCATGCCAATAACACCACAGGTGACGCTACACCAAGGGGGGATCGAAGCCATTTTCTTGGACTCCATGTCCGACATGGGCATGCAGGTGGAACGGCCAGTCGTACCATCGTCAATCGAGGTATCAACCGACGAGGCTGAGCTCAAAGACCCGCAATCACATCCGATCAAAGTCGTGCTCAAGCATCTGGATGTGCCAGAAGGCAAAGTCGACACCGAGATTGTCCGGGCGAAGTTCGTGTTGGGCGCAGATGGTACTGACATCATCGGTACTGTGCTCAGAGGGGTGCTGATCTCAAATTCATTGACAGGCGCGCACTCATGGGTGCGCAAGAGTTGCGGTATCGCGATGGAGGGTGAGCAGACTGGTAAGTCCCAGCATCCTAAATCTTAGCACGCGTCAACTTAACCGTGATATCTCAGATTTCATCTGGGGAGTCGTCGACATGGTCCCCGACACGGATTTTCCCGACATCCGGAACCGATGCGCGATCCACTCCTCCAACGGCTCGTGCATGATCATCCCACGCGAGGGCGACGTCGCACGGTTGTACATCCAGCTGACCGACACAGACGTCGTCGACGGGAGCGGGCGCGTGGACAAGAGCAAGATGGGCCCGCAGCGGCTGCTCGAGGTTGCCGGCAAGTCGTTCCACCCGTACAAGATCGCGGCGAAGGACACGATTGAGTGGTGGACGCTGTACATCAGTGAGTTGCGATTGTACCCGGAAGGCGCTAATGCTCAACGTTCACGTGCTTGGCAGTTGGACAGCGGGTCGCGTCGAAGTTCTCGGTCAACGAGCGCGTCTTCATTGCAGGAGATGCATGCCACACGCATTCACCGAAAGCTGGTAAGTCAAAGGTGACTGTTGAAGCTGAAGGTCAGTATTTAACAATCACATTAGGTCAGGGGATGAATGCGAGCATGAAGACACACACAACCTTGGTAGGCTTGAATTCACAGCAATGTCCACCACAGTGACTGACTGCATTCAGCATGGAAGCTCACACACGTGCTTCGGGGATGGGCCGACATCTCTTTACTGAAGACCGTAAGGACCTCCACGATCTCCCGCACGAACCCGTCTACTGACACGTTTGCGCGCTCCGCAAGTACGAGTTCGAACGCCAGAAGTACGCCCGGGACCTCATCAACTTCGACAAGAAGTTCTCGGCCCTCTTCTCCGGCAAGCCTCGAACGGAGGAGCACCAGGACGGTGTCTCGCACGAAGAGTTCTTGGAGTGAGCTTCTGCCGCTACCTCCATACCCGAGCCCCAACTGACGAGCGTACGCGTCAGAGCCTTCCAGACCTTCGGCCTGTTCACGAGCGGCATCGGCGTCCACTACCAACCGTCTGCCATCGTGAACACGGAGCACCAGGCGCACGCGCGGAACCTCATCATCGGCCAGCGCGTGCTGCCCCACGTCTTCGTGCGCGCGTCGGATGCGCGGCCGTTCGAGATCCAAGACCTCCTCCCCTCAGACGCGCGCTTCAAGGTCCTCGTGTTCGCCGGCGACGTCGTGGAGCCGGCACAACTCCAGCGCGTGCAGCAGCTTGCTGAGGAGATGGGGAGGCCGGAGGGCTTCCTGAAGCGCTTCTCGAAGAGAAGCGTGGAGGAGAGGTTCGACGTTTTGACGATCGCCTCGGGCGACAAGCTCAAGGTCATCACCGCCGACGTCCCAGCCATCTTCCGGTCGCACTGGTCGAAGTGAGTGTTGCATCCCCTGGCTTAGACGTGTAGTTGCTGAGGCACGTGGCGTTGCAGGCTGTTTGTAGACGGTCGGGACATGTTCAAGCGTTCGGGCGGCGGTGGCTACGAGTACTATGGCATCGACCCCCGCGGCGCTATCGTCGTCGTTCGTCCGGACGGATATGTTGGCATGGTCGCACCGTTTGAGCAGCATAAGGCGATTGATGGGTACTTCGCTTCGTTTCTTGCTGCATGATACCTTTTAGTCGTAGAGCATGGTCTCTTTTGGTCCGACGTTTGCATTGCAATGTACGATAGCGCAACATATTGTAGGGATAATGCATTTCACGACTGTGCCCTGTAACGAAGAGGTGCTAGGTCCGAGTGACGTATCAGCGCTCTATCACACTACTGTCCTACAAGTTTCGAGGTGATTAGGTCCTTCTTGAATGTTACCTGCAGATGTTAGGTCGCAGGCTCTGTTTAGGCTCAAGATAAACTGCTCCGCAATCCTGGGGGCGATAGAACGTACATACAAGCTAGATTAGTACAAGTACAAACATACTAGATCAGTGTCGTCCGAATGGAAGGGCAACTGTCCTAGAAATCCACCTCTCTTCAACAAAGAACACCCGTCTCAAGCCTTCCTCGAGGACGCTCCCATAATCGCCTCAGATCGCGCCCTCAACGGGTTGCTCAGAGCCCTGGCTCTCGTCTGGCGAGCGTTGTCCGCTGCGCCCCTCCTGGCCTGAAGGCTGGTCTCCAATGCCTTCGCGCCAGCTGTCAACCAGGTCTCGAGCTGCTTCGCGCCACTCTCGACCAACGCCCCCAGCTGCTCCGCCAGCCCTCCGCTCTGGATGGCGTCTGCCTCCGTGTCGAGGCCGTAGATCCCGATGACGACCTTGCCGTGGCGCGTGCCGATGACGCAGTAGTCGTCGCCGGCCTGTAAGGTCGCTTGGGCATGCCCGTTGCGGGCGTGGAAGAGAGGCTGACGAGCATCTCGCGGTCGGAGCCGCGCACGACGCGGGCGCGGGAGGCGAAGTGGGGGAGGAAAGTGATCCCGCTGGCCCCGCGCCGAGAACGGAAGGCGACGGAGCCGTCGAAGCTGGGCGGGAGGAAGACGGTGATATTTCCGTGGCGTGTGGACACGTCCAGATCGGCGCTGCGACCGAGCTGTATCTCAGTCTGCGGGGTTGAACGTCGCGTCAGTCCGCGGTTACGTCTCTCGTCCAGAGGTCCCGGCGGAACTCACCAAGTTGACATGAATTCGTCCATGACGACTGGAAAGCATCACGCGCCCACGCGCCTTCCGCTGCCCGTCGACGGAGGAGGCGGTCATAAGAGCCGAGTTGGCGATGCCGACGTTAACTTTGATAGGCCCGTGGCGAGTCCGGAAAGCCGCGTTGACTTCTGGCTTGCGTGAGCTGCGGCGACGCCATTTCGCTGTGTCCGAGTGGTCAGAGTCGTCGCCCCCACCTGGGACGGACCCAAACGCATGGCGCACGTTGCGCGCATGTGCCTTGTCGACAGAGCGGCTGCGTCGCCCTCTGTACCCGCTATTGACACCGATGGCAGCAGGGAGACGCGGATCAACAAGGTATGTACCTGGTTGACATCGGTGAGACAAGCCCAGTGGGTGAGTGAAGAAATAGACGAACCCAAAATGGCGTCGTGGCGAGAGAAAAGGGACAAGTGATTCACGCACTGCTGCTGGATGGGCTGGTAGACAGGGGCGGAAGTGGAAATAGGCCTGGATGTGGAAGCCTGAGCTGCGCGAAAGCCAGCAGATGGACCATCGTAAGGGGGAGGCTCGTCCATTATTTCATTCTACGGGCGACTTAGGGTGTCAGTGTCTCATCCTACTAGTCTCCAGCGAGCAATTACCGCACCTGGACATGATGGTTAACTACGTCCTGCTTCTTTTCCGGACCCATGTTGTCAATGATCATCATGATCAGCGGAGTGACTGCCCGTAAATAGGACGCTAAAGGCTCTGTGAAGGTCAAGAGGAGGAGATCTGCCCGTGAGTAGGACGCTGTAGGTGGTTGTGAGGAGTCATGACGCGTATGAACTCAGTTATAAACGGCTAAGTACCTGCAGGTGCGCAGCGATCTGGAAAGATCTACATCGGTTCACGTGTACATGAGCGGTGAGGGAGGCTGTGTAGCTGTCTGATGATAAAGGGCCCAGTAGTATTAGTAGGGGCGCAGCGCCACTCATGAATCAATATTCAGGGGCCGTGCTGGCACTGCTAATAGCCAGATCTGCAGAGAGCGCCGCAGTATTAGTAGTACAGCACGCAGTCTGACCAGGCACACCTTCCTCTATCTCACCTACAAGTAATGTCGTAAAAGGCATCGTACCTACCACGGCCAACGGCCCTGCAGGGGATACAGATGGAGTCGGGAAGTGAGTATGGGTCGGAATAACGGCGCAGCTAATAGTCCTCTTCCCACTCCAACAATCAGAGAACTTCTGGTAGATGAGCGACATGAGCTTAAGTCGCGCGGTGCTAGTCGGCCTTCAAGCTTCAAGCTTCAAGTCTTGCCTGAGGACCACTGGCACAACGTCGACACGTAGCCCAAGGAACGCGCCTCACCGACGCGTACGGGGGCCAATTGCGAGAGCTCATGCCTATGCAACGAGACTCTGGACTCGCTGGCATTTTGTGAGTAGACTCAGCGCGGAAAGTTATATTGAATCAAGTACACATTTGGTCTGGATCGAGATCGGGATCGTACTCAACGCCAATGTTGGGTTCATGTGCATGAGCACCCAGCTTAGTCACCGGCACGAACACGAGGATCGACCGCGACTACTTGATGAAGTACGAAATCTATCACCTGGTATGGGCGCGATGCGACGCTACATGCATCACCGATAGATACATCTCTGTGGTCCATTCTGTGGTCCATTAACATGAAGCGGCGCACTGGCAGGAGATAGCTCCGCGATTAGTAGGGATCCCGCGGAAAGCTGAACGTATATATCGTGCTTCGAGAAGGCGGCGGTGATTTAGTACTTAGACTGAATTAGTCGGAGTTGTGAGACGCACAACACGCCTAATCAAACCACAGGCGAAGCGCGACCTCACTCGTGCTACAATCCACTCGATACATCGGACCGGTACGCATTGCTAGAGGACGCCCCGCACAATGTATGAGTATTTCAGTGACTTGTGAAGCTATTCAAGAGGCTTACTGCGATCATCTCAAGTTGGGCATACTCAGTCCATCGGCTGCTAGGGGGCCGATGGAGTGAGAGAAGCGCCGCAGTTTCATTAAAAACGAACCCTCTCCTCGGTGGAAACCCGGATGTGATAGCACGACGCAATTGGCGAATCCACAGGCTTCACAAAGGGAACTTCTAAGACAACGAATGACACAGCCGCAAGCTACGCAGCAAGGGGTGCCCCAAGCACCACTGCGGCGCACCTGCGCGCGCACGGTGACCACTACCTATCTCGCAATTTGAATTTTTCCTTTCGTAAGACGGACACTCACCGACGGACATGGTTCAATGCTTGATACTACTCGAGACAGTGACAATATGACGTCCAGTTCATCATTGAGCGACATCTTTACGTGTAAGCGATGGGCACAGAGCGCTGTTCTGTTGAACGTCGTTAGATGCACGCGCTTATGCGCACACGACAAGAGCCGGTAATGAAAGCGCACAACGCGTTACTCGAGGCGTTTATTGGTTCTCTTCGGCAGGTAGGTGAGGATGCCATCCACGACCCGCCGAATTCCTGGCACGGCACCAGCGAACCTTCGCGGAGCCACATGGTGGCCGGGATCGCATGTTACGATTAATGTAACTGCGACGCTGTCGGACACGCGGATTTGCTAAAGCCCCGAGCGTCCTGCGAAACATACTAGTAAGTATGGTTGCCAGATATACGGACAAAACTCTGACCAAGTAAACCGCCGGAGACACTCCAATGGCGGTAAGAGAATCAATATAATACATTGTCTCCGACAGTCCAAGAAGGAACTATGGCTTTACACAACAAGAAAGATGAATGAGGCAGTGTACGGTATACAAACCATTGTCGTTGCCAATACATTGAATAACAGCACAGGCTTGGAGATTTGTTACCTACCGGCGAATGTCAGTTGTTGGAGCAGATGTACAAGAATCATCTTACAGCGTAGTCTGTCGAGAGCAATACAATTGTAAAAACACGGGTAGAAGATGCGCAATATTCAGAAGGATCTACAGGCGTCGACAAATATTGACCTGAGCAAATCACGTCAATAACCAGCAAAATGGATGCTTACCACTCTGGGTCTCATTACAAACTGCTCCTGTCATATCTGGGGGTCCAACGTTTGCGAGCTAACAGCAGTGGCAATTTGACAGTAAGAATGGCGCGTATGCGGGGTAGGTCTTCCTCTCGTCGCGTAAATGCACCTAGAAACGACAGTTCGAGCACTGCGTCTTTTGCCGCTCGTTGTGCAACATCGTCAAGCAAAGAGTCGATGGATATCCAGTCGATCCTTTCCCATTGTGTCATTGGAGGCAGGACCAGAAGGAGGCTGAACGATCTGGTATCGACCGTGAACATCTGGCTCACCAACATGATCCCAAATACAGCCAGCGAGGACCATGCGATGCGCGCGTTCAAACGCTCCACGCTGCTCCCTTCGATAGGCAACGCTCTTAGCAAGTCCATGCCATATTGGAGAGCATCTCTCTCCCGTGGAAACCTGAGATTCTCGGTGATGAACTCCTCGATGACAGCCTCTTCTTCTCTCTCGTCATCGACCAACTCGATAGGAGGCCCGGTCGTGTGTCCGCCCTCCTCCGCGTCGTCGTCGTCGTCGTTTTCATCGTCATCTCCTTCGTCGTCGCCCGCGTCCACGTCCATCGGATCACCCGCTTCCGCAGCGTCATCGTCATTGTCAACTGGAGCCTGCTGTGGCTCGTTTTCGACTTCCATTGGCTGTGGCGCCTGTGCATCTTGAGGCGGTGTTGCTTGTACGTTTACAGCGGGCACAGGGGCAGCCGGTTGAACTTGTACTTGCGCCTGGGCGGCAGGCGCAGGAGCTTGGGCAGCTGCAGCTGCAGCTGCCGCTTCAAGGCGTGCTTGGACAACCTCTGCTGTGAATGATGTTTGTCATCAAGCAGGATGTTCGTCGAAGGGCACTCACATCCAGGCATAACCATACATTGTTGATATATGAGGCTCTTGAGCGACGGCGCGAGGCGTCGAAGTAAAGTGATAAGACTCGTGATCTCCGTGTCTTCCCACACGATGAACGCCTTGTCCACGGTCACGACGTCGCGCCGACCGAAGAGCCATTGGACGAACGGCCCATAGCGCGCGAACTCCGTCTGGCCAATGTGCAGGTAGCGCAAGTGAAGATTCGCGGTGCACTCGAGCTGCTTGCGTGCGTGGTTCGCGCGATGCCATGATAGGGTCTCCATGCTGAGTCCATCGATGTTTGGGAAGGCGTTCAGCGTGCGGAACATCTGGTTTGAGTTCCAGAAGTCAATGGCGCTCAAGGTCAGGCGCCGTGCGCCCATGAAGTGTGTCAGGAGAAAGACACGAGTGGCTGGCGCGATGTCCCCCCAACTCAGGTCCCGCAGATCAAGCCATTCGATCAGGGCGGGGTCAACTGTTGTGAGAAAGGGGACGATCGCATCCATCCAGCGATGATCTGGCTCCCCTTCGTCGTTGAGACCGGAGTTTGCGTCATCGCCGGGATATGCATCGGGGGTCAAGCAACCGAGGATCTCAACCTCTCGAACGTATGGAAGCAGACAGCCAGGCGTGTAAGCCTTCTTGAAAGAGTCTAAGTTGGTCAATGGCTTGAGGCGGAGACGACGGTACAGATGCATTCGACAGCGGTGGAGGAACGCCCAGCTGGCCAGACAACAGGCAAGAAGGTCCTGCCTATCCGGGATAGAGTCGATAATTATATCACGTAGTTCTTGCGATAGCTGGGGTACGGGAGGTCCGTCTGGTCGGAGGCTGCCTCTTGCTCAGTGTGAATACGTTTCACAAAGAAGATGATACGAACTCATCCGTCTGAACCGTCGCAGCTGAATCAGGGTTGCGGTTGGTGGGTCCGGGCATTTGTTCCTCGGCGGCGCTCTTTGGGTCCTCCTGGACGAGCTGAAGCTCTGGTTCTTTGCGAATGATGATTTTCTCTGGGAGAGTTTTATCTACATGTATGAGCTGGTTAGTGACGGGGCCGAAGGAGCTTTATACGCACTACGTTCAGATTGAGAGCCGGACATTATCTTGTGAAGAAACAAAATTGTCAGAGGAGCGCAGCAATACAAGCGGGCCTTCTATGCTGCGATCACGTTGTATTACGGAGTAGAAAGGTTTAGACATACTGTTTAGACGGCGTGAGTTCGACGAGTTGACAAGGAGCGATGGAAACTGGGAGTTGGTCCCGGTCGACAGCGAGGATGTCGCTGCGCCCTCCACAACTAGAACAGTAGCGCAGCTAGACTGATACCAATTCTGGAGGTCTTAGGGAATCCAAGTGTGCAAGTGGCAGTAAGGACGTACGAAGTCAGAGGGCAGTGCCTTTATATATGTCGGCTTGTGGCGTGGAAGCCGGTCCTGTCCACGTTGCGATCGGCGAAAAACTAAAGCGTAGCGGAGGTGCTCACAAGGAACAGCGGACATGAAAGGGGGCGACGGACCTATGAAAGCGACTCCGAGTTCTTGAGGCCGGGGCTGGGACACTGACAGTGTGTGGTCCTATGAGAGCCGAATGAGACACAGTGACACACAACAGGCCCCATATATTGACTAAGCGCCCATCACCCGATTTGGAGAGATAAGCACTTACAACGTTAATCATATGCTCACTTACTTATGTAAAAGCACAGCGTGAACCCCATAATTAAGCTCGCCAGTAATGTTATGTAATGTCATCCAACCCGGCAACTCGCTGCCATTGTGTTCGGCAAACGAGGTCTAAACGCGTCGACGTCGGCCCCTTCGACGACCACCTCTGTCTCGGACCATGGACCTACGTGACGACCAACCTGTCCAGACACACACTGCAGAATGGCATGCTCCGTCTCAGTCTCCCCCGTTAGACGACCCAGCAGGTGCGGCCGTTCACTTATAGCATTCTAGATCCGCTACTGAAGGGACTTCGATCGCAGACAAGGCGTCCCGCAAACGCGAGCGCGAACTTTCAATGGAGCCTGCTACACCTCATGATACACCACCAGTCAGTGTGCAGTTGACCAACGAAACCCATGATCGAGTGGCCTGAGCCAGGCTGAACTGACCACACATACACGCCAGGAGATCGAGCCCAAGACCGCCGATCCCAAGGAGAGGCGCACACCGGCAAAGAAGAACCGAACGAGCGCACAATTGGACGCTACCGAGGAGGAGGACGAGTCTGGCTCAGGTGTGAGCTGTTCGCCACCAACAGAGTCGAAGATCAGGCAGATCAGCCAGGGAGTCGAGGATATGACATGGAAACATATCCGGAAGGACAGCCTCTGTGACCCAGACCACGAGATGGATGTTCGTGAACCCGAATCTGAGGCAGAGCATCAGACTGCTCCCGAGGTGAGCGACACACACGAGGAGGACGAGCAGGCTCAGCGAGGGGACGATCTCGAAGAGGAGCCGATCAAAGCGAAAGTGGCCGGAGGAGATGAGGTCGCTGTTCCCCCAATTCTGCTACAGGGAGAGAATCCTCCGCAGGTCGAATACGATGCTGGCGAGGACGAACACGCCGGTCAGGCCGACCCAGCTGAGGTTCCCAGGGAAGCTCAGCCCTCCGACCCTGCTCCCCTCTTCGACAACCCGGAGGTACACCCAGAAGTCTCGGCTATCTCTGCCATACCGCCCGTACTCACGTCTTCATCACCACCCCACTCACGTCGTAGCTCAGAGTCCGACGGGGAAAAAGGCGTCAAGCGTAAACTTCGCGACAGGACTGTCAGCGAGAGGTTCGTCCCAGGTGAGGCCGATGGGGAAACCAATGCGGCCACCACGAAGGCTGGCGCAATCAAGCGCCAGCGAGACGATGCAGACACTGACGTGAATCCGCGTGTCACGAAACGGCCGACTCCTCCGCCAGAGGAGGCAGAGGGGACGTCGCAGAAGGCCGAGGCATCATCGTCGCAGGATAGCAAGCCTGCTGCAGTGCCAGCGGCGCCGTCTACTCCTAAGTTTGTACGTGCCACTCCTTCGACTCATTTCTCCGGGCTCATACAAGTGTGTTGCAGGGTGGATTCATGGCGTACGCATCTACCAGCTCTCCATTTGTGTCCGTATCAGGTCAAAATATCTTCAACAAATCGAAGTCCCCTCCTCCTTCGAGCAGTCCGTTCGCGTCGACGTCTGCGTCAACCTCATTTGCATCGGCGTTCACCGCTACGCCGTCTAGTTCGCCAACTAAGTCTGCGACGAATTCCCTGGAGACGCCTCTCCCGCAGAAGCGCACGGGTTTCGAGGCCTTCGCGTCTACCTCATCTCCGTTCGCCAGCGTTGCCAAGCGGCCTAAATCACCTCCACCACCGCCGTTCAGCGGCAACAGTCTCGCACGGAGCCGCTCGCCATCGCGCCATCCAACCTCCGCGCGTACGGGGAGTGCATTTTCCACCAGCGCTTTCTCGGCTTATGCAGCAGGAGGTGCGCAGGGTTTCTCAGCGACGAATTCTCGGTCCGAGCGGGCGAGTCCTGCGCCAAGCGAGGGTTCGACCAGAGGAACGAGCGTCTTGGATGCGGGTACTAAGGATGACGCCGACGAAGAAACCGGTAATGGTACCGTCAGTTTCAGCGAGCGGTTGCGGTCACAGAAGGACGAAGACGACAGCGAGGAGGGCGAGCGAGTGAAATTGACTGAACAGGAAGGTTCGTAACTATTCCTGGCCTCGGCTGATTATTGAAATGACTCTTCCTGTGTCTCGATCCGCGTGCAGTCCACACAGGCGAGGAGGACGAGGAGACCGTATACCAAGTTCGGGGCAAACTCTACGCCTTGAGCCCGCAGAACCAATGGAAAGAACGCGGTACGGGTACGCTGAAGCTCAATGTCCACAGGGAGGATGGCACGGGGGCTCGCTTGGGTGAGTTCCATTCTTTCATAGTAGCGGAAGCGGAGTGGCCGTTGAGGCGTGCTGATCATATATGTAGTAATGCGGAAAGAGGCTGTCTACACGGTCCTATTGAACGCTACGCTGTTCAAGGGCATGAAGTGTTTTACGGCACAAGACCCTCGCTATATCCGGTTCAGTGTCTTCGAGGGTGGTACTGCAACGCACTACAACCTCAGGGTGCGCGAAACCTCCACCTGATTTTACTAACCCTGCTCACGACCCCGTTCTGCAGGTCCAGACGGCGAAGATCGCGGACGAACTGATAGATGAGATCAACTCGCACATCCCTGGCGAGTGAACTCTGCACGTAGTTGCACACTGATCTCCGGATGAGGACGCTCGGACTCAGACACGCCGATATGTGTTATACAAGCTACGAGCCCCGTGCACCTTTTGGTCTTTGCTATTTTACACCGAATCCCACTGGCATTTGACGTTTCACAGATTCTAGGTGCTAAGATGACCTTGCATTATGATATCTTTGTGTGGAAGAGCGCGCTGAGGTCCTGCATAGTGAACAAATATGCCATTCCCGCGCTCCGATAGACCACCATCATTCCGAGGACCAATATTAGGACGGCCACTCGATCTGTGTCCAACGATCGCATGATTCCAGAAAACGCGCCGGGCAAAGCGGGCGTGCGATTCCTTGACTCGGGATGTCGACTTAGGCGATTGGTGCACCGCGGCAATAGCCATCCTCGTTTTCTTTTCCTTCTTTTCTTCAGAGCAATGACGGGTGGCAGGGCCAGATTTTTTTGGTGTCCGATGATCGACAGGTCGAGCTTCAAGCTTCACAGACGACTCACGAAAGCTCTGAATAGAGGTCAGACTTCCTCGGATCTTATTGAATGCGGCTGAACTTTCTCGGAGCTGGCACCTCTGATTGTGTTGCAGGCCTTCTCAGCGCCTTGGTTCTGGTGCCTCATTATTCGTTCGCCACGTCTCATGCTCACATGCTTCTACGTTTTTTTTTCGCGGCATTTGTCCTCCAGTAACGCACCCATATTTTGGCCGGGCCGCTATGGTTCCCGAGAATGACCTGGCCGTTGACAACTCATATGTATGTTCATTGAGTTCCGGATAGACCTCGTTCACTCAATCTCAACCGCCAAGTGCTCACTGAATGGTACTAGTAGTAATCTATCCATGTGATTGAAGGCAATCGCTATCTCATTGTCGTCGTTCCACTGCAGGTTCATTGTGAGGTTGTACGCTCGTCATTTCGCTTCGACTGATGTTAGAGCCGATTGCTCAAATGGGTGGCGCATGACCTGAAAGTCCATTGAACCAAGTCGGTGAATGGCCTTTCTGTGTAACTTGAGAACTTCTGCACTTCTACAGACAATTTGTCTATCCACGCACATTACAATTTCGGAGTAATGAGTCACCGGTCAGGTGTTGAGCTGAAGCCACGTAACCCCCACTCAACTGGGTTTCACGGCCTCTCGAAAGCCAAATAGGTTCCGAAGACATAAACCCTTCGCGTGTGACTGTGTGCCATAGGGTCTTGGTACTAGTCTCTCTTGCTGGCCAAAAAGAGATACTCATTTCTTGGTATGAGGCTAGCTCCGGCCACACATACATCATTGTGCGGACTTCGCACCGTGTTGAACGGGCCAGGTGGCTCGAGAAGTGTCTAGGATGTCAGGAGGTGAGAGGTATAATCAAGCGACTCATGTTTTCCTCATGCTGTGCGACGAATCGCTGTCTTTCTATAGCGCAGTGTGGCCAGTGCCTTGCCGGTTGGGCCACCTACTATGATGCAGGCCACCGGGGGCCACCAGGGTCCGATTACAAGCCTTCGGTGCGCAGACGGCATGGAATTCATTATTTCTGGCATGGATGTGGTACACTGTCGGCGGTATGTGGAGTCTGCTTTCCGCATTCCAGTTGACAGAGGTACGACGCTTGACATGTTGTTGCAGGTCCGCATACTGCTGTCAGACTAGTACTAGTAGTAGTGATCGCACCGCAGAATCGATGGAGACACTCGATCACACCCTCGAACGCTGTTATTCCTCCGCACATGTAATAACACAACGGGTTGTTGATTCAGCGTTCGCGGGGCCGTTACATAACTCTATTAGCGAACAGCACTGTCAGTCACGGTATGGCCTGAGTAGTACGATACCCTCCGTAGGCTTTCCCCGAGCGCAGACGTACCCACAGGTGTAGTAGTCCGTTGGTCTTCGTACCACTTCAATATAACATGGAGTTAGACATGCTATAGCTTGCGATCGAATATTACGCTACCTCTGTTGTATTACGACCTGTTTTATTCATTTGCTCTAGCAGGACCACCGAGCAAGTACACAGTCACTGGCCCTGCTGTGTGCGAGCTTTGCACGCGGTTCGCCGGTTTCCCCCGCGACTCGGTTGCGGGGATTGGGCGCCCAATTGAGCGAATCTGAGATCCGATCGCCTTCGCGTGGCCGGGCGCTCAGGTGAACAGACCCGGCGACCCGGGTGTTCTGACCGGCGGATCCTCGACCCAGGCGGTCGCTGCGTGGCTGTTCGTTGTCTTTGTCGGTTGGGCAGAGGGCGAAGGCTATAAAATGTTACAGAAGGCGTTGCTCGGATATAGGAACAAAGGCAGAGGCTGGTACAGACAGAGCAGTCGAGGAGAGGAGGCTTAATGTCATGTCGTAGTCGCGAGATAACGATCTCGATTGCCCCTGTGATCAACGACGCGTTTTCTGACGGGGTCAACTCTTTCTCAGCCGCTTCCTCCCAACCGCCATGAACGTCGCTGCCCTCCTCCAGGACTCGCCGTCCGACGACCATGACCACCGCCGTCGGCAGCAACAGCAGCAGCAGCAGCATCGAGAACGAGAGCGCGAGCAGCCGCAGCCACCCCTACATCACCGCTCGCCGCCTCAGGAACGCGGCCTCGAGCGCGACAGCAGGCCCACGCCCCCGCATTCACATCACCACCACCACCAGTCTCTGCCACCAAATCAGTCGTATTCACCCCATGCTACGAGACATCAACCACCGCCCTCGCCACCGCACCGATATGCGTCCGACTACGGGCCTCATTCCCAACGCATGGCACCGCCACCTCCGCCGTCATCATCCTCGAGCTACGCACCTCCGCCGTTTGACATGCGACGGCGGTCAGACCCGGAGCAGCCGCGCGTGCATGAGATAGCACTGCACCCACATGGACCAGGAGGAGGGCATCCAGGTGAGTCGTCCTTGTATCCCCTTCGCTTACCCCTCGGAAGCAATTTCGGGCGTTCCTTTGTCTCGGAACTTCTTCCGCCACGACGTCTTGCTTCTTTGATCTGCTTGTTATGGTCGGGACATTGACCGTCTGACACTTATTGCTCTGAACGTTATTAGGTCCCTCTGCTACACCATATACCGTCGAGCACCGCTCTCTGCCTCCGCCTCCACGCACACATGTCCATCATCATCCACACCAACATGTCCACTCGACCCCGGGCGGACAATCACCGATGTACATGCCACCGGCACGTACGCCTCTGCATGGTGCGTCCACTCCCAAACCAGGTCCCCTCGGGCCCGGTGTCCCGCCTGTAGGACATGGTGCCATTCCACTCTTCCCCACCCCCGTCGGCCCCGGTGTGCCCCCAGGTCCGCCAGCAAACAATGGCCCGCCGCCAGGTCCTGGTATGCCTCCGCCGTCTTCTCGTACGCTGCACTCCCCGCATGGCTTCCCTGGCCCAGGTATGGAACCCTCACCCATGTACGGCGGACACCCAAGCTCCGGCCTACCACCTCTGTCAGGACCACATCCTCACCCCTCGCGCCCTCGGACAAGCGGCTCATTCGACTACCCGCGCACGTCGCCCATCATGGGGAGCCTGCAGCGACCGCCTTTCGACCGCGACGAGCACCGACACGACGACCGCCGTGACGAGCGGGAGCGTGACCTGCGCGACAGGAGTGACCGTGAGCGTGACGGTGCCCGGGGGTCGCAGATGCCTGCCGGATTGGGCGGTTCCGGGTCCTTGCATCAGCACAACGCCGCTGGGCCTGGCATGTCGATGAATGCGAACGCACGCGCCGTTGGATCTGGACCTCCGCCGCTGTCTATGTCAATGTCGAACATAATTCCTGGGCCAGGCGCGGTGCCGATGGTGGGCGTCGGCGCGAAGGAACGCGAGAGGGACTGGGAGCGGGATCGCGAGCGGGCGATGGAGAGAGAACGCGAGATCAACTACGCGCGCGAGAGGGAACGGGACATGCGGGGTGCGAACGGGAACGGCGGCATGATTGGTGAGTCTCCGCGCGACAGGCATCGTGGCTTGCGAGAGAGAGAGAAGGACTACCTGCGCGAGAGGGAGAGAGAAGAAGGTATCGTCGAGGTGGGGGCCAACGCGATCACGAGCGAGAAAGAGAGCAGCGGGAACGCGAGTGGCTACGGAGGAGCCAAATCCAAGAACCGATGCAAGGACCTCCGCCGGGGCAGGCTCAGCCGCATCTCTGGTCGCGCTTTGCACAGCCGCGGACAGCGGAGCCGTACGTTGAAGACGAGCGAGAACGCAGGGTCATGCTCGAAATGGAAATGGAGAGGGAAAGGATGAGGGAGGAGGCGAAATTTAGGGAGAGAAGGGAGAGGGAGAGGTATGCTGATGAAGAGGCGAGGGCGAGGGAGGCGAGAGATGGCGCGGAGGCAGAGAAGGGACGCCGGACGCAGGCTTCGAAGGAAAAAATGGCGAGGGAGAAGGAGGAAAGGCGGTTGATCACGCGAGAGGAACACATGGAGCAGGAGCGCAAGTGGTTGAGGGAGCAGGAGCGAGAGCGGGAGCGGGAACGTGTGCAGAGGGAAAGAGCGGACATGGAAAGGCGACAGAGTCAGCCGCAGGGTGAGCACCACCACCATGTTCGGCATCACCACAGTGTCGGGCCCTCTGGCAAATCGTCCAAGTCCTCGGGAGGTCCGCCTCACATTCAGCCTGCCCCCGGTCCGCGGGAGCTACAACCCATGTTTGCAACTCCAGAGAATCTTCGACACTCGAATTCTATGCAGTTCAGGCAGGGGTCCTCCAAGATGATGGACGGTCCTGTCCATGGCGTGTCGCCGCTTCCTCATGGACCACCCCAGCCCCATCAGCACCACCACCAACACGCGCATCCTTCTCATCCTCTACATCAGCATCCTCCGATGCATGTTCATCCTTCCGCCATCGGGGGTCCCAATCTTCAACATCGCGGCACGCCACCGTATGGCCCCGGTATGCACCCAAATCCCGTCGAGATGGTGTATCATCCCTCTCGTGCATCACCCCCGCGCAGGACATCCTCCAAAGCACCTACGATGCGCCTTGGCACTTTCGTTTATCCACGTACACCCTTTCCGTTCACCGACTTACCTAGCCCTTCGACTTCCACCTCTGCCTCTGGCCCTTCGGACCCAGTCACGCTTTACCAGTACCGGGCAACGATTCTCATCCCCTCCGGATTCCTTCCGACCCACCGACCTGCACGTCCGCGCATATGGGGTGGTGCACTCATACCCGCTCTTCCCGCCATCCCGCCGCTCTCTGAGTTCATGGCGGTGCCCTACCGCGACAGCCGCCCACTCGCGTACGAAGCGAGAAGCATGCGCAGGGTGTATACGGACGATTCAGACCTGTTCTTGTGTGCGCTGCATGCGGGGTTGCTTACGTGGAGCGAGACGCGGCGCGCGAAGGGCGAGGGGAAGGACCTGCGCGTTGAGGTGAAGATCACGAACGAGGCGCGCTTCATTGGAGGCTTTGGGAGCCCGTACGTGAATGGGCCGGGCTCCGCGGGCGGAGAGAACGTTGGTGTTTATGGGAGCGAGGACGATGGGAGCAGTTTGCTGAGTGCCGGGTGGGGGAACAGCCATGACGGTGCGGGTATTGAGATCGTTTCGGCGACTTGGATGCCGGTGAGCGTACATGCCATCCTTCTCCAGAGTGTGGTCTCACCTCCGTGGAATTTTTGTAGAAGGGTACGGCGCACGCATCTGGTCTGCGCAATCGCACGCAGCGACTTGCGGAGTACAATGAGCGGAGAAACGTTCTGTGTGAACTATCACGACCCCGCAAGAAACGCCGTTTGGACCGTGCTATCGTCGATGACGACTCGCCGGTAGTTCTCGAAGACCAACACCCGGACCTTGAGCTCTGCGCAGCAGCCACCATCACCTTTGGGGCTGGTAAAGCATGGAAGGAGATGAAGTATGTCGCCTCATGCATGGTTATCTTCACGAGCTGATAGTTTCCTTGCTCCAGGTTCAAACATCCGCCGCCATCACTCGCAGAGAAGGCTGCTGTGTCCCCCGACGAACGGATGTCTGACGCGGAGAACATTCCGCCGAACCCCTTGCGCAAACGGCGGCGTTCAGAGTCACCCAGCGCTGCCCCGACAACCGACGCGCTTGCTCTCGCCCAGCCGGATCCTGCGAAGAAGGGCATCGACATCACCTCGAAGGCAGCCTCGCAGCAGGAGTCGCCGGTTGTTCCTTCACCTGCCGTTTCCGAGGCAGGGAAGACGGCAATGGTTGTCGAGCCTCCGGACCAACCAGCACAACCGACGTTATCGTCATCGCCCTCAGATCCTTCACCGCGTGTGCCGCCGCCCCAGGAGCTCACCGCCGTGGGTGCTGATGTCACGAATATTGCTAGTGAGAGTTAATCGTGTATATTGTTGAGTGTTGATTGCGTCCTGTACTTCATAATACGATTTGGGGCTCGTGGCACAGCGCCCTTGCGGATTGCATTTGTGCCTTTGAGCGTTCCGCAACGCCGAGGAGAGCAAGTATGAACACAGACACGAGCTCAATGCGACTGATAATCACACAACACACGCATTCTTGTGGTCTGGTGGAAAACTGCGTCCGTGAAGACGTCAAGCATAAGGTAAGTATCTCGACCTGATGGCTCCTACTAGCACAAATATTCGACATTGGGCCACCTTGAACTTTCTATAGATGTTACCCGAAATCTGTTACAGTCCCCCGAAGAACCAGTCCACTGCTTTCGCTGCAAGCGCAGTCGCAATAATGGAGAATAACCCTTCAGAGGGACTTGCCCACTGTTCGTCCCCGTAGCGGTGATGCCGAGAACCATCGGCGTTGGCTCTCGTTTCGTCCCCAATGTCTTCCTCGGCCGACAACCCGCCCCAAAGCTTGGTTGTGTCCGGTTCCGAGCCGCCCTGTGTCTCCGCAGACGTCTCGAAAGATGACTCCGACACGGGCAGACTGTCGTCGACAGCCGTGACCACGCCGTCGATTGCGCTAGCAGTGTCGATGTCGGCCTGAGCCTTGGACCCCGCTTCCCAGTCAGGCGACTCAGATACTGGGGGCTCCGGGGGACGCGCAGGACTCGCTAGCAGCTTTTGAGTCCCAATCGAACCTGGTGTTCCTTTGGCAATCACATTCGGCTTGCGCCTGAACGCGCCTCGTAAGCCGGGAAGGGCTGCATCGAGCTTGACGGGCTGTCCCGCAGCGACGGGATGGGGCGTGGCGGCTTTGGTCACTGGAGGCGGCACGCCGTCCTGGGCAACCTCCGACGTGTTCAAGTTCGCTGCACCAGGGGGGAGTTGATTATTCGGTGCGCAATCGTGGATCACTGGGGGCAAAAGCAGTTCATTGGCAGGGGGTGCGACGTCGACAGGCGTAACGACGCCCGCAAGCGTGGGTGTGCGTAGGACCTCGGCATTCGAGTCGTCGAGATGCTCCGGCTCCGGAGAGCCGACAGTGGACAGTGAAACGGGTTCGCTAAGTGATATATCTGGGATATTGGGAGTAGGAACTGAGTATTCCTTTCGCTTGAATGCACCTCTGAGGACGGGCAGGCTCGTACCCATCGGAACAGCCTGTGTGGTTTGTACTGACCCGGAAGGTCCAGGAGAGGCAGGCGCAGGAGGTAAGCGTTCTTCCTCCAGAGAGGTAGGGATGACAGCAGGCACGGGAGATAAGCATTCTTCCTCCGGAGGGGCAGGCGCGGGAGGTAAGTGTTCCTCCTCCGGAGATACAGAAGCCGACGGAGACGTGGGCTTGGGCTTGGACGACAAGTGTGTTTCTTTGGCAGCTAGTAGCTTCACCTTGAGCGATGCATATCGTCTCTTCCCGAAGATCGTCAGTTCCATGTCCTTTTCGAATGCGCCAATCGCTCGCAGCAGGCATGTGGGGGCGCAGAAGGATATGGTCTCCCTGCAGTGCGTAAGCAGCAGCGTGTTAACTCGTTGTGCTTGACCCTTCGTGAGATTGTCGATGGCGAAAACGAATTTATCCCGAAGACGGCTTCCTAGAGGTACTCCGTTCAGCAAACCGCGCATACAGTAATCTTCTGACTTCTGAATGTCCTCAGCAGTCCAATTTTCAGGTGGTCTGCGTGCCCAATCAACAGAGTCGGGCGGAAGACGAGGGTAGTGCGTTATCTTTGGGGGCGTCCGGGGTATATTGTCGAAATACGAAACATTACTGAACCCGTCGTATACCAAGCGTCTAGCTTCCTCCGCAGGCATACCGCCCTGTACGAAAGCTGCCTCCTCTATTAGCAGGCGCGAGCGCAAGATGATGACGAGCTTCGGAGTGATGGGGAACGACTGGGTCAGGGGGAAGAAGGAAAGTCCTTGAGCACCTAGGGACATCATGTTGATATGCATTCGTGTTTGAGCACCCTCCGCGAGGCCGAGTCCGTTCTCTGTGAGGACGAATTCAGTCCCGGAGGGAGCACGGTACAACCCGAGTTGCATGTCCAAGGCTTCCATCTTGTAATCCATACGCGCGGTGAACAGCAGGCGCTCATCGGTCGCAACCTCCCAGTGCTCGTCTTCTAGGAGCAGGGTGAGGTTGCGGAGCCAGACCGCACGCGCGTCCGCCAGACCATGCTTGACTCTGTACTGCTCCACCATGCGCGCGGACGCTGGGTCAAAGTGGCCTTCGATGAACTGACGAGCGTGTGTTCCGTTACGGTAGTGCATGAGGAAGAGGAACTTCCGGAGGGTATTAAGCTGTGAGCGGACCAGCTCTACAGAGGAGCGGCCCCGCTTCTCGGCATCCTCCAAGACTTGGAAGACACGCGCAGCATCGCTCTCGAGCTTGGAGAACGCCTTCTCGACGCGATACACGTCGGTCAGGTCTGCATCGTCCTTGTACATGTCGACGATACCGAAGGTCTTGCCGAGATCGGTCGTGCCCATGTGAAGGGTGCTTGACTGTATGTCATACGTATTGATAAGTTCCTGCTTGTACTCTCGAGTCCGTTGGCGACCCTTGTTGCGACGGCCCTTGGACCTGTATGCAGGTGAGAAACCTTTGGTTGTCATGCAGCGTCGCGGCTACTCACTTTCGGCCTGGCTTGGTCACCGTCTTGACCTCCTGTAGCCATCGGCGCGCGACAAAGCGCGGTAGATAGTGGTGATATTGACCAGACTGGGGCACTTGTTGCTCCATTGCGATGGGTGAGGACCGGGCGGGGAGGAGTCTCAACGCGAGGCTGTGGCTCACGCATCCCAGATGCTCTGACTCTGAGAAGTCGGTTGCCGTGTTTGGTTTTAGAGTTAGAGTTCGTACATGTCATCCTAACGCGGTCGAATACGGAGGGCAGCAAGCCTACTCACATATCCTGCTGCGTATGTAGGCGAGTATTGTGCACCGAGGGCGGCGACGGGTGATGCATTGACTCCATCGGTCCCGGCGGCAGGTGCGCACTGTGTTCATCCTGGAGCAGCAGGGGGCTCAAGTGAGTGATCAGATGAATCAAGAGCCGTCTCACTGGTGAGTCCACTTGCGATTAGCAATGAAGTACGGTGGTAGCTCTGATCAAAGTAAAGCTTGACATTGAATATGGAGGCCTGAGGTCGCAGGTTGCCCGGGTTGAAAATCACAACTTGTGCCACCGGACATTGTGCATTATGTCCGAGGGATCGAGATTTCGATCCTACTCATCGCTCGGCTAAATGTTAGTAGTGACGGCTTACAGCTGCTTGAAGCGCTGAACACTTGAGGTAGGTGACTGGGCGACTGCATGCCATCAGGCGAGTTACGTAACTTGATAATACTAACTGTAGCTCCGAACCCGATATGTTCAGTGTGTCTCTGCCATCGAACGTTGATCGAGGCATAGTAGTAAGTACATACTTCGATGATAATGGTGCTCGAGAGCTGCCACAACTACCTGTCATATGACTACTTACAACAACAGAAGATCGAGGCTACTGCCTTTGCAAGTTTTGCCGGTTTAGTCCAGAGCATCCGAGAGACAAACCATCGCGCAGAACTCGAGCGGGGCTCTGGTGTACTATGCGTACCCCGGTAGGTGCCGTCCCGACTGTCAGTGTTAGTCTCGGTGTATTGCTCTACCGGATGCCCTGTGGATGGATCGAGATGTGCTTCTGACCCCAGGTCGGTTCGTGTCGAGTCCATGTACGACTCAGCAGACGACTCGAGAGACGATGCGCTAGCCGTGTCGATGTCAGCCTGAGCCTTGGGCCTCGCTTCCGAGTCGGGCGACTGGGAGACATCGATTGTCGGTTGGAGGAGAGGTGCGGGACTCGCTAGTAGCGGCTGAGTCGCAATCAAGCTTGGTGTTTCTGTGGAGATCACATTTGGCCTGCGCTTGAACGCGCCTCGTAAGCCAGGAAGGGCTGCATGGAGCCCGTTCCATTGTGCCGCAATGGCGGGGGCGGACGGAGCCATCTTTGCCACCGGTGGTGGCAAGCCGTCGTGCATAAGCCCCGGCACGTTGACTTCACGAGCGGATGGTTGATCATTTGATGCACGGTCATGGATCACTGGGGGCAAAGGCGGTTCACCAGTGATATGAGGAGTATTGTCGACAGGTGTGATCTGGGTAGTATCGGTGTTTGCAAGAGTAGAGCCGCATAGGACTTCGGTATGCGAGACGTCAAGACGGGCCTGCTCCTGAGAGACGACAGTCTGAGCGGTGAGAGACGCAGGTTCGCCGACTGAAGCGTCCTGGACGTTGGAAGTAGGAGCAGAACGGGCCTTTCTGCCGAATGCGCCTTTGAAGCCTAGTACTAGGCTCGTACCCATCGAGAGAGCTTGTGCAGCGAGTTCTGACCCGGAAGGATCAGGAGAGGTAGGGATAAGCTTGCGAGGCGAGTGTTCTCCCCCCGGAGACGCAGGAGGGTATGGAGACGTGGGCATAGGCGACGGACGTGTTCCTTCAGCTAGTAGCTTCGCCTTGAGCGACGCGTAACGTTTCTTCTCGAAGATCGTCAACATCGTATCTCTTTCGAACGCGTCAATAGCTCGCACAAGGCATGCGGGGGTGTAGAAGGATATCGTCTCCTTGCAGTGCGTAAGCAGCAGCGTATTGACTCGCTGCGCTTGATCCTCCGTCAGATCTTCAATGGCGAAGATGAACCTGTCCCGAAGACGGCTTCCGAGGGGTACCCCATTCAGCAAACCGCGCACCTGGAAGTCTTCTTTCTTCTTTCGATCTTCGGCACTCATTTTTTCAGGTCGTCGTTGTTCCCAGTCATACGAACCGGGTGGAAAAGGAGGGATATACGTTGTCTTAGGAGACGTCCGGGGTATATCGTCGAAGTACGAAATACCACCGGGTCCCTCATATGCCTGGCATCTTGCTTGTTCTGCAACGGGCGAGCGCAAGATAATCACGAGCTTCGGGGTGATGGGGAAAAACTGGGTCAGGGTGAGGGCAGCGCGTGGGGCACCTAGGGACATCATGTCGACGATGAAGCTGGTTGAAGTCCTACTAGCACCTTCCGTAAGGCCGAGTCCGTTCTCAGTGAGGACGAACTCATTGCCTGAGGGAGACGGTAGAACCCGGGCTGCATGTCCAAGGCCTCCGATTTGTAGTCCATCCGTGCCGTGTATAGCAGGCGCTCATCGGTTGCGACTTCCCAATGTTCGTCTTCTAAGAGCGGGCGAGATTGCGGAGCCAGACCGCACGCGCATCCGCCAGACCATGCTTGACTCTGTACTGCTCCACCATGCGCACGGATGCTGGATCAAAGCGGCCTTCGATGAATTGTCCCGCGTGTCTTCCGCTACGGTAGTGTATGAGAAGAGGAACTTCCGTAGGGTATTGAGCTGGGCGCGGTCCAGCTCTACAGAGGAGCGGCCCTGCGTCTCGGCATCCTCCAAGACTTGGATGACACGCGCAGCAGCGCTCTCGAGTTTGGAGAAGGCCTTCTCAATGCGATACGCGTCGGTCAGGTCTGCATCGTCCTTGTACATATCGGCGACACCGAAGGTTTTGCCGAGGTCAGTCGTGCCCATGTGAGGGTATTTGACTGAATGTCATACGTGTTGATCAGTTCTTGCTTGTACTCTCGAGTTCGCTGGCGACCTTTATGACGACCCTTGGGCCTGTATGCTGATGAGACGAGGAATAATTGCAGCTTCGTGGCTACTCACTTCCGGCCTGGACTGGTCACCGTCTTAACCTCCTGAGCCATCGGCGCACGACAAAGCGCGGTACATAGTGGTGAAACTGACCGTGCCGGGATCTTCGTCGCTCCATTGCGGTGGAAAGAGGACACGTCTCAGACGCCCTGCCGCTTCGTTTGCCCATGCATGCGGATGCACAAGTCGGTTGCCATCCGTAATTTAAGTTAGGGTTCGAGGCGTACGTGTGGTCCTATCGCATTCGAATAAGGATGTAAGGCTACCAAAAGGCCACTCACAGATCCTGATGCACAAGCATATGATATCCTGACTTCTGACCCTTCATTGTGGTCTCGACGACGGGTACGCGACACTCAGTGGGCAACCGTGAATTTTGTCCACAGTATGGCTCCGGGTCGTAAGGGCGACTGGAGCCGCACCGCCAGCCACATGGTGGTCTAGGATCTTGCGGATCATGCCTCGCTTGACCAAGCCTGTTCATCGCGTTATAAGCATGTCATTCGTGTGCAACTCAGGTGAGACGCCTGGTTGATATTTTTTCCCATATGCATCTCTGACGATGATATGCGTGCCAGGAATATAGCAGGATTGCGGTTATACGTAGCGACGAACATGACAGGATACTGGAATGTGGTAGCTCCGTGTGCCAGTGAAGTGACTGGCACCAAAAGCCCTCGCCGGACATGTCCGAAGGATCGAGATCCAGAATTTACTGAGCGCTCGGCGAGCCTCCGCCCAGGACCGAAGATGTACTTGTACCTCGACGGTATCATGCTTGTCTACGCTACTCTCTGATGTATGATGCATGTACTGGAGTCAAGATTCTAGCTGCGTCTACAGTGGTATCCAAGTCCAAACTCGTGTTGCAAGTCATACGTTTGTCTCGAGGAGACCGTAGTCGTGTGGGACCTGCTGTATGTCTATTTCTATCTCCTATACCTGTCCCGTGCAACTGAATAAACCAATGCTATGCAGGACTGCGTCCCGATTCCCCCTAACGAACAAGCGGCTGAGGTGATGAGCTGGAATACAACGCTCCATTGTCTGCAACATCACAAAGTTCAAAGCGATCTACGAACGAACGATACGTACCGATTGGGACTATCGAGATCAGCCCATTTCAAACTGTATGCACGCTGTGTCAGGCGCTCAGCTTTCGCTCAATTGCAACTACCGTAGGCGGTGGTCAGCGGCGACTCTGGTATGATATATAGGAGCGGCCGCCGATCGTCAGCTTAGTGTCGGACATGATGTCACCCATGATGCATGACGACGTGGGTTGGCACATCCGTCCATTGCCGTGACTTCTCTGCGTCGCGCGCTTCATCGATGAATCTGGGACCGCACACTAATGCGTATCTGGAACATAGATCCAAGACACTGGGCGTCGGCGACTCCGGAGAATGGAAGCGTGTCGATCGTTGTGGGTCCAGCGAACTTCTATCAAGTCCTCGCATCCATTCTCCCATATCGATGTTGAGGGCAAGGACAATGCTACGGGATTCTCGAGGACGCTTCACTGATGACATCCACAGGGCGTGCACGTAGTAGACCATATACATCTACGCAAGTAACTTGAATGCACAGTGTCTGGAACTCAAAGCAGCGAAGACAAAACAAGTTTCACCGTGTCTATTCATCTAGGTCTCATGACGATCGTGGGTAATACATATACATCCAACATCCATAACTCTATATTCACAGACATCTACACATATTCAGGGCAGCCACCGCAAGGTAGCGATGATTCGTTGGCAGGACAACACAGTCAGATCAAGATGATACAAGCCTACTTGTGCCCGGAGTCCAGCCGCGGCCATACAGCCCGATAAATAGTGTTCAGCGACTGCAGCGCGCGCAGTGAGCATAGGTTTACATGATCACCTTGTGGATGTAGTCGGCGAGCAAGCCCGCCTCCACGAGGTAGCCCAACTGGCCGTTCGACTGTCATGCACATCAGTCAGTCGCACGGTTTCATCCAGCCCGTTGATGTTGATGTCTCACCTTCCAGATCTTGCCGCCGTTAGCCACGAGATCGGGAGTCAGGAGCTGCCATAGCATATGCAGACCCGTGCCGCCAACGGTAATGACATAGTAGAAAGCCCCTTGGTGGTTCAGGTATCCGGCGTACGCCAGTGTCCCGACGAAGAAGGTGGCGAATACAGACAAAATCGGGCGGACTTTGTCACCAAACAGGAGCGCGCAAGAGTGAACGCCGGCGTTGATGTCGTCTTCCTTGTCCTGGAGCGCGTAGATCGTGTCAAAGTGGATGGTCCAGCTGCATTGTAGGATGTCTGGTGAGTGATGTGTAGCCACCAGGGAGAATAGTGGGACGCACGCAGTGATGCCGAGGACGATGGCCGTCACGAGTTTCCAGTCCCAAACCCCATTCACAGAGATCCAGACGACGGGGAAACCCCATGCGCAGTCGAATCCTAGGGTTACGTTAGAGGATGCCGCAACATGCGATGTGTCGCAATACAACGAACCAAGGAAGGCTTGAGGCCAGTTAGTGAAACGCTTCGATAGAGGGTAAATCGCCTCCCAGGTGAAAAAGCCAATGGTTCCGACAACGAAGCTGAGGCTCGTGAGCATGCACGTGTTTATGATTGAATGCATAGTACTCACGCCTGGAAACCAGCTAGCGCAAGAATGGCGAAGAACGCAATACAGTGCACTAGAAGGAACAGAAGGGCGGCGGGTACCGAGATGACGCCGGAGGCAATAGGACGAGTCTTGGTGCGCTCTAAATCCTATCAATTCAAGCTGTGCCATCTAACTTGGAGGAAACTACATACCGACTTGACGGTCGAAGTCCCTATCACAGATATCATTCCAGATGCAAGCAGCGTTGTGACGGACAGTACAGCCAACGAGGTACGCAACAGCCTGTATGGCAATGGTCTCCGGGGAAGATCCAGACGGTATGCACTCATTGTCAAGCCCCAAACTGCGCAGTGGGACAGCGGTGAGACCAAATCCTGCAATACAGGAATGAAGCTCACTGCAGGGCCAGAAAAAGAGAATAGTGCCTGCGGGCCAGAGGTGCAGGCGGGTGAGTTTCCAATATTGCTTCCAGTGGGGGACGACGGCGCTGAGGGCAAAGCCATCTTTGCGAGAAGCGGGGCTGTTTCCGTCGTCGACATATCCGAGTCGTCGTGAGTATGATACAAGGGGAAGGGACTGTACAACAGTGGGGAGACAGAAAGGCTCTGTAAAAGCGGACCACGAATACTGTCGACTTCTTATATCCGAGTGGGGACAGCCTGCAGACTGAACTCCGCAGTGCTCCGAAGACGAGGCTTGGATCTCGCGTCGACAACCCCTTTACTTCCGATATCGTTGATCGTCGCGGTGACGAGAAGTCCGCTCCATGACTGCGGCGCGCAAGGGCTGAAGGTCGCGCACATGGAACGGGTGGCCCATCCGAGAGCTATCTTCTGATGCGACTCTCATTAGTCGCCAAGACGCAGCGCCGCGACATATCTTAGCCCAGGCACAATGGCACCAACCTAATACCTGCCCCATGCGGAAGCCGACTCGAGGTCAAAGGCACCCCCGGAGTTGTCTGCGATGCCCGTGGCGTGCTGATGTAAGCACGGTTCAACCGTCTTCGAGCCGGTCGCCCGGGGTGCTTGCAGTTGCTTGCGCGCGCTCGCCGGCAGTACAGGGACAGGGCGAGATGGTTTCAGGTAACATCGAGCGGTGACACTGATCTGCGTAGTCGCGTAATTGAGCGATCACAGGTTCCCCCTGATTGTATGGAATACCATAAGGTTGTCATCTGTGTCCTAGACATGCGAAAATACCTAAGACAGAAGTACTTTCCTTGGCTGTTCTCACAAGCGACGGGACATCTATCGACGCCATATATTCACGTGGGAAAGTTTTGCAATAACTTTGGGGTCGTTGGTATGGTGGGTCCGGAGCATTGACAAGCCGACGAGCACAATGTAAGCCCTCCTGTTTGAGTCGTACTTCAGTCAATACATGTTCACATTTTTACACAGAATCAAAACTGCAGCGGCAGACAAAGAGAAGCAGATTGGACGCGCGTGCGCCTGGAGTGTACTGTCTAATTCATGGGCAAGATGGTCTAACCAGACGCGGTTGGCTTTTGCCCGACCTGCGCACATCCCAGTTGATACCGAACTGAACATGTGCAAAATGCTTACCCATACGAACTCTTCTCCCATGCACCCTCATGCCTTAAGTTGTTGTGGACGGCTTCGTTCGCGAAAACACCCATCGGGAGGTCTCGGTACCACCAAATAAGTTAGTCGTTCGGAACTGATTTGCGAATACTCGCGGGAGTCCTAATCCAGTCCTAATCCGTCCTAATCATTCCATCAATGCACGCGCGGCTCGTGTGGCACTGGCAGTGGGTCCGGGTCGCCGGATCTCAGTGCCAGTGAGTGTTACAATGCGAGTATTACATAACATGTTGTGCGGACATACCAGCACTATCACATTTCGGTAACTTCTTTACCTTCCTTCACTATACCTCAGCTCGCTTCGGTGAATCCAAGAGAGCATGCTTGTGTACTTCGGATGGCGTCGGGCTGGCTCCAGAGGATCTCATCTTATCGATGCAGAGTTATAGATGACCAGGGGGTCCAAAGGGGTTCCATTGCAACACGCAGTCCATCCCAGGTTCATCCACATGTTGAAGGAAGCGCGACCATGTCAGTCCGAACATCCTTGCATGACATCGCGCTAATACATACTAGTAGTAGGGTGGGGGGAACCGCATCAGTGTCGCCAGGGAGGTCTAGCACCACGCTTATCAATCTGCGGTCCCGCACGGACACGGTCCGAGTGTACTGTGCACAGTACTAGTCGTGCTGACAACTGTAGGAACGTGTTGGACACACGTCTCGGTGATGGTATGAACCGACAGCTGTCATCTTGCATATGGCTCGCTGATTGCATATTTCTCGCTGACGACGTTCACCGGTCACCCCGGGCCAGCCGATTGATTTCACGGGCCAAGGTAGGAATAATGAGGGGCTCCACCTTGAACAAAGGCGGCGGCTAGCCACGGTTTCATTTTTCGACGGTGTTGGCCGCTCTGCTTGCGTTCAAGGGCTCTGTGATTCGTCCATCTAAGCTCGGCGTACGCGATGCGTCTCAGAGGTCCGGCATACCATGGGCACTAGCAATATTGCGATCCTTCCGCCTGTCGAAGCATCCGCTGTTTCGAGAACGCGGAAAGCATATCGTCTCTGAGAATTCAGTATCATACGTACGTCCAATGACCTCGTGGATTGGCAAATGGGTGAAGACTGTAGTGCCCCCTCAAGTTGACGGGCTAGACACCTTGAGAACCACACGACACACTGATCATGATCAGATTTCCAGAAGATGTCTCGAGAGAACTAGCACGGACACTCAGCAGAGTCAAGTTAACAGGCAGGGCACTTGAGGACACTGGCATGCCTACATATATGACAGATATCAGGCTTCCAAAAAACCTCAAACGACATGCTGTAAGTACGCCACCTAGCAAAGTTCAGGTATGACAGGCTGATATACCGGCCTAGCCATTGGATAGATATCAGGCTCCTGAAGAAAGCTCAAGATACGATACGATTTGAGTTTGAAACCAAGCAGAGTTCAACTTGACACGCTCGCGATCGGAACTGAGTATGGCACCGATATCCGACTTGACAGCGGGCACTGGTGATAGAAGCAACTATACCATAGATGTCAGTTATATGCATGGGACTCCCGAAGATACGGCACGCACAACGTTTGACTAGTAGTGGACTTTCTCCGTGGATCCGGTAAGAACTTGGAAGTTTTCCATCGCGCTCGTCGAGCGCTGCGCCTTCCATCAAAGCCCAATTCCAAGCAAGGAGAGGACACTAAGAAGCACAGTCAGCACAAGCGCCCCGTCGAGAGTCGAGTACACACAGTATTGACCGCGTCTCGGACTCGAACCCAGCATATACGTGACTTTGCGTGCTCATCGAAACCTCGCGGACACAAGCATGCCATTCGTCGACGACTGGGACGCCAGGCATCAGACGGTATGCGTGCTCGTGGACCCTAGTTTCGTCAATAAGGATTCTCTATGTAGGTGTCGCACTCACCACCACGGTGGACATCGGTCATTAGGACCTTGTACGATCAGGTTCATTTGGCACCTTGATACCGCCCCCATTCTTGTCCGTCATTTGGTGCCCGTACCATCGTGATGGTCGGTCAGAATCTGACAAAGAACACAGTTATTTCAGCATCACCAGTTCGACATACTCACCTCGGAGTCTTCGCCATTCCTAACAGCCGCATGAGAAAAGTTTGCAATACCCGACACGCAAACGCGAAGGAGCCGAGATGTGTAGTGCTGTGTGATTTCCAATGATGAATGGGTAAAAGATACAAACAGCCAGATGCGATGCACATTGAAGGTTCTCTAACCATTCTACTGCTACCAAATGCCAAAGAAGCACTAACGATGCACAGAATTCCACATGCCACATGCCGAGATTGCACATGCGGCGAACAACACGAAGGATCGCCGATAAAATCTACAACACTAGCACATTATAACACCAGGGGGATAGATTGAACGCAAACAGGCCAGCACACCGTCAAGACGTAACCTCCGCTTGTGATTGCGGGACGACGGGCGAGCTCGAGAAACGCACCGTCTTCCGCGGGGACGCCTCGCTCGACATACTCGTCATCGACTCGTCGTCCGCGCGTAGGGAGCGGAAGCCGTCGAGTCCTTCCGGCTCGGCACCGAAGGATCCGCGACACACTCATTTGCAGGCGCGTGGGGAATATCGACACGGACGCCGCGCGGTGCGAGCGCGCGGAGGGCGTCGGCGGCGCGCTCATCGTGAGCGTGGAGCCCGTCAGCGAGAGGTCGGACGTGGAGGGTGTCCGGGACGCGGAGTTCGTGGACTTTGTCGGCGAGCCGGCTTTTTGAGGGAAGAGCGCGGTGGTGGTGGTGGGAGAATGACAGGGGTGCTGCGCGAGGGTGTGTGCATACCCACGCGCTTGTAGGAAGATATTGGTTGTGAGCCTGAGCGACCGCGGGGGCTGCTTGGTGGAGAGGTTGTACGTGGGGAGCGTAGGTGGGGTGTGCGGGATACGTGGAGGCCCATGGCGATCTGCTGGATTGTGGGACGTGGTGCGTCACGCACGCTGTACGGCGAGGGCATAGGGGGTCTGCTCTCCTCAGGGGTTGAGTACATGCCGGAATCCTGCGTCAGTGAGCATGGGAACGATTATGCACAGGTGTCGTACGACACACCATCGGGCTCTGATCCCGCTTCTGCTTCGTGCTGAAGGGCCTCCACATCGTGCTGACGATCCTTGAGGCTGCCATGCGCGAGGTGCTCGCACCTGGGGTATCTGCTGCCAAGTCCTGGACCAATGCAGATTGCCCGCCGCTGCTACCTGGACGAGGGTACGATTGTGACCGCTGGATGCTGCGTACGTCAATGATTGCTGCTGAAGAGGACCTGCCGTGTCGACGGCGTGAGGGCGGGGGTAACCCGTCGCTCATGGTGGCGGATGTATGGACCGTCGCTGGCGACGCAGAGGAAGGGGGTGGGGGCGCAGAGAAGGGTGGCGAGGAGGCTGTAAGAAGGGAAGGGATGCTGGGAGAATGCCTGAACGGCGCGGCCAATGACGAGAACCACCCAGCGCAGCCAACGACGCTCTCGTCACGCGATCGTAGCCACCGTCCCATAGGCTATGCTCCACGTGGCCACCATCGCTCATTCGGGCAACTGTTCAAGTTGTTCGCGAAGCCGTGCGGTCTTCTGAAGGCTTGTATCTGCACACACCAGAACGCGGGCGAATGCCGCCCAGTAGAGGCAAAGTAGAGGCGTGTAAAAAGTAGCCAGAGCAACGACGTAAGGGTATTATATTGCCGATCATGGTGGGCATCCACCAGTCCACCAGCATCGTGGCATATGCGTAACTGCAGAAAGCAATCTATCCATAGCGAACATCAGCACTAGAAAGATCGATACATATACCGACAAGCGCGTCCCTGCAAAGCATATACACCACCGTGTAGAGTATGTCCCAGTATCACCTGCGAAACACCCGCTCCGAGCATCCTCCGGCCGCACTCGACCGTAACATATCATACCATGTAAACCTCATTAGCATGCGACCCTAACCGCGACTGAAAAGCATTATGAAGACACCTCGAGACCCTGGAACTCATGCAGCGCTCGACTGCTGCGGCGCGGGGCCCTTCTCATCCTTCGCCGCAGTCGATGGGACAACGGCGATGATGGCGACTCCTGCACATGGACATGCGGCTGGTGCCGCTGCTGCTTGGCCCGTGCTTGACGCAGATGTTGGTGTTTCGACTTGCCTGACGCAGCCTCCGCGACCATCCTAACAATCACCGTTAGTGGCTAGCCCGGGAGGCTGTGGCAACACAGGAGACGCACCGCTCGAGCTCGCGTCGCTCCGCATCCGACTCATCCGGCTGTGTTGACTTGAAGATGGCACCAATAAGCAAAAGACCCTAACCCCACCGTGTCAGTGATCTCCACACTCCCGTTAAGCGGAACACGCACCCGAGCGCGGTTGTATAGAACCTGATCAGAAGCTTCCGGGTCCTTCAATACGTTGTCTGCAACTTCCCGCAACACCTGGACGACCTCGAAACGCGTCCCTCGCCATGAGGCTAACATGATCTGGGGAGCACGCGTCAATCAGCGAGGTCTGTGTGTCAGCGATGAATCAGTACCTTGCCGGTGACGTCCTCCTCGAGTGCGCGGAGCTCGTCTTCCGGAATCTCGCCTTTCGCTTGGAGCTTCTCCATCTCCTGCATGACTTGTTGCACGCCGATGCTATGCAACCCAGTAGTTAGGACTGTCCCCAGTGGTTAGAGGATAGACGTACGCGCTACCGATCACACCCCACGCGTCCTTGGCCATTGCACCCTTTTCCTTTAGTCGCGAGAAGAATCCAGGGCTGCAAACAGACACTCAATAAGAATGTCACCAGGAACGTGTACAATGCGCACATTCCGAGGAACTTCTTCGACTTCAAGAATGACGTCGCCTTCATGATGTAAACGTTGCCGATCGTATGGAGGAGCTAAACGCTCTCGTGAGCATCATCCACACTACATGCCCACAAGCGGACATCGCCCCTTGGAAGCTGCATGCCCCCAAAAACCGTAGTGACACTCACCTCAACACCAAAGCTCTCCAGCTTCAAGTCGTCCGCCTCCCTGCGCATGCGCGCCTCGAATGCCTGCGTCTCCGAGTCGTCCTTGTCCCCTGGCTTCTTCGCCTCGACGAACGGACGTAGCCGGTCCTTGAGCTTCTCCGTCAACACCCGTACGCGCTCCTCCATGTTCTTCCGTCGCTCGTCGTCCAGTTCCTGCAGCTTCTTCTTCTGCTCCGGCGTCATCTTCTGTCGCCTCTTCGCGTGCGTCTCCTTCTCCTTCTCGGACGGTGTACGAAGGTTGCCTGTGGACGGCGATGCGAGCGAGGTCGACGAGGACGCGCCCACGAGGGGTGCTGGCGAGGCGGAGGGTACGGGCGAGGGTGATGTAGCGCCGTTGGCTGGGGTGCTGAGATTCGGTTGGCTTGGAGCCTGCGGTGGGGGCTGCAGGTGGATTTGCGGCTGAGTCTGGGTTGCGCGGGCGTCGTCTTGGCCGAGGCCGCTGCAGTGGGCGCAGGGGGCGTTGCTCCGACTCGGTTGCTGCAGGCGTACCGGAGACGCTCGGAGTGGGTGCGGGCGGCGTCGCGCCCTCGTTGAGCTCGCGCTCGAGCTCGGACTTTTCCTCATCTGTCATCATCGCGGACGCGACGGAGGTCATTTCCTTCATGAGAGAGATCTCGCCGATCTGTCCGAGCGTAAGGAAGCGCGCCGCAGGATGCAAGATGGAGACGCACGTAGTCGTTGAATCGGTCCCGCCAAAGACGTTGGCGAAGAAGCCTGCTGCATCCTCCATGCCAACACCGCCCTCCTTGTCCACCTATACACGGATCGATAATGAAGTCAATGTCACGAAACCGGACGGCAGCGACGTACCATCTTGGCACCATACTTGTCGTATGACGCTCGTAGATTCTAGGAGTGGGCATGAGCATTCAGTCGGCAACGACTGCCGCAACAGACGTACAGAATCCGAGAGCACTTGATATGCTTTACTGCAGCATCCTTCGCATCAATACAAAGCAAATTGCCATACACGGTGAGCGCACCTGATATCCTTGAACTTCTCTCTGCATCCGGGGACGGGTTTTTGTCTGGGTGGTACTACATCCACAACTATTAGCTTTGTGTCATTGCAGGTAGGAAGACCTAGGAAACGTGCCTTGATCGCCTGCTTGCGATACGCCTTCTTCAGGTCGCTGTCATTAGCATCCGGGGCAACCCCAAGCTAACGGATAAGACACAGGAGATGAAGAATTTTAAGCACCGTACATGAACCAAACAAGCTGACACGCTGGACCACATACCAGGTCGTAGTACTCCGTTTCGACGGGCGCCATGCCTGAGGTGGTTAGAAACAAAGAAGGGATAGACTGTGCCGTGTGGCTAGTGAATCAAATGAAAGGTGCGCTCGCTGCGGCGGCGAGCGAGCAGGCTGTGACGGATGGCCGCAAATGGGAGCCCGCGCTTGCGCCGATCGGTGACGTAAGCATCCTCCCGTCCCACTTGAATCGATCTCAAACAGTCCGGTCGCTTCCGAGCCGGATTCTGCCTATGCTGCATGACCGCCAGGCCCAGGGATTTCCTGTCAAACTTGCTGTCGGGGACTTCGTTCTGTCAGCTGCAGTGTGACACAAATGGTTCACAGCTTTCGTTCTATCATGGCCTTATACTGCGCGCGCCGGTGTGCTCTCAATTTTCAGGCCTTTAGGGAACTCCTCTCACATAGTCAAGCAACAATGTCAAAGAGTCAGCACTTCCAGCATGCACAACGGCAGCCTGTCTTGCTTGGAATTCTGTCCGTATCTTCTCCCTGACATACAACAGGTTCGCAGACGTGACAGCAGCCTGGAACGGATTCAAGGAATGTTACGCCATGTCGGTCTAGCGCACGACGCAAACACACTGTCACCCGGTCATAGGCTGAGCAGGAGCTTCAGAGTCCACCCGATCTGGTGCGCGATCCAGTTCCCTCCCTGCGTCCGCCAACATTGATTCCTTTTCGTTGACCGCTGAGATCGAATGGTACCGAATTGAATTCAACGCGGGAGAAGCATGTAAATTGACCACTGTTCGATCTCATGCGATCGACAGTAACGGCAAGCTTGCCAAGTCGGTCTGTGACTATGTTGAGGTCTCTGAGGACTCACCACGGAGCCAGGCCCAGGTCATATGAGACTAACGTTATGTATAGGCCAGAGCTTCGATTCACTGAGGCCTTCGCACGATTTCTTGGCCATATACAGTTCGTCGTGATGGAAAGCCTGCAAGTGCATTCAAACGACGTGCACTACACTTCACACATCGTCGAGGTCTCTTGCAGACCCGACATCGATATTGGCTGGAATATCAAGATCACAAGTCTACACGCGCACCTCAACCACATCCTTGGACATCCCCGCTGTTGAAAGTTATGTTGAACGTTGAAACGTTGACAGCCCAACCCTAGATTGCTCAGTGACGGAGTTGCGAGGTACGTACCGAGAAGATATTCCTGCAAGTCGAGGAGTAGCATTCATAGTATCGCGTATGTAGTGCTGAGCATCGAAGTATCGACGATGCCGCATGTCCGCAAAGGCTGATTAGTCTACTCAGTCGCTGAGTCGTGCGCATAGCACATCTTGACCTCCCCGTCAGACCAAGGGAGATGTAAGTTACGGACCTGGTCAACCTACGACGGTGGTCGCTATAATGGGCGCTTGTACTTTCTAGAGCGCTCACATCATCTTCCGATGTTCACGGAGGCAATGACCGCACCAGTCACCGGCATCCCGTCCGCCATGCTCCCCCGGTTCACCGCTGCACTCTCAGCCTCACACTGACACCAGCCGCGACCGTCGCAGCTGTCCTGACGACTACGACCACGAACATGTCGGACGCTCAGACCCAAGTCGGATGCTTCACCCGTCTGTTCTCATTCCACCGCAAGCGCCAGCCTGACAATGCACCCATGCAAGCTGGGCTCGCGCGGGAGCACACGCGTCAGACGTCGCTGCCAGCGACTGAAGTCAAGAAGGTATCTCTTGACGCCGCTCCCGGTGTTCAAAAACATGACGAAGAGTGGTGAGTGCAATGACCCCACAAACCCATACTCCGTGGGCGCACCACGAGTACTCTGTTTGGCCAGGTCGCCATGGCATAGGATGAATCTACCTTGTTGGAGTGTTGACTTACGCTGAACATCATACAGCTCTCCTACATGGATTTCGCCAACACCTGCATGTGCTGCGACTACGCCATAGGACGGGATGCGCACATCGAGAAGCCTCCCTCCTACGACGCACACGCCCTAAGCGAGATATTCCGCCCAGAAGTCCTGGAGACGATTGAAAAGACCGTGGACAAGTACGACCCCGAGCTCCGTGAGCTGAGCCTAGACATCCTGGCCCACCCCGAGATCGGCTGGCAGGAGAAGTGCGTCGCATCCCCCCTCCCTCTCCCGTTGCTCATACGTTGGCGCTACAACCAGACGGACGCACGACAAGCTGACCGCGTTCATGTCCTCTCATGGATTCGATGTGACACCCCACTACCTCGGCCTCTCCACTGCCTGGCGTGCCGTGTTCTCTTACGAGTCCTCGGTCGTCTCTGAGGATGGCCGCGGGTCATCGGAATCAACTCTGAGATGGACGCGCTCCCCGGCGTCGGACACGCGTGCGGGCACAACTTAATCGCCATTGCGGGCGTCGGCGTCGCACTCGCGATTAAGGCTGCTCTGGAGAAGCATGACGTCAGCGGGACCATCGTACTGCTCGGCACACCTGGTACGTGGCGTAGTTATTGGTGTTATGAGACGTGTGCTGACGAAAGGTGTAGCTGAGGAGGGCGGAGGAGGCAAGATCAATCTCCTCGACGCTGGTGCGTACGATGAGATGGACGCATGCATAATGTGAGTTCTCCGTCACATCTTTATTTCTCTTCCGACACCTACATCACTTCCAGGTGTCACCCGGGAGGTGGCGCAGCGAACTACTCCTCCATCGGTCCTTCGCTCGCCTCACAGCCGCTGAAATCGAGTTCTTCGGACATGGGTGCGCATTAGTCACGTCCTCACGACCTCTCACGCTGATCTGCTGCCGTCGACAGCGCACACGCCGCATGGGCGCCCTGGGAGGCGCAGAACGCTCTCGACGCGGCGTTCCTCGCGTACTCGAGTGTGTCGGTCCTCAGGCAGCAGATCAAGCCGACGCACCGTGTGCATGGTATCGTGAGCGGGAGGGACTGGGCGCCAAACAGTACGTAGGCACGAGCTCAAGAGTGTAGGGGTAATGACCTGGTCGCGATGCAGTCATCCCGGACTACGCGAAGATGCGCTGGATCGTGCGGGCGCCGACCTGGGGTGAACTCGAGGCTCTGCGGGAGCGCGTCAAGGCATGCTTCGAGTGCGTCCTTCGTTTCTTCTCTAGTACAAACGAACGATGACTGACGGCATGCTCGCGTCCCCCTCGTCAGAGCCGCAGCCCACGCCACAGGCTGCAAGCTCTCGATGAGCATCGGGGTAGGGTACTACGATATCAGGCAGAACAAGGTGTTGGGTGTGTTCCTTTTTGTACCTGTCCGGAAGCGTCGCTCTGACGGCTTTACAGGCACTCAGTACTCTGAGGTTGTTGACCGGTACGGAGTGACGGCCCAGTTCGACGGCGGCATGGCTGCGTCCACGGACTTTGTAAGCACCTCGCATCCTACCCAAGCCGTGCCCTTACTGACCTCCACCAATCTATCTGTCAGGGTAATGTCTCGTACGGTACGTTTACCCACCATCCGTTGTCCTCTTCATACTGAACACCCTCCATCCCCGCACAGCGCTCCCCTCCCTCCACCCGAACTTCACCATCCCCACCGAGCCCAACGGCGGCAACCACACGCCGCAGTTCACCAAGTCCGCGGGCACGCCCGAGGCGCACCGGCTCACGATCAAGACGATCAAGGCGCTCGCGCTGACGGGCTTCCGCGTCGTGGACGATGCGGAGTTCGCTGAGGACGTGCGTGTACCCGTTCCTTTGTTGGGGTGCTGAAGACGCGGGCTGATTGGTTTTTTGCAGGCGAGGAAGGCGTGGGAGGTGCAGATGGGTGAAGATGCGCGCAGGAGGGTGTAAATTGCGGACCGCCAGGTTGTGGGTCATGAAACTGAAAAGTATGGACCTTCGATGCTGGAGGAATGTTGTATTGAGTAACCGCAATGCGCTTGGCTGGTGGTCAGGCGTCGCAATGTGTTGTAGCAAAACGATATCATTCTGGTTCACAGATGAAGCCCCGGCGATGTACCATGACAGTTGAACGACCCAGACCAACATATACAACGTACAACAATCGACTTTACATTGAACGCGGACGTAGAGCGTAAGTATTATGGCGCTCGAGAAGAAACCGATCATCGCAGCGAACATACACAGGATCCACTCAAGAAAAAAAGCTTTGCATGGGAGGGTGTCTCCAGTACTAATAGATACGCGTTGGTACGCGTATGTACCATCTTGGAACGTCACGGTCCGGCGTCTGCCCCCGCAGCCGCAAACCTGATCGGATGCAAGCCATCACTTCGAACCTGGCGTACTTTGTCAGGTTCATCGAGTGACATGTTGAGATATAGGAGTGGACGCGGGGCGCCTCGCCTTAAGGCCAGGCAGGCTGGTACGCAACGGCGCAGCCTCCCGAAGGCTGTAGGCCGGAAGGTCAGGAGTAGGGACTGGATGGACAGGCGGACGTTCGATGTCGGGAGAGGCGGCAGTTGAAGCTGGCTGGGGCGTGGACCCGGGTGAGGGAGCCTGCAGTGCCATCAACTTCGCCTTGAGCGGTGCATACCGGCTCTTCCTCTCCCTCGTCAACTCCCTGTCCTTCCTGAACGCATCGATGGCTCGTACAAGGCACGTGGGAGTGAGAACAATATTTCTCTGTGCAATGTGTGAGCAGCAGCGTGTTGACCGTTCTGCCTGGTCCGGCTTCAGATTGTCGATGGAAAGACGAATTGTCCCGAAGACGGCTGTGAAGGGGTACCCGGCCAACAAACCGCGCACTGGAAGTCTCCGCTTCTTCGGTCTTCAGTTTCGCCAGGCGATTTCAACCAGCAACGAGCTGGCGAAAGAGGGGATATAATCGTCTGGGGATGTCCGTGGTATATCGTGAAATACGAAGTGTGAGTGAATCCGGCGTAGATAGCGCCTGCTTCCTCTGCGGCATGCCTTGTTGTATCATTGCTTCCTGAGTCATCAGGGTCGAACGCAAGATGACTACGAGCTTTGGAGTGAGGGAATGTCTGAGTCAAGTGAAGAAGGTACGCGGGCACCTGGTAGCATCGCGTCGATCATGATGCTCTCAGGCGTCGCCCACCCTCCCCAAGGCCGAGTCCGTTCTCGGTGAGGACAAACTCGTGTCAGGGGAGCACGATAGAGCCCTAGCTGCATGTCCCAAGCTTCCAGTTATATCCATGCGTGTTGTGACAGGAGGCGTCATCGGTCGGGGCTTCCAGTGTTCGTCTTCCAGGAGCAGGCGAGGTTGCGGAGCCAACCGCACGTGCGTTCGCCAAACCATACTTGATCTGTATGCTCACCATTGCGCGGTCGCCTGGTCGAAGCGGCCTTCGATGAATGAGAGCATTTTTCCGTTCCGGTAGTGTATGAGAAGAGAACTTCCGCAGGGTATTGAGCTGGGAGCGGTCCAGCTCTACAGAGGCGCCCCGCTCTCGGCATCCTCCAAGACTTGGATGACATGCGCAGCAGCGCTCTCGAGTTGGAGAAGGCCTTCTCAATGCGATACACGTCGGTCAGGTCGGCGTCGTCCTTGTACATGTCACGATACCGAATTTTGCCGAGACGGTCGTGCCCATGTGGAGTGTGTAGACGGCATGTCGTAGGAGTTGATGAGCACCTGTTTGTACACCCGACTTTGTTGACCCTTCTTGTAACTACCCTTCGGCCTTCGTGCCATGCATGTCAACATAGCTGCGACGTACTTCGTGTCTACTCACTTTTGACCTGGGCTCGTCAGTGCCTTGACCTCCTGCAGCCATCGACGCATGACGAAGCGTGGTAGATAGTGGTGAAACTGGCCGTTCCGGTCGTGGTCAGCCTCATGACGGTCGGAGGATCGATAGGACGAACCGGGCGCCCTTGCTGTTTGCTTCGGAACCCTCTTATATAGGTTGCCGTGTATGGTTTGCGATTCAAGTTAAGGTTTGCACATGTTCTCTCGTTTCGTCAATCCTGTCAATCCACGCACATGCTCTGATGCACAGGCGCGTTGACCACGAAGATATGGAAGGCGACATTTTCTTGTCTGCCTCTTCGATCTAGTTCGGCGACGACTACGCGTTTGCGCCTCTCGATGAGTGTTGTTTAACGGTTCAAGAGCACTGCGTCACTCACAGATGGATACACTGAGGACGGGTTTCTAGGCAGTAATCCATGCAAGAACCGATGAAATGTTGGTACTACAGGCAGCGGATACTGCCAGTGGACGGCTGAAGTGCTTTGAATTGCAGGCTAGGCCGTACAAGTTGGATTAATGATCTTTCCGGGAACGTGTTCCACAAGCAGATGCGCCGAGGAGGAGGAGAGATGCATCGCTTGGCCCTCTCCCATAAGTACTGGTCCGGAACCCCAATCGACTGGCTAATAGGCAAGCAACTGACGAAGACCTTGCAGCCTGGCAGAACACTGGCGCGCGGCGTACATCCAGGCCCTAGGCTCGATTTCGTAACGGTTTAGGTACAGGCAAGTGGTCCAAATGAAGCTCTGAAGGCTTGAAGGATATGGCGAACAGTACAAAAGTAAGTATGTCAGGCAGCAGCTTAGGTTTCGAGCTACCGGCCATGTCCGAGGCATCGAGATCGCGGTTCTACGCTGTGAGCGCCCGTACTAATAGCAAACTAATAGTACCAGGTATGAGTCTTAGTAGGCTCCTCATTCTGTGCAACGTGCACTCACACGTCTATGTCACTGTCTCTTGCAGCTTGACCTCTGAGACTAGACACAACTCATGGCGGACGCAAGGAACACCGTCGATGAGCCACAACGCAAGCGCGAACGCGAGGAGGACCTCTGGTTTGACGACGGAAGCGTCATCTTGGTTGCGCAAGACCGTGAATTCCGGGTCCACCGCTCCCTGCCCTCGCGAGACTCATTGGTCTTTCGTGACATGTTCTCTTTGCCCCAGCCGCTGATATGCCACCGGCGAGCATGATTGCGCTGTCGTGTTGCTCTCGGACGATGCGGGGTACCTTCGGAGCCTTCTCAGTGTGATATACGACCGCGAGTGAGTCTTCTCCGCTTCCATACACATACGGCCACGGCTAAGTAGCGGACACTAGTGCTGACTAGGACTGTCTGCCAGCTTCTACAAGGAATCATCGCTCGATAGAATGGCTTACCACGAGCGGGTCGAAATATCCACGGGCGTCATGTGCCTTGCACACAAATACGACATGAACGACCTATTCTCCGAGGCATACTCGCGGTTGCAAGAGATCTATCCCATGTCCTTGTACACCTTCACTAGGCTGGGGCACGTACATTCGGACATGCACGCTCGAATTGGGGGTTCAGCTGCGCTCCTACGGCTAACAAACGCCGCAAGAGCCATTCCAGCTCCCGAGCTCAACACTATGCTCCCGACTCTATTCTATCTATGTGCACAACTCGAAGACGAAGTTCTGCTGAACGGCGCACCTCGGGAAGATGGCACGCTAGAACGGCTGCAACCCATAACCTTAGCACCGTAATCGAAGGAAGGGCATCCCTCGTGACAGCAACACATCCGCCATGCTCTGCTTCCGTCCCATGCACAGGAACTTGTATCCTAACTGCAGCACTCGCTACACCGCATTGGTGAAGATGGTCTGTGACGCGCTGGAGGTGGGCGTCTTCGCGCACGCCGATCCACTGCGTGACTTGGGGGACTGGGTGGCGCAAGGGAACATCGGGTGGAAAATATGCCCAAAGTGCCTACAGCACTTGATGCGACATCACAAAGAAGCACAGGAAGCAACCTGGAAGAATCTTGGGACGATATTCCGTCTTGATATTACCAAAGGTGGTGAGCAGAGACTCTATGGGATGGTACCATTCGGCGGTGAGGCTGACTCGGAAAGTCACGTCGTCCTATAGGCTAGAACACGATAGTACATCAATATGTGTGTACGAGCTTGGTACGAGCCTAGGCCTCGTTTTCCAATATGTATGGTAGCATCGTGGTGCGATCGTCTTGCATACGTGCTGTACTCTTTGGCAGCCGCTCAGATGTGACTTACTGTGCTTGATCGACCAACCGTTATCAGGGTATTACCACGTACCCCTCAAGGCCTCAACCCGTATGATGCACATAATTTATCTCATGGACAGTCTCGAGCACACATTGCTGTTGTGAATTACATGACTCTCAGCCCGCTGCGAGCCAACAGGAGCCGACGCGCACAACGGGCGCTATGTACTGAAGCATACTCGCTTCTTGCCACGGCGACAACAACCTTCTGTTCATGTCAGAGCTTTACCTGTCGTCACTTCTCATGTCCGTCAGTCTCTTCCAGCTCTAAGAAAATTGGATATGCCTACTACTTCTTTCGAAACCTCCTTCAACGACACTTGTTGTCGTGACGAAAAGCTGTGGTTCGACGATGGCAATATCGTCTTACGCGTTCAAGGGCATGAGTTTCGAGTCCATCGCTCCATCCTCTCGCGCCACTCGTCTGTGCTGCGCGATATGTTCACCGCACCCAAGCTCGAAGGAAGATCAGAGGTGCATAATTGTCCGGTATTCACGCTCTCAGATGAGGCGAATGACCTTCGTCGCCTACTCACCATGGTGTACGACCGGCGGTGAGTACCGTACCGAGCTTCGCCAACCAGGTCCTGAGTATCTGACCATATGCAATGCAGATTCTACGATGACTCAATTACATATCGAGTATGCAAGCCACGATGAACAGATCGACATTGCCACGGGAGTCGTTTACCTGGCGCACAAGTATGCCATGGGCCGATTGTACTCGGAGGCGCTTCCTCGGTTGCAAAATCTCTTTCCTGTCAATCATCAATTCAAGTGGCAGTACTGGTCACCGCCAGTCGATATGGTCGAGTCGACGAACGGTCCGGCCCGTCTCATGCGACTCATCAACGTGGCGAGATCCATGAAAACCCCCGAGTTGACGGCCATGCTCCCGTTGCTTTTCTATCTAGGTGCCCAACTCTCAGTCGACGAGCTGCTCGATGGTGCCCCTCGGGTAGATGGCACGATTGAACGACTGCAGCCTCATGACGCCAGGATCTGTATCAACGGCAGAGCGTCTCTTGTGTCCGCGAACTCGTTTGCTACACGTTGTTTTCGTCCCAGAACACAGAGCTTGATCCCTGGATGTAGTACTCAGTATGAGTGCTACACAGCGCTGGCTACGATGGTTTCAGATGCGTTGAAGGAGGATTTCTTTGCGAGTTCAGATCCACTTCGAGATTTGACGGTCTGGTTCGAGAAAAGGAATCTTCGATGGCATTTATGCAAACCGTGTGCGGAGCATATATTGAAGAACCACAGGGACGCACGAACGGCGATCTGGGTTGGTTTGCCTACTATACTCTGCCTCGACAACGAGCCGAATAGTGGCGTATAGGTGAGTGACATGTAAGCACTGCGAAGTAGAGTTCTCAGTAACAGTTTTATATCTGCTGCTAGTATCATCTAATGGTCGACGTCCCGCCGTAATGAATCACCGCTTTACGTGCACTGCAACGCAATCACCGACCCCTCGAATTTCGCACACCAGAATCTTATGCATCTGTCGGACTTCGGACTCCAACCAATAGCCTCGGCTGCGTGTCAGGTAGCATTGTGGGACAATGGATTGTATGTCGGCCATGTGGGATATGCACGAGCACGTCTGTTGCTAAGCAACGGCCCCTTTCAACATGTACGCCTTTGCCATTTTGCCATTTGTGGCAGAAAGGCGGAGGGTCCACGAGTACATAAAGGATGCAGTTCTCTCTGTCCTGCCCATACTGCAGCGCTGCGTCAGCCTATCCCACTCGCTTCAAGCTCCAAAGCCCTACACCTCGGCGGGACTCTTTTATTCTTTCGCGCGAACACGATCAACCGGTGAGTGTTTTGCATCGAAAGTGAATGATTCTGAGCCCATGTACGTGGGTAGCAAAGGACGGACTGAGGTGCTCTACAATGAATGGTCTTCACGGCTTGACACTCTCGGAGCACCTTTGGTACGAAGACGGGAACGTTATCCTGGTCGCGACCAATCAAGCCTTTCGCGTTCACCGGGGAGTCCTATCGCAGCACTCTGCGGTATTCCGTGATCTCTTCACCGTGCCACAGCCGTCGTCCGCGCTCCTCGTGGACGGCTGCGCTGTCGTGCATCTCGCCGACGATCCCCTGCACCTCGAGTTTCTTCTGAGCGCTATGTATGACCGGTCGTACGTCCGTACGCTCTGGCATTTTCCGGCTCGCTGACGATGGCCCGTTTGGTGATGTAGATTCTTCAATGGTGCGGGGAAGCTGCAGCGAATTGCGGAGGTGGCATCCGGAATATTGTCTTTGTCGCACAAGTACGACATCGAGAGCTTCTACGAGGAGGCAATCTACCGCCTGCTGGAGGACTATCCAGTCACTTTCGACCGTTTCCGCTCGACAGAGCAGTACTTCCTGGAGCCGTTCGAAGCTGCGCACCATGCTGGTTCCATCTTCATCATCAACGCCGCGCGCCGCATTCGCACGCCTGAACTCCTCGAGCTACTGCCGCTGGCATTCTACCTGTGTTCTCTACTCGATGGTTCGCTTCTCGTCAAAGGAGTCCCGAGGTCAAATGGCGAGTTAGAGAAGCTCTCCGCCGATGATCTACTCCGGTGTATCAATGGAAAGGAAGGACTCATGAAGGCGAACGCCGCTGCAACCATGTGTCTAGGGCCGTTCACGGAAAGCCTCGCTGACGACTGCAAGGTCTTTGAAACATGCAAGAAAGCACTGGTGGCGATCACGCAAGACGCACTCGAGGCTGATATCTTTTCGGCGTGCGATGCATTGACAAATATAGACTCATGGATCGATGAGAAGGCCAGGAAGTATGCGTTATGCGAACGATGTGCCGGGAACATACGCAGCGTACATCGGGATGCTCAGAAGGAGGTATGGGATACTCTCATAGACATATTTGAGCTGCGTGAAGATCTGCCTACATCTACTGACCTTGCACCGTCGGGGCGCTGAACGTAGTACGCTCTGCTATGTTTGGGAGGATGCATTTTCGATACTCGATACAGTACGACCAGATTCTATGAAGATTCGTAATATACTAATCAGTAGTCCGATGTTCATGTAGTATGTTTATCATGATGCATTCCATTTTATGATCACGTCGTGGCGAGTCTATCCGAATCGTGATCTCATCCAGACGCGACCGACGCGTACTATTGCGGTCTCGTCACTGGCAAGCTCTTGATGGCGAAGAACGACGCTGTGTGATGATCTCATCTGTAACCACGAACTTATCAGCCCTAACTGCAGGTTGGAGAGATCTTCAGGTACGTACCACCATGGCGGCATTTCTGTGCACTCCAACTTCCAAGCTGGTATCTTCGCGATCGGTTGCACCGACACCTGGGTGAAGAGAGACTAAAGTAAGTACGGCGTCGACGCGGTCTGCCAGATGCGTACCCGACTGTGCAACCCGTGCGTGGCACATCTAAAGTATTGCCATCCAGAGGCGGAGAAGCGGTTTGGGCAGTACCGGGCGAGCCGATGCGCATCAGTAGTTCCTGTGTGATACCAACCCAACGGTCGCAGACCTACCGCTCTCGATGACACCGCTTTCGTGATCTTGCAGGGCACCTCAATCAAAGCTTGGAGCGAGAGACGAACAGAGATAGATTTCCGGGCGAGACTAATAACAGACCGAGCACCACAAATACACTGATGACATAGGGGAGGAGAGAGCCCAAGACACGGGAATGCGACTAAGATAATGAGACAAGCGGCAACTGTAACTCGTGACGAAGGCGACAGCGAAAAGAACAACACGGGCTGGCTATGTACTGTTAGGCAAGGCGGGGCGGCGCAGCAACGCGCTTCCGGGAGATGGTCGTGTGGGTGGCTTTTGTGATAAATACAACAACATCCGGGTAGATGTGAACGCAGAGAGAGAAATACGACGGGTAACTGCACGACTGGCGCGGAAAATGGGACACGGGGGTGAGCGCAAAAACAAAGAGGAGCAGCGGCAATAGCAGCAACGACACCAAGATCCAGTCCGACGAGACACATGTCCTTCACAAACCTGACCAAGCAACAAGGGGGACCCAGTCAAACGCGCGCACAGAGGAGTCATCACTGAAAGTTGAGCCCACCAGTATCAGGGTTGAACCACTCGTCGAAGTCGCGCTCAAAGTCCATGCCCAGACTCGGATCTCCGCGCCCGAAGAGCGAGTCGCCGATGAAAGAGGTGTCTAGCTGCGACGCGACGGACTGTAGGAAGTCGGTCGGGATGATGGACTGATCTGAGCTGGGCGGCATCTGGGACTGTACAGGCGGGTGGCTCGGTGCCATAGCCGGCGTACCGCCGTTGCTGAGCATCCCTTGTGGCGAGGGCGCGGTCATACCGCCTGGCGTCGGCGGGGCGGATACGCCTGGGGGGCCACCGCCAGGAACACCAGGAGGACCCTGAGGTACACCAACTGCGGCGTTTTGCGGGGATGTGTTCGGTGCCGATGAATCGCCGCTGGTGGGGTCCTTGCCCGGCCCTCCCATAATCTTCGCCGCATTCATGCCCGGCGACGGCGGGGGCATCATACCCACCATGCCTTTGTTCTGACCCATCCGATTCTGGCCTCCGGGTCCCGGTGGCCCGCCTGCAAACTGTCCGTCGGTGTTCGACGGCGAGCCCCCCGCGCCCTGCGGAAGGAGATTGCCCAGCGCGCCGTGCGGCAGGTTGCTCTTGTGGAGGTTGTGCATCGTCTGCCTGTACTGGTGCTCACGGTGAATCTGAGTCATCTGTCAGGATATCAGCCCATACGGCTGTGTCTACCGACATAAGACACGCACTTGTTGGTTCAGGTGGTTCATGGGCATGCCGTTCGGCGGGGGGTGGTTCATCATGCCAGGGCTCATTGCATTGCCCATGTGCGGGCCACCCATGTTCGCGCCCATTGTCATAGGCATCCCGGGGGCTTGCCCCATCTGGTGCATCCCTTGGCCGGGGAACCCAGGCATCCCAGGCATCATCGCACTTCGCATGCCGCCAGGCATCTGGTGGGGACCAGGGGCACCCTGTTGGAGGGGATTCTGAAACGGTGCCCCGCCCTGCTGCATCGGTGGCGGCTGTTGCTGTTGCTGTTGCTGTTGTTGCTGTTGTTGCTGCTGTTGGCCCTGCTGCTGCTGGCCCTGCTGCTGTTGATCAGGGCCGGGTGTTCGACGAGGTCGCTTCCTGTCCGGTGGCGAAGACTCAGTCTTCGGCAACTGCTCAGCCTACACGGACATGAGTAGTCTCGTTCAATGTAGATATATGCGTCATAACGCCTACCTCTTGACCGGGAGAGGTGCTATTGCGCTTGTGTCCACGCTGAGTAAGTGGAGGCTGTCCCGACATCTGCGGCGTATGTGGCTGCTGTCCCGGCGGGCGTTGCTGAGGCGGCTGCATTGGTGGGTTCGACGGGCCAGCGGCGGCGTTCGTTTGAGGTGCACCAGGTGGCTTGGGCATCATGGACCGCCTCTGCCTCATCACATTGGTTAGCCGGTGCTGCACATCGCGTAAGTATTCACTCGCGCCAGCAAATTGAGTATACTAGCGAACCTTCTCTTCGGGAGTCAACGAGGGTAAGTCCTTGTCACCTGTTATCCCGGCCTCTTGCTTCAACATTCGTTGGTTCTCCACAGGTAGACGGAAGAAGTCGTTCAGAGGGTTATCTTGCATCTGCGCACCGTACTGCATGCCCGGGGGTTGCCTCGCCGTCATCGATGGGCTCGGGGACGGCATGACGCCGTTCGGCGCCGGAGAAGCAGGCTGACTTGGTGACCGGCCCAGTTGCTGGGGACCCGGCTGGGGAGTCTGCGACTGGCCAATCCCCGGAGGGCCGTTAGGAGGCAGCATGCCACGGCTCATCTGGTTTAGGGATTGCTGGTTGCCTGGCATACCAGACGCAGGATTAGGCTGCCCGGGAGCACCGGGGTTCTGCGAAGGGGAGTTGGTTAATACCTCGAGAAGTCTGACGGCATCGCGATACTGGGGCCACGCACCATTCTCTGTCCTCCGGGCATCATTTGCATGTTCTGCGGTTGCGACGGTGGGACGCCGTTTGGCCCTGCAGCGGTGCCTGGTATGCCGTTTGGCTGCGCGTTGGTGAAGGGCGTACCGGTCGTGCCATTCGGCATAGTAGGAGGTGCGCCGTTGGCTACGCCGTTCGGACCAACACCGTTGGGTATTGTACCATTCGGCATATGAGCCGCTGTGCGAGTTACACCGTTGACATACCGAGCGGGTTGCGCTGGTGGTCGGCTTGGCTGTGGTGGCCGCTGAGATTGGTGCTGTACGAATCGTCATGCATCGCCGCGGAGGACTCAGCCGTTGTTAGACGTACCTGGAGATACACAATAGCATCTTCAGAGCCAGGTCCAGGGTGGCCCGATAACTGACTCTTCGCCGAGAACAAGACCCAGAAGACGTTCCACCACCTGACGGCGACGTCCAAGACAGTCCGAATGACCCTGATTGCGCACTCACTCGAACAACAAGCCTTGCTTCGCATTTATTGGGGGTGTTGCAGCGTCTTGGATGCCCGCTTCTCGCATCAACGCTTGCGCGGTTTCGATGTACCCGTGCTTGACACAATAATCATGGATATATATGTTGAACCTAAACAGTCGCCACACATGCGTAAGCTGGCACCATAGGTACCAAGTCGCGATCACAAGACGTACATTCTGTCGCCTTCCCATTGGAGAGCTTCGGCTTGCGACGCCGCTGGACTGTGGCCATCTGCATTGGCCATTCCGTCCCAACGCACTAAGGAAGATCGGTTCTGAGAGAGAGAGAGATCAGCCATCTGGAGGGCCCTATCGCGCTGGTGGACTACCCACGCGGAAGCAATACAACACAGGATACAGAACAAAGACGAGCTAGATGAAAATACACAGACAGACGGGTGGTGGCAGGTCGATGCTCCTGCTGAGACGAGGCGGTGACGCGCCGGGGACTGGGCGATGGCGGACGGGGTGGGCGTAGGGGCTGGGGGTTATGTACGGTGCAGGCGAGGGGCGACGGCGACGTGGGCGACGGCGAGGAGGGCAGATGGTATCGCCTGAGATGGGAAGGAAGCTGACGGGGAGAGTCGAAGCCAGGCGCAGTGCTGCCCAGAAGCGCGAGGACGCCCCCGATGGCAATCGGGCGGAACCCAAACTCAATCCCCGGCAACGCGCGCCGTGCCACTCGCCTCCCACCTCGCCCAGCCACCAGCGACAACAGCACAACAATATATTATATACGCTACAATTAGACGAGCACTACACTACACTACAATATCCCCGCCGTCAGTGGCGGCGCACGACAGCAACCTGAAAGTCCCAGCCACCCAGAATGTACTTCACTTCGAATAGGCGCTTCAACTCCCGCCACCCCGTGTTCATCTCCTCAAGATCCTTGCGGTCGGACACCAAGTAGATAAAGTCGGCAGGCGACAGCAACGACCGCAGGAACGAGCCCACCAGGAAGGCGATAAGGGCCACGATAACCACCGTCGATAGTGGATACGTCCTGCCTCTTCCCACCACCTGCCGCGAGAGCAGGCCAAGCGCGTCGCCCTTAGTGCCCGCCACAACGGAGACATCCCGGGCTTGGCTACCCTCGGTAGATATCCCCGGGCTACTCTCGGGCGGCGCGGGCGTCGACGGCTCGCTGGGCCGCCGTCCTGGCGCGGTGAAGCGCAGGAGAGGGTTCGGATAGGCGTTCAAGAACCGCAGAAGACCACTCGTCGTCGAGTCAGCTGCTGGCGTCTCGGGGGGAGAGACGACCACTTGCGGAGGCTGTCGCGCAGAAATCTTCTCAGTTCCCGCCATCTGACACCAAAATAGAACCAGACGCTCACACTCTCACCCGCGTCCGGATTTGCTTCCGGTGGCATGTTCGTGCTCTCTGTGTCGACCTGCTCAGACACCGGCGCAGGCTCAGACGCAACTACCGCGTCGTCCAGCAGGTCCGTCGCCACAGCAATGGGCACCTGCAGCTCCTCCGCAGCTGGTCATCTTCCGCAGACGAGCTGACACGGGAGAATGCGTCAGGTTCCGCGCATAATGAAATCACCTCGAAGCGGTACTCACCCTGACAGAAGGTCCATCTTGGACGCCCTGCTGTCCAAGATTTCATCTCGCCCGAGGCTAGTCAGTGACTCCTTCTCGCCCAACACCTGCACAGTGGTGTCGTTGACAGTAACTGTCCCCTTCTTGCCCGGGCGCCCCCGGCGGTCGGCTGTATTTCGATGTCCAGGATAACGCGTCCTTCTTCCATATCGGAGAGCCATTGTGGCTTTGGTGGAGCGCTGCGAGTTTCGCCGGTCAAAGGATCCTGAATGGTCGATACATAATACTGAGCTGTGGGCAATGTCAGCCGCAACAGATGCCGCGGTGGACGGTCCGTGTTCAGGCCGGCCGAGTGCAGGGGGACGGCGGGAGAGTGTACGTCGCGCAGGCGAACGGAAGTTCCTGCGCCGATGACGACGACGTTGCCGTGCCGAGCGGGGAAGGCAGCGATATCCGCGCCTTCGATTTGTCGATGCGTGAGGCTAGCCGGACTTCATACCCGTCTGGATAGAGTTTAGAGTCGACGATCAGCTCTGAGACGAGCAGGTCCGTCGGGTGTCGCATCTCGCCTCTCGACGTCAGCATGGTTGACGATCTCACTCCTTCTCGGGAACGCGAGCGTCCGTGCTCGGGCGACATGCTCACAGGCTTTGATTGCGAAGTCGTCGCTGACGAGCTTGCTCTGCTCCGGCTCTGCCGTTCCAGTTCGTCGGCGACAGCGGCGCCAGTAGCTGCCGAGATAGTCTGTGCCTTGAGAGTACGATTCCGAGGTTTGGGGGTCTTCTCATCGGCCCTAGAAGCTACGCGGGGCAGCGCATCCGAACTATTGAGCAAAATGGTGCTCTGGTACACTGTGCCGACGGCTTGAAGCGGGACGCGATCAGTAGACGTGTGGAGTCTCGGCGCCGCATCTTCCATGCTTTGTGTCGGAGGAGGGGATCCTGGCTCGTTTGAGCGAGGCAATACCAACTGCGGGGAGACGGGTGCACGGAGGAGGAGACAGATTCTTGACGTAGGACTCGACGGCCTGAATCGACTTCGGCAACATACCGTTGATCATCGAGTTCATGGCTGCCGGGATGGATCCCGAGTAATCAACCGCGACTACTCGCGTGCACCGAGTGGACGGAATCGCGTAGTTCTCTGCTCCGTAGGGATCGAGCGTCTCCAGAATCCATCCATCCACGTAGACACGGCCGATGGGCAATCCGTAGGTGTTGTACTTTGCGGGAGAGAACGAAGCAACAGACTCCGGAGCGAAGGATGCCGACACGCAGTATATCGCAGCACGGCTCTCCGCCGAGTGTTCGAGCTCGCCCGTAGGTGTGTTACGCCGAGAGAGGGAGGGAGAGGCGCTTCCTCGTGCCATGAGCGAGGCCAGGTAGAAACCTCTGTCGCGGAACGGGAAGCCTCCTTTCATGACCACGAACTCGGTGTGCAGCTCGCCGCCGAACACCTCAAAGACGTGTGCCGTGTCGAACCGAGTATCCCATTGCTTGCGGCAGTCGTAGCTTGTTAGAACCGAAGCTACCTCCTCCGCGGAGACCCCTTCGATGACCTTCTCTCCCCTGTGAACTGGGATGACCGGCGAGATCTCAGCGTCGATTCTCCGGTACACGGGCACGTCCTTCTCGCTGACAAATGTCCACCCGTCACGTTGCGGGCTGATGTGTATGCTCTGCAGATACGCCAGAGCCTCGAGCGCGTACTGCATAGGCGGCTTCGTTGCGGATGGAGCATCGCCTCCCGCAGCCATAGCAGGGGCAATCGCAGCAGCAGCTTGTTGAGTAGCAGTCGTCGCTTGCGCGATCGCCATGTTGAAGAATGAGTTGAACGACGTCGTGAAGGTCGGCGACACTGCAGCCTCTCCCTCCAACCCCGCTTGTTTGGGCACATCGTCTGCGTCTTCGAGCTCGCCGTCCCCACTCCACTCTGCCCTGCGTCGCCGGATGACTCCCAGGACAGGAGGTTGGTCCAGCGGCACTCGAGTCGGCTTGATGCGCTTTTGCTTCTGCAAGTTCTTCACCTCCTTCTCGGGCAGCTCCTCGACGTCGACGTCCACTTTGGCCCCGTTTACCATGACAAGCCCCTTCTCCTTCGGCACACTCATCGGTCCACGCCTGACAATGACTTGCAGACGATCATCCCCGGTATAGACAGCGTCGTGCGTGATCGTGAGCCAAAGGCCGCCCCCGCCGGAGGAGAGGCGGTGCCTTCGGAGACAAGAAATCGTTTGTGGCGGCGGATCAACCACAATATCCAATGACGACGCCCAGTTATCCAGATCGCACCTCATCTCACATTCGACGACAGGTAGTCCAGGCGAGATAGGAGTTGCCGGTGTGGCAGACTCGTCCGGATTCTGCGCTGGAGTCGACCGGCGGCTCGCGGACGCCTCGAACTCGACGCGGAAATTGTACCTGTCGTGGTCATACCGCATCTGCGTCGCCTTCGCGCCCTCCAGCCGCGTAACGATGGGCGGGCCACCACACTTGATCGCGAACTCGCCAACGCCGGCCAGTGCTTGGATCATCTGTTGTGGAATGGACGCCTTATTCGACCAGCCCTTCGGTCAGACTGCTCGAGCAGGGTGAGCTGCGTCGTAGTGGGCGAGAGCGCCTCGATCGCCCATCCCTGCAGGTCGACCTGTGTGCGAATGACGGTGGGCTCCGCGGACGGGATGTTCGGAAACAGGTTTGGATCGTCCGCGGAGAAGGCAAAGACGTGTATTGTCGTCGGTGACTTGTACACGGTCTTGAGCACGACCGCATCTCTCCCACTGCAGAGATAACAGATCAGAAACTCGCTGTGGGCGCCGTACTGATAAACGATGCACTTACGTGACAGGCCATGCAGGCTTCGTCTTGAAATGCCACAACTCCGAAAGCTCGGTGACTTGTTCTAGCAGTATACTATCGTCGTATAGTCTGTCCCAGAACGCGCGGGCGCCCGGTGTCGCAATCGCGGCATATAAGTCCCACAGTCCGAGTCCGACGAAAGCCGCTTCCGCACGATACACTACCAAGGTGGGGTCGATTGAATCGAGTTGCGCTATCGACACCCCGCGCGCCTCGGTGGCTTGACACACAGTGAGGAAATGTCGAAAGACAAACAGCAAAGCCGCACTCACTGCGTTTCCACTTCGCCTCCGGCTCCTGCAGCAGTGACGAGAAGTAGATATAATTACGTTTGACGCGAGAGAGGATCGACTTCTCAGCCGTTGCAGTCCGCTCGGTCTGCATACGCGTAAGCGCCGGCCGCTCAGGGAGCGCAGCAGAAGCCTTCGACGCGGACTCCGCCACCGTGCTGACGGACGACGATTGCGTGTTGAAGCTGAAATCGGCCGCACTCGACGCGTCTCGGAGCATCTGCTGCGACGCAACGTGAGATTGCGGATCCCGCTCCTCCACTTGCTCGATGGGTTGAGGGATACCGTTCAAGCGGATGCCACTTGACGAGCCAGACAATTCAATCACTACTCGGACTTTCAGCACAGAGTGGTCGTCGGGCAAAGCGACATGTTTGATTCCGAAAACAATTCTGTCTGCTTCTGGACTATTTGTGGTCGAAGCTTGGGCGGGGGACGGATTTCGTTTTGCCTGTGCTGTCCATGGTAGCTGCGCGACATGCTCCGAGGATGCTTTGGTAGCAACCTGAACGTCCCAGCCCACGGGCGCTGGCAGTGCACATTCGACCGATCGTGTTAGCCTCTTGTGCTCGCGTATTGCGTACAGTTCGTCTAGGCCCTGCGCAGTCGTATGAGGGGTGTGGTCTTCATCCTCTGGGACGATCGAGTAGTCCACGGTCAGCGCCTCCCGGTCGAGGTCGAAGCGTAGCCGCTCGATTGACACGCCATTCCCATATCCCGACAGTTGAGGTATTCGCAGGCCGCGTTTCTGCACCGTGCTGTAGATACCGACCATCATGGTACATAGCTGTTGTGTGAAGCTGGACGCTGTGTTGAAGGTCCATAACGTCTTCAGATTATGCTGCCAGAAACAAGTTATGCGTAGTTTAGGGCCGCGCTTGGATGCCGGGGGCTGCTCGCCGATAACCTGGACGCACCAAGCAAAGACTAAATGACAATCAGTTGCGCCTGAACTTGTGTCCAGTGAGTCACGTACGAGAGACATCCGACCGAACGTATGGTGGCGATGGTCGAAGGTACGCCGGCTCATCTGGGGACCGAGCAAGGGAGGTGGAGACGTCGATCAAGGTCGTAGCATCGCTGAAAGAACGAGAGATGATTACAGCATCTCTGGGACTGCACTCGAGTCAGTACAAAATCACCGCCGATGCGAGGAGCAGAAACGTCAGATCTGTCCATAAAACAACACCAAGATGCAGGCAAGACCTCATGCGAGTTCACGATAAGACACCTGTGATGTACGTTATATAGAGTAGTGACTGAGCATGTGCCCATGTCGTGTCCCTGGGAGCGGGCTGCAAAACAGACAAAGACACATAGAAGCAGGACCATGCTCTACGGGTGATGACCAGTCATACGAACGCCACAATCACTTGCAGCTATGAAAGCTGCTTGAGGCGGGACAGTTGGACACCGGCTGTCAACTCCCGTAGGGCAAGAAACTAAGCGGGACGGCAGATCTGCGCTGTGCAACCTCTGCCGTCACTCTCAGTTTCATGCTAAGGCCGGTGCCCGTACATCAGAGGTCCAAACCTTTCCGAGAGGAATAGGAGATCATGCAGCCAATGACGGTCCACTGCAAGACATCTGAAGAAGCCGAGCACTCCGGAATGTAGCTATCTGAGCGCGGCGGGGACAATGTCAGATTTCAGCCGAACAGAACGGATCCACGATGTGAAGCCGTGTCTTGGCTACGTCTGAATGGTGAATGGAACCCAGCTGTGACGATGCGCTAGGCTGTATTCTGCGTGCCCATGGCCAATGTCCGGGCCAGTGATTTCCCGAGCGAATGGACCTCTCCCCATGCGTCCTCGCGCGCACAAGACTACCGTCTTCGTTGTACAGATGTCTCCGGTAGACAGTGATACGCGTGCCCGACGACGAATGCGCGACTTACTTTGCAGGCCACCCAAGGGTGAAATCGACCTTGGAAATCCTAGTGGCTTGGTCGAGTATCTCGATCATATGCGCGCCTTCCACTGCTGGATCCCACTCCTTTCTGAGCTCCGGAGTGGACAGGACAGCTCTCCAGCTCTCCAAAGACACGGGCGCATCACCTACCGGGACGTCCAGGATTGCGCGGTAAACGGGTTCGCTGGACTTGTTCATCTTGCGGTGTAGAACTACGTCCGTGAGCTCTGGGGCTACCGCCCTTGATTTGCCCTTCGCATTCGTGTCGCTTGGGATTGGTACCCTCTTCCATTCAGGCGAGGCATGGGAGGACAGCAGCTGCCGGAAGTTGCTCTGTGCATCATCGAGCGAAGCGTACCATGAGTTGCGCAAGCTGAAGTCTGTCAGTCAATGTGGCATGTCGCAATCGAGCCGTCTCACCGTGTGCCGTCTAACATGGGGATATGGTCGTCGAGGCGCACCAGAAATGAGAGGCTCGAGCAGAACAAGAACGACTCTTCGCGCTGCGAGCGCAGAGCATGCTGGGCGCCTGTCACCGATGGGGAGCGTGTCGGGCACGTGGCCTGGGGTGCACCAGGTTTGGAAGAGTCACGCTCCTCCTCCTCCTCCTCGGCGCTCGCCTCAACTGTCCTGCTCTGTCGCGCTGAAGCGCCATGGTCCTGCGCTGTGTGCGATCCTGCTTGCACGGATGCTACCTGTTGTCCTTCATATGGCCTGCCATCTGGCGACCGAGCTAGCCGAGGCAGATGGTTCCATTGGAATGGCAGATGCGGTGTCCAAAGGCTACTGACAACTTGAAGTTGAATATATGTGCCAGTGAATATTGTCAGATTTGAGCGATAACTTCGGCTCCAAGCTTCCGTGCAGGAACACAACAGGAAGAAATTTCCACTGCGACAAGTAGACATGCACGCCGCGATCTCTCTCGGACGCTACCACCAGACGGCGTCGTGAATGCTACATGTAGTGCGTCTCCATTCGCATTGTCACTCTGATCCCAAGATCGAAGTGTCTTGCTATCACTATGGGACAGGAGCGCGTACTTTGCCAATCCTCGACAATGTCTCTCCAATCATAACGCCAAGTCTCTTATAGGAAGAATCTCGAGGAGTACTTTGACCGCGCCGGCCAGCTAGCCCAAAGGCCTAGGTCCATCATAACTGATGCGCTCCGCAGAGTACTTAGAGGAGAATGCTTACTCGGTACATGGCATTGGCAAGTCACTTCTAATGACAGTCTCACAGAAGACTCGGACCGGTCGTCAGCGGTCGTCTCGTGTCGGACTGAGCGTTGCGGTGCAGCGGGTGTCTCGGCCTGGTCTCAACTTGAGATTTGGCTGTGTGCGTGTCGACGCGGTGAGTGACATGCATTGGGGATGTCTGTATCGGTGTGATGTCACTGAGCCGCCACGAGCGAACGTGGCGAGAACAACCCGAATTACGCTCGATGCATACCCATGTTTCCCTGGCGCGTGTGGAATGGATCAGTCGACCCCTTGCCATGATGTCACAGCATCCTTGGCCAGTGGGTATCACGGCAGAGTATCATCTGGTGAAGACGGACAAATTAATCGCGCCCATAAGCTAAGGTATAAAACTCACAACCGTACGACTCGCAGCGTTGTCACTAGCAGCATCCCAGTGGGTCCCCCGAGAGTTCGCAATGTCTGACACCAAAGCTGCGTCCGTGCCGAAGCCAACTGCTCCTCTGGAACCACTCCACGACGTAGTCCCCACCTGGAACCACTACTGGAACTTAACTCACTTGCACATGTGGCCAACGGGTGGCGATTTAATCTGGTTCCCTTCCAGTGAGCGTGCGCACTCAGATTTTCTCTTAGCAAGCCTGACTTCGGATCTGCTTTCCAGTGTGGGGGATGTTGATGAGTGCATATCGGCTGGCCTGCCACCACAGACAGTCGCTGTGCATGCACTGGTTCACGCCATTGCTTGCACGTTCGCTCACAGCGCCGGATGCATATGGAATGACATATGTGATCGCAACTTTGACCGCCAGATCGGTGCGTACCTGAGTCCGTTCCCCATTAAAACAATGACGAGTGCCAGCATCTTCCGGACAGAACGGAGCAAGACACGGCCTATTGCTTGCGGGTTGATATCAGTACCTGCTGCGCTGCTTTGGTTGGAAGTCCATGCCCTGGGCTACTTCACAGCCTTGTCATATTTCGGTCGTAGCACGTCAGTTTTCTATACTCCTTCCCATGTTGCTCGTCCCTTACTCCGGTCGTTTTACCATCGTCAGCGTGCTGCTAGGCGTTCTGGTCTTTTTCACGGTGGCACTTGCATATCCTCTGTCCAAGCGCTTCACGGACTGGCCGCAAGTAATCCTTGGTATGTGAGCGAACAACACGCTCCGACACACTTTCCTGACCCGCTACAGGTATCAACTGCGCTTGTTGCACACTCATCGCATGGTATGCAGTCAATCATACCATTGACTGGACAGTCGTCGGGCCTCTTTCGCTGGGTATGACATGGTTCGTGCTCCCATCTTCACAACACCTCGGATGCCCGCGCCAATACATTGAATCTGCAGCTGGGCCGTCCACTTCGACACCATCTACGCATCCTCCGACAAGAAGTACGACAAGCTGATCGGCGTGCGCTCGTGCGCCCTCCTCTTCGGCGACTACGTCCGGCCCATCCTGTCCCTCTTCTGCACGGGCTTCGTCGCGTGTCTAGCGTACGCTGGTTACGTCAATCGACAGGGACCGTTGTACTACGTGTTCACTGTCGGGTCCACCGCGTTGGGCCTGCTTTGGCAGCTGGTGACGACGTTGGATTACGCGAAGGATGGGATGACGCTGTTCAAGGTGAGTGAATTACTCGGATTGATCGTCGGGGAGATGTACAGCACGTTGACTCCGTCGCAGGCAAACACCATCATTGGGTACGTTTCCGTGGGCGGGTTGCTGGCTGACTATACATACAAAGTCGTGTTGCGGATTTAACGCTGTGGAACGGCGGACCGGTAGATTCCTGCGTTCCCATTGCTTGGATGATAAGCCATATTATTGCTAGATATATCATTTGTCAAGCTTAGTACAGTCTCTCATTTCATGCAGAACCATCCGAATGTATAGAATCGATAGATATAGATATTATTCGAGCAGATGGTAGCGAGGTGTCGTGATTATGGGAGGCCATACTTAGAAACTGTGCACAATCGCGAACGACACAGGGAGCAGCCATAGCACTAACCAGTCCGAGTCCCACGGAGGCGGGATGTGAAATGCTCCCGCGATGCGACGGAGCGGTGGGTAGAATCGCAATCGCGATCGGAAGAACGTTTTCCCTCCGTTTGATACCCGGTTCGCGTTCGAATCCAAACCAATGAGCTCCCGCCACCCTCTGCCACCACCGGCATGTCCTCCCGAAGTGATTAGTAGATTGGTACTGAGGTCAGTAGTCGGTCAAGATCGTAGCATGGCACGCTGAAGGGCCAAACGACCGCCAGTGTTACTACGATATGAGTGATCCGAAGCGTGTGGAGCAGTATGCGGGACAACAGCCACTCGGATATGGACTCAGCGTCGGATATTCTCCGCGCTGGACTCGCGCGGCACGGTGCTCACATCCACAGCGGGATGGCACGAACATCCGCTCATCCGGATTCGCCTCCAGAGACGTATAAAAGAGCTCCTTGCGTGTGTCTTCCTCACAATAACATCATTACTGCATCACCACAGACTTGACCACATTCACGATGGCATCTACCTCGGTCGCCCGTGTTGCCACCCTGGCTGGTCCAGGGAATGCTGCGCGGCTCTTCCCCAAGGGCAGGGTGAGTCTCCCCGCACCTCTACCATATCGGATCGAGTTGACCGACCAGGCGTGAGCACAGTTCGCCCGTGCCTGGGTCCCCGCCTATGATCCATCCGAGCACGACGGCTGGACAACGCCAACGCCAACGCCAACGCCTTCCGCTGGCGGACCTCGTTCGGTCAACCCCGCGCTGCTGGCAGCGGTCTCCAGCGCGGTCTCGCGCGCAGACGCACGGCGAAGCTCAGCCAAACGTCCAGGTGAGCATCCCGACACACAACACCCGCCAATACCTTCGGGTGCTAACCGAGCAACCGCAGAGATGAAGCCGCTCCTCGGGCTCGGTCTCCCAGCTGAGCTCTTCCCGCCGGGCATGCAGGGCACCCTGACGCCCTTGCGGACCCCGCTCCCCCCGATCATCGAGCGGGACTGGGCGCCGCCCCCACGGGCACTGTCGCCCGAGTCAGACGACACGGACGAGGACGTCTACTCGCCCATGGAGGTCGCCCTCGCGCGCATCCAAGTGTCCTACTTCCCCGACGCGGAGGAGCCTGACAACATCGACGTCGCTACCGGCAGCGCTCCGCCCCCCGCCGCGCGAGTCCGCACGCAGCCGCCCTCGCCCGTCCCGCCGATGTCCATCGCGGCTGCGGTGGCGCTCGCGAGGAGGCCCGGCCTGCAGAGGATGCCGACGTACGCGTCACCCCGCCCGTTGACCGTGGCGCGGTTCGTGCCCGAGCCGTGTTCGGCGCTCACGGGCGAGTACGAGCTCGGGCTCCGGTTCAGTTTCGCATTTGGGCTTTTGCTGAGCCCCCGCGCGCCGAGGAGCACGACGCCCCAGGCAGCCGTGTTCCCACCCATCTTCGCAAGCGGCCAACCCGAACCTGCGTATAGGCTGGACGACTCGCCGTTCACGCCGGGTGTGCAGGCGTTCAACCAGGGTGACCCCGTCGCCGACCCGCTCGAGCTGCTCTTGCGCGACTTTCCCATTACGCCTGGGCCTCGTCGGCTTGCGCCGCCGATGTTCGACTCGTCGGAGGACCCGGTTGTGAGCCCCAGCGAGTTGGAGCTGCGCGACTTCCCGCTCACCCCCGGAGCACCGGTCGACCGCTTCGCGGAGGTATCGTTCGACGGGCGAGGGTCGGATGAGAACGAGCAGGTGGACAGGCCGGCTTCGCCTCTTGGTCTTGCAGAGTACGTGTTTGGGGTGTATTTGTGATACTATAGCGGACAATAGACCAGTCGTTAGAACAATGTACATTGAATGAAGATCGCGAAAATAGCGAGACGGTGCATTGGCTTGAGCTACTTAGACTCTATGTGTGTCCACAAGGTCGTCAGACCAGCGGCATACTCGATGCGACATTCACATATCCAGGTTCTGGCTTTGAGTTCGACATTTTTTCGGCAGTGGTGTACAGACCTACTCACCTCCTCGGCGTGGGGACTGGCAGCGCATCTGCGAACACACTTATACCCGGCGCTAATCTGAGGATGAGCCACATCGCGTGGCACGTCTTTCCTGTCTTCGTGCTGCGTCCAGCTTGCGAATACTCGTCTTTTGGGCCCGGCGATGTCACTTCTGGACTCTACGACCCGCGCACTCGCACAGCCATGTCCATGAAGACCGCCCGCTCCTCGACGAGACCTATCTTGACACGCCCGTCCTGCTACCTCCCGACACGCGTTCCAGGACGCCCTCCTCAGCGCCGTGCACAAGAACTCATCTCGCTCCTCCTCTGTGCCTGCGTCACGAAGCTGAACTCACCTAGCGAGGCGTATTCGCGAGGCGCGGGAGATCACCTTCGGGTGCAAGGTGGAGGAACTCAGCCCGCCCGAGAAACGCCCAGAGCAGTGGGATGCCGTCGAGAAGGGTTCGGCGTCCTGGCGTCGTGGTTGAGGCCGCCGGGGACGACACAGGCTCTTGCTCACGGGCGGGGGTCCGGCGGCGATGCGAGTCGCGTGCGTCACGCAGATATAAGCATCGCTGGTCTGTTGATCTGGGTGCGTGCTATATACGGAGAACAGAGCGAGGAATGGCGGCGTGTCGAGAGCTTTGACGGGGGTCGCTGGAAGCGCTTCTTGGACTTCTTCGAGCAATGGGCAGATACAAGCCGTTAGAGGATGAAGTTGGGGTCGAACGATGTCGACGCAGAACACCCGCAGTCCCCGTGGTTATTGTACGTACGATGTCCGTGCGACGCTGTGTATGTAGGTGTGGTCTTCGTATAATCCGAACTCTCGTATAGTACTCGCACAGCTGTTGAGTACTGTCTGCACGTCACGTTCCCTTGTAACGCGCATGCCGGAAAACGCTGTTCGTTGATTGTGGCGTTGTCAACACCGCCCGGCGGTGTAATGCCAGCTCCTTGCTCCTTGAGCGTGAAGCTGATCCGTGACCAATAGCATCGCTGAACTGACACTGACGACGACAAATATGCTCCCCATCGCTGCGATATTGTCCTCACTGACTATAGTCGCACTGTTGAGGTGACACTGGCAACGACAGGTGTGTCCGGTATCCAAGTAACATGGTCCATCCGCTGACATGGACCCTCCCCGTGCGTGTTGCAGCCACCGCTGCGATCCATGGATCAAGCCACTCTCACTGCCTCGTATTGACGTTTCGACTCGTTCATCCGCATCTCCCACAGGTGTACAATGGATCCATATGTGCACAACTCCTGGCCCACACGGTCTGTGCCAACGAGACACTGTCCTTCTCACGCTGGGCCTCAGCCATCCACGACTCGGATGCGCATACGTAACTAGGAACTGCAATTCTGTTCTTCGGATCAAGATGTTGTTTTGTGTGTGATGAACAATTGGCCAGCGCTGACGATTCAAGAGGTGGCGCTATACACCAGCGCAGAGCGACCGGTCGTTGCGATGCGCCGGGTCCCAGTGAACCCTTCAAGTCCAAATCACCTCGCAATGACCGGCCTTCACAGTTGCACTCTCACACAGCCATCAAGTTGGGAACATTGATCAGTCAACGATGTACGTATGTCCAATCGCGCTCGAGACGTATGCATCAGGATTGAATGTTGAGTATCAACTCTACAGGTTGGCAGCCCGTCAGAGGACATGTCGAGTACTGTTCGGCTCAGGATTTCATCCTGACCGCGTCAAGCATGCTATGCCAGTGTCGCCCGTATTTTTGCTAGTCAATGCCAGCCATGACGAGGCAACTGCTTCAAGGGGACGGGGGCACCGTTTCACCGCTGCAGTGCAGCGCTCGGAGGCTGGCGCTGAGCGCTGAGCGCCGGAATCGGAACTTCTTTCCAAGAATACGACACTGTTTGCTGGAAGAGTTCAGCTGTAGGTTTGGAGGCACGCTGCTGCTAGCCGCAGGTGGGCAGGTATGTAACACTATCATCTCCTGCTTTCTGACAACCCTGGATGGCCGGACATGCCGACTGTAAACTCCTGTGCGCTCGGTCGTTTTCCGTACTCATCGGTCAACCGGGGGTGTCACGAAGATATCACGGATGGCACGGCATCTGGCTTTCCCCGGAGTAGCTCTATATATAAACTCCCGGAACGCGACACTGGTTCCTCAGCCCTCAGTTGACCTGTGCGAGCCTACCCTCCAACTTCAGGTACTGGATAGTGAGTACACTATTCTGCGGGCTCGTACGTGTCCGTTCTAACGACGGTGTGCAGCTTGACTTGTCGTTTTATTATTTGCTTTCATTTCGTCACGACCTCTTGCTCTTTCACTAGTTACACCTTCACGACCCTCTCTTACACCCCTCAAACCCCACACGATCACGATCGGCATGCGTTCCTACACCATCCTCGCTGTCGCCGCCTCCGTCGCTGCCCCAGCTTTGGTCTCGTAAGTCGCTGTTGAACCATTCCTGCGGTCAGATGCTTACTCCTTGCTGTAGTGCTGTCCGCATTGAACAAGACAGCGATGCCCTTTCCACCGGCAAAGCCTTCCACCCTTTGATCTCCAACGCCTACCAGAAATGGGAGGCGAACCGCGGCAAGCGGTAGGTTTTAGTTCCCATTGGCAATGAGGCGTCTTCCTGATATCATCCCTTAGCAGTGACGACGAATCCTTCGAACTCCTTGCCCGTGAGATCGCGACGCAGGAACCGCAGACCAGCACGTCACCCCTGGGTCTAAACCCGAGACCCATTACGACCCTGGCGATCACGCTGCAACGGCCGCCGGCGCCCACCCCCACGAGCAGGCCGCTGAACAGCCATCGGGTCACGCCGGTGCGCACGAGCACGAGGGTGCGAAGCACGGTGCCGCACACCTCCACAGCGGCGAGCACGGCGCCGCGCACTCAGGCTCTCACCTGCGCGTTGGCCAGCGCGTGGGCAAGCACGCCCACCGCTACGGCGCGCACGCGGGCACGCAGGCCCACAGGTACGGCAAGCAGGTTGGCAAGCACGCCCACAGGCACGGGAAGTCCGGCAAGGGCATGCAGGGACGACGCAAGGGTCTTCACGCGCAGAAGGGCGAGTCCGCCGCGCAAAAGGGCGAGCACGCCGCACACCATCCCGGGTCGCACTCCTCTGGGCACTCCGCGCCCGCCCAAGGCCACCCCGACGCCGCCGAGCACCCCGCGACGCACCACACCGAGGCCAGCGCTGGCGCGAGCGCGAGCGCTGAGCGCCCTCTCGAGACACAGGCGGCGGCGAGCGTCAAGCAGCACCAGCGGCGGGGCAAGTTCCACAAGGCGAGCAAGGCGTTCGGGCTCGTGGGCGACGCGGCGAACGCGGCGGGCAGCGTGCACGACGCGTGGGACAGCTTCAAGCAGCACCAGCGCCGCGGGAAGATGCACAAGGCGGGCAAGGCGATCGGGCTCGTAAACGACGCGGCGAACGCGGCGAGCAGCATCGGGAGCGCGTGGCAGTCGTTCCACGGCCGCGAGGACTCCCCGTACGATTCCTGTGAGTGTTTTTGTCGCTTGGTTATGTGACGGGGATTGGGGACTGACGGGGATGCCTCGCTAGGTACGAGCGCGACTACGAGCTCGACGACCTCGAGTAGGCGCAAGCACTGTTGGACCCGCAAGACACTCCGCATTCATTCTCATCCATCCCTGATCTGATTATCTTCATGACCTAGCTAGAGGTGTAACTATCTGAACGACATTGACGAAATAGCATATCTCACTGAGGGCTCGCATATTCCGTGGTGTGATGAATGACGGAACCTAGCCTGTTTTGCGGTATACAAATGCGTGTCAATGCGGCGGCACCTGCAACATACACTGCAGTCGTCGTGCTGATAGTGCAAGACGAATTTGATACGATATGTAAGATGTCCGAAACACGGAGCTGACATGAACAATATGCTACAAGGTATGTATGCGTGTCCAACACTTACAGTTCGTTATGGTCATCATGTTTCGTTTCACAGCCAGTACCAACGACTCAAGCCACGCGTCTAATGGTACGGATGCCACACCAGCTCCCCCGCCTTCCCCACCGGCCTCCTCGGCAGCCCATCCCCGTCTACATTCTCGCCCGCCGGATTCTGCCCCCTCACCGTCCCCTCCGCCATGAGCGCGTCCGCCTTCAGCGTGCCCTTCCCCACCAAGCCCTGCCACGCCGTGCCCCCCTGCCCGACCGCCTCTTGCCCCGCAGCCAGCCGCGTCTTCTCCTCCTCCCACGCCTGCGTGGCCTTCTCCCCTTTCTGGGTGTCGCGTTGAGTCGCGGTGACCCGCGCACCCTTGCCTTGGTTCCCGTGACATCCGACCATCGCGCGCTTCACAGTCTTGTGTCCCTCGCCTCGCAGAAAGTCTCCCACTGCGTCGAGCGCGAGCTCGATTACCTTCTCCGCGGAGACCTTCAAGCCCGTAAGCTCGTTGATCCGCTGCGGGAGGATGAGGAAGACGTCCGAGAACGACGGATGTGTCGCTCCAGCTGAAGACGCAGGGGTGTGAGTGGGCGGGGAAGGAGGAAGGCAGGAGACGTACGGATGGTGTAGACCCGGGGCGGGTCCTTCACGGTGCGCGCGACTTGCTCTTTGAAGATAGCGTATTCGCGCCCGACGGCGAACTCTTCGGAGTTGACGACTAGCAGTGGGTGTGGGATCGTTCCTTGCCATGGCGCGACACCTGTTCGAGGGCAAGCTGAGTTCAATGCACATAATATGCATATAGGGAGGATACTCACGCTGGGTGGCGGGGTCGAAGACGATGATGCCATCAAAGTTGACCTCATTCCGCGCCGACACTACGAGCTATTGCACCACGTTAGTTGAATTGGACTCTGGATCCGCGAAATGAGCACGTACGCGGCCGTCCCTCCTAGACTGTGCCCCGCCATGACCGGTGTCTCGTAGTCCACAGCGCTCTCCCAGCGTTTCCAGTCAAAGCTCTGCTCAGTCGTCACACCTGGTGCCTGCACCGGGTCCGAATACCTGCCAAAGCTCAACATCCACCCTCTTACAACGTCTGTGCTACTCACCGTATGATATCGCGTCCCGTAGTCATCTGACTGACGGCGCGTATCGTCTCATGTATCTCCGCCGCGCGCAAGTCCAGTTGGACACCCCTCAAGAAGGTGTCGTCTGTCGGCTGAGTCTCCAGATCCGGCCACTCCAAGTCCGACCACTGCAGCCAGTCGACGTTCTTCGTGTTCCCCTTGTCGTCGGTGATCTTGCTGCTCGGGCTCGTGCCGTCGCGATGCTCGAGCGCGGCAACGACATACCCGCGGCTCGCGAGCTCGCCACAGATCTGCGAGTACATGAGGCGGGAGCAGCCGACGCCGTGGCTGAAGATGACGAGGGGCCATTTCCCGCGGTTCTCGGCCGTCGGTGGGTTGGCGGTGTTGCTGTCTGCGGGTTCGGGTGGGTTTGCAGGGGGCGGGCGGAGGAGCGGCGCGTCTTTGTGCGCGGGGAAGGTCGTGCCCCAGATGGCGGCGGCTGCGATGGGGTATGTGAAGGCACGGTACCAGTTGTTGGGCGTGCGCTTCGCCATCTGGAGGAAGCCGTCGATCGTCTGGCCGAGTCTATCAGAGCTTAGATGGCGTCGGGACCTCGTAAAAGCCTGACTTTACGGTACCTCGGGAACCACACCACCCTGTCCTGCTTGCGGTCGCCCTGGTGCGCGTCGGCGGGGTAGAAGAGACTGAACATAACGGTGTCCATGACGAGGCCGCGCTGGCCTTTGAGGGTGGGGTCGTTCTCGGCATGGTGTCGCTTGAGGTTGTGGTGGATGAAGTTGCCGAAGGTCTGACGGGCAACGGGGACCTCGACGTCGATGACGCCGACCTGGTAGACGCCGCTGTAGTGGGGGAGGGTGCGAGAGAGGAGGGCGCCGAAGGGGAGCGGCGGAGGGGGCTTTGCGGGTGACGGGGGGTTCAGTAGGGCCTGCGCCTGGATGAGGGAGGTCGGCGGCTTCGCGATGTGGCTGGGGGCGCGTCAGTCATCTCGGCTGTCTACACAAGCACAGAGGGTGGAAGATGGGACATGGCGGGCGAGGCTGCTCGACGTTATAAGCAGCATGCTACAAGTGCCTGTGCCACGGTGGTGCAGGGGAACGCTGTCGTGTGATGTCAATCGTCCGCATGTGGCCATCCATTGCCTTTTTTGGGTGGGCTCCTCCTCCCAAGGAAGGGACGTTAGCACGGGGTGCGCCACCTCGAGCCCAAGAGTAGGATGGGCCTGTATACCGTGACTGCCGGAAAGAATGTCGAACCCAAAGCCGGAATCGCGGATATAAGTATGAATGTCGCGTCGAGTTTCACTATCAGCACGACGACTGGGGTGTGACACGCACCTGTATACCACAAAACAGTCTAGGTTACATCAGTCATCACACCATGGGATATGTGAACCCTCAGCGAGATATGCTATTTCGTCAATGTCGTTCAAATAGTTACACCTCTAGCTAGGTCATCAAGATCATCACGGTCAGGAATGGAGGGATGGAGGACGGATGCACTCGGAGTGTCTTGGAAGTCCAGCAGTGCTTGCGCTTACTCGAGCTCGTCGAGCTCATAGTCGCGCTCGTACCTAGCAAGGCATCATCGTCAGTCCGGGATTCTCGCCAACACCGTGAAGAAACCGAACACTCACAGGAAGTCGTACGGGGAGTCCTCGCGGCTGTGGAACGACTGCCACGCACCATGGACGCTGCTTGCCGCGTTCGCCGCGTCGCCCGCGAGCCCGAGCGCCTTGCTCGTCTTGTGCACCTTGCCCCGCCGGTGGTGCTGCTTGGTGGAGTGCCCATATTGCCCGCCGTTCCCGCCGTGGCTGACATGGCCTCCGCCTCCTCCGCCCTCGCGCCCGCGGCGGTGGTGCCTGGAGCTGTCGTACGCGCCGTGTCGGTGTGACCCGCCGTTCCCGCCGTGACTCACATGGCCTCCGCCTCCCTCCCGCCCGCGGCGGTGATGTCTCGAGCTGTCAAATGCGCCGTGTCCGTGCTGCCCACCATTCCCGCCGTGGCTGACATGACCTCCTCCTCCCTCCCGCCCGCGCCTCTGGTGCGGCGCCGCGGTCTGTGTCTCGAGAGGGCGCTCAGCGCTCGCGCCCGTGCCAGTGCTGGCCTTGGTGTGGTGCGTCGCGGGGTGCTCGGCGGCGTCGGAGTGGCCGTGGGCGGACGCGGAGTGCTCAGAGGAGTGTACGCCGGAATGGTGTGCGGCGTGCTCGCCCTTCTGCGCGGCGGACTCGCCCTTCTGCGCGTGAAGACCCTTGCGCCGTCCCTGCGTGCCCTTGTCGGACTTCTCGTGCCTGTGGGCGTGCTTGCCCGCGTGCTGGCCAGCGTGCAGGTGAGAGTGCGCGGCGCCGTGCTTCGCACCTTCGTGGTCGACGGCACCGGCGTGCTCGTGGGGGTGCGCACCGGCGTTGTGACCGTGGGTCTTGGGTTCAGACTCAGGAGTGACATGCTGAGTCTGCGGTTCGCCAGTCGCGGTCTCACGAGCAAGAAGCTCGGAGAACTCGTCATCACTGCTGAGGCACGATATCAGGCAGACGGCTCATTGCTAGTGGAACGTAAAACCTACCGCTTGCCGCGGTTCGCCTCCCAGTTCTGGTGGGAGTTGGAGATCAAACCGGTGCGGAAGTGTCTGCCGGTGGAAAGGGCATCGCTGCCTTGATGAATCGGGACGGCACTGCAGCAGGGAGTAAGCCGTCTGACTGCAGACATTGTTCAACAGAGACTTACGAGACAAGAGCTGGTACAGCGACGGAGGCGGCGACAGCGAGGATGGAGTAGGAACGCATCTTGATCGTGATCGTAAGGGGTTTGAGGAGTGTAAGAGAGGGTCGTGAAGGTGTAACTAGTGAAAGAGCAAGAGGTCGTGACGAAATCGAAAGCAAAAAATAAAATGGCAAGTCAAGCTGGACATCATCGTTAGAACAGACACGTACGAGCTCGCAGAGAAGTGTACTCACTATCCAGTACCTGAACTTGGGAGAAGGAGAAGGTGGGCTCGCACAGATCAACTGGGGGCTGAGGAACCAGTGTTGCGTTCCGAGAGTTTATATAGAGAGAGCTACTCAGGGAAAGGCCAGATGCAGTGTCGCCTGTGACCTTCGTGACATCCCTGGTTGACCAACGACTACGCAAAACGACCGAGCGCACAGGGTTCACAGCTGGCACGTCCGGTCATCCGGAATTATCAGAAAGCAGAATGATAGCAGCGCGGTTTCCGAACCGTGACCGCTGAGCCTCGCAGCAAGCAGTGTCGTAATTTAGGGAAGAAGTACAGATTCTGACGTTCAGCCTCCGATCGTCGCACTGCAGTGGTGAAACGGTGCCCTCGTCCCGAAGCAGCTACTTCGTGGCTGGCATTGGCTAGCAAATTTCCGGGCAGCACTTGGCATAGCATGCTTGACGTGGTCAGGATGACATCCTAAGCTTAACACTGCTCGGCATGTCCTCTGACTCCGGGCTGCCGACCTGTAGAGTGGATACCAAGTGGTACTCAGCTTCTAATGTTGATGCATACGTCTCCAGCGTGAGCGGACATACGCACATACTGATCGCCGATCTTCCCAATGGCTGTGTGGGGAGTGCAACTGTGAGAAGGCCGTCATGGTCATTGGAATTCAGAAGTGATTTCGAATTTGAAGAGTTCATTGGGTCTGCGAGTGGACCTGGCGTATTGCAACCTACGACCTATCGCTCTGCACTGGTGCAGAACCTGAGAGAGCGTCACCTATCACACAACTCGTCAGCGTTGACTGCATAGGCTGCAAGCGGCCAAAATATCGTCCAACACGTACAGATCAACGAGTCATTATGATCCGAAGAAACCGGATTGCGGTTCTTAGCTACTATCCGCCGATCCAAGTCGTGGATGGTTGGGATTCGGTGTGAGAAGGACAGTGCCTCGTTGGCACAGACCGCGGAATCAGACGTTGTGCACATATGGACGTACTGTCCGCCTATGGGCTAGATGCGGATGAACGAGTCGATACATCAATCCGAGGCAACGGAGGTGGCCTAATCCACGGATCGCAGCGGCGGCTGCAACATGCACAGGGAGGGTCAACGTCAGCAGGATGGGCCATGTCACTTCGATACCGGACATAACTTACCTGTAGGTGTTAGTGTCACCTCAACAGTGCGACTAGAATCGGTGAGGACCAATACCGCAGTGATGAGAAGCATATCTGTCGTCGTTACATAGTGTTAGTTCAGTGATGCTATGATCACGGATCAAGCTTCAAGCTTCAAGCTCAAGAAGGCGTTACCGCCGGGAGGCGTTGATAACGCCACAATTCAATTAAAGTTCAATCAACGAGCAGCGTTTCCAGCCTGCGCATCACAAGGGTTGGCCGGCCGTCGCACAGAATGACGTCACCGGCCAGGCCCTTCCGCGCGGGCTAGCGCCCGCCTCCCGCTTCGCTGTCAACGCCGCTGTCATTGCCTGTCCGAGTCAGCGCCGCTGTTCGCGGTGACTGTCACTCTCTTGTGACCTCGCTCGCGGTGCACTACGCTATGTATACCCGTAGCTAACACTCACAACATTAGTGAATGTATGTACAGAGATTCTGATTAAAATGTTGCATCTTTGTTAGCTTTGTTTGAGTGTTGTTTGAGTGGCGGTTCAAATAAGCCGCAGTCGTATAGATGGGAATACATGCTCTCGCGCGGCGCTTAATTAGCGGTACTTATACTGTTTGGTTTTGTACTAGGTATTGCCCTCGTGGTCGATTGGTTTACAGCCAATCGCTTTGAAGTCTTGTACGCAGGTTCAATTCCTTTGCAATGCTGTTTTTTATATCTTTTTTCGCATCCTCACACCTGTCTCCCGCCTAAGTCCGTCGGGCCTCGGCGCTCATAATTGCCTATTTGAGGCAATGTTGTGTTCGGCACTACGACAAAGCTCATGGGCCGACTTTGCGAGTTCAATTGAGTACCCTTTCAATGGTGGATTTGTAAGTAAATTCATTACTTATGCACAGATTGCTCCACAACCTATTATAACATATGGCTGGAATAGGTGATAGTTCGTACCCTTAGTCACACTCAGTCACACACTGCTCAAACCTGTCACTGTCCGTTTCGAGCGACAGCGGCGTCGGCCCTCTTCGCTGTCATATTGCTGCCATAACCTGTCGATCAATCCGTTCCCTGTGTGCTGTCAAACTTTATTTCGACGTCACTTTGTGCGACGGCCGGCCATCCCATCACAAGTAAACGTGACGTGCAGACAGCGCTCAGCAGCTGTGCCGCTTGGACGAGTACGATACGAGAGTTCGACTGGTACGAAGACCACACCTACATAGAACCCGTCAACAGCGTCGCACGGGCATAGTAGTAACTGATAGTACGTACATAACCACGGGGACTGCGGGTGTTCTGCGTCGACATCGTTCGACCCCAACATGACCCTCTAACGGCTTGTATCTGCCCATTGCTCGAAGAAGTCCAAGAAGCGCTTCCAGCGACCTCCGTCAAAGCTCTTGACACGCCGCCATTCCTCGCTCTCTTCTCCGTAAATAGCACGCACCCAGATCAACAGACCAGCGATGCTTATATCTGCGTGACGCACGCGACTTGCATCACCTGCCGGACCCCCGCCCGTGAGCAAGAGCCTGTCGTCGCCGGCGGTCTCAACCCACGACGCCAGGACGCCGAACCCCTTCTCGACGGCATCCCACTGCTCCGGGCGTTTCTCGGGCGGGCTGAGTTCCTCCACCGTGCACCCGAAGGTGACCTCCCGCGCCTCGCGGAAATACGCCTCGCTGGGTGGGTTCAGCTTCGTGACGCAGGCACAGATAAGGAGCGGGATGAGTTTCATGTGCACGGCGCTGAGGAGGGCGTCTTGGAACGCGTGCTGGAAGACGCGCGTGTCGGGAGGCAGCAGGACGGGGGTGTCGGGGTATGTCTCGTCGAGGTAGCGGGCGATCTTGAGCGAGTCCATCATGGCTGTGCCGGTGCGCGGGTCGTAGATCGCGGGAAGGGTGAAGGAGATCGGAGACGGACTGGCCTCCACGCCGAGGGAGGTGAGTAGCGACGCGATCTCGGTATATTCGACCCATTCGGTGCGGTAGGGTATGCCCTTGTAGTTGAGTGCGAAGCTGGGCCATGTTACGAAGCTTGGTGAGGAGCAGGACTGCGGCACAGTGTGGCCAACTCACCGAGTCTTCCAGGTATTGCACGACCAAGCTTTGCCTGGAACGGTGCTTGGTATGTCATAGAAGACGAGCATATCCGTCTCTGGAAAAGCCATCGCGCAAGGACAATCGATTTGAGTGGTCTCGCAGCCTGAGGCGGGGAATCTACCGCGCAAATTCCTGAGTCAACTGATTTAGAGAGTTGCCCGGAGACGTACCTCGTGCTGTCTACGATGGAGGGATCCTACTGCACGATATGATATCAGCAATGCGCAACATATATGACTCTGAGGGCCTAGTCGCTACGGCTCAGTCAGCGAGTGGCTCTCGGTCAGTCAGCGCTGCTTCTTTCGCTATCAACTGTGATCGCAACATGTCGCTGTAGCCTCGAGTCAGTGTTTCCTGAATGAAAGCCCGCCACCAACCCGCCGCCGTGCACTTCAATTGTATGGCGCTATTTCCATTGCGGTCGCTTTGTTCGGGGGACTTGAGCTTGAGGACACAGTCCACGTCTATGGCCTTGTGCATGTGTAGTCAGGTCAGGCCGTTGCTGTCAGAACGTAAAAGTCAACTGTCAGACTGGACCTCATTTATAATCTCATCCGATGGTATCGGGGCCCCGTGCTAATCCATATAGGGAAGGTGATATACTATATCTGGTTGGTCGCCCCACATCTCGCACTATAGCGACTGACGACATGGCCAAATCTAGACTAGTGTATACATTCACCGCCCGCTTGTAGACACTGCAGAACGAATATGACTCAACTCGGAATTGCAGTATCATCTTCTGTGTGAACCACAAGACTCTCTTCTATCGGCTTGTGTCTGCCCACTGCTCGAAGAAAGCCAAGTATCGCTTCCAACGGCCCCCGTCAAAGCTCTCCACGCGTCGCCAGTCCTCGCTGTCCGCCCCAAAGACGATGCGCAACCAGATCAGCACGCCAGCGACATACGTGTCTGCATGCGTGACCTTGCCGCCGTCGCCGTCAGGGCCCCACCGCTCAGCAGCAGTCTCCCGTCGCCAGCCGCCTCGAACCACGACACCACGACGCCGGATCCCTTCTCCGCAGCCGCCCACTGCTCCGCACGCTTTTCCGATCCGGGCGGACTGAGCTCCTCGAGCTTGCGCCCCAGATCCCTCTCACGCGTCTCGAAGAAGTACTTCGCGCTCCGCGGGTTCAGCGCCGTCGCAGCGATGGGGTGCAGGATGAGCGGCTTGAGCTTCTGGTGCAGCGCCGTGGCGAACGCGTACTGGAAGGCAGTCTGGAAGACGCGCGTCTCGGCGGGGAGGAGCGCAGGGGTGTTCGGGTAGGTCTCGTCGAGGTAGAGCGCGATCTTGGAGGACTCCATGATCGTCTTGCGCGTGAGTGGGTCGTAGATCGCGGGGAGCGTGTAGGGATAGGAGGCGACCTCAGGTGGGTTCGGCTCGGCTCCGAGAGCAGTGAGGACGGATGCGATGTCTGGGTACTCGACCCATTCCGTTCGGTACGAAAGGCCTTGTAGTTGAGCGCGAAGCTGGATAGGCCGATGTGAGCGAGGGAACGTGGTTAGGTGGAAGCTCATACGCACCGCGTCTTCCAGGTGTTGGGCGACCATGCTGAGCCGGGGACGGAGCTCGGTATGTCGTAGAAAATGATGCTGTCGGTGTCTGGGAGTGTCATCTCGTGGCAGCAATGCGGTGGACGTCCTCTTGAGAGGTGAAGTACCAGACACCGCGGAAGGTCGACGGAGTCAGACGCTATCCAGGAGATATATGCGCCAGGACGAGCCTAGTTCCTCTGGCACAGTCATGATCAGCTGGACGCTCACTCAGCAATCGTTCCTCGAAAGGGCCCGCAACAAAGAATGCCCATGCATATGTGAGTCACCGCCCATGCTGTCTTAGTGCCAAGAACGACCAGTGCCAGTGCTAAACTAGAGGACGAGTTGCGATGGTGTGTTCGATGTGTAGCACAGATGTTGGTGCAGGCTGCCATCCATCTCCGTACTCGACAGCCAGCATAGTACGAGGAGGAATGGCGATGCATGGCAGACTTGTGGCAGACCTTGTGGCGAGCCAAGATCAAAATTCACGATGCGCATGATCATACTGTATGATGACAGGTACTTACCGCAAATGGAAATTTACCTCCTAACCTCCCAAACCGGAACTTAGTAGTAAATCGAACGTACCACACAGGACGGCCTACACGAATGTGGTACATGTTGCGGACATCAATGCATCGTCAACGAAAGCTAGAGCATGAACGGGCATGCACTTTCGTGCGACGGCATAGATCTGTCATGGCTTACACTTTGCTTCGACGCCACCATTCAATTTGTTACGCAGTACGTCCGATTCTGGTGCTGAAGTACCAGTAAGCTGGTCAGTATACGTTGAGTACGGTGTACAGCGGGCCAGCCTCGAGGAGACGTTCAGTCTGCTTGCGTCATGGTTCGAGACCGCGAGCGACGGGAGGCTGCTCCTGATGGACCCCGACGAGCGCGAGCTCTGTATGCAGCACCCAGATTGCGGCGAGAAGTGGAGGCGCGTCGAGGGGTTCAATATTAAGTGGGCGTTGGAAGCGGTTCCTGGGCGTCATGGAGAAGTGGGGGGATGGCGGCGGTCAATATGTACGGATTCCGTTCTGCAACTTTCCACTTGAGACCTATCCAGCCAGAGTGCAGTGTCCGTGCTTGACTCAAGTCCGGACATCAATATATCCCCTTGGAAGGTGTTATGCCATTGTCAGCAATAGGCACAGCAACGGTAGCGAGTACATGCGGGTTAACGCAAGGTCCATCTAACAGAGTCCCTCAGTCCATCGAGCAGCTATTGCTGTTTTAATACGTATGGTCCCTGAATCTCCCAGTCAGTCAGACCTTCGCAATGAAAAAGAGACGACTCACGTATATGCAAACCCAACGCGCGAGTTTGGCGTATCGAAAACCTAGCCATATCCACCCGTCAGCCTCCCGCCCATCCAACACTGCGAAGCACACCACTCACCGCGTAGAACCTCTCCATGAACTTTTGGCCGATGATGAAGTCGAGCCCCTCCCCGCTGAGCGACCCAATCGGACCAATGTAGCCGTACTGCAGGTTCGGCTCCGCGCCCCACGCCTCGTTTTGCCACAGCGGGAGGAGCTGCGCCCTACGTCGAGCGTGAACGGCTCACCTGCATCGCGTGCGTAGACTATCAGTGTCTGCAGGAGGGGAGGAGGGAAGGAACATACCGGAGACGTAGAAGGTGAAGGGCTGCATGAAGGGGATGGCCTCGAACGGGATGACGATGAGCCCCGTGTTGTTCCCGTCGTAGTACGCGCCCGGAATCGAGTCCTGGTACGTCTGATACCAGTCGTCCGCAATGTAGATCACTGTCACGCCACGAATCACCGTCAGTGAATACGCTCTAAACCGCACGATGTGGAATGAGAGCCAGGTTAGGGTCACCGCCCCAACACCAAGGGAAGGGACTCACGCGTCGTGCCCGTGTCGACGATGCCCGCGTAGCTCGCGGGAATGACCGTCGTCTCTCCGTACGTCGCGCTGGTGACGTTGATGCCCCAGTAGTAGTTCGAGGGGTAGGTCGTCGTCACGGGCGTGTACGTGATCGAGCCCTCGTACAGGCTGTCGTCCACACCGCCGAATGTCAGCGCACCGTCTACCATGGGCAGCGTGAATATATCGTCAGATTACTATAACAACGAGGTACGGACAGACGCACTGGTATCGTTGTAGTCAAACGCCGGGGCGAAGCTTACACCAGGATCTCTGTGGGGATGAGCCCCTGCTTGAGGGCGTTGTCCATCACCGTCGGGATCGCCGCGTCGACTGCGGGGTAGAGCGTGCCGAGCGTGAGGTCCGTGGGCCCCACGCCGATGATACCGTCGACGCCCTCGAAGTCGGCGTACTCGAGCGCGTCGCCTATGCTCTGATTCACAATCACGAGGCCGGGCGCGATCGTCACCTGGTCCAGGTCTATTCCCTTGGTCAGTTGTGCGCGTCAGACGGGAAGAAGAGAACGTACATTCATATCCGGAGAAGAATCCTGAGCCATACGTAACGTTGACCTCCTGGCCGGTCGGGACGCTCGTGCTGGTCTTCACGTACGGGTTTCCCGTGCTGTATCACCGCTGTCAATCAGACCACTCGCGCCACCGATTGCAGAGTGCGCTTACCCCACAAACGTGTTCGAGCTCCCGGTGTCCACTACGATGTTGTAGTACGTCGGCGGGCTCCCGACGCCGATGTTTGCGGTGTACTGCACATACGCGAGGTTCGTGGCGGGGATCGTCGTGGAGCCCTCTGCGTATCCCGCGACGCGAGCTGCGCGCTCCTTCATGTGCGTGACGCGTGTACGCCCCGCGTCGGGCGCGCCCTGCATGTATGCGCCAGAGCGGCCCGAGACAGGCGAGAGCGCGAGGGTGGTGGCAGCTCCCACGAGCGAGAGCTGGGTCGCGAGCGCGACGGGGACGACGAGGAAGGGGGAGAGCATACTGGCAGTGGCGCGAGCACGCAGGCGGAGGGGAGGGCGGCCGACGAGTATATATACCGAGGATCGGCCGTTCAGGACGCTGGGAATGCAGGGCGAGAAGTCGCATGGGGCGGAAACTACGCGGGTGGGAAGCGAGCACATCACCAGGGTCCGAGACGTGCAAGAGACGTGCTTCACAAAGGGCGCAACGCTGCGTCCTCGCAGATCCATAAGGCGTTTTCTTGTCTATTTTCGCTATCGCAGACTGAACACTGACAGTACCGTGCGTTTCACCGACCGCGGGACTCTCTGCTCCCGGCGGAATGCTGTGCGTCGCCGCATGCTGGCATCAGCAATAGAGTGGCGATGAGAACCAGGCACAATGAGGGTCTATTATCTCCTGCGACAATTCCATTGCGAGTGGGCTGTGGAATGTGTGCGCGAATGGAGACCGTCGTAAAGCTGCTGGAGGATGATCATTCCAGCTGATAGACGTGACTGTTATGCCCGGCGCGCGGGTTCGCTGCCCAAGGATGTCATAAGTTTGTAGAGTTTCGGATGAATGATGGGTCGACTGCGACAGTACCAGACAATACCAAAGGGAAAGGATGAAGCTTTGAGGACTCGGAAGAGGTTCAAGTTTGAGACGGAGGTTGGAGTCCGGTAGACAAATGGCGCCAATCTAATCTTATCTACCTGTTGGCCGTGCCGCGGATGGGGATCCTCCGATGCACGAAAAATGGGACGTGTGCCGGTGGCAGACATTTGACTTGGCAGTGACCACCTTTGGACCAGCTCTCCGCTGCTCACCACCGTCGCCTCCTCCGCTTACCGCACTTCATTCTGAGGTCTGGACCTGGTGCATCGACATGGCCGATACCCCTCCACAACCCGTAGCGAGCTCCTCAAAGACGAGCTTCTTGCCCGCAAAGTCATGGCAGCACTTCGTCGGCGGTGGGTGAGTACTCACGAGTCTTGCGACACGACGGGACGCTCACACGCCTCACTCGATATGAAGTCTGGGGGCCATGTGCGGAGCGATCGTGACAAGTCCGTTTGACGTCGTCAAGACACGACTACAGTCGGACCTTTTCAGAGTCAAGCACACGTCTTTTGGGCTGGCCGGCGGAGGTGTTGCAGTGCACCACATCGACCGAACTACTATGGCACTTCGTCGAGACAGGGCACATCATTCGGTGCGTCCAGTGTCGCATTGCAAAGTGCGCAGCCAGGAGATGCTAACTGTGTATACGACACCAGCGACATCTACCGCGAAGAGTCCCTCCGCGCGCTCTTCCGTGGACTCGGCCCCACCCTCGTCGGGGTCATCCCCGCGCGCTCCATCAACTTCTTCACCTACGGCAACGGCAAGCACATCATCGCCAACCACTTCAACGACGGGCGCGAGAACTCCTGGGTACACCTCAGCGCCGCCGCGTGCGCGGGCATCGCGACTGGCACTGCGACGAACCCCATCTGGGTCGTCAAAACGCGATTGCAGCTCGAGCATCAGGCGGGCAAGTCTCTGGCGGCTCCCTGGAGATGATCAAGCGCATACTACGGGAGGAGGGCTTGAAGGGATTCTACAAGGGCCTGAGCGCGAGCTATCTGGGCGTGACGGAGGGCACGATACAGTGGACGCTGTACGAGCGGCTAAAGCTACTGACGGCAAGTACGGAGGGCCAGGGCGGCGTGCAGGAGTGGTTGGGTATGCTCGGGAGCGCGGGGACATCGAAGTGCGTCGCTACGCTGATCACATACCCGCACGAGGTGCGTTCCGCGTTCTGTCTCCCATTTGCGTGCCGACTGAGGTGCCCGTAGGTGATCCGGACACGACTGCGGCAGCCGCTCGTGGACGGCAAGATGAAGTATACTGGACTCGTCCAAACGCTGCGGCTCGTCATCGCGGAGGAGGGCACGCGCTCGCTCTACGGCGGGCTCAGCGCGCACCTCATGCGCGTTATCCCCAACGCCGCCGTCATGTACTCCATCTACGAGGCCGTCCTCCGCTGGTCATGATCGACTGCCTGCCGCTCACGCACTCCCCTCCACTTACTCGCTTTCCCTGCTCCTGGGTATATGCTGCATGTGTACCACCACCGCGCCATCCGTACATTATTCTCTTACGTTGCATAGTGCTAGACTTCACCGACCCATCCGCCACTTACTCACACACTCGCCCCACCTACAGCCCGGCAAAAGTAGTGGTTGGTACACACCGACCTTTATGCCCGATAATGCTCTGCCCCTTAGGACGTATAATATGGATTTAGACTAATCTGGGTGTTCCGCTCTGTAGCACGCTGCAGTCTCTGGTGAGTCACACGGTACAACCCACTCATTCATCCCGCACGACAGCTCTACGTAATTGCGAATTCCGTTCATCGGACGAGGATGGCTGACTGAGCTTCCTGCTGACTGAGCTGTATGCCATTGATTCTACAAGCGAGATGTCTCACTTGGCTAGTATTTAGGACGATCTCGCGACGGTCGCTACAAGCAGCTACGCCCTTCGGTCGTGTCGGGAGCCTGCAGTACGGCTACATCAGTCCGATAGGCGCGTTCGCCGGGCAGGGGCTCGACTTCTTCATCGGCCAGAAGTTCATGGAGAGGTTCTACGCGGTGAGTGGTGTGCACTGCAGCGTTGGACGGGTGAGGGCTGACAGGTCTATGTCGATAGGTGTTTGTACGCCGAACTCACGCGTTGGGTTTGCGTATATGTGAGTCGTCCGATGTCTTTTCTATTGCGAATGTCCGACTGACTGGAAGATCAGGGACCACACGTACTAGACAAGCAATTGTTGATCGATGGGCTGAGGGAGTTTGTTCGACGGACCTTGCGTTGATCTCACTTTCGTTGCTGTGCCAGTTGCTGACAATAGGATAATGCCTCTCATTCAAGCACGCATGTTTCGCATTGGGATAGTGATTTAACAATCTGGCTGGAAAGGTCTCAAGTCTCAAGTTGCAGAAGGACATGCGTACATCTGACCGCCGGCGTCCAACCAGTATCAATGACTTACATCTCCCCACTCCTCCATGACATCCAGGAAGCGCTTCCACCGACCACCATCAAACCGCTCGACCGCCTCCACTCCTCACTCTCCTTGCCAAAGACCGTCTGCACCCACTTCAGCAGGCCCGCAACCTGGGTGTCTGCATGGCAGATCTGGCCCTCGCGGGGCCCATCAGGAGCAGCCTCCCGTCGCCCGCAGCCTCGAACCACGACGCGAGCAGACTGAACGCCTTCTCGAGGCTGGCCCACTGCGCGGCCTGCTTCCGGGCGGGCATATCTCCTCCATCCTGCACCCGAAGCGCCGCTCGCGCGTCTCGCAGAAGAACGCCTGGCTGCGCGGGTTGAGACGCGTCATCGCGGGGAACATGATGAGCGGGACGATCTGCGCGTGCACGGTGGTGCCGGCCGCGTACTGGAACGCGCGGTTGAACGTGCGGACGGCGGAGGGGAGGAGAGGGACCGTGGCGGGGTAGGTCGCGTCGAGGTAGAGGGCAATTTGTGTGGACTCGGCGACGAAGCGCTGCGTGTGGGGGTCGTAAATCACGGGGAGGGTGTAGGCGGACGCGGGCGGCGGCTGAGGAGCGATGTTGTGGCGGATGAGGAGGGGCGCGATGTCGGGGTACTCGACCCATTCTGTGCGGTAGGGGAGGCCCTTGTAGTTGAGGGCGAACCTGGAGGGAGAGTCAGGACGATCGGCGGGGCGAGTGCAGATATGTACCGTGTCTTCCAGACGCTGGGAGACCAGGCTACACCATCGACTGTACTTGGGATGTCATACAGGATGATCACATCCGTGTCGGGCAGAGGTGCGCTGGTAGGTGCCGACATCCTGGTGATGCCGCTTTATCTTCGGTGGCGAGTCTTTTGTGAGAGGGCTGATAGTCAGTGTACGTGTGGACTGTCCCAGGTCCGGTACTGCTCACGGTGTTATGTGGGGGTTCTGGCGAAGTACTAGCCAGGTCTGAGCCTATTAGTATCTGAGTATTGCCACGACGAGAGTTCCCTTCGTCGACGTCACCTGAGGTTCTGACTCGAGGGCGTCGACGATAAACGCTGTTACTGCGAGCTGTGGTCATGTCAGAAGCATTTTTGGGACCACCTGCGTATGGCCGCTTGCTGAAGCCCCATCCGTGCTTGTCATGCCCAAGTCTGGATTGACCTGCAGCGTCAATGGCATGTACTACCCTGAGCACTTCAGCACCAGACTCGGCTCGGACGTAGTCTCCCCTAGGCAGACCCTAAAGAAGACCTCTTTGAGTGGGGGATAGCTCGGACGTCCTCTATAGAAATGGTGGCATCGAAGCTCGAAGCAAGGCCTCAGTGCGTGGCCGTTTTTAGCTTTCGTCGATGATGTCCGCAACACGATGGTATGTACCCGTGAAGACCGATCCATGGGGTACGTTCCATTGCATGATGTAGGAGGCAACTAGGGGGTGACATACTCTGGTGAACTCTGCCGCAAACAGAGCCCGTTTGCGGTAACGAGCCCTTGATTAGGCTTGGATTAGGCCCATCGCATACTTGGCCGTCTTGGCTATGATATCCTACAGGATGCTACCTGATGCTACACCTGCTACATGATCGTTGCAATCCCTATCATCATCGCCCTGCTTATTGCTGAGCGCTGAGCGGCATCCTGCTGACTGTGCCAGAGGAACTGGGCTCGTCCTGGCGCACTTATCTAGGATCGCGTCTGACTCTCCGTCGACCCCACTGTCTGGTGCCCCACCGTTCAAGTGGCTAAAGACTACCGCACACCTCATAACTGTTGCAACGAGATGGCACTCCCGGACACCGACAGGATCATCTTCTACGACATCCCGGGCACCGTCCCCGGCTCAGCCTGGTCGCCCAACACTTGGAAGACGCGGTGCGTACGCTTGCGGCACCAAACCGTGTCCCTTCACTCACATCGGCCTCTACCTAGGTTCGCGCTCAACTACAAAGGCCTTTCGTACCGCACGGAATGGGTCGAATACCCAGACATTGCATCCGTCCTCACCGCTCTCGGAGTCGAGCCGAACCCACCTGAGGTCGCCTCCTGGCCCTACACGCTCCCCGCGATCTACGACCCTCTCACGCGCAAGACGATCATGGAGTCCTCCAAGATCGCGCTCTATCTCGACGAGACCTACCCCAACACGCCCGCGCTCCTCCCTGCCGAGACGCGTGTCTTCCAGTCCGCCTTCCAGCACGCGTTCCTTACCGAGCTGCACCTGAAGCTCTTACCGCTCATCCTGCACCCCACCGCGGCGACGGCGCTGAACCCGCCGAGCGCGAAGTACTTCTTCGAGACGCGCGAGAAGGCGCTGGGGATCAAGCTCGAGGAGCTCAGTCCGCCCGGATCGGAGAAGCGTGCAGAGCAGTGGGCGGTCGCGGAGAAGAGCTTTGGCGTCGTGGCGTCGTGGTTCGAGGCGGCTGGCGACGGGAGACTGCTGTTGAGCGGTGGGGGCCCTGCCGGCGACGGCGGCAAGGTCACCCAAGCAGATACGTATATCGCTGGTGTGCTGATCTGGTTGCGCATCGTCTTCGGGGCGGACAGCGAGGATTGGCGACGCGTAGAGGGCTTTGACGGGGGCCGTTGGAAGCGTTACTTGGCCGTACTCGAAAAGTGGGCCGATACAAGCCGCTGAAGACCTTGCAAATGGTATTAAGACGACGTTCAAGTCCTACTGTGTAATCGTATCTCCGAACATGTGCTCGAGAAGGGTGGGGTAATCTCACAGCTTTCGTACAATTCTATCACGCGCTCGTCAGCAGGGATGCAAGATTACGTCGACGTAGGCGGTGATTCAGTTATTCAAGTCGCGCAGGTGGTACCGTGGACGTGTCTGTTGTCCAGACGTTTGTTCAGCTTCTATCAAGAATGTGCTCTCGATGCACAACGTCCTAGGGCGATCATCGGTAAGAGAGGATGCCGCAGATAGCATTCAATGAGGTGACTGAGGTGAGCCTTCCGTGTGGGTCAGTCAGTGTCAGGCGCTGCGTTGTCGTCTGAGATCAGGGTTCTGACCACATTATCAGCGCGCTGTCCTGCCAATTTGACAATTCTGAATCTATATAATTGCGATCCCCATCCAACAAGCGAGGATGGCTGACTGAGCCATGTACCCGTTGGCGCTACACTAGTGAGACGTTAACTTGGATAGTATTTAGGATGACCTCGCAACGATCGCCATCCCATCTCACGAGAAGATATACCGGAGCGTAGTTCGTCGTAGTCTTCACGAGATGGCGCTTCCAGATACCGACAGTATCATCTTCTACGACATCCCTAGTACGGTCCCGGGCTCAGCCTGGTCGCCGAACACCTGGAAGACGCGGTACGTGTGTCGCCTCCACACAGCGCCCGTCTGCTCAAATCACAATCACAACACAGATTCGCCCTCAACTACAAGGGCATCCCGTACCGCACAGAGTGGATCAACTACCCGGATATCGCTTCATTCCTCTCCGGTCAGGGAGTGAGCCGAACCCGCCGTCGGCTGCACCATGGCCGTACACCCTCCCCGCGATCTACGACCCGCGCACGCACAAGATCGTCATGGAGTCCTACAAAATCGCGCGCTACCTCGACGAGACCTACCCAGACACACCCGCGCTCCTCCCCCCCGAAACACGCGTCCTCCAGGCCGCCTTCCAGAAAGCGGTCGTCAGCGCGCTGCACGAGAAGCTCATGCCGCTGGTCCTGTACCCCATCACGACTACAGCGCTGGGCCGCCGAACCGGAAGTACTTCCGTGAGACGCGAGAGGCCATGCTCGGGTGCACGCTTGAAGAGCTCAGCCCGCCGGGCTCGCTGAAGCGTGCGGAGCAGTGGGAGGCCGTGGAGAAGGGGTTCCGTGTCATAACGTCGTGGATCGAGGCAGCCGGAGATGGGAGGCTGCTGCTGTGCGGCGGAGGCCCGGACGGGGACGTCAGTGGGGTCTGCCATGCGGACACGGATCTCGCGGGGAGTTTGATCTTGGTGCGCACCCTTTTCGGGGCGGAGAGTGAGGAGTGGGGCGGGTCGAGAGGTTTGACGGGGGCCGTTGGACGCGGTACTTGGCTTTCTTTGAGCAGTGGGCAGACACAAGCGGTAGAAGAAAAGCGACCGCACCACCGATCGCGTATCTGTGTCCAATTATTTTATATGCCTGCTCGCCTACTACCACTTCAGCTAGGCACGTTGTCATGGATGTATGGATTCTGTTTAGACTAGTATACTGCATTAGTATGCGGTAGTGTTCCGACGCCGCAGTCGTTAGAGCAGCGTGACTCGTCAATGCGATACTCGCTCACATGTAAATGCCTCGTCGCGAAGGATGCGGTTCACACATGATACAAGGCAGTCAATACAACAGAGCTCAAACCGACGGCCATCACAACATCGATCAAGACGGGTTCAAAGGCATGAATAGAACGTGAGCGTTCCGGATCCGCTCTCAAGCTACAATACACAACACCGAGCGGCAAGCCGACGTACGCGGTGCGCCCCGACCGAGGGGCGAGGCAGCAAGTACAGGACTTCCGGAGGGTACAAACAACGTGAACGGACTAAACGCAACGGTCAAAGCCATGCAGGTCTAGCATCGCAAAAAGCGAGAGGGTAAAGTAAACGGTTGAAACCACTGCGAGGGTGGGTATCACGGGGAGCGGCCGGGGCCACGGCGCGATGGGGTGGGTGGTCGGCGAGGAGGGGTGTCCACAGAAGCCAGTTCTGCCTCCTGCGACAACGGCGAACGCAGCGACCAGAACGTTGTGAACAGACGAAGCAGAACCGCGCGAGCTGGGCCAGACCACGGGAAGGTATGTCGCGGGAGAAGGGGAGGAGAAACGGTATAACGGTCGACAGCCTAAAGGATACAAGTCAACGCAGCGGGTGAAAGCGAGATCAGGACGGTATGGACAGAGGGGAGTTGTTAATGTTATATTAGCCTTTGTACACCTTGTTCGGCTCTCCTTGGGCCTTAAATTGGCAGGGAGGAGGCAGAGATTTAGATCCCGTCGTACGCATCCTCGGGCGCGATGCTATACACGGTATCCGGCCTCTTCACCCCCGACACCTCCGCACGCGCGGCAGACGTAGGGGCAAGCTTCCCAGGGCTCGGCGGGCGCGCCGCCGTGGGACTACCCGGCTTCGCACCGTCACCAAAGTGCGCCTGGGGCAGCGGGCTCGGCAGGTCGAAGCTCTCGGACGGCTGCGCGGACACCGGGGCATTGGGGTAGTTCGTGTCGGACACGGGCGAGAAGGCGCGCTCCTGGAGGTAGATCTCAGGCAGGATGGGCGGCGTCGACGGCACGCGGTCGATCCCATACGCGGGCGATTGCAGCGTCGCCTCGTACTTGGGCGTCGGCGGCGCCGCGGCGTACCGCCCCGGCGAGGGTAGCGTCCCAAAGGACTCCCCCGTCTGCGGTGTCATGGGGAACTCGATGACGTGGGGGTGGCCCGGGATCGTCAGCTCCTGCTCGTCGTCCTCGGGGTCGGCGAAGGGCGATGCGACGTCCTCCTTCGGCGCAGGCGGGGGCCGCGCCCCGGCCTTCTCGTCGGGGTATGTCTGAGCACCCGGCGGCGCGATGTTCAGGCTGCGCGAAATCTCCGTGTACTGCTGCTCCTGGAACGGCGTCACGCTCGACCGGCTCAGGTCGACGTAATGCGCGTCGGGCCCGACGCGCTGTTCGCCTTGCTGCTGTCCGCTGCGCTGGCGGTTGAGGATATCAGTGACGAGGTCGGACGGCTGGCGGTACAGGCTCGCTTTGGCGATGTCGGTTGGCTGGCGGCTGAGCATTGCGCCCATGGACGGCTGGCGGTTGAGAGCCTGCTCCGCCCCGACGGACGGCTGGCGCGAGAGGACAGAGACGGCGCCCATGGAGGCCTGGCGGGTAAGCGCAGCGTCCGGCGTCGTCGGCTCAGACACGTTGCGCATGTTGCCCATGGACGGCTGGCGGTTCAGGTACTGCGCGGCACCATTGGATGGCTGACGAGTGACGGGGGAGCCTGGAGCCTGGAAGATAACACCGTAAGGAGACTGGTTGTTCATGAACGGCGTAGCGGACGTCGGCGTTGCCGCATATGGCGTAGTCGGCGTCGACGGGCTATTCATGTATTGCCCAGGACTATAGCCATACTGAGCCTGGTAGGGCGCGTACGGCTGACCGTAGTAATTGTTGTCCCCGCCGTAGCCCGCGTACGACCCACCGAACGACGGCGGCACGGCGGCTATCGTCTGCCCCGTGAGGGAACGATCGTCGCGTTCGGCGTAGTTGCGATTGACGGAGCTCGCGCGCGACAGCACACCTTCGTCCGGAAGGATGACGGACTGGTGCTTGAAGTTGTGCGGGTTGAAGTCGTCATCCAGTGGGGCGTCATTCCTCTTGCGGCGCTGGTGGTAACCATGTTATTGAGCGAGACGGCTGCGAGGACGCGCTGTGGACTCACTATGAGGAACAAGGCCGCAAATACAAGAGCGGCGACTCCGACAATACCGGCAGCGACACCGCCGATAACAGCGCCGGCGCTGACAGAGGAGTCAGCGGAAGACGACGAGGCAGCAGCAGCAGCGCCAGTAAGTGTCGGCGACATGGATGAGCGGACGACGAAGGCACAAAAGACGTGATGAAGTGAGTCGAGTGCGCAGAAGTCGTGGACGGTATACTAGAGGTGGTGACGGCGTGGTAGAGACGGTCGTGCTTGACTGAGTCGAGGACGAAGACGAGCTCGAGGAGGACGAGGATGACTGGGACGACGAGCTAGAGCTAGACGTTGTCTTCGAAGACGAAGACGAAGTACTGCTAGCAGACGTAGAACTCGACGTCTGCGAAGTTGTCTTGTCGGTGGTACTCGAAGTGGTATGTATAGGTGTAGTTGTGGTTTGAGTGGTTTTCTCGGTTTCTGGAGCCGGTTTGGCGGTGGTGGAGGTCGCTGGATTGGATTGAGCTGGTGAGCGCGCATTCATATACCTGAGAGTTCCGACGGTCAAACTGCTCAACATATCGGCAACGACAAGTTTTGCCCAGTCAACGGGTCAGAGGGACCTGAGCTCACAGCATTCTCTATGCCGTGGCATTGATTCGCGTGAACCCGATTCTGCGCGGTTCCATGTCTTATGTGAGCGCTATCGAAACATTAAATGCAGAAGGGCATTTGCGGAGTTCCGATAGCACTTCAAACATCGCGGTCAAACGCAAGCGAAAGGCCATTGCGCTTGGTGCTGGACGCAGTTGTAGCAATTGCTCAGTGAGGAAGCGACCTCCGAAATCGCGTCGGTTCCACAGCACCCTCTTCTGCGCATAAATCCACAGAAAACACTAGATACTCACAAGTCGATGGCTTTTCCGTGGCAGGGTCTACGTCAGTGGGACCACTATCGCCGCCATCCCCACCGAGACCGGGGATGCTCGGAAAGAGACCGCGTCCGGCAAGGCGACGGTGCGCATCGCGTCTGTGGAACTCGACAGCGGCGTCAGCCATGGTTTGCGCTTCTCGTTCTTTCCTTTACGGTGGTGGTGCGATCGTCAAGCGAGCGTGATGTACAAAAGAGAGACGGGGAAACGAGGGTGGGGCTCCCGGGGAACAGGGAGAGCAGACGACCGCAGACAGAACCGGGACGAGGACGGGGAGGAGAAGGAGGAAGAAAGCAGCTCTGCACCACCCGTCCTGATCCCTTCGGAGACGCATAGCGACCGGCTAAAGTTTGCTAACAGTTCTCGAGATGCCATATAAAGGCATTTCCAGGCAATGAGATGTCCCGATAAGGGCTTACATGCGTGTCATCGCGATAGAATCTGTCGCGTGAGTCAATCAATTGACCGACTCTGGCTCTCCTCGATATAGCGGCGTGCAGCTGCCGCCATCCCTCTCACGTCCCTCAAGCCCTGCGAACACGCTCTCCGACGATCTCCCCCCGACGCACGGCCTCCTCGAAGCGTTGCTGCTCTGCATGCCTTCTCGTCGACAAGCTTGGCACGAAGTTGCCGTCGACTGTCGCGACGATCGACCGCGTACAGTAGCACGGACCCGGGTTAACGCGCCAGCGTTAAATCGATCCTCCCTGTACGGTACAGACCACTTCCATGTCCCAGCCGGGCGTTGTCATGGCAGGATCTAAATGACCGGGCAGACGACCGTCCTGCGCTGCGGCTTACTGAAATACGCAACTTAAAGCCTAGGCCTCCCACCTGCCACCGGGAACGTTAACCTACGCGCAACGTCCACTCACCTGGCACTGCCGCGTCTACCACTGGTCCTCGTCTGACCTCTGCATGGCCCGCCTCGCACCGTGCTTGGCATGCTCGTTGGCTCCTCTGCGCGATGCTGGCTCCTCCTCGTCTGCCTTGCTGTCCTCTGTGCGGCCGCACTCGCTGAGAATGTGACCATACAGTCCACTGCGTCGGAGATCGCGTACAGCCCGCCTGCATGCAACACCACGGCGGCGTCGTGCGAGAGTGCATGGTACGTCCCACCCGTCGCCCGACGCAACCACAAGCTCACCGCGACCTCATCACAGGCAGGTCGCAATCTCCCCGGACGACCCCACCGCACTCGTCACCTCTACGAGCGGGCCGACCAACGGGAGCGCCGCCCTCGTCCCGCAGCTCTTCCTCACCTTCACCGGCACGGCGCTCTACATCCGCACCTCCAACGCGTCCACCGCCGTCGTCAACGTCAGCCTCGCCACGCACAATCCTGACTTCGCCATCACCGCGACCGTCGACACCGCGGAGACCGCAAATGGACTGATCACCGTCGTCGGGCTTCCGAGCGACCGCCCGACGACGCTCACGATGATGTTCGTGCCGTCGCTCACCGCGACGACGCTCGACGTCTCCAATATCACGATCGTCACGACAGGTAATGAGTGCGTGTCAGTGTTCCACTTGCTCGTGTGCTCCGGGCTGAATGCGTTATGGTCCCGCAGTTCGCCGTTCTCGTCCTCACCGTTACCCAGTTCCACTGCAATACCCACCTTCTCGCCCGTCGTATCCCCGGCGACGTCTTCACAAGCGTCCTCGAAGCAAACGCACGACGACATCATCGCTGAGGTGCTCGGCGCCGTCCTCGGGGTCGTGGTCTGCCTCTTTGCTGCTGTCGGTCTACTCTTCTGGAAAAAGCGTCGGCGGAAACAAGTGTACCCACCTCAGACTCCCGGTGACTGACACTAGGACAGTAGGACAGTAGCATTCTATAAAGTCGACCAAGGGACACAGCAATGTATATCTATCCTTTCTTGTATGTTACCCGGTCTACATCCACGCACCGTACCACATCGCACTCCAAGTCCCCAACAAATACATGATGCATTCACTATGGCTCGTCCCAGAACCCGCCCCAGGGCACCATCCGGAAGTACTCCGTCCCCGCCGCCCCGCGGAGGACGTCCTGCCCCTGTATCAGCCTCAGCTCGCGCCCCCTCATCCGCCGCACCTTCCTCTCCGGCTCGCGCGCGTCCAGCTCCTCGTCCGTCGGCAGCCTGTCCGCCTCTGGCAGGCCCGCCGCGTGCTCGTGTGTGAGCGTGAGGAGCGCGTGCGTCTTGCTCAGCGCGTGTGCGACCGCGTGCGCCAGCGGCGTCTCCTGCTCCGCGCCGGCCTCTGCGCTGGCGGAAGAGGGGACGGAGGGCGCGGGCTGGAAGTGGCCGAGGACTAAGGCGGAGAAGAGGTCGCCCACGCCGGAGAAGTAGCCGGGGAGGCACGGGACGCAGCGCGCGTGCACCGTGGACGTGGACGCGGCGTCGGTGGAGGAAGAGATGCAGGCGAGGAAGTCGGCGTCGGTGCTGTCCGTGTCGGTGGGCTGGGCGGCGGGCGGGAGCGCTGCGCGGAGCCAGGCTTTGAGCGGGATGGAGCTGATGACGACGTTGGGGACGTGATAGTCTTCGTGCAGGACGCGCAGGGCTTTGCGGAGGGAGGCGAGGTCCGTTATGCGGGTATCCGTTAGCACTCTGTACGAACGCCTTCAGCGCGAGACACGGATCAGTCGAGGCATACTCACTCTACTTCGAACCAGTTGGGCGTGATGACGGAAGAGTATTGCAGCGCTTCGCGGTAGATGGGTATGCATTCCGGCGAGACGTAGAGCCTGCCTGCGTCGCCCAGGACAGCTGGACGAGGGTCACGCGATCGGATATGCTTCTAGTGTACAGGAAGAGCGAAACTCACGATCGAGTAGGTAGATGAGCTCTGGGTTCTTTTGCTTCATCTTGCTGGCGAGGTCCTTGACGGCTGCCAGGGCCTCCGCACCGGGGACATACCCTACGATCGAGTGTGCATAGCGCGACATCCACCAGTAGATCATGTGCCTACCCGTCAAGAGTCTCTCGCAGAGCAGTAGTCCATTTTGTTCCATCAACTCAAACAGCTTCGCGAGCTCAGCCGCCGTGGCCCTCGCTCCGCCAAAGCGGCCATATCCTGTCAATAGCGAGGACGGACCCTACGCCTGAATCTCCATTGAGCCTACCGCGCTAGCAAACCGCGCGACATACCAGAGTGGTTCGAGAAGTTCACGGTGTTGACGACCTGGATGCCGCGATGCAGCCCGCGCGTGAGCCATACCGCGCGAGAGCGTCATGGGGAAGGCTGGACGTACGTCGACATCGTATCCGAGGCACTGCAGGGGAAACACGGCGGCCTTGCCCCCGACGTACCCGAAGGTGACGTGGGACTGGATGCTCAGGATGCGGCCTGCGGTCTGCTGGGGCATGGCGGTGGCGAGCAGGGTCTGTGCGGGCGGCGGAGGGCATACTGCGGCAGGCGAAGACCCGTTTCAATGTTCGGGAGGAGGATCGCTTTGACTCGGGGTGGCGAGATAAGATTAGATCGACCCTGTGCGATCGGTTTTCGGCGTTCGCGGGGTCGTCGACCTGTTGGGCCAGTTTGTTGAAGTCATCTTCTACTTATGCAGGTCTCATAGCAAACAATGTCACGATCCTAGACACGTCCAGACATATCATCAATACCGCGGGCAATAAGTATTCTCAGGAACTACACACGACAACCGAATTACTGAAAGCTGGAAGTGAGCGATGTTCGTGCTTTCCATCATCAAGGTACCGACTTACTTGCGCAGTTACAGTACTACTACTGACGGATGCTCCCTGGCTCAGGACACCGTTGCGGTGCATCCTCAACACTTCGGTGCGCCACCCGAGCAGGCGATCACCAACGAGCTCAATAAAAAGTACGCAAACCGCGTCTTGCACGACGTCGGGCTGTGCATATGCGTGTTTGACCTCGCGGAGGTCGGCGAGGGGAAGGTTCGGTACGGAGATGGGTTTCTATGGTACAAAGGTGCGCATATCTCCGATATGAGGTTCATAGAGGGGCCTGAGAGGGAAGCAGTGATATTCAGGTTGACCGTGTTCCGACCATTCCCCTCCGAAGTCATTCTTGCGAAAGTCAAGTCTTCAGATGAAGACGGCATTCGACGTGCGTCTTCACTGTGAAGGCCCGGCACAGTTTACTCATGTGCTGCAACAGTGACGGTCGGTTTCTTCGACGACATTTATGTCCCCCTTGTATTCCTCTCAGAGCCCTCAGCATTGTAAGCCTCCCCGTATCCGTTTCCACTCCCTGTAGCCTGAGAAACATCCCTTTCGCCCCTTCTTTCACCCAGCGACCCAAACGAGCGCGCACACTTCTGGATGCCCAGCTCCGAAGCCACCTCTGCGCACGAGCTGCTAGACTCTGCGGTGGCCGACAGGATGTACATCGACACAGGCGAGGTCGTCCGCGTGCGCGTCGAGTCCGACGAGTTCTACGACGACGAGCCTGGTCCCCCCAAGGCGACGGAGGGCGTGCAGCAGGCGCATGAAAACAGACGGCCGCCATATACCATCATCGTAGGTACCTCGCCCACTTCTTTGGACTTGTGCTGAGACATATTCAGTGCTCGATAGCGGAGCAGGGTTTGGGTCCCGTGTCGTGGTGGAAGCCTGGGGCCGACGCAATGGATGAGGGATAGCAGTGTGCTGGGGATGTCTAATAGGTGTTCATTGTCCAGACGCTGTAGCCATACACTGTTCGTGCGGCGTTCCATAGTGCCGTGTAATACTACTGCTGATACTTGTCTACATGAGGCCCGGCTCTCGCGGATAATAAAGGGAATCAAACAAAATATTGCTGATACTATGTTTGCTTACTCCAAGTCGTCACGATGTATTGTCTCTCGTACCTTCAAACCATGTTGACGACCGCATGGCTCATCACAGCCTGCAACTGCTCCAAGTCCGACTTCGGGTCTTTCAACCACGCCTCCGCCTTCCGCATGAAGACCCCCTCCTTCAGCGCGTTGTAATACTCCACATCTCGTTGCAGCAGTATCTGCCAGCAGGACCATCGTCAGCACTTGGCAGCGGAACGCACACCAGAGACGTTTCTCACAAGGTCGAGCCACATGCATAGCCGCTCCGCCTCCTCCGGGCTCTCCATGTACCTCCCGTCCCTCGCGTTCAATTGAGGGTGCTCACGATCCGGGTAGCTCAGCCAGCTGGGGTAGGCTGCCGCCAATATCGCAGGCTTCACGACATGCGCGCTCCAATCCACAACATCGGAGATCTGCCCCTCCGCGTCCATACAGACGTTGCGCGGGCTGAGGTCCTCGTTCACGGGCACGCACCGCAGGAGGGGTGCATCGAGGTTCCGGATCGCCTCCGCGAGGTGCACCTCGAGACGCGCGAACGCGCGGCGGATCTTCGCCAGCTCGCGGTCCGCCTTCGTTTCAGCCAGCCTTGTCCTCAGAACGGTCACGGCGGAACCGTCATTGTCTGCATGCACTCGTGCGACGGAGGCGGACATGAGCGTGCGCTTCTTTTGGAGAAGCCACCCGAAGTAGTCCTCGATGCGCTCGAAGACCGCAGGCGCGCGGGACGCGTCGAAGGGGTGGATGCAGGGCCCGAGCCGGGCGGTGTCGTTGGTGGTGGAGATGGAGACGATGCTGCCGATGTGTGACGGGCAGGGGACGCGGAACATCGAGAGCGTGAGATCTGCGTAAGATTGGAGGTTGCTTGCTGGACGTGCGCAAATGATCGTGAGTCTGCGCAGAGAAGTAGGAGGTCTGGGCGTACCTTTTGGTTGTCGGATAGGCCGCTGAAGTTCCATAGATAGGTGTACCTCTTGGATATTCTGTGATCATGTAGGCGGTGCCCGTGCTACTCACTCCGGCCGAGAGCACCTTGGGCAGAGGACCCTCGTGCGTACAGACATCCACTCCATCATAGCGCGTTCCGGGACATCGTCTTCTTCCATTGCCGTTTGGCTGTATCGTCCTTCTGCGACGCGTCATTGAATAGTTTGACTCTGTACCAGACACCCTTCTGATGCAGTGCATCGAGAACCTATCGACGTCCTCAGCTACAGCATCTTAAGTGACAAAGTGTTAAAAGAGGTCACATTAGAGTCCTCCGAGCTACGCGGAGCCAGAGACTCTGGCTTCTCCCCTGAATCTGCTCGAGCGACTTCGCAATTGCGGCTACATCCCGCGCCACAGACGTCGACTCTCCGTCGACAGAGTCGAGGAGATTGGCCAGCTCGCTATGTTTCTCCTGTTCAGTGCCTATGTTCCCATCGATGTCCCAGAATACGAGCATAGTAAGCTAAACGAGCACAGGGATAGCTTTCCAAATGATGAGATGCTCAAGGCCAGCTCGAGGCCATGAGCGATGTCGCCGGAGTGAAGGCTGTGCCCACGGGCGCGCCGAAGGCACTCAGGCGCGTCGCGACGCGATCACGGGAGCGCGTAAACAGCTGTCAATACCCCTGCTCCTGCGGCCACTGGCAGTGGCACTTAGGTCTGTGAAGTACTGCCATATACATACAGTACCTTCACGTTGCCCGCTGGTCCGAGTGATCTCAGTTTTGGTACACACAACAGCGTGAGACGAAAGCAGAGCCCCAAAAGAAATATGCTCACGCAACCCAACGCATAGGCATGGAACAGCCTGCAATGAGTACGTTGTGGTCCAGAGCAGACGATAGCTTACGGCGAGAACTGGATAGGACGCTAACATGCAACATTCAGGCCAAATCTCTTCAGGCACGCCCATCCATGCAGTGCGGCAGAAGGTATCGAATGCAGATAGACGAACAGTACTCGGCATCCAGATGACATCCACTGTGCCACGACGTTCAGTCTTAAAGGTCCACATCCATGCCAGACCCTGCGGCCGGCGTTTCTGCTTGTGGAGTTCCTTCCTTGTCAGTTTCTCTCTCCGCCATAGCACGTCTGAGGTCACGATCAGCTCTTGATAGCATAGACAAGGCACATTCGACGGACCTGAACGCCTCACGACACTGCTGCAGAAGCTTGGGAGTCTTCCATTTCTGCATTTTTGAGACGGTGGCGAGCATATCTTGGTCCAATTCTGTACCAAATATCACTTGCTGGACGGGACGAGCACGTACAGCCCGGCTCACCTTGGTTTTCGCCTAGCAATCTCAATTTGTCTAGCTGGAGGCACTGCCTGCAATGCAGACACATGAAGTCTGAGATGTGGAAGTGGAAGTACGACACGAAACATACCATGAATTGTGGCGGTCGAAAAACTGCACAATGTGAAGCGGCCCATCAGCCGCTTGCTTCCCGCTCCACAACCCCTTGATACGTTTTGGTATAGCAGGATCGTCAGACTCGAAAACGACGGCTGGCCACCATGGGAAGGTTTCTATGCAACCCGTTGAGTTACTATGCAAATGCATCACTGCAGATCCTTTGGTGCTTACTTGCTTTCGCCCATACTGTACGTCAAAGCAAGGTTAGCTGTTAGCACAGGCAGATCACTGTGGGACGCACCCAGTGTCCCCCCTTCCAAGGATTCTCCTTCGGTAAGCACGACAACTCCCGGTTCTTTCTCTTCGACTTCACCCGCACCAGCGCCCTCCGCATCAGTGAGGTCGCTGAGATCCGACATATCCGACTTGGAATCTTCGTCGACATGGTGCGAGGGCCCCGCCACCGCTGATGTAGCCCTTGCCTGTGCAGCCCTTTCCGCCTCAGCAGCAGCAGCAGCTTCTGCTCTCTTGCGCTCCTTCTCCAGTCGTTTTTGCAAGTTCTTCTCCCGCCGAAGTGCAGGCGTGTCCAGCGTCTCGATGATGATGATTCGCACAGGTTCATCGGGTTCGTCGTCCTCTGCTTTCTCTTCTTCTACTGGCGCGGGAACTTCGGAGGGTTGATCCTCTACAGCCATAGATTGATCGACCTGCATTGGTTCATCGCTCGGTACAAGGCTCTCGACCATAGCTTCGAGCTGCGCGGTTCTTGTGTTTGACTCTCGGGCTCCGCAGGTGGACTGTGGACTCCGCTGCGGGCGCATCGGCGTCGGCACTCTCCCCTTCCGTAGCTTGAGGCATGCTGGCTCTTCCTCGGCAGGTTGAGGTGCTCTTTCTGAATCCGTAGGCTTGGGCTCACCCAGTCCTCTTCCTCCGTGGGTTGCAACTCCGCAGAGACTTCCTCTACAGAGTCGCTCTCGTGAAGCGCAACTTCAGATCTTGATGCACGAGCTCATCTTCTGGATTGGCTGTGCGTCCGTAGATGCTCTGCGGGGGCGGTCCATGGAAGTGTCAGCAGACTGCTCCGCGGGTGCATCCGGCGCGCGAGCATCGTCCATCGAGACATCCTCGATAGACGTTGGCTCGGCAGCCGTCTCGACAGCCATTTCGACATCAAGCTGGGGTCTGCTTGTGGAGAACTGCGCTCTGCGTGATCGGCGCTGGTGGACGTCTCAGGAACGCTTGTGTTGTGCGAGAGGTTCTTCAATTGCAGTATCCTGGGCTTGCACAGGCTCAGCGCGAAGAACCTCCTCTTCTGCCACTGGCTCAGCGTGAGGAGCCGCCTCTTCTGCTACTGGCTCAGCATGAGGATCTGCTTCCTCTGCCACCGGCTCTGTGGGAGCTCTCGCCGGCTCAGCCTGCTCGGGTGCAGCGATTCTTCATCCGCGTTCATAGTCTCATGCTCTACCGAGGCCACGGCTGCTGTAAGTTGCGACTTCCCGCGAGCTACGCAAAGTCTGCTCAGTATTCTGTACCACCACATGTTCCGATAAGTACTTACTCCCTTTGCCTTTCTTCTTGGTCGGACTGGGCTGGGCCGCAGGTCGCTGCCGCCCGCCACGCAGCTGATCAGGCGGTAGGATCCAACCCATGTTGAACATCTTGAACGACTGCTGACTGTCCACCCCTTCCACCGTTTCTGCCGCAATCTTGCCAGGCTCTGCGATAACGTGCTTCTTGCGCGGTCGTTTAGGCTTCGCCGGGCAACTGGTTCTTCCTCCGAGGGGATCTCTGGCTCCGCAGCTTGCGTTGACGGTCCTGCCTCAGGCTGAATTTCCTCCGTTCTGGCTTCGGGAGCTTCGGCCTCGGGCTGCACCGGATTTGCGGATGAACGTCGAGATCTCAGTGCGCGGAACCCAGGGGACGCGTCCAGCCTCTCGCGACGCTTCCGCTCCAGAAGCACCTTGCGATTGACCTTCAGTTTTACAGGCTTCGGTTCGGGCTCGGGTGGCGGGGGTTTCATCTGAGGCAGTTCGTAGCTGAACAACGCATCGAGTGGTGGTTTGTCCAGTACGAGATCGATATCATCCTTAATTGTGTCCTCGGAAAGGAGGAGGTCAAGCAACTCCACGGGCGGTTCGAGATCACCAACAGCCGGACGAGGGGGAGGTGGCGGCGGGCCGTCCTCTTCCATGGCGTCTGAGTCTTGCAGGCCGTCATCGGCAGCGCCTTGGTTGTTGGTGGTAGGCGGGCGGGAGACGAGCTTGTCCAGCTCGGCCATGATCGGTTCAGCCGCACCCAGCACCTTCTGGGCCGTCTTGTGGTATGCAGTACCGGGCTTGTTGTACAGCATTGCATTGGTCGCCACAAGCTTGATGTCATCCTGAGAAGGTATGGTTGTGATACGTCCGTACAAATGCATGTAGCAGTGGTACGCGTACCTTGAATTCCTGCAAGTCGAGGTACTGATGCCCGTTCAACTTTTCGTCGATAACGCTCCAGCTCATCGGGCGCTCGACAATCTCGAGGTAGTCAGGGACGTCTTCCAGCGAAACAGGGTTCCGGAAGACATCCATTCGATCGGCCCTGTGATATATCTCAATATCTACTCTTCAAGGGGTCACGCATCTCTACGCACGCTGTTATCCTCTCGAATGCGTGTCTCAGCACTGGCTCGTGTGCCAATAGAAGCTTGTCAAAGACGTATTGAATCGCTTCCACACGGTCGAGCTTGAGGCTCTCGCGTTTCCGACACATCTCTGCGATCATACGGATGCTCTCGAGGTCGCGCCGTTGGCGTTTCATGAACTAACGAATAGTCAGCTTCGTGTCGCAAATTCAAAGAACAACGTTGGGCACCTCGAGCTTGATCGCTTTTTCTTCATCCGTATGCTGCAAGGACCCAGCATTCGCAGTCCAAGGTTCCAGGTGGAGTCTCTTCAAGAATGCCGCGCCTCTCCTTGCCTCTCGCTTCAGGCTCCAGTACTTACACACAAGCACGACGAACTCGCGTTTGTGCCTCACGGCAACTTTGCTGATATAGTGGAGAATTCGCTCGAGAATGATGCGCGGGATGAGGGGTGGACCCGGCTTGTACGTCTTGGCGTACGCTCGGGCGGTCTTGTTAGATTTAGGAGAAGGGTTTCTGTTATCGTAGACGTCAGCTTCGGCGTGCTCCGCCTCGAGAGCTGCAGCGCGAGCATCTTGTTGCTCGTCCTGGAATGCTTTTCAGATCGCTTGACCATAGACCCTGCAGGTCGCAATACCCACCGGTAGATGTTTCTCGCAGAACGCCGCCAGCATCGGCGCCTCAGAACCTTGTGAGGCCTTCATGGGCATCAAGAGCTTGTCTTTGCGAGCGCACGTCACATGAAAGGCAACAAAGCAAGACGGCTTGTTGCACTGGATGCATGCACCCTCCTTGACGTCACACAACGAGCATTTCTACGGCGCGGTGAGCAGGATTTGATACATTGACAATGCTTTCGTACTCACGAGCCTCCATCGTGGTTTGGATATCCGGTCAATGCCCGTTATTGGCTCCATAAAGACGTCGTTTGCGACCCGGGTCTCTGGGACCCAGATAGCACATAGCAGATGTACCCAATCTCCGTGAACTGTCTGTTTGAACGCGCCACCTTCGTTCGGGCACAATACGCACGACTAGAGACTGGTCAGCTAAGAATGAGGTCTCAGTTGGTACTGAACATACCACTGGGTTCTCTGGCGAGACGGTACATTTGCGACATAACCATTGACCCTCAGGAATGTATGGTACACCGTAGCAATCTGTGTACCCAGTCAGCATGTCATAGAACTGTCCGTCCACCGCCTTCACGCTGACCTTGGTGTACTGCCAGATTGCACCCGTCACAGAACACAATGGCATTGGTGTTCTCACCCTCCGAGTCGTCGCATATCGCGCAGGTTGAGTCCTCAGACGGGAGCGCCAAGTCTGGTTTGGGTATGTTCTTCGTCTGCAAGGCACTGTTCGACGCTGGAGGCCACGCTCAGAAAGCAGAAGCGATACATACCAGATCGAACCATTCTTTCTCGAGACGATCCATGATAATCTCGAACAACTCATACGACACGGCGCCATGGCCGTCTTTCTTGCGCTCAGCGTTCACCGCATCGAGCCATTCCTGATCTATGATCTGATGTGAGTACACGCAAACCAAAGGACCTGCATACTATGCGTCCACGAGCTAACGAGTAATGCATGGACGTTGTGTGATCCCCTTCGCATGTGATGAGGACTCGTACCAGAGCAGTATGGGTATAGCGCTGCGCACGAATAACACAACTTCCTCGTCCATCGCTACATTGTCTTTCGACGAATACAAGCAATCAGAAAAGCGTGAAATCCAGGTCCCAGCATGCAAGAGATCCACACAGTTCGTAGCATCCATTCACCCCAAGTCTACATGGTCTGAACGAACGACTATCTTCGCTCGTTTGAGATTCTCATTCAGACTGCGCTTGTGGCCGGGACGTGTCATGAAGTTTGCCATGATGGTACAAAGGTGGAAACTTCTCAAGGACAGAACGGTCAGCGTAGCAACTCAAGCTGGCGGCTCACAATCAGGGTATAACCTTCACACAACGTCCATTCCCACTCCTACTCTATGGATACGCATGTATCAGAAGTAATGCAGGACGCACCTTGCTCGTCCATATCATATTCAACTTGCTCTGCGAGCTCACTCTCCAAAGGTTCTGCGAATGATGGTGTCAGGCCCTTCAAGGAAAGGTCGAAACAGTTGCGTACCGATGTAGCGAATGTAATGCTCCGGTCTCTTGAATTCGGAGAAGTCATTGTCTATGCGGTGTGAGCTTGAAGGTACGTAGTGGGGAAGTCGTACTCACAGCCAAAAGACCTCATCTGCTGGTCATGGACACCGGATGGGTAGGAAGCAAAGTCGTCCTGGACTTTGGAGAAGGAGACCTTTGGCAGGGGCGCGGGCCCAGGCGAGACTCCACGACCCATTGTTGGGCTGTAGAGGAGTGATGCAGCTAGCTCAAACGACAATCCTGTCTTCAGAGTATGCAGAGTGCAGGTCTGTAGCAACGACGAGGAGGAGGAGGAGGAGGAGGAGGAGGTGATGGCGAGCTTCGAAGCGGGGAGCAGGTCGCGAGCGCGTCGACTTGCGCGCCTACGCGAAGACCAGGCGCAGTCCCGCCACCGCGTAACCCAGGTCGCTGCATCCTGCCTTGCATCCTACCGTTGCCCACATCTTTGTACGATTATTGATATTGACCAACAATGGACCCGTCAGTGCCATTGGTGGTCGATAATGGTACCGGCGTAAGTGTGGCATCTACCATCGCTGCTCGCGCTAAATCTCAGCTCGCTACACATCCAGTTCGTCAAAGTAGGCTACGCAGGTTCCAACTTCCCCGAGCATGGTATGTCTATCTCTGACCGAGCAGTAGACGTCCTCGACTGAATGGTGTTGTATTTAGTATTCCCGTCCATCGTCGGTCGCCCGATTCTGCGGGCGGAGGAGCGAGTTGGCACGACAGTGATCAAGGATATCATGGTCGGCGACGAGGCAGCGGAGAACCGGAATTACCTGCAGGTTACCCAGCCCATGGAGCATGGTATAGTGCGCAACTGGGAGGATATGAAGCTGCTCTGGGACTACACCTTCGACGAGAAGCTGCGTGTCAACACCCAGGGCCGCAAGGTACTGCTCACCGAGCCACCGATGAACCCCAAGGCGAATCGGCAACGGATGTGCCAAGTCATGTTCGAGGAGTACGGATTCCAGGGGGTGTATATCGCCATTCAAGCCGTATTGACGCTGTATGCGCAAGGTGCGTCGGGCCCCTCAATCTGTCACAATGCAGTCATACTGATGCTTGAATGCAGGTCTCACTACCGGTGTGGTCGTTGACTCTGGGGACGGTGTGACCCACATCGTACCCGTATATGATGGCTTCGCCTTGCCCCATCTCACACGTCGACTGGACATTGCTGGTCGTGATGTAACGCGGTATCTCATCAAACTTCTGCTCATGCGGGGGTACGCGTTCAACCGAACGGCTGACTTCGAGACTGTCCGGGAGATCAAGGAGAAGCTGTGCTATGTCAGGTGCGTCGAACTACAATTGTTCCTGAGGGAAATATGGTGATACTCAGTGAGCCTTCATCAGCTACGACCTGGACCTGGACACGAGACTATCGGAAGAGACAACGGTTCTCGTGGAGACCTACACAGTAAGGACACGTCGATCCCAGGCTCCGCACGTCTGCTCACATCACACCTAGCTACCGGACGGCCGAGTGATCAAGATCGGCTCAGAGCGATTCGAAGCACCCGAGTGCATGTTCCAGCCGCACCTCGTAGACGTCGAGCAGCCGGGCGTAGCAGAGATGCTCTTCCAGACTATCCAGAACGCTGCCGTCGATATCCGTGGCGAACTCTACAAGCATATCGTACTGTCTGGCGGGTCCAGCATGTACCCTGGTCTGCCGAGTCGGCTGGAGAAGGAGATGAAGCAGCTCTACCTTACGCAAGTACTCGGCGGCGACCCGTCGCGACTCAACGTACGTTGCACATATTTTCAGTATGACGATGGTGTTGAGTTTGCTCTACTCCCTCACAGAAATTCAAGATTCGCATCGAAGACCCGCCACGCCGGAAACATATGGTGTTCCTCGGCGGCGCGGTCCTCGCGGACATCATGAAAAGTCGGGAGGAGTTCTGGATCACGCGCGAGGAGTGGTTCGAGCAGGGCGTTCGCTCGCTAGACAAGCTCGGCCGCGGGGAGAACTGAACGTGAATGAATGTACTTGTATGTATATCCGAAACGAGAATTGGCTAACTAGGACTGCGTTGGACCCGGACCATGGTATGATCTACTACACGAGGACAAAGTAACACCATGCTTCAGGTAACCGTACATAGCAAAGTGGATAATACGCCCTTCAACAACAGGGGATTGCCCGTCTCCTCGGTGAACCCATGATCATAGACGGCTGATTCACGGCTCGCGCGAGCATATTGTATAGTCCTTACATGTTTTGGGCAATAGTGGCACAGCGGGTGCGCACGGTACTATGAAACATTCGTCTAAAGCATCTTAATTGCACACTGGGCGCATCGGGTCTTAGTCATGAGGCGAGTAAACTATTGAAACGTTACACTGTCGTTTTGATTAATTGACATCCGCACCTTGGTTTCCAGGATATCACCATCGTCCCGTCATTGCAAGTTTCCGCCATCACACCTTCTGGTTGTTTGTCTCTTCAGGCCCTAGCTCGCGGTGCTCGCGCGACAGCTGGGAAGAGATGCCAGCGGAATGATCACCATGACCCATCGAGTCGTCCACGGGCCTGCGGCGGAAGGGTCTTCTATCGATCCAAACGAAGGGCCATGTATATATACCAAACGCAGCCGAACTCATTCGCGGGCCCCGTGGACCGAGGCTGCTGGGTGCTTCCAACCTGTCGCGATAACTCCGTTGAGCGCCGTTACTCCTGCGCATCCCCAACCACTAGCAAGTCATCTTCAGGACAGCCGCGCAGACGTGCCAGCGCGCACAAGATGCTAATGCTTAGACATGTGCAGTGCAGCAACAACGTAGGTCGGCTTCTGCAGGCAAGACACCCGCTAGCGCGAACGGGCTGTAGCAAGCACGATGCCCATATAAGCTACGCAGACGCAGTGCAAAATCAAACTCTGCATGCGCCTCGACCTCGACGCGTGCGCCACCAGCTGAGGCTATGTGTCCGCACTCTCGAGACACCGAAGCAAGCTCGATACACGAACTTTCATCTCTTCGTCCTATTGTTGTTGTGTCTAGGCACGAGTAGTAGGGTCCGTGTCTGTCCATCAAAGAGTAGACCAAGAACATTCTGAGTTTCGACGACTATCCCGTCCCTAGGTCCACACAAATGCTCTGCGCCCCAAGGAATGTTGATTTCGGTCAATAATCCGAGTTTTGCAACGTCAATGCAGTGCCAAACATACCTGAGCATCCCTCGTTCATTCAAACGCGGCATCTTCCGTTTGACCTGTTCCTGCCACTGCTCCTCCAGGCGTCCTACCGCTGCAGGCTGGAGCGCGCGAAGCTCAGGGGACAAGTCTAGGAACACCCCGACACCCCTTGCCCTGATATTTGCGAATTGCTTGCCAGCTAGAACTCCATCCAACAGGGTGAGGTCTGCGTGCTGATCGAGTCTGGCCAACAGAATCTCCAATCTGCGTAGAGGGTCTTCCTTTTTGTGGAATTGAAGATGATGTCCACTTCATGCATGACGTCTGATACGATGGATGAGGCTATCGTGGAAATCCACGAGAAGTCGGGATCAATAGGGCATGAGCATTCGACGGTCAGTCGTTCTAACTTGAGTGCGCGGGCCAGATTGATATGCGGTTCTATGGTCTAATCAGCTCCAGTGTTTACACGCGTGCTGTGCATACGTACCCAATGCGGCCTTTTGTACATCGGGGCTGACGTCTCCCATGTATAGCGTCAAAACAAAGAAACGAAGGTGCGCGCGACTAGAGTCTAGAAGATGCTGACCCTTCTTTGATGCCAGAGTAAACGGCGAGGGAATGTCCATCTCCAAGCTGAGGAACTGCAGCTGGCAACCATCCTCTTCCGCGCACCGGATGAGGAACGCTTGGATCGCTGGGTCGATTGGCTCACAGAGTGCCAATGCACTGAGTTCACGACTTGTCCTCGGCAGAGGTGATAGTATGTCTACTGGCCCGGGCTCATCTTGTGTGCATCGTACTACAACGCAATGCATCCAAGTGAGAGCCGGGAGAGCGGACACCAGACGGCCGAAAAGCATGGCAGATGCAAATGTGACGTTGACGAGCTTCAAGGAGGCGACGGACTGGAAAGCGTGTGGCACGTAGGAGAGTGATTTTGGTTGGATATCCGCTACCCTCCATTCGGCATGACGCACTATCAATTCCTTGACGTTCGGCAATTTGCAAGCAAGCATGGCAACGAAAGTGGCCATGTGCGGGATTGGTAGTCGTCGTTGGTCCTGATCCAGCCCACCCGCAATGGCAATACGTTGTACCGCCTCTCGCAGATGTGGTTCGGCGCGGATGAGCCTAGAGAGTGCGACGACTTGCTCGCGACTGCGCACTGAGATCTGCCAGTGGAGGTGAAACCAGCTGCGGTGGTACCATGATTTGCAGACCAGCGTGCAGGCGATAAGCGTGCCCCATCCTGGGTGCGAAGTCCAATTGTTGTTGTCGCCACGCTTGCTCTCCGTGGCTACAATGTCGATGATGCGTTCCCATACTTCCACAGGGAGTTCCAGCCGCTGAGTGCTTGGCTCTGAGGCACTGACCGCGTGGCTCGATAGCTCCATTCCACAGTCCCCTCGCATGCCTCCGCTGCCCAAGGATGCATAAGATAACGTTTACATGAGAAATGGATGGTGACAGACTCATCAAATCAGCACTCACAACGATTTACTGCCTCCTGGGGAGTAATCCTCACTTATGTCCAGTTGAGACATTGTGCATCTGAGGGTGGCCACAAGACACGGAACTTGAACAGTCACGTCTATTACATCGAAGTCGAACATATCATTCGCTGTTTGAGACTTCAATGCTCTGTTTGTAAAAATTTCGAGTTCACCTTTAATGTCAGTTACTATGTCAAGTCTGCGCCCGAATACAAGGATGCCTATAGGCAGTGGGGTACTATACAATGTGTGACGCGGCCCCAGGTGGCGACAATGAGCCCTTGCTGTTATGGACGTGGTCAGAAAGAGACTGCTATACTTCCTTGCAACTCAGGCTTACCAAGTTATAGGAAACCCTAAGGCGAATTTGCGCTCCGTCACCCGTGATGCGACCTATCCTTCCATGATAGTCTACCACAATCACTCGCGCGGCGTTTGGCAGAATGACCCAGGACCGCGGTGGTACTGCAGTGTACGTAACAGAAGATATCTGATCAACGTGCGGGGTTTCTGCCGCATCTGTAACTTGTACGCGCGCGCGTTTATTCAAGCTCGAACGCTTGCAGCACCGATGGAGGCGGCGCCGCTGTTGCTCAACAACAGCGAATTGTCTCCCCTCTAATAGACCTCAACGTGTTCAAATGTCAAACGATCCCGTAGGTACCCCAGTCAGTACAGAATCCGGAATGCCGCCATGTGGGTACGCATGTGCTTACAAGCCTTCAAAGCGCCAACGAGCGGAACTCAATGCGCTGCTATGTACATACCCAGAAATTTCTGACGCGGTTTGCATATCAAATGTGGTCTGCATATCATGCATATGTGGGTGACACGAGCTATCGGGCTTAAATACCTGCATGAGCATGCTGAGACAGTAGTCTCGACAGTGACGCACGCACCAGACATCGGCAACAGGCATCCCCGACTACTACAGATATCCCTTCACTCGATACGCCGCAGTACAAAGTAGCATGTCAGAGCATAACGAGATATGCAGAGCTACGTGCTACACTCTGACAATGAACGGCACTTGTTACTACACCAATTCTTCCTTCAAGATCTCTACAAGACCATCGATCCTGGGCGTGAAATTCACAGTGAACGGCTTAGGGAAGATGAGTGCTTCATCGGTGAATGCATCCGGGTCAATCGGAGACGAAGCGTTCTGAGTGACGTTGAATCCCCAGAGGGTGAGAGCGGTAGTTATGAAGAGCGAGCTGACAAGGGTTTGAGACGAGACAACTTCACTTAAGTGAATGACTCACTTATCCGCCACATGTTGTCCGACGCACGTTCTGAGAATGGCCTTAACATTGACGTAGATGATGACATGTGATCGTTAAGACGTACCTGCGCCCGAAGCCAAACGTGAAGAACTTCAGATCGTCTCGTAGACGGCCATTCGCATCCAACCATCGCTGAGGATTGAATGTTTCGGGGTCAGGGTACACCTCGGGATCCCGTGAGATCGCTCTGTAAGAGGTGAGATGGGCCCGCAGGGATGTATGTAGGCGGCGAACGCACAGGTGGTTGCCGACGATCTCAGTGCCCGCCGGAAGGACGTAGTCCTTCTATTAAGAAAACAGCAATGCATCTGCATCGTTCAAGGCCGAGAACAAACGAGCTTACCCAGACGATGTCCTTCGTAGCTCGGTGGGCGAAGCCTGGTATTGTAAGAACGTCGGCACCTATCCCCGGCGTCATGTATCACACTCACCTCCAGAAGCGACGGGGCGCCATCTTGATGCCTCAAGGAAGAAGGCAGTCGCTTCTGGCAAGTTCACTTCATCGTCGAACGTCGGTGCTAGCAGATTAACAGACACTGTCAGGTGCCCTTTGACAACTGCCATAACAAGGCTCACCTCTGTCGCGACCGACGACTTGGTCAAGCTGAGCCTGTACCTTCGCTTGAGCATCCGGGAAGAGCGCTGCGGCCATAGCGACGATAGACAATGAAGAAGCTGTCTAGGCTTTTCAAGTGAGCTAATGGCACGCCTTGGGACGGGAACGACTCACAGTGTCTGAACCTGCACCGAACATGGCGCCAGCCAGGTAAGCCACTTCATCATCAGAAAGCTGCAGATTCTGCTGCTCTCTGAGGATATGTGCAACAAAGGATGTTTCTGCTTCTCCATTTCTCTGTATCGGGCATTAATCAACCGACCGTTGACCCACAAGATCACATGGAGTTCTGCGACGTACCATGTGCGATTTGACGTTGGCAACCTGACTTTGAAAGAAGCTCAACTCCTCCTGGTGAAAATCCTGCAGCTGAGCCGTGTATCCCGGAATATACCGCAGGAAAGGGTATGTGTCAACTAGGTGTGCACCCGGTCGAAGGGCAGCTCCAAAGCGGCGCAGGCAGCGGTTGATAGTCTCCACTTCAGGATCCGAATACGACGTGGGCGTCGTCTTTCCGTAAGTCATACTGATCACTACAGTGGCCGCGTATCTACAAGTAACAGGCGTTCAGTGTGCTGTCAAGGAGCAAAAATTACCAGAATAAACACCTTCTTGCGTGGTCCATGTGTTCCTTCGGCTCGCGGTAACAATCGAGAACGTAGGTCCTCGCATTCTTGCTCTGCATTTTCTTGTAAGTCTCAGCTACCTTCGGTTGAAGAAACGCATGCAAAGCCCTGACGGAAATGTAAGCACGGCTGTGTTAGTCGAGTCGCGTACTCACCTGCGCAACCTCTTGATGCGGTCGCCCTCGCCCGTCAACACGACACGCAGACCACCTGACAGGATTTCATGAGCCGCTACAAATCGCGGACGGTCCATTGTCTCTGCAGAGTGCTTCACGAGTATATCCACGGCTGCCTATAATACGTGAATCTTGTTATCAAACGTAGCCAAGCTATGATAGCAGACGTACCTGATATCTGCCCACAATACAGACGATACGCCGTCCATATCTCAACGAGGTTACAGGTCCGTATTCGTTGATCAGATTTGCGTAGTGACGGTAGGCGCTGTGGGAAGGACTCGGTTTAGCCAGTCATATGAGAACTGCCAAACCGAGGAAAGCTCACTATGGCCCTGGAGGCGCGTTTCCGAAGAGCCAATGTCCAGGAGGACCTGGTGGAAGCGAAGCCTTCCGCTGCAGACGCAACGGCTCCAGCACATAGATGTAGAACAGAATGGACAGCAGGGCTGCGACTGACAATACAACTGCTTCCCCCAACATGCTGGTTCTGCGGATGAGAGGTGCTTGAGTTGAAGACGGTGCTGTTCACCTTATATATGATGTGGTCCCGGCGCGTAATAGAGGGTAGTATGGGATCTTCGTCTTGCCGATGGGCCTCAAACATCGGGAAGCCGGCAAGAGCCAGCGTTTGTTCTCACCCGATAATCGCCTCTACTGGCAAGAGTTTTCCATGTTGGATGTACCCAAAATGTGGAGCCTGGCAGGTCCACGCTATACGGGGTCCAGAACACACACGTGTGAGGTGTACATGGTCAACTGACCGAGGTTACCGGCGGCTTCCCTTCACCCAGCCATGTCGCTTCGCAGGCTTGGTGGTGACCCGGCGCGCTCAGAGGCCATTGGCGTGAATGATCGCGGCCCTAATGTGACGGTACAGGATCTAATTTAGATTGCTGGGGCGCAAATGCAGATTCACCGGTACACAGCATACATCCGTCGATGAAGGACCTAGCATGATGCAAGGTGAGCTTCGGATATCCCCACGGTTTGTTCGCCTTACCTGGCAATAATCTGGGTGAAGAACATCTCAGTCGTGCGTATCCCCTCAGACGACCGCCTGAGGGGATCCCCGAGCCACTCGGTGACCCGGTCTTCCAGCCTCGCGAAGTCGACGTCGGACATATTGAGATATGTACCCGGCATCATAACACGCAACGATATATCCATGAAGCGGAGTCCCGACGTGCTCAAAGTATTCAGTATTGTGACGTAGGGGTCGCATCGGTCAGCGACCAGCGTTCTGCAGATCTGGTTAGTATGTGGTTCCGAGTCAATTGGACATGGAAGACATCTGCGTATTTACTGGGTTGCGCAACAACGAGGCCGCGGAGAAGTATGCGCTGCGGAGCCGCTCGAGACTTGATGAACATTCCGCAACCAGTATGCAAGTCATGGGCTAAGGCTTACTACATGGTGAACCCACACGCCGACTCCGCCGAGCATGACCACTGGCGGGTCGGTCTCAGCTGGAACCACATCGCCGCGACGCGACGGGGAACACACAACTATATCCACCAATTTGGAGTTATGCGCTATTTCTCCAGGACAACGACAAAGCCAGACTCACCGTGTACGTATGTTGCCAGTGTCGCTCACAACTCGCGGGCAAGATCCAGGCTCACATCATTTCGTATGTTGCACTAGCACCAGAGACTGTGGACACAGTACCCAGATTCTGGATATCCTCGAGGTCGATAGATGAAGAAGAGCGAGGATTTCCAATCCGTCAAAAGCAGGCAAGTCGATGGTTTCTGTCTGGTATGCGAATGCCAGTAGCCGACTTGTCATGTTTTCAGCTCGCGGCGCGACGATTAAGCAGTTGCAATCAGCCATACAATAAGCAATGAACTGGTCGCTGAGCTTCTCGAAGATATAGCCTGTGGGACGCGACCACTTTGTGGCGGTCATCGCGGGGTATTGCAAGAGGGTCACGGTCGCGTACGGTCTACTGGCAGAAGAGGCGCCCGGTACTGCAACGGCTGGCCGCGGCCCTGCCAGTGGGACTGCAGTTGCCTCAGAGTGAACCTACAATTTCCGTCCGATACAAGGAACAACTTGCACAACGATATAAACCATCGCGAAAATACATGATGTAGCGGACGGTGAACAATACAGGCGTGTCCGCGATGGATACATGGAAATCTGACATGGAGAGGATGATACATGCGGAGAAGGAAAGGAAGATATGGATCGTCCTGAGTCTTCAGGCGAAGCACTTGTCCAGGTTGAAGTACTTGCCCATGCGCGGGTTGCTGTCGTATGGGTTGACGTTCTGCATCCACCCGTTGACATTCTGATGTATGCTGAAAGACATGTGAATTCATCAGCATCCACCGCCTCCGCCAACTCATGATACGATCCAGTACTGACTAGTCAAGATTGTTCTGGCAGCGACAGCAAGGTCCATCGGCGGCCGCGACAGCCTGGCCCTACATCAAGGATGCATCGCCTTCAAGCTGATTTGCGAGCAGCAGGTTGTCACTCACGTATGTCATACCCTCAGGCCATCCGTTATAGTTGCCCAGGGTGAGGAGGACATTGCCGTTGTTGTTCTTGAGGGTGTTCGCAAAGTAGTGGGCGCCCGTCCGGATGTTGTACGCCTTTCAATAGATGGTAGGTGCGCAATGATCAGGCTGAAGTTTGGGTGCACATAAACGGAGGGATTATAGACTTACAGGATCCTTGCAATTACCATTCGGTGCAGCACCGCACTTGTCCTGCGTAAGCTGCATGAGCCCTTGCTCGCCGCCACCGCCTTGAGTCTCCGGGTTACACGTGCTCTCTTGCATAGCAATAGATGCGATCAGGATGGACGGCACTGCGAACCAGTGAACGTTAGCACTCCGCCATCACATCTGAGGCCAGTGCGCTATGGCCTGGAATGGTAGCATGCTCCTTCCGACAATCAGAGATCGGTTTGGACACGCAGGCAGCATGGCGGATGTCAGCCTGACCTCCGACTTCCGAGACTCGCCACGCCCTACCGTCCTCACCGTAACAAGCGAATTTGCAAGACGTACCTCCGAACTCCTTCGCGTACTGCTCAAACAGATCCACGAAGGATGAACACGCTCTGAACGGGCTGTCAAGTTCCTGGATGGCCGTGCCTAAGTCCTTCGTGACGAGGTCGTTGACCGTAACGTAGGGAGGCTGCCAGCCGCCTGCATTGACACCGCAATTAAGCCAGTCGATGCCGCCGTTAGGTCCACTGACAGACGTCACGTCCACTATCAATTGTGGCAAAGGTGGCGATGTTCTGAGTGTAACCACAAACGAAACGGGTGAAGATCACTCACAGGTAGCACCTATAGGCCCGCAAGAGGACAGCACGTTGATCAAGCCTTGCGACAATATCGACATCGCGCCATAGTTGGCATCTATACTGGTCTGCGTAGTAGCTGCTTTGGGTTCGGCGCTGGCGGTCTGGTTCTTGAGCAGCAGCCCACTCAGTCAAATATAACATTTCACGATGAGGATGTGAGCACTAACCTTGTGCTTGTTTTGGGCACCGCACCGTCCGTTGGGTGAGGGGCGCGACGCGCCAGCCGCCCGTGTTGCCCATCGCCGTGCATGTTCGACATGCGGACGACCTCGAAACTGGAGTGACCGCTCGCTTCTACAAGAACGCCCGCACATGCGAGCGCGATTAAAGGAGTGACTAGTTGCATTAGAATAGCGTTTAAGATAGGAATATAGGATAGAAGTGAAGGACAGTGGGGAGGAGGAGGAGGCCAAGACAGGACTAAGACAACTCGCGCGCACCCAGGCCCGCCATTTCGTTTGGCACCATGTTCGGATCCGCCGCCCGTGCCGCCGACGCGCTCCTGCCATGGCATCGAAAGCTTGCTGGTTCATGACATCCCTGAATATTCGGAAGTCGAAGCCATGCATTTTTTGTTGATGTATGGGTCTTGTGAGACAACTTAAGAAGTCAGCCTCTGCCAGTGAACAATATTCGTGGTCGCCGTGCTCAAGCGCTCAATGTCGGTGCGGAGAGGGTCGGGCATGGATCGGGCAGTATGACGGGCGCTAGCCACCGCTTGGTCCCGGGCCACTGCACCGCGACATGCTCCTCCACCTTGGCCGCGATACAAATCCGAGGGCTCCAGACGTGTCTCAGTGGGCCGTGGTAGGGTTGGCCCTGGATAAGAAGTGGATGTAAGTACTTCCCTGGTCTTTTCGAAAGGATTGCATGAAGGCACTCACGTATCGTACTTAGCAAACAAACAGTCGACCTCCGTCTTGGACGACAAGCCTCATCCCTATAGCTCAATTTCCACGACCCGTAAATTACCATCAGCGAAGAGACCAATGTCAAGCCGTGCTGCAGCGCATACTCGAGTCTTCGTCGCATCCATAACCAGAGAGATGCAGCAAGTCATCTATTTGAGCATCGGCAGATCAGATAGCCTCGAATTCTCGCAACTACATGCCCTCAGACTCACGTGGTGAGTAGGCCGCCTCCTGACATCTGTTGTCCATGTCTCGCGCCCACGGCGGCGTACCATTCGATAAAGCAGAACTAGTAGCAGTTGTAGTGGATGGAGAACCAGCTGCATGTTCTGCTTTATCCGGCCACTCACGATCTGCGCAATGACTACAACCGGAGAGTTGGGAATCAGCCTGGTGGTCGGGCCGCGCTGATAGCAAATGCAGTACACAACTTACCGTCGAATGCACGCCGAGAGCATAGCTCTGACCTTGGGACTCCTGCAGATGCAGCGCTCACATGAATGTTGAGGCGAGTACTACCCAGTGGCGAATGTACGTCGCCCGAGACACTGAGGTCAGGCTGAATCGTCAATAGACCGTGCTTCAAGCCCTTGAGATCTGTGCGTGGCCGTGCACGCAGCGCAGGCACCGTCCCGACTCCCTACCGTCACAGCTTTAGCGACGGGCATGAAACAAATGAACGAACGATGATTCGTACCTCTGTCATGCAAAGCAAGGAACGAGCAAGAAGCTCAGCAACACTTCTCATTGGGACGTAGGATGTACACAGCATGTGTCAAAGAGCACTTTCCTGTCATTAGAGTAAGTAGGGAACGAGTATGCGTCCACCACGTCGCTTTTTTCGGCTGGTTTCAGGTGCTCTCAGATTAGGAGATATGTATGATGCCAAGCGACGCTCGATAATGCTTGATGGGTAATAAGGACGATGATCGGCTGTGTCGCGCTCTCACACTGGCAGGCTACAGCCACGCTCAGCCACGCCGGGCGGCGCTTTTGATGGGTTGGAAACGTCGACGAGAATGTGGGCGGACAGGGTCGGACGCGATATGTATCCTCGGAGCTCTGACTGGTACGGAATGGGAGGATATGCATACAATAGCGGCTGGAAATGATCTGGCTGGTAGCAAAGGTGACTACTAGATTTCGCTCAAGCCGTCGCATTTAATCCTGATGAGACGGTGGATATAGATTACCTAGTATCGTAGTAGCTTCACGGCCCATCAGAACTTGTCAATGGGCGCATCAAACGCGGGCAGGGGACAGCGGCCTGGAGCCTCGATAACGCTTGCTTGGCGATATCGGGAACGGAGGGCGTGCATCGCCACCTGTTCGAAGGGACTTGAATCACCCGTGATGCCGGACTCTGGTCGCCGGCATCCACTGCTTGACAGCTATAAAAGAGCTGCACACTTGAAGGCGGGTTCTCCAGCCCTCAGTTGACCTGTGCGAGCCAATCTTCTCAAGTTCAGGTACTGGATAGTGGGTATCTGTGCTACTTCCCCAGGATTTGATGCTGACTTCTCCTCAAGCTTGACTTGCTTCTTCACAGTTCGCTCTTCATTTCGTCACGACTTTCAACCCTACACCTCTTACGACACTTTTCCATATTCACAATCTTCACGATCAAGATGCGTACCTCTACTGTCGTTGGTGTTCTCGCCCTCACTGCTCCTGCTCTCGTAAGGTATGTCATTCGCTGCGTTCCTTGTGGAGTCTTTGTTGAGGTTGTGTTGTAGCGCCACAAAGGGCAGGAGTGGCCCAGGTTTCAACAAGGCGTTGACCATGTCACGAAAGCCGCCAAAGCTGCGAAGCACGTCGGCCATGCCGTGAGCGCCTTTAGGGGGAACGGGGACGGGAACCAGCGCCGGTACGCCGTTCTCACGCCGTTGTAATGTTTCTGCTAAGTGCAAGCCGGGGATTCAGTGCTGACAGCGATGATCTCTACGCTCGCTACTACGACGACGAGCTGTACGCGCGGGAGCTCGACGACGAGCTATATGCGCGGGAGTACGACGATGCTCTCTACGCTCGCGAGTACGACGAAGCACTCTGGGCACGGGAGTGAGTACTGTCCCAAGGCTTGTCTGTAATTTCCCTGACATTGTTTGTAGCGACTTCGAGGACCTCTTCGCCCGTGCTTTTGGCGACAAGAACACCGAGACTCCAGGTCAGAATGCTCAGCCATTGACGGAGCACACCGAGAAGGCCCACGGCTCTAAGGCAGGCTCTAAGGCTGAGGCGAATGACCTACACCCCCAGCACCCCCTCACGCAGGAGAACGGCCAGCGTACTGGTCACCCGTCTGAGCACCACGCCGCGCATGCCGGCCAGCACCCAGACCAGCACTTCGGTCAGCACGGTCAGCACACCACGGGGCACTCTGCCGTCGAGCACCCCGGCGAACACCGCAAGCACCCCGGCCCACACCGCCAGCACCCCGGCCAACACCGCCATCACTCCACGGGGCACTCTAGCGTTGAGCGCCCCGGCCACTCCGCGAAGCACCCTGGCGTTGAGCGCCCTGGCCAGCACACGCCGGCGCACTCTCCCGAGCGTCACGGTCACCAGCACCCGACCGAGCCCTCGACTCAGCACCCTGGCCAACCCTCGACTCAGCACTCGGCCGAGCACCCCGTCCAGAACAATGCTGAACACCCCGCGAGCCCAGCCATCAAGCGTCCTGGACAGGCGTCGTCAGCAGCCGTTCGTCGCGAGCTCCTTGAGAACTTCCTGTGAGTATCGGCTCGGTCATCTCCCGATGACATGGTGCTCATGTCTCTCAACAGCATGTCTCGCGGCATCGACATTGACGAGCTCGACTGAGCATCGCTGGCCCCACGCAGCTTCCTTTGTGATGATTATGACGATATAGTTATGTGACAGGTGTATTGAGTTAACGATGTTTATGAATAGCGAACTTTCTGAGGGCTCAACACCCGTGGTGTGTTTGGCGCGAAATCACGACTGTCCACTGTCAAGGTCAGATTTTAGAGTCCTGATGTGTACGCGACACCTATCAAACACTGAAACATTAAAATCTTGCGCTCACTCGTTCGGATCCACAGGTTACATGAGATCCAGCCAGCTGCAGGTTCAGATATGATCAAGCATCCACTTCTCGTCATTGGGCAATTGTGTCGCAACTACGCAATCAATCACACATGTATGTCAATACACGATACTGTACATTCGGGCTAGCCACCACTGGAAGAGACGGACGTCACATCAAGCACTGTTTCCTCAACCTTCGCCAGCGGTGGCCGAACCACCATCTTCGCAGCGGAGACACAGTGGGGTCCTGACGGCCATCCTCAGCGGGGACTGCGCAAGTGATTCAGTCGCTAAGACCCAATCGGTGTCAGAGATCCACGCGTTCTTGTCTGTGAGGTTGATCTCGGGAACAAGCTATGTATCGGCTCTGATCAGCATCCGCGACACAGCAGCTACACGGTGAGGGCTGTACCTTGAAGGCAGCGATCGTCTCTAGACTCATGGAAACGTCCCTGGTGTCTTCGGTGATCTTTGGCGTGGTGACGACCTTGAGGGTGGACAAGCCCGAGTCGTCTGAGAAGAGAGGAGGCCTTTCGAGCTCACGGACGAGAGACGACCTCAAGCTGGAGAGCGGCGACATCTGCGACAGCCGAGCAGGCTCTATGGGAGTAAGCTGGGGGCCCGAGCGAGTAGACGTAGAACCAGCGAGCGCAGGCGACGAGCCGTGGAAGAGGGTCCATTCGTGTTCGTGCGGAGAGACTGGTTGAGCAGGGCGGGTGCGAATGAGACCGGCGAATGCGTTCTCGTTGTTGCGTGGGCGACGAGGGAAGGTGTGGGTCCGTCCTGAACTAGAGTCCGTGGGTGCCGTGGGCGACGTGACGGGTCCTGTGGGTGGGGTAGCTGTTCGAGAGTTCAAGTCCGAAGCCTCAGCCATTTCCTCGGCTGTAACACAGAGCGGGCAACGACAAGGCAGGCGATAGTCGAGTTGTCGCAGACACGCCGTGGACGGATGGAAGATACCCATCCGCTTGAAGCGATCTCTAGCTCCTAGCAAGCCCGTCGTTCGGGTGTCGAGCTTCTCCCAATGCGCCGCGCTGTCAGCCTTCTCGCATCTCTGGGCGCGTCGACGCTTGCGGTGCTTGACAACCAGCGTGGCCACAAAGATTCCACAGACGGCGGCGGCGATGATGCAGAAGGAGAGGACGTATGTGACTGCCGTGTCGTGGTCCATAGGTATGTCAGCGGCATCCTCTTCAACCGCCGCGTTTCCTGCTATTCTGTACGGATCCTTCGTTGATGCGTCTGCCCGGATCTTGAGGAACGTCGCCAGAGACTGCATGGATATCCGCTTGCTTTGGGATGCATGACATAGCCCGACCAGCAACGCGACACAGCGGACTTGAGTGCAGTTGAAGACGCCATGCGAAGTTCTTGCGAAGGCGAGTGGTGAAGAGCGAGAAGGAAGCGAAACGCAGTAAGCATCCTCTTGTCTTCGGCCAGAGGCTGGTATAGCGGCTGACTCGGACGCGAGGGACTTGATGGACACATTCCCACAGACCATCGAGGCTGACCGGTCCGTTGTTTGCCATGGCGGTTTCCGTAGTGTCATACTACCTACGGTAAGGGCGATGCACAAGTTATGTATGCATTGCGAGTCAACTAGGCTTCAAGAATCATCATGACTCCGTCAAGTTCGACATTGATTAAGATGAATCAAGCTACCTGCAGTTCGCAATTGCACCAGGGAGCTTTCAACCGGACAACAAGCTTCAAGCCAGCCAGTGAGCTCGGAGTCTCCTTGTCATGCCACAGGACATGGTGATCGTCCCGGAGTCGTAGCCGTGCCGCGCGTCGAGCGTTACACGTGATCGCGACCATCACAGCGGTCACACAGGCGCTGTCACACCGCCGCTTGTGGAGAGTGCTGGGCGCTGCTGGGCGTCGCTGCTGCTGCCTCTGCTCGGCTTTGGTCTGCTGTGCTTGGGCTCCTACATATCTTATTCTCAACCTTTCCGCTCTTTACCCATACCCCTTACGACTGTTGCTCTACGCCTGCTGCTCCGGCCCCTCGTCTGTATGGCTGAAGCCGTCTTCGACGATCATCCGCTAGAGGAGTACTTCAGACGTGCGTCCATTCAATCAAGCCTGGCAATCAATGCAGGCCAACTGACATTTACCTGGGCTGTAGTGTCCGGTGAAGACGTGCTGCCCATTCCGGGTGGCATATCCGAGTTCTCTCAAGAGCTGGACGAGAGCATCGGCAAACCTCAGGAACCCTTGTTGGCGTTAGAGCGACTGCCTCCGTCTCTCGTGAATCTTATCCAGGCGAGTACTCCTTCCATTGTTCCGGTGAATATGGCTTGCCTGCATCTTGCTACTGCAAGCGACTACAGCCAGGCGCACAGCCAACGCCGCCGTTCATCTCTCTGGCTGCGCGGTCGGCAGTGCTTGCTGCACCATCACCATCGCTGGCCTGTCTATTCCATGTCTTCTTGATATGCATACAGCGGCAGACAGATCACTGCGCATATATAATTGTGGCGCGCTTTACATACTGGCGATGATGTCCCAGAGTCCTATCTCAAACTCGACGGCCGTATCGCTCATGCTCTCTGGCTGAGGCAGATACTGAGCTGTCTCGATGCGATGTTTAGATCTGGACCCAACGGCTCTGTATGCCCTTTCCGTGTGAGCCCGTCCGCAGTGCTATTCTTGCACAGGGCCATCGTTCATGCTGCATTCGGCACCACATACTAGCTACGAGCGCCCTCACCATGAATAGCTACTCATACTTGCTCTTTCCTATCCAGATAGCAAGTTCGTTCTTCGAATGCAGACAATCTTCCGAGAATGCCTTCGCCGAGCGCTTCAAGTACGACGTGATCTCGTCTTCCCTTCTCTCAGCCACCGTCGCCGCCACACCGACCATTCGACGCACCTTCACACTCGAGCCAGACGATGCTAGTGACGTAGCATCGTCTGACGACGACAAATCCAGCACTACGCTCTCCTCCCCGCTATCCGAGTTTCAAGTACCGATGGCGCTGGTGTGCGTCGCCGCAGTCGCACTGGCGGCGGAGTACTATTTTGTTGCTATATTCCTCATGCTAGCCTCAGCATATGCGTGGCATTCCGTACAGGCGACCTCGGAAATTGCCGCAAATACGACCTCTGTGAGTGGGTTTCTACCCGTTATAGAATGCGTCTGATCGTCACCCTCTGTAGACATTGGATGCAGTCAACCAGCTAATTCGGGCAGGAAATATCTGGGACTCCGCGGTCAACGAGGCCATCACCATTGTAGAGAAGGAGGAACGAAGGCGAGTAAGACTGCGAGATAATCGAGGGTTTCTGCTGACATAAACGTATACAGTATCTTCTACGGACCTTCCAGTCCACGCTCACCCTCTTCTGGACTCCGAGTCACGTTACAATCCTCGTTGCACACTACGCAGAACCAGTGCGACAACGTCCGCCAGCTGCTTTCTGCACTCACGGATCCCTCGCAGCTCTCTCAGATATCTGAGATGTATGCGCCGTCTTCGCCTCCGAAGCCTGCCTTCTCCATTCTCGATCACCCTCGCCCGCTCTCAATCCCAATGGGCCCCCTAGCTCGGTCACGCACAATTTCCACGCCGACAAACAAACGTTCAACGTGGAACGGGTCGTACGCCGCGCTGGCGCAGGCAGGCAGCCCTCTGACTCATATCCAAAAGCGCCGATCGCGGCGCAGTGCAGACCTCACTGCTCTGTTTGAGCCTCCGCCGTCGAAATTCTCCATGAGCGCGCCTGCGAGCCCGCAGCGCTGCGACCCTGTGCAGGAAGAGCAAGAAGAAGAAGACACCGATTCAGACGCGGCGCTAGGTCAGGCGGAGTACTTCGGGTCTGCCGCGCTCGACCTTCAGCGCAAACGGAGAAGTGCCGGCATGGAAGCGTTCGGCGTCCCTCCTCCGAGCTATGCCACCTCCGCACGCCACCTTCGCCGGACGTCTGTAGGCCAGCAGCCTACCATCGCGTCGTCCTCACGCCTCACGACGGTGCACACCACGCGCCATCCTCTGTCACTCACGGGTCTCCGGTTTGCTCTGCACGGTGCCCTCTCAGCTAAGCGCTACGCTTGTTCTCACCTCCTGGCCCTGCGCTTTGGTGAAGATGAGGATGACACGTATTGGGAGGACGTGCGCTCAATGGTGTCCCTCCTGACGAGCACATTCGAGGACGCCTCCGCGCGACTGACGGAAGCGCTCGATATCGCCGAGAAGAACCGTGTCAAGGACGAGCGGCCCAGTCCGCAGGCATCCGTTGATCTCTCTGCCGGGAATCGGTCGCGACCTGTGAGAACGATGGCGGAGATGGTCTCATTCGCGCCTATGCCAAGTCACCTCACGCGGTTCGCTGCACATGTCGACGCGATGTCGACGGCGTTGAACGACGCGCGGGAGCACCTCGAGCAGTGCGTCACGACTCTACGAGACACCGCGCCTGGGGAGGCAGGGTCAAGCAGTGATGCAGACGGCGGCGCGTCCGCTGTTCAGGAGCACCCCGCATTCCAAGCGTACGACCGGCTCAGGAAGGAGCTCGGGTATGCTCTACGGGAGTGCGAAAGAGGTCGGGAACGCCTGCTCGACATCATCTCTGGCCCACGCCAATCATCTTTGGGGGAAGAACCTGACTCCCCGGACGACACACCTGGCCTTCGAAATGACAACGGGAGCGATACATCTGAGAAACCTGGTCCGTCATCCCCCGCTTCGCATGCTCCAGGTATCCTGTCTCTCTCAGACAGACCAGGCGCTCTTGGCCTGTCTGTTGGCTCAGAGCGGCCCGACGAAGAGCTCGACGACGCTACTGCGCATCTGCTCTTGACGACGTCGTCGCGGCACCTGCCGCCGCCTGGCGTCGAGCAAGTGTACGAAGCCGATACGGGCGGCGCACCCTCGTTCGCTCGGGAGCGATCGAAGCTCTCGCGGGAGGAGCGCATCCAGCAGGCGAAGGCGCGTAGGGAGGGCGGCAGGTATGGACTTGTGCCACTGTCCGAAGTGCCGTCACGACCACAAGTCGAGCGGTGGGGTCCCGGAGGGGAGGTCGTGCAAGAGCTGAAGGACGTCATATGGAAAGTCGGCGAGAAGCGGAGGCAACTCACTGAGCAGCCCGCAACAAGACCGGAGCAGGCGACTGTGGTCTCCGTCGATGATACCCCGCAGATCGATTCATCACTACTAGAGAGTTTCGAGCTTTCTACATCATGACGTTGGTACAGTACATAAGTTAGGTCGTTTGGATAGCATGTCAATGCTTATGTTTAGACTATTCTTCTGTAATACGCGTATCAGTGCAATCTAGCGTCCGTGGATTATGACATTCATGTTTACCTTTGGTGGATGCACATGAAGGTATGTCAATCATGTCAATGAGTACGACACCGGACAAACATGTGATGAAGGTCACGGCGTGACCAGCATCATCGTCGCCTCCACACCCAACTCATGTCCAGCCTCCCCTCTGTAGCCGACGTCGAGGTCGACCACAACGGCAAAAGCCTCTGGCCTAACATACTCAGCGCAGAACGGGCCGCTCTGAAAGTGGCACCCACGAAACCTGACGCAAAGTACAACGACTCGCTCATTGGCATTCGCGTTCTGGGATTCTTGGTGCAAGATCTGTGGCAACATAGCCAGCACTCCTTTGGCGTCATTCCATACAAGGAAATCATCAAGCAGATCGCCTCCTGCCTGTCGATTCCCGGGCACACCGTCGGTAGCGAGGAAGAGGCTGAAGCGCAGCATGAGAAGCTTCAGGCCTTGGGATTGTACTATCGTAATCACATCATCCGCGTATGTTCGTCGTATATTCATTCATTACTTGGCTGTAATTTGACCCTTCTTCCAGTTCGTTCGAATGGAGGCCCGAATCCCAGACGCTCCGAGCAACCTTCCCGCCCATCCCTGGACGTTGTTCGAGACAGGATAATACGCGAGAAGCGGACCCTAACAACAGCGGGCAGCGCTCGTACGAATGTAAGCTCCACACCGCTGATTGTCAGGTTATATCTAACGTCTTCCAGGCACTCCTACGTGATGGGTACCGCTGTATGCTTACTGGGCAATACGATATCGATTCAGCCGATATTCACCCCGAGCTGAACGATCGTCCGCCGCTGACGGTGTGAACATAGCGGTTACGCACTGTGCCCATATCTTTTCCGAGACCGTGCAGGACGGTGAGCAGAAGGTGCGTTTGTGTGCCTTCCTGTGCGATGCCGGTGCTGATGGGGCTTTCAAGACCGACTACGCTGCCAGCGCGGCGGCAATTCTCCGAGTGTTTGGGCTCAATAGCAAGGCCGAGGGCCTTGTGTGCGGCAATGTTCACAAACATTTCGACATCCTCACGATGCGGAGTGATCTACACTACCTTTTCGACCACCTAGAATTTTGGTTAGAAGAAGTGATCGGGGAGGCGAGCAAACTCTCCTCGGCGCATTCTTAATCCAAATTTTTGACATACCCGCGTTAGGAAAACACCTACACGGTTGTTTATATCCAAAACAACGTGTTCAAGATGGGCCTACCTCTTCCCGCGCGCGTCACATTCCGGGTCGACCCGACATGGTGGCAGCCTGCACGGCCAGTAACACCGATCTCCCTGCGCTGCCTTCACCGTCTCTCCTCGCCATACGCGCTGCATGTTCACGTGTTGCACACATGTCCGGGGCCGCCGAGCAGGTCGACCAAATTCTGCGCGATCTGGAGGATACGCCTGTGATGGCGGAGGACGGGGGTAGCGCTCATCTTCTTGAGTCGCGCCTGTTGCAGTCGCGTACTGTCGATATTGAGGCCTAGGGCACAGGGGGGGCCTTCTTGTCATTTTCATCATGTCTTACTACTACATAGAGTCATTTTTCAATGCAGAGTTTTGGATCCCAGGAACAACCTTTAGACGATAGGTTGGACGATGATCTGACGAAAGGTAACCCGCTGAATGCGATATTCGCCAGAAATACCAGAGGACAACGAACATCGAGCATAATCTTGTTATCGTTCAAAAAAGGACAATTCACTGCCCAATTACTCTCTGTCGGGGAGTCGAACCCCGCTTTCGCGCGACCCAATGACAGGCGCGTGTACTAACCGATATACTAACAGAGACTTGAGATGCAAAGCAAAACTTATTTATAATATAGTATGGCAACCCATGACCAATGCTATCACGACCATACGACGAGTTGACGACGGACAACACTCTACTACATATCGTAGCGGCGCAAGCGCCGATCCCGACTCCTGCATGGCACACAGCTACTCAGCCTGCCACAGCAGCACCATAGGATATTATGTGTGTATTGTAATATTGTACATCAGAATGGTATGGAGACTCAATGGAAGCCCTCACGCCCGCGGCGGCTTCGCCGCCGGGCGTCGGCTTCCACGAGTCTGAGCTGCACGGCGAACTTACTTACCGTACATAAGTATTACAGTGCATGCGAGGGCTCCCAACGTAATAGAGGCCTCTTGCTTTGGAGGAGTTATTTGGTGGTCAAAGATCCAGACGTCCAGACGCAGCCAGATGCGCGGTCGATCCAACTGCCTCGAGCTGCCTCGTAAGACACCGAGCATTGCTGCGATACCGCTTATGGAATTATAAGTCACGTGTTCCACGGAGGGAGCGCATCGCCGGCTGCGAACGACTTATGGTCGACAAAGCCCCCTCTCTCCCTCCGGTCGGAGTCGGGACTTACCCAAGGACTGTCTACATGAGCACAACTCCGCTTGCACACCTTTGCTTCAGCGAGAGCGTAAACGCTCTCTCTGATAGGCGGCAACATAATAGAAGGTAGACTCAATACCACTGTAGTGACCTGAACCTAAAGGTGCAGTACTACACTACTAGTACTAGTACATGACAATCTTGAACCAGATATTGGCTACACGTCTTACATCACTCACAACCTCAATATCAACATTACAAGACCGTTTGACGGTGCACCGCGACTCAGACGGCTACCTCACTGCTCCTCGGCCTCCTGCTCTCCTCCATCCTCTGGCTGCGGCGCGCGGCGTCTCCTCACGAGCACATACGCGTCTCCGTCATGCGACACACTCTCGATCTCGCCAGCCACGAAGCCTGCGCTCTCTGGATCCTGCTTCTGGCGGAGTGCCCGGATCTATCAATCGGGTGGTCAGTATTCTGTTGACGCCACGCATCTTGGGATGGCGAGTGAACGCACCATATGCAGATCATGGCTGACAAGCCCGTGGCCGCCCACCGGGCCCCAGTAGCTCGTCGCAGCGAGGGTACCGATGATGCACGTCCCGGCGAGAAGGGTCAAGTAGAAGCGATACTGCGAGTACCACCCCGGGGCTTAAAGCACACAGGTCAGTGTGCACGGATGTATCCGATAGTATCGCACTCACCCCAGCCCGCGTTCGTGGCTCGTAGATCCGCCCACCACAGCCAGGTGAACGCGACCCATTGCGCGATCAGCGCCTCGACGGGCTGCAGCGCGAGTGTCGACCACCCGAAGACGACGGGGCATGCGCCCAAGACGAGGCGACGGTAGCTGTGCCACGCATATTCAGTATGGTGTTCTAGATGAGTGTATACGAGCACACGCACCTCTTCTGTCCGCCGTATCCCGCGAATTCCAGGCCCCAGTGAATAGCGCCGAGGAATGACAGCATGACTGCGCCGTAGGTCATCTGGATGTGTAGGGCATGATCAAGCATGGTGATTGCGACGCCGGGGTCAATGCGCGACGTGAGGTCTGCACGAACGGTGGGTTCGTCACTTCGCTGCTGGCGTACTTACTGCGACTGACCTGACAACGCGGTCCCAGCCTGTTGGGCCATATAGATCGTGACGGCACCTGTACCGAGGTACGGCAGTCCGCCGAACAAACCAAAGGTGATGTACGCAGGCGGCACCGACTGTGCGACTGAGTTCGTGATGCCCAACTAGAGTCGTACCGTTCATGCGAGCTCATCGCGTGCGAGCCAGATGCAGACTTACGAATGTGTCGCGCTTCGGGTTGGCCACCACAGCATCATGGAACCAGTTCGCGCCCGCGACCGACTTGGCGAAGTCCGCACCCGAGTTCCCCAGCTCCTCCTTGATGTTCACCGCCGCCTGTCTTACAGTCTGCGAGCCCGGCTTGTTGGACACGGAGCTTGCGACCCCTCGGACGATTAGTTGACGCTGGAGCAAGCTTGTTGGAGTCCTGAGAGTCGTTGGTGCGAACGCGAGGGGTCGTGGCCGAGGCAGGCTCGCAGTCGAGAATGACCTCCTGAACACGAACGGCGCGCGGGCGAGAGTAGCAGTGGTCCTGAACATCATGTATCACAGACTGCTAGCATGCAGCGAGGGGGTTTCCGGTGCCGCTGGGCTTCGCCTGGGTTTATAGCATCCCACCTTCATACATCCTGTCTAAGTTCGGTCGTGTGCAAGAGCCACAAGCGCCAGGCCTGGCCTACAATTTCATCACTTGTAGTAAGCCGCGAAGCACGAAGTGCCAATTGTTATTGAGAAGTCTCCCAGCGAGGCGGGGGTTAGCCTAACACACCAGGCCGCCGGGTGTCTCGTGCCTAGTATATGTCAGGATTGAGCCACTACCACCCACACGTGAGAAGGGCACAGGGCAATTCCCCACAGGAGCTTAGCAGAACCCTGTCTGCCGGAGGCCGTGTGCTTGGGAATATGACGGGCCTCTGGCGCAGAATCATAGGAGCCATGATGGAACTCCCAACTGAGTGATCGGCGCGGAAGTGTGAATGTTCCCCACGGGGAAACCGTCGGCGAAGAATACATGGACGAGAGAGCGTCGACCAGTAACTCGTTTTGGTCAGCAACGGAGACTAGCATTGACCAGCTCAATCTTCCCTATGAGGTAGCCACTCGATGGCTTCCGGCGAATGAGGCTTCGAGGGATGCAGAGTAGACAAATTGGTGGTCGCCGCAGCAAGATGATCAAGGAATAGAAGAGCGATGACGCGGATGGCGGCCGCATGTAATGATAGAGCAGACCGGGGTAACAGCGTTTGGGCAACGGACCTAGGTGCATTATGTCCGCGATATTGGTATGCCCGAGTGCGAGACCGTGCGCCCGAGTCTTACGAGACTTGTTGGCTGGCTGCCTCGTGAAATGCACATCCGTCGTTGGGTCTGTGGGATATTGCTACTTGACCCCGGTCGGGCACTCTTTAATCCACGATCAATGCCCTCTGAAGACCGCTAACTTAGCATACGCGACAGAACAGTGCACCCAAAAGCTCACCATCAATCTACGACAACTCCCATAGAACCTCGTCGACCAGGTGTCAAAACTTGAACACTTCAAGCACACCCTACGCTCAGAGTCACTAGGCTTGAGCATGTATGCGACAATCCGAATAGGGGTCTCTGTCAATCCAGTTGAGGCATTGAGTGAGCATCTGCGACGTCTGGCACAAGTGAGTAGAACAGCGAAGTACGAGTTGTGAGTCAAGCCACAATCGCACAAAACTGGCCCAGGCGGCGATCATAACACGCCTCAGCCACCGGGCGTCTCTCACTCTCAGCGCCTGTCATACTCAACGCCGCGGTCGGCTTGAGTCGTACCATGGATCGTGTTCGACTTGTAAGTATGGCGACCAGTTTCCACTGTACCCACGGCCTATCATACTGCTCTGTTTGTATCGGGCGTGGATCCTATGATCATTAGGAAGGCAAACGTTGGCCGGCGTACGCAAGTCATGTACCGGCGTGACACTCTGAACCGTCCGTCACGACATCAACACCGTGCAACTGTGGTGCTCACTCTCTTATAAGCAGCCTGCTCGCGAGGACAGGATCGAAGTATCCGATGTTGCACACACTCCGAGGCGGTCTCAACAGTCTTGCCATGGCGTTCCACGCATCGTAATCGTTCCCATTGGTTCCAAACGGTATGAGAGCGATACTCGAATCATGTGGCAATAAGGTCCAATGGTGAAGAACAGGCCTGAGGTCCATGGGTAACAGTTGTAAGTGAATCAGAACGGCACCTTGTAAATCGAGTCTCTGCACTGCGAGTCCGAGCCCTAGCACTTGGTTTTCATGGCCACGCTTCGAGGTCGAAGAGCTTCTTCAAGTCATTCCAGACCTTCTCTCTTGCTTCCTTGTGAAGACGCTTGATATTCTCTTGACACGCTTTGCACAGCTTGCCATCCAAGTTCTTCTTGCAATAGTCGTCGATCCAGTCGTCTCGGCGCGCCAACGGACGCGCGCTGCCCAAGTAACCCGCGTCTACAACTCCTTGGGACAACAGTTGCAGGCCTTTGTAACATGGACCACTGTGACGCCGCGCTGCGCATTCTGGGCTGAGGTATGCGCCATGGAAGTGGAAGCACCTGGTGGCGTTCCGGTTGACCTGCACGAGCTTCCTCTGCGCCGCGATAATCCGGCGGAGGTCGTCGGGATGGAGGGCCTCTCTTCCATGGGTCCCGGGGGCGGCACGCAGCCTGTTGCGAACGACCCCCTGCGTCAGACTTTCTGCACTCTGGGAGGTCGCGTGGTAGAACGCGACCGGGAGCATTGCCAGGAGCTCTGGCGTCCGTATCTGCCGCGCCATGTTGATGAGGAACACCGGGTCCAAGGGGATGCTGACTTTCGCGAGCTTGGGCAGTTCGCCGATCGGAGAGGTACACAGGCCTGCGCGCTGGTGGGACCGAGCTTCGTAGGTCTCAAAGGTGGTGCAAAATATGTCGGCAAGGCGTCGGATGACGTCTGCGTACAGGTACCGCATGTCGTACTTGTGCGCGAGGCTAACAATTCCTATCGCTATCTCCACTGACGTAGCGGTCAGTGTGTTGTGACCGAAGAACCTGTAACCCGCTAGTCGTTAGTGCCGGGTGATTCGCAGAGAAAGGGGCGAACTCACGCTCTGTCGTAAATCGCCTTGAGGAGATAGAGTAGATGCAGTCCATTGTCCGGCATGTTCACGACTGGGAGTGAGTCTTTGTCTTTGCAGCACGGTCCAGTAGGTTGAGGCACCGTGAAGAGGTCCCGGAATACAGGAGAAGACTTCGCGAGCATGCTCTTGTGGACGCGGAACTTGAACCCTTCGGCGACGAGGATTATGTTTCCGTCGTCGAACCAGAGACTGTTGACGCGCGCCGGCGCCGGCGAGCACTGCTCCACTTCTGCGGCGCAAGGTTGTGTAGACTCGGACATGTCGGCTCACTGGCAGAGAATAGTATCACTTCGCGCTCGGACGCGATAGCGAGATGGGAGGACGAGCGTGGGTGGCGTATCAGACAGAGCGTGGGTGGCGTATCAGACAGAACGAGGGTAGCTAGCAGTCATGGCGATACTCCCCTTTTATAGATGGGAATAGTACAACAGCTGCAGCTTTGGTCGGGGCATGCCGTGGCTGTCCACCAAGTCCTGCAACCACAATTGCGATGAGATGGTTCGTCGGAACCAATTTAGACTCGCCGGCAAGGGTGGCATAGCCTCACTAAGTTGTGGCAGCAACCAACGACGGGTGAAGCAGGTGCACAGGTCCTGGGTCAAATCCAAGACGTTCGAGGACTCGGGTACGCTGGTAGTATTTTGGTAATATTGGCGGCACCAGGCTCAGACTCCGATCCCAGTCCGAGTTGGGAGCTGGCTCAGTCACCGTGGACCGTGGCTGGTCGCCGCCAGCGCGATCACGAGACTGACAGACTCAGAGCGCGTCGGTCACCGGGTGGCGTCGCGCTTCATATCCTTCATTTCGTCTCTACCGGTCATCATTTTGCGCGGGGACTGTTCCGAGTCCTGTGGGCTAGCTAGATTCAGGAGGCCAACAAGTGCTGATCCAAATCCCTGGAATCTGACGTGCCAGCACATCGCCACCCTCACACGCATCGCATAGTATGCCTCAGCTTGGGCCGCATGCTTTGACTGGAGTCTGCTTACTACTTTCTCGAGGCCGCACTGGGGGGAGGCTGTACGCTGCTCACTTCAATAAACCCTGAAGGATACGGGATTGTTGCTGCATGCTGTGCTCCGTGCCAGTGCACTGAGAGTCAGACAACAAGGCTTGCCAGATCTCTATGTGCTGAGCGAGGGTTGCTGAACACACCGCTTTCGGACTGCCCGGCTCGAGCTATGACACGAGGTCCTCCGGAGAGTCTGCTTCGCAGCTCAGAGTGTGTACTGTGTCTGCGTCGCCTTCGCACAGCCCACAATACTGCACAGCCAAAATGTTGTGTTCGCCGACTCGGTATCTTCGAACAGCAGCGACGAGGATGCAACGGTGCGGCGGCGCGGGGCCTGTGATGCCACTCCCATGCTACCGCGCCGTACGAATCGAGCAGACGCAAAACGCACTCCTGGACCGATTTATTGCCGGTTTGAAACGGACAACAGCAAGGACGAGAAAAGGCCGGGGGTGAGACGTGTGGTGCTTAGAGGAACGAAGCCGAACATCGTATGCGCAGGTGGACGCAGCCCTCGTCGCCTAGGTCATCGAATGCTCTGTGCTTTCCCTTTGATTCTGCTACGCCGGGTCGTCAACCGGCACGCAAGGCATGAGCCCCTAGGTGTGCACAGCTTGGTCCTCCGCGGCGCGTGCGCCACACAGGATCAGAACGGCGTCCTTCAGTGACGAAGCGGGGCTCGAGACAAGGTACCTTTCATGCGCATATGACGCGCGAGTGAGAGTGACTAACCACGGTGCATGACCGCAGCAAATCGAATGGGCTGCTAGACGGAGTGCCAAGCGGGAAGTCTACTGGGGAGCCGCTCTGGCCTTCCGGCCGGCTTGCGGTTTGGGCCCACTGGAAGAACCAAAGAGGCCTCAGGTCAGGGCGACGTTGCGAAATCGTCGGTAAGTGGTACGCACCGTCGGCCCATTGTCGCCTATACTGCTCTCATCTCCTCCGCTGTGGTGGTAGGCCTTTCAGGTCGGCCCTCGTTGGGCCCGACCCTGCCCGCAGCGTGTTTGGCTACTACCCAGGCTGTCACGACCAAGTCAGGCTCCCAGCACCGATCGGTGCAATGCAGCAAATCGTGCGGAGCGATTGAGGACGCCCCTGTCTGCTCCGGTGGTATCCCATGAGAGCGCGCTTACGGCGATGAGTTTTCCAAGGCTGCTGCTTGCCTACGTGTGCGTATTCTCTGGCCGTATCGCCGTAGCTGAATAGGTTGGTGGCACCGTTTAGGTAAGCTCTAACCTTCGCTGTGGTCCGCCGCGCATGGCATGCCGTGGAATACGTTAACGTTGCTTCGGCACTCCTTCAGGACCCGTCATTTGATAAGCTTGCCTGTATTGGATGGCTTCCAAGGACATATTCCCTTGTGCCATTGATGGTTCGGGCTGCATAGGCTGATATTTGAAGGCAGAACCTTCGGAAGAGAAGAACATGCACGCCTTCCACGAGTCGATGGATCTGTCTACGTCTACCTTGGCTTACTGTATAATCCGTGAGCTCGTGGCATCTCTTTTCATCCATACCCTGATCGGGTCAACAGGTCATGTATCGTCGACCATGCGAGCGGTCGACCTCTGGCTGGCACACAACGGTGCTGTGGCGTCGGACACTGCGACTTCTCGACAGGAACTGCCCGACGACCCATTCGACGATCGCGATCGCGGGCACATCCAGCGCACGCCTCGCACCGCGAAGCCGCCCATCCCAGGGCACGCTCGACGGCGCCGCCCTTCCATGACAGCGACGAGCCATTGAATCGATCGGGGCGGGCCTGTCACGCATCGCGGATCCAAAGCCATCGAAGCCATCGAAGCCCCGATCCGGCGCATCGATCGACGCACGCTCTTCGAGAAGGTCGGTACACACGAGGCCCCGAGGCACGGAACCGAGCGGGGCGGGGGCATGCAGTACACCCTCTTGTGCCTCGTCCTGTCCCTGTCATCCGCGCGATTTATTAAGGGTTAACGACGAATTTCTACGGCATCCACTCACCGTTTACGCTAACCCTCCTTCCGCGCAGACAGAGTCCACAACCACACCCGTCCTCGAGGACGGCCGGTTGACAGGTATACAGATGCTCTTCCATTTTTCTTCTTTCGTAGGTAGCTAGCTATGTAACAAGTGCGATGTGTGTATGTGGGGTGCGTCTGTACGCGCACGTAGACCAAAATCCGTACGCAGCGCGCGTACGCCCGGCGAGCATGGTTGCATGGTAATACACGTCTATGAATGATCCCCAAAAGCACGAGAGGACGGGAAACGGACTGTACACACGACATGAGCGACCGAGGAGCACAGGGAGGAGGAAGGCAGGCAGAGAGTGCGACACCGTGGAGAACCGGAGAGTGAGACGACAGCGAAGGATCCCAATGGCGGCGAATGAGTGCGATGCGAACACGAAGTCGAAAGGCGATCCAGGTCAGCGGCCCGGGAGAGGTCGGGTAGCTGGGGATGTGCGGGTATGGCGCGGTGGAAGGTGTGGGTATGGGTTTGGGTTTGGATTTGTGAGGAGTGGGTAGGAAATGCAGAGCATGACACGGGCAGACGGATATCGACCGTAAGTAGGCGGTACAGGTATACACGTGAATGCAGCGGGGTAAAAGTGGGTAAGTATGCACACGAAGACGGACCGGCTATGTGACAAACAGCAAAACAGATGCAGCGACGAAGGGGAAGAATGAGCGACAGCGACGGATGGTTGTAGTACACGCGCGACCCAGCCTAGAGTCGCGCGGGGGATGGATGAACAGGGGAGGGGATTCCTTTTTCTTTTGCAGACACCGACACCGACACCGACACCTATCGCACAACAGCACCCCGCAGAGTCCAATCACTGTCCAAGACCAGAGCAACGAGGAGCGAGCAACGAGCAAGCAAGCACCACCGCACGCACTCCGGCGCGTGCCCCGACGTCGAATTGAGCACCGCGCACAGAGCGCGCCCATCCACGCATCCACGGTGAAACCACGCACGGACAACAAGACTGAGGCGCACCTCCACCTCTCACCGCCCCTTCGCCTCCATGGACCCCTCAACTCTTCCCAGGGACCCCAGGCACGACCATTCCAGGCAATCCGCCCGCCGTCCGACCCACATTGCCAATATTCGGCACCGTCTCCTCCCTCCTCAACCCACCCACGCCTCTAAACCCCGATCCGCCCATCCCGGCACCACCACCCCCGCGCCCAAGCTCCCGCTCCCCAGCCCGCTCCCGCTCCTCGGCCGCCCCGCCGCGCCCCACCCGCTGCCCAGCGCGCCATACCCCAGCGGCGCACTGTCGCTCCGCGCCCTGCTCTTCTTCCCGCCCTCCCCGCCGCCGAGCCCGCCGATCGGCGTGCTCAGCCCCGACGACGGTGCCGTCCGCTGGCGCTTCGCCCCGCCCACGCGCTCGTCGAGGTCCATCGGCCCCGGCGACGGCGGCAGCGGCGTGCTCAGCGGCGCGGGGCCCCGTCCGGCGCATACCGCCCCGCGTAGCTGTGGTGCGCGCCCCCGCCGGACGCGCTCCCGTGGTGCGAGTGCATCGCCGCGCTCTCGTACGGCAGGTGCTGGAACGAGTGCTGCCGCGAGAGGCTGCTCGCGGGCGTGTGGCTCTGCGAGTGGTGGTGCGAGTGGTGCGCGCCGCCGTGCGCGTGGTGCGGGAAGTCCGCGGTGGTCGGGCTGCTCCCTGGGCTCGCGCCGAGCGAGTGCAGCGAGTGCGTGTGGTGCAGGGTGTGCGCGTGCGCGGGGCCGGACATGGAGAGCGAGGGCAGGAAGCCGCCGCCGCCCGCGTGCGGTGTTGCCGAGTTGGGGGAGGTGATGTAGATGTTCGGGTTGTCCGGTTCGAGGAGGTCGGCCGGGAAGGGGAGTTGCACTGCTCGCGCGCACGCATCGAGAGTAGATGGAACATGCAAGAATATTCAGTCGGCCCGTTCCACGCAGAGGGAAGGAAACAATTACGCACGCGTCCCAGGCCACATCCTCTGCACGACCTCATACATCGCCTTCGTCACACCCGCCAGCCTCTCCACGCGTCCCCTCTCCGCATGGTACATCAAGCTCAGCCGTCTATTCTCTTCCCTAACCTGCGCAAGCTGCGCCGCGACCTCCATCCGCATCCGCACGCCAAATTAGCATACACGCTCTGCCGGGAACGCACGCACGGCGGCGGCGGGAGAACGGGCGCAACGTACCTCTCCGGGGAGCTCCACGCGGTGCTTCGTCGCCGGGTCGGGCTCGAGCGCCTTGCGCTTGATCTCCTCGAGCAGGTCGGGCCGCCCGCGCAGAAACTTGTGGTGCGAGAACTCCCACGTCTGCACGTCGGCGGAGGTGCGCTGCGCGCGGGGCGTCTGCAGAGGGGGAGGAGGCGCGCGCACGCGTGCGTGTGTCAGTACGGCGACAGAGAGGCAGCCCGGGATCATGATGATGTCAAAGTTTGAAATGCGAATGTGAGAGGCGCGATCCGGAGAATAGTGACCAATGAGGGGGATTGCGAACGGTCGACGGCGCGGCGGACGCTTCTGAGGTCGGGTATCATATGGAGATGGGGGCCATGGGAGTTTTCAGGACGTTGGCCCGGAATACACAAAAAGAGGACGAGAAAGGCGCCGCAAGATACGGAATGGACGTACCCGGTTGATCTTGTGGAAACCATACATGTTCAGCTGTCGCACGAAGCTCGAGAACTACGCAGAGGGCGGATGTCAGCGTCCGGGGCGCCAGGCCTGCATGGGAAGGGAAGACTGACATTGTTGTGCTTGAAGTGCGAGCCGAGGATCGTCCGACTGAACTCACCCACATTCGACACCACAAAGCTGGCGGCGGGTGGCGATGGTTGAGCATCGAAAGCCCACAAATCATCGCGGGGCGCACGCACCTGGTACCGAGCTCCGTCCACTGAATGAACTGCGCGCTTTTTGGATCATTGATCATCCTGGCACGAAAGATGGTAAATGAGACACGCAGCGACGTGCAAGGCGGGCACACGCACTGATACAACTTTGTGACAAAGTTGTTTGTCCCAAGCGGTTTGCCCAACATGCCGACCTGGGGAGGCATGCTACCATGCGCACCCTGGCTCGCGCTGCCTTGCTGTAATGACGAGGCCTCGAGTGGCTTCAGGTGGTCATCCTGCTCGCCGCCGCTCGTGCTGCCGTCCACGGGGCTCCCCTCGGTATCGAGCCCGCCATAGTTCATATCCACCTCGTCGTACGGGCTCGCGTCCATCGAGTGATCGCCGTACGGCTCTTCGATGTTTGTGCTCAAGGCAGGGACGGTCGGGAAGCTGCGCTTGCGCGGGACGCTCTTGTCCGACGATGAGCTGGAGCGGGAGCTAGTAAGGCGACGGCCGGAGTAGTCGTACGCCTCCTCGTAGCGGACGGAGGCATGGTCGGCGCCGGACCCGGGAGGCGCGAAGGAGAAAGGCGGCTGGAGCCCGGGGTGGTGGTGGGCATGATGCGCATGGAGGCCTGAGGGACTGATGGGTGTGATCGGTGAGACGTGGGAGCTGGGCTGCGTGCTCGGGTGGGGGCTGGGATTGATGGGGCTCATGTTGGTCGGGGACGCGACGGAGAGGGAGGAGAGGTTGAGACTGAGGGACGCGCGGTCCGGGTGGGCGTCGGAGACGGACACGTTCATCGGCGGCGGGGGCGGCTGGGTGTAGTACGGGTACTGGTCGCCAGACGGGCCAGACGAGGAGGGCGAGGGATAGGAAGACTGGGAGTGCTGGACAAGATGGCTCACGGAGGATGTGGACCACTGCTGGGCCTGCTGCTGCTGGGCCTGCTGGGAGTAGGGGCCGTCGGCGGACATGGGGGAGGCGGGGGATGGGAGTAGGTTGCAGAAGGGTCCATGGACGCGCTCGGGCGACGCGGGCTGGCAGCGCGCAGGAGGGAGAGGAAGAGGGGAGCCGCGACCGGGCGGCGGGGCGCAGGACGAAGCTGCTGCAGGACGGGAGGGGTGAGGCGTGCGCAGAGGCGGAGGGTGGAGGAGGAGAGAAGGGCGAGGGAGACTTGCGGCGGAGGCATGCCACCGCTCACATCCACCATAAATCGCGATTTCGGGGTCACAAACAAGCGCGCCGCCCGTATCAGCACACGTGCCCCGCCCACAAGTCCATCTCCCGTCCCCGCCTCTCGCCTCCCTCGTCCATCCATGCCGGCATCCCTGCGTCCCCGCCAGCCTCCCACCACGGACACGCCATCAACCAGTGCGCCTCGTCCAGCAGAGTCCCACGTACGTCGTCGCGTCGCCTTCCCATCACCCGTGGCAGCACGCGACACGCGCTACGACACAGCGCCCCCTCTCTGTCGCAGTCCCCGCTGCACACTGTACGTCCATGCACGGCCCAATATGGCGCCCGTCCGCGCGCGCGCCGCGACATGCCCGGAAATTCTCGCCTGGCGCGCGCTCGGCCACTGTTGCACCCACGAACCTCCACCCCACAGCCGCACGAGCCTACGCAGCGGCCGCACCCAGGTCGCCCGCAACCGCGTCTCTCTGCTCAGAGCGCACGCTGCGGTCCCGTCCCGGACTGGGACACCTTCCTGATTCGCCATTCACCGCTCCCCGTCGCTCGCTTCGCGTCCTCCCGTGACGCGCAGGCCCAGGAGATTGGGTAATCGCGGCCAATCGAAGCGCGTCCTCCGTGGCCACTGACATTGATCATGGGCTCTCTCCCGCACTCGCACACGCCATCCGCCAACGCGCGGCACGACACACGGCCCACGCCCAGCCCATCGCGCCGTCCATCGCGATATCTCGCCTGCCGCCTCCCAGTGTGGCCACATCTACGCGCGCCGCCGTCGAGCCGTCCCAATCTCGAGCCACGCCGCTACCCCCCTCCGGAGCCACCGTTCAACCGAGCGCGACGCCCCCGTGTGTGTGTCTGCACCTCCCTCTCACAACGTAACCGGTACCGGCTCGCCCGCCTCATCAACGGAAATTGATCGCTGATATGCTTTGCTCCCCGAGCTCGCCGCTCCAAATCCAGCCATGCCCACTCCAACTGCGAGTGCCTGCAGACCCAAAAGAACCCGAAGCGCAGGAAGCATCCCGCGAGCGCCTCTCGCTCGAGCTTCCAACGACCTTCCCACTTGGCCCGCGGTAAGTAGTGCATTCCCCGCAGCGCCGGGCGATTAGCCTTTCCGCCGTCATCTCAGTCCGTGTCTGGACTCTGGAACTGGGGCTCGCTTGCCGTCGAGAGCACTCGGCTGGTCGTCGGCGGAATCCCATGCGCAGCGGGCCGCACTCGCCTAGCGAGCACGATCTCTAATTTACTACACGCAATCATATGCCCCGGCGCGTTCGCGTTCCCACTGCTGCTCTCGCTTTTCGCGCTTGCCTGCATCATGATGCAGCAGGTCGGCTACGATCCCACTTTGTATGCCCAGAGGCGTCGGCGGTGTCCCGCGCGAGAATGGCGATGAGTCCTGCGCGGGGGCGCGATAGTACGTTACGGCAGACGGACGTGGGACCATCTCCACCTGCGTTCTGCATACGTACATTTGATAAGTGAAGCCCGCTCGTCGGCCCATCCTGACGTCCCGCGACCCCCGTCCGCCCACGTCCTCCGTGTCACCTCGACGGACGGCGGACGGGTGGGACGTGGCCGCGGCGGAAGGTGGCTGGATGGCCTGGCGAAGGTACCGCTCGGCCGGCGTGCTGCGCTGCTGTTCCCCAGGCACGGAACGCGCAGACGCAGGCCTCCGATCAACGCCCCATTATATCAAGATCGTGGCCGCACGGCACGGTCGTGATCACGCACCCGCGCGCGCACGCTCCCCGCCTTCTCGCACGCAGATTTAGCTTTGCGAAGACGAAGACGAAGGGAGCGCAGAGGCGCGGCCCTGCGGTAGGGCACGTAGTGCACTAGGACTGGCGATCCTGGGGGATCTAAGCTAGTGCGGAAGCTTCTCACTTAAGTTAGGGGCGATCGATGGGCGGGGAGGCATCGAACGCGATCGGACGGACGCCACGAAGGGACACTAACGGGGGCCCCGCCTTGGCCCCGCCCACGTGTCTACCGCGCGCCCGACACGCGGGCGCCCTGGCACTGCGGGGACACAGGCGCTCGGACAGTGCCAGATCTAGGTACACTGATCATGCCACGGAAATTGGAATGCGGGCACTCGACGTGTTACAGGACGTCGCGGACGGACCGTGTGGAATCTGGATATGCCACAATCAGGGCATCAAGTCGTCCATTGCGGCGTGCGTTGGCACGTTGACGGCGGAGCTCTGAAAAGCCGACAGGCAATGTAGATCCAGCAGAAGGGATTGGCAATTGCTGGACAGTCTACAGCTTGAAGCTTGTAGCTGCAGGGCAGAAGGCTGTGGTTGCACATAAGATTTTTTGATCGACATGCTGCATCTTGTGTTCGATAGTTACGTATCGTGTTTTCTGGCATGGTGAATGAACGTTCGGACGCGAGTCACTCAAGCAGGGGCGAGACAGAGGATGTCGGGTGGGCTGCTACTGTTGTCATTTAAGCTTGTCAGGTTCCCAACTAGATCCTCTCCATGTCGCCTTGCCCGTCACCGCAAAGAATGTGAATTGCTGCAGAACATAACGGCACTGCCAGCGCTCCGACTCCGAGTAGACTTCATTCGTTCTCAGTAAACGGAATATCGATAGGCACTCTGGCGAAGCGCACACATGGCACAGGCACTGACTGTATCGGAGTGGCCTCGGTTGTACCCGTCGGCGCCTCAGCGAGGAGAGGACTCAGTTCGACCTCGGGATGATCCCACTTGCCCACCATCTACTTATAGAGTGGAAGCCACTCGACCGCTGCGTGCGCACGAGGCACAAGTGCAGTATCATTTTATCGTTCACATCATGATGGGAGGGGAACTTGTGGCCTACTATCCTGCCATGACTGTCGTCGTGATGCGGCTCTCATGCCAGTTTGGAAATGAAATCACGCAGATATTCTTCATATCGCGCGTTTGTAGCCAGTACTGGCTCGGACGCAGGATATGGCGTGGAACCACGGCCTGCACCGTGACCGTTGGATTTTGAAACGTTTGACTGTTGGAGTGTTGGCGACAAGTACGGTCCGCTGTCTCTGACGAATCCACACATCCCGTTGAAACCTTTCCTGACAATATCCAATAGCCTTCGCATGTCTGTCCTACATCCCCATTCAGTGATCAGCGCTCCGGCTCCACTCCCAACTTAACCGTGATGCGACCTCAGCGGAACGGGACACCGCCAGTCGGATTGAGTACTGACACACAGCTCCTCGGCGGGACGCTCCCCCGTCAGGCTGTACGTTGCGCCGCCGACGATGGGCGCTGTTCCGCAGGACGTTCGCGGTGCTGTTCCGGCCTCACATCGGACTCCGGACATGGCGCACCTTGCCGGGAGTGCATGGGTGCGGCGCTATGCGTGCCGTCACGGTGGCAGGATCCGGGAGTGGTACAACGTCGACGGGCACGCGGGGTTTCCGAGTCGTCCGTGCTGCGCGGCGGCGGCGTGAGTCTCACGACACTGAAGAGTCCGGTCGGTAGCGGAAACCACGACGATGCGATGTTCATACCACGTCGTGACCCATACAAGATCTCGCGAGCCATACCCGAGCCAACGCCTCCGTGCGTCCATGTCCGAGTCCGAGTCCGAGACGAGCTGAGCATGGGACGAGGGACTCAGACTCAGGCTCGAGCCCCGGAAGCCAGGCCAAGCGGACAGATTGACATTGGCCTTGCTCAGGCCAATTGCGTGGCCTTCTGCGCTTCGATGGGGGCCCTGAACATCGCCCAGGGCCGCGTGCGCAGGTCGGTCCTGTCCGCATGCGACGGCGGGGGAGTGGGTATCAGCGAAGTGCGCCCGAGATGAGCCTGGGTGCGCCGCTTACCCGTTCTGGTAGTTGGGTCCGAGCCAGAGCCTGTGCGCGGGAGTGAGCGGACGGCACGGTGGAGGCGGGTGGGGCGGGGGACGTACTGGTTACTGGTGAAGTACACGTAGCTACCGCCGCTCTGTAAGGTTGCAACGGACAAGGTATCGGGCCACTACGAGAGAGGGTCTTGTCAGTCAAAAATAAATGAACTGTCATCGGAGAGTCATGCCAAACCTGAATGGCCGGGTCGCGGATGAAAGGCTCGACGATGCCCGTCGCCGGGTTGTACCTCGTCACCGCGTTATGTTCTGCACACAAACGAATTAGCCCCGCTCGCGCCTCACAGAATCATCCCACTCACCGGGCGCGCCAGCGTAAATATACCCCGAGCTGTCCGTCTCCATCCCGTCCGCGTTGCTCCCGCTCTCGCCGAGGTGCTCCACAGCCTGCTTGGCGAGCAAGTACGCAGCGGGGTGGTCCGGTCCCGGCTCGACCTTGAGATACGACGTCGGGATGCGCCAGAATTGTCGGCTGGCCAGGGGAGCGAAGTAAAGATATTGACCGTCTGACGCGGGAGAACGGAGTCTGAGTTGAATATACACCAACTTGATTCTAAGGCTTACCAGGAGAGAGGGCGATGCCGTCGACAGCATACTATAGAAAGCTTAGTCGCGAATAGTATGCAGTGCAGTCGATTCACTGACCAGGCCGAAGTTATTGACCGCGTAAGGCGCCGTCACAGGGTATAGGTAGAACGGCACTATGGAAAGGGTCAGACGAGTCCGATGCCTCCTCTTAAAAGCTTCCTTGACGTACCTCCATCGTATACGGGCACAAAGCCGTTATCAGGTGTCACAGACTGGTGTCCATCAAGGTGCCTCCACGACTGCCCAGTCGCCAGGTTAACTACAACCAGCCCCGGGCGGTTCGGCGAGCTGTCCGTGATGTAAGCGTAGCCTTCCCCACGGAGGTCGAAGCGGACGTCGTTGATAGACGAGTCAGCGTAGACGACGCTCGCGGGGAACGTGTACGTCGCGAAGTTCGTCCCGTTGAGGTAGAACCCGACGAGCTTCGGGCCGCCGGGGACCGCCGCGAGGAGGTACGAGCCGTTCACCTCTGGGCGGCCCGTGTCGAGCGCCCACACGCGGTCGAGCCCGTCGACGACGACGGACTGGACGAACAGGAGCTTGTCGGTGACGATGCTGTAGCCGGGGTTGCTCGCGTTGGCGAATGCTGGGGGTGTGTTCCATTCCTGGCTGCTCGACGTGAGCACGTAAACGTAGATCGACGGTGGGAGATGCTCACTTGGGCCATGGCGCTTCCGTTGTGGTGCTGGTGAAGGTCGCCAGGGTGTACGTCTCGTTGCCGCGAGGGAAGGTCGTGAACACTGACCCATCACTGGCTACGCCGACGCCCTGTCGATCATGCCATGAACACAAGCACAGTGAGTGAAGCTACAGCTAAAAACCGATTCGAGGTCCACGTACGATAGGCCAATAGTTGTAGTACGCATGCACGAGCTCTATCGTTGGACCGAAAGAGCCTGTGTCATAATGGATGCGGGCCTGAGCCAGACCCGGGTCCTCGTAGACATTGTATGGCAGTGGGGCCGCCGAGTTTCCTAGTGTCGCGTTGGGGTCCGGTGTCCCAGCTGGGGGAAACTCTGGGAACTAAATCATGCCGTTGGTTCGTTAGCATCGGCGAAATATGGCAGGCGCTGGGCATACATCGAAGACGCTGTCATTGGACTGCGCAACGGCGGCTACTGCCCAGAGGATGAACGGTAGTAGGAGAGCCATGGCTATCTCACGTACCCAGATTGACAGGGCAGGAATTTTATAGTGATTCGGTCAGAGCCGCCACGCAATGAATGCGTCTCCTCCCTGAAAGCACCTACGACATAAATAGAAGTGCACTCGAAATGTGTGTGGGGGTATTCTTGCTGCCCCAGTGGGAGTTGAAGTGTCATGCTTGAGGCACATGCGACAGTCGTGGACCCTCTTAATCGCCATTTTTTGAACGCGAGGACAGTATTGACCGTATAAAGAAGTAGCACGGTCCCAGCGGAGAGTGATCTCGGCCAATGAAAGCCTGTGATGATGTCGAAGCCGCATCACTTACTTCATCCGAATTGAAGGAAGCCTTACTTGTGCACGTTCGCTGGAAAGTAATCATGAGTCCTCGTTCACGAGACTAGGGATGAATTAAACCTAAGCATGCTGTCATTTCCGTACGGGACGCCGCCAGCCACAGCCTTTGGGCGTGAGACGGGATCTGTAGTTAGCGAGACATGCTGTGCGAGAAAGGGGGACGAAGTATAACGGCTGACGGTAGATGGTGGCTATGAATGACCATACATGCCGGCGGAGAGCTCTTGGCTTGTAGTGTGTACTCACGAGCATCGCCAATCGTGGCGTCGGTGCATTCATTCGCAAAGCAGTGCATCCACGTGGAGACGTGGTCACCTACCAGAACGGCCGCCGTGGTGCACGCTGGCAGTGAGACGTGCTAATTGGCTAACTGGAGAGCAATTGTCAAAACATATTCAAACGGAGTCAAAGCGACGCACCGGAATTCCGAAGTACATATAACGCTCGCAGAGAACTCTATGTATATCTTGCCTCAATCGAAAGGCATGCTAACAGAACCTGGAGTGTCCAAGCTCCTACGGTCGGCATATTGCACGAGATGCTTCATCTGCTACATTCACGAAAGCCTAGTCCTTCTAATATGACAGAAGGATAACGAAAGATCTCCCGAGCTAATGATAGGCTGCGAGCACAACGTTAACTATGCTGCAATGAACCGTGACTGAAATGAGCGCGCCTGAAATGCGATAGAATACCCGTTGTAGAGTCGAACTCCAACCTCCACAATGTTGTTTTGAGCACCCTACGGGTATGAAACGGCTTCTGTCAATCGGAGCAATCCGGGATGCGTACAAGGGATGCGTCGCAGCTCGTACTAAGGCGTATGTGAACGGACCCCAACTAGGGTGAGACTCACCAAGGTTATAAACCGAGTGGTAGAGCCATCCACCGAATGCGAGGAGCAAAGAGACTAGCCTTGTGTCATTCGAACCGACGTCACCAATGGTAAGTTGACAGGTGAATGCCAATTTCCTTCGTACTGCGATGATAGGGCGCAGATTTTGCGAAGCACCACATCCGTCGTGCACGTACAAGACCCGTATGCGACACGGACATCGCGAGGCGCATGGTAAGTTAAGACCATCGAGAATAAAATTCCTGTACCACGATCCAGTGCTGGATCCAAGACGCCCAGCCATGGGTAATACGACTGGGAAGAGACCGGGAGAGGAATGAGACAGGGCTCAGTGGTCACTCGAGAGCGCGAAACCATGTCCTACAAATGGTCCTCGTATCGGCTTAAGTAGTTCGTTTGGAGATACTTATCAATGATATGAAACTGAATACCGACTTCAAGTTGATTCACCGGCGATGCCAGCGGCCAAACAGTTCAAAGAGTCGCCGATGCCAGTAGTAATATGTGCGAGCCCGTGCTTCGACATGTGTAATCCTGAAAGCCAAAAATGTTGGAGGGTACTTGCTCTATTGACCAGCCTAAGCTCCTCTAGTATTCACGCTGATCTACTGTGCATTTGCTGGCATGTCGAGGCCGAAGGCGCACGCTCGTACTGGGAAGTTGATGATGATGAGGGTCGGGGACATGATGGAGGCTCGGGGGGAAGAACATTGACATAGGCGCTCCGAGAAGCTCGGACGTATACTGTGCAGCTCCGGCGCGAGCGCTGATTCCGATTCGATGTTGAACCGCAGATTCGACGATGCGAAGTGGTTTGACTCTCTGACATAGATATACAAGACTCGAAACTTGAGCGCGACAGTGCTTGCAGGGTCCCACGATACAATTGAGCAGTCTGCGGCAGTTGAAATCATCCTCCTGCTCTTTGCGCACCACTGGGAGCCTCGAACGCTGCCATTCACCCATTCATGCGGCTAGAGCAAAGATATCTGATACACAATTGATACACAACTGCTGATACAGCGACGCGGATGACAGGCTACACTCGTTCGTCGGCAGACCAACCCGAACTCGTGTCTCGACTCGTGTACAGACCGATCTGCAACATCCGACTGGGGTCGAACATACGATGTCAAGCTTGAAGTATCCGCAAAAGAGACGATAAAGCAGCATACCTAGAAGCGTGCCACACGCCCTATGTCGCAAGTGCTTTACTTGCTCTTGGGGGGCTCAGCACAGCCGCACGCCGGCCAGGCACAAGACCCGCCGTTCTTCTCGACGTTGGCGCACTTCACGGTGTCCTGTGGGTCGATTGTCCATAAGTCAACGGTCATCAAGGTAGCAAATCATACTCACAGACATAGCGTTGGATGTGAGTGAAGAGGTAGTGGTGGGTGGTGGTGGTGGTGGTGGTGGAAGTGTGAGCTTGGGGAAAAGACGGAATAGCTGGCCTTCTTAAATACCACATCTATCGCTGGGGCATGCCGTACGGCGAGGACACGCCCAGCCCAGATGCCTAGGTTGCGTTGTGCAATGCGGGGCGTCCCGACAGTAATTGAAACGATACTAGTGGCTGAACCAAGGTTAGCTATGAAACGTCCGACAGATAATTGGCTTGCGGGCGGACAAATGAGGGCACAAGCATATGTCACCTCAGCTGAGTGTGAGGTGTCAGAATACGGGAAGCTGTGGTCCTATGCCACTCGCAACAACTCCGCATGTCTTGACCTTCGGCTCATTGCCACTGGTACGCGGTTAGTTGGATGATCTTGCTGAAGTGCCCACGTATGTAAATGCCGCTACGGCCGAAGGTTCCAACGTGTTGAGCTTCGCGAGTCTCGAAGCGTCGAGGCACCTGCACCTGAGCATGTCCGTACCGGAATGGCACTTTGGGGGTATGCTGAGCCGGATCGCTTGCCCGACAACCTGAACCTAAACTCGTCCCTTATCTCTCCACGGCACACAAGGCGGGATTCTGACGAAGAAACAGAATAAGTGAGCGAGACTCGTGCGGCCGACGCCAATAATGTATACATAATAAAGTCTAGCATTAGTGAAGATAGTTCAGCATTTACCACGATCTCCGTTTTCCTCCTTTGCCCCATCTCTCAAACAAGAATCTCGTCATGAACTCGTAGAGCTCTCGGTTAGCGTCGCGCTTATAGATACCGTGATCACTACATTCAAAGTCAATCATTTTGACTGGCTTCGATAACACTACCGCAACGCACCTATCAGTGAACATCCTAAACTCGAAGTTCCGCACATGCTCCTGTGTGAACATGTCCAGCAGATGTGCCGTGTTGGCAAAGTGCACATTGTCATCTCCGGTGCCGTGTGCGAGCAAGAAGTCTACATTCCGGAATCCGGTGACGTTTGAGATGGACGCCGTGATGTAACCTTGCGGGTTCACGTTCGGCAAGTTCATGTATCGTTCCGTATAGATCGAGTCTGATGCATGCGTGAGGCAGAGGGCCCTGTACGTCAGACGTTGGAACTCACCATACAGCCGCCAGCTGGTGACGGGCTGGCGAACAGGAGCATGATAAGGGCCTGCATGACGATCGAGAAGGAGTAACTTACCGCGACGGCCATGGCCAAGGTATGTACGCCAGCATCAGCTTCGATCACCTTGGAAGACATGAAACCACCGTACGACTATACACGTAAAGATCAGCACACGACATTCCGTCATCCCCGCCAGCTTACCCAGCCCCAGATGCCAATCCGTTTAGAGTCCACGTAGTTCTTTCCGGCCCAGATCCTGCGTAATGCGATTAGGGTCGTTCGTTTCGCATACTACACAACTTACTTTGCAGCATTGATCTGATCTATGGTCTCGAAGTGCCCCAGGTTATCCTTGACCGGATTTCGAAGCTTTCGGCCTTTGAAACCAGTTCCGCGCCCATCGACTACGACTGTGATATAGTCCATGGAACACGCCAAGAAATCATGCCAGTCGTGACCGTATTCGTGGTTGACCATTTGCGAGCCAGGGCCATTGTATCTGCAATCCGAAGGCTCGTCGGGAAGGGTGAAAGCGATGGAAAGACTGTACATACAGTCGGAACATGACAGCGTATTTCGTTCTCCCCGAGTCATCCATCCTTGGTGGTCGTATCTCTTTGAAGTTGAGTTCTGCTCTGATCGTTCAGCGTACAGACGTACAAAAAATAGCGATTTGCGTACCGTATCCCTCACTTGTAATCGTCCCATAGTTTACGACGGGCGTTTCATACTCTTCAAGTGTCTTGTTGAGCTGAGGATTCTCGGTCAAGACATATTGGAGCCCCCTGTACTAGCTCAGCACTAATCGTGTCGATACGCGTCGCTCATAGCACACCTTGTTTACCAGTTTTGATGACCTTCTGCCAAGGCGGAGACGGTCCTTTATATGTGAGGAGGTAGAAACCGCCCTCTGGCGAAAAGCTCGCATCGTACACGGCCGGACTGCTGACGTCAGTAAGGGCCGTAGGCTTGACGGTGTCAGAGGAACTGATCGCAGGGAGGGGCACCGAGTAGATGTGCCGCTGCAATGAGTCAGGGTTGGCTGCCTGGAAATAGCTGACAGGTCACTTTGTTCAGAGCGTGACGTTCATAAGCGGATCGATACGCAGTCTGCACTCACACAAGGCTACTTTTGGTGTCAACGGCCAGGATACCACCGGTGACTTCCCATTCACCTGATGTCAAGAATCGCGGGGTGCTGGAGTCCGCCGGACTGAATAACGCGATATGGTTGTAGCCCTCAGGAGTGGGAATGACGTCCAGATACGACGAATGACCGTGCGGAGACAAACTCGTGGGTATGGGATAGACACGTTGCGCCTACAATTGACGCATAAGCCAACATCCCACATCGATGCAGTATGAAAGAGGAAACCTGATCGATCCAACCGTCGTCGCCTTGCTCGCCGTCCTTGCCCAACCTCCTCACCACGTGTCCACGGTTTCGCAAGGGGGTATTCTGGCCAAGGTCGAATATGCTGACGGTGCCATTGTTGCCAGCCCGGTTGACTTCGCGCACCAGGAGCGTTTCATTGCCCACCCATGCGATCTCCTGGACGACACTATGGTCTGCAGACTGTCTGCCGTTCCAATCAAGTTGCAGGGAGGCTGAAGCCAGCGCGGCAGGCTGATACCCTCCAAACCGGGTGTCCTGAAGGTATTCATCAAGCTGGAAAACATGTACCGATACGAGCGGGTTCTTGTAGCCAGGCTTCGGGTACTTCATCGTGACATGCGACGGATATGGTACGACTGTATGCGAGTCTTCCGTCGGGTTATAGATGGGAAAAGTATACTCATCGACAGCAGTCTCGTCGAGACTGAGGTACGCGATGTTCTTCGAGTCTGGAGACCACCAAATAGCGTAGTCTGCTGAGAAGACTTCCTCCTCGTACACCCAATCTGGAATGCCGTTGAACATAGATGCGTTCCCGTTGCTCGTGACGCGAATAGGTGATACGTCAGGGCTGTCATGCAATGAGTTTTCAACAGTCGTACACCTAAAGCCGTACTCACGATGCAGCCGGCAGCACATATAAGTCGTTCTTGAGAACATAAGCTATCGACTGGCCTGTGGGTGACCACACTGCATAGGACGTCGCCGGGGGATACGCAGGTGGAACCAGAGGCCAGGTACGCTTAGATTCGAGGTCATGGACATAATAATTCCCGTAGCTAGAATGCCGCCATAGCTGGAAGAGATCGGTATCAATGGCTAGATGAGTTTCGTCAAATGACACAGCATACCTTGATTCTGTCCGCTTTGATCAGCATAAACCTCATGTCGGCAGATAGCTTCCAGGAAGAATGGGTCAACGGTCGCCCGAACTCCTACAAGGAGTTGAGATGAACACGCGCGGGCTGCAAATGAACAATTCATCTCACATCTGTGAGGTCCGTGAACGCAACCAGGTTTCGCGTCGAGTTGCTCTTCAAATCTACAAGAGTCAGATATCCACCCTTCTCCGTGGCGAACACGCCGTCTCCCGCTAGTGTGGTTCAGCACTGAGGTCGCATGCAGCGATATGAGAGCCATACCTTCCGGTACCCACAGAATGCTCTGGCTCGACGGATAGAATGTTCCGTTGAATATATGATCCATAGTGATATGCCTGGTTCCACGAATGCGGTATGGCATACCCGTATACGAGCGTGCCGCGAAGATGCCAATCACACCTGCGACCGCTAGGAGCGACACAAGCGCAATGACAAGACATCGCAGCGACGAAGTATGCTGCGCGCCGTCAATTGTGAAGCAAGACCCGATCTCTACTCATGTATAACACACCTTTCGCGGCACAACGCCCCCATCTTCTAGGTCGCCCGTACTGCGCTGCGAGACCCGTAGTGTACGGCCCAGCTTCTCAAGCTCCTCCTCCTCGTCATCGGAACTGGGAGGGTCAAAGGGTCCTTCTCCGTAGTAAGTCGTCGGCTTGACAGAAGCATAGTCAGGCTCGTCGATGTCCTCTGCTGGCCGTGGATTGGAGGATGCATCGTCCAAAAGGGTATCCGAATCCGTGCCCTCTTGCGGTTCTGCGTCGTAGTTCCGGACGTGCATAGTATCGAAACGCGACGCAAGCGAGTGACACTCGCCGACGGGAGAACAGGACAGCTACCGACGCAGTTGCGTCTAAGTACAACCGTTACAAGCAATCGCAGTGCGAGGCCTTCCCGAGACAGTGCTTGGACCGTGGCGGTGCGATTCACTTGTCGAACTCGCGGCCGCAGGCTCGCTCAAGGCTCGCTGCTACTTGAAGTCGTCTGTATAGTGCTGTAGTACCGTAGTAGTATGCAGTAGTGTCCGAGTAAGTAAGTAGTGTCCTTCAAAGAGTCTTGAGATCATTACAAAGGGCTTGTAATCCCCGTTAGTTACGTAATAAGCCTGAGTACTGCCTCGGTGAGGTGGCGTCGCGCGAATCCATGTCGTCTTCCTCCATCTACCACTCTACCTCGCCAAGTCCGGCAGGCCTGCGTTCTTCTAGTCGCCTACACGGTAGCTCGAAAAGATGGCCAAGTCTACGTCTACAGGCTGGGATCCAGTGCTGCTTATATCTCAGGTAATTGTTTCGCTGCCTCTCAAGGGCGGTAGCTCAAGACGTACCCTACAGATCGTCGCCATGCAAACGCTACATTACCTCACACTGTCCATCCTAATACCGCCTCTCCTTTTGATATTCTGCCGATCAGACGTGCTGGACTACGTTGGAGGTGCAGCCAATGTCGGTGAGTAAATGCAAAAGTTGTGGCGCAACACTACTGAGACCGTTGCTGGGTGAAGGCATGATTATGGATTGGCGTGAACTGGCTGGTAGGCCAACCATTCACAGCGCGCAGCGGTCTTGGGGCTCGTGGAACAGCGTTTGGAGTGGGGGGAAGCAGGTTGGGTCCGGAAGCCACTTGGACGGGCACTGGGACGGTCTCGTCGATCCGCGACGGGGCTGGATTATTGCTGCTTGCTGGATAACAGCGTCTGGTGCCGAGTACGTCTGGACTTCGTGTGAGAACTTACGTGCGGAACTTGACTTTGCCATACAGCATCTATTATCTGTATACCCTCATTCGACGTCCGCGGATGATCCTGGACTTCTCCTTGACGCTCATTTTCAACCATCTGGTCCTCACCACATATTACGCCGCTTCCTTTCCTACGACACTGTTCTTTTGGGGTGTCGTGATCATCAGTGCGGCGATGATGGTCATTGTGGCCGAACAATTGTGTGTCAAGCGCGAGATGACCGAAGGTTTGACGGTGGCTGCCCCCACAGAAGACGAAGATGTGGAAATGGGAAGCCTGTTGAGACGAGACTAGTCAACAGGCAAGGAGGATGTTGTTGTTCGAAGGGATGATGTGTGGGTACTAATACAGATTGCTATCGGCTAGGGTCCAAGCACGTTGAACTGTCGTGTACCCAACGTCCGTCCAGTCGAAGGCGACCGTAGTGGCTTGTTGGTGTGGTCCTTGGGCGGAAGTCACCCATGCGACCTGAAACCGCGACATCCAATTGGTAAGCCGCTCCCAAGTCCTTAGCAGACTCTCACACTTGACCTCATCATCTTCCAAGGTCGCGTGGTGTGTTTTGACACCGGACCATCCATCGGTCATCGTCAGTGTGGTCATAATCACCGCTTTCCATGGCGCAACCATTCAAAACAGAGCTGAAATGCGGTCTTCAGTGCAATCGTTATCGCGCAACGCGCCTTTGTAGTGAGCAATCCTGAGCGTTGTGCATGCTATGTACTCCTATGGCAATCGCTGGAGACCTGCACCATCCTTTGCGCTGGGGCTGACCTTCGAGTCGTGCCGTTGTAACATGAAGCGCCCTCCCGCCTTGTCTGATGCACTCGGGCAGAATGTCGGTAAGCTAATGTTGGAAGTGATGATGACTACGCCCTGGGATCCTTAGTCTTTGAACCGGGGCAAGATTCCCGCACTCGCAGGTATGCTTTTTGTCATGTCATACTCGATGCCGCTCATTCGCCTGGGTCCTGTCTTAAGTATTCAGTCATGAAGCTTGAAGACTCATGCCGGTCTTGCTCCATCGTTCATTCGGGAAAAGAACGATACCATGCACCTAGCTTCTGTTCCCTGCGCCCACAAGGCCACACTTTCGAGATTTCATCGATATGCTCATCGGCAGATCTGCGATGCATCCTTCTTGGGATACAACAGAGATAGCCTCTGTGTTTGTTTTCGGTTAGTCTGACACGTTCTTTCTCGGCGAGGGATCGAGGCTTAGGATCCGGGCGGGCCTTCAATGATGATGTGGTCAAGATGTGGTCTTCATTCTGTGCGGTGATGATCCTCGTACCCTCGGTGGTCTCGATCTTTCCGGGAACATCGCATCCTCAAGATTGCCTCCGGTATCTGTCAGATGTCGATGGGACACCAGTACGCCCCTCTTACTCATCGTCGATCTATCTGATAATTAGTGCCTTGCCTCTGCGTGCAGGATCGCGCCCATCGACCTATTGGCTCGAGAACCCAGTGGTCGCGAATGCAGCGTCTGCTATGTCCATTGGGCGTCCATGGAGCGCCTGGTTCCTTAGCTGGCTGTCGATGATCGTCCCCTTGTAATGCAGGGCTGCGCTGCATCCGAGGAGCACATGCAACCTCAGTCGCGCGCATCTGCACAGCTTGAGCATTGTTCAAGCGGAGAATATCCTGGAATGATGATGCGGGCGTGAGTACCCATCCCTCGTCATCGCATTCGTGCGGTCTTGGTGACAAACATGTTCACGCTTTCAGACGGCGCCGTCACTCCGGGTGTCATGTTGCTCATGGACACGTAATACCTTGACGGCATGCGACCGCACTCGTCTCTGACCTCATTGATAGCTCAACCGTAGGTGCATAGACGTCCCTGAAGCCAAACTTCGCATCGTATGATTGCCGGATGCTTTGCATGCATTACACACATAGTATGTGAATTTACGTCTTGCTGAACTTTGTCTCGGCTCTGATGCGGACAGTCGTGGCTTTCTTCACCCTACTTGCGGGGTAAGCGAGAGAAACGCATGAGCGTTTCGCTTAGGGGGATGGCGCGACGTCAATGCCTCACAGCGCTAGCTCGGGTCCGCACAAATAAGTACTGGCAATCGAATAACACTAGCTGAAATGGGCGGAGGGTATCGTAACACGGGTCGCAGATGAGCGTGGTGCGTTTCCAATTCCAGTTTTCCCGGGTAGGCAACTATCACGTCCAGGTGAGATAACGCGGCCATGCGTGATCTCCTGCTGTTTTGGTTTGAGAAGCCTCTGCCACATGTTCGCTCGGCCGCAAGGACGGACGTGCGAATCCGAGGAGACTGTATACGATCTGGGCATGCGTATGATCTCAACTTCGAATTTTCCGCGATCGAAGTCTCAACGCGGATGTGGCTTGCCCTGTACGTGAAGTCATGCAACACGTTAACGGTTTTGTGGGTGCGGTGAAGCCTTACACAGCATTTCGATGTCCGCCCGCACCAGTGTCGGATGCTGCATCTGTAGAGGCGGGGTTCGGAATGTCAGGGCGTCGCTAAAGCAGAACACGAGGCTTTCATGCACATACGGAAATGGCAAGTCTCAACCAATTTCACCCGCCACGCACAATCGGAGGTTTGAATTCCTGACTATGCCCGGTAATGTCCTCGGTCTGCTATATTGTCCGCTCCGCTCTGAAAGCAACGATGGGCAGGGACCTTTACATACTTCTCGCGGCGGACGACACATCACCCGGGCACAATGTAAGACCTGCAGGTAGGCGGCCAGAAGTGTCGCCTCCTCTTCCGTACATAATCAAGAAATTTCTGTAGCCCGTCAGGTCTGATGTGAGTGGGGACAAGTTATTGTTCCGAATTAACTCAGCCTAATATGCGCCCACCGATCCAAAGCATGCCCCTTCCCGCGGCTGTTCACACACATAGGCCTGCGGCTTATATACTGCGAACGAGCCACTTTCACCCGTCCCTGTCTGTCCTCCCTCTTCGCGCCACATATAATGGAAACATTCAAGAATTTGTTGTCCCCCTTCTCGAGTGCTTCTAATCCTCTCCAGGACACGTTGGTACGAGTGCGTGCTATATCAAAACGAGACTATCCTGAATCGACGCCTCATAGAAACTCGTCGTCGTCGGTGGCACACTCGAGACTGCGCGACGTGTTTCTGTTTCTGCTTGGAATGGCTTCATTGACTGTGAGCTAGCCCTTGTCGGCGTGTCGATCTACTTACCGAACTCACGCAGCTTTCTTCCTCACTGCGCACTTCAGTCAAGAGGACTATCCATACGACTGGTGAGTGGCAATGTCTCAACAGCAGCCGCGACTCTAACAAATACGCATATCCGCAAGGTTGATGCACTGGCTGGCAAAGGTGTGTTCGAGCTGACCACGACAGGGAATACACGCACTCAGTGACCATTCAGCAACCGGCGTGGGGTCGCAGTCGCGAATTCGACATCACTACACGCACCATCAGTCGGAATGGTCTTACTCAGTCTACGACTGGAGATCTAGACGACGAAGAAGCCGACGACGGCGAGGTCATGATGAGTGGTCGTAAGAAGCGCAAAGGTACGTCAGTGGACATTGCGATGGCGGCTTGCCGCTGAGGCGAAGTTCGCGAAGTGGCAATCGTTCCAAGTCTAGGTAAGCGCCTTTTGTGGCGCCATACTAGGACAATGCTCATCACGTATTTGGTTAGACACGACGCATACCATTTACTATCGGGGACACTGGCTGCGGGTACGTGACGTGATGCAGTTCAGACTTCTGCTAATTGAAGCGACATAATAGATTACACGCACGAAGCGTTTCCAGGATTACGGTTCTTACGCTGAGATTAAGATCTGGTGGGTGGCTTTCCACACGGCTGTCTACTGTTCTGACTCACCTGTCTGCCAGTGTGGTGGCGAGAAACAATGACATTCTCAAGAAATTGGTCCTGGAAGCCAAGCGTGAGTATGAGAAGGACGCAGTGCACCGCGTGCACATCTACATGGCAGACACGTACGACGGCACTCGTTTTCCCTACAATGCATGCAGCTGACACTTGACATAACTGGCGCCCAGAACGTACGGCGGCTGGCGTTGGAACGGTGCCCGGCAGAAGCGCCCTATGAGCTCAATTGTATTGGAACCGGGCGTCAAGGATATGATACTCGCGGATTGTCAAGACTTCCTCTGCTCCGAGGAGTGGTATGTGTATATGCCTGTGTCCGCTTGCGAGCCTGCTAACACGCTGTAATAGGTATGCCGAAAGAGGTATGATTGTGACGCAGCCACCGCATGCCGGTGGGGCTAACCAATGGGACAGGTATCCCATTCCGTCGCGGCTATCTTCTGCACGGTGTCCCTGGAAGGCAAGTTACCTGAATATCAGATTGCGAGTGCCGGCTCACCTCGGTTCGCAGTGGGAAAACCTCTTTAATCCACAGTCTGGCGGGTGAGCTTGGATTGGACATCTATGTCATCAGTTTGTCGGCGAAGGGGTGCGGATCTTGTGTGACGCTCCAATTCGATGCTAACCATTGGCATATTAGGATGAGCGATAACATGCTGGCCACTCTGATGGGAAATATACCTTCGAGGTAAGTAGGTCAGGCCACACGGCTTTTCCGGTAGCTAACTCTATCCACAGATGTATATTGCTACTCGAGGATTTGGATGCCGCGTTCACGCGAGGCGTCTCTCGTGATGATAGTTCCACGGGGGCGCCAACTAGCTCTACCAGTACCTCTAGCTCCACGTCAACTGCAAAGACGAAAGATGAGAGCAATGACGGATCTACTCTCACTCTCAGTGGGCTGCTTAACAGTCTCGATGGCGTCGCAGCTGCTGAGGGCCGGTGAGCAGCAAGTTCGACAGGCGTGCATACCGGCCCCCGAAGTACTGAGATTCCCTCAACAGCTTACTATTCGCAACTACGAATCACATCGAGCGTCTTGACCCGGCATTGAGCCGCCCGGGTCGCATGGATGTATGGGTGAACTTCAAGCACGCCAGCAAGTGGCAAGCAGAAGGCATTTTCAAGTGTTTCTTCCCCGCAAAGCCTTCGTCAAATGGGAACTCGCCTACGTCAGCTGCGTCCGCGAAACCGGACGACGAGGCGCCATCTGCAGAGGGCCTTGCTGTGCCGAAGCGCAAGAAAGCTGCTTATACTGCCCCTCTCCTCTCGGAGGAAGAGATCTCCGATCTAGCCAAACGTTTCGCAGACGCGATGCCGGAAGACGAGCTCAGTGTCAGTGCTCTGAAGGAACCGAGCATACTCGGATGACTGATACATATACATATCACACAGGTCGCGGCCCTGCAAGGATATCTCCTCAAGAACAAGACGCGTCCTAGAGAATGTGTAGACGAGGCTGTCGCTTGGTAAGTGAATGTATGCTGTTGTATCAGCATGTATTGAGCTTCTGCGCGCTTCAGGGTTGCTCAGGAGCGCGAGACTCGGGCTAAGCTCAAGAAGGAGAAAGAAGAGGTATGTGAAATATTCCGGAGATGGACGACGTCTGAATCAGATTTGCCTGTCAGCGCGAGGCGAAAGAGAAGAAAGAGGCCGAGGAGGCGGCAGAGAAAGCGAAGAAGGAGGCTGAAGAGAAGGCCAAGAAGGAGGCCGATGAAAAGGTTGCAACGGAGGTGCGTCAAGTGACGTGATTTATGCTATGGCGAGCACTCATGCCACTCCACTAGAAGCCTGCAGAAGTCACAGAGGTATAGACTTCGGGACGATACTATATGATCGTTATGCTCATCAGACTTCGGTCGTGCCGTAATGCAGGTGACCAAGGTGAGCTTTTGCCACATGCTGCGATGAAATTATGCATAAGGCGACAACTGACTCAATGTATAGGACACGGCGTCTGTGTCTGAACCTACTTCTAGCAGCAACTCCGCCGATGCGAACAAAGGCACGTCCGATGCATGACTCAGTGGTGAGACAGCGAGTGACGAACGGATAAACCGATGGCAGGGGCTGACACCGACCTCGAAAGCAGCGTGATTTCCGTCGACGAGACTGGCGCGGTTAACAGCTCTGAGACCCAAGATGGGAAGGAGAAGTGGGTCGCTGTCAAGGCAGACTCTCCTGATCCGGGGGTTTGACAGGGTTAGCAGTCTCGCGATGTACGTCCTGCGAAAGATTCTCATACTCATTGTACACCCCTACGCGCTGTTGTCCGATTATCCTGTAATGACCCTTGCCACCCTTATATGAGTAATGTATGTTCAATGCAATTAGAATTTCTCACCGAGGAACGGTCACGCCCGCCGTGCACAAGCAATGTTTTTCGAGATGCGAATGAATAGAGCGAATCAAGAAAGCGACGAGAGATTAGGATTACTAGGTACACATGACAGGATCCTCTATGACGACTTCAGTGTTACCTCCGACAGCGTCTTGAACGCATCCTTGTACGCATCTAAAAGCGCCTTTACCCTCGTTCGCTCAGCGACGAGGGTTTCGTCCTCATTGAGTAGTTCACCAAAGAGATCCGGCTTGTAGAGCGACGCCACAAGTCGGTTCTGCACCTGTTGCGACGTGTTGTTTACCAGGAAGTGCATGATCGCCTTGGGAACAAGATCCTGGATCGTCTGTCGCACGATATTGAAGTAGGACGCAATGAGCGACCTGATGAGATTCGTCTCCATTTCCTCGCGCGGAGTTAGCTGAGGACCTTTGTCTGACGCCTGTGTAATCGTGCACACTCGTCAGCAGCTTCGCATGGACGACAATCACGTCGTTACGTACCGCTTCAATGTGTTTGCCTAGGCTCTTCATGTCAAACGCCGCATTGTTGCCCTCCAGGCTCCGCTTACCCGCCATGAGCCCCGAGTGCAAGGACGGATCACCCCCACTGACATCCCGTCCGATGGTGGTGGCGCCGGTACCCGAAGCAGCGCGCTCTGCTGTCGCTCCACTGATGGGACCCGGGCCGTTTTGTCCAAAGAAATAGTTGAGGAACGTCTCCTTGGCCGCGCCCCCTGCAGGATGAGCAGAGTGCGGTCGCACAGTGCCATGCTGATTGTGCGGCTTCGGTGAACCCGTTCGACGCGGGGACGTCCCAGCATCGTTGACAGACGCGATCGTCCGAGCGCGGTCATGAACTGTGGAAGAAACGGACCGCCCATCCCGAAGCGCCACACCGTTCATCCCATTTGTCTCTTCTGATGTGTCTTCGTCTTCATCAGGAGACACAGGTCCATTGACTGACTGGGCAGATGAGGGCTACACGTCATATTAGGTTATGCCGTGTGGTTAGACGAATCAGAATATGTAGAAAGAAATCAGCGTACCCTGCGGAACTCATGTTTCGGCGGCGCCATCGCCGGTGCCTGCGTGGCCATAGCGGACCCAGCAATGAATGCTGGATGGTTCGTGTTGATGTAAGCGGTCTGAATGTCAATCAAGCTCTGCGTATAGTCCGTCGTCGGACCCAGACGCTCCCGAAGCAGCTCTGATATCACTTCCACCAGCTGCGCGTGTAGCCGGGGAAACCGTTGCAGCTCCTAAATTTGCCAATCAATGAGACGAACGCGATTTCGGATGTTACATCGCTTACTGCGCTGGTGCAGTTATGACAGATCTTGACCAATTCTTCGTACACGAGTTCGACGCATCGCAAACTCGGTGACTCCAGTAGCTTGATTTGTGGCTTTACGAGTAAGTCGAAGGCGATTTCCGGCACGAAAAGGCTTGGTCTCGGGCCTGTCGAATTGCGAATGGCTGTACGGATGTCCTGGTTGTCAAGATTGTGCGTCGAGTCTATAGAATTAAGCGCGGAGCCGAAGACGTCGTTGAAGATGTAGTATATCCGTGCACCGCCTGACAGTTCCTTCGTCGAGATGTCGACGCTCGTGCCCTCTATTGACGCGACGAAGTCGCGTGCGAATTGAGTCATGAGCCGCAGTACGAGGGCGCCTTGCTATGGAAGAAGTCAATCGGCTGCATAGAGCCCCTGAGAGACCGAATACCTGGTTCTTGTCCCCATACACCGCTGCATCTCCGAAAGAGTTCAATTCCTGTTGCGCCTGACCCATCAACGTATTCAACCGCGCCTTCATATCGGGAAGCTTGTCGCGGATATGATTCAATAAGACCTGTTCGTCATGAGCACTCCACTCTTCCCTCTTCTAGCGTGCATGTCCTACCTGGTTGAGAGTCTTAGCTAGATACTTCGTACCGTTCTTGTGCGCAATATTTCTGTATGCAGCATGCGACCGGAAGAACTCCAACTCCGTGTCAATGGCGTCGGACAATTGCTTGCCAGCGTTAATGTCCTGCTGACTCCGGCCTACAACACCAATGAAGCCCAGCTTGAGCGGATACACGCGTCCCGTGAGGATGTCGAGCGCGTTTGTCCCTGCATCCATGAGGTCAAGTTTCGTGAGGACACCAATCGTGCGCCGTCCTTGTGGGTCAACGGAGCGCGCGAGTTTGAGTGATTCTGAGTTGGCGAGGTCAACGTTGGCAGGGGAGACAGCGAGGACGATGCAATTGGGCTTCGTGACATAGTCCAGTACCAAGCTTCGGATTTGTCGCTCAATATCACTTGGTTGGTCGCCCACTGGGATCTGTGTCGCCGTGCTCTAGCAACCCTGACCACGAGCGAAAGGATGATTCATACCTTTGTCAGTCCCGGCAAATCTACCAATGTCAAATCTAGAACGTCCGGGCTGTATATTCGCAGGTGATCGGCAGCTTGCTGATGCCTTGTTCTGCCCCGCCACTCTGAACGTCTCCTGTTCAATCTCCCGCCGGATTCATCAAAGTCGGTGAATCGCTTGTCAAGGTGCAAGAACTGGCCCCATTCCGTGTATGTTGGTGCAGGTGCGCCGGGAGCTGGTTCGGGACGGGTGTGTGGATGAGCTGCAGTACAAGGGGCCTCCGCGTGACAATTCCTTGTCCTCGAGGCAGAAATCACGTCCGACGATGCTGTAGAGGCAGTATTCAGCACTAGAAACTGCTATGACGGAATCACATGCACGAGCGCGAGCAGGCGTTGGGAGCGACGTGTTCTCGGCCAGTTTGTTCGTATATGTGGTGGCACCAGGCGGACAACAATAGCGCACAAAGGCATATCCACGACAAGATCCAATCGCCGGAAAGTACGATGCTGCGGTTCCTGTAATATTCGCTCGCGGATGGTCCGACGAGCCACTCGAAGACTTGTCGGTAGCTCGGTGACCTGTGGTCAGAGGCACTGCATGGTGCCAGCGCACGCGTATTCGTCGCACCACTAGCCACACTAGGTACCGGAATATCACCCGCAACCATGACCTCGCGCGCATTGTGTAGAACGTGGGGGCTCCGGAAATCGAGTGATAAAGAAAGACTCACGTCTCGAGCACACTGGACTTTCCGCAGACTGACTGCCAACCTATCTCCTGCCTGAGACCCAGTCACATATGACACAAAGAGAAACGTACAACGCCAGTTGTGGCATGTCCAGCTCTCCGCCTACATAGCATTCTTAGTTACGAACGCGTTCCCGTCCAGTGAGCACGTACCGAGGTTGCGAAGGTGTCCTGCAGCTTGTTACGAGCTTGATGAGGTCGGCGTCCATGGTGGTCGTGGTCGTTAACAGATGAAAGTCGTGAAAGAGACGTGGTTTGTGCGGCAACCCAAAGGTGGTGGGCAGAGGCAGGCAGAAACGCGTCAACCTTCGGCAGGTATAGCCAGTCACGCGCCCGGCCGCAGAACACGCAAGCTTGCAAGAGGTCGCGAGAATGCTAGGCGTGTCCACACCACGCAGGAGACAATGGAAAGCCGGGAGGTCGAGGGTAGGGAACAGGTAGGAAACGAAGATGAATCGCAGTGTCTTTGGCGCGAAACCACGTGCTCGAACTCTACATACGTACTTTTGCTTCGCGACGCAAGTTGCTACCGCGACGCGTTCATTATGTCAATCTTCACCAGTTCCACCCTAAGATTATGCAGGTCCATGCAAATGTAATTGACTGGGCACGACGGAGGATCGTCACCCAGGTGTTGTTTGGACGGTCAATCAATGCATTGTAGACTAGTCGTCCATTGCACAACTACAGACGTATACTACTCTAGATAGCCTTGTTCTTGACGAGCTCTGTATGATGTTATCAGATGAGGTCTCAAATGGTGAAGCGCATCAGACTTACGGTCGATCTCTACAATAGCACTCGTCAAGATCTCCTTCTGCACCTTCTCGTCGTTCAGGCTCTTGAGCACGTTCGCGATGACGGTCTTCGTAAGCTCCGCCTGCTCATTCTCCTTCTCCTGCTGCTCGAAGCGCACCCAGCTATCAAGGACGGCCTTCACCTCCGAAGCGAGCGCAACCTTCTGCTGCTGAACGAACGCCTCCGCCTCCAGCTTCGCAGTCTCCTACAGTGACGGATGCATGTCAATTTATGTGGCATCGATGAAGACCCAGAAATGTGGCTGCGTACCTTGGAGAGGGCGAACAGGCTCTCGGTGACGGACACAACATCCTTCATCTGTTCAACAGACGTGATGCGGTCCTTGACGGCCTGCGTGTGCTCAGCACGCGACGAGTCGAGGATACCCTTGATGCGCTGGATGTGACCCTCGGCCCAGTCGCGGTACGGCTCCCGGATGCTCTGCACCGATGGCATCAACACTTTCGTACATTCGCGCGACAGGTAGCAGGACTGACCTTGGCGATGAACGTCAAGAGGACGAAGAACCCAACGGCAATGACGGTCTCCTCATTCACGACGTAGAGCTCCTGCGAGATGGCCGTCGCGATCAGACCCGTGCCGAGCACGACGGAGCCGGTTTTCGTGACGAGGCCGGGCGAAGAGGGCATCTTGTTAATGAGTTCGGACGCCTTTTCAGCGGGGGGAGTGTTTGACGAGCTGGCCATACCACGGCTAATACAACCGGCTGTGTCAGTAGTCTACTCAAAGTATTGTACGAATGCCGACGCACGCAACGACAGCCCGCGGGATGGCAGCGACCGCTTGGGGCCGCACCCTCGATGCTGCACGGGGGTAAGTTCAGAGCACAGTTGATATAGAGCATCCCACAAGCATACCTGTCGCTCTCAGCGAGTTTGCAGCGATTCTGGAGGCCATCCGTGATGTAGTGTAGAGGTGCTGGCAGACGCTCTCCGCGACGAGCTCATCGCCCGCCAAACGCCGAACAAACTCAGATCGTGGGAACTCACTCCGGCTTTTCACGACCGGACCCCGGTGCGGTACTTACAGGGGATACGCGAAGAATAACCTGGCCTATGCATTCATGCATTCATTAATACTTTTTACTTTCGCCTCGCATCCTCAGAAACGACGTCCAAGCCTGGTGCATATAAATTGGGGAGTTACAGCTAGTTTTACAGACCAACATTACACGATCAAGCTACACAGAGTGACAAAGAGGCCCAAAACGAGAATGAAACAGAACTAGTTCTTGACTTTGGCTTTTGTACTTCGCGAGACAAACTTGCAGCGGAAATCTTTACCCTCGTGTATATGGCCTGGTATGAATTTCACCGCGTTGTCAGTTGGGACATCGCACAGGATGTTCAGGGCGACGGCGACAGAGACCCGAGGGCGCGAAGCATCCGAGTCCTCCATAAGTTGGCGCAGTTCAGACGACGCAGCACTGGAACTGCACGTCAACAACGCAGTCACTTCGACGAGAAATAGCCTACGCACGCAACCTTTCTTGCACCAAAGCCGCCCAAGGGTTCGTACTCCAGAGCCGATGCCCCCGCGCTCGCAGCGACTCTGCGGAGATCCAGATATGGCGTGGCCTTGGTTCGACGGCCAGTCTTGGCGGAGTGTTTGGTATGAGGAGTCGACGAGGTGATAGAGTCGGCTTCGTGGTCGAAGTGCGCTATCCGGGCTGTCTTCCGAGGCCGTCCCGAGGAAAACATGCCCCCTTCAGGTGAGCCTTTCCGTTTCGCGACAGTGGTCGAACTCGCAGCAAAATCGACCAGAGTTTGAGAGCTAGGAAGGTCTTCAAGCTGTTCGTCCTGCAGGATGCTGTCTTCGGAGGCGCATAGAGTAGCTTGAGAATCTTCTCCCGGTAGAATGGATGAGCGGGATCGACGACGGCCTTATGATGATATGTGAGTCGAAGGTAAGGTATCATGATGTGATTAATTACCATCCAGCACGTAGTGGTTGATGGGGCGCAGGAAGCCCCATGCAACTGAGTCGTTGATCCATTTCATGTGGAAGACCTAGAATAAGTTATGAAGGTGGGGGGCTTGTGCCTGAGGCGGACGAGAATTACGAACTGGTATGGCACGATGTAATAGTCTGCATGTCGTAGTGTTAATCATGACCGGCTATATGCGCGAGAATACCGGTCAATGAACGGCTGGATTCTCACTTAGGTAGCCAGGGATCCTCCATGTCACGACAGAAGACATGGGTCGCTTTTCGGTCGCCTGTCGCAACGGCGCCTCCATGCGCACCTGGCACGCAAATATACTGTTGTCTATCAAGGTGTGGATAGCTAGATCTGTACGCACCCCATAGATCCTGCACTCGCCTCGGCACGAAAGGGCTGAGCAGCGCTACGGGAAAAATGCTCAGAACACTCAGCCGGCACTTGCACGCAGGATGTTCAAGTTACCTGTGCCTTGGAATAAGTCATGACTTGGTACAGAACAGCCTGACGCGCTTGTCATGTTGTTAGCGACGAAAACGCAGGTGATGGGAGCAGTAGGAACCGGTGTGCGTATGTACTTATAGCACGGCACTGTATCAGTGTATGTACTCAGCGCTAGCCTCACTGAACTGGAGGGAATGAAGGCATTTCGGCACATGCCGAACAGTTTGACGGTTCCAAAAAACTCTCTGTCGGGGAGTCGAACCCCGCTTTCGCGCGACCAACGAAGGAGAGGGTTATGACAGGCGCGTGTACTAACCGATATACTAACAGAGACGTTAGGGTCGTCAAAGTTAAATTTGTACTTATTGAGTGTCAGCAACCAGGGCAAGCCACACGTGAACCTGTTGAGTGATCGCGCCGCTACCGCTGCCTCTCAGCTGCTAACTTAGGGCGAGCTTGAATGTACCTTCTTGTTGTCTGAGCTGCGATTTGTGACGGAGCGCATACCCATAGCAAACTCGGATATCTCATAACATCGATGGAGTCTGCCAGCGCCAGCACGTCCCGCCCCATCTCGACCGCCCCGACCCCTCCGAACGGCAGGCCCGCGGGCCAGGGTCCAGCAGAGAGGCCACAAGAACGGGCAGCCAGTGCAAAGGTGCAAACGCTTTGCTAATCGGTGTGGGCTAACGGGGCTCATTTGGGATGCAGCCGATACGCTCACGTCAAACGTACAAAGAGAAGTAGGCTTTGTTCTGCTCATGTCATGTATTGTATCACTGAATCATATGCAGATACTTGCTATGCAGGAGAAGCATACACAAGTTAGTGAGGTATGACTTCCCTCGTTTTGAAATGCGAGATGCACGAGAGCTTTGTTCACCCACAGACACGCGAAGCATACCGCAAAGAACTCACACTCGCAGAGGACAAACTGAAGAAGTTGCAGGACGAGTGCAAGTATGTCACCATTCATGGCACGTCGGAAGGTTATTCTCCTGACTGGCCAACCCGTCATAGCCTGCTTCTGGACGCCGTGGATATCGCTGCACCGGCACAACCTTCCCTATTACACTACCTCGCGCGAGACCCAATACCTCCACAATACCACTCATACCAAGTTCCTTCCCCTCAGCGGCAGAGTCCGCGCCAGTGCCTGTACCCGCTACACAGCCTTCACCACGCCCGACCGCATCTGCACCTGCCCCCTCACATCCGCATCACCAAGCACACGGCCATAGCCATCGACACCGATCGCGGTCGAACAGGAAGTCAACCACGCAGAACGGGAACGGTGTCAGTTCAAGACGATAGGTTCGCGTGTGGGGTCTATCGAATAACCGTAACTGATCGCGTACCATTTCGTTAGTGAAGAGAGTGCAAGAGTTTGTGCTCATCGCTGCTGCAGACTTTCCAGTGGCTTGTAAGCCTCGCGCTGGTCCACTCATCGAGGACATGTACATTAACTATCTGATATATCCACTGGTCTTGGGGTATTGTAATATTGTTGACTGCCAGTGCAGCGTACGCATGTACAGTACGCGACGTGTTCAGACAGGCTCAGACAGGCTCAGACTTAAAACTTGTGCAGTGCATTTCCAACGGTGCTTGTCTACATATGCCACCATCGTGGCCCCGGCCTACCACTGCGACGCCCCGCCCTGACTCTTTCTCTTTGCCTTGCGCCTTGCTGCTGGCCGAATTTGCCTGAAGGGATTAATTGATAAACACGCGAAGTGCTCGCCGCAGACGGCATATATGAGGTCTAGGCTGTTCACCATGAGTCACGGTCCACGGCAACGACGGTCTCCCGTCCTGGCTTTCCAAGGCTTTGCTCATTGTCTGGTCGGAGAACATGGCTTTCCAGAGGCTCTCTGGCTTCTGCCTTATGCTGGGCATGACTCTAGCAGCGTTGCCTGTCATAACGAACGCTCTTGCCGACTCGCAGCGCACCCTCGAGCTGCAGGTCGAACGCGAGCGCGCTCCTCTGCCAGCAGCTAACTGGACGAAGTCTTTCTGGATAAACACACCAGGCGCAAATCCCCTCGCTGGCGAAGGCAGCGAGGGCCCGCTCACGGATGACGCCGATGTATGCATCATTGGCAGTGGACTCACAGGTGTGTCGGCGGCGTATCACTTGGGCAAGCAGCTAGAGAGCAGCGATCGCGGGGAGCAGCTGAAGGTTGTTGTACTGGATGCTAGAGACTTTTGTGAGCCCGACCGTTGTTGTCTGTCTAGAGTACGCGCTCATTGTATGTCTTCGCTGAAAAAGGTGCCGGGGCGACAGGTATGGTATACCGATCCGCTGTGAACGGCCTACTGAATAATGACATCCGAATCAGGACGCAACGGCGGGCACTTGTCTCTATTGCTTTCAACAGCTTCAATCTTGCATCGCAGAGGTTCGGCACAGATGAAGTCTTGCGATGGCTCGCCCTCGAGCGTCATACTGTCACTGAGATTGTGAAGATCGTCGAGGAGCATGGTTTGGAGGAAGCAGTGGATCTGGTCAACAGCGGGAGGATAGAGCTTTTGATCACTCCGGAGGAACTGGCGGATGCGCAAGCCGACTACAAGGCAGCCAGGGCTGCAGGCGCAAACCTTGATGATGTCCAATGGTTGACAGAGAGCGAGGTACGTTTACAGTTTACGATGATAGCTGCATCGCATTGACTGACTACCTCTAATAGACATTCGGGTCGTCGTACCCTGGCTATCTCCACACTGGCTACAATATATGGCCCCTCAAGTTCGTTACCGAGCTTTACAAGCTTGCCGCTGCTTCCTCAGCTCTGAACCTCACCCTGCATACGCGCACGCCCGTCACCTCCATCACGCCTTCCAACAATTCTTCTGCGTCGTCTTCGTCACGCCCTTGGACGCTGAGCACTCCCCGCGGGTCCGTTGCATGCACGCGCATCATCCACGCCACAAACGCTTATGTCTCACACCTACTCCCACATATGCGCGGACCCACAGGCGTGATACCCGTCCGCGCACAGGTTATGGCTCTACGTGCCGCTGTACCTGTCGAGTCTATCTCGCGGCATGCATGGACGGGCAACGAAGGCTTCGAGTACTGGTTCCCGCGTCCGTTGGATGAAGGCCAGGAACACCCGTTGGTTATCATAGGCGGCGGACGAGACGCAACGGGGCCAGAGTACGAGTTGTATGTAGCTGACGACTCCACAATCAATGCGAGGGCGGGAGCTGCAATCAGGAAGTTCCTGCCTGCGTTGTTCCCCGGCAAGTACGAGGAAGGGCGCGAACCGGAAATGGAGTGGACGGGAATCATGGGATACACAGCTAACAGCGATCCGTTTGTGAGTCACCATAATGTGTTCCTTCTGTTTAGGAAGATTGACCCCTTATCGATTTACCACTATAGGTGGGGCCCGTCGTCGATCCTTCCAGTCCTACGGACAACTACGAAGGCCAGTTCCTTTCTGCAGGGTACAGTGGACACGGCATGCCGCGTGCATTTGCTTGGTAAGCATCACCTACATGCCAGCGTTCGAGTTTTCGTGCTAACGTTATGACGGTGTTTACTAGTGCGGAAGCCTTAGCCCAGATAGTTGCGGCGGAGATTATGGGCAAGTCCTGGTCTCCACCGGATTGGCTACCCAGACATTACCTTACACAGTCGTTGTAAGACTGCATACGAAGCGCGATGTATCAGATTTGTTGTATGCCGTGATAAGATTCGCTGCTGCGCTCTCAAGGTCTGACAACTTGAAGGCAGTTGTCCACCACAGAAGCAGATACATGACGAGTAAGCTGGAAAGTACGGACGCGCCGATAGGCAGCAAAGAGATATCTTTGTACGTGACGCACACTAGTACTACATAAGGGATCATACACCGCTGTGTCCACCATCATCGGCAAGTCTCAGCTGTAGGTGAGAAGGCACCATCCTGGAAAGGCCATCGCCGACGAATATATGCCTTGTCATCCGGATGTTCCACTTCCGCTACTGTACGCTCCAACGCCTCTCGATTGCGACAACGCGCATCCTCGAGCTTGTCTTCCTTAACGAGACCATCTGGACCAAGACCGATCTCATCGTAGAGCAGCTTGACGGACTCTTCCCGCATCCAACCCACGACGCCCCTTTCATTGGCAAGGACTTCCGCCTGGCTGAAGGAGATGGGACACGGTGTATCGGGTGCAATCTCGTCCCACGACTTCCATATGTCGATCAGGACTTGTTTCAGAGGAGCAATGCCTTCTTCCCATGTATGCGACGGAGACTCGAGGAGTACATGATACCTTCCTTGCCACGGGGAGAAGCGCGCAGCGTGTAGTGCTGGATTAAGGCGTTGCGTGACGTAGTGATAGTACTGCGACCGGGCAGCAAGCCGTTGTTCTGTTAACGCGATATGCTGTTCATGTTCGGGTAGTTCGTTGAACACGTCTGGAAGACTAGGCGGCCGTGAAGGTCCATACTCGGCCTCGATGTATTTCCCGCGAGTGAACGAAAGGAATGGAGGCATCGGGATGTCGACCAGTGTCTCCACAGTGGCAGTTTGCCAGTCGAGAAAAACACTTGGTGTCAAAGGCCCACCGTCGTCGACCATGATGTTTGACGGATGTAAATCCGGGTGCCAGACACAGAAGGTGGAGAACTCGGGTCGGTCCGGAAGGAAAGGAATGATTTGCAAACAGCGCTGAAGAACGTCGATGTGCGTTTCCGGCGAGTTTTCTCGCTCCGATCGGTAGAGGGGGCTATGACGTGGCAGAGGTTTGGCATAACGCCGAAGCCATTCGATCTCACATCGAACAATGGCGCTAATTTGCGAACGGATATCTTTCCCTGTCACTAGTGTTAGCTCCTGGCTGAATGCATGGTACGAAATGCTACGCACAAGGTCCCCGATCGACACTAAGTTGCGCGCGACCGCCCCTCCAGAATTTACGCGCTACACTGGGACCGATGACAAAAGGGCCCCATTGCCCGTGGTGAGGATAATCAATGGGCAAACCAAACGAGGGGGTATTCTTCGGCAAGTCTTTGGCGAAATACAGACTCCCGATGTAAGGCAGACGAGCATCAGCCCAAGACCTTTCAGTTTTCACGAGATCACGAGTGAAACCCGAGAAAACATCGATAGGGAGGTCGTCGTTCCATTTCGAGTATAACTGCACTCCTGGGACCTTCTCCATTATGATGAATTCCGATCCCACTTCATTTTTGGAGGCGTCTGTGGAGTAATCAAGTGCGATAGGGGTGGGCGTGTTCATACGCATTCTGGCGAACTCCATCGTAGCCACTTCACTGGCAGTGGTGAGGCGTGCCGGCCCAGCCATGGGAAAGGGCAACCTGGCGACGATTTCCTTGCCATTGTCCAATTTGGCGACAAAGACCCTGTTAGACGTTCCTTTAGGCTCTTGTGAGCTTGTGGCCACGCGAACCAAACAAAAAAATCACAACCTTCAGCAAGCTTCTTGAACGAGATACAGGACTTCGCATCACCGGCCTTGATGCATCGCAGGATCAACGCGTCAACATCGAACGTTAGGTGGCGCACGCTCAGCTCTGGAGAAGCGACAATTACACAAAGCGACAATCCCAGCTGATGATTAACTCACGGGCTTTCCGGTTATAGAGCCAGGTACCTGTGTTATAGTTGTAGAATCCCTGCTCGTCCTCTGGCGTCGAATGGAATAAGTGCAATGACCCTATGTGAGCGCGATGACTGCCTTACCTCGCGTATACGGCTTTTGAGCTTGCTCAACGGAGTACGGCCGAGATCTCTTTAGATCCTTGGTGAGGGTGCGAAGAGGATTGCGCATGCTGACTCGCGGCGAACGGGAACTAGCGTGTAGCCAGCGGCGTGTTCTGAGGCTTGTAATAGGGTGCATGAATCGAACGACGGTGCAGTGTTATACGAACGGATAAGCGCGATATTCTGACGCAGAATATTCCCACAGGCCTTAAGCTGTACACGCGATCATGCGCCGCCGCCGTGCGGAGGAGACAGACAGTATTCGGCACGCTGTCGTCAGCCCGGGCCAAGGATTCTGCCGACAACTTGATTCAGCACTAGCGTTGTCTCTGTTGTACTCGGGTCGCACAGTAGGGAGCGAGACTCGGATCCGAGTCTGAATGTGGACAGAAGCACAGATTTGACAACCAGCTGTCGACACGAGTAACCCAGAAGACCTTGCGTGTAGAACCAGCGACCGCTCATATCAACCCTAGGCGGCACCCGGTAAGGTTCTAGTGAGCTATGGGCGCGTATTTGTTCTTATTTGCTCCATCCCAACTCCGTCCACTGATATGACCATTCTTGTAAGTAAGTACGTTGCGGTTAATAAATGCGGAGTTCATCATCATCATCATCATCATTGTAAGTAAGTACGACCGTTGACGGCGAGTCAGAGCCCCATCCTCGTTGTTAAAACGTTGACATGTGCCGCTGTGATCACTTCTACGAGCAACGTGTATCAGTCACCCGATGATCATCTCCGAGTCAGCCTTCATGTACTTGCAATGATTGCTTTTTTCTGTCATCGCGACAGAGAATTGAGGGGGTTTTCAGTATGGCGGCGCCGACACACTGGCACTCTGAGTACTAGTAGCGTGATGCCCCGGTGGCAGTCAAGAAACTGACTCACAGCGGCCCGCTACATACGGTGACTGTGAGTATTTTCTCAGTGCATCTCATTTGGATGATTCACACTCATGATGCAAACGATTGCGAGCAAGCGACTCAGAACAAGAATCTCCTCAACTTGACCCGTCCGAGCGGTTCGAGACTCATGATTCCTGAAGACGATGGCGGCCCTGAGTCACATCATGAGCATGTATACTCCCGGCTTCTTCCCCACTCCGTTTGAATTTCTCTTTTCAACGAGGTGGCGTCCCTTGAATTGGCACCTTGATATGTATTACGCTCACTCGCAGTGATCGTTTATAGGCAGTAAAATGTTCAGAGGATCAAGACCATAACGAGCCTACTGCGATTAGTAGCGCAGCTGTGAATTCACGTGTGGAACTTCTGTTCGCAGTTGCGTATCCATCTTTCGTACTATGCCATACTGATACCCTGACTCGGATCGGCTTCCATACCATCATGCTCACGATACTATGCCTTCAGGGGAGGGCTCTGATGGTAAGATTCAGTGACAACTCCCGAGGCCGAGAAATCGATGAGTAGAATCCAAAGCTGTCGGACAGATCCCTGTCTGCGTATTCCTTTGTGTCTAGATTACATGGGCGCGCACCCAACGATGCAGGTGTGAGTACGTGCATCCTCGTATGATCTCATGTGGACAGCCTTGCCTGAACTACACCGTCTATAGCATTCCAGTTCCCGCAAATCTGGTGTCGTGCGTCTATGACGCTGCCTACCAGGATGCCTACTTCAGCTTGCATGACCCGAATGCCAAAAACTGCGGGCATGAGAGGAATCCGCATGTGGTCTAACTCGAACTAAGTCCACCGCCGACGGTGCGGACTGCCTCACGCTAGAAGAACATGTCTCAAGCTCCTAGGTTGTGACGCCCAGTTATTCTTCCTTTACGGACTTGGCTCTGCTAGGTCTCCTTCAGCGTCAGTGGTGCGGCCAAAGGTATTTATATAGCGAGGAGAATGGACGGGTCTACAGTACCAACCTCCCATTGGTCCTTCGCGCTCGAGCACCGCTATATCCTGTTGATAGTCGTTTGCCATCATGTCTGGTATGCCGTCCTTTCCACGCTTTCGTTACTGCAGCATTCATCATCGCGGACGTACGTTTCAGGCTTGAAAACTTTCTTCAAAGCTTTGGTCGCCAACAATCCTACCATGTTCGGAGACATTGCCAAGAAGGCTAGTGGCATACGCCGCGGAGAACGAGTTTGGCACAATGACGACATCCGTGTCGACAGAGGAGCTGACACCAACGACGGCAAAGTTCTCATCGACTGGCAGAGACAGAAGCAGACGAAGCAGCCGGCTCTGAAGAAGAAGAATAGCCACGAGAAACTTATCGTCCAGTCATTCGATCCCAACCACCCCGAGGCAAGCACGCAGCTTGAGGACGACTTCTTCGAGCAGGTGGGCCTACCTCGCAAGTAGGATAATCACCTTGTACGCAGGTAACCGCCGCGACTCAATTCTATGCAATGTGAATTTCGTTGCTAATCACAACTCGGATGACCGCAGGTGTCGGGCTATTTTGCACCCCTCATCTCAACCTTGTAACAACACCGCTCCGCCTCGCTTGATTGTACCAATAGTACTGCCTCGTGATTCAGACTGTCAATGAAATGTAAAGACCTATCTCCCTTAGCGGGCGTGCATTGTACACCACACGTGTCCGAATGACCGGCTGGTTCTCCTCTGCGAATTACCATGAATGTGCAGCAGCAGCGGGGATGTCTCAGTCTGCATCTGACTCCGAGTCGGAAGTTATGTTTCATGCACGGAAAATCATGGTCGTGCGGCACTCAGCGTTACATAATCTGAGTTGGCCGCTGGATCTCTGTTACTGCAATTACCTACAGCGTGTTGTTGATGAGGACTGAGATCATGGCTTGATAGCTACACAGCACCGTTTGAGCATGAGATCGGATGTCTTCCATGGTAATCGCCGTCCGAGTCAACTACGCAGCAAACTGGACGGGGGCAAGTATAATTATAGTCAGACGTGCTGCAAGGAAGGACGACGGTACATGGAGACATGTACACAGATTAAATACAGCGCAGTATGATCAACCCCCAAGATAGAATGTCAGACGAGTACAAATGTACAGATGATGCCACACTCCTTCGACCCCCACCCCCGATGACTATTTTTGTCCGCGATAACTACAATATTAACGTCAAGGGAGGACGGAGGCTTGGGCACCAGCGCCGTCTCCAATTCGTCTTGCATCGACTTGATCTTGCTAGCGTCCTTGGTAATAGCCCGGAGTTCGAAGACGAACTCCACGCCGCCCGAACGCGACGCGAGCCTGCTCAGCTCAGCGAGTACGGGCTGCCACGGTCCTGGAAGATCCTTCGGCAGCCACCCTGCGGTAACGATGACTCTGAGATAGCGGAATCGAGAGGACTCGACGCTCTTCAGCACCTTGCTGAGCCAGGCAGGCAGCTTTCTGAGGTCCTCGGTATACTTGAGGGGCGTGCGATCGAGGGTGAGCGAGAGCAACTCGGTGCTGACAGCGAGGCTGGGAGGTTCTGCACCCGACGTTAGGATGACATGCCACTTCGAGTTTGGATACTCACCTTCTCTTGCGTCCCTGAAACTGAGCTTGAGACTCGAGGCCGAAGGAGCCCAGTGGTCGAACAGGCGTCGCACATGTTCGGTGTCGGGGTCGGGGTTCGTCAGCGTGAGGCATGGGGATGGGCCGAGGGTTGCCCCACGTATGAGCAAATCGTAGACGAGCTTAGTGCAAGCCGACACTGAGAGACTTTGAACGCGCAGCGATTTTTCCGGGACAAGAGCGACTGCGTCGGAGGGAAGGCGACTCCATTTCGTGAACCAAGTGCGACCAGTCTTGAAGGAGAGCGGCCAGTAGACTTCTCGGAGCGACAGACTGGAGAGCTCTTTGCAAGATGACAGGATGCGCGGTAGCTCCGTAGTCATGATGTTGAAATCTTCGAGCTCCAAGGTATTGAGCTTGCCCAGACGTGCTGCTAGCACGTCGTTGACTTCATGTTTGAGAATCCAATCGCTGAGAGTGAGATGTGTGACGTTGGGTAGATGTTGGAGAATCTCAAAATGTGGGTCCGCGTTGACATCGAGGCGCAAAACGCGGACACTGAGGCCAACAGCGGGGGCACCATGAACGATGGCTCTGAAATCGGGAAACGATTTCTTGGTGAGATTGACGGTCCTGAAGAGGTAGATCCGTGCAGCATTGACCCATGCACGGCACGTCAAGATGCAAGATCGGAGCGTCGGGCGGTCGGTTTGAAGGTCATCAAAAATCAATATGCAGATTTCCAGCGGTGCGCTGGCGGCTGCTGAGTTGTTCATCGCGAGTGCACTACTGCTCGGTGAGGCTGAAGGGCCACCGAGTCCTGTTTATCGATGGGTGCGGTCCTAGGTCGATATTGCCGACAATCAGACGCGGCTGGGAAGCTGGGAGTGCTCAGCGTGGGGCAACGGTGCCGATGCCATGAGTGTTATTAGCTCACCTATTGGCTCAAGATGAGTCCCAGTGACCCCAATCGTGACTTCGAGACGCGCTTGTGTGGCCACGCGAGACTGCTTCGCCTCGCAGCGCCGACTTGCGGCCACCAAGCAACCTGAAGACAGCCTGGAGGGCCCCGCAGGCAGAGTTCGCGTGCGCAGGCCTACGCCCGACTCGAGCACAGACGACGGCAATGTCTCGGCCAGACAGTGCTAAACGATGATGAGGGCGCGCGCGAACTAAAGGCTAAAGGAGCGCCCGTGACCAAGTGGTGCGTCGCCTGCCATATCCGGCAGGCCACGCTTTGCCTTGCGGAGACCGATATACGAGATATCCTTGATGAGGCCCGTCTCCTTCCCATCCCTCGCCCCCCTCTCGCCCGCTGTCGACCGCCCCCGCCGTCTGCACCGAGCGCGCCCTTCCCAGACCACCGCGGATGCGCTGATTTCTCCCATCGAGTGACCGTCTGTCCGCGACAACTCGGGCCCGACAAACCGCGAACGTTCAATCGTGTTCTCTATTTGTACCACAGAGCGTGCGTTGCAGACCGTGTTGTGGGCGGAACGCTGGCTCAAGTCTCGATCAGTGGTGTGACACCCAATCTGGCTTTCACCAAGGGAGGCGCAGACCAGGGCTCCCTAACCTGCATGGTGAGTGTCGGCCTCGCATTCGCAGAATCTCTCCACTATCCGGACCCGCGCTACGCAAGCCAATAGCGGAAGACTACGGATTGCGCTCGCGCACACCTGCCGTGACATCCATGGCACGCCCGATGGTCACTGATCGATTATATGTCGGTTCTACTGTCATTCATAGTCGTGGTGGCCAATTGAGACCAGGTTGTGATTTATCACACTTCACCACAGGGCTGCGCGTTTGCCTACGGCTAAAGGACGTACACCATGACGCGCCAACATATCCATGCCAGCGCGAATCCAGCCACCTATTGCCTCTCATTTTCTCCCGTTGACTTCGGAAGAAGGCTCATGCCGCTCAAGTCACCGCAGGTTAAGCAGTCCGAATGGTCAACGCGCCTGCCGTCAGAGCTCCGCAATCTCATCGCCGAGCATCTCTCCAATGATACGCATTCGCTCAGCTCGCTCGGGCTCACCAGCCGCTCGTGGGTGACCCCGACCCAAGTCGCCCTCTTCCGCTTCGTCCGCCTCCTGGGGTCGTACCGATACCGTCAGCTCGAAAATATCCTCGATGAGGCGCCAGAGATCGCGGCGTACATCCGCGGACTGGCGATCATCTGTGATGGCACCTTCACATGGATGGACCAGGACGCGCCCCGGATACTCGTCCGCCTGCGCCACGTCGAGGAGCTCAGCATCCGGAACTGGTGCGCGACGCTCATGACGGACGAGACGCGGCACAGTCTGCGCCTCTGCTTCCCCAAGGTCCAGGTGGTGCACATGCAAGACGTCGCATTCGCCGGGAACGACTTCGCCGTCATGCTGTGCGCGATCCCGAAGCTCGCCCGCCTGCACCTGCACGACGTGCACTGGTCGTTCCGTCAGCGCCCCATGGTCGCAGCGTCCCCCCTCGGCGACAACCGGGTCGACACGCTGTACTTTCACGGGACGTCGCCGCTCGTGCTCAGCTGGCTCGCCAAAGATGGCCCGCTCGACTTCCGGCTCCGCGCACTCGACGTCGCATGGGAACACCCATCCGTGTCCGCCGACGTCGGCCGTGCGCTCGAACGGTCCGGCGGGACCTAGAGCATGCCACGCTGGTATGCAACATCAGGACGATGAAGGGCTGCGTCGCGCTGTCCGACTGGCTCGCCCCGCCCGTCGAGGACACGCGGCCGCCGCAGCTCGACTTCACGCTCGCCCACAGCACGGGGCTGCGCACGTTGCATCTGAAGGTGGAGAGCCCCGACGGACGCTCGATGCTGGTTGGCTGGATCCCCGCGCTGCTCGACAGCATGCATTCGAAGTGTATCCGCGAGTTCCTCCTCGAACTGCGGTGGGCCGACCTCCCGCACATGCCGTGGAACGAGACGGATGAGCGGCTCGTTGCCCTAATGGCAGCCCAGCCGGCGCTGGTCGTGATATTTCACATCTCGTGCGTGGACGATCCTAGCGTCAGTGTGGACGACGTTCGGGAGCAGGTCGAGAACGGCCTGCCGCTCGTCGCAGCGACGGAGCGTCTTGCGGTGGAGTGCAAGGGCGCGAATAACCCGGACTGGTTGCCGTCGCTGCCGCACTGCAACATCCCTGAACCTTCCACCGACGACGACTCGCAGAGTTGCGAAGCAAGCACCGAAGCTTGATCTCCCCCTCCCCCTTCATCCAACGATCTATCTAAATTACAATGTATGGTCGCTTTGTTTCTCGCTATCGTTGTACATATACCACCATGCTTGTAGTATATACCTCGCTCGCATGCAAGTCATTGTGTAGCTTGTTGCTTCATTCAGTTCCCAACGCCTGGAGCCCCCTTATAATGTACGAGATCATCGTGAGCTCACAGTTGAATTCATACTCGTCATTCACAATCGTTCCCGCTTGACTGATTGAATGTCGCCGCATACTGTCAGGCAACAGTCTGGAGCGGCACTACTTGGACTGTCCGCAGGTCTCACGCAGTACACCTCACGAGTACGGCACAGAGGCACGGAAACGGAGTAAACTTCCCAGCACCCAAGCTCAGTGTCCATGTCATTACTTGCCATTCGGCTGTACAGTACTCGATGTAGATAACGGGGGCCCAACCTTCCACCGCCCCAGAAGGTGGTTCGCTCTCAGGACCAGGAGATCCCTCAGCATCTGCAGCGAGTCTGTGACGACGTTCAGCTTGCTCCCAGAGACCTCGTGCCACTCGATCGGCACCTCTGCGACAGGCATGCGGAGCTGCTTCGCGAGGAGCAGCAGTTCGACGTCGAAGATCCATGTGGCGAGGTGCTGGTAGGGGAAGATGCTCTGCGCCGCGGCGCGCGAGAAGAGCTTGAAGCCGCATTGCGTGTCGCGGATGTGGCCGACGCCGACGATGCGTAGGATGGTGTGCAGGCCGTACATGAGTACGTTGCGCAGTAGCGAGCGCTGGAGACTGATCAGGAAGGACACTAGAATGCCGCGAAGCAGGGACATACCTTGACTACTGCCTCAGTCTTGACGAGATGCGCGCGACTGCCGACGACCACTGAGGCCTCCTCGTTCGGCGCGATCTTGTCCATTTCGTTCCACAATAGTTCCAGGTCCTCAAATCGGCTGGCACCATCCGCATCCACCATGAGCAGGCGTCTTCCCCGTCCATACAACATCCCGTGTCTAACCGCGCCTCCCTTCCCTGCGTTCCTCACCAGCTGCACAACACGTATCTCGTCTCCGGGAGTCTGCGGCGAACTTCAGCGCCAGCTCCGCCGTGTCGTCGGAGCTCCCGTCGTCCACTATGACGAACTCATATGTCCGGTCCTTCAGTGCAGGTTTCTTGAGATGGATGATGGCAGCCTGGAGCATAACGGGCAACCGCTCGGTTTCATTGTAGGCGGGAACGATGACGCTAAGGTCAACTGAAGCGGGGTCGGCGATGGAGCCTAGAGGGAGAGGTTTTGTAGGTGAAGTTGCGGATCGGTAGGTCCTCTCGGATGGGTGCGCTTTACGAGGTGGGGGAGACAATATAACGAGGGCAGCGTAGCACTGTCATGCAGACTTCAATCAGTAACCGCTTCTGGGATGAGACTACGCGTGTCACGACGGACGGCTCGTCAGTATGGACGACGAATCGCCATAACCGTAGGTTCTCGTCCCCACCGCGGCGCACGATGGCCCGCGGCTCGTAGAACAAGGATGATCGGGTGTTCATCACAGAGCATACCAAATGACACGTAGCACCGGTATAACGACACGCACTCACTGAAGCAAACGTCAGCGCGAGCAGCGTCGCGCCCGCGTATAGTATGGTTGCCTGGTCCATGCCCAAGTCTACGGGGATGTCATGAACTTTGCAATACACGAGATCACGGCGCGAGAAGGAGGGTATGAGCGTAGAGAGGAAAGAGAAGGGGATGCTGCCACGATGCTGAGACTCCGGCCGTCTGCGAGTCTGTGCAGGGCGACCACAGCGGTTGTTGGAGGTTTGAACGCGTCCTTACATCGCCATTTCGTCTTGCCACGTTAACCCTGTCATATTCCCACAGTAACACGTCGCTTACACATTAGTAATGGACACTACAGCAGTACAGTACAGCTCGGTCTTGATCCAGGTTGTATCACCGCATTCGAACAAGTCAACCTCCGCTCTTTCGGGACACCCGTAAGTCCACGCAAGTGTATCCTGTTCATTTTGACGAATAGAATCTTCAGAAGCCATGGAAGATGACAAGCAGCTGGGGCTCCCCGCCGGCAGATACTACCCGCTGAGTGTGGGATATGATCATATACCACCTCCACAAGCACAACGCAACCCTTGCTGCCTGCTGTCTTACGTGCAAAACATGGCTCCAACTGCTCGGTACTACCTCTTCGGATATGTTCGCTTGACAGCGCGACGCGCCTACGACCGCTTTGTGGACACCCTCAATCACTCAACGGACCTCCCCACCCACGTTCGCACATTGACAATCAAGAAATGCCATAATCCATATAGCAGTTCATTCGACATCTCCCCCGTCCTGCTACGCGCAACACAGTTGTCTCACCTGCATCTCAGGATAGCCCTTGGTGTGACAGTACGCACGTCGCGCCTGGTGAACACTGTCTACCCCAAACTGTCTACCATAATCCTCGCAGGCGGGACATACCATGGTCTGGATATATTACGTCTCTTGCGTGCTTGTCCGGACCTTCGTGATCTGTGTCTGATGGATGTGGATGGCGGAATCATTCCCGGCGGCCCTCCCATGCTCTATACTCCTTCCAGCCACAACAGCCAGACATCCCTCCAAGTGGCATCAAAAAGCTCGTTTTTCTGCGAGTATCCGGTCTGTCGAATGGTCTCTTTTCCACAGCGCTCTACGGGTCAAGTTTCAACTGCAACACTTGGAAATGGAGGGCAATCTCGTCGCCGATAATCCCTGTCCGCAGATCCTTTGGGACTCGCAATCGTCGCTTCGCTCCTTGGTGCTGCACCACAGCCCTGACATTGACATAGATCACACGGATGCCGGTGCGTCTGCTGCTACCAGCTATTGTTGACCGTGTATTCTCACATGACTCCAACAAACGAAATTTGCAGAAACACGTTCGCTGCGGTTGAGCTCCCTGCGTTCGCTTTCCTTCGAGCCAGCGACGAACCTGTGGGAATGGAGTCCCGACTACATCATTGACATGCTCAATGTGACCAACGCGGATTGCATAGAGGACATACGGTTGAGCTTCATTCTCCCGTGTTACGGAGGGGTTGACTTCAAGAGTGTTGACGAAGCCCTGGGCTCATCCACTCGGCCGAATGTACGGATTACTGTGGCTATTGTGTTCGGCGGACAGTCCATTTCCTATCGCCATGACGTTGTGTCGGATGTCTTGCAAGGCTTTCCGCTACTTCGCGAAAGAGGACCAAATGTCACAATGACTTTGACTGATCAATATGGCCGCTTTCCGAAGGAGATCATTCGTTATTGAAGTCGGAACCCTCTGTTGCTTCATTTGATGGTGAGGGGTATTCAACTTGAAGACTTGCTCCAGCTGATGAGTGACTTACGACCTATTCCCAGGCGTTACTGGTCGACACGGTACGGCTGGTGTTTGTACTGGCAGGGTTGTGTACAGTATGTACGAACAATGTCTTTCATTCAGTACGTTTATGAATACGTACCATCTGAGTGATCGTGATATCGGTCAGACCGACACCACACGCAGTATTTCATGCATGCGTAATGACCGCGTGATGGCACGCATAGAGTACTCTGTTGTATGTCCGTCAAGTAACCTCTTCGTTGAAGCTCTTTCGTTGTTGTCCTTCCTTGGTGAGATACTCCGGGTCGTCTCGTTTGGCGGATCGACGTGTATCAGTGTTGCGCAACCGTCATCATCTTCATTCGCTCAACGACAATCGAACCATGTTGACAAGAGCTAGTAGGTACTGTGTGAATGATGTCCACGGTGCATTTGTCCTCACAGGCATACAAAGAATGTTGTCAATGGGTTATCTGTCGGGACTCGGGTACATGTCCGGAGATTCTGCGCTCGTGTACATAAGTAACATCTGCCGGTATCTGGATACCATGACACTCAATATGAGCCGCCTTGAATCTGTGCTTCTATGAGTTTCTGACAAGTGCGTCTGGAAGTCATCTCATTCTTACCGTCGCGTTGCCAGATGCGATTGTTCCTGGAAGACCGCCGCCTACTGTGAGTCCAGAGAAGTCCCATGTCCTGACGAGAACCAGTCAGCAGGCTACACGACGAAGGACTCCTCCTCTCGAACACGCACCCAGCGCAGTTGCCGCAATCGACGGTTATTCTGTGGCCACTCTCGACCACAGTAACGCTAGTGGGATCACCTACAAACTTCACGTCGCTAGAGAGAAGTTCAGCACCAGTCAGTGTATGAACGATGACAGATGGGATGACAGACCTGAACGGTGTATCTACCCCCGGTGTACCGTCGTCGTCGGGATAGGACTGTGTGCGTGTGACTAAGTACACATCTCAGCCAAGTCACTGCCGTTCTTGCCCACCTGGGTGATGAGAACGCCATATTTCGCGGCTCCGGATATGGTGTTCCTGTTTCACGCTGCGTCCATAGCTAGTTCTCGAATCTTGGCGAAAGACAGACATACATACCCGGTCCACGTCACATTGCTAACAGCACCACTTGTTGCTGCACTCTGGGCCTTCACGCGGGTGCCATACATCGAGTTAGAGACCGTGTTGTGGCTGAAAACCACACCTGTGACGAAGTCTCCGGTCGCAATAGAACCGATGGACATCCCTGCAAGTATAGCGTTAGAAACGTGTTTAAATTGCTCAAGGTCCCGGGAGACGTGCCATGACCCCCGGAGCAGACATTGTTTTGGAAGAGTATATTTGACCCGTCGTTGATGGCGACACAATCATCCTGGTTCTGCACCACTGTGGAACATCACGGGGATCGTCAACGTATCCCAGCATAGGCAGGACCAAACATACTGCAGTTCTGAATCGTGATGTCTGTTCCGCGGACGTCGAAGCCCTGCATGCCACTAATCAACCCAGCTAACCACGTACAGGCGCGATGTGAGGCTCACATCGGTGTTATGACCCAGCTCGCCCGCGTCGCCTGCTGCGTTGTTCACGTATACGCCAGTGATAGTTAACGGGCCCGCATTGGCAGCCGGTTGTACGCTGATGGCTTGCGCAGGAGTATTGTACGCCTGCAGTTTGGCAGTACGTCACCGCCGAGGATACATCAAAGGCCCACCAGATGAAAGACATACCACGAAGTTCTCAAACGTACCGGAGGCCTTGATCCTGATATTGTTTCAATATACTGCAGATCTGTGACCTGGCTACTTTGGCAGCTGCGTACTGTATGAAAGGGTGTGGCTTTGGCTTCCCCCCATTCGTGCCCAGTCCGTCCCAGTAGTCCGCGCCGTTTCCCTGAAAGGATCAAATACGTCAACACTGGATCACAAGAGTGTGTATGACATGAGCACATACGTTGAACATCATGCCGTTACCATTGAAGTCGACGTTTGTCCCCTCTGTGCGATTTGAGTATCAAGGTTACTCTGGATTCGAGGAAAACACACCGAATGTAAGGAGAGGACCGGAAGCTCGAAGAGCGTCACATTAGTACGTCGATTGAGCCGGCACAGCACTGAGCAGACTCCTTACCGACTGTACTCGCGAACGTGACCTCGCCAGTCATGGTCACTGTTGCTCCTTCCGCGAACTAGAAGGGTACGAGCGTCAGATTCCTGCACATCCGGGCTGTATGCCGTGCACGGCGTACACTCATTGTGACCTTAGCTTGTGACAGGTATGAGGACGACTGAAAGCGGTGTTACAAGATTAACTCACTGTCGTTGGGAACCGTGAAGGATGCAATCTCGACGCTCGGGCAACCCGAGAGATCTGACGCTGCCTCCACAGAATCTACCGTACATGTTGCCCGTTTAGCCGTTAGTATTCCCGAGGGAACAGCGAGGACAAACGGGACAGCTGCCGCCGTAGTTAGCAAAACTGGAAGGACGAACATAATGGCGATGCTAGGCCTTAGAGCTCACCGCTGTGAACTCGACATGAACTCGACCTTATATGCTCCGAGAAATGCAACCTGCTGGCTATACGTCGGAACGGTGTCAACCAGAAGTATTGCAATTGGTGGATGCCACCCAAGTCGAGGTCATGGTGTTCATCCTCGGCCCATGGGCTTGCTGCGTTCCCACCTGCGGCCCGGTACTTTGATCGAAATGTCGTGACTATGCTTTGGCTGGGAGGATTTGTGCAATGCCATATGGTGGCCAGGAAAATTAAGAGTGTCTTGAGTAAGAATCTTCGTTGGTGAGACGTCAAGTATACCCGACGGTGCGCTGTAGTCAGGGTGATAGCATGACAGCAAGGGAAGGAAGATGAGTTGCACACGATCATCCGGGCCGCTATAATGACACAGCTCCCGCATGAGAAAAGACCAAGTCCTGGGGTTGAATCATGAGACTTACCTTACAAGAACACGTAGCAGCGCTGGTAGGGAAACTTGAGATCGCTCAAGCAGCACGGAGGTATGGTCAACAGCGATTAGGCAATACCGCAAACAGTGTTGATGCATCCGCACCGAGGTCAAAGCTCGAGCACCTACGTAAAACAATCCCATACTTGCTGTACATAACCTGCACAGATATCTGCCGTCTCGAAACACCACTACGTTCAGATAATCAACACGCACCACTAAATTCTCCACCATTCATGATCCACGACCCCTCTCACCTCTGGACTGACCCCTTGCTCCCCTTATCCCCACGCGTGGGTGAGGGAATCCACGAGCGCCCCTCCCCGCAAATCCTGCTCCGAGTGCACCGCCTGAAGCTCCCGATGCTTGTGCCTCTCCTCTCCGCCTCCCATAGCTGCTGGGACTACAGTCGCAGCTCCCCTTCCACTCGGGCCGCCTCTGGCACGTCCACGTCCGCGACCAAAGCCTCTCCTCTGCAGAGGACCGTCGTGCACCGGTATGATACCAGGAACCAGCCTCCCGTGGCTGAGTCCCTGCCGGAAGCCGCCCATGCTCCCGCCCCGTCCAAACTTGATGTTCGACGGGACGAGGGAAAGGGCGTCGAGCGCACCTGCGAGACCCTGCATCGCCTCATCCGACTGCGTCGCCGGTGCGTCCTCGTCTGTGTCTTCGGATATGGGCAACCTCTGCGCAGGGGGCGCGTCGGCGTCGTCTGTCTCTGTCCGATGGTTTCATCCTCGCTGTCGCTGTCCGAGTCGATTTTGTCTCTGTCGCGCGCTTTCCATTGACCGCGGACCATGCTCGCGCCCTCTCCCCATTTCTTCAGAAGCCCTCCAACACCTTTGTTCGTCACCGCGAAGAAGAACTCCTTGGGGTATCCATGTCCTTGGATGAGATGCAGTCGACGCGCCTTTGGAGTAAGGAAGAGGCGCGAGCAGCTACCTAGATGGCAGGCAAACTGCGGGAAGTTATATATCGTTGAGCACCCGACGTTAAAGACGGCAGCACTCACAATTTTTTCTCCTCTATCTCTCCTCACGGCAGCGATTGGGTCGTGGCATTCTGTTTGATGCTAGCTCAGTCCCATCGCAGCGACAATGACAGTCACTACAAGGATCGTGTGGCTCAAGCGGAGAACGCTCACCAGCTCAAGCAACCGTGCGTCAGGAAAGACGCAGCCACATCCTTCCTCTTCGCAGACGTGAGCATGGTATGTGGCGTAATGCGACTCGAGTTCAGTACTATTCGCTAGCGGTGTCGGACGGTTGTGTGGCGGGTTGCATGTCGGAGGGAGGGTACACAGCAAAGGCGCAGAATTGGTGGAGGTATCCGGCAGACGGTGCGTACGGCCTTAGGCGTGGGTTCTGCAGAGTCGGAAGGGGCTGGAGTTTGGGACAGAGAGGCCTGCGAGTTGAGCGCGGTCGTTTGGACTTGGAAGCCATCAGCGGCAGATCAGGCCAAGAGACAGTCCTGTATATGAATCACAATGATAGCAAACCCTTGAACATCAATGCAGTCTGCGCGTTATCGCGTAAACAGGCCCAAAGGTCGATGAAGAGAAACAAGAAGCGTCGAAGCCTGAGCGGGTGGCGTCCGGCTTGGGCGTTTGCGCCAACAACGGAAAGCAGGCAAAAAAGGTTCAAAAATGAGTGGCCAACGCCGGGATCGAACCGACGACCTTGGCGTTACGTAAGCATGCTTATTAGCACCACGCTCTAACCAACTGAGCTAGTCGGCCATGATATTGAGGAATGTCAAAACATTTTGTACGTTAAAAACCACGATTTCGAACTGGTCTTCCCGAGTTCCCCTCACCCCGTGCGGTACTTACCTACGTTCGCTCATCGTACCTCACTGATCAGTCTGGCACTGCGCACCATGCCTACAAAGAGAACGTATCAATGAAGCAAGGGACTCTGGCCTTCACCGCTGGAAGCGTACGACTTCGACCGAGGCGAAGGGCAAGACGTCCCGGCCGATCACCAAACGCACCCCATCCTCCTCCGTCGAACCTGCTACTCCGGATGTCATCGAAATCGACAGCAGCGATGACGACGTCGTAGTATTGGACGACATCGAGAGCGGAAGCGACTTCGAGACGGCCCAGCAAACGCAGGGGAAGGGGAAGAGAAAATCCGCCGCGGCCGTGGAGAGCATCAGCGAGGACGAGAGCGGCACAGAGCCCGTGCCGAAGAGGCGGAAGTTGCGCGGTGCAAATGCGGGCAGGAAGGACGTGTTTGGGTCGCGAGATGGCACAGAGAAATCGGCAAGACCGATGTGGGTGGTGCCCCTGTGAAGCCGAAAGGGAGGGGCGCAAAGGCGCGCGCGAGCTTGGAGGGGGAAGGGCCGGTGGGGAGAGTCATGAGGAGGAAGGGCGAACTGGAGGACTTGCCGAGGGACGGGCGGTGGACGAAGCATTATGGTGCAGTGAGGGAGAAGATGGGGAACCTCGAGCCTGGTGAGTATTGTTCTACGCTTGGGTTGAGTATATGCGTGTGTGGTAAGAGGAAGCCAGGCTTCCCCTCTTGATATCTGCATATTCGCGAACATCCTGCACACTCGAAGTATCTGCTTCGATAGCAACGTTGGCCGAGGTTTTCACTCAAGGCGCCATGCTTGTAACAGAACTGACCATGAACGTTTCTTGTTCTCATAACAGTCCATGGTCAAGATCAGTCTCCCGTCGACCACATCCTGCGTGTCTTTGATATGTAGGTGTAGGGCTCCTCAACGCGATGAACCAAGCTCACTCGATTGTGATCTTACAAGGTCCTACGAGTACGGCCCATGTATCGGAGTCACTCGTTTGGAGAGGTGGAATCGTGCCGACGCTCTCGGTATAAACCCTCCCCTTGAGGTGCGTTTATCCGTGCGCTTCTCAGCTTACCGCTCACGATCGTCATGCTGGCCATCATCCAGGTTAAAGAGATATTATTGACCAAGGAGGGCACCGAAAATCCACGCTTCTCCGAATGTGTCTTCCATGGAGAGGTGTAACGCTGCTGCGTAGGCAGATCACCACGCTCTATTCTAGTCGCTCGCTCTGTGCTTTGTCTTGATCGCTGCTCGCCGTGTTGTCTCAAGTGGTTCGTGGACTGTACTCCGTCCTGTGTATTCTACCGACTGTGCTCAAGTAATGAATATATACATTGCCATGTAAGTGTCGACTTCTGTAGTCTTTCTGTTATTTGATAGGCACATGCCAGACAGCGCCCAGCGCACGGTGGGGAGTGCTTCCACGGTGTGTTGATTGGTCGATCATGTCAACGGGCGACACCGCCCCCCGTGTAGCCAGCCCCCTGCCGCCCATGTTGTCCGAATAACGCGCTCGCCCTGGCGCCCTCAGTCCCAAAATATCCGGTATTGTGATTCTATCGCATTGTGGTCTCAGCGTGCACAATCTTGAATCTTAAAGTCTTCTCTCGACCCCTCCACTGCCCCACCCACTGCCTCCACCCTTCCTCTCTATTCGCCCGTACATCATACCCGTATAAACTGCTAATACCCAGATATGCCTTCCTCTACGACTCTAGCAGCTCGGAGAACGTCACCGCCGCGCCAGAACTCCAGTACGCAGACGAATCTCAGTCGTGTTCCGACGCGCTCAAGCACCCACCGTGCATCGAGACTGAGGATGTGAAGCTCAAGCCTCGACTCCCCAGCATCAAAATCAATACACCCATGTCGCCCATGAAGTCGCTTCGGTCGCCCGTCGCGAACTTCAACCTCAGGTCCCCGACGGCGAAGAGCGCACCCGCAGCGCCGCTACCACCTGGTGCGTACAAGCAACGCTTCCGCGCGACGGTCCACCGCGTTATGGCGATGCGCCGTGCGTCGACGATGATGATGTCCTCGGGACGTATCGGCGCGGAGCCGGGCATCGACCCCCGCCGCGCGAGCGCGAACGCGCACTATGGCCATATCCGTCAACAATGCGTGATCGAGATTGTGGACTACTCTGTCACGAAGTGCAGCGTCGGTCGGATGGGGAACCGCGAGCTGGTGGAGATGCTGGGTTCGCAGGAGGCGAGCAAGCGGGAGCCGTGGGCGAGGGTGCGGTGGATCAATGTTGGCGGGATCAGTTGGGATGTGTTGAGTACGTTGGCGCTGCGATACGGTACGTCGGATTAAGCTAGTGCAGTGATGGACATGACATACTATAGGTATGCACTCTAGACATGCATCCCCTCGCGATTGAGGATGTCATCCACCAACACGGCAGCAATGCCCGCTCCAAGGCGGACTACTACCCACAACATCTCTTCCTCCGCATCCTCTGTCACCGTCTCGCGTCTGAAGATGACGGCGATGATTCTGACGACCCGGGAAGCATAGACCCGGGCAAGATACCCCGCTCGGATTCGCCTGAACCCATGGAAGAGTCCGATTACGAGCCAAATGGATGGGGGAGCAAGCGGCCGGTATCAATCAAGTTTCCAACGAAGCGATTCGGGTCTGCGAACGGAGCTGCAGCAGAGGACGTGGAGATGGTCCGCGGGAGACACACAAAGGCCGCCTCAGTCGCACCCCAGCCGCTGAAGGTAAGTTTCGATATTATAGGCATTGCTTGTGGGCAAGGGCAAGCCTAAGCGAAGGTGGGCTTAGCTGCAGAAGACCTACACGCGGGAACAGAAGGCATTGCAAAAACTCAAACTTGAGAACGAGGATCGGGTGAATGTCAAGATCAGCCCGGTCTGCATTTTCCTCTTCCGTAATGGTATGCATTGGCCCCTCCATGTACCCGGTGAGCTTGCTAAATCTCGTCGACAGGCACGGTGATCTCAATATCACAAGGTTCGTATTGGTCTATGGGATCGCATCCTTGACTCGACAGCCCTGACATGATACATTCATCGTATGCAGAGTCGAACCTTGACTTCATGGCGCCCATTCGGGAGCGCCTCCGCCAGGCTGACACAGGACTACGGAAAACCGCGGACCCTTCATTACTCGTTCAGAGCCTCATTGACCTCAGTACGTCTGCGCGCAGCTCTGCGATCCGTGTTCGCCAACCCATGATCATTCTTCTCCAATGCAGTCGTAGACCAGGCTCTCGAGGTGGTCGAGGAGTATCAGGGCAAGATTCTCAAGATCGAGCGGGACGTGCTCATCCGTCCGAAGATGAAAACTGTGACAGCACGTACGTCTTTCCCCACGTCATACCTTGTCCACCACCTTCAATGTGTCGTAGTGCACATGATGCAAGGAGACCTGAACATGCACAAACGTACGCTGGAGCCGATCAAGACACTCGTGTACGGCCTGCGCCGATACGACGCCGACCGCGCCGCGGCGATAATGGCGAGTGAGGGGAAGGTATGGGAGGCAGTGACTAGGCCGGCGGGGTTCATGAGCGAGAAGTCGAAGATATATCTGGTGCGTACGGGCTTTCTTGTGACAAGCGGATTCAAGGCTGATGCGTTGGTGGGATGCGTGCAGGCGGACGTGCACGACCATATGGAATACATATTGATGAGCCTGGACATGTTCGCGGGAGTCAGCGACAACCTCGTCAACTACACTTGCAATGTGCGTAGAGCGAGACGTCTGCTGTCTCCGTGATGGTACTGATGTTCGACTAGATGGTGTCGTACCAAATGAACGAGGGCATGTGCGTAATCTCTACAACCACGTCGTAGTGGGCACGCTAACCCTTGTCCTTGTACTGCCAGGCGGCAACTGACACTCATAACGATCATTTTCCTTCCTCTTACGTTCCTTTCCGGATACTTTGTGCGCTCTCAATCTGCCTATGTCGAAGAAAGCGACGGAACTGACTTCGCACAGGGGATGAACTTCACGCCGTTCCCGGCGGTGAACAACAACACCGATTTCTTGTACGTGAATCTTCAGGTTATAGAAACTCTGACTAAGACTGGCTGCCATGTAGGTTCTGGAAGATTGCGATACCAATCATGGCCGTCGTGATGCCGTTGTTCTTGTGGTCCGACCTCATGCGCGCCGTGCGGAACATCGGCAAGCACTTGATTCGGCGGGTGAGCAGTACAATACTGTTGCGAGGTACCCTGGCATGCGCTGACAGTCTGGTAGGATCCAGTGCGATAGTGTTCGTGTCTGTCTGAGGTGTCAGGGAGGGATCTACTAGGATATTGCTGTGAACTCGCTTTGCTCTGGTATTATTGCTTTCACAATAGACATCATCATACCACCCTCGAATTCGCAATAGAGTGGATAATCAACACTTCGTAGTGAGGATAATCCTGTCCAATAGGGCGCCAACACATAGCTTCGCACACAAGCACCACGTACACGTATGCAACAATACATTACAAGCCCGGCCTCAACTTGAATGCAACAAACACTACACTAAGCTACTGGCAGGCCCACAATTCCATTTACCAGCTCCCAGGTCTCACCAAATGGCGAGATCAAGAAAAGCCAACAAAAAGAAGAGTGAGGGATCCCCCGACGACGCAAGCCGATACTGCAGTGGCAAGGTCATCGCGTCCTCGGGTTGCAAGCAGAGCCCGAGAACAAGGGCGGCAAAAATTAGATAACCAATAATGGAGGCGGTGCCTCCATAATAGTGGTTAAACTATTAAGAACAGATACTACACTTGATCTAAGCCAAAAGGCCAGAGTGGTAGAGATTCACGATGTCGGGGGCCACCTTATATACCCGGGCAGAAGTGCGCACGGACCATCGGCGTTTAGCCGCCGTGAAGCGGGAACGTGGTCATGTGGTCAATGTCGACAGCATAGCACAACGCGTTCTCCGGGCACTGTACTTTTTTATCATCCTCCAAAATATTCATACAGAAGGTGCATGATCACAGATCACAAATACATACATCACGGCAAATAGTGGTGTAACAGGTGAATCCGAACTGCTAGTGGATGCGCGACGAAATAAAGGTGCACTGTCCTGGCCCGAATTCGAGAACAAAACATAAACCTAGTACTTCCCAAGCACCTGGGATCTCGCTTGAAAGACGCTCGCCCTCGTCAGGCGAGCAGTCTCAGCCGCCCTCGCCCTCGCCAGACGGGCAGTCTCAGCCGCCCTCGCCCTTACCCGCGTCGCGGACTGCTGCGCCTGCAATGCACTCTCGCGCGCAGACTGCTGCGCCTGCAATGAATTTTCGCGCGCGGATTGCTGCGCCTGCAATGCAATTTCGCGCGCGGATTGCTGAGCCTGCAATGCATTCGCACGCGCGCTCGCACTCGCTTGCAGTGTCGACTCAAGTATCTTCAGGCCCGCTTGCGTACTCCCCTGTATCATGCTGCCAAACTGCTTCGCTCCCGTCCCTACCAGCGCACCCACGAGGTCGACGAGCCCATTGCTCCGTGCAACTGCAGACTCCTCGTCTTGGCCGTGCAGTCCAATTGTGATCTTCCCGTGCCGCGTACCGACGATGCAGTAGTCTTCGTTCTCTTGCGGGGTGGAGACTTCCGTGTGTGAGGTGGTAGATGAGAGGGAGACCAGCATCTCGTGGTCGTTTCCACGCACGACCCGTGCCTGTGCGGCGAAGGCTGGGAGGAAAGTGACACCGCTAGGACCTCGACGAGTTCTGAGTGCAATGACACCATCGTAATTGGGAGGAAGGTATATCGTGATATTGCCATGGCGAGTAGAAACGTCCAGGTCGACGCAGCGATTTGGGTGGATCTCCGTCTGTCCTATCTGTCAGAAGATTGTTTGTCAAGGACACGCAATGTACTTACGAGCTTGGCCTCGATGCGCCCATGGCGACTTGACAGCATCACACGGCCGCGCGCCTTGCGTTCTGCGGACTGCGACGCAGCAGCATCTGAGCCCACGATACCGAGGATGACCTTGATGTTCCCATGGCGCGTCCTGAAAGCGCGTTGACTTCCGGCCTGCGCGTGCCGCGCCTCCGCAGCCATCCCTTCTTATCTGACTCATCCGACTCGCACCCGTCGTCCTCATCGCCTGGCACGGAGCCAAACACGTCGCGCACGTTTCTCGCGTGAGTTTTATCGAGCGAACGATCCCGCTTGCTTTGCGAGAGCGGATGCTTCAGATGGGGATCCACGAGATATGTTCCTATACGTGTACAGTTAGATGGCTTGTGCTGCTAGGGTGGATGTGAGGACATGTACCAATGATAGGATCGTGCCGCGAGTACAACGACAGGTGATTGACGGTCTTCTCTTGCGGAGAGCGGAGGAGCACAGAGGCAGGTACGGGTGGCGATGCAGGGCTCTGGAGCTGCGATGCGGACGGTCTGTGGTCTACCGACACAGGACTTGAGAGCTGCGACGATGAAGGCGGTCCAGGATTAACGAATCGAATCGATGATGTACCAGCGATCTCTTCATACGGAGGAGGTGCGTCCGGATTCTGGGAAGAACAGTTCTCTCATTCCGCCGTTCACAAGTGTCCATTACAAACAAACATACCTGCACATTCAAACTGTTGTTGTATGATTCGGTGTTCTTCTCGGAGGCCGCATACTCTTTCACGATCATGGCTACTCGTTAGATAGGACCCTCAGCGGTAGCGTGGAAGGTCGCCTCTGAAGATCTGATGGTTGGTCGACGCGTGAGGGGAAAGGTATCACTGTCGATATCAAGCCAAACAGGAACTATATAAGCTGTGACGATTAGCGCTGTTGCGCAGCCAGTCAAACCTTGTACTTATGTAGAGTCAGTCGTAACCACACCATCGTGCATACATCAACAAGGGCACTGCCACTGCGAAGCTAAGCAGACACCTGCTATGATTGATTCATGACGAGGACGGTACTATCGCGGCTAGGTATAGCCTGTGCACATTGGCAAAGCAACGGCTGGGACTGGGTGCTTTCAGACGGCAGCACCATTTTGTTCAAAACAGCTCGAAGTCCTACCAAGCAGTGTGTGTGAGGATATACACTGCGGATAAGAATGGGTGACGAATGTCAGCCAAAGCACCACATCCAAAACATTCACAAGAGCCTGGGCATATCTGTCAAGATGCATGTACGGCGATCCAATGTGTGAACGTACATGAAGACAAGGAAGCCTGCGCAACGACAGGTGGTGAGAGGACGACAGATAGGCCTGCCACTCAATCGGCGGCGCAATGGGTAGAACGCAATCCATCGATATGCGTAGGGAGGCTGGCGCACATACGCAAGCTATGTATATGAACCTACGCGACAATGCAGTGTGCGCAGCTTCGCAGCGTATATCATGCTGAACCTAGACTGCATCCCGGGGTCATGCCAAGGGCGACAATCAGTTCCGGTGCCTACCCCTGCCATCTTTCAGTGTCTCTAAGGTGTGACAGACGGGTTGGGCCACTCACAAGAGAGATGGGCCTCGCACATCGCGAGAGTAGCTGATGAGACAACTCAAACAGTTTATGGCGGTCAGGGTTACAGGGCGTAGACGAACGCTATGCAGTTTCGACACCAATCAATGTAGACCCGAGACCAGTACACGGACCTCGAGCACTGGGTATTGTTCGACTTGGACGACCCACCTATGTTTCTGAGACGAGGGCCGAATGGAGACCACAAAATCTAGGCCCCATGAAGTGTGCGCAATTTGAGGTGTCACCGAATCAAGGATCGCTTGCAAGGCCCAATGAGTTTGTCGTGACAAATAGTCCAACGTGTACTAGACGTACCTTTCACCTCTGCTCTGACTCCTTGAGGGTAGCCTTGCTCATGATGTCTTTCAAGTATCGCATAGGATACAGCCTGCGTTCAACTGGATCTCACGCATCAATACTCTCAGGATATGCAAACTGGATGTAACCCGACCAACTCCTTCAGCTCCATACTTACTTGACGAATGTGTGCCCTCGAATTCAAGCTGCACTTGCTTATCGACCTAATTGTCTGGGTGTCATTCACCTGCAACTCGAAAAGGGTTTCAGTCATGGGAAATCGGTAGGCGCACATCGGGCTGCGAGGATAAACCCAAACAGCAGGTGCGGTGAAGACGAGCTAAGAACGAAGTTCAAACGCATGGATCCTCAAGCAAAGAATGACGACATCACAATCATGTTCAAGCAAGCAGTCATGGTGTTTTGAGGCATGCATGTGATACATGGCGGGCAATAGAGTCATAACAGTGCGACAACATAGAGTAAGAGTGGATAGACCGTTTACTTGGCCTGAACGACGCTACGTAAGCACGCGGCGCGCGATAATCAAAACAGTGAACGCACCAGGATGATACCGTCGAACCGCTGCTTGAACCACGCCACCGTATCATCCTTCTTGACACGGTGCTGGAAGCCAATCCTCGCCTTCTTCTGTTTCCGACGTGCGACCCGCGCGCCTGGCCGGCCCATCACGACGTAGAAGTCCATACCGAAGATACCGATACCGGGGTCGTACCGCGCACCGAGGTCGATGTGCTCCTGGATACCGAAACCGAAGTTGCCGGTCTCCGAGAAGTTTCTGCGACGGAGTTCGTACTCCTTGACCTTCAGCCCTCGCTCGAGGATCTCCTCCGCCTTGGGCCCCCGGATGGTGACGTGCACCGCGATCTTTTCGTTACGCCGAATGCCGAAGGTACGGACGGTGTACCGCGCCTTGGAAGTGACAGGCGTTTGCCCGGTGAGCTGCTCAAGCACCTTGGATGCCCGAGTCAGACGATCACCAGATTCACCGACGGAGATGTCTGCAGAGTGTTTGTTTGAATGAATGGACGTCTAGGCAGCGTGTGCGGGGTACATACTGATGACGAGCTTGTCGATGCGCAGCTCCTTCATGGGGTTCGTGGGGGCGGTCTTCTGGTCGGCCTACACATATGCATGCTCAGTGCCTGCAGGTCGAGCGTAGCAGCGACAGAGAGGTACTTACCATCGTGTCGGGCGTGTGTCTTGCTGGTCCTGCCTTCGGGCGTTGCAGTCGTCAATCCCAATGGCGGGAGCCAGCGCTCTCGGTGGCTTGGGAACAACTGCATAGTTCTGCGGCAAGTCCCGTTTAGCTGCCTCGTCGCGATCACGTGCATTTCTTCCTCGTACGCACGCTATCGCGACACTACTAGACACGACCCAAATTGACACACAACCGCGATCGTACTCGTTGTACGACCCTGTAACCCCTAGTCTCATTTCAAGACCCTCCACGCATGGAGTCTACGTTGCAGTGAGCCTACCGTCACCCCAAGGATAGAGGTGCACGGCAAACCACTCATAGACGGGATTCTAATATTGAGGACATCAAGTGCAACGAGCGTTCTCGACTTCAATATCATGCAATAAGAACGATCTCATCTCGTCACGGTGTGCCTGTTGCAGGAAGAACGCCAAGCGGGAGTCATCATTCGCCTTGACCTGTTCTGTTGGAAGCAAGGCTGCAGGGCCCCCTGTGTCCGTGTTTCGTACAGGATACAGAGTTCCTGTACGAACAGGAGGCGATGGCGCATGTCTGCCAGACCGTTCCAATCTCACCCTCAATCCGCGAGGTATCCACCTCATCGCCAAATACCAAGCGTTCTCTTTGACAAAACGCCGACTGGAGAACGTCGGCAAGTTTGGCACGTACATGCTGGTAGTATGCACCTCGCTGGCAGTGAGGTGGTCAATTACGAGAGATGTCGCCACGACGAGCCCATAATTGGTATGTAAGTGGCCACTGGCTCATAGTATTAACAAATGTACATCGCCGCCTTTGTTCGGTGCTCTATCGACAAGCCTGACCCGCCGACAACGGGCATATTCACTGACCTACCGAGCCCTCACCGTCATGGAACATTCCACGCTAGCCTGCCGGTACGGCCTCGAGAAGTGCACACGACTGTCGTACACGACACACTTCGACCGGGGCAACTGGTTCTCAACCTCCTTGCAGAACCTGTGTGCGCCGTTCTCGGTCATCCAGCAGCCCTCAGGCTTAGGATCCCAAACCTCGACCCGCACGTTCATCCCTCTTCTGGCATAGCGCGCGGGAAGCTTCCCGAGCAGCTTGTCAATGCTATCCCAGGGGAATAGCTTCCAGCTGGTGCCAGTGAACTCCTCTCGGTAGCCGATGTTGAAGTGGAGTTTGACGCGGTGGCGAGATCTCTCGATGACATGTTCTATGAGAGTGGGTATCCAGGTCAACGTGTCCGGGTGGATGTTGCGATCGAGGTGTGTCTTGCCGATGGTGAGTGAGCGCACGTTAGTGACATCGAGCTTCCTGATAACCCTGGCCAGAGCTAGTGAGGGGAGGATAAGCTACAGAGCCAAACGACATCCACGTCTGATTGACGCACCCGACTGGGCAGTGCCCGCACCAGCGCTATTGATCGACAACTCGATTTTCTCCAGAGCGTTTCCAACGACGTTGTCCAGCAGATATAGCAAGGGGTCGATGTAGTCACAGTACCAGTGGACCCGCAAGTGGCGCAAGCGCAAGATGAAGCGGGGCTGGCACAGTACACCAGCGAGCCGCAGGGCGTGCTTGCTCAGTAGTAGATCGAGCCTCTCGATGACGAGGTCAGGAAGAGGCGTCTGCTTGTGCAGGCTCCTTGGGCATAGGATTGCCCTCATCGGCTCCATCGAGGCCTGGTCGAAGCCAGGGTGCAGCCCCTCGCTGCGATGCGACAACTTCGGGTCGCCTACCTGTATCCGCGAGATCTTCGGGAAGCCGCAGAACAACTTGACGAATTGAACCGGATCCTCGATCTCGCATTCTTCCATCCGCAGACAGGTCACGTTCGGGAAGCAGCGGAGCAGGTCGTCTACAAGCGACGCAGGGAGGTCGACGGCCGGCCAGAACGCAATACCGAGGGTCTCGACGTTGCGGAGCTTCTTGAACCCACGCGCGACGCTGTTCATGTCGATCCCGCGGAGTGGCAGGTCTTGTAGGATGATCTCCCGCACGCATTGCAAGAACGTGATCGGCATCGACGTGCGCGAGATGATGAGACTCGTGAAACGAAGACAATCGTAGGACGACCGGATGCGGACGCTCCTGAACAGATGCAAGCGCGTCGCGGGGAGCCAGCCACTGCAAGTGAGGCTACACATTTTAAGTGCCCTAGGTTCGGTCCAGAGGTGGTCGAGGACTCTTTCGACGATCTCCGGAGCAAGGCAGTAAGAGGCGTTCTTGTAGCTGTAGCGAGTAACCCTGTAATAGACGTAGCATGAGCGATCCAGTTCAAGTTCGAGGCGTAGCAAACGGGCAAGTGGCAGTCAGTATTCTAGTCGACGTAGACAACGCACCTCCGAGCGAAGCTGAAAGACCCTCCGAATATGAAGGACATGGTAGAGAGAGACGCGGCTGTTCGTTGGGCAGTGTCAAGCCTATATATGCTGCTAGGCTGTCGAACCCAGTGGCAACATGTGCAGTTACATACGCACAATGAGGTTGCAAGCCGCTGCAGCAAAGCTTGGAGTGGCAAACTATTGTTACAATTCCATGGGTTTCGTTCCGCCTTGCCATCTCCGGACTGCATTCTAATCGACCGAATTTGGCGGGAGGCAGACTTCTAGTCGCACAATGCAATTTGAAATGGTGATCCACGTTCTCTTGCTGAGTTTCTCTGGGAACTTGAATGAGAGACACTTAGTCCTACCAGGCCGGTCATATATAGCATGTCTGGTGCCAGCAAATAGTAGAAACTTCAATTCAGTACTTACGCGCACATTGAGTTGTCGAGGTGAGTGGCGGGGTGGCGGCGCTTGGCGGAACGCGCCACCGTGACCGTGACGCGACCTACTGTAAGTGTGGTGCTTTAAAAACCTTCAGAGACTGGCGAAACCTCAGATACCAGTAACTTACAGTAGTTTGCTTCCCTGAACGGTTCGTGCAGCTCATACCGTACATGTATGCTTTGCGAGGAAGAACTCAACAACCGGATAGCTAATAAGCGACGAGACCAACCTATAAGCCCTGTCAAGCCCTTCAAATACAACCGAAATGTGAGTCATGTGAGATACAACTGAAACTCCGTGTTCACAGTCCAATACAAGTCCGTCCATCTTTGACTCTCCTACTCCTGGCTGATCACCTCCGGCGTCTTCTTTGCCTTGTCAATTGGCTGGGGTACGTCGATGAGGTTTGCCTGTGCCTCCAGCTGCGCCGCCCACATCGCAGCGCCAATGGTGTTCGTGAAGCTGAAGAGGAGACCAATGAGAGGAATGTAGTTGAACAGCAGTGTCACTACGCCGAATCTGCACGAGGCATCAGTAACGTGCAACGCCTGTCTCCACACTCATCACTCACGCAGTGTACTCTCCTCTCCTCCTGTCCACGAAAGCGTGCCGCTGGTTTTTCGAGAAGCCCTTGAGTTGGAAGTATCGTGAATGCCAGCCAGGGCCGCCGATGTATCCGTTGTAGAGTACAAACAGGACCGTCCCAAGCACGGGGACCATATTGATCGGCAACGTAATCAGGTAGCGTACGATGCTACCCGTGGAGAGTATCTGCAGCGGCTTGACCAGGGCGCTTTCGACGCTGGCCGTGGCACCCTTACCGCGCGTCTTGCCTGTCTTGACGAACTCTCCTTGCCCCCGCGCACGAAGTGTGTTGTCGAAGACCTGCGTGAGGGCGGGCTCAATGAAGAGCGGGCGCGCTAGGAGGGCGAGCAGGAACGCGGATTCGGCGCCCACGACGAAGAGAGCAAGAACCGGAGCGAGGGGCCCAGACACAATGGCAAGAATAGCCATCTGGGGGACGTATGTGAAGAACATGAGAAGGCCGAAGATGGCGGCGGAAGCCACCAAGGACTTCACGATGGCGGGGCGGACGCCAATGATGACATTGGGGTCTACATTCCAGTAGGTACGTGAACACAGCGCAACGGTTCAACTGTATCCTGGCTTACGTGTGATAGCGAAGTAGACACCGCGGATAGGCCAGAGCCATGCGAAGGAGGCGATTCCGTGTGCTCCGAGAACGACGGCTGCCTGGGCCTCGCGGAGGACCGTGTGCATAGCAGCCTGTACGTGTGATTCTTCACCGGACGGCATGGTGGTCGCGGGACTGAGTTTTGGTGGATGCACGTCGAGACGGATGAGTTGGAGGCGGAGAGAAGGCGAACGTGAGTAGACCATGGCCCATCGTCGTCACTGAGTACTGTACTTGGAACCACCCAAGCGCCGAAGACTGTGAGATCATAGTGGCACACATGCACGTGGTTGTGACACGTCGCGTTGAACCACCCAACAACCACCCATGGCCAACAACGCACGCGTCGACCACGCGGTGGACTTTCCTCGTCTCCCCGTCCGGGTTGTCGTGAATCCCGCTCAATATTCCGCTCGAAGCGCCGTCAATAGTAGCGGTGCTAACCTTGCTCGCAGCACGCCAATTCATAGTGTACATGAATCAACTCGGACTGCGCGACGTCCGATAAAGTACGGTACAGAACACGCTGCGCCACCGGAGCGACGTATACGGGAGCACGGTCACGCTGCTCGTGATTCTGAGGTAGTTCCCGCACTTGCAGCTGGACCCAATAGGACGGTGCGTGGAGACATGAATCCAATTTTGGTGCGTATAAGGGTGTCAAGGGAGACTTCCCGACGACAAGGCCTGCTGACGATGTGAACACGCAGTGGTCATAACCGTTCATTGAACGGTGAGTACCTTCATACCAGTGCTCACTGGATAGCAAGGGATTTAGAACAGGTGGGTCCTCAACCTTCGAAAATAGGGAGTATCGACACGTTGACCAGCGGATTCTGTGAAGCAAAGAGATGCATGCCATCTATTCTTACGCAGCTCTAAGTAGGCTCTGATGTTCGACCATATATTTGGTTGAGCGTATTTCTCGTCTGCGCCAACTTATTGCATGACTGACCGACTCCCATGGATAAATATATGCTTAGCAACGCCACGAAATCAAGTTGACAGTCGCGAACAGACATGAAGTGTCATTATCATGGGGATATATGGGCCCGGGAAATGCGGGCTAAGACTGTGTCTATTTTGACATGTCCGCTCTGTGGAATTCCGCCGCCGACTTCAAGTTCCACAGAGGCATTGACTTGTGAGGGAAGTACTGTAGCGCGTCTCCGTGACTGACGGCGTCGGGCATGTTACTTATACTTAGCTCCACAGACATGACCGCGGGCGTGGGATAGAAGATCAGGGTAAGCCGTAAGCCTATCTCATATGCTTTGTCGATACGTTCTCCGTTTTCCTACACCGGTCCTCCGTCGTGATACTGCTCGCCTCGTGCAACTGGTCTCGAGCGCTCTCGTCATTGGCCAGTGCTCGCAACTATTCAGAACACTCAAACTGACTTTGAAAATTCCAATTGCTTTCGTGTCATTGCGCTCAGGGAGGGGGCCTCCTGCTATCCACATGACACTATCACTTCCTAGCACAGACATCTGACAGGAAGTACGGAGTCTTATGCTTCGATCACTTCTGCCCGGGCCACTGCTCGTCCGAGAGGAAAGAGGGTAAGAATGCAGCTTTCGGTGCTTCTCACCGCACGTACGTGTACGTCCTTTCGGCCCCGTTCAATAAGCGTACAAGTGGCATGATATCTCTGAACTCTTCGGCCCGATCTGCATTTCTGCCTCAAGGACGCTGCATGGGTAATGTCCGCTATCACAGTATGCCTTCATTGATCCCATAGATACCTGTTCTCCGGCCTTCAACATACACTCAACGTTACCGGCCATACATTGAGCTGCCAAGGTCCATGCTCGGTTCATTAACGAGGAGGCGTCATGTCGTCCTCTTTGTTTACAAATCTTGGGGTATGAGCATTCAGATTGATGGAGGACGAGCACTGACGGCATCTGCGGTCTGGACAGGTCAGATACGACCACTATGCGACCTCGCGGCACACATGGTGCAGCTGCGGGCAATTGTCGTTACTCTATTCACCACGGCAACATTCTACGACCGTGTCCAGAACGAGCTGAAGCGCAACTTCGCGGCAGAAGACATTCATCGCATGCTGTACATCAGGTATGCGTTGGCTCTGTCTGCATACGTCAGCCATCTGCTCATTCTTTCAACAGAGTCATTGCCCTACACCACAATCGCAGCGACCCGCTCGATAATCGGATACTAGAGAGTTCATTCTCAAAGGCGTTCGAGCGACTCATCAACCTGCGACCTATCCCATGCATCCACACCGGAATGGAGTTCGAGACCATTTCTGCACCAGACGGCGTAATCCTCGACGTAAGTCACTATCCCGTGACCTTTACTCTCTTCTCATCATCGAGTCGCTGCCTGTTTTTAGTTCCAAGGTCGTGGGCCCCTATCAGAGATCCGCCGCATCAGTCGCAAACATGTCAAGGTCTACGTCTGGTTCGCCGGCGCGCCCTCCGCGGTATTCCGCATGTACTGTCCCGAGCAGATGGGCGGAATTGGGAATCTGCCTGCGAAGAGTGACTACCTCGCAAAGCATACTGGCATGAGCGTCGAGCGCGCGGCGGGTGAGGTACGTGTTCCTACTTCTCCTGAGCGAGACGCCCCGAGACGAAGGTACGGGATGCGGCAGATAGCACTAGGGAACTCAGCCTGTTTGATCTGCATACCAGGTCTACCGGCAATCTACGACTACGAGGTCCAACCACAACGCGTGAGCACGCTAGCTACCTCATCGTCTCCACCTACTGAGCTTGCTACGAGCAGCTGATGGGCCCGATAGGCCAGGTCGGCGACATGATGCTGACAGCCTATGAGTCAGTGTCCGAGCATTGTGCTGTGCTTGAGATTTACTGACCGATGCCGTAGAACATTGTCCGGATGTGACGGGATAATTCTAGCCGCTCCAGAATGCTACGAGCGCGAAGCAACTGTGGCCCTTCGGGAGTACTTCGCGTCAACGTCTCGCACTGTGTACGCATGCGGGCCTCTGGTTTCTCAAGTCTCCAGTGGGGTCGCTGGTGAGAAGCAGCAGCCGAGTATTGCGCCAGTGGAAGAGTTCTTGTATGCGACCATGGCGAGCCATGGAGAACGCTCACTTGTCTACGTGAGTGTATCAATGGACGGCGGGGCGACTGCTCAATCACTGACTCGGAGTCACAGATATCCTTTGGCACCATCTACTGGCCCTTGGAACCGGAGAAGCTATCTGCCTTCCTCGATATTGTTATATCTATGAGGATACCTTTCGTAAGCGTCATCAGTCCCGCATCCCTGCGCCAGTGGCTCATGAGTTACAGATCCTGAACCACGCATCACCCTATTTACCTGCAGAAGAGTCAATAATCGACAAGGTGACGAAGTACAGATACGGACTCTTCACCCGTTGGAGTCCTCAGCAACTGATACTCGGTCATTCGGTGAGCAAAGAAACGTTCACACACGTACTTACGCCCGTGAAGAACTGATCTATCGGTGTAGGTAACTGGCTGGTTTGTGACAAACGGAGGCCACAGCAGCGTTATTGAATCCATTGCCGAGGGTGTTCCTATGTAAGTGCTCTCGCCTTCGTAGTAATCACGAGACAGGGCTTACGCCAATGCCCTAGGATATGTTGGCCGTTTTCCTTCAACCATTCCCTCAATGCAGTGCGCGTCAGTGAGGGACTGAAGATAGGATACGAGCTGCTCGAGACGCGGAATGGACCAGGGCTCAAACGTGCCCATCGTCTAGGGAAAGCGCCGCAGGGAACCCTGGAGGCGTTCATAGAGGAGGCTCGAGATACACTGCGCCGAGCCCTGGGAGAAGACGGGGTGCGGAAGCAGCGCAATGTGCAGCGACTCAGGCGCGAAGTCGCGCAAGCCTGGAGCAGACGCGGCTCTTCCAGGAGAGCAGTGGAGGAGTTGCTCAATTCGTTCGGATGTGGAGGTGCTTTCCTGCCTTCCTGGTTGTGCTGAGTCATTCACTAGTATGGACACTGCGTTATATGGTACTGCTAGTGTGTGCATTGCAACCAAAATGAGGGCCTTGCTGGAGGATTAATGTATGTAGTGCCCAGCGTGAGCGTGAACTTGGAAGTTTGTGACGCAGACTCGCACTCGCAGTGAGAGACGTGACAGGACGTGACATGTGACCAACCATCTATGCCAGCGGCAACAATCGCGACTTTCCATCCCTTCTCCATGTCGAGCGTCCGCACGAGTAATAGCCCACTCGAATTAAAACGCCTTGTCAGTACGCTCTGCTGTGTCATGGGCCCGTTCTTCATGTCTTCCGGAGTGGTCTTGAAGTGGATGCTCGCTTGCAGCCTGGGCCTCAGGCTGATCCCAGTGCAACACCAGCCGCAATAATTTCAATCAAGTTCAAATCCTACAATCACTGAGGGAGAGAACTGTGCCGCATCATGCATAGATGCGTAGGCGGTGATAGGCCTATAACACGTAGGATGCCTGGTACGCATCTTACCCATAACGCGGCCCGGGACTCTAATTTACCGTAACGCACAAGTGCAGGACGGCGTCACCAAAGCTTCCGTAGCAAACATCCCGAAGCCAGTATCGCGAGGGATGGTAGTTCCTCAATTCACCACGAGTTTCAGCCTGTCGAAACTGGACGTACGGACGATCAACGGTGCGGTGCCGAACTTGTTTGACCTTGCTTTGACATGGCACCCTTGATCTTTCTTGTTGATACGGTTCACTGCTACTATCGGTCGCTTCAACTCGTGACAGTCCACAGGCTCTCATGTACCTCGTGGAACCAAGTTCCTACGAGTATCCATGAAGGTGCCTCGGTCTGTACTACGATTGCTGCATGTGCCTCGTCGTTAGTCAGTCGCCCACATACTCTTTCCGGGTCGCTTGACCATCTGTCTGGCATTTTCACCCCGAAATCTGCTTGCCGGCTTTTTTAGGTCTGCTACGGAGACTACCCGAATCCGAACAGCTCTGACAGTATGGACTGCCTAGACGACGCTGATGTGTCAAAGTTCGCGAAACTTCTGCGAACCTTGAGTAGCCTTGCTATGGTGTTTCTCTACAGAGTTTTTATTGCCACTGAGGCTTGGAAGTCGGGACAGGTGTCGGGACGCGCTACTCAGCGCTTCATACTTGCGCGTGGAGACAATCACGCTGCTCGTATTCATTGCAAAAGGTTCGTTACAGGCTGGAGGCACATCCGTGGCCCCCGGCCTTCTACCCTACGTCGAGGCGGAGCCACTCAGAAGCTTCATTGAAGAGGAGCGTCATCTCCCAGTGCGTCGCATCAGGTGGGTAACAATGCGACGCGTTATTGTGAAACGTAATATGACGGTTGATCGCTCAAACACTCATAGCCAGCAGACACAATGGGCGCGCCCTGCATTCGCAGAAGAATATATGGGAATTTCCGCCTGAGCATGAACACCAGGGTGAGTGCAAGGATCGGACACTTACCAATGCGATGGAACTTGACAGTGATTGTTAGTGTTCGCTATCCCGCCGCGGTGTCATGGACAATATCACCAAGAGTTTGGCTTCGGAGGTCAAAGTCTCATGCACACGGTGACCTCGGTGAGCTTCTCACTGTGTACTTTCGAATTGCAGTTATCAGTACTTATCTTCGGTTCAGGGTATGGGCATATGAGATGTTCAGTAGCATCGGAGAGTCGTACAGCTCGGTACCGTAGGCCACATACCTCGGTCCTAGTATGTACGTCCATTCATTAACGTTCAGACCGCGGATGCTTTGTAAATGCGTCTTCCATGACGGACGTGTGTTTAGTTGAGATACGTGTTCAACCATGGCAAATTCATGACCACGCATGAAGTGAACAAGAGATAGGCTTCCCAGGATGGTCAGTGACGTGTGAAATCTCGATCGTATTCAGCGAGAACACTGAACTGAATGCTATGTGTGGCAGTGTGGACGCGCAATGGCTCGCATTGCGCCAGAAGAAGAGTTCCTCTCCCATGTACCTCGAAGCCTGCAGTAGGCAGCGAGACCAGGCAGCGTGATACTACCCAAGTATGCACGGTCGAAAACGGAAGGTGATTCACAACGGAGATGTTTTTTCATGATGAAGTCCGAGTCCGGTACCCATCAATAATTCTCTCGTACATGTCCTCTGGAGCAAAGAACTATCATCCTTTCCCGGTCTACATGTGAGTATTCAGTAATATACGTGGAAACGACCCTCACGCAACCCTCACGTTATGCTGACCGAAGATCTTGATACTGTACGCGTTCATCAGATAACAATGCGCTCCGAGTCGAACGGGTGCGGTACATACGACTCGTACATGATGAGATCGTCGTACGCCGGCGGCTAGTGGGGACACGCGCAGTCATGGGTAAGCCTACAGCACCTCCTTCCTTCTAGTATTGGCGTTGATTTCCGTGCGAAGCGCCTTTTAGTTCCATCTGAAGTGCATTGTTCAGAGCTTCTGTTTTTCAGATGGAATTCAGCATTTCACACGTTCGAGACCACGATTCTCATCACTTCTGGGGAGCATGGGATGCCCCACAGGGTATATAGAGGCCCCAGTGGGATAGCATGTCGTATCCACAAGTTTCCACCATGCCAACTTCTTTGACCAAGGAAAGCGATGTCGATGTTCTGGTCGTCGGCGCAGGTCCCGCGGGACTGATGTGTGCGATGGCTCTTGCCCGAGCCGGTGTAAACGTCCGCATCATTGACCAACGGTGAGTAGTCGTCCCTCTCGAAACATCCGAGAACATTGACGATCAACCCTATAGTCCGGCGAAAGTTGGTGCAGGGCAAGCAGACGGTATCCAGCCAAGGATTGTTGAGGTCTTCCAGGTCCGTTCATCGGGCTCCGCAACGCGACCAGCTGTCTAAGTTCGACCACAGAGTTACGGCTTTGCTGATCGTCTGTTCAAAGAAGCGGTTCAAGTGCATATGGCGGTGAGTTCATAATCAGAGTGCGCTGTCACTGATTTTGATGGCGAGCAAAGGCATTCTATAATCCCGGTCCCAATGGCGGTATCGTAGTACGTGTTGATCCGCCAAGTGCAGCTTCGCTCCATTGAGAAGTGTTCAGCGCACAGGTCGTGCGCCCGATGTCACTGCCCCTACAGCACGATGGGCGTTTGAGGTGCGCCCTTACGTCAATCTCCCAGAAGTTCAATTGAGTCATAACAGGCATATCTACGCGATAGATGGCGTTGCATCAAGGGGGCATAGAACAGATCTTCTTGGACTCCATGGCTTCGAACGGCGTAGAGGTAGAACGGCCGGTCACGCCAACAGCGATTGAGCTATCTCAAGATGAATCGGTTTTAAAAGACCCGAAGTCGCACCCGGTCAAGGTGATTAGACGTTCTGCCACATACTGCTTCTCTCTGCTAATGTCATCAAAATGGATTGCAGGTGGTCCTTCACAACCTAGGAGTCCCTGAAGGTTCGCTTGACACAGAGATTGTACACGCGAAGTTCCTGATTGGCTGTGATGGTAAGCAATTGGTGTGATTATTACCGGCCTTACTTTGACGTGATGGTTCTGCATTTGCCTAGGTGCGCACTCTTGGGTGCGTAGACAGTTTGGCATCGTCATGGAGGGCGAACAGACAGGTCCGTATATTCACGAGACGCTATGGGTACATTGAGCTGACTCGATCGTAGATTATATCTGGGGGGTCCTCGACCTAATCCCTGACACGGATTTCCCCGACATTCGCAACCGATGTGCCGTACACTCACATAACGGCTCGTGTATGATCATCCCACGTGAAGGTGACTTGGTTCGCCTGTACGTCCAACTCGCCGACAAGGACGTCCTCGACGGCAAAGGCAGAGTGGATAAGTCGAAAGTGGGACCGGAGACGATCATGGAAGTCGCGAACAAGTCACTTTATCCGTATAAGATGTCGACCTCTCATCCAATCGACTGGTGGACCCTGTACATCAGTACGTCACACAGCTTTGGTATGGATACTTGGCTCATTTGCTACAGTTGGCCAACGTGTTTCCAACAAGTACTCCGTTCACGAGCGTGTTCTCATCGCTGGCGATGCTTGCCACACGCATTCCCCTAAAGCTGGTAAACTCATCGTCCACTCCAGTCAGCCTTGAATACTCATGTCCTGCTTATAGGTCAGGGTATGAACGCTAGCATGAATGATACCCACAACCTCGGTTCGTTCGCCGGCACCCTTCGAGATGGTCACTATCTGATTATTCACTCCTAGCCTGGAAACTTACCCATGTTCTCCGTGGTTGGGCGGATATATCCCTTCTCAAGACTGTGAGTGACCTTTTCTTTCTCTGACCTGTGTTACCTCACTGACAACACACAGTATGAATTCGAGCGCCGGAAATATGCTCAGGATTTGATCAACTTCGACAAGAAGTTCGCCGCACTCTTCTCTGGTAAGCCGCGCACCGACGATAGCGACGATGGAGTATCTCATGAGGAGTTCCTGGAGCAAGTCCAATGTCATATGTCGAATGCTCGCTCAGCGCTGATCGTATGGAAACAGGGCCTTCCAGACCTTTGGCCTCTTTACAAGTGGTATCGGCGTGCACTACCAGCCATCTGCAATCGTCGACGACAGACATCAATCCTATGCGAGCAAAATCTTGATCGGTCAGCGGATACCGCCGCACATTTTTATTCGAGCAGCAGACTCGCAGCCAATCCAGCTTCAGGACCTGTGTCCATCTGACACTCGCTTCAAGGTCCTCGTCTTCACGGGCGACACCACTAATCAACTGCAGTTGAAGTCCGTCAAGACGCTGGCAGAAGAGATGCAGAAGCCGGAGCATTTCTATCAGAGATTCGGGCATGGTAACAGCAGTGCGGTGTTCGAGGTGCTCGCGATCAGCTCGGCGACAAGATGGTCTCGAACTACACCGATGTACCTCCCTTCTTCAGATCTCACTGGTCGAAGTAAGTGCATCCGTGTTGCGAAGTTGCTGAACAACTGACAAGCCTGCACCGGAAGATTCCTGTTAGACGATGAAGACATGTACAAGCGTGCCGGTGGGGGTGGCTACGAGGCGTTTGGCGTCGATGTCCACGGGGCTATCGTGGTCGTCCGTCCTGACGGGTACGTGGGTACGGTGGCGCCTCTTGGGAACCTCGAATACCTGGACGACTTTTTGCCTCCTTCATGGCGTCGGTCCCCTAATCAGCGTTTCATCGGGCTGATTACACTTCGTCTCATAACCGTGCAACATAGAGACTCCCCTTCTCGCTATACAACGATACGGAATGCATGTGATACATAGGTGGCTTACAACGGGTCCAATGCTCAGTGGGAAAGGTCCAGGGACGACATGAGAACGAAGAATCATGCATATGTACTAGTTCAAGACACAAAGACGGATACGGCGTTCAGCCTTTCCACATACGCCCCACGGGCGCGGCCTCAGCACTGTCGATGGGAACACGCCTGGGGCCGCCCTTGCCAGGAGGCAGCTTGCCTGCGACTTTCGGTCTGGCGAAAGGCTTTGGTGCTACCTTTGTCGGTGCCGCGCTCTTGTTCATTGATGAACCTGGGGCACCAGAAGCCGCACCACTCGACAGCTTCGCGCGCTTGACGTTCTCTTTCTCTAGTGCGACCGCCGGCCGCGTGCGCGAGGACACGGTCGGTTCCGCTTTGGCCTTCCCCTTTTCCTTTGCGGTCAACTTGGGAGCAGCAGCGGATGGCGCTGCGCTTGTACTGCGCTTCGCGAGATTCCGTGGAACCTTCTTGTCTCTGAGCGGTGGGCTGTCGTCTTCCTCCGAGATGCCCAACTCCTGCGCGAGACTCCTCGTGGGTGCCAGGACGGGCGGTGCGGTGGGAGCCCCAGGGGTGGGCGACACGTCTTCCATCCGTTCTTCCAGGGAGTCCAACTGTGGCCGCTCGATGTCCGGGCTATCAGGCGAGTTCGCAAGCATGAGAATCCTGCTCAGGGGGCTCGGCTTGACGGGCGAGTACGCGTGTATCATCCGCGTCGCGGCGAGCGGCTTAGCCATAGGGAAAGGTCTGCGAGGAGGGGTGTACTGGGCCCAGGTTCTGAAGGCGGGGCTGGTGCCAAAGCGGGCGCGCTTTCGACATTGGGATTGATGCGGAAGGCTCAGGCTCGTACACACTCAGTGCACTGTCAGAGGTGGAGGTTGGTACGAACACGGGAGGATGGAGGAGTGCGGGTAGCGCATCGTGTGTCTCTGGTATAGATGGATCGAATGAAGCTGGTGCAGGTCTTTTGAGAGAAGATGCAGGTGAAGGGGGCGGTAGCACGAAAACGGGTGCAGCTATCGGTAGCTGCGACGGAGGCAGGACGACGCTAGACTGAGGCAGGACGACGCTAGACTTGAAGTCGGGTATCTGCAACGAAGAGGGTATCACTTCCGTTTCAAACGGTGGTATCACTTTCTTTGGCGACACGCCGAGGCCAGACGACGGCGGGAGACGCGGGTCTTCTTGCCGCTCCACCTCGGCCTGCAGCTATGCCCGCGACTTTCCTTTTCGCAGGCGATTTGCGTGGGGATCTGGATGGCGGTGATTGCGGACGGTTGCTTCAGTGACTATGGGAGGGAGGGCTGCGGTGGCCGTTGATTGGGCGCAGGGGTCGGCGGCAGCTCGGCGAGCATCAGTTCCACTTGCCAGACCGTTTCTCTTCCAAGAACTTGATACGTTCCGCCTGAAAGCGACGTCAGCACCAAACGTATTGTTTCAAGTTTCAAGTGGTACCTCCATGTTGCCTTCTCACGACCGAGCCGGATGGCAGCCTCGGTGAATTTCTTGCGCTCCTCATCGAGCTCCTTGAACGCGCATCCAAGCGTTGCCGCTCTTCATCGCGCGCAGGGCCGTCATCAGATCACGCTCATCTCGCCGACTTCTCCCTGCATCAGCCGCTCATCCTCTGAGAAGCGATCAAATAGTGTCTGCGTCTGCGCGGCGTATGCCGCGGCCTGTTTTTGCGCCTCATCTGTTCATTGGCGGCGTGAGCAACCTAACGGATGTTGTTACACGAGCGGACACACCGAGCTCCGTGCGCAATTTGTCGATCACAGCTTGCAGGCGGTCCACTTCCGCGCTGTCGGCGGTCTTCTGGCCGCCGGAGCCTGCACTCTTGCTTGGTACAGCAGCTTCTGGCTTGGGTTCACTCGATGACTTTGACAGGCGTGTGATGGACTCTCGGATGGAGCTCATGAGAGCGGTCAGCTTATCGCCAGCGGTCTCTGTGGGAGACAGTGGGAAGAGCGTGGAGAGGGTGAGAGGGACGGGCTGCGACGCTGGTTAGTACATCCCCCGGCCCCCTCCACCGTGCGAGCGACGTACCTCAGAGCAATCCTCAGCCGACCCCGCCAGGTGTGCGTCATGGACGACCCACTGCATCTCATTCGCAGTGGAGAGTATCAGCCCTCTCAGCCTCCTGTTCTGGTCGAACAGCTCCTTGCGCGCGGTTTCCGCCTGCTCGAGCGCAACTTCGAGGAAGCCCTGGCCCTTCCCGCGCAGCTGCACGTCGGCCGCGTCGACGACGTCCGCGTTCGCGCAGCGCAATCCCGCGGCGGTGCTGCCGAGCTTGACCTGTGTGTCTGCGATCTTGCTCCACCGCTCGGCCATGCGCTCCTTCTCCTTCTCGAGCCGTTTGACCTCCGCCTGGTGTGCGCTCCGTAGAGCTTGCATCGACGTGCGCGTGCGCTGCAGTTCGCTCGTGGTGTGCTTGTGTGCCGACTCCGTGGATTGCAGTGTGCGCGTGACGGTTCTGGATCATGTCTGTAGGTGAAGCTAACATAGCACTCTCGAGACGAGACTCACGCGAGACGAGATTTGTGGACGTTCATTTCCCGCTCGGCGTTTGCAGCGCGCTCTGTCGTGTCTCGGTACATGGACAAGATACGTTCATGGTCGTAAGAAAGGGTCCTGATCTTTGTCGTCAATTCTTCTGTTCGCGTCATATCGTCCTATCAGAGCAGGTCAGCATACCATACGGAGAGAACATGCTGGACAACGAGGCAGTCTACTCTATAAGGCACAGATGATATGTTATATGAGCAGCCTCGATTGCAGTAGTGTGGCAATCGTTCAAACCATCTCATTCGTGAAGAGCGAAACAATTGGTATCACGGTCGCCTTTCGACGTCAATCGTATCGAGCGGGTTGGTATACATGGGGACATATAACGAGAAATCCCCTGCCGTCGCCATTGCCCGGTCGCCCTTGGCCCATCTTAGGACGCATCACAGCCCAACATTGAATATAGAGCGTGTATCAACAATTCTCCTGGTCGGGCCTTGCATGGCATCATGAATGGCAACATTCTTTCAGTGGCCGCCTTCCGTCCACTCTCATCCGCCCTCACGTCGTACAGAGGCATTGATACGAACAGAAATTGAAATGTGCAAGCCGCATCCGGAAGGACTCACAATTCTCTGGCTCAACATACCGAGCAGACACTTCACCACTTTCTCTGTATCTTGCTTTGCAAGTCCGTCAAGAGAGAGGCCCTGCCCGTGTGTGTATCCATGTGCAATGAGTTGCGCATTGATGTATTCAAGGCTCGACGTGGAGGTTGATTCCGACGACGCGCCATCGGAGAAAGGCGAACCGAGCCCGGAGAACGACACGTCAAGTGCCCAGTTAACCAGTTTCTTTGGGGTCGCCATAGCGTAGCCAGCGTCCTTTGTCGCAGAGAATGGATTTAGAGAGGCGGGCCTTGCAACGAATTCATGAACAACGGCGAGGATCGGATGTGAGTTGCCAAAAGCAGCTCCCACTCGAACCGCGTCGCGGACGCGTTAGTCACGTGCATCGTGCCTCAACCGCGATGTCCGGGGCCGAGCGTTTCGTGGCATGCGGTGAGCGCTGTGGAGGAGGAGGAGGAAAGTATTCCATTGAGTCACGACATCTGGATGCCTTGGCGTTCTCGATGTGCGGCAGCGCTCAGAGTCACTAGGTGCATGATGGAAGAAGTCTGTGGTTCACACTACTGTAATCATGTTGATCACCGTGCATTGCCGCCGCAGAGTCGCGCAGGGAGGACTACTTATAACAGACCATAGACCTCAAGTCCATGCATTCGTGCCATGCAGTACTGAGCTTGACTTTGCTCCAGTTCGTTGCCTGCTTCTACGGTTCTGCAGGACTTCAAGTTCGTCCCCCGAGATGTCCTCCACCAACGTGACGTCGACCATGGCGCCGAGTCAGCTTGCATACAGCTTGTTAGACTTGGAGACATCCAGACGCTGCGCTGTCGCAATCTCAGGTGGGAGCACTACCCTTTAACATGCTTATGCGCACTGACCGGCTGCAAATGGACTAGCTCTGGCCATGTATGATTTGATTTTGTGTTTACCAGATGAAATGCGCTTGTTGTGGCAATGGTGGCCGTTTCCTAGAATGACGCTGTCTACGACAATGTACCTCCTGTGCCGGATGGCTACATTTGCCTGGTGCATCATTGTTTGGGTGCCAGCAAGAAGTTATCTCGTGTGTCTTTTGCATTTAGTCGGCTTATCTGAAGCTCATGAAGTCCGATACGATGGCATGATAGTTGTATGTTACAGTGGCACCATTCACCACGTCTCAATGACTCACAATTTCGTCTTCTTAGCGCAGCGGATTTACGCACAACGGAGCGCGTTTTCACGAACATAGTGAATTTCTTCCAATATATATTACCCATAGGTTAGTTCTTCCACGTTGATACGGTCCTGAATCGACTCTGAAAGCAACGTGAGTAGCTTTTGGGTGCATGCGCATATATGCAGTCACCGCCCACTGGCACTCTAGGCACCGGAAAAGCATCAGTGTCGCAGCTTCAAGTGTCGGACTGGTGCCCGTGTTGTTAAACATAGTAATATCTCTCAACTCGTCCTTGCTGCGGGGACACGCACTGACTAACTCATCGCGGTCAGATCGGTTATGCTCGCGAATCGACTATTCTCACCACGCAGCCTCGGCTGCCTAACGGTACCGAACTCTTCTACGAGACGAAAATGTCACTTTCTTCAGAGGTAGCATTTTCGTGAGTAACGACCGGTTCATTGTATACACTGACCAATGCCAGTACTCAATGAATTTACGACTCACTGACAGGAGTATGTCTTTCCCATTGGCGGATCCTTCAAGTTGCTCCGTGCATCACTAATGTCGCGTACATAAGTGGTCATAGCATCGCGAGCCTGCAGCATAGGTTTTGATCTCCTAGTCATCCTCATCCTATGGATACAGTGTCGTGCACATTTGCGACTTGTGCATCAGGCGAACATTGGCACGTCCATTGTTTCCTTGTTGGTAGAAGAAAGTCAGTCTCTGACTTAGTCATGCACGTATCACTACACTGAAATATGTCTGTCCAGGTGTTCAGCTTTTCATGTGTGCTTTTGACATCCTCTCATTATCACCACCTCACTGACAATTTCCGACATGTCTATCGCGTCGATGAACGAGCAGACTCTCGCTTGCGTTGAACGTTTTGGATGTGATTTTATGGCGCCTCTATGTACGTCATCTGTACCGATGGTCTTTGTTCCTACCTGACAGTCTTCCAGAACTATGAGTGGATAATTGACAATGTGTTACTGCCGTTCGTACAACTCTCACCTGCATCGCTCTCGCTCTTACATTGTGACGCACGCAGGCTGACATCGATATTGATCGCTCGATGCCTTCTGCACCTCAAGGAAGCGGACTCGGCTTTGGCATGGTCGTCAATCGGCGAACAACGATCCCTTGAATTCGCACACCCAGACAGGGAAGCGAGCCATGCGCCGCACAATCGGTGACCAGCTGTGCTGAAGCGGGCGAAGACGAACCGAACACCCGCTCGGTCGAAGGTGCGTCAATGCACAAGGGAATCAACGTCATCATCTCTGAGCGTAGTCTCTCCCCGCTAGACTCTAACGAGAGAGAGATTATGTCTGTATGATGCCGCTTGGCTTGCGTCATGCGACTTCGTAGACTTACTTACACGTAGAGTGGTTGTGAAGAAGTCGGCAATGGGCCTTGAAGCTTCTCCGAGTCAGCCGGTCGATCCAGACAAAACCGAGAAATCCACGGCGGATACCAGAACAGACCGATGTATATCACCGTAAAGAGACCAAGAATTCCCATGCTATGGTATCATAACGCTACACGCTTTTACGGCGGTAAGTCACGATGTTACTAGGAGCCCGTACAACCCGGTTTGTCATCTGTGCCTGTAAGCTCATCACTCGGTCGTCCGAAACCATGAGTATCTCGTCGCGACCTGCAGTGGATTGCGGTTGTGACTGGTGGGGTTGGAACATGTCGGCTGTAGTGACGGAGCACCATAGTCATTGAGGGATTGCCGGCTCCCATATGTGTTCTGGTTGACAGCATATTGGTTGTTCCCGTAGCCCTGTGGTATTGTTGTGGCTGCGAAGCGGAGTGGGTCGTCGAAGAAGGAGTGTCGGCGAAGAGGAGACGTAAGTTGTTGCCCTGGACGATCTGCGACATCACACCGGTCTCGACATGTCGGATCTCGACGAAAGTCGGCTCAAACGCAAGAACGTATGGGTAATGAAGAGCTGCCAAATATTAGTACACCAAGCGGGGGTCACCAGCGGCACGACTACTCACCGAACCCTGTCGGACAGCCTTTCCAGTGGACCATGAAGTCTTTACGTGACCTCCAGCCAGTTCTGTTCACGTAGAATGCGAATTCTGATAGCTTATTGTTAACCATCTGACGTGAATTGCTGGCGCAGTGTCGCATACCATTGTAGCACAGTAGGAACTCGCTGTCCATGCGGTAGATCGCTAACAGATGCAGACCTTTCCGCTTGCGCACAAAGTCCAGCGACTGATCAGAAGGGTCAAGCAGGCCCTGCGTATCTAGCGTCTCGAGATCGACGACCTCTAGGCCATTTGCGCAGCCTACACAGAGCTTCGTCTTCAAGAAGTGGACTGAGCTCGACTGCACAGGAATGTAGAACTCCTACATAGCAATACGTGAGAAGCTTGAAAGCCGACGATGATGAGAATACATACCTTGAATACGCGCAGCATATCGTTGCCACCCTGAAACAGCTTCTTGAACGTACGCTTACTCGGGCCGCAGATGTTCTGGTCGATGGGCTCCAGGATCTTGATGGTGCTGGACAGCGGGCCCGCCTTGACCGCACAGACGAGTGTCTTGCCCAAGCAGACACCTGCCCTGAAGAACGAGACGTGCGACGCTATCCGCTTGCCACACTTCAAGCCAGCGAGGGGGTCCTTCGGGTCGAGGGCGTCGAGTGGGAAGGCGGTGACTTGGCGCTCTGAATACCACATTGTCAGACGGGGGTCCATGGGTCAATCAGTTGTGAGTGCGTACCGGACAGGACGACCAGGAGCTGGTAGTCCTCGAGAACATCTACCTGCGAGACGTCTTTCAGGGCAAGAAAATGCAGAGGCTCTCTCCGCGCCCAGAGGTCGGAGATGTAGACACCATCGTCCGTGCCATAGACAACTCGCTTGCCATTGCCTGTTCGCGTGTCTCATCAGCAGAAGTCCGCCAACTATCAAGACGAATCACTGACTGAAGGGGGCAGCACAGTTCACCCGCTTGGGGCCCACGAAGAATCCCTCGCTGAGCGTCACGGTCTCGAAGACCATACTCCGCTCGTGCAAGAGGTTCTGCTGCTGCTGTACAGTAGCCCTTGATGTATCTGTGAGAATAGTAGTAGGATTGCAACTGGTCAGTGTGCACAAGCATATTGGAGGGTAGTGCTCCCACCTGAGATTGTAGAGCATTGTGTGGATGTCTGTGACAAGCTGCATCGACTCGGATTCGACGCTATGATTTCGTTCATGGAAGGCATCTCTGGGGACGAACTTGAAATACTGAGCGTAGAAGCAAGCAACGAAATACAGCAAAGTCGAAACTTACTGTGGCACGCGAGTGAAGTCTGAGGCCTGTTATGTATAAGCATTCCTCCCTGCGTGACTCTGCGGTGGCAATGCACGGCTATCATCATGAATCATGTACACTGGCGGTGTACTGCAGCGCTCAGGCAGCGTTGCAGATTCAGACGCGCGCCCGGGCGGCGAGAACCTCGAATGATAAATTCAGAAAATCACGAAGTGCGGAGAAGTCTAGGCGCGATGCACGCACCGTAGCCACTGTAGAACATTGTATACTCCCTGTCACGAGTTCGCGGTGTATGCGGTATGTATGTCGAGGGCAAGTCGAGGGTAATTCTGATGAGTGTTGTGCGATGGTCGGAGGGGCGGGCAACAACGGGCGCTGATACCCACGAGCCCAAGGAAACTCGAGGCCGCGTCGCACAATTGCGACTGTGCGAGTACACCGCCATGAGCATTGTACATGAATGATATGATGATCACCGTGCATTGCCACAGTAGAGTCGCGCAGAGAGGACTGCTTATGACAGGCCTCAGACCTATACATTCCAGCGCCATCATAAATACCGTGACGACGTTGCTCCAGTCCAAGGATGTCTTCAAGTTCCACGAACGTGATCATGGCGTCGAGTCAATACAGCTTGTTACAGTCACATCAACACGTTGCTATATCGCAATCCCAGGTGGGAGCACACTGACCGGCTGCGATCGTACTAGCTGTGACCATGTATGATTTCACTTTGTGTTTACCCAATGCAATGCGCTTGTTGTGGGAATACTAGCCAGCTCAGCGGTACAGACAGCTATTACTTGGAGCATACACACGAGCGGAACCTCGAGCGAAATGCCGAGAAACACTAAAAGCAATCAATGAGACGGGTCACTTCCACCGCAACGTTGGGGCAAGTGCGCAGCATAGGCAAGCGATGCAATACGGCGTCCGTCACCTCCTTGCCCAAGAGCATATGACCATCGCACGACATCTCGAACGTCACACGCAATCCCAGTGGGCGTGCACGGGCCAGTCGGGCCAGTCGCGTGTCGATCTCCGACCATGGCAATGGGTCAATGTCGGACGAGAATAACCGGAGGTCAAAGATGACGGAACGGAGGCGCGCGGGCTCGACGCGGGTGAGCAGTGCGGGCACCCATGTGAACTCACTGCTGCTCATGCGCCACGGAGGAGGTAGATTTAAGCGACCGATGTAGAGGCTCGTGAGTGCGGCGTCGCGCAATGGCTCGAGGGCTGCCGGAATAAGTGCTAGGGCATACTAATCAGATGTTATATAGTACACACACAACACGGAACCTACCACGAACATTTGCTGGCATACCTTGGAATGACACTCGAAGATGCTCCAGAGTAGTCGCCGTCGCGCGCAAGAGGGCCGCTGCATACGGGACTGCATACGCTCTCACGTACGTCCATTCTAACGAGAGCTTGCGCACGGAGAGTTGGAACGGTTGCTGCAATAGACATGCGGCAATCAACAAGCAGTCCGGCGAACGATGCAGATGTAGCGCATCGAGTCGGATGGCGTCTTCCTCGCATAAGTGGACCTCCGAATCTTGCAACTCCTCCTCATCCGATGGATCCATCATACCCCCGCCCGTAGGCTCCGAATGGTGCCGATGACAGATACACTCGCCAGACAGGAGAACCCACGAAGTAGGCGCAGATGGTGCCGAGGGTCCGAGTCGAGGCTCACCTCCTCGAAGTACAAGGTCGTCATCTTTGGGAAGAACGCGATGAGATCCTCCACCACGCGGTCGCTGACGTCCTGCGGATCCCAGCTGACGAGGTGCAGTGTGCGAACATTGTGAAAGCATGCCAGCGAGTGCGGGAGCTTCTCATCGAGCCAACCCACTGCGTGGGACATGTGCCACTTTGACTTCGAGAACGTGATGCATTTCACGTACTGCGAAAACGCCAATAGGTGCGGAGACGGCGATGGGTTCTCCAAGACGCGCTCGAGACGGTGAAAGTCCTCTTCGCGGCGGAACGCGGCTGAGTGGAATAGGTGCACGCGCGCTGAGGGCAGCCAGGCATGGCACGCGAGACTGCATGCCTGAAGATTCCACCGGCCGTCCTAGAGATGGCCAAGAGATGGCCTATGATCATGTCATAGAGCTCCCGTGGAAATCGTGGTGATGCATGGCCGACTACTACTCGGCTCATGTCACGCACTTATGCGAGTCGTAGTCTGTCTACCGTGGAAGTTGTGAGCAATGCACTGGGTGGCACTCGCCTCAGACACATGGAAGAGTAACTTACGGAAAACAGTCTAGTACACTGGCAGCAAACGTTCCCGACGGATGTCGTCCGACCTGCAGACGGCGACTGTGCCTCTTTGGAGGTTCAAGGGCAGTGACTAGTTTCCCGTATTGCTCTAGTAGGCAGACGACCAAACGATTGACGGGGGGAGGACGGCCGTGTCACTGTCAGGGTCGAACGGCGGCGCCGGATTCGAGAGTCTGTACCTACAGTTCCAGATAACAGTCACTAACTAACAAATGCTTCAATAGTTCAAACTCAGAAGACCCCATATACTTACTGAGGCTAAGTACAAAACTCTGTACAGTGTACTAACTTGACAGTGTATCCGGCTGATTACTCGTATACTAAAGCAGATCCGGTGAATTCGTTTGCACCTGTTTGGACCAGCGCTTCTGTCTACGTCTGTGGCTGAGTAAAACTCGATGTGGCCGATGCGCCGTTATGCCTCGCGCCATTTGCATTAGCCGTTACCAAGCTGCAGTAATCTATGTCTTTTTTCTGTGTTTTATGCAGACCATCGCTACCAATTGACTGTAAGTCTGCGGAAGCGCGACGCATCCCGACTGCCTTCCCGAATACAGCAACTGGCTATTGCCTCATTGAGCTGCTTTGTAACACTACCGCCCTCCGACTCGGATCCAATCAAGTCGCTGTCCCCGCCCGCTCAGCGCATGGCTACATGCAGTGTTGCACGACGCCCTTCCCCTCTCTGCGTCTGTACCTCCTGTGTCATGCATTCTGTGCCTCTACCCCTGTCTTTGTGTTTGTCTCCCAAAATGGTAAGGCTGCCTGTTGTCTTTGTGTCGATCAGATCTAACGTGTTATTGTTATGCGTTCCACTGTATTTCTGCCCGCTGCCTGCCCGCCGTTTTTGACGTGCTGTCCCGCAACTCCCGCGATGACCAACCTTCTTCTCTTCGGCTTTGTATCCCTCATCGACGGCCGTCGTTCATCACTTGAAGCGCTAACCGCCAACGCGGTACTTCGACGTTCCACAACTACTATGCCACCTTGATCGAATGCTCGAACGGCAGCGACATTCCGGCTGAGCTGCGCGTGTACAGCCCTCCAAACGACACTGTCTTAGCTGACAATACTATTGCTTACGTCATCGCGTGTGCCTACTGTCCTTCTGCCGGCATGGCTTTGCTTGATGCTATCCAGCTCACACCTTTCTACGGCGATCCATCTCTCGGGGACGAATATGATCAGAGTGTTCTGTCCTTCCCGCCCACCATCATTGGCATCGGAACGGTTGCGTCCGCGTATGATGTGCTTGCAGACGGCCAATCAAAGTCATTCCCTGTTATCGCCCATGAGCGCGTGCGCGACGAAAGTAAAACATCTACTATTCAGTAAGTGTAATTACAACACTGTCTTCGCGCTTTCATTAAATCTCCCACTTATTAGGTGCATATACGACGCTTCGCCGCGATGGGCTACCGTTCCTGCTCCTGCCCCCAATTCTACCATATCTTTCCACGGCCGATGCTCGCGCGTGAGTTCAGATGGTGTGTTGGGTGTCGACCTTGAGCTCATTTCTATCAACTTCAGCCCCTCTCCTGTCGCTGTCGGAGGTGGAACTCTACCCGGAGGCAGTCGATCATCGACTGCTAACACTCCTTGAGCTCGCCCACATGGTTGATGCTATCGGTGACGGTGAAGGTCCAGAAGTCTCTCTGCACCTCCTGCAACATGTATCCGACGACCAGCAGCTGATTGACTTCGTCTTCCCGACACATGTACTCGCCAATCCCATCGCCTGTCTAAAACATTCGATGCTTGCTCCCACCAATAGGCAGATCGACCAGTACAACAGCATTGTTCTCAGGCTCAACCACATTGACGAGACAAGCAGGACATACCTTGCGGCCGACTCTCTGAAGGAGGCAGACGACGCCGGCATCGACTCCCCCGACAGCATATCTGACTACGTCGCCCGCCAGAATCCCGCAGGTTTTCCTCCCCACTCGTTGACCGTGAAGGTTAACGCCGTCTAACGCTTGCTGCGCAATTTCTCCCTTGACCGTGGTTTGGTCAAGAACATTTGCGTTGTTGTCATTGCGGTCGGCCCCCGTCTCGTCACAGTCCGCATTCTACGGGGTATTGCAGGTGTCAGTGTCATCGATGAAGAAGACGTCCTCATACCTCAGATCACATTCTCTACCACCCTTTCCTCGGGCCATACACTCCTCCGTCGTCAGTTTCCTCTTGCGCTGCCGCCGGCATATGCAATGACATTCAACAGCTACTTACCAAGGGCTAACTCTTGACGCAGTGGGAGTAGACCTTATGAGACACGTGTTTTCACATGGACAGCTGTACACCGCCCTTTCGCGCATATGTCACCGTGATCACGCAAGAGTTTTGCTCAAACACGACGAATCCACTACTATCAATGTCACCTATGACGAACTTCTACTATGATGGTTTATGACTTTAATTACATTGATGTTCACTCAACCGCCGGAGCGTAGCGATGGCGTCCCTTGTTACAGTAATCGACCTAGGCCTACGGTCTTGAACGAAGGCCTCGCATTGCCAATTCTATACCAATCAAGGGCCGGAGAATACGTGCAGCTGGTCGGTCTATGAGTAGTATGACATTTTGTTGTCCACCGTGGCAGAGATCGCTCAGTTATAGACTGGCACGAAAGGTTCAAACGGTTCATATCATTAGTACCCAGACTCGGAGGTCCGACATAACGTACGACTCATAACGGAACGGAGACGACGGACTACTGAACGGGGCTTAAGCTGGTACATATCCCAGATCTGACAAACGAATCTCGTTGAAGCATATATCGAGTCTGACATCGCCAGAGACAATGTATGATACCAAACACCACCTGCAATACATTGAAATCATGCCCCGGCTAGTTAATCGACGAATGTCTTGATATCGAGATAGAGATGACAGCGGTCCTCTCAAAACCTAGCCTTGAGTTGCGAAGAGCCAGCGAGTGCGGCGTGGAGATCATACACGTTCTTCGCCGCGCGCTCGATCTCAGCGCAGAACTCTGCGTTCGGCATGTCCGTCAGCGAAGTTATGGTGTACTGCAGGTAATCTGCGGAGCGACCGTGAGCGACATGCTACACGTGCGCAAAGACGATGGACGACGCTCACCATCGAAGCCGGTCATGTACGGCACGCCGAACCCATTCGGGACGACCTCGCCCCAGCCGTACGGCCCGAAGTGCTTGGAGAACACCGCGGACGTGCTGAGCACCCAGGTGCTCGACCGCTGCACGACCGGGTCCGAGAACAGCTCGGGCATATGCTCGCCCTCCCTCACGGACTTGCGCAGGCCTACAACAATCACAACGTCAGCTACCAACGGACTACGCGTTGCCCAGCTCGACCTCGACATTACGCACCGAGCAGATGCCTGTCGATTCCAAGCCCATTGCCCGCCCGCTTCGCCCTCGCCACATGCGTCTCTACCGCCCTCTTGAACAGCGTCCCCCTCTCCTCAGTGCCCACCGCCGGGTCATCCATACTCTTGACCCACGCGTCCGCGTCCGCGCTCACCACACGGATCGCCTCCGTCCGGCCCTTGAAGAATCGCCTCGTCGACGCCGCCTCGTACGTCCCGCCCTCGCGGCGCTCGCCCCGCGCGCGGAGGAGCCGTGCGTACGCGAGCTGGATGAGCAGCTGCGCCCACGAGTCGGGCGACACTCGGAACGCCTTGATCGCGGCCTTGCCGTACGGCGTGCGCACGATGTTGAGTGCTTGGCTCGACGCGAGCGCGTGTGCCGCGCGGGCGGCCTCAACGACCGCCGCGTCTGTCTCTGCGGAGACGTGCCAATCTAGGGGGGTTGGCGGCGGCGGGGACGATGGAGTCGTTGATGGGGAGGAGGCGGCAAAATCGGGTGAGGCGATGGTGTCGAGGACGACGTCGCAGAGGTAGACGGTGGGCGTGCCATCCATGACGGAGTGCTCCCCGACGAAGCCTGCGACGCCGTCGTCCGTGACGACGAACTGGCACGGCTTGTCCATCCACCGGTTGCGTAGGCCCATCTGGGAGGGCTCTGGCGTGGGCGGGAGCGCGCCGTGCCAGAGCAGTCGGCTATGCGCGACCAAGTCGGGCGCGTGCTCTTTATCGAGGCAGAGGACGAAGGCGGCGGAGTGGATCGTGCGTAGGATTGCTTCGTTGTGAGGGTCCGCTGCGAGTGTGTCGTAGTCCTGGTATCGTCAGCCTGGCTGTGTCTCGTTAGACGCAGTTCGACACGTACCTTTGTCCAAACATCCCGGTTGGACGCCGTGAGGAGACCTATCGCAGGATGTTCTTCATGAGTGTTCTCATATATGTGCTGTATCTGGCTGGAGCCTCCGACTCAATGGACCTTCCAAGACAATGTAGACTGAACATACCTCTGCAGCTCATCGACACTTAGAAGCCGACCATTCTGCCATGGATCGAGTTTCCATACGCGACCACGACGAAGTACTACGACGTGCCCCGAGTCTCCGTTGTCACCTTCACGCGCATGTGTGACACTCCAGTCAGCCGGTTTCCCGGGCACACGGCAGCAGTCGAACATCCATCGATATGTATCTACACAGATGGGCCCTTCCTTGGTAGCCTCTGGTGGCAGCGTGCCAAGTTTGTATCGCTGTCTGAAGAGCATCGCTGCCCGGACGATCGACGCTGCGCGATGCAGCGCTGTCTGCGGAAGGTGCGCCGGATGCGCGTCGAAACCATCTACGATGACGAAGTCAGGCAGAATATACCATCCACGGCAAAAGGACACGTACAGTAGTAAGATACATTGATGCAGACCTGTATAAGTCGTCGATGAGTAGAACCACTAACTATCCAAGCAAAGAACATACTGAATCCCGATAAGTTAGATACCCGCCATCGTCCCACCATTCCTCCAGCCAGTGCTCTGCTTTCGCCTGCCGCTCAGCCAGACGCCTCTGCAGCTCTTCCGCGGGGCCCTTGGCAAATTCGTCCACCTTGCCAATGGCGGTCGCGTACTCTGCATCGTCCCATGCGATGGGTCGCAGGGTCTCCTTCAGGGTATCGAGAGTGTCCTTCAGCGGAGGCACTGGCAGTTGCGGAAGCTTGGCTTGTGCCGCAAACGTAGTACCAGGGAGTGGTGCCGGGGCAAGAGCCTTCCAGTTGCTGGGGCGCTGTCGCGTATTCACCGTCGACATCCTGCGCGCGATGCGTACGTTGGCCGCGACTCGCGACGCTTTACTATGCGGAGGGTAAGTGAGAGCACGGGCTGCGGTGGCTAGATCGGCATAGCGTGCTCGGGAGGACATGCCCTAGAGTGCGTCGATGGTCTGAGGCTAGAAGAATGCGGGGATCTTATACCCCGCATTGTGCACGATCGCTTCGAAGCAGGCACCCACCCATGTGAATTCGCCTGCAAGACGCGGTCAGCTGATTCGCGTCGCGCCGCACATACGAGTGCCCGGTCATCGATCCCACCCGAGCGCGCAGGCAAAGGGTCAGTCCGACTCAGAACACTGTCGCGGAGAGAAGTACGCGTCGGACAGAGTACAAGGCCAAACTGAACTCGTACAGATCTCCTCCTCTGAGGACGACAAGGCACAACATCGTGCTCATACAGGTTCTATCATGGCATGACTAATCGTTAGCTACGCTTATCGTAACAATGGCTACAAATGCAAGTAGGATATATATATGCTGTGCAAGGAAGCGAACAGATGTGTATAAGACAACAATGACACAACTTTTCAGACACGGCGCGGCCGCCAGTAACAGCGGCCGCCATCAGAGCAGAATGAGGGACGAACGAAGGGTGCGAAGGCGGCCGAAGCATCGGGAGGCGCAGCACAGCGCGCCCTCCTCGACGCCCGCGCGCAGCATGATGAGGGACGCCGGACGAGCACATGCAAAGGCTATGACATCGCGTTCGGCGACGCCATCTGTAACCTCATCACTCGGTCGTCCGAAACCATGAGTATCTCGTCGCGCCCTGCAGTGGATTGCGGCCGTGACTGATAGGGGTTAGAATACGCCGGCTGTGGTGACGGAGCACCATAGCCGTTGAGGGATTGCCGGCTTCCATACGCGTTCTGGTTGACAGCATATTGGTTGTACCCGTAACCCTGTTGGTATTGTTGTGGCTGCGAGGCGGAATGTGTCGTCGAGGGAGGAGTGTCGGCGAAGAGGAGACGTAGGTTGTTGCCTTGGATGATCTGCGACATCGCACCGGTCTCGACATGTCGGATCTCGACGAAAGTCGGCTCAAACGCGAGAACGTATGGGTAATGAAGAGCTATCATATGTCAGTTTACCAATAGCGGGTCACCAGCGTCACGACTACTCACCGAACCCTGTCGGATAACCCTCCCAGTAGACCATGAAGTCTTTACGTGACCTCCAGCCAGTCCTGTTCACGTAGAATGCGAATTCTGACATATCTTTGTTAACCATCTGGATTGAAATGTCAAAAGGTAGGGCATACCGTCGTAGCACAGCAGGAACTCGCTGTCGATGCGGTAGATCGCCAATGGGCGCAGACCTTCCCGTCTGCGCACAAAGTCTAGCGACTGATCAGAAGGGTCAAGTAGGCCCTGCGTATCTAGCGTTTCGAGATCGACGATCTCGAAGCCGTTCGTACACCCTACACAGAGCTTCGTCTTCAGGAAGTGGATGGAGCTCGACTGCACAGGAATATAGAACTCCTACAGAATGTCTGGTGAGACGTAGCCCCCGACGACTACAAGAGAATACATGCCTTGAATACGCGCAGCGTATCGTTTCCACCCTGAAGCAGCTTCTTGAACGTAGGCTTACTCCGGCCGCGGACGTTCTGGTCGATGGGCTCCAGGGTCTTGATGGTGCTAGACAACGGGCTCGCCTTGACCACGCAGACGAGCGTCTTGCCCAAGCAGACACCTGCCTTGAAGAACGAGATGTGCGACGCTATCCGCTTGCCACGCTTCAAGCCAGCGAGGGGGTCCTTCGGGTCGAGGGCGTCGAGTGGGAAGGTGATGACTTGGCGCTCTGGGCACCACATTGTCAGAGCTTCGTTCACGAGTCAAACAGTTGTGAGCGCGTACCGGACAGGACGACCAGGAGCTGGTAGTCCTCAAGAACATCCACCTGCGAGACGTCCTTCAGGGCAAGAAAACGCAGTGGCTCTCTTCGTTCCCAGAGGTTGGAGATGTAAACACCATCATCCGTGCCATACACAGCTCGCTTGCCATTGTCTACCACCCGTCTCATCAGCAGAAGTCCGTGAACTATCAAGACGCATCACTGACTGAAGGGGGCAGCACAGTTTACCCGGTTGGGGCCCAAGAAGAATCCCTCGCTGAGCGTCACCGTCTCGAAGACCATACTCCGCTCGTGCATGAGGTCCTGCTGCTTCTGTATGTTCTCGACCCACTTCCGCTGGCTGACATACGTGCTGGCCCACAGCGTCATCTGGTAATACTTCCGACCCAGGTGCACGAAGGTAATGGAGAAGCCGCCCTTGTTATCCTTCACGGCTACAGCGGGAGCATGGGGCGAATTCTTCATGAGCTTCTGCTTCTCCCTGTCTTTCGGCTTCCCAGTCGGGAAGTCGTCTGGGGCAGATACAAGCAATAGCTCGAGGGGGATGGGCTGACAATGTGATGTCAATGACCGGACATATACGGAGAGTACGGATATACATACCCGGCGATACACTTTGTACTGCTCGCCCTTGCTCTTGGCCTTCACCATGAGCAGAGCATGGTCGAAGAGGAAAACCGAAAGCTCGGAACTATCCCCTTGCTTCTTGAGCGCACCCTTGTAGATGAGCTCGCGTCCCTCCTCTTTGAGCCGAAGGTCCTATCAAACCAAAGGCATCAGCCCTCTGACGCAGAACAGCCAGATCGACACGCACAACTTCCTCTCCAGGGCGGAAGATCAGCTGCTGGTCGAGCTGCAAGAGGTTGAAGCGGTTCTCCGCCTTGCCCGTCTCGTGATTGACGGCCTTCAAGAACTCGCGGACAATCTCGACGGCTTTGGGCAAGGCGGCCTTATCGGGGCTGTCATCCGGTGTTTGCTTGAGGACTGCCTCCAGAAGCAGAGGGTAACGGGCAAGTCGAGTAGTCGGCTTCGTAAGGTAGCCGTTCAGCTCGAGCTTACGCGACTCTGGTCGACGTTCCACTTCCTGGAATGATAGCGCAGCCATGAGCGCATGATCATCACTGGAAAGACACGACACTCACCTCTACGAACTGAGCGAACGCTGGGTTCGAGCTCTTCTCCTTCTCAAATTCGTACTTGCCATAGAGCTGGTGAGCGCCATACGATACGAAGGGGCTGAAGTGAGGCACCGCCTCCAGGAGCACGTCGCCTATTTGCTCGACCACTGCATACGACTTCTGACGCTTGTTGAGAGCGTCTCGTAATCGCGTGTTGACAGCGATGATGTCGTTGATGTTCCAGAAAACCTGCTCCAAGAAGTCGGACCGTCGAGGCTCAGGGATGATATCGGATTCCTTGAGAGGCTTCATCCAGAGCTAAGCGTATCCAATCGTTAGTTATGACAAGACGGTGTCGGTACAGCCGCAAGAGTACTCACGTCGCGCAGATATTCCATGTCCCGCACGAAGTCACGCTCAGTGTAGATGACCTCGTTGATAGCCTCTTGGCGTTTCTTCTCGGCATCCGAGACGCTGTTAACCACCTCCTGCGGTACGGAGTGGATCCACAACGTGCCGGGCTCCTGTGGACACATCTCAGTAGGCCAGATACATAGAGCAGAACATGGGCACATACAACAAGGTCGCCCAAACTCTCTCGGCTGATCTGCTTCTTGAGCCCCGGCTGTGGCTTCATGTTCAGACGAGCCTGCTGCTCCAGTCGTCTTGGACAAGCGATCGAGTAGCAGAGTTGATCACGAGAACATGTTGGAGAGTAACAATCGGTGAGGAGGGTGAACACCCCAGACGGCAAAGGCGCATCGTCAGACGAGACTGAGCCTCTACGTGGCCGCGATGCAGGCGACGTTACAGAATCTGGCGGGGAAGGTGAGCTGGGCCGCGAACCGTCCTTGAAAGCCTTCTCGGCATCAGACTCGGCGGTAGGGGACGGGCTTTCCTTCGAAGCTGACGTGTCCGCACCGTCGTTTATGAGCGGCCGGCCAGGAGCTTTCGTGATTCCCTCACCGTCTTCTTCGACGTTCACCAGTTCTCCACTCACAAACGGGCTAGGTAGTTTCGTCCTAAACTGATACAGGTCGTGTGCGGAGTCACGCAGGCGGTGATCGTACGTAACCGCGTGGAAGAACTTCTGTGCATCCAGGGCACGGCCGAGGAGGAGGGCAAGATTTCGATCGGTGGTCTTGATGATATACGCGATCTTGTCGACTGCCTCGCGGCCATCGAACGCGTCCTTGTATGTGAGACCATCCTTCACACGATCCTGCAGCACAATCCTGGCCTTGAATGCCTCCGCAATGCGCGATAGCAGCGCCGGATATACAATGGGCGTGCGCGAACGAGGCGGCTTCGCTGCAGGCGAGTCACGCCCACCCGTAGCTGGTGGTACTGGCGGACGCGGAATCCGGCCCGATTCGATCATCGCACGAAACTGAGGGGTCATCGTCGCGGACATGGACCGTGAGCGATCTTGACCAATATGATCCTTGCGGAAAGCTGGGCCGGGAAGTGTCCGAGACGACTCGGACGAACGGCGCCCGTTGGTGCTGGACATGTCGACCATGGTAGATGAAGCCGGCGAGCCAATCTTCGGCCCAGAGGGAACAGCAGTATCCAGCTGTAGAGGATAGGGTCGTGATGAAGACGCGGTCGGGAAGGCAGAAAGTTCGGGACTCGTGTATTGCGAAGAGGCGGCTGAGAGGCGTGAGCGGACACTGCTGGCCTGAGAGCGATGTCGGGACGGCGGGAGCTCACCATTACTGTCCTCCGTGCCTGGGTCGCTGGGGGTTGCCGCCTCCGTTACGAAGTCAATGCCCAGCCTCCCGTCGGTGTCGATATTGACGCCAAGGATAGGCACGTCGGGCAGCACAGGCTGGGGATGGCGAGAAGGAGACAGTTGGTGACTCGTGGGACCGTTCATATAGACCTGAGCCTGGTACGCCTGCGCAGGCGTGAGGCCCCCTCGTGTCAGTACCTCGAGACTGGCATCTAGAGGCTCTTCGGGAGGCGGCGCGATCACGCCGGGCGAGCTGGCAATAGACCTTGCCCGGCTAATGATAGACGGCGCGGCGAGCGAGTTCGTCTGCGAGTAGTTCGCAGGCGGATGCTGGTAGGGAGGATATCCCTGCGGAGGGGGGAGGTAGGACTGTCGGTACGTCGATGGCGGCGCCTGGGGCTGGAGGGGGTAGTTGACAGACTGGGCGCGCGATGAGCTCGAGGCTCTCCTGTCTACCTGGCCACCGTATTGCTGTGGGTAGTACGGATATTGGGGCCCGTTGGGGGGTGGACTCTGCTGGAGGAGGGGATATTGACCAGGATGGGAGTTGGGCTGGTGATGAACAACACTCGGACGGCCGAAGATGGACTCATATGCAGCATGGCGTTTATCGGGCTGTCGAGGGCCGAGTGGTCTATCCATCGCGGCCGACGGCAAGCAGGGCGTGGACGAGGTCGAGCAGAGCTTGCTCGTTGTACGAGACAACGGGAAGAAGGTGAACAAGCGCCCGCGCCAAATAGTCTAATCACTGTTGCAGGCCTTCGCCACGGCCAAACACCTTGAACCGCAACACACACGTTGACCATGCCAGTCTCAGTCATGCCGCCGGCCAAACATCCCAAATAATACTAGTCCAGCTTTCGTCTGATGAACCACGATGCGCTGAGCGAGTTGGCCGTCTGCATCCGCATCGCAAGGAGTCCAGGACACCGCAATCAGGTCTTTCAACGCGACTCGATGCTCAACGTTTCAACCTGAACAAATGGTCCTTTCGATGTGGGTATCCTACTGTATATGCATAAGATCGCAGTTCACTTGTCGAGGCCTATGACTGGTCCTCGAGGATTGCGCAGGGTTCTGCGTAACAGCGTCGTAAGTGCCCGAATCTTCTCGCTCAGGTACCGTGCGATGATAATCAGAGCCGTGAATACTTGAATAGCCAGGATGCTACGAAGGGGTGACATCATTTGCGGGGACGGACACGCCTGCTTGGGGCTGGCGGGCGAACCGTGTGGCCGGCTTGCACATCCCGGGCGCCGCAATCTGCAGTTGCAGCCTGCCGTTGTGGCAAGCTGGCTGCGACGCATGATCTCTTTGGCCACAAGCTTTCGCTGGGTCAAGAGAGAGGTCCACCCAGATATACTGGCAGCATCGCGACTGCGTACCCGGAACCGTCAGCTACATATGGGACACAACACCTTGTGCACGACCTCTTACCTTCCCAGCATCAAGAGGACCTGCTCGCTACTACTTATTGCCAGCGCCATGCTGCGCACAGACTAAAGGGTACGTGGGTAAGTCCTGGGTAAGTCAAAGAAGCCCAAAGATCGTTCGCTCCTGCAGGAGCCAGTGAGTTGCAGGCCTCTGAATGGGCAAGCAGTTGAAGACGCTCCACCAGTACTGGGTGTTTGCAGTATTTGGCTGAGAAACTGTGCGGATAAACTAGAAATGACTATTACACATCTGTCGTGCAGTTTGCGATGCATTCTCACCTTGCGGTACGCACAGGTTCGATAACCCGTTGATTATCAGTCCTGTTCGCCATCCTCATACTTACAAAGGTCTGCCATGCCTCATACGCGGATGTAAAGACAATATCATCACTGAACTTGATGATACTCGGGCCATAATGTCGATGCAGCGGTCGGCGCACAGCACGTCATCGGTACGTCGGAAATATCGGCGTTGGTCACAGTACTTTGACGAAGTGGTTCAAGGACATGATTCATTCGCTCATTCCATCTGCAGAGCCTTCTGAATCAAAAGGCGGCCATGCGGTTGCTCAGGCTGTTTATTGCTGCTGTCACTGAGGTGAGCGTTGCTACCTCTCGGCTACCGAAAGGGGATGACGGTGTGATAGTGGGATACTCGTCGAGCGCGATCCTCGGAGTCGTCTGCGTACACGTAGGTCGACTGTATATCCCGCAAGCTTCGGAATAGTTTGCTCGGGTGTTTGACGAACGGGACCGTCATCGCACCGCCATCGGCGATCGATCAAGGCGGGACGGAACGCAACGACACGATGAGGCGTGCTCCTGCCAACAATATCAATGCAGTGTAGATGTCACTGGCGGTGGGAGCTGACGCGCCTCACGGGTGTAACGTCTGCAAACCGCTCGACATTGAACACAGTGATGCGCATGCTCGTCTTCACGATCTCCTGTCCATCGCTCGTGAGTGTCCGTCGCGGCTGTACGAATATCGCTGTGCAGATGAGGTACTTAGTTGCATGTCTCGGTAGGTCACCGCGATTGGTTCTCCTACCAAATCCGTGATTTTGTACTCATGCGCTGTTACCCGGAATGGCAGGGCTGAAGTGCCTCTTGACCTCATAGGCAACTGCCTTGGGTAATAGCATGTGCCGCAGACAGGCCCAGTCACACACGGTCCGATATGAAAGTTACTGGCGAGATGTTCCCAGACCACATTGCTGTGTCGGGCCTGGATGCGGACCCGCCGGAGATGTCAACTGTCGTCCCTGATGCTCGCGCCCCCCTGGATGCGGTAAGTGTGCGCTCGGCGCTCTGGCGGTGCGGGAGGATCGGTGCAGCTGGGGCTATCCAGGGGCATAAGTCGCACCTCTGCTATGCAGAGCAGACCTCGGTGCCACAGGTATAAAAGCCATGCACCTGACGTAGGTATGTTCCTACCCTCCCGCACCTGCACACTGAACTCAAGGTCTCCGAATGCCCAGGAAGAAGCGCTCTCGCGGTGGCAACCGAGACAACGAACAGAATGATGGCCACCGGCGCCTCCCGTCTCGCATCCCGGATTCACCTGGTGTGCGTGATGCTGTCTTTTGATCTGTAACTGACCTGTCTGACGACCCTCCAGTATGTCACATGGGGCGAGCGGCCCTTTGGTCGAACTCGGGGAGGGCCAGCATCTGTTCCTACTGGTGTTTCTTCCGAGATCGATTTCTCTCTCCAAGACCATGGTGGGAGCACAGAATGTTCGCCGGTCTCATCCGGACAGAGCTCTTTGTCTTTGTCTCCAACGAGAGCTACCTCCTCGACGAGAGGGCACCGACAAAGGCGGTCTGGTGGACATAATGAACTGGCAGTCGGCGAACCTACCTCATCCGTAACACCATCGAGTGAGAGAGGTGGCTCGTGGTCACCTAGCACTGTCGCATCATCTGCAGGACCATCCGGCACCTCTCCGCTCCGCGAACGATTCTCTCCGTCTCGCCTGGAGTACGCTCCCAATGCTCCGCAAGGTTCCCCGACTCGTCCACAGCATTCTTTCGCAGATCAGCAAGCCGTCCCGTCGCACCACCACTCTCCCGCTGCTCGTCCTCAGCACCGTCACAGATACCAACCCTACCCAGGGCCAGCTCCGACTCGACAGTCTGTGGTCGCCCCCCAACCTCGAGTCCCGCTGGCCAGTTCCTCATCCAGCGTCCCGGGAGTATCAGGTGAGTAATCCCGTAATGCCGCGAACCTCGTCTTCATGTTAGCCCTGGCAGCGGTGGGCTTGTATCCTGCGCCAGAGGTCAACGTGCCGCCTGCGTACGGCTACACGGAGCCCGTGACTGATGATGCGCAACAGTGGCCCCAGTCCGACCCTGCTTTCAACACATACGGTTCATTGCCTGCTCTGGACGCCAACCTTTCGCATCTAAATTATTTTGCACCACCTACGGAGCAACACACGTCGCATATCTATCAAAGTATACCCCAGCAGATACCCTTCCATACGCAGCACGTACCCGACTCTTCCTCCCAATACGCGCCTTTTCCTGCGCAAAGCTCCGCCAATCCTTTCGGCTACTACGGTTCCGAGGCACAGAACAGGAATACCGCATATGACAACGCTGCGATGCAATATCCTCAGCACGCACAGAACGCGCCGTTTGTGTATGGCTCCGCTGAACAGCCTCAGACAAGTTCAATGCAGTATCCGTCCTACCAGTGGACCACTGGTCCGCCCAACAGTGTGGCATCCACGAGTCAAATGGGACGAGCACATGGCGCACCCCTCGCACACATTCCCATGTCCCGTTCCTGTCGCTCAGATACTACCCTAAACCTCGAGCAGCCATCGCATCGTTTCCCGGACACGCGGAGAAGCCCTAGTACGCATTCGGCAGCAGGTCATGACCATAGTCGGTGTTTCTTTCGCAGCAAATATGTATCGTTGTGACCTGATCTCTTTCCACAGGTCCAGTATACCTGACGGACCCCTATGCCTCGTTGCGTTCACGAGGCTCGCGCCAGCCGGAGGGCGTTCACAGCGCGCCTCCGTTTGCAGACCCAAGTGCGGGATTTCCCAATGCGACGGACTTTGCGCAGCCTCCTTTCTCTGAGTCCCGACGCAGCGTGTAACTATCTAGCTTCCGGCTCGCTCTGTATCACTGGTTGCCCTAGTTTCCATCCCCTTGTGCGAAATACGGACGCGCTCTTCTTACGCCTTACGGCGCAGATTAGCCTGTGCACCCCTATTACTGGATTACTCCTGCATCCTGCATGGGTTACTTGATCCCTTAACATGTTAGGCACCATGGTCACGGTGTTGCAATCATACCAGTACTTGCAGCGGTCCTCCAGGACCTCTGAGTCGTTCCACGGTTTGTCAGTATACCCAATTGTAACGGTGTAAACTGTGTGTGGCTCGAGGGACATCTCCTACTCGGCTACCGTGAAAATGTTTCTCAGGAATCTCGGGCAAACAGTACACCAACATGCCACCACAGTTCACAGCTACCTGCGCAGGTACCTACTGTACTGTGTGTTTCGCAGAAGATATGCGTCCGTGGTACTCAACTGACCGAGTAGCCCAACCTTACCGAAATCCCGACAGGAAACAGTACTTAGAAACTGAGAGAGAAAGGCTCGGCATTCCGATCGACAAATATGTTGTATGAATTACAAGTGTCCTAATCGGAAGCTTCAAGTTACTAGTCTCAGCACAAATCCGTGGTATATGTAGGGTTCGTCTTATAGTACGAGGGCAGGAACAATAAGGTTAGGCAATTCAGCACTGTCCGCAAGGCGTGAATCAGACTGGACATTCAGAAGTGGAACAAACCCCGCTTCTTCTTCTTGTCCTCGCTTTTGCTGTTCGTGCTGTTGACCGACAACGTCGACCCTGCGAACGAGGGCACGGAGGGCTTGTGCATCCGACCCTTCTCGTCGCGTGCCTGCGCGGGAGGTGCAGCCGGCCGCTGTGGCCGCGGCGCGTCGCGCGTGTAGTATTTCTCGTCATAGTACTCTTGCAGCGGTCTCCGACCTTTGCTCTCGCCCAGCCCATTGGGAATCGCTCTGGAACCGATACCGCCGAGCTCGAGGACTTTGAGGTCGTCGACGAATTGACCAGGTGTGATGGAGGAGGTTGACCCTGAAAAAACAGTGAGTAGAAGTATTCAGCGTACAGCCAAGAGACCCACCTATGATAACGTCCTTGTTCAGAGACTTGGACAGGAGGTACGCCTCGCGCATCTCGGAGTAGGTCATGCCGCCCGCAATGAAGACGATGACGCGCTGTCGGATCTCATCGCGTGTGCTCGCCGCCTTCGGACCCCGGTGCCAACTGGGCTTTGCACTCCGTAAAGAGGTCGCCGGTGCAATTGCCGGTGCCGCGCGCAAACTTGCGGCGGGAGCCGCCACTGGTGCGTCCTTCACGTAGGGGAAGACTATCTGGTCGAGACGGTCCCTGACATGATCCTGTGTCGCAGTTGTAACGTCCGAATGCAGATCAGTCTTGGCAAGAACCCACCTCGAGGATGGTTTGTAGCATTGGCTTAAATCGTGAGAGTTCATATTCATCATCCTGGTTCGGCTTGTGCTTGAGCCTCTTCCTGGTGTCCTTGTCCCCAGGTCCCTACATAGCGCCGCGTCATCAAAATGCCCCCACAGTTTCAGGACATCGACAAACCCTGGTTATGCGCACACCAAAGTGAACGAGCGCGTTGACGGCGTCCTGTTCCGCCATAGATAACCGGGCGTGCTGGTACAGTCGTCGCCGATCCTCGTCGGGCACGCCGTCGCGGAACTGGATGTATAGTGCGATAATGCGCACTTTGTTAGCATTACTGTGTCAAGGTGATCAGCGTATCGTATTGCACATAAATGATGAGGATCGACGCACATGACTTCCCGGCTGTCCAGCAGCGGAACCATTTGTTCGACCAGCGTCTTCGGAGTCTTGCCCTCGGCAGTCAAGCCAGTGGCGGAGTTCTGCCCGTGCCCAAGGTCAACTTGATGCTAAACATTGCAGCGATGAAGTGTACCTGCTCGACCGTTGCCACGTTTGGTAGCTTGTCACGCTCGAAAATACCCATACATTCTTGCGCCATATTGAGATGCAAAGAGAACTACAGGTGCACGAGTCAGCAAACTTATCGGTAGTCACTTCTGTGGCAAGCACCTTCTCTCGCTGCTCTTGGTACTGAGGCAAGTTCGCAAGCATATCCTTCATGTCATTGAGGCTCGCTGCTCCATCTCTGCCGTGCCTATTAGCATGACTATCACGTAGTACACATGCGGCCGAAGCTCACCCTTTCATGCCCGCATTGTCTTGCATGAACTGGTTGAAATCCGCCATGAGCTTGTCAATCGCCTCCCTCATGTGCATATGCCGCAGCTCTGTCCAAACGTTGTCCGAATCAGACAAGATCGCGGTTTTGTCTTCAAAGGACCCTGCCGCCCCCTGAAACTTATACCTTCATGGATATAACATGTCAGAATGCACTGATACGGGAACCTTGTGCAGACATACGTGTACTTCGCGCCGTCTTCGATTGGTAGTAAGTCATTCGCCATTGCCTGGTACGTGAATTCATGGACGAAGGGTGCGAGCGTGTCCATGGCGCGGTCGGTGATCAGCATGGTCGCGCGCGGTCGAGGAGTATCAGATGGTTTCTGCGATGAATTGAGCATGCAGGCAGACTAAGCAATTGATGGTCGCACTTACAGGCCAGTCAGGATTTGCCTTCTTGTAGTCATCCAAGTCCTTCTGCACCATGAACGCAAGGACTTTGGCGACGAAGTCCGTATCAGCAGCCTCATATGCGCGCGCCGCATCACCCCGGGCGAGCTGTGTGCGCCAGCGCCCGCTGTTCTCCGGCGGAGGTGGTGCCCTAGTTGATTCGTGTGGCTTAAAAGGACCCAAGGGCGCATGGTGACTAGGGAGATAATAACGGATGTAAGGGTATTCGTTCAGTGTGATGCAGACGTTCATGAGCTAGAGGGGACAAGATGTAGCAAACAAATTATACCAGCATCATGAAACGCACCATCTTGCTAGCCAGTCGTAACTCCTCTTCCAGGCGCTCGCGGGCAGGCGGGAAGGCAGATTCACTGCGTGGTGGACTGTACATATTGAAGAACGCGCCAGGGAGCTTTAGAGAGAACGCCTGTGATTCGATCGCTAGGAGGAGTTAGCGGGACGTAGTAACATGCTGCGAAGGTCGCGTGCACACACCCCAGAAGTTAATGAACAGTTCCTGCAATGTCTTGAGAAATGGTTCTGCGGGAGATGACGTCAAGCGTTCAAACAGCTGTTCATCCAGACCTTCGTATGCAGCATCAATACATCTGCGTGCAGGAAGCAGTCGGACGTCGATCGTACCGTCAATGAAGAAGAGATTTGCCGCAGCGTACTGCTGGTTTCCGTCTGAGAAGTCACGAATAATTCTATCCACATTCTGAGACGTGGACATGAGCAGATACATCGCCTCGAAACCAGGTTGCGGTTCACGGTAATTCGTGATCGATTCAATCACTTCCGTCCCATATTGCCGTTAGTTCTCCGCGAATGGGGAGAAGGGCCTGAGACATACGCGTTACATTCTCCTCCAGAATATCAAACTGCTTCAAGACAGATCCCAACAGCCGCTGGGAGTGCTCATCCACGACCAGTATCTTCCATCGCCCCGGCGGGTTTACAGATCTAATGGCATTGAGGAATTCTGCGAGTGCAATCAGGTTCAGCGCGAATTCAGCAGTATTAAGCTGCCTTTTGAAACATACTAGAACGGACTGAAGTAGTGAGAGAGGTCATGACGGTTCGTAGAGAGGGCTACGGAGACTTGGGCTCGCGGAGCTGTGTAGCGACCCTCTGTCGATCACCCACAATGTGCTTGGCGCCCGTGCGCGAGCGGCTACGTCAGTAGACGCCCATACGCGAACGACGCGCGTCGCGTCTTGAAGTTGCTGCACACTCATTCCGACCCAATCTCTTCTCTACACCGACGACCATGAGCACCTCACAACCGTCGACATCCAGCGGCATGGACCAGCGCAGACAGGACGCGCTCAAAGGGTACCGCGAGGTACGTCCTGGTGTGAGACGTTTGCACCCTGCGGGCTGACTGGAGCGTAGAAAATGCGGCAACATGAAACGAGCAGTCAAACCCTCAAGAGCTGTGAGTGGTGTAGTTTCGGACGCGTCAAATGGCTAATACGGGCTGCTAGTGCGATTTGCGCTCAAAGATCTTGAGAAAGACTACGAGAAGACGGAGGATGACATCAAAGCCGTCCAATCAGTTGGGCAAATCATCGGCGAGGTTATGAAGCAGCTAGACGATGAGCGATGTGAGTGCTGCTACTGCTCCGTCATAGGACCTCCCAGCTGAGTCTACTGCAGTCATTGTGAAGGCGTCTTCTGGCCCTCGCTATGTTGTCTCCTACCGCCCGACATTGCCTGTTGCGAAACTGAAGGCAGGCACGCGAGTGAGCCTGGACATGACTACGCTCACAATCATGCGGATATTGCCCCGCGAAGTCGACCCAGCAGTGTACAAGATGAGCCTTGAGGACCCCGGAGGGGCATCTTTTGCTGGTATTGGTGGGTTGGGCGACCAAGTGCGAGAGCTCCGTGAGGTGCGTGCCCACATAGATCAGCCAGGAACGGTGATGCGGAGCCCAGAGTATGCCCTCCTGCCCTTTGCTATCCCCGGGTGACCAATATCTTTATCGGTCTCATGCTCTGAGAATCGCATCGCCGTTGCTGATATATGCGGGACTCGGTTTATTGACTTGACTTGTCAGGTCATCGAGCTACCACTGCTTAACCCAGAGCTCTTCGGACGTGTGGGTATCAAACCTCCGAAGGGCGTTCTGCTCTACGGGCCACCAGGAACGGGGAAGACCTTGCTTGCACGTGCTGTTGCCGCAACTCTCAACACTAAATTCCTGAAAGTTGTGTCATCCGCCATCGTTGACAAGTACATCGGTGAATCAGCACGAGTGGTTCGTGAAATGTTCGGCTATGCGCGCGAGAATGAGCCTTGTGTCATCTTCATGGATGAAATCGATGCCATTGGTGGGCGACGGTTCTCGGAAGGTACAAGTGCCGACAGAGAGATTCAGCGTACCTTGATGGAGGTATGCTGCCACGTTTACATTTGGACGCATGAATACTCACGATATACTCTCATTACTAGCTTCTCAATCAGATGGACGGGTTCGACGCACTTGGGCAGACTAAGCTCATCATGGCGACAAATCGACCGGACACCCTCGACCCGGCACTACTCCGACCAGGACGGCTAGACAGGAAGATCGAGATCCCGCTACCCAACGAGCAAGCACGACTTGAGATTCTCAAGATTCATTCCGCGCCTGTGAACAAGGGTGGCGAGATTGACTACGAGGCTATTGTCAAGGTTCATTCTCTGTCAGCTCGTAGTCAGCGGGATGTGCCTGACCTTCTTTCTCCGGTAGCTCTCGGACGGCTTCAACGGCGCAGACCTTCGGAACGTTGTCACGGAAGCCGGCATGTTCGCGATTCGGGATGATCGGTCGGTGTCCATAATAGATGTGTCGTCATCTCACACGACTCACAATTGCCTGACAGGGAGTATATCACGCAAGAGGATCTCACGAAGGCAGCTCGAAAGGTCGGCGAGGCGAAGAAGCACGAAAGTGAGTGCCTGACTCTGCGGCTCCGAAAGATGTGTATTGACTGGGATTGATTTTTCCTTGCAGGCAAACTCGAATATTCAGCTTGATCGTTGCTCTATTTTTATCATTGTATCGCCTGCGCGAGTGCACATACGTCGCTTTACTCCGTTAGGTGTTCTTCGGTCAGATGTAATTCGAGGACATTGGACGTATCCGTCACCGCACTTTCCTGTCGAACGGCTGAGGTCCTCGATTATGCACTAGACGCCTGCTGATCACAAGCTGACTCTGCCTCCTCGTCAAGACTATAACTGTAGCTAGGACTCGGACCCATAGCTCATGTGTGGCATACGCGGAAGGTAATTTGGGCACCATTGCACTGATTATCACCTTACTAGTACATCACACTTGCCGCCAGTGAACGAGCCTGAGAAACATCATGTCTGCAGTACGTGCATCCCTATTGTCTACCACTTCCCTCACTATTGTTTCAATTGCATCGCAACCATTGATACTGCGGCCTTGACGCGCGCTCTATGTCAGCCGCGGCCTCCCATGCACAAGCCTTGATCCATGCTGCTGACTGGGTGGTAGGATACGTAAGCCGCTGTGCCAGCCGCCTTCCCGAACTGCAGCCACACATTCATATCAAATCCAGACCGACGCCAGGCCGCACAAGGTCAGTCAGCCTCAGGCAGTATATAGGCAGGTGGGTCTCGAGGCGTATCCCCGAACCCTGACAATTCGATCTCCATGCTCCGCGGAAATTCGCTCCCATTGCCGCTCCTCGCCATGGTGGCGTCTGCCGCCTTGCGACTCGCGGCCGGTCAGCCTACAACAAGCAGTTGGCCCCAAGAATATCCAGGGATGCCAGAGGGTGAATACAACGCGTCCTGGCAGAGTTGTGAGTGTTTGCTTGACGTTCGTCTCGCTGACTCCCTGAAGTGGCGTCGCTGTAGACTTCGAGGTGACAGAGCCTCTGCCGAATGTGACCTGGAACCTTGGCCGCAGTTTCGCGGGCAACATTGGCGTACAACGAGAGGGCCATCCCAACAACACGCTCTTTTTCTGGGGTTTCGAGAAGACGAATGGCTCTCTGACTGCAAGCGCAGGAGAGAGCACCGAGCCTTGGGGCATCTGGCTGAACGGCGGGTGAAATTGTTCCCTTCTATGTCTGTGGCTTGAAAGTTCACCAAGTCATGCAGGCCAGGAGCAGCAAGTACTCTAGGGCTCCTGTTCGAGGTGGGTTACCAGTATTCGCCGTCTGATTGTCCCAGTTGACCGGCGCTTGCAGAACGGACCAATACACATAGCTCCCGACTATTCAGCGTATCAGAACGAATATGGGTGGAATACTCTAGCAGATTATATTTGGATAGATCAGCCGGTGTATGTTCGACTATTCCATGGGGTCTTCCTCCCATCGTTGACGCCTTGATTTTCCAGAGGCGTGGGCTGGGCTACCACAGATGCAGATGCATGGGGTGAGTACCCTTCCGTCCGGTACTATGGGGCCACTGACGCCTGTTGCAACTGGTCAGTCTACGACGAAGATCAAATGGCCTCGGACTTCGTGAGTCCATAAATAGATCGGAGTGAGCAAGGGATGATGAAACCATATTAGATGGGGTTCCTCGACAACCTTGTGAAGGTGTTTCCAAGCTTGAAGACACGTCCTCTATACCTCGCCGGAGAGAGCTATGCGGGAGTGTACATAGTAAGTAGCGTTCGACCAATCGTGAACAATAGTGAAGTCTGATATTTGACCACTTCCGCAAGCCCTACATTACCAAGGCATACTTTGGCATGGCGGATCCCCCAGTGAGCCTTGCTAAGATCGCAATCGGAGACGGTTCGATTGGCTCTGAAGTAGTGTTTGAGCATTTGCCAGTCGTAAGTTTGTCAGTTTGCACTGCCTTCGATGATCTCATGCGGCTCGTAGACAACTGTGCTTCAGACGTATCCTCAGCTCATTGATTATGATCCTGAGGTGTTTGAATGGTTCAGACAACAGTACGTTGGAGTACCACATTCATTACAGATGTGCTATGACATTGAATATCTGTTTAGGGAGCACCTCTGCGGCTATGACCTCAACCTCTCGTACCCGCAAAACGGCAACTTTCCCGACCTTCAGCTCATCTGGCCAAACGATGCTAATCGCAGCGAATTCGTCTACGCCAAGAAGAGCGCATCCATGTACTCGAAGAGGGGCCTTCTTAGTGAAGGCATGCGTCGCTACGGGGAGGCAAGTCTGCAAGCACGGGACCGCTCGAACCGCATTCGCAGAGAGCTCGCGAAACGCGACTTGGTCGACAGAGCAAACGGCACCATCGACCCGTGGTATGGTTGTTTCTTGTACGACGAGATGCTCGACTACGCTTTGAACTATACCTATCCCTGGAGTGCGTATGTTGTTTGTCGCGTCCTCGTGTTTGTTCAAGCGGCGATTCCGTAACTGGCAGGTCAATACGGGTACCTCGACCCTGCAACCGAAAGCTTAGAGGGTTTTGACGTATGTCTCGTACTTGACTCTGTGCCCATCTAACTGGTCATCGGCATTCAGTACTACAGCATTCCCGACGCATTGAACCCAGAAATACCACTTGACGGGAGCGTCTTCTTCAATGGCGAGTCGGCACGTACTGTGCAATCATTGTACCCAATTTACGATATTATGGCGCATCCTGGCAGATCCTCAGGCTGTCTCTGCCCTTCATGCACCTACTAGCAAGTTGTGGGTAGGCGAACAGGAGTACTACTTCCTTGGTGCGTCGAGTCGTGGTCTTCTTGCTTTGCTGGTCTCGAACGCCTTGTCGTACTATAGGCGGCACCGAAGCCGATTACTGGGGGGACCCTAGTAAGTCTTGCGTGCTGTTGCTGCTCAAATGAGACACTGACTTGCTCTGTGTTCAGGTGTCGAGTGAGTACATCAGTGTATTATGAACGAGATTATATGGCTTATGACAGCGAAGACCCATGGCCTTCCTGACCGAGTTGGCGACGAACGCATCAGAACGAGGTGTCCAGGTTGTGTTGTACTCCGGGAATGATGATTCCCTCATCTCACATCGTAGCACTGAAGGTAAGACGCCAACTCCAGTTCACTGATAGCGAGGCTCACCGTATCCTTCTAGCCGTTATCCAGGTAGGCTTCAAAGCTTTCTTCTACAGCATCCACTAAATAACAGCGACGTCTGCAGAACACAACATTTGGTGGCATTCAAGGATTCACTCAGCCACCGGCGACGCCCTGGTACGCCGACGACGGAAGCTTCGCAGGCATCGTGCACCAAGAACGGAACTGGACATACCTCCTCTTTAACGCCGCCGGCCACCTCGTCGCAGAAGACCAGCCCGCCAACGCGCTCACGTTCCTGCGCGAGTTCATCCTAGGCAACAACGACACCGGCCTCGTCATCACGGACGACGGAAAGATGGAGGTGGTCGGCGGGCAGTCTCGACCCTCGCCGTGGGTGTTCTCCCAGGCCAATCTGGCATCTTCATTGGCTCGGGTGCGACACAGTCGACGTACACGTTCCCATCGGCCACAATCGCTGCTTGGGAGAGCTACATCGTGACGGCAACGGCGACACAGGGCACATCGTCTGTTGCTGCCGCGTGGGCGCGCCCTACGGATGTCTTGCAGTTTCGTCCTTTCGGTGGGCTTTGAGTGTTTTACTCCCTTCGGTGTTTCAGTATATCTATTGTGACCCTGTGTTGGTGAGAGCCGCTGGTCGGCTCTTTCGTTGAGTACCCTGTAATGATGCGACGTGACGATACGACATTCGATACCACAGTCGAGAGATACCAATGCCTGGCTGGTCAGACAGTGAGCCACTTGCTGAGGTGTTCTGCTGCGAGGAACACCGTGACGGCGAATGTCCCGTAAATTAGTTGAGCCGATGTAAGGATTGTCACGAGGCACTGTGGGCTAAGGCGATGTCAGCAAGCCCAAAGGTGATTTCAAGGTCGTTGTCGTTGCGTTGCTCGCATACCTTCAACGTTCGCACTACATTCAGCCTCAGAGATGCCTCCTGTATACAAGTTGATGTCGGTCAATACCGTTCCAGAGCGCGCCAAGCGCCTCATCGGGAGAGTAGTCGAGGATGTGAAGGATCGATGGACGATCCAATATATCGCCAACGCTGAACGTGAGTACGATGGCCGTCTTGAATTGCGCCCAGTCGGTGACCCTCGAGACTAGGGATCGAGGAGGTCCTACCTACGCTTGAACAAGAGCGACCCGATATCATGGTTCGGACCGTCGTGGATCGTCCGACACTACTCAGAGTACTCATTTCACTTCCTTGTCTAGTTCGTAGCATCGATGTGGACCCCAGAACAACAGCAGGTATTATCCTGACCAGGCTCATTGTTCCGAGTGTTTCTTGGCTTACACAGGGCGCGCAGGAAATCGTGTTGATCGCTGAAGAAGCGATCCCGGGTATAAAGACCTTCAAGATCCCGTCTGGACTCCAGGTAGAGAAAGGACCTGATGCGGTTGTCGAGCTGATCAAGGAGAGTCTTCCGTCTATCCTGGATGGTCCAGCCAAGGACGCGAACTGAAATGAGCATGATGTGAATCTCTTCATGTACATTTTTATAGACCTTACGAATGGTCTTTGCACGCGAACTCTGCGTATGAAGCTGACATCATAAGCGCCTCAGAAACTTTGGAGGCATCAATGCAGGGACAGCGAGACGCGACCGAATGAAGAGGTAGTACCTCAAAGACAGAGCAAACGCTTGCATGCCCGATGACCTGTATGGGTACAATCAGAGGCCAATTGAGGTATTCCACGATGCCTGAATGCATGTTGCTAGCCTCTATACGTGCTAGATCAATGAGGGATAGAATGTGATCTGTACCTGCTAGCCTAGCAGGCAGTACCGCGACCACCACAGGCGTGTTCCTCCCCTCGAAAAGCTGGGATTAGACAAGGCTGACCGTAGGTCCCTCCCTGTGCTTGTGCTGCACTAGTGTAGGCACATTGATAGGTTGGCCAACCTGTCGCTTCTACAGGTCCTTTTGCTCGAGCCTCTGAGTAAAATCGTGTTGTGATTCGGCTCAGTCACATACGACTCGGAAGAGGTCGAGATGCAGCTATAGCAGAGAAGCTGAACAGCTGATGAGGGCAAGTCGATGAAGAGACAGAAGTTGGGTGGGCCCACTCTGCTAGAAGTACTGCCTTCGTATTCCTGCCGTCGTGCTCGGGTCGCGCTCGAACGCGACGCGAGCGTCGGTGAGAGATCTTGAGATCCCCGCTCTACGATCACGTGTTCCACCGAAGGAACCAGCCCCTGGCTGCCAGTGGCTTGAGTCAACTTTCAAGGGTGTTCAAACTGGACTTACTGAAAGCTACCCCCCTTGTTCTCCGTCGTCCAGCACTGTCCTTTACCTAGACTGTTTACCCATACGCCAAATGGCGAAGAAGCGAAAGTCTACGCCTCAATCTGCGACCCTGCACGACTTCTTTGGGAAGCCAGGTCGAGCAGCACCGAAGAAAATCAAAGTAGAGGCTAGCACAACTCGGATACCAACAAGTATGTCGATCCTGGAGACATTATTGTCATTGACTCGGACGACGACCTCCCTAAGACACCTGTGAAAGTAGTCGCACCAGCTACCCCTCTAGCCTCGGTCCCAATCGCTCTGGTGGGCAGCAGTCAGCCAGTACGTCTGCACGGCGGCGGAACGGGGAAACTCGCCGGAATGCACGCATCGTACCGCTCGCTGCGGATGAAGAGGACACTGCACAGGAGGCAGAATACGCATTCGGCCTTCCTCTACTGCTGACGCCAGACCAAGCGGCTACCGGCTCGTCGTCGTTGTCTGCCTTCGGTGTCCCGTCCTTGCTTCTACCGGCCGCTCCCTCAGGGGACTCTGCAGGAGCAGCGCCGCGCATACACAACAGAGCGCAAGTCGAGTTGCACCCCTGGATGGATGTACGCCTCCTCCGATCGCGAAGGCCAAGCATAGCGATGATTCTTTCAATACACATGACGATGAGTGGGCGATGGGCGATGATGAGGTAGAGCTCGAAGAGATGGCATCCGCCGACGCTCAAGAAGAGGACGCGGTAGACATTGATCTCACATTGGAAGAGGACACCGTGGAAATCGACTTGACGTTGGACGAAGGCGAGCCTCTGCCACTAGATCAAGGTGTCGAGACATGTCCGCTATGTGCCAAGAAACTCGGAGGTCTGAACAGTTTTGTGCGTAAGCTTCATACCTTAATCGGTGTTTGTAGCTCATGATTTTCTCAGGAAATCAATGAGCATGTCAATGGTTGCATAGATTCAATGTCAACTCCAGCAACCCCCGATGTCGCCAATCCCGCACGGAGCGCTGTGTCGAACGAAGTCAAGCCAAAGCCTCTACGACCGGTCTCGTCCTTCCAGGTGCAGCCCTCGCCGAGTTCATCGAAGGTCAAACTAGAAGACCAAGGACCGTCCACAGATTCCAAGGCCGGTGTGTTCTCCGTGCTCATGACGTCTCACAAAGAGAACGAGGCATGGAAAGAAGCATCCGTCGCCGAGGACCGTAACTTCCGACCGACGAAGGGCAACGGCGGACGGCGGAAGGCGCCTTTCTATAAGGTCATGCAGGGGATGCCCATCGCTGTCGACGCGTTTCGCTACGGGGCCATCCCGGGCGTCACAGCGTATTTCTTGACGTGAGTTCCGTGTTGTGTTGCTGGAATGCGGCTGCTGACGTTTGGCCTGCAGACATGCACATTCGGACCACTATACGAACCTCTCAGCTAAGTGGGCAGCGGGCCTATCTACTGTTCGGAGGGCACGGCCAACCTGATCATGCACATGCTCGGCGTGGACCGGAAATGGGTGCACCCATTGCCCATGGACATCGCCACGACCATCCCAAACACTGGTGGTGTACAGGTGACGTGCATCGAGGCGAACCACTGTGAGCACGCTTATACGCGCTCAAATTCAGCGTACTCACGCGACACCTTCAGGCCCTGGGTCATGTCTTTTCCTGTTTGAAGGGACACAGACAGTCAACGCGGGCGACAGCGCGTACAAGTCGCCACATCTGGTTCGCCAAAGATCTTCAGGTACCTGCACTGCGGCGACTTCAGGGCGTCCCCGGCACATGTGCTGCACCCAGCGATCAAGGGCAAGCGGATAGACCACGTATACCTGACACGACGTACTTGGATCCCAAGGTAGACTTCCTTGAACTTGACCTAGTTCTCGCGTCTAACATCGGCATGTCTGTCAGTACTGTTTTCCGCCGCAGCCGCAGGTCATCCCGGCTTGTGCGGAGCTAGCAAGGCGGATTGTCGCCGGTATCCCGTTGCACGAGGATGCAGCGAAGGCCAAGCAGAACCGTACTATGGACGGGTGGGTGACGACCTCGAGCGTCAAGACAGAACAGAAGGAGCAAGTCCCAGGTAGAACCCTCGTCGTCGTAGGGTGCGTCGCGATCTGCCGCCTCGTAGAGTAGAGCGCTGACACGAACACTTGTTGCAGAACCTACTCCATCGGGAAGGAGCGCATCGTCAAAGCCATCGCTCGGGCCCTCCAGACGAAGGTCTTCTGCGACTCGCGCAAGGCGGCCATCCTGCGGTGTCAAGCGGACCCCGAGCTACACGAACTGCTCACGAAGGACCCGCTTGAGGGCGGCGTACACCTTGTTCCACTGGGCGTGATCGCTTCGGACCGGCTGAAGGAGTATGTCGAGCGGTTCAAGGGGCATTACAGCAGGGCGGTTGGCTTCAGACCGACAGGCTGGACGTGAGTACCACCATCGAACAAAGTCATCTTCCATCCAATAAGATAGACTGACCTGTCTGCATAGGTTCACCGCTCCGACAGGGAGCGACATGCTCCCCTCGGTCCAGACGATCATTTCCCGCTCGCAAAGCCGCACCTTCACCTACGCCCAGATGAACCCGATGAAGAACTCCACGCCGGCGCTGCAGGTGTACGGCGTGCCCTACTCGGAGCACAGCTCGTTCTTCGAGCTGACGTGCTTCGCGCTCTCGCTCGACTGGGGCAAGATGATCGCCACCGTGAACGTCGGGAGTGAGAACTCGCGCAAGAAGATGAGCAAGTGGTTCGAGCGTTGGGAGGCAGAGAGGAAGAAGATGGGGAAGGACGAGGTCGTCGGGCATAGGGCTGGAGACTACTGGTAGCACTATGTACATTGTCATTTCTATCGTCTGCTGTGTGCTGTGACTTGGCTTTAATTTTGCCCTATCTGGAGACGTTCTCACTCCATAGCGTGTGTTTCGGAGCCCACCGAGTCTCCTCTCAAGTAGGATCATCGTAAACATCGACATCTATAGTAACTTACCTTGTTCAGTGATCATCATGTCCATGCGTGAGTAGAGGACGCGCCTACGATGAGACATTGTGCAGCCTTGGCGGTGCGGCGGGTAAGAGCGTTGGCTAACGGGCGTCGTTCGTCGCGATGTAAGTAGGGCTACTACATAGCTCCATATGTGGAACACTCCTGTAGAGCTGCAACCGACATAACCCCTAAGGATGCACACACAGGGACAGTGACAATCCTGCACGATGTCGATGCTCGCGTCGCCAGTCTGCACCAATGTGTATAAGCAATGAGTCACGTACAGGAGGATCCCAGAGAAGGTAGCGGCTACGTTTTACCAAATCCACCGGCAGTGCGGAGAATATTCTGCAGGGTCCACACGTTATGCATGCATGCGGTAGATTTTGCTGCGTACGAAGTGTCATACAGGCATTGCATAAAACATGATAGCGAAGAAGACCAAAAAGATGCGCGAACCCGTGCGTTTATTGCTCGGCCGCCCGCTGTTTCCTCCTGACATCCCGCTCCTCCGTGATGGTGAGTTTGGTACCCTTGCCCTTCGGGAGGGAGACCCAAGGCTTGGAGCCCTCGCCAAGCACGAAAATGTTGGAGATCCTGCGGTCATATGTGAGTACAGCGTTCTTCGTGCGGGTCAATTTGTACTCACCGCGTAGCAAATGTCCGGTCGAGAGAGTCCTTGACGTGGACAATGTCGAAGCCACCGATGTGCTTCTCGCGGTGCACGATGACACCAGCACGGCCCATGTTACGACCACCAGTGATCATAACGATGTTACCGGTATCGAACTTGACAAAGTCCGTGATCTTGCTCTGCTCAAGGTCAAACTTGATGGTGTCGTTGACCTTGATGGCGGGGTCAGGGTAGCGGATCGTACGGCCGTCATGGGTGACAACGTGTGGCACGCCTTTCTGGCCGACAGCCACTTTGCGGACCTTGAGGAGCTTGAAGGTCGCCTCCTCAGGAGTGATGCGGTGGATAGTGAAGCGACCCTTGACGTCGTAAAGAAGACGGAAGTGCTCGCCGGACTTCTCGATCGAGATCACGTCTGAACGAAGTCAGTGTGATATCTAACTAACCCTGCAGTTCGAAAACGCGTACCCATGAAGCCCGTGGGGTAGGTAGGGTCAGTCCGGACCTTGCCATCAATCTTGATCAAACGCTGCATGACGATCGAGAGGACCTCCTTTCCGGTCAACGCATACTTGAGCCTGTTGCGGAGGAAGATGGTAAGGGGCAGGCATTCACGGAGCTTGTGGGGACCGGGAGAAGGGCGGGGGGCCTGAGCACATCCAACGACTTCAGTGCATACTCGCTATGGGCGAGCCAGAAATACGCACGTAGGTCCCGCTCAGCTTGTCTAGCATCCATGATGAGGGAGCGGCGAGGCGCTTCAAGTGCTTTTTGGGTCCTCGGGCCTGTAGAGAACACGGTCGTCAGCGCTGTACTCTTCTGAGAGACCCAGAGGAGCTGATCAGTCCAGAGGTCACATCGGTCGCCAGAGTACATCCGAACGTCAACGGACGCATCCATCCCCGTACGAAGTCCTGGGCACCGATCTGACCGCACAGAGCAGCAGGACCAAGGCCTCTGGGTCGTCTGGCAGCATTCCACTGACCATGTTGGTGTTCTTGCGGGCTTGACGTTGGCGACGGCGGCGGCCTCGAGCTTGCTCCCTGCACCACTACAAACTTCGGCTTTCCGCGTTCGGCGGCTTCAGGGCAAGGCAATTCACGTCCACGTGATCGGATCCTCCCCGCCATATTACGGGCGCTTAGTGGCTCAAGCTCCCCCAAGGGCTGGTCCGAACTGGGGTTGAAGTCAATGCAGCGAGATCTTCTGTGCTTAGAGTACAGCAAGTAGTGTTACAACATTATGTGGTCCATACATTATAACATCACCACCGCCATCGTCCCTACTACTTCCTCGCTCGGAGAACCATATTCTCAAGCGGTATTGCCCGATATTCATCACCATCAGGAGCCCATACGGCGTCGTCTTGTATATACACGAGCAACCCACCCTTGCCATCGGCGGTGGGAGACACACGGAAGAGGGGCATGCGCGATTCCTCGTGCACCCGGCCGGCGGGCATGAACAACAGGTTGTGGGAGGACGCATAATCCTCCACAATAGACCGGAAGGTAATCTCCTGTGTTCGCGCAGGGCGCATTTTGGGTGCCTTCTGTTGCCCCGTTACCATCGGCGTAGGAGAAGGAGGACGATGGTCCGGCCGGGGCAGCTGTGTGGGTGCATTGGGCCCGAGCTCGATCGCCTTGTTCATCAACTGCAATCCGCGTGTGAAGCCCTGTGCGATGCCAGGCATGCTCTGCACATTCTCCGAGAACATCCCCTTCCATAACGAGTACCATCGCGCAACTTCATCGAAGCTCGGATTCGGCTGGATAAGCCAGACATGCAGCACGTCTAGCCACTTCGGGAAGAATTCGGTCTCGAGGATGCGCGACAATACCATAGGGCTGAGAAGGCTCTCCCACAGCATGACGTCCTGCAAGGGGCCCATGTCCTGATTGCGTGGATTGACGCGGAAGTCTTCTCGGAGCCTGCTGCCTAGCTTCGGCACGACATACTTGAGCAGCATGGCATCCCAGTCGCCTACATCGAAGACCTACAACGACCGTCAGTCAGTACGTGAAATGTGCGGATATGAGAAAGGCAGCAAATTGTACTCACGTCTTTCCAAACGGTCAGGTCGCCCGGCATGCCCTCGGCGACCGCCCAATGCCTGAGCAAACTCTTGACCTTCCTGCGCGCATCACCGAGGACGTCGTCCAGCCTCAGACCCACATGAGGCAACCACGGGAACACAAGCGTCTGCAAGGGAACTTTGCTGATGCGAGGGTTCCACCCGTCCACCGCCTTTGCGACTTTCGGCAATATCAGCTGATCGAAGAAATTGTCTCGAATAAACGGAGGCAGGAAGGCGGACCATGCTTCGTACAGGCGTACTGCAGGCTGTGGGTCGTCTGGGGACCACTCGTTGTTGATAGATGACCGTACCTTCGGCAACCATGCGTTCCAAAGCAGGCTCTCGTAGGGTGTCATAGGCTTTTCCCTGATTACATATGAGTCAGCCTGAAAATCGCATAGATCGGAGTGTCGCACTTACACAACAGGTGCGGGCGAGATGACCGTACTGGACCCATATACTGAGACGTTGTCCTGCGGCTTCTCCTCATGTGTTGCCATCTTGAGCGCATTTCTCCACAACCGGAACAGCGATGTGAATGCAACAGGATCCTGTAGAGGATGCCATTGCGCCAACATACGTCGTACCTACGTTGTAGCGTTAACATCAATCATGCTCGCATCAACGTGATCAGTCAACTCACGATAGGGGCAATAGCGGCAACGATGACCTCGTCCAACCGATATCTATCGAACTCATTCGCATACTGTCCGAGAAGCTTCTCAAAATTGGCGGAGAAGCTTTCGAGCGAAGGCTCGTACATCGAAGCCAAGTCTCTTGCCTGCGAATTGATGTCGTCTACCACCAGGTTGACTTGCTGCAAACGAGAGATGACTAGTGTGGCAATGATGAGCGTACGTACCAGTAGGCAACGAAGAGCGGACTTACGTTCAGCTTCCTCGTTCACTTTCTTCCGCAGCCTTGCATCCTCTGCTTGTATCCACTTCTTACGTTCTCCCAACGCTTTCGCTTCTTTCGCGAGGCCATCCAAATCGCCTTTGCATGCCTCGGTAATCAGGCGCAGGTTGTGTCGAACCTCAGGAAGACGCATTGGGTCCGAGGTAGGTGTCCATGATGCCATTGATACATCTGCGAGAGAAGAAACCTCTCTGAGCTAGAGATTTGCAGCAAATTAGACTCAGACCATGACGTCGGCGAATCAGTATACGTACAGTAGCACCGGTAGCATCTATGATCTGCCCAACACCAGCAGGCTGAGCATCCTGACCGGCTCCTGCCACAATCTCCTCGTACGTCTTGTGTTCAATCCGTGTCTTTGCCTTGCGCGGCTTCTTCCACGCCTGCGCCCTCTCCTCACGGGCCTTCGCAGCCTTGCGACCGAGCTTCGTAGCAGGCTTGTCCTCATCATCACTGACAACCTCCCCGCGACGTCGCGCCTCCGCTTTCGCTTGCGCTGTCTTCTCCCCAAAGCCCTTGAACGCGAGACCCATGCCCTTAGGACGCAGCTTGCTTTCGACTGGGGTGACGATGCCTTCGCCTGACGCACCCAGACCAGTGCCCGCCTGCCAGCCCATCTTCTCCAGCATCTTCGCACCAAAAGAGCTCCCGAGCTTACTGAAGTGCTGCCGCTCGGCCGCGCTGAGGGTGGGTGCGGGTTTCGGAGTGCCCGACCTGCTCTTGCCATCGCGTAGGAACGAGCGTTGAGCGCGGGCACCCCCAAACGCAGACGGTAGGTCCTTTGAAGTCGTTGGCACGGGTGAGGGCTCCGGCGCAGCATCGGCAGGCGGGGTTGAGGTGCGCTCAGACGAGCCAATGCCTCCCCTGCTGAACCCAAGGCCTCCTTTGAATCCAGAGAATGCACTCTTTGCTTGAGACGTTGAGGCCCCGATGCCGATACCACCAAAGCGGGGCCGCACCTCTTCCTCCTCTTCCTCACGTACTCTGGGAGAGGGCGGCTTCGAGGGGCCCGAATCGTCGGTCTGCATTGCGTCGTCCGCCTGCTCCTCATCCGAGCTGCTCGGACCTCCATCTCCGACTTCCTCGTCTGCACCTGCATCCTTCATCTCTGCATCCGCATCTGTTACCTTGTCCATGTCCACCTTCTCACCAGACACAAAGGCCGGAGCCTTCGCCCAATCCCTCCGCTTCTCGGTCTTCCCCCCTCGGCGACCGCCAAACCCCTCGTCTTCATCGTCGTCTGCAAATACGCCGTAGATAGCGTCCACCTTCCCGTCCTTCCGGCGCCGCTTGCGCTTGTACGGATCCTCGAATAGTTCGCGCTCTTCACGCGCATCGGGGTCATTCGCGTCATGGTTTGGGTCGTTATGGTCGTCAACGTCGGATACGGAGGAGGAATCGTCGTCGTCAAGCAGCTGTCGTTTTCTCCGTGCCATGGCTTGGACGGCTCGGTCGGCAGTGGGTGCAGTTCCAAGTGGCTATAGTCACTGGGATACCGCCAGGCGGAGTCGTGGGCGATCGAGAGCACGTGATGATGCATCTCGAGGATCGCTCGAGACGGTTGCATTCGGACGTCCGTCTCCACAACGGTCGACGCTCGTATTCACTGCAACCGCTGTGCGCTACAAATTACTACCGGCATATCATCAGGGACGTCGGTTCGATATCCAGCACCCTAGAGTCTCGCCTGGGACAACGACAACGGGACGACAATGTCTAGGCGCGATACGTTCAGGACTCGGAGTCACTGGCAAGCGCACACATATGTATTAAGGTAGGCTGTCCGGCACCGACTTCTCATCACGCAATCCGCATTTCTAATACAGTACCACCTTCTCATGAGAGTCGATTTATGAGTCTTGAGCTTCTGACCTCCTCATATGAATGCCTGAAGTGGTACGAATGTAAGGGGGAGTCAGAACAACTCGAAGGCTTCGCCTGTAAGCTGTCCTATGTACCGCAATCAGAGGTCACCAAGTAGTCTCTCGACTCATTGGACTTCCTCGCACTCCTTTGACCAATTGATCAATGCAATCGATGCTTGCGCAGCTGGATGCATTGAAGAAGCGCACGGGGATCGATTCGTTCCGCATGGGTTCCGAGAATGCGGTATCTGGAGGGTATAATAGTTATCTGAGGTGGAGTGAGTCACTTCTGCACATCTTGACCATGGCACCACTGCGACTGACGAGACGAGTGCCGCTATTGCGAAGCCGTCGCTCAAAGCGACCTCCATCTTGCACAGGACTCCGTGTCCGCCACCTATCGCGAGCTCGGCGCAGGGCATCTATGTGACTCTAGATGATGGGCGGCAACTCATAGATGCCGTCGGTGGTGCTGCCGTAGCATGCATTGGAGACGGCCACCCTGCTGTCAAGAACGCGTTGAAGGAACAGGTCGACAAGATGTCTTGTTTGTGCTCTCAGAAAGATGTGTCCGCGCACCGATTGATGTGACCTTCCACCAGATGTATACAACATGCAACTGTCGAATGAGCCTGCGGAGGAGCTGGCGAAGCTTGTTATTGAACAGAGCAACGGGGCCTTTGACCTCGTCGGCTTCGTTTCCGGAGGTATGTACGGCATATGCATAGGTCATGGTGCGCAGCTGAGACATGCACAGGGAGCGAGGCCATGGAAGGAGTGATCAAGACCGCTCGTCAGGTAGGCTCCCGTGTGGCAATAAATTCTATGCGCGGTGTTCACTAAACAACACGCAACACAGTACTTCTTCGAGACGAAACAGCCGCAGAGGACGAACTTCATCGCCCGCTACCTATCCTACCACGGCAACTCAATCGGCACATTGTCCCTCGCGCATCATGCTGCGCGCCGTGGCCCATACGAGGGGATCCTCGACCATGAACACTTTCACCATGTCTCCCCTGCGTACGCCAAGCGCTTCCAGAAGCATGGTGAGACAGAGGAACAATACGTCGAGAGGCTACGCCAGGAACTGGAAGACAAATTCATTGAGCTTGGCCCGGATACTATCATTGGCTGTCAGTGCGCAATGCGACGCCAGGTATTTTACCATTACTGACTGGTCCAAAGTTGTTGCAGAAACGGTCGTTGGCGCCACCACGGGAGTTGTACCGGCGCCGAAAGGTTATTTCAAGGCTATGAAGTCTGTCTGTGACAAGTATGGCGCGCTATTCATCCTCGATGAGGTCATGTGCGGAATGGGCCGTAAGTCGTAAGCCGAGTCCTCTGAGTTTAATGCTGATGGACATGTATAGGCATGGGCACACTGCATGGATGGCAGAGCTTCGGTGACAACGTCTCTCCTGACCTTCAGGCAGTTGCCAAGGGCCTCGGTGGAGGGTACGCCCGAAACGTCGATGTTCCTGCCATCTGCTGACCTGCCACTGTGATAGCTATGCATCCATTGGCGCCGTTCTACTGTCGAAGAAGGTTGCCGATGGTATTCGAGACACGTCGGGCTTTTGGAAGCACGGCCATACCTATCAGGTGCGCTTCTGACTTGCTCCGGGGATAGCGCGCATACCTATCTGACGTGCCCCACTTTTCCTTAGGCTCATCCTCTGGCTTGTGCGGCTTCGCTTGCTGTACAGAAGGTCATCATTGAAGAGAACCTGCTCGAGAACGCTCAGGTTCAGGGTGCTTACCTCGGTCTCTTCTTCGCGACGCCTCCAGTCGCCTAATGCTGTCGCTGCGCCGTTCGTCTTTGATGTTCGCGGGGGCGGTGCGTGGTGGGGTGTGGAGTTTGATTTTACGGGCCCGGAGGCGTCAAGAGTGAACTTCAGGGGTACACCTTTCGGTCTTCTGGCGCAGGCACGGTGCATGGAAAAGGGCCTAATCATCATGGGCCTCACCGGGGGCGCAAATGTTGAGGGTACCGCTGGCGACCACTTGATGCTCTCCCCCGCGTACAATGTTACCCGGGAGCAGGTAGAGACGATCACTAACATATTCGTGGAAGCTATTGAGGAGGTACTCAAAGACAGCACTGTCTAGTCAGGTTGTCGGGTGCAACATAAGTAGCATAGATAGTTGCGACGCCATTGTACGAATTGTACGAATTTGAGAATAAAAAGTGATTGTATCCGTTGGCACACTTGAGGCCCGGCCGGATGTCTTTTAGGAGTCTTGCCCGTCTTGCCGGAACCTAAGAACGCTGCAGGCTCCTCCCCAGACAGGCTGAAACAGCCACAAGCAGTTTGGGCGGAGAAAGCGGCGTCTGAATAGGCCGGTTACGCGCCCGCGCTCGCCGTCCTGCCTTGGCTCGACGCCGCCACAATCCCTCCTCATCGTAACTGCCATTCGATAGCCTATAGACAAGGAATCGATGGCCGGCTGTATGCACTAAATGGACTACACCCAGCAGCAAGAAGTGACCAGTAGCTGCAGTCCATCCACGTCGCACCCTGAAGAGCCATCTGCGTCGCTCCCAGGATCCTCCACAGACGCCAAGGTCTTGCGCTCGAGCGCGAGAGTGAAAGCTGCCAAACAGAAGGAGAAAGAGAAGGAACACAGCTCTACGGAACAGGCCACGTCTTCATCCATCCCAGCCAAACGTGCCCGCGAGGCTGCCTCAGCCAAGGGAAAGGGAAAGGAAGTGTCTGACGAAGCTTCACGGGCGAGCAAGAGGTCAGTGTACACAGCAATCCCCAGGCGCAGGTGCTGACGGATACCATGTAGAGCGCGCCGCGCCACTTATCCCACCGGTTCTGCGTTAACGATCAACGAACCTCCAACCGACACTAAAGGCAAGAGACGAGCGCAGGCAAATAGCTCCGAAGGAGAGGAGAACCTTGCTTCGTCTTCCACTACAACCAAGCGTACGAGAACCGTCAGCGCGTACTCCCTCCGATCCCGATCGGAAGCTCAAGCAGCGACTGAAATGACGAAGAAGACGAGGTACGAGCAGTTCCTACCGTGCTGTCTGGTCTTACTCATCTCAGTGGCTTAGAACGACATCGGGGAAGGGCAAGGCCGCCGCGAAGAGCAAAGTCATGTCAGCTATGCCTAGTACATCCCGGGCTGACGAAGACGTTGAGATGATGGATGCGGAGTGCATGCACGCAGAGCTCGAACAACCCAGCGAGAAGCATGAGGATATGGACGATTATACAGGCGGCGAAGATGTTGACGATGTCGAGCAACATGATGAGGGAGATGATCAGGACGAGCCGCCTGAGGAGGACCAGAGGGAACCTGCGAAGCAATCAAGTGACGGTTTGGACGAACCGTCAGCCATGGCAATCTTTGGTGACTATCGTCAGCTTGGGTCATACATGATGGGTCTGTCTAGTCGTCTGAAGACTATGCTGAACAATATCAAGCCCACCGCTGACCCCACTACGCGTCTCCTTACCCTCCAAGAGCTGAGCGAGCTGCTCAGCATCAGTACGGAAGATACTCTTGCCGGTTCTTTCCAGGTAGAGTCCTTCGTTCGAGAGCTCGTTCGCGTTCTGGGGGGCACTGGTGGAGATCCGGATGAAGACGACGATCAAGATCCACAAGACGTTGACGAGGATGCTGCACTTGCGGCAGCCTTGGCAATGAGCGCCGGTGGAGGTGCATACCAAGGTGACGAGAATCTAGAAGCTCAAGTGCTAGCGTGCAGGTGTCTCGCCAATCTCATGGAGGCGTTACCGGGTGTGGCGCACACCGTCGTCTACCACGGCGCCATCCCTGTCCTGTGTAGCAAACTGATCGAAATCTCATACATCGATTTAGCGGAGCAAACGCTCAGCGTGAGTGGTGAGATTTCCATGCGTACTTAACAGATCTAAATAGGTTTGGTTCGCAGACGTTGGAGAAGATCTCTGAAGAGTTCCCGAGCTCGATTGTCCGTGAAGGCGGTCTCGCTGCGTTGCTAAACTATCTCGACTTCTTTTCCATCGCTGTCCAGAGAACGGCCCTACAAGCAGCCTCGAATTGCTGTCGTAACATCTCGGCTGAACACTTCCCCATGGTGCGCGGAGTATGGCCCACTATCCGCAATTGCCTGGGATATGCCGATCAACGACTGGTTGAGTTCGCATGTCTCTGCGTCATCCGTGTCGTAGATGCCTATCACCGTATTGCTCCCGACAAACTGGAAAGCCTCGTCGATGTCGACCTCGTTCGTGCCGTCAACCTACTTCTCTTGCCTTCCGGTGGATCCCCGTTGATTGCGGCGGGTACTTTTACGCTACTGCTCCGAGCGATGGCAACAGCCGCACGCGCGAGTCCCAAGATCACCCTCGTCTTGTTGGAGGCCGGCATAGTGGACACCCTGTATCAGATCCTGACCGGTGTTCTGCCTCCCGCATCTGAGGATGGCGAGGAGCAGGGTGATGGAGCCGGAGGACAAGGCCTTGGTGGCGGACTGGCGGACATGACCGTCATGGAGAACCTTGCGCATCGTCCAAAGGATCAAGTAGAAGAAACACTCAGTCTCGTATCGGAGCTCATGCCACCGTTGCCTAAGGGTAAGTGCGTCACTCTCATGACAGTTTCGTATCCTAACGGTTGGCCTCCGCTGTAGATGGTGTGTTTGATCATAAGACCTACACCGAGAGGGCATTGTCCAAACTCGTCAAGGCAAGAGCGAAGGCTGAGCGTGCTGCTGCGCGGCAGGCGATGTCCGCTGTAGCGGCCGCTCTGCTCGGGGAAGATACGTCCACTGCAGGGGCCTCGACAGCGATTCCTGCGCAGCCAGAGGACAGCGCTTCCCAAGACCCTGGTTCCGCAGATACCCAGTCCATACACGACGGTGACGAGAGCATGATCTCACTGATACTACCGAAGGAGATAACGTCCGACCGTACGGAGCTCTTGCGATCAAAGCCTGCGGTTGTAGGAAGGTTCCTGCACCTCATGGTGCCCATTCTAGTCGACGTCTACGCGGCGAGTGTCATGAGCCCGGTGCGGATCAAGACACTCACCGGTCTATTGAAAGCTGTCAGTTTCCTTGAGGCCGATGAATTGGTTCGGGTGTTCAAGGTACGTTGTGTTTGTTAAGCCGATGGGTAGCGACGCTTACGATCCTTGCTGCAGTTTGTCCCCATCGCAACCTTTGCATCATCAATCCTCTCTTCCAAGGATCACCCCAGCCTGGTTATCGGCGCCCTCCAAATAGTGGAAGTGCTTCTCAGCAAGGCTCCTGCAGAGTACAAGCCAGCTTTCAGACGCGAGGGAGTGCTGCACGAGATCGAACTCCTCGCAGCGCGACCCGTCGCGACGAGGTCTAAAGACAAGGACAAAGACAAAGAGAAGGAGACTGACGCATCAGCCCCTACGGAACCTCCTGCGACGTCTACCCCTCCCACAGCGGCTACCTCAGTACCTGGGGCCAAGAAACTGTCCTCTCTTTCTCTCGAGCCTGACGACGCCATCACCTGGCGAGCAAGAGTCATACGATACAAGTATCTGCTCGGAGCAGAAGAGGAACAAAGCGATGACTTGTTCACTACACTCAAGTGCGTTGTTGATGAAATCAGCAAGCAAGATGCTTCCGAAGGGGAGCTTGAGACCGCCCTTGCGTCCCTGGCCGATTTGTTCGCTTCGCCGCATACATCTGTATCCAGCTTTGAGCTCCTCCAGAGCGGCCTAGTGGATGGTCTCCTGCGCCTTGTGACGGATGAAGAGCGACATGGTGAGTCTTCTTCCCTGTTGTTCTTCAATACCCTCATTGTCGATGTAGTGGGTCTTGATCGACGACGGGAGCTACTCTACCGCGTGTTCACTACCCAGAAGTTGAAGACGAGTATCACCGGTCAGACTCCTCTTGCAACGCTGGTCAAGAAGTTGCAGGAAAGTCTCACGAGGATGGAGTCATTCGAAGTTGTTACAGTCGCTCAGAGTTCAGATGGTAGGACTTTTTTGGCCCCGTCTAGTTTATCATGTTGCTCATGGCCGAACAGATTCCAAGCGTAGTTCACCGTCGCTGCTCGCCCGCCAGCTGCGTCTACGTCTGGTCGCAGCTGAGGATTCTGATGTGCCAAAGAGCCTCAGTAACATCGTCGTGTCCATCCATGCGATCGCGACTTTCCAGGCTTTGCATGACTATCTTCGCCCACGAGTTGCTGGCTCTCTCCCAAGTGGTTCTCGGCTGTCAGGGATGCTTGCAGCGCTCGCCGCGTCTGCCCTCGCGCCTCCATCATCTTCGCGTAGTGCACTTCCCACTTCACCCGCACCCAATGCCGCCCCACCCGACTCCGCGAGTATAGCACGTCGACGAAGCCTCCGTCTCAGTGCGAAGAAGGTAGGCGGCGTAGATGGTCCTTCTGAGCCATCAGCGCCGCCCGAGGCAGACGCAGCCCCGGATCAGTTTCCCCCAAAGTCATCATCTGATTCATCACCATCTGCCGCTCCTGAGGTCCCAGAAGCCACCACGTCACCATCAGCACCGGATAGTGCGTCAAGCGGGACTGCCGTGCAGGAACCCGAATTCACTGCCGACTTCACTGATGATGAGATCGATGTAGATGCTGAGGTATGCTGTGTCGCCTTTGCCCGGTGCTCCTTACCAATTCTGCTTAGGTTCTTGAGGACGACGAGCAGATGGACAATCCGGATGCCGATAAGACGATAAACTTGTCAGTTGGTGAAGGTGAGTAGAGTTTTTATGGACGGGAATGCGCAGGTACTAAGACTTCGGCAGACGGATCAAAGGTTGAGGCTCAAACTCCTGACGGGACAAGGGTGCCGACCCCAGCACCTGCGAAGAGTCGACCTCCTCTCAGTAGCGGACGTAGTGCCGCGAGTACTGGAGCGTCGTACGCCGCCGCAGTGAAGTCTAAACCAAATGACTGGCACCTAGAGTTCTTTATGGACGACCACAAACTGCCCCTTGACTTGACAATCTATGGTGCCGTGCACCAGCATGAAGGGCGTAAGAAGTCTGGCCAGACGCTGTCGCCTAGCTTGTTTTGGCAGGGTGTTTACACTGTCAAGTTCAAGAAAGTCCCTGGTCCAGTCCCTCCGTCAGAGTGTAAGCTGTTTGCTTCTGCTGATTTGTGATGCCCTACTAACCGTCGTCATAGCTCGGAGCGATGAGTTCGGGTCACGAAGTCGCTCGCCAACTCCACCGTTGTCATCGCTTCCAGAAGATGCCCCGCATGGGAAGATACTGCGACTCTTACGTGTTCTGCATAAACTGAACGTGCAGGAGAGCGAACGTCCTGCGGTGCCAGGTTACAGGCGCGTGCTACCGGAGAGCGCCTTTGTCAACAATAAGCTCACGGCCAAATTGACACGGCAACTGGAGGAACCCATGATCGTTGCCAGGTAAGTGTTCGTATAATCTACACCGAATATGCAGCTGAAATCCTGTGTAGCTCATGCCTTCCTGAATGGGCCCTCGACCTTCCTCAACATTTCCCGTTCCTCTTCCCCTTCGGCACCCGCTACAACTTCCTACAATCGACATCGTTCGGCTATGCTCGCCTCATTCTCAAGTGGCAAAGTCAGCAGAGCCGTGGCCAGGACAGTTCAAGGCGAGACGACGGCGTAGGTTTCCTGGGAAGACTACAACGGCAGAAAGTCCGCATCTCTCGTCAGCACATCCTCGAGTCTGCCGTCAAGGTGTTCGAGTTATACGGTTCCTCGTCGTCCATCCTCGAAGTGGAGTACTTCGAAGAAGTAGGCACGGGGTTGGGACCTACTCTCGAGTTCTACTCCCTCGTCTCGAAGGAGTTCGCGCGGAAGGACCTCAAGATTTGGCGGGACGCTGACCCGACGCTCTCCGGTACATATGTCCACCATCCGCTTGGTTTGTTCCCTGCGCCGATCAATGTAGATATTGTGGGTGACGTGTCGCAGTGAGTTTCTCACCTTTAGATCTCCTATCTGGATGTTTACTCTTCTGTCCAGCAAACGAACGCATATCTTCCGGGTGATTGGGCAGTTTGTCGCAAAGGCCCTGTTGGATTCTCGAATCATCGATTTGTCCTTCAACAAGGTCTTCCTCAAGCTGGTTCTCGGAGAGGAGGTTTCTCTGACAGTTGATAACCTTAGGGTAAGTGTGACGGTTAGGCTTCTTCGCGCCTATGCTAAGCTGATGCACCTCGTATAGCGCGTCGACCCCGACCTGGCTGCCTCGCTGGAACAGATTCAGAGCTTCGCCAGTGTGAAGTCTCAGGCCGAGAAGGTATGAGTGCCGCACCTTACCGGCTAGACCATGACTGACAGGCACCCGTAGATCCGCCGTAAGCTAGGTGTCGTAGAAGACGTCATGGTAGAAGATCTTGCATTGGATTTCACGATCCCTGGCTATGACATCGAATTACGCGTAAGTGTCGGAGCTTCGGTCGGAGATGGTCGACTTATCCCATTTATGATGCAGCCTGGGGGCCGAAACATCGCGGTCACTTCGGAGAACGTTGATGATTATGTTCATGAAATACTGGACGCAATCATTGGCAGGGGTGCGCAACTGCAGGCGAAGGCGTTCCGGGAGGGTTTCTCGAAGGTGTTCCCGATTGCCGATCTGCAGGCGTTTACGACGGACGAGCTGGTTATGTTGTTCGGGAACTCCGAAGAAGACTGGAGTCTAGAGAGTGAGCACCAAGCCTCTCTTCCTATCCCTAACGTTTGACTTCATCGCTGTTCATAGCCTTAAGTGAGGTTTTGAAGGCTGACCATGGCTTCAATGTCGAGAGTCGTGCGATCCATGACCTGCTCGAGATCATGTCCGAGTTCAACCTGCCTACTCGCCGCAGCTACCTCCAATTCATCACCGGAAGTCCAAGACTGCCAATAGGCGGTATGTTTGGTATTATGTCTACTATTCGCATCGCTGATCATGGCGATGTAGGCTTCCGAGGGTTGAACCCAACGTTGACGGTTGTGCGCAAGCCGCACGAGGCACCCCTGACCGCTGATGACTACTTGCCGAGTGTCATGACGTGCGTCAACTACCTCAAGCTCCCCGAATACTCGTCCAAGGCCGTCATGCGGGAGAAGTTGCACATCGCCATGCAGGAGGGCGTCGGAAGTTTCCACTTGTCATAGTATCGTCGCCGGTTTGTCGTCCGCTATTCTCTGTATCTCTTGTTGCTGTGCTTTTAGCATTCCCTCACACTCCGTACTACGTAGACCATCTTTGGACGTTCATAGCATCCCCTCAATCCATGTATCAAGCATACGGATATGCGAATACTATGTAATTTATGCCATACTCTCATTGAATGAATGTTCTGTTGGTCCTTGCCTTCGAACCGAGCTGAGATCCGTGAGAAGCGATGACAAATCTGCGACGACCTCGCTTCATGCGCGTCTGTACTTCAGCAACGCCTTGCGATCCGGCGACCATGTCTAAACATCATCCAGGTACATCGCACATCGGACCGCCGAGAGGTATTCTATGCTAATGCGCTGTTCTGGTAGATTTGATTATGTGCAGACGCCAACCAGGCATAGGTGAGTTTTTGCGTCCTAGTCGTACTTCGACGTAGACTGACGTCCGGCACTCAGCCATTGGTCGTCTGTGCGAGAAATGCGACGGGAAGTGGTGCGTAGGTCTGGTTCCCCTTGTTCGCAAATGCTGACATTGTGGTTTAGCCCGGTGTGTGATTCATACGTACGCCCAGAGACACTTGTCCGTATATGTGACGAGTGCAACTTCGGTACTTACGGAGGGCGATGCATCATCTGCGGCTCGCCAGGTACGTACAAGTGGCTTCGTGGAATCCTTGCATGTGGGCTGTTCTGACGGGGCTGTAGGGATCTCTGACGCATACTACTGCGCTGAGTGTACCAGGTTAGAAAAGGATCGTGACGGGTGTCCGAAGATCGTCAACCTCGGCGCGAGCAGGACGGATCTCTTCTATGAGCGGCGTCGTCTCGGTATGTCATGCTTGTCTGGGTCCCTGGCCGTCGGGCTAACGTGTCGTATGCAGGCTTCAAAAAAGGATAGGATGTGCTTCCTCCGTCGAGAGCTCTTGTATCATAGTGTACATTACACGTCATGTACTCCGCCCGTATGCGTGTGCAGAACAAAATGCAATTTGATTTGTATACCTACCTACCAGATTGATCCGCTGGTGCACGTTAATAGGGGAGCTCAGACTGAACGGGCAAGGGTACGGGTACGGGCAAGGGTAGGTCACGGGGACGGTCCGGCCGCGCGGCAACCGTAGGGTTAGCAGTAGGGGCTGCCACGTAACGTTAGGGTTTGTGCAGCAGTAATTGTACAATAGTTTGGTCCCGACAAGGTATATAGAGCACGTACATCCGTTTCGGTAGCATGATAGGAGGCAGCTGGATCGTCATCGCAAATGCGACGCCGCCATCCTCTAATACTTTGAAAACATATACCTAAGTACGTAGTTCTGCTTTCGGAAATGTTATGTTACCCGATTAGTATATTCCGCTTTCGGCAGGCGCTGGCACTTTCCCGCACTCGAGTTCAGCTGTAGTAGGCTATAGTAGGTGCATCGTGCGTACAATATTTACGAGCCATGTTGATTGTCATCAAATTGATTTTTCTCTTTGGTGCGCGTTAGCCTTGAGAGCCATACTGATTATACTATCCAAATACTGTCTGTAACAAAGAGCAGTGGCGTAGAAGCTGGAAGAACTAGGCTAGGGTTAACGGTGGCAGCATCTACGCTAATTGTGGCTAACCCTACAGTCGCCGTGCGGCCGGACCGTCCCGTGACGTGCCCTTGCCCGTACCCGTACCCTTGCCCGTTCAGTCTGAGCTCCCCTAATGTGGAACAGTATGCGCTTTAGTACTGGCATTCAATGTTATGTGACAGTATACACTTGTATTCCTTGCCCATTGCAGCATAACGACATCAATATTGCTTGAAGCCCTGTACTGGACCGCATAACAAACATTGAATGCCTTGTGTACAGTATTACAAAGATTACTTATAAGCCACATAGCCTATATGAGTGCATACCATAGGGTTAGGGTTAGAAAGAGTTAAAGACAAAAATTAAGGCCCGCCCAGCCCGAGGGCCGAAGCGGGACAGGGAAATATTGAGACGGTGCATGAGCCGAAGCCCATACAAACCGAAGGGCCCCCCTGAGGACATGGTCGCCGTGCTATGAGAGACCCCCACGGCCAACACCCCCGGGACGTGAAGGGGTGTGTTCCATCAAGGTAAGTATGAGTTGCGCAGATGTCTGCCTCAGCGTCTTATACTGGACTGCCCGACGCACGAGAACGTCCGATCGACTGGGAGATACGTTCCCGGAACGCGTTCCGGGAACGCCTCTGCGGAACGCCCCTAGGAACGCTGGTCACATAGTGACAGAGGGCAAAGCGTATGTAGTGGCCTATGTCATAAGCACGAATTGCCAAACCCGGAAGTCAATAGTACGGACTTAGATACTTACTAGAATGCTTACTAATACACCGAGTCCCGACTCTGTCACACATAAAGCTGCAAAAACCCAATCGTGCTAGCATCAGCAGAGTATAGACTACTGAATACCAGTAGGTGTATTTTCACTGCCATAGATGAATCACAAGCTATTAATAACTTGACGTTCATACAGGTTCATACTCACTGGCGGGGACAGCACTCAGCACGTGATCCAATGTGGCCCAGCGAGCGTTGCCTGATTGGGCATATTCTCCATATCAGGAAATACCCTTAATTGGCTAACCACATCCACTGCGTAGTGCGTTGTGACCTAACAACCAAACAATGGCCCACAAGACATTGTGATTACTACGAACCACTATGTATAAAGATCCGAACGGTCAATTACTATAGATTACTATAATGCAACCGCAGGAGAGTGGCAGCACTATAAACGAAGGTGTCACACGTCGTCACGGTGCGTGATGTTCCGCGTTCCCCGTTCCCCGTTCCGGGAACGTTTCTCCCCGTGGATCCGACTTTCTGCGACGCACGGACCATCTCCATTCAGGGCAGGCCGAGTCGACCCAAGATATGGGCGCCCCTATCAGGTGACCCGAGTATATGGGCGTCTATGTAAGTACACGATCGAGCCCAACTGTAACATCCGTTACATCGCTCCTGCGCTCAACTCGGGCCAATTGCCTCGCATTCCTTGTTCACTAACTGCTGCTTCTCCCGTTTGCTACCACCTTTCTCGTTACAATACCCTGAGCGCGCTCAGCAGTGCATACCACGACGTGCGGACGTTCAAACATTACATGAACTCGCCGAGCAGTGCGGTCAGGCCGGCGGGGTATTAGGAGTGAAACCAGGACGCATCATACGTGTCCTATCACGGCATAGAGATCTACACTCATAGTCCGGTCCGTTGTAGGGTATCCATTGCAAGGTGAGCGCCGCTGTCTCAGCGTGGACATTGGATTGCACCGCAGCAAGGCGCCATGCTCATGCGCAGCCCGATATTCCTCCTCGAGGCAGCAGTCAGACCTCATGTCCTACTCCGACTATGGCGCATCTATTTCCGACTATGATACTACCGAGTCACGTCCGGACAAGGCGTTGGTCGTAGAGTGCAAATATGATGAAGCCGTGCGGAAGATACGCTTCAGCTCTACTCGGACATGCTCGTACGAACTGCTCAGGCAGAGGGTGAGTCTTGCTCATTTAACCCCGTCTCCCTAGCTTGACTGAGTCACAGGTAGAACAAGGTTTCTCTCTGTTCACCACACCGTTCGCCATCACATACACAGACGACGATGGCGAAGTCACCGACATCTGTACCGAACCTGACTTGACCGAGGCTATACGCTACTTCTCCCCGGTTCACGAAGAGCGCCCCATCTCATCATCCTCGTCTATCATGTCCGGCCGCAGCCTTACGCGAGGTAAGATCACGCTACGCGTTCGAATAACCGTGGAGTACGACGGTCCGAGTCTATCGGATACGTCCTCTCTCGTCAGTCTGGAAGAATACAATAACCGCAATGGGAGCGAACTATCTCTATCTCCCAGTCAAGCGCCGCGGGGTGAGGTCGATGACGACTCCGTCACGGTCAGTTCGAAAGACATGGGCTCGAAGTACGATGTCTACCGGACGCAGGGAACGAAGACGGTGGTCATGGCTGCCAGTCGAGAACCGCTCATCAGCAAGTCTCCTCAGCCATCAACGCATGCGTCGCAATGGGAGAATGGCTCCTCAACAAGCCTCCATCCTTCTCTCACATCCGAAATTCTCCAAAGCGCATCCAACTCTCAGGATGTCCGTATGCTGGAGCCAGACCCTTTCGCTGACGGACACTCGCACGTGGATTCTTCCGACGTCTTTGAGCGATTGAAACTCGAAGATGGCCATCACCCAGGTTCAAGCCATGGATCCTCAACCCTTCACTCCGAGCGCGGCGCCGCATGGCTACGTGACCAGAATGCGCGTACGATCAAGTCGATGCTTGGCGATATGCCGTCGCCCTCAGAAGACTCCTTTGGAGTGCATGCGTCTGATGCCGCCGACAGGCGTTCAGTACTCAGCGGAGAACTCGCCCTGCATCAAGACTCAAGCGGGAAATACTATTACGCCTACACAGTGGGCAGTTCGTATGCAGCGTCGCATGACTCAGACGAGGACGCGAGCGATTTGAACCGCTCGAGTGTCCAGGTCGAACCCGCCCTGAGCCGCCCGACCTCGATGGAAATTCACGGAGCCGACATGCACGATGAATCTCGTCCTTCTGGGAGCGATCTCAAGCGTTCTGTGTCCAACACGGCTACATCTTCGTCCGCATCGAATCCATTCGCCGATCCGGGAGCAAGCGCAGAGGTAGTCTATCCTGCCGACTTCATCCACCCGGACGTACCACCAGAGGTGCTGCAATTCATCACCACCATCCCACCCACTCCCCCGCGCGACCCGCCGACATGCTCGAACTGCACGATCATCCTCGACGCGATACGATATGTCTGTTCCACATGCGGCGAGAAACGACCGATGTCGCCGTCCGCGAGCTCCGACTCGTCGGGCAAGGGAAAAGACAGGGCGATTGACTATGACGCGCGTTCGGCGAATGGCTTGCACGCTTACCCACCGTCTCCTCGCTCGAACAGCTACCCCTCGTCTTCTCCCACCGTCTCATCCTCCTCCAACTCCTCGTGGTCTGTCGTGTCAGGGTCTGAGTACTCGCACGTCCCCATGCGGTCCTTCTCCGACAGTACCATCAATACCCACGCCAGCAGCAATGGGAAGCGCCGCCCGCCCAAGCCACTGCCCGCCATCCCTACCTCTTCTACCGCCAACTCGTCTTCTACTCTCGTACCGCGGATGATGGTAAATGGGAATGGACACGGTCCGTACCCCAGCCGAAACAGTGGAGTCATAGGATACGAGCTGTGTTGGGAATGCCTACCGGGCGCCGGAGTGACGCATGCACTCGAGATGAGCGTAGCTCCCGGCAGCTCGCCCGTGCTTGGGAACTGGTCTACGTCAGGCGAAGACGCCCTGTCTCAATGGCGGCGGACGGCGCCGAGTCAGAAAGGCCAGTTGCGGCACGCGTACGTCGAAAAGAGCTGGGGCCACCGCGGATGGCAGGACGTCGGTAGGTCGACTGCGTGTGTGAATGACAGCGCCAGTGTGACTGAAGCATGTCGCGTGCGCTATAGAGCAAGACGATCGGGACAGCTGTAACTGTTCGACGTGTGGGACTGCGATCGTCAATAGCCGCTTCAAATGCGCGTCTTGCGAAGATTTCAATCTGTGCAAGGCTTGCTATAGGTGTGTTTGGGTTGCTGACATTTACGTGCGTGCAATCCTTACATTGATCTCTCGCTGTACAGCCAGGTCCATGAGATCCATCCGTCGCATGCGTTCTTAATCGTCCCGGATAAGATTGGGAGGCCAAGAGCGGGCTCAGGAAGTACTGGCATGCCATTCATGCGGCCAATGTCCAACGACGGAGAGTATTGTAAGTCGCTGATCTGATCCAGATAGAAGCTCGTAATAAAGGATCACACAGCGCTGAAGCACCCAGGGGTAAAATGCATGTAGTAAGTTCTAGATAAAGTCTCCAATGCAAATCCAAGCTGACATGTGTGGCGTAGCTGTATGCAAGATATCATCGGCGCGAGGTTCCACTGTGCAATCTGCGATGCAGTTGACATCTGTCAAAATTGCGAAGCTGCCGGCCTTCCGGGTAACCTTGATAGCACAGAGACGGGACACAGCTCATCTCACATCATGATCAAGGTGTGCTCGAGCTCTGCGTCCATGTCCAGATCCTTTCCTGACGTTCTCATAGATCCCATACCCACTTCCGAATGCAGAGCTACAGACCGCCAGTGAACGCGCTAAGAGCCTATGGAGCGGACGCGACGCCGCGACTGGCCAGATCGTGAGGTCCCGTCGGAACTCGCTCCTGTCGACCTACGACAGAACGGTTCTCGGTGTTGGGTCGCGCAGTGGACCGTCATCTGCGGATGGCACGACCTCCAATGCCAGCTCGGAAGACCACGGCGTCAGATGCGACGCATGTAACGAGGTAACATCGGCTTCTTGTGAGGCGTACAAGTGAAAACTGAAGCCGTGCGCAGCGGATCATCGGGGTACGCTATCAATGCGCGTCGTGTTCGTCTCTACCGAAGGCCTACAGTCTAGTAAGTATTTGCTGTCTTACTGCAGTGTACATCTACTGACGCGTTTGTAGTGCGCTAAATGTGAAGAACGCTCTTACGTCGTTCACGACTCTATGCATGTCTTCTTCAAGTTGCATCGCCCGCTGGATCGCCCGCTGCAGATAGAATACCCTCTAGTTCCGCGAGTGTGCGTGCGCCCACGGACCGATCTGACACAAGAGCTGACAGATACCTCACAACAGATACAAGTACCCTGTTGGCCCGACAGACGGCAGGTTCGATCCAGGGAACCCGAAAGGTGTGTGTGATACTAGTGGCTGATTGACCTGGCTGATGTGACTGCGTACGCGGCTTAGCTTATTTGAATAACCTGCTTCATCCAACTGCACTGTGCGACCGGTGCATGACGCGGCCAGCCGGGGTGTGGTTCCGGTGCGCGTATTGCGCGATGGACCTCTGCGAAACTTGCCAGGAGATGGATACGCATAACGACAACCACGTGTTCATCATGTTCAAGTCATTGGTGCGTCCCCTGCCGTTCACTATCACTTGCGGTCACGTTGACGGCCGACATCCTTTGGCAACAGATCGATATATCTCTGCTCAAGTAAGTGATTTGCCACCTGCTCTATTCTCGTCACTGACCACCTGTGTTCGCAGGCGTTTCTCCGACTTGAACAACCCGCAGCCCATCATTCCCTATCCGATTTACAACATCCTGTAGTTACGCTATGATGAGCGAGTATCTCGGGGCTACGTCGTCTGCTTTGTTACCGTGCTAATTGTGTTAGACATTATTTGAACCCTGCAAGCTAGTCCTCACTGTCTTCACCCGTGCTTTTGTACCTCTATCATCTGCGCAAGTATTGTATTGATTGTTGTATTGACCATGACATCATATTCATCGGCATTGAGATGCCTTTGGGGGAGCAGGACTATCACGGCTACACTAATTCATGATCCCACCCATACCTCTATCTCGTTAATGACAGGTCTGAGGGCCTGGAGTCGATCGCGCTTGACTAGTAACCGATACTTCTTTGGCACTGGCATGTTGTGTCAACACAGACTCTACCTCCTGCCGATTGGACTCCGTGCCGCCCTTGATCTCGATCGCCAGGTTGTCCAGAGTTAGGTGTCGCTCAAAACCCTGTATCTTGTCTAGCATGATGTGGTTCTCAGCGATGATGATGACCAGGTCCGTGACATTGGGGAAAGGCGGTTTGCAAGATTCAGGGTCTGCTCTGTATGCGCCAAAGGCTTTTTCGCATGCGTCAAAGAACGCATCTGCGACTTCCGTCCGACCACAGACCTCGAAATCTAGTTGCAGCTTCGACACGGTGGATGGTATACTTGTGAGTATCGGATCCCATGTGAACAACGGCGGTTTCCGAAGTTCATCACGATGGCTAAAGTCAATCTTGATTTGCAGGTGTCGAAGAGTAGGATATCTCAGCGAGGCCAGACCGGCAAACGCAGGAACTTGGCCGAGATGATTATTCTCTGGTGACCCAGGCCATATGCACGCCAGACGCAACTGTTGGTTTTTTGAGGTCACTTCGGTGCACAGGCGATACTCTAGTCGATCTGAATCTGAACCGCTATCACTGGCATCGACGTCTGCCGCATAGAGATTGTGCCAGTGGCCGTTAACTCGCAGAGTGAGTGCCTCGGATTGCGACGCAATATCGCCCAGAGCGGGGCCAAGGTCTGGACGAGCCATTAGTGCCTCTGCCTCGTGCGTGGACATCTGATCAATGGTGACGGTCAAATCAATCCGCGTCGTGGCGGGGAATTCCATCATTTTCAGAAGGTCCTGCATACTATCCTGCATCGTGATCAACCCGAAGCCGAGCGATAGACTTTCCAGCTGATCAAGATCAATTTGGGAGACGCGACTTTTGGTTGCTTCCATGACCTCCTGCGAGGCGTTGTCAAAGCTGAAGGGGTCCAACATCAACGTAACATCCCGGAGATTAGGATTGCTCTTGAGGATGAAGAACCAGTGTGGTACAGTTGCAGCGATCTGGTCAGTGAGCTCGAGGGTAACCAAATTTGTCATGCGGAGCCATTGAGGTAGTCGTAGACCAGTAACGTGGAGGTGCCGTAGAGCAGGCAAAACGAACGCCCGTTTCGCACTCTTCTTCCTGAGCTTCTTTCCGCGCTCTGTGGCTATGCAAAGTCGTTGCAGCATCGCTGCCTGTGCATTCTCTTCATCTCTAAGTTCCTCTCCGCCGTCCGCCTCGTCGTCGTCGTCGTCGTGGTCATCATCGTCCTTCACAAGTCTTTCACCGGTATTGACCAACGGGACAAGCATGACGCTGTAGTCACAACTCAGCTGCACATGGCTGACGTTGAAATCCAGGAAGCGATGGCGTTGGTTCGCCAACATCTTTATCATATTTGAGTCCGGGTTCTGCCAGAGCGAGTTCGGTTCGTCCTCGATGTTGTATGGGGTCTCTGCTCCCGTGTATTTAATATGCAGGGGCTTGTTACGTGAATTGTCGATGTAGGTTTGTAGTATGACCGTGCTTGTGCGAGGAGTCAAGGATAGAAATGCCCACAGTTCTGAGGTATTCGGTACCAATCCTGACAAACGGTGCGGAGATCTAAGGCGGGCATTCTCATGACGTAGTCAGGGTATTCGGGCTGATGGGTTGACCAGTGATCGATCGTCGCGAGATAGAAGATCTTTTGCAAGAGCTCGGTGGGGATCAATTTGATTGGTGAGGCGACCGCATGCGTGAGATCCATAAGAGTGATGTGTTTCTGTACTTCGCAAGCTGTTGGTTAGGTCGCCACGCGAGAATACAATCCAAAGCTTGCCTTGGGGTCGGGTGGTCGGATGATGATGATGGGGAAAGAAACAGCTGAGATGATGTTCTTCAAGTTGTTAAAGCCTGAGGGGCGTCACGCCGACAAGCATGCAATTCTTGCTTCGCATCTGGAGGGCAGACGTGCTCTTATATCTGTTGGCGAAGCGGTGCTACTAGGATATGCATGTTGATCCTTGTTGAACTGCGCCGTCATGTTGGTTGCTAAGGACTACAGAATCGTAGTCACAGAAGAACAAAAGAAGGGTCATGCGGTGTCAGAATTACGAGGGGACAATTACCCAAGGCTCAAGGCCTCAGGGGCCGCGCGTCCCCAAGTCAATCGGCTGATGCACCGGAGGTAAAAGCATGACCGTAGCGGTCAGTCCAGTGTGGCCCAAGGTGTAGTCGATATCGACTCAGTCGAGAGACAATACATCAACGCCACTTGCAGGAGGAAAGGATACATCATGCATAGGTCTTGTACAATACACCTTACAAGTCCGGATTGAGGTCCAGGTCGAGATCGAAGAACTGCTGCTGAGGAGCACGGAGGTCTGGTCGGTACGGGTTCGCAGCGGGACCCATCATGTCGGGATGCTCGGGAGATTTTGGCTGCACGGTGGGTGCTGCAGTGGGCGCTCAATTAGATTGAGATGGATCAATGAGAGGGGATAATTCACGCACCTTTACCGACGGAGTGCGTCTCGCCGAGCAAACCTAGCGGCGCCTCGTCGTTCATGTGCCCACGACGCATTTTCTCCTCGTTCGGGAAAGGGGGGAAGAAGAGTGGAGGAGGGGGCTGCCCTGGGAGTGTGAGATCGGGCATGTTTGGTGGCGCGGACGTGAATGCGGACAGGCTCTGCGCATAGGCGAGCAGTTCGGGGTAGGGGATTGCAGCTGCATGGCGAACGCAAATTCATTATTAAGTTAGACAACGCCGAGTTTCAACTGATGCACCACGGCGTACCTGTTTTCGCTTCTTCGATGGCTTTGAGTCGCTCCTCGCCTTCCTTGACGGTTTCCTCTAGTTCTCTCCTCCCCCCTTCGAGGGAGCCCACCACATCTCGCCACTCACTGTCAAGCTCGAGAACCTCCGCCTTCAGCGCTTCGATTCGCCGCTGTCGTACCTGATGCGCCCGTGCGCACTGCACCGCGGCTGCGAGTGCTGCATCGACCTCGAGGAACGCCGATACTGGCGGCGTGGGTGGAGGCTTAGATTGTGCGGGCCCGAGCGAGAGAAATAATTGCTGTGACAAGGTTTGGAGTTGGCTGAGTGGCTCGAGGAGGATTGACGACATGGAGGCGGGTGGCCTATCTCGTCCTGCGGCAGACATATCTCCTAGTAAGCAGAACCTTCGGAGATATGGTATAGCTGCGAGTGGTGTACGCGTCAATCAACGACGTTCGCAACTTGAAGGGATCACAACATACGCTTTGAGCATTGTCGGTGGCCACAGGCCCACGAACGACAGCTGAGCTACAAGCCAGTTACTTAAAACGGCAGGCGTTCAACTTGACCGATGATCTCGCCAAACAAACATCAGCCACAACGCTTTCGTCGTCGCTACTCCGATCACTCGCTCAAGCTCGCTCCCCAACGAAACACTATATGCTGTCTTCTTAATGTTGTTCTCACCTCTCAGCCTGGTACTCGACCTGGAATACAGACGCATCGACTCATTGGAACATGATCAATACGGGTATACAGATGAGTCTCATGTCTGCAGCCCGACTTTCTCTTGCGTCTCCGAGTCCGAGTTTATGGGCCTACATGGCGTTCTATCCGTGTTCGGGCAATCAGCAGCTAGAGACCTCTCTATCCAGGTCAAGACAGGCCCTCATCTACGTCAAATACCTTGGCAATGGTGGATTGTACACTCGTATGCACGCGGACACGAAAATCTCGGATAGTTAAGGCCAGATGCTGGCAGCGCAGGCATACGGTGTACGCGAATCCCACATGGTTGTGCTGCACAAGCCAGTGAGTCGAAATGCCCACCTGTTCTGTTGCAAGTCAGCACCGCTGCTCAACCGTCTCACAGTGGAAGGCCACCGAATACGACAGTCCAAGGCCACTTGCCTTGTCCCCGTAGAGATTCCATCTCCATCACTTCATCGTGCTTGGCGAGTGGGTGGATGCGCCACGCATCGATTTACTCTATCGCTATATGTCCTCGTCCTGCAGGCTGTAGTGCACACATATTGACATCGCCCTGCGAGGCTTCTCAGAAGTCCTCCCGAAACTGCCCGACTTACGCGACTGGCAAGATGTAGACGAAGCGGAGCAGCCACTGGAGCCTGTTCATATCACGTCCCTGGTCTATTTTGGTTTCAGCATCCCTGGATCCCGAACCAATTTCTGGATGTTGGACATCCCAAAGGGGAACTCTTTCCCGCGTACGACATCCATTGGCATGGCACTGCGGAGTTCTCGAAGACCTGAGCAGAGCTTCCCCTGCTCTGCGTACGATCGCCTCGGCTCCCAGTGCACACAGCTCTCGCTCACCTTGTCATCCGGAAGTAGGAAGTCAGTATTTCTGGTGTCGCCCGATTACCACTTCTGTATGAGGTGGGAATGGTCGGGCAGCTTCCATCGCGTGACGCTGTCCCGTTGCTTTGTCGGCTTCAACCATTCACTGCCCTCCGGTCGCTCACTATAGCTACTCCTACGCTCGCGAACATCCGGAAGAGCAATGGTAATCGGAGGTGGCGTTCGCCTGTGTCTCGCGCAGCGCCACGACGTTGACCCTCGACGTCCCGCGTGCGATGCTGTCGACTGTTTCACGACTTCGGTCGGTGGTTCTCCTGTCGGTCGCTGGGGCGCATGCTGCCCTCACGTCAAACGCCTTAGGCTGGCCCATGCTGACGAGATCATGAAGTTGAGTATACTGGCGTACCGCTGTAGATGGGCAAGATGTTGGGTATGCCGTTGGACGAAGTGGGTCTAGTAATGCTTGGCCGAGGAGATCCTGGTTCTTGCGTGCAAGCTCGTTCTCGAAGGAGACCGACGGTACCATCTAAGAGGTTGAGGCCTTCAGGATGAATTCGGTCTACCACGATACGTATTTGAGGTGAGCACCTGTCATTCGCACGTTAACTGTTCCTATGTATCCTACATATGCATATGCATCACAGCTGACGTGTTGTTGCAGATGTATAGCCGCGGTATGCACACTGAAACTTGAGAACGCCTTTGGCCGCGGCGCTGGATTTCACGTGTCATGTATGCCAGTGGCAATGCCGCCAATCAGTTGTGCTTTTCCTGTGCGAAATCCGTCAGGTCCGATACACCACTGCCTCATAGCCCCCTTCGATATTTAATCAGTTGCGAAGCGAGAATACGCACTCATACCCGACAACCTGTGGGTACATAGATGCCAACGGATAGACGCGTGAGCAAAGAATGCGTGAGAGCTGTTCTGCCAGTGTACAGCATTCTGTTGGTATATCATCTCGTGAGTCCAAGTCCACTCCCCCTTCCACATTCTGACTTGCATTTGTGTTCACAGCTGTTCTTTTCTCTTCCAATCCACAAAGTGTTGCGCACACACCGGGGGAGTGCATCGCACTGATTCACTGTTAATCGCGAAGTCCATTCCAACGCAGTTCACGCGTCGTGATGGCAACTTCCGGCCCGTACTCTAGGCCTCCTCCCCCTTCGCGCTCCGCTATAAACCAACATACTACCAAACCTACGAAGTCTCCAAGAGGTCAACCTCGACATGCGCTAGGTGGCCCACGCAGGATCCTCAGGCGGATCCGATCCATCATAGAGCACGATAATGATCCGAAGTCGCGACTACGACAAAGCGCTGACGCACACGTGAGTGCTGGTACCAATGGTGCCGGCTCTCCAACGCTGTACTTGCATAACATCGGTGAGTCCTCCCTGAGACGTCGCACGTAATGCTGACTGAGTGGCTTGACTGTCAGGCGAGAATGAGGATAGTCTCTCGAGCGATTTGCTGCGGTCCATCTCCAGCGTCTTTGATCGAGACTCAAGCAACGGCAACGAGACCGGAGGCGATGCACCAGATGCATTCTGGGCTGCTCAGCGACGCGGCGACCATCATGCTTACGCGGCACTGGCCAGCACGGACTCTCTGCCTCTGAGTATCGATGCAAGTGTGACGACGGCTTCCGACGTCACCGAGATACAGTCAATCTACTCCTTGAATCCTCTGGACGGCGATGTATCAGTCAGGGTTGCAGATCCCTCCCTTCCTCCGGAATGGTTCCATGAGGTCATTCCTGAAGAGCAAGAGGAAATGGCCGAAGGCGCCTTTGCGGTGATACAAGTCCCAAATTGTTATCTCTACCACGGCACCCATGGATACAACGAGCGCAGCCCTGTGTGCTCCAGACAACAGGTGTGTGCTGTATGTTGCGTAATTCAGAGGCGTCAAAGACTAACATTATGATTATGAACAAGGTGCCGAACCTCTTACCGAGCCACACTGTTGCAGCATCTTCGAGTCCCTCATATCTGATCGACAATGGGCTTCAAGGCCTTGCAGAAGACGCGAGCAGACTCTTCGAGTTCCTCGGTGCTGCCCAACAGGTGCCAGAGTCCGGGTCTAGTCAGGACGTCATACCATCTCAGGCGTCCACTACTCAAGGAGTCCCCATGGTCTGCGTAGCTTGTCAACAAGCCGTACAGGAGGATAGTATCGTGCGTGTGCGAGACGGTCGCATCGTACACCTCGAATGCTGTCTCGACAGTTATCCTCCGAGCTACTCCTCGACATGTCCCACATCCGACAGGCAGATCAGCTTCTCCGAGCCCTCACCAATGTGTTCTACCCCATGCACACCTGCTAGCCTCGATACGGGTTGGGCGAGGTCCAGCAGCTGGTCTATCCCGAGCCTTCTGATTCCGGACGCACGTAACGCAACCAGACCACCCTGGCTACTTTCTACCCATACATCACCCCTCACATCCTATCTTCCGAGGACGCGACGAGTAGAGGGACCGAATATCCGCGATCCTTACAGCACAGCGCCATTCGCTTGCTTGGCTCCAAGCGACATCTCTTTGCCTATAGAACTCTGGGAGGAAATCATCGACTCCCTCCTGGATGAGCCGGAGGCGCTCTTGGCATGTGCGTTCGTCTGCAAGGCGTGGTATGCTCGCTGCCGAATGCACCTATCACTGGGAGTGCTCCAGCTGGGTCATCGCCGCGACGTCGTACGATTGTCGAGATACGTTCGGGCCCACCGCGCGTTCGCAAGGCGAGAGTTCGTGACCGTCCAGGGAGATGCGGGGAGGTCGCTGTCTCACCTGACGGCCTTCAGCGCGCAGTTGGCCGGTAGGATGCAGCGCCTGGAGTCGTTGTACATTGAACACGGTGTATGGCGAACCGGGATGACGGACGTCGGGTTCTTCACGCGCGTCGCATCCTTCACGTCCGTCGTTCGGCTCACTTTGAACGACGTAACGTTCCCCTCGACTTCGATCTTCGCTCAGTTTGTCTGTGCTCTAGAACAACTGGTCGAGCTGTACTGCATCAACAGCAAGACGATGAAGAAGCGCACTGGCCAACAGTTGTTTTTGCCCTTGAGGCGATCTTCGAGGCTGGCCCACTTCACTCTTGTGGGCTCTCAAGTGTACGACATCATTGGATTCTTCATCGCCAGCGACCTTGCTGCGAAACTCACGGACCTCACCTTGCACGTTGGCTATGTGGGCTATCGGCATTTCATGCATCTGGATGCTGTTGCGTACCGCGAGCTGCTCTGTGCCTGCCGGTCTTTGCGCGCGCTTCACCTGCAATCTCGCGACGTTGCATTGCCCAATACTGTCAGTCCAGATAATGTACTAGGTGTGTTCTGTTCCACAACCTTCGTGTCCTGGTTCCCAATTCACATCTTCTCTCCGCAGTACATTACTTGAATGCGAGTACGAGGCACAACCTCGAGGCTCTCCATCTATCCATCGAGCCGCACCTATACGGCGACTACCGCTGCGGATGGATGGTCACATTCCTCTCGCACTTCTGCTCAGGCAGCACCGTCCGGGAACTCGACATTACATTCGACATCCAGGGCGAGACGAACGCGACGGCGCACAATCTACTCCTCGCCAGACTGAGCGACGAGACGGACATGTCTTTGCTGGACAGGGTCCTCGCGACGAGGCGGTACGCGGGGCTGGAGAACGTCGAGGTCGTCCTGCGCGTCGGACATTTGGAATCTCGACTTGTGAAATCTCGGGAGGCGCTCTGGGTTGAGCGTGTCGAGGGGCAGCTGCGGAATGTCCGCCTGCGAGGTATCCTGACGTGAGTACGCGGACTACGAGCGTGCGGCGCATACGAACTGAGCTTCCATGCATAGCGTACGGGTGAAGACGTAGTCGCTGAGGACGAACGCGGTCAAGAACGGACTACTCCGCAATAGGTGCAGGACCGACACACTTCGCCATCAGCACTGTAGGCTGTGGGCACAACAGGCGGGTCTCCTTGTACACCTGTATGCATCAGCCACCTTCTCCTGGAGATGCATCCCTATCAAACGGTAGCTCAACTGTGCCCGAAACTCTCGTGAGTATGCAGATATATAGTGCTACAGATAGGGTAATACATACTGTGTATGATGTCCGTGATGGTACTGCCAGAGCATTATATGAGCGTATAGGCATAGCGACATGAAGGGACTGGAATATAACATAGAGTTCCAAGATTCAACCGCTATTCAGAAGCTCCGTTACTTGTAATTCATGGGGAGCAAGGTCAATCGAGGCACCAACGACCTTGGGCGACTCCCCAGGCTTTGTGGACGCCATAGCGAGCGACGTCGAGGTCTGCACTTTCTGCGTCGCCTTGCCTGCTTTATTTGAGGCGGCTGATGCGGATGTCCGCCAGAGTCGCAGCTTCCCAAGGCTCAAGCCGAGTCTGAGCTGCGACGTCGACGCATCAGGATGTGATTGTGACTTCGGCATGTCTGGATGTAGCCGCCAATAGTACTGCTCCAGCTGTTTCCTGAAGCCAACGTTGGGGGAGACCACACTTCGCTTGGAAGCAACAAAGCTGATGGATTGCGAGGGCGTCATGTTCGTCGTGGCCAGGATGTAGGCGCAGACAACTGTGGCTGAGCGGGACATGCCTACGAGGCAGTGAACCTGTTGGTGCGCACCGTTCGGTGGTGGAATGAGGAAGAGGTTAGGAAGAAAGCGCACCAGTACTGTGTTAGAGACGTTCTCGGAAAGGGCAGCTTTGATCCAGTCTGTGGTCTCATCGAGGTATCCCAGGATGTCTACCCCGACCTCGTCCCGTATCGGCACATGAAGTGTCCTGAGTCCCATGTCTTTGGGAATATTTGGAGCATCCTCTACCACGCTCAGAACATGTGTAACGCCCAGTTCTGTGAGCTGTGCGGGGTCGCGCGCAGTGAAGAGATTGGAAAGGTAAAGACGCGGCACGATGAGGGAGGCCTGACGGCCAAGTGTGAGGCGTTCGCCGGGCGCGATGGTCGACCCTGTCTTTACGACGAGCCACGGCGGAGTCCTGGGCGCGGTGAAGGACAGCATAGCTCGCTGCCGCTGGCGATGATGGTGGTAGGTGGACAAGTCGTTGGCGATGACACCCAGACGGGACCCAGGCGGTGGAGGAACATGGCCGTCGCGGATCTAGGATGATCAGGTCGCGTCCGATCGAGTCGGAGGAGATCGGTTCGGTTCGGTACCATAAACATCGCTTCTGTCGGCGTCACGCTGCTTTCCGCTGGCCGCAGAGTCCAAGTCGCTGCGCTCGACACACGCGACGGCCGTCTCGCACTGTTCGACAACCTCGCACACAGTCTGCTAGACTGGACAAGATGCGGTAAGTAATGGCAAGGGCATTGGATGCACCCCGAATTAACGAATGCATAGAGGATCCCGACCACGGGTCAAGCCTCTGGACAGAAACGGACATGCTCACAGCCCTTCTGACTACGACGCCGAGCAGCACGGGCTCCTTGATGAGGGATACACCAATGGACCGCTTCCAACACCATTTCCGGGAAAGGGCAAGGGGCCCGCCTACGAAGAGGGCGGTGTGATCGACTGGCAACGCGAGGAAGCAGCTGAACGAGAACGGAAGCGCATCCTCGTCAATCACCGTGGCTTTCGAGGCCTAACAGCTAGATTGGCGGATGCGGGAAGTATGTGGCTAGTCATCATTCTGACGGGTTTGGGGATTGGGACGGCGGGGGCGTGGCTCGACGTGCTCGTGCGATGGTGCGTACGTTGTAATGTTCCCGCGCTCGCTCACGCATTCACGCGTCTTTTGTGTTGTAGGTTAGGTGATTTGCGGGACGGTCGATGTACATCCGGCTTCTTTTACAACGAAGTCATGTGCTGCAGTGGACTGGATCGTATGTGCTCATGTCTTGGATATTGGTAACTGGCACGCTGACACGCAAGGATATAGCGGGCGAACTCTGCTATGAGTGGCAGACATGGAGCGAGTATTTGAACATCAGATGGATTATTGTTCAGTCCCTGCTGCAATCGTCTATTTACATCTTGCTCGCGGTACGTGGCCGGCCGCTACAATTCAGAGGTTGCCTATATGTATATTGTATAGGTTGCATTCGCCGGAAGCGCAGCTGCTCTAGTCAAATTCTACGCGCCATAGTGAGTGACCGGTATGTTCCACTCTGTCAGCTGTTCTTACCATGAATGATTAGCGCATTTCATACGGGAAGTAAGTTGATTGTCGATTCGCATACGCTACAGGATCCTGAAGTGCCTTTCTTTACAAGTTCCTGAGATCAAGGCCGTCGGTATACCGTTCCCTGTCAGCCATGGTTACAGCTGAGATGGTCTTCGTAGATCCTCAGTGGCTATGTTCTGGATTCCTTCCTTTCTCCTTGGACTCTGCTCATCAAGGCGCTCGGGCTTGCACTTGCGGTTGCTTCAGGCCTATCTTTAGGCAAAGAGGTACGAAGGTAGTACGTCCACTCGTAGTGTTTTCTCTGAAGTGTGAGTTCGCAGGGCCCGCTAGTACACGTCTCGTGCTGTTTGGCCCTTCTCCTCTCGAAAATGTTCAAGCAAATCCATCGAAACGAAGGTACGGCTCTGTTGACTATAATCCAACCCAACCACTGACCGGCCTCTCGTAGCCCGAAAACGCAAGATGCTCGCAGCGGCAGCAGTCGCGGGTGTCTCAGTCGCCTTCGGCTCGCCCCTCGGCGGCGTGCTCTTCGGGCTTGAGGAGCTCGACACGTTCGCGAGCGGGACGGACGTTATGTGGCGTGGGTTCGTTACGAGCGTGATCGCAGCGATGGCGCTACAGTATATCGACCCGTTCGGGACGAGCAAGCTCGTGCTGTTCCAGGTGCAGATCACAGACGAGACGACGGTGTGGCGGGCATTTGAGCTGGTGCGTGCTTTGTGCAGTCCGGCGCGGAGGTGTTGACCTAAGACGGCGATGTAGATTCCATGGCTGATCCTCTCTGTGCTCGGAGTGAGTTCAGACCGTCGCCTAATCGAGTTGTCTGCTCATAGTCGCTCAGGGCTTACTTGGCTCGCTCCTCATCAAGCTGAACGCGCGTATCGCAGTGTATAGACGCAACGGCGTCCTGAACAACTGGCCGACGGTAGAGGTCATCAGCGTCAGTGCAATTACCGCTGCAGTCTGCTACCTGGTGCGCTTTGTTCTGCTTCGAAAGGATCTTCGGCTGTTGACGCAGGATTCAGGTGGTATTCCTTAGAGTGCAGTCGTCGGAATTGGTCGCGAACCTATTCTTAGAGTGCGATCCTATCAGAGGAGACTACCACGGTCTATGCAAGTGCGCGGGATTCAGCATATGCACTACTCGTGGACATCTAGCTGATGTCAATGTTGTAGCACGACAGCCATCTGGGCGAATGTCTTTCTGCTCATCCTTACGGCTGGCACGAAACTGGTTTTCACAGCATGGACCTTTGGCATGATGGTGAGTGCATGCGAACATGCGCGACTGTGGACAACTGAGTTTGTGCTGCTGTAGATCCCGGCGGGTATCTTCCTGCCCACGATTGCCATAGGTGCATGCCTTGGTCGCGCTGTTGGTCTTATCACGTATGCATTCATTTGATTGTATATTCTATGCATCGCCTGACCGCTACTGCTACTTAAGTCAGGGTCTGCAACGGGCTTATCCTCAGGCTTGGATATTCCTGTCTTGTCCACCGGAACCGAATGCACGATGTATCTCCCCAGGGTTCTATGCTGTGATCGGTGCATCCGCCATGCTCGGCGGTGTCACGCGAATGACTGGTGCGTCCCGTCTCATTTCCTGACGTCGACCGAGCTCGCTCACGGCCAACCCAGTCTCCCTCGTTGTCATCCTCTTCGAGCTCACCGGCGCACTCTCGCACGTCCTGCCCATCATGATCTCCGTGATGGTCTCCAAATGGGTGGGAGACTACTTCGGGAAGGAGGGCATCTACTCAATTTGGATCGCGATGCGCGCGTACCCCTGGCTGCCGCCGTCCGAGTTCCGCGACAAGGGCGAGACCGCCGCGGACGTGATGAAGCGCGCGGCGGACCTCGTCGTCATCGCGGAGGACGCGGAGCGGGGGTGCGAGCTCCAGGACGTCGACCAGGTGGTGCGGATGTATCGGTTCCACGGGTTCCCGGTCGTGTGCGGGGAGACGTTCGTGGGGTATGCGACGCGGGAGAACCTGAGGGCGGCGTTGGGTGGGTGCTCCGTCGAGTGCTGCTGCGCAGGGATTGACGGTTCTTTAAGATACGCTTATTGCTGAGGATCTTGCGTCCGGGCAGCGCAGGTGGTGCACATTTTTGGCGCGTCCTGAGCAGCCGGACTTGGTCGACTTGTCAGACGTGCTGGAGGACGCGGTGCTGCAGATGCGGCCGGAGATGCCTCTCGAGCTGGTCGTGAGCACGTTCCAGAAGCTGGTACGCAGCACTCCTATCACAATTGGTAGCCAGTCTCACTGATCGTGATGCGGCAGAATTTGCGACATATTCTATTCTCGCGAGGGGGCATCTTGTGTGGCATGGTCACAAAAACGGATGTCGTGCGACTCTTCACGGCACAGTTTCCCTACACCTCGGCGCTCTCTGATAAGGGCTGGTGAAGAAACGCTGCAAGTCTACGTTGCAGTATTTAACCTATCTTTATTATATGTTCTACGGGATTCGCGCATGCTATCGATGTCTATGGATTTCCGCCGTGGTGCACCAGGTTGGCGGTCACGTCCGCAAGATGTACAGGTAATAGTGGAACGCCTCGCCCAGCGCGCGGACTTCGAGAGTCGTACCAGGGCGGGTTAGGTACCGTTTGCGGAAGTGCGGCTGGCCGAAGGTGAGGTAGATGAAGAGGCCGCCGGGTTTTCGGAGAACGCTGAGGACGATGGGAGGGTTCGTGACTGGCTGGCTGGTTGTGGAGGGTGGAGAGACGTACCGGAGGACTTCGTCGACTTCGCGATTGCAGTTTTGGATGACTTCTTCTGGAGGATCCTGTAGGCCGTCGGTTAGCAAGGAGGCTTGTCCCTGTGGATGGATGCACATATACTGACCCAGACGTCCCCTTTGGCAGTCATCATCGCATCCATGGTCCCTGTGCGTGGCAATCGCTTTATTGGGGAGGGTGGTATGGGGTGGCTACTGAACATTACCTTTGTCGATCGCAACGTCGAACGAGTCCGAATCAAATGAGAGAGCCCGGATGTCCATTTCATGCCCTGCAAGGCTTTCAATACGACCCGCTGCTCATATGGCGATGGCGTTCGTACATTCCATCTCGGACCGAGCCTCAGCATGTTTGCGCTTCATCTGCTCGACCACCACGCTGGAGTACTTAGAACGGACTATGAGGTGAGGCACGCGGGGTCACGACTTTGGGGACTGGCAAGAAACGCACGTCGGTGTTGACAATGTTTTCATAGCCATCGTCATACATCTGACACGCTGTTTGCAAATGCAAGAGACGACCCAGTAGCAATCGACGGACCTCTTCAGACAGCTTCGAGTTACCACACCCTAGCATTAGGATTCTCGCATTCTTGTCAGGTATGAGCTCTCTGAGGATGTCCGCTACATCTGCGTATGGTTTGAACCAATCGAACGATGTCTCGCCAGACTCTCTAGCACGCGATCAATGCACAGACCAACCTGCTCGAAAGTGCTGCTCACTGAGTGTATCTCTGGTCCCTGCTCACATGCACAAATTGTATTTTCGCAGCTGAACGCTCTGCGCTTACCAGTACTCCCTCGTGCCATACTCCTCATTCTTCTGCGGGAGAACGTCCGTGGACATGGCGAACAGCTGAAGGTGCACGACGCGGAGAAGAGCAGAGGTGCAGGCTCCGGAGCGCGCAGAGCGAGATAGCCGCAGCTCTGGGCTTCGGCCGATCGCACATCACATGGCGGGCCGGGCATATAATGCGGGGTAGCCGTGCGGGGCAGCCTGAGCTCGCGCGTCCCACCTCCAGAGCAACCATTCCCACCTGCTTACCTCTGCTTACAGCCCAATCCATTCAGTCGAACATGGTAAGTCTTCCGTGGCTGTGAGTGTGTTGGGAGCCCGCTGAGACTCGCTTGGACAGTCTGCATACCCCGCGTACGTGATGGGCGGCCTCTGCATCGTCGGAGGCATCACTGGCTTTGCGAGGACGCGCAGCATCCCGTCTTTGGTCGCAGGCGTTGGGTACGTGTTGCCTTTTCGCCAGGATCTAGGAATGTGTTGACAGTGCTGTCAGCGTGGGTGCACTGTACCTCTGGAGTGCGGACGGTATCCGTAGGGGCACGGCAAACAGCCTTGAGACCGCGCTGGGTACGTCCTCTCTTCGCATGTTTTTGTTAGCAGACCTTTTGACATGGCCCTCACAGGTGCATCTGCCATCCTGCTCCTGTCCTCCTTGCCGCGGGTCGCGAAGGGACCGATACCAGCCGTGCTCACCGCGACGTCCACAGCCACCGCGGTGTACTACGGGAGGAAGGTGTACGCCCTCCAGCAATGAGCCCGCCCGGCTTCCATGTGCGTTGTATCATGCGTTTGTATAACAGTGCTACGCTTCGTGTCTCGCTGCAATTGTAATACCCCTGCTCTGTCATGCTATCCAGCCCGCATGCGACGCATCTCGGCTTCACGCCGAGCGCTCCAGTTCAGGCCAGGCCATGCTGAGTAGGATCATCCGGGAAGCGGGAGGTCCCTCTCATCAGAGATGCAATGATGCAATGCATATGTGCGTCCGATGTAGCATTCGCGAACTCGACCCCAACGAACCCTCCAAGTAATGATCAATGACCGCGCAAGCCCCGTTGCACGTGATCCCATGAGCCTTTGTCCCAGTCGTCCGCGCGATGGAACCGCTCTCCCAACATCACCACACACTCAATTGGTGATAGCCAACACACCGATGTTCACATGTCCCTCAAAACAGAAACTTGACATTCTGGTACAGATTAAGCAGAGGGTTCTCTCCGTTCCGCAAGCGCGTCTTGTTCAGGCTCGCGTACGTCGACATGAACTCCGCATGCGTGTACACGCCCGACTTCATGTCACCGCCAGGTATGCCTGCCGCGGACGCGACGCCGTCGGGGGAGAGCCTCAGGTTCGTCGGGTGATACGACGAGAAGAAGTTTCCCCCCAGTGCGAGCGGGGACGCGCTCGTCGCGAGGGGCGAGGGGCCGAGCGGCGCCTCCGCTTCCGCGCGGGGCAGCGGCTGCGCGAGGATGTGCTCGTACATGTCGCGCAGGCGGTCAAAGTCGGTCGGGAAGAAGATGTCGAAGTAGCCCTGCTTGACGAGGAACGTCGTGCACGGCACGGTCGTGTTGCGGTAGCGCGTCTGCACGACGGGCGCGTTCACGCCTTCGATCGTGTCCGGCAGAGACGCGAAGTCGGAGAGGAGGAGGCGGTGGCGCGGGAAGTGGCGGCGGAGCGTGCGGAGGAGGCTGAGGAGGCGCGTGGGGATGTACTCGGGCGCGGAGAGGTTCGGCGCGAAGGGGAGGTTCGCGTAGAACGTGCGGAACGTGCGCGACGCCTTGAGCAGGCGCGGCAGCGGCGGCGGGTGCATGAGACGCCGGCGGAGTGCGAGGAACGCGGCGATGAGCGGGTCCGTCACGCGCGTGTAGTACGTACTGAAGTCGCCCTGGGCGTCGATCGTGACGAGCCCCTGGTACGGCTCGAGCGTGCGCAGGTCGTAGCGGATCATGTCGTGCGCGAAGTTGTCCTGGGCGCAACACTCACTGGCGGGACCTGCAGCGGATGGGGAGAGCACTCACGATGACCTCCATGGCGAGGAAGAAGCACGGCGCGGGCTCGCGCTTGGACCAGCGGAAGATGCTTTGATTGGTCACGTCAACGCAGGGGTGCTTGGTGCTCAGTTTCTCGCGTTGTAGGTGCGCGAGATTCTCGCTGATCTCGATGATTTTGTACTGCGTGCGGTCGTAGACTTCGGGGTAGCGATGCTGTATGTAGTCCAGAATGTCGAGGGCGAGCGTGCCGTTCCCCGCACCAATCTCGTAGATGATGAAATCTTCATACGGGAAGTACTTGAGCAGATATTCAGACACTAGACATTGGGCAATGGCTTGGCCGTACCAAGGCTAGAATTTACGTCAGACGCACGGTACTAGTGGTCGCAGGCGTACCTTGAACAGCTCCGTCGGCGTATGCCAGATCTGCCTCCCGGGTCCTTCACCATCCGGACCGTACTCGGCATACTTCTGCGCGACCCCCTCCTCGAACTCCAGGATGTTCCTCAGCTTGCCAAACTGCACAGGCTCCGTCGCCGTGAAGATGTCGGCCTGCTCGGAAAGTAGCCGTAGTGGGGGTTGTACAGCGAGTCCTCAATGAAGTCGCGTACGAGCATCTTGACGCGGCGGGGCGGCTCTTGCAGGACTCGAGGTCGTTCGCGGTGACACGTTTGTAGGTGGCATGCTCCGCGTCGGGGACATCCTGGAAAGAGATCTTGCTGTAATTGATCTTCTCGTCCGCGGTCTTGTCTGTCGCTTTGTGCTTCAATGTGCGAGTGGCCCGGGGAAGTGCGGGGAGTGTGCTACGACGACATACTTGCGCGAGACGCGTGCTGCTTGACGCGAGCATATACCTCGAGCACTGTGTAAACCTCAGGCCTGCTGCCACCAGCAACTTGTGACTGGCAGTGCAGAGAAAAATGAGGAGGGAGAGGAGAGGAGGGACGGGGAGGAGGGGTCGAGGAGACAGATGCCGTCCTACGATCACGTGCAAGATGCATTAGTACTGGCGCTCCAGGACCAGCAACTGCCAGTCGATCCTACCCAGATCCTATCGCGCCCCGAGCCTCGTTCTGCAAGTTGACTGGTCATTGTCTGAAAAGATTGGCATTTAACGCTGAAAGTTTTTGAAAAGGTGCCTTTGACATATCTGCGACTTCAGAGGAGGAGGGGCGTTAGTATGGAAGCGCTTCAGAGAGTCGTGCGGACATGGATTGCGTCCGAGCAAGAGGAGGAAGTCGACACGGCGGTGTCAGGTAAGCCTTGTGCTGTGCTTGTACGTTCCTATCTGAGAATGATTCTAGAAATCAGCAAAGGGAATGCAACACTACTGGATCTTGTCAAAGCTTTAGGGGAATACCTCACCTCCGAAGAAGATGAGCTGAGGACGAAGGGTACTTCGCACATACCACACTTCAAGCATGTATTCACTGCTCGTAATATCAGGTGTTGAGTTTCTCTCGCTTGTAATCAGCAAATGCCCACCTGAGAAGCTCCATCGACAATCGGGTGCGCATCCTTCACCCTGAGCGCACGACCTCTCGATTCTTACGCCCGCACTGTTTGCAAAGTCCGTGTGCTGGTGAGCTTCTACTGTGGCAAGCTGGAAGACACCGAGACTATCATTCCGGCGCTCAAAGGGCTCGTCTCTCTCACTGCGATGCCTGCCTTTGCATCTGCAGACGCGATCGAGGTTATGAATGCGTAGGTCGTGTGGTCGTGCAGCAGAGGAGGCAGCACTCAATGGCTCAAATAGGCTTTTCAAACATGTCCGGATGAATGCACTCGTTCAGTCTCAGCGGTTCATGGTATACAAGATTGTCGACACACTGATAGCTAAACACCGAGATGGTCGGTCAATTCGCTGACTTCGCCGTTAACGAGTCTTCATGCATCGTCTTACAGCACTCAAGAGCATGGGAAAGACTTTCTGTCTGGCTACATCTCACTGGCTGAAGGCGAGAAGGACCCTAGGAACCTCTGCATTGCCTTTGCCATCGATCGCGTCCTGTTGCTGGAGTTTGACATCACTGCTCACGTCGAGGTCTGCGACATGTACATCTCGGCTTGTTCCCCGCTGACATTGAACACAGGATATGTTCAACATCACGTTCTGCTACTTCCCAATCACCTTCAGACCACCTCCAGATGACCCGTACGGCATCACCACGGACGATCTCAAGAATGCACTCGGGTAGGCGTTCGATGAGTCTCCATCTGACCCACTCTTACATGGGAGTACACAGCGCATGTCTGAAAGCCACGCCGTTGTTAGGACCTCCGGCAATCCCTCTGTTTCTCGAGAAGCTCGCAGCAGGCAGCCCAGTCACGAAGGTCAGTCATCCTTACCCCCGCACTATGCAACACTGAGTGAGAATTGTTGCGCAGCGAGATACCCTCAAGGCTCTCGACAGCTGTCTCCCTGTCTATGGGGCGTCTACAGCGCGTACTCACGCACGAAAGCTGTGGAATTCTCTGAAACTAGAGGCAAGATTGGCTTTGTTGCCAATGATGTTAGATGCTCATCAATGGGCAGATCTTCCAACCAACCGATAGCGTAACAGAACAAGCCGCCCTTCATACGACTCAAGTACTTATCCGGACGATCTACTCTGCGCAAGGGAACGAAGATCAGTCAAGCAAGACATACAAGGCTTAGCGAAGGAGCTTGCGAGGAATGCATTCAGATCCTGCGTGAGCCGGAGAAGAGCCAGGCGAAGCCTGCCAATAAGGTCATGTGTGCATTCATGGCGACTACGCGTACGATCCACTCCTCTCTAGATTGTTTACCAACACTGAGAGACTGTTGATCTCAGCCTCCGTCGCGCGCTTCACACTGGCACAGGTAACGCCGCACCTCGTCAAGCTCTTCCTCAACCCAGACGAGCTCCCGAACCGTTCGCCTACTCTCCGGCTGCTCGCCGACGTCATAGTAGCCGCCCGGGACTCGATGCCGAAGGATCCGGAGATCCTCCCTGCGGAGGAAGACATCCCGCTCGCGCCGTATAAGGACGAGGTCCTAGGTGTGCTCACTGTCGGTTTGAACGCCGGGTCATCAGCACAGCCAGCCCTCGATGGCTTGAAGGCCTTGGTAACAACCCGAGGGTTGTTAGCGGATGAAGAGCTCGGTTTTGTTGTTCACAAGGTCAACGAGCTGCTCCAGGACGGGCAGGAAGAGAATGAAGATATCAGGTGCGTTCTGTGTGCTGTTGAATAGTCACGACGACGTCCACTGACAAGGCGACTGTATCAGCGACTCCGCTCTCGATTTGTTGACGACCATCTCAGTATCCGCGCCCCGCCATGTCTCTGAGACGACGTTACCTCTCCTCTTCAGCTCTTTGCCGACCGCGCACCTGCACGCGACGCCCAGGCCGAGCGACTCAAGTACTGGCGCACACTCGCCTCCCTTACCAAGCTCTGCAAGCAGCCCGACCTCTTCGAGACCCTTGTCGTCCGGCTCCTCACCAAGCTCGACCTCATCTGCGTCCCGTCCCCACCGCCATCCAGGATGACTCAGACACGGACAGAGAGCCGAACGCGGCGTATGCTCACTCGATCCTGCGTACAATTGTTGACGTGTTAGATGCGAAGGTTGAGCTGGGCCATGCGGATGTGATCAAGTACATCGACAGGCTGGTGCCGCGGTTGTACAACTTGTTCATCTACTCCGCTCTGATGTCGAACGGAACGTACTTGGTCGCGACTGACCCGCGCCTTGTGTCTGTCGCGGCGCAGGTCATCACGCTAGTCGTACAGACGTTATCTGCCCAGTACGTTTCGGAGAAGCTTATTGAATGCTGATGTACTGATGTTGCTGAAGGCGACAGGAGACGTTTATCGTGGCATTGTTTGCGGCGTACGTACAAGGCGATGTCAAGCAGCTTGCCGAAGGACATCAGAAGGTACCTTCGGACAAGAGGTTTGACCCATTCGATGTAAACGGTTCTCGTTGCATTGCTGCATCCGACTCCTATTCAACTGCATCATATGTAGGTAGAAGCGTCGCCCTTGCAGAAGAATATGCTCGCCCTCTTCGCTGCGGCCGTAGTCGCACTTCACAAGGAGGTTAGGCAACGATACACTCACGGTGGCCATTCATTTGCTGAATTTGATGCATAGGTGGCACTGCCAGTCCCGGATGAAGCGGCTTTCCTAGACATGCTGCTCCGCTGGGCTGTCACTATTGCGGATAATGTCCTGCAACGAGACGCAGCAGTACATGTGACATGTTCCATCGTCAACAAACGGACGGACGGTACGCAGCTGAGACGTACCTTCTGTTGTCCCTATTCACCATCCACCAGGCCTGTCTACCTTCCTCCGGGAGAAGCTCAACATTTTCTGGACAAGTCAAATAGCAAGTAACGCCCATCCACCAGAGAAGCGTCGCGAAGCCATCTCGACATGGTCATGGATGACGAAGGCCCTCCTGGTCAGAGGGGATCCTCGTGCTGCGGATCAGGTGGACCGGCTCTTTCAGTTATTTGGAGACAATGAAATCAGCTGGGACGCCGCGCGGACGATCGGCGGTGTGGTCGCCACTGACAGAATCCTCACGAAGAAACATCATAGCGTCATCAAGTTCCTCTATGCACAGAAGTATTGCAACACGGTCTTACCTAGGATCATTGAGGGTGCGAAGTCATCCGAAGGTACGTATCAACAAGCACAACCGCGCTGCGAGACTCAAATTGATACATTCGCATCATAGACTCCAGGCAGCAGAATGCATACCTTGTAGCTCTCACGTCTATGATCAAGTCTGTGCCCAAGACGGTATACGCGCACCAGATGCCAACGGTGTGTCTGACCTTGTTCTACGCACTACGACCGCTCACATGAATCTATCAAACCCGATAGCTGATGCCTCTCCTCCTCCGTGGACTCGATCTCCCTGACTTCGAAATCCGGGCCAGCGTGATCGACACGCTTCTCGCGACTGCCGAGAGTAGCTCATCGTCATCGAAGACGACGGAGAACAACATCATCGCGGAGCACGCCTCTAGCCTAGTGTCGACGATGCTCAGAAATAGCATGGTCAAGGACATGCCTTCCGTGGTACGTGCGAGTTCTACCGTGTACAGGGCGTGCGTCCTCAACCTCATTGCAGCGTGTAAGGATCGCCGCTTTGCGATTCCTCGGGGTCCTTCCAAGTGCTGTCCGGTATGATGTCCTACACCCACAGAAGGCCATGGTGATCCGTGAACTTGGGAGGGTGCTAGATGACCCGAAAAAGGCGGTTCGTAAGGAGGCAGTGGAGGCAAGGTGAGCGCTTTAGCTTGAGGACGGCTAACCCGTCATACTGAGCGGCTGCCATTAGGACCAATTGGTTCAAGTTCAATGGCTAAGATGAATTTTGAACATACGAAAGGAGCTTGTTATCAACACGGTAGCCAAACAACATCTGTATCGATAAAACATGCCAACGGCAGTTTTGCAATGTAGCATTTATACGCTTTCCTTCAGTGGTACTGCATACTATTAAATTAATATCAACGAGCATTGCGACTTTCGGACCGATGCCAGTACTCTGACAATGACCAAACGACGGGGTGTCAGGTTTCAACGGGATATATAACTCGATTGGCCCTGCGATGGAGGTATCTCTATCCTTCGATGATATCTGCCGGCTTGGCCCGGGGTGCAGGATGGCCGCTGGTAAAACACGATGCACAAGGCGTTGAGTACCATCATTGTTCCAACAGGGATGCACGAGAGATTCCCTCTTCGCACCATACGTTTCATCTGGAAGTGATGCGTCAGACTCATGAGTCACAGTACTTGGGTGCGCGTCGCGCGACGCGTGTTTTCACGTGACCGCGACCAGACCCGCACAGTGACTCGGATACAGCGTGGATCAGTAGACCAGTTCTGCTGGTAGGTGTGGAACGTCTCGAGTATCACACATTTCGATAGCCAATGAACTCGATTGAACGACAACCATACAATGACGACACTCGCTGATCAAATGCTCCGACTTCAAAGCTTCACCCAACAAAAACACTACCACGGCGAACCACGCGTCACCGCTAGGAATCACTTGGAGTTGCCGGACGACTTGTGCGTGACTTCGCCGCTGGGCGAGGTGTACTTGGAATCCCCTTTCCCGTTGTCGTAGTACGTAGATCCGTTGGGGTTCTTGTAGTAGTAGCCCCCGTCTCTGGTACATTGACTGCAGTAAGTACTACGAACGAATGGTGCAACTATTCAGCTCACTGGTTCGAGTAATGATATCCAGTGTTCCCATTGCCGTAGTCACGGCTGCAGTAATGGTTGCCCTACGTCGTCAAGAAACGGGAACCATGGTCAGCCAGGCGCATGTCGGAGAGGTCAAAGGTGAGGAGCACCTGGCTGTTCGTGCCGCTGCCGGTGTAGCTGTAATCGTTGGGCATGTTGAGAACGATGCAGAATCCAGAGGCTCGCGAGAGTGTTCTGCCCGGACGAGGATGTGGTCCAGGACAAAGAGTGACAATATGACGAGCTCGCATTTAAGCAGCTCCGAGTCCCCCGACCCTAGATCCACGATCCCGATGTTCTCAGTGGCATAGACCGGCCTGGCAGAATCCAGTTAGTGTAAATTATTGTCTTGGCTGACTTCTCCTGAACGCGTTCCGCCCCATGTAGCGTTTGCTAGTTTATTGCAGATACGCCCTTGGACACTAGTACTTACATCATTAGACTGCATGTCCTGAGCTGCGCCAGTAGACAGCGATGCATAACAAGTCGACGTGACGCGCAATCATCCGACAACTTGGATATGAACGGCCAGCTCTGGAATGACTCGAGATGTTGCGTTATGAGCCTCACCATGTGCGCCGTTGTAGTTGGTATCATTCCAAATCATACAGGGTTCACTACAACAGTAGGATGTGCGACGAGAGCTGTAGCGATCGTGGATATAACGTTAAGTGCCAAAGAACGACTGATGAGATGCAATTAGTAGATCAACCCGCTGTGCGTACGCAATGCACATCCTCCACGACGAAATCTAAGCAATGCTATCGTAAAGGTACGATGCCGAAGTGAAAGAAACGCGTGCAAACACTCTACCAATCCCGTCTACGCTGCCGCAGCCATGATCTGCTGCGTCTTCAGGTTCGCCTCAGCAAGGACCTTTTCGAACGCCTGGAGGTGCTCTTGCACGAACTTCCTCCCGTCCACTCTCCGATATGACCGGGGCGTGTCTGCGTTGGGCACACCAACCTCCACACCAGACTCCCACTGCTCGATCTTCACTCGGCTACGTTCCGCACTGTCCCACTCTGTCCGCCACTCTGTGAGTTTGTTCTTCAGCGCGCGGATCTTCCGACCCGCGTCCGTCGTGGCAGCGGCGTTCACTTGTGTGTGTTCGGAAATGACAGCGAGAGACGATACAGCAGTGGTTGTGAAGGTTCGGAGGTAGGCGAGATGCGATATTGTATTTGCGGGGGTAGGAACGCCGGTCAGTGGAGGAGGGGGAGGGAATGTCGCCTTGACCGGTGTTGTCGAATACGCCTCGTCCTCGTCCTCCTCTTCGGTGTCTCCTAGCTGGTCCCGGTCAGGGTCGACCTCCCAGTCATGAGCAGACGTAGAACTCGTGAAGGATTCTTCATTCACGGGGTCGAGGTCCCGCCGTGGCTCCGGAGCCGGTGGTGGTTCGTCGATCACCTTCTCCAACACGTCCAGTTGCCCAAGCACGTCAGTGCCATTCACCTCTCCAGCAATCTTCCTAAACTCCCGCTCGTACTCTAGCAGCTCCCGCACCTGCCCCTCCCGATCCCGAGAGGTGTCGTTGATACGGCGAATCATATCGGATGCGAGGCTCTCGAGGTTAGCGTGTCCGTGGTCGGCGTCGAGGCGACGAAGGTGCGAGAGGAACTTGTCCGTGTACTCCAGATCCTGCGCAAGGATCGCCATAGGATCTTGTTCGGGCTGTCGCCTTTGTCGCGGTGAAGTAGGGCTCGAGCTTGTGCTCGTTAACGCAGGATCGACGTCCGCCGGCTCCGCCTCCGCGAACTGTGGTGCTGCCTGCTCTGCCACCTCCTTCTCTGCCTCAGGAGCGAGCTCGTCCTGCAGAGATTGCCCCGTCCCGTCGATTTCGTGAGCACCTTCTGGTGGCTCGTCTATGCCCTCCGCCCCTTCGTCGTACTCTATGCCAAACTCCTCCGCAAGAAGCTTCGACCCCGCGCTAGGCTCGGGCATCAACGCCACTGCCAACTCGTGCGCGAGCGAATGCCTCCCAGTAGCTCCATCATCCCCAAGCGCATCGGCAAGGCTCGCCCCAGCCCGTAGTGAGGTAGACGATTTCCGCGCGTTGAGACTTAGGCTTTGTCGGGATGGCGACTTGCGCGGCGTGGACGACCCAGCCGAGAGGAATCGAGAGCTCGTTTCGCCGTAGCTGTTATCATGGTCTAATGAGGGCGGCATCCAAAACCTCAGCGATGTATCTGCGAGAAAGTCGACGGTCGCTGGCGCAAGTTACTGAGGGGAAAGATTGGGGAAAGGTCACTGTTGTCGTGGGCGTCGTGGTAGTAACTCTGCGCCTGCCAAATGAGGTAGTAGAGGAATATCACGTGGGTTGTGGCTGAAACAGATCGCTCTTCTTAAATCCCGATCTGGAGGTTACTAACTTCAACCTCCGAGTCACCGACCTGGACGCGGGATGCAACAAATCTCAACCACAACTTGCCATACAGTATAAGTATTACCGGTATAAAATTGAAGACGCGAAATACCTAACTATGCTAAGTTACATTGCAGGTAAAGTCCATGAGCGGTCGTAACACATTCAATGCCTCATTTACTACGGAGACTCGCAGACATTGGCCCTACTTACTATCGCTGCTACGGCCGAAGAAAAAGACTACAATTACGATAAAACGGACAGATCAATCTCTCCGTCAAGTATCCCTGCAAGCGCGCCCTCGAAGTCCATCACCTGCATCATCTGCCGCACGTCAGGCTGCGTCCTCAGGAGCGCCTTAATGGGCTCGCGCGCGCGTACCACGGGTTTCCACTTCGAGCTGGATGGCTCCCGCTGCCAGTCGATGGCATCGTCGAAGGAGATTCGCTTGGCTACAGGGCACGCAGGCATGAGGTATTGCGCGATCATCTTGTGTTGCAGAGGCAGGTTAAGCCTCCAAATGGCGTTGACGAAACGCAGGTTTAAGCCTGTCAGCCTCGAGGTGCGGCCTAGAGCGCAAATGTCTCGGACGAGCTGCAGGGAAGGATCATGGATCAGTAGAGCGAGTGTATGCACTAGCGGCGCGCTCACCTGCTCGAGAGGCGTGCTGTAGGTAAGCAAATCGAAACAGATCGACAGAGTGGCCACAGTGGGCGCGTATTGGTGCACAGGGTAATGATAGAAAACCCACGCCGGTATCTCTAGCTCCCGAAGCTGCGAGTGCTCAAGAGGCAACAGAAGCCGATCGTCCGTGCTGACGCTCGGGCTGAACCAGTCGCAGATGTCTACGACGCTCAGACACGAGACGGCACCTCCGGGGAATAACACGGGAAGAAGATTGAGCGGACAGCGTAGGGTTTTCAGCCTGGGCAGAGAGATCCTGGATGGAGCTGCGTGCGGCGAGGGCCTCTCATCTCCATCCAGTGTGCTCACGAGCGACAAATCCGAGATCGTACCCGCTCCAGCGAGGAAACCAAAGAGGACAGCGGAATCGTGGGGATCAAAGGAAATGTCAAGTTGCTCCAGTCGGCATTCGGACATGCCCTGCAGGATGGCGCGAGCCAGTGGCCACTCCGTCGCTTTCAAAGACCGGATATAGGATCCTTGGATCATGGACGACAGCGCCGCAACGTACGGGTCCACGCCATCAAGGACAAACGCGTCGAAGTGCTCGAGCTTCATCGAGTAGTGCAACGGCTTGCAGTGCCCCGTTAGCGGCGCGAAGGAGCAGTGCCTGATGGATAGGCTGCGGAGATGCCCTAGGGATTTCATCGCTACGAAGAACTCGCATGACACGACTGTCTGCACGAGTGTCAGACTGCGCAGGGTCGGGAAGTAGGTGAGGATTTGGGCATGTCGCCACGAAGGGGACTCGATTGTGGCGGGGTGGCGCCCGCCCTCTGCGGACGTGCAGCCGTGAAGTTCGAGTTCCCTGACCATGGCGGCTAATTCGACAGCTGCCTTGTCTCCCCGCGCGAGTTGCTTCAGCCATGCCGTACGCGCCCCGTGTGTCCGCTTTAACTCCTTGGACGGCGGGCTCGCGATTGTCAAGCGTGCGAAGAGCTTTGGCGTGACGAGATTGGCGAAGAGTCGGCAGACAAGGTTGAGATTGGAGAGGACTGTCTTATACCCTACAGACGATCCATCATCCACCTCGTTGAGGATCTCGTCCACGATCAGCATGTAGACTTCGATGGGCAGGGATGCTAGATGCCTCTGGCCATCGACCCGGACTGGACCTGGAAGTGCGGCGACGGTGTCTTATCACCAGCTCGCCGTTGACAGGCACCAAAACACTCACTGCGTGAAGTGCGAACTGCCATGGGGACAACGGGAGACGTTTGGAGGATGCCAGTGGAGGGAATGCGAAGGTTCTGGGGACAAGCTCAGCATCGTTAGCGGCGGCAAGACTTTATGAGGTCGGGCGGGCGCGTAACGGATTCTCAGCGCGTTGCGCTGTCTTACGCCGGCGCCTCGATGCGTTCTCCATAGTGCGCGCGTTTACCGCGGAACGCGACACAGGAGAGTACATATGGCATGGCTGTCCGGGATCCGGGCGTCACTGGCAATTGGCATCGCCCCTTCTCTAGGTTCCCGATTGACGCTAGGCAAGCGCTACCTCATCTGGGCTTCCGATAATTACACCGCGTCTCCACGGTCCCGTACGCCTCTGTCTCTCTACCGGCGGCACTCGACGCAAAATAGCTTCTTCCCGCCGTCGCGCCTGTACTGTGTGGTCGTGGCGCGAGGCGCCGTCCGGTGAGAGTTCATTTCTGGGACGAGACGAGTATCACGGTGATTGTTGGGCGGCCATTGGCTGTTGTGCCTCAGTCGCTGTAATGGAGTACTGCGTCTCATCGGCGCTCCGCGAGAAATATCCGTCCCTATGCCATCTCTTGGCAGGCCTAATGCGCTCTGGCAGAGGGCCTATAATTGTCGCTGGGAGCGCCTCATGACGCCGCCACCAGCACAAGGTGAGCATCCCGGTGTCCATAGAATAGCCTCAACCATTCAGAATGTCATCAAGCTACTCGCAGAACCATGCAAGTCTAACGGGAATATCTATTCGGAACTGCGTAGGCGGTCTATTATCTATTGTATCTAGTGGCCACCGCAAGTCTAGCGCGGGTCCTCTAGGATGTGGCACAGCGATCAGTTGCCGGATATATGGGTGCAATCTACTCTATCTATGATGGGATCCGTCAGGGGTCCATGAAACCGTGGTCTGAAAGAATGGTGTGATAATGACTAGGAAGGGAGGGATGTAGCTTGGGCATGTTGATTGCTGCACCAGCTCGATATCAGGCAGGCCCGATACTTCTAGTAATGTTAGCGAAGGGAACAAGACACGGATACAGTCGCAAAACTCGGACATGGAAGGTGGAATGGTCTTCCTGCTACCGATGTCCAGTCGTCGCAGGGGATGACGGCGAACCGCGGTGCACGGGCGCCCATTAGCGTTACTCGGTGTACGGGCAAGGGGCGCGGCACCCGGCAATCCATCGGCGCTCTGAGGAATGTGGACCGGCAGCGCCAGGCTCTGTAGCGCGGGGCAAGATCTTGCGAACCACGCGCACGCCGCGGGCGTCATCCCGTAATCTCGTGGCAGCCCACAGACGTCCTGGACTGCGCCGACAGCTAAGTGCTCCAAGTTCGGCCACCACGTAGCGAGATCTTTGGCGTCTTGATCATTCAGACCTGGCGTCACGGCAACCTGTACGTCGAAACGCTGAAGCCCGGCGAGACGCGCCAGTGGACGCAGCGTAGCGCGGTCGATTATGTCGACGTCGTCGAAACATTCTAGCGAGAGGGACCGGAGGTTCTCCGGGATTTGTGCGAACACTTGGCGGAGCGGGCTTGAGGGCGCGTCAGCCGTCCACTGCACGTCAAAATGGAATGTCTCCAGGGTGCGGGATGGGATAAGTTGCAAGAGGGCCGAGGCGAGGGCGGGCTTCGCCTGGAGTGTCAAATCTCGTAACAAAGGAAAGATCTCCGCCTCCATCGTGGGCGAGGTAGTAAGGCCCTCCAACAGTTCTCGCGCGTCTAGGTGCCGCGCGTCTACTGTCAGCCCGCGGAGAGCTATGAACGTCGTGGCAATCTTGCAGAATATCTCCATGGAGAGTGATATCCCGACACGCAGGTCTAGCGTGGCGAGGGAGGTGTACGTAGCGACACTGCGAAGGAGTTGTGGAGATGTCGTCCCTCGGACCCGTAGAATCTCCACGCGCGCCGACGCGTCGTGGAGCTCCTCGAGGTATCTCTCGAGCGCACTACTTGAGCATCCTTTCCGTCGGCTGAACCCGAGATGAATGTCAACCTCGCGCACGTTGGAGGAGACACCCCAAAAGCCGGCCGTCTGGCAACCACCGTCGCGGAAGCGAATCGAAGCGAGCTTGGGCAAGGAAAGGAAGCCGCGCAATGTCGAGGGTATCCTCACGGCCTCCGTCTGCCTGATGCTTCGGACACGATGCGCATACGCATGAAATCGTGCCAGTGCCCTGGACTCTAATTCATTCCTCCCTGGAATGTCCTGTAGAGCAATTAGAACAAATTCTACGTTCTGCAGAAGAATTTCACATCCAGAGTCCACTTTCCACCGTGCATGAGGCGTCAAAGGTAGGCGGGGGTTGTGATATGCAGCAGAGCATATTCCAGGCGCCGTCCACCCGCAGCACGCTACCCCAGTGTGCGCTTGCTAGTAGCCTGACTAGCCTAGGTTTCAGTACACTCCCTGGGCCTCGACATGGCCCTGTGACGCGCGGGCAGTGCGCGACAACCGCAGGTCGCCAGGTGATCCATCGATGCGAATATTCTACTGCGGAGGTAAGCTATTCACTCACCGCATGAGGTAACAACCGTACGAGAGGCGTTATGCCGTCCAGTCGGACCCAAAGCCTGTCCAGCGCTGGATCAGACCAAGCTCTGCAGCATCGCGCGACTTGGCACAGCGACGAGCGGTATTCTTGCTCCGTCCAGGCGGAACAAGCTTCGAGGATGGCCTGAAATATCTCGTCTATGAGGAGAGCGGTGTGCATGATGGGTACACAAGTCACTTGCAGAGAAACAATGCGAACGCGAGATTGGACGGTGAGTCCGGCGAGGGCGAGTACTTATCTGCCACGCCGAGGTGGTCGGGTGTAGAGTACTTTTGACTGTGTGCGGCGCTCAGCCGAGTAATTTTTGCTGTTACAGGTTGGTCGCGCCGACTCCGACATGGCGGTGGCACTGCAGATTTTGAGCAGCGCTGAAACTGATTGGCTGGCGTTTATAGCCGCCTCGCCAGGGCGGAGACCGCGCACTCGTAAAGGAGGAGCTTTGGGGAACGTTCGTTCATGATTCTCACTCATACAGGATCAGAAGGCAGCACAACGACCGTGGCTCAAGCTCAAGTCCACCTTGCATAATACAGTCATGATCATATCGATTGCATACGGAAGCACGGTCGCATGGTAGTGATACGGTACATGAACGCAAGACAATCTACAACGTTGCTCCCGTTTAGACGGCGGGAGGCTTGGTGCCCGGCTGGAATGTGTACGTCAGGCCGCACTTGCCGCAGTACTGACGGTCGTTGTGGAAGGCCATGAAGATACCGGCGCCGCACTCAGCAGAGGGGCACTCGCGACGGAGACGCTTGATCTTGCCGTCGGACTCCACCTTGTAGTACTTCAGGATGGACATCTTGACCTTCTTGGGCTTGTGCTTGATCTTCTTGGGGGTCTACAGACAGCGATCGTCAGAACGGGCAGTCAGGCGTGGTCATGAGAACGGTGCTCACGTTGTAGGTCTTTTTCTTGCGCTTCTTGGCACCACCACGCAGACGAAGCACCAAGTGGAGGGTGGACTCCTTCTGGATGTTGTAGTCACTAAGGGTGCGACCATCCTCCAGCTGCTTGCCGGCGAAGATCAGACGCTGCTGGTCAGGGGGGATGCTGAAGGCAGCAAGTCAACACATGCTTTGCGGTCATGAAAGCAGTGTACTCACCCCTCCTTGTCCTGGATCTTGGCTTTTACATTGTCGATGGTGTCCGAGGACTCCACCTCGAGGGTGATGGTCTTGCCCGTGAGGCTGCACAACCCGCCCGTCAGGACACGCAGACTTCATGCGACAACACAAAGCGACGTACGTCTTTACGAAAATCTGCATTGTGACGGACGCTTCTGTCTGTCCAACGAGCTGAACGATGGAGTCGTCGACGAAGCGAAAACCGACTATAGGTGAGCGAGCAAGCGCGCGAGTCTTTATATATGCCCGCACGCCGAGGCTTAGTCAGCGAGAAGAGGACTGTTGATGGTCCGTGCGCAGATTGCAAACAAGGTTTGAGATTGCATAAGATCGGGGTAAGATCTGGCAAATGCCGAGGCATGCCCGAAGGCGCGTCGCGCGTGACACGCGTCCGACCGACGCGTCTCGACTCTCGACCGCGGTTCACTCTACCGCACTGGCCGTTCAACCCACGCGAGTATTATCACCACTATCCACTCAAATCATAGATATGGACTCGGACGAAGATGTTCAGATGGAAACCATGGAGCAGACGCCTTTGACGGCGGCGAGCAAAGGAAAGGGAAAGGCAGTGCCACAGGCACGGACGAACAGTATGACAAGGACAACCTACCCTGGTTAGCATGCGGTCGCGTCAACTACTGAGTCACTTAACTAGCATTACAGGGTGGAGAAATACAGACCAGTAACGTTGGATGATGTGGTGTCGCACAAGGATATCATCGGCACGAGTAAGCCTTCCTGGTTAACCGCGTGTGCCCAACTACTAAGACGCGTTAGTCGAGAAGTTCATAGAGGCTAACCGCCTGCCACACCTGCTCTTCTATGGGCCTCCTGGTACTGGAAAGACATCGACTGTCCTAGCAGTCGCACGCCGGATATACGGAAAGGACTACCGCAAGCAGATCCTCGAGGTACGTGGCCCCTCTGCGTGGTGTGTCGTGGCCTGCGCAAACTCACAACGCAACAGTTGAACGCTTCCGACGACCGTGGTATTGACGTCGTGCGAGAACAAATCAAGAACTTCGCGGAGACACGCACACTATTCTCAAGGGCTTCAAGCTTATTATCCTGGACGAAGCTGACATGATGACAACTGCTGCTCAAGCTGCCCTGCGGCGTGTCATTGAGCAGTACACAAAGAATGTCCGATTCTGCATTATCTGCAACTACGTGAACAAAATCATTCCCGCTATCCAGAGTCGTTGCACTCGTTTCCGTTTCTCGCCACTACCAATCACAGAGGTCGAACGGCGACTGACCGGTGTCATTGAAACGAAGGGTAAGTAGTCCTTTTTATTTTTCTGAGATGGCACATATATTGACTGCCCGACAGGGTGAACTTGACGGAAGACGGCAAAAAGCATTGCTGAAGCTCTCAAAGGAGATATGCGACGCGCTCTCAACGTGCTTCAGGCATGTCACGCGGCTTACGATGTAATCGGAGAAACAGAGATCTACGACTGCACCGGCAGCCCGCAGCCAGCAGACATAGAGACAGTGGTTAACTCCATGCTGTCCGATGATTCACGACGTCGTACAAAAGCGAGTATGCTTGATAGTGAATGCACTACTTACCGGGACTGACCTTCCTTGCAGTGATCTCTGCGCTGAAAGTCGAGCGAGGCCTCGCGCTTCCGATCTCATCAATGGGGCGTATGAGTACATTGAGACAATCGAGTTCAAGCCGCATGCGCGGATATATTTGCTCGACTTCCTTGCGACTACCGAGTAAGTCATGTATGCAAGATGGGAGAAACGTTAGCAAAGTTGACAGTTATACAACAGGCATAGGCTGTCAACAGGTGCTAGCGAGAAGATCCAGCTCACCGCGTTGCTGGGTGCATTCAAGAATGCAGTGGAATTGTCAGGCAAATCGTCATGACAATGCTGTCGGTTGGTGATTCCTGGCAATGGCATCCATTATGGTACTTTCTATAGCCTTCACCTATTGTATTTCCGGTGTACACCACGACACTGATCTGCTCCTGGTCCTCCTGCCTGCTATCCAAGGCGCGTGTGTGGCTGATGGGAAACTGAATCACGTGGTACGCGTCAATGACACGCCTCCACTCACATTTGAGGCCCACTGCAGCGCTGTTGTGCACTTCCCTGCCGCTCGTCTGTACGGACCCATACAAGTCTCATAGCTTCTCTGTACATTATCTGCTTGGCTGGCTACCAAAAGCTCCAGAATCTTGTACTCGAACAGACCCTAACAGTCAGCCAAGCGACGACATGGCCTTCCCTATTCCCGCCCACCTACCTCGAGGCAAGGACCCCCAAGATGTCTCCACGAAGATCCTCACGAAGATATCTGAAACTGATACAAAGTCTTTGAACGCCTCTCTGGCGTCCTCTTGGATTGCGGAGCTTGACGAGACCATTGCCCAAACGAAGGTGCGCCTCTGAGCAAGGCGGTGGTAGAACCACTCGCAGACTCACGTAGCAGTGCGTACCTCTTAGACGCGATCCATGAGCGTATATCGAACGATCTGCCCTTCTTCAATGAGCAGCTGTCAAGCGCGAAGTCAATCCAGGAGCGGTTACATACGCTGACGGATAATGTCGATGCATTGGATGGTCGCTTGTCGGATTCGGAGGTGTGTTCTGTGACCTGCGTTACTAGCAACTGGACATTGACTGGCTTGTTTTGAAGACTGGTATTGTTCCCACTCTCCTTGCGACCTTGACACGGCATGCGCAGCTCGCACAAGAGGCTTGGACGCTTCGGTGAAGCGTCAGAACCTAATTCACCTGTTCGGTTTGAAGCGGAAGTATGACAACCTCACGACACTGGTGCATGAAGGCAAGCTACCGGAATCAGTGGCAACATCCTCTGCTCTCGAGCCTGAGCTGCAGGTTCGCCAGAGCCGCTGGCACGGAGTGCGGTTATGGGTGAGCTCCGGGTATGTTCCTTGCTGTCCAGCAGAGTTGTGAAGTGTGTTGACACCTTGAACAGCGCAGTTTCAATGCTACCAAAGCGCGGATCGAGGACAGCTTAATGATGCCTACAGTCGAAGCGTTATGGTGTCATCGTCTGAAATACTTGTCCGACCTTCTGTGCAAGGCACGTCGAGCAATCTTATTCTTCGACGCGCTTGACTCATGACCTGCCGTGACAGTGCGACAATCGGAGACGACCTTGTCTTTGGCATCAGTTCTATCGTCCCTATCAGCCGCCTCCCTCGCCGAGCGTTTGAACCATCTTCGCCGCGACCTCACACAACACTACGTCGAATACATCGCGAAGCAGCCTGCCAGCGTTGAGGTGACATCTGTGGACACTATCGCAGGCGCTGCCGAGTACAGGCTGACGCTCTTCCCTTCTCCGCCGGATAGCCAGGACCTGAGCGCACGTCTAGATGGCTTCTCGGCTGTATTGACCTTCCTGAACGACCGCCTATTCCCTCACTTGCCGCAGCGGAGCGGAAGTCTTTCGCGCTCTCCTATGCAGACCCGTTCGAGCGGCTGTGCTCAATCACCTTCTCATTCCGTCTCTGCCATCTTCGCTCGATGGGCTGCCGCATTTCCTCGATTTCTCACTCGGGCGCAACAGTTCGAACGGGACTACCTGAGCTCAATGCTAGGTGACGATGGAGGCGAACAGAGATCAGAAGCTGGGCTAGTGGCGTCGGGCTGCACTACGAGCGAAGCGGCGCATGCAGCTGCTGGAAGCTGTGAGGCTCATCGTCATGAGCCCGGAGGACGAGCGACGTATGATCTCCGTAGACGTCGAGGTTAAGCCCGAGTTCGAAGAAGGAAGCCTTGCACCGTCAACTGCAGAGCCTCAACCCGAACGGGTGGAGGATAGCAACGACGACACAGCTTGGGATTTCGATGATGAACAGCCGACGGACACCACTGAGAGCAAAGAGGACGATGCCACGGCTGACGAGGATGGGTGGGGCTTTGATGACGAGGGGAGCGCTGAGCCTCAGCCAGAGCAAAGCACGTCGGAGCCCGTACCACCAGAAGAGGATCCTGGAGATGCTTGGGGCTGGAATGATGACGATGCGTCGGATACGCTCAATGGCGAGGAGTCTTACGAGGACGATCCATGGGCCGATGGATGGGACGACAAGGAGAGCAAAGAAAAGTCAAAGGCGCCTGCAAAAATGCCGAAGCCGGCAAAGGGACTCGCGAAGCTGTCGTCGAAGGGCAAGAGTGCCAATCACAAGACGGACGAGCCGCCGTTACAGTCGCCCATACCACTCGCGCCCCCTCCGCCTACGCCACTAGTGACGTCCATACCGAAACAAATGGCGACCCCGCAGGTTTTGAAGGAGACGTATATGGTGTCTGGACGCATGAAAGAACTTATCAAGCATGTCGAAAGCGTCCTTGAAGAAGGCGCCGAGCTAGTCTCTTCAGGGCTTTTTGGACCTCATCAGACTTCGACATCACAACTAGGATCGGTGATACTGCAGGCCGCGCCGTTGACGTTGGATGTGTTCCGCGCGGTGTATCCTGTCACATTCTCTGCGATACTGCAAAACTCGCCGAAACAAGCGATGCGCTTCTCCAATGATTGTCTGTACCTCAGTACAGAAGTGCAGCAGGGTCTGAAGGGTTCTGCTACCGCTGTATCCGGGAAGCTCCAAGAAGACGGCGAGCGGCTAAAGATACTCGGCGAGAGCTGGTATTCAGATACTATTGTAAGTTACCTCTGTTATGTCGCCTGGAGTATCGCTCATGCGAATGGGTCAGGATCGGCAATGTCAATTGATCCATGAACTTCTCGACAAAGCAGCAGGCTTTGTTGAGACCACTAACCAGGACCGCTTCGACGAATGCGAGAACGCAGTCAACCAAATACTGCAGCGCATACGTCGTCTAGCACAGGAGTGGAAGGTAGGTTCAGGTCTCGATGCGGTGGCATAAGCATCTGATTTACTGTGGACCCGACAGCGCGTCTTGAACAAAAGCAAGTACTATGAAGCGCTTGGCTTCGTGGTGGACGCGGCGCTATCACGCATGCTGGCGGACATTCTTGCTCTGCCCGACATTACTGCCGAGGAGTCAAATAGACTCAGCGAACTATGTCGTATCTTCAATGCGCTGGAAGGCCTATTTGTAGAAGACCCGTCTCAGGTAGGTCGTATCGGCTACGTGCTGTACGCATTTCGCTGATCTGTCTACCCCAGCCATCATTCGTCGTCTCGTACGTCCCATCTTGGCTCAAGTTTTCTTACTTGTCGGAGCTTCTCGTAAGTGTGCGCCCTTCGGGAGCATTGCTCGACCACTGAACAATGTTCTTGTTCACAATACAGGAAGCGTCCATGGCGGACATCTCGTATCTCTTTGAAGAGGGCGCGCTGGTGGATTTTGAGATCGACGAGTTGGTGAAACTGGTACGCGCCCTTTTCGCAGACACTTCTTTGCGGGCGAACACCATCAACAAGTTCCTCGGCGGTCACCCATCGTCTTCATGAGCAGTCTCGTTATGCGTACGATGTGGGCAGGGATACTTAGTATGGACTTACTATTTACTCTGGGAACATCATGCTTGTAATCACATCATATACTGCATGTACCTCAGTGGGCGATCGACACTGCGGAATATTGCTGGTGCTGGTGATTAGATTTCTAATACTCCTCGCCCCGTAAATCTGTCTGAGGACCCATAGTTGGGATTGAGAGACATTACATAGCTGCCATGTACTTATGAGCTCCGGAAATGGCAGTTGGGGGACAGCAGACGCACGGACCACCGCTGGAACCAAACATACTCAAACACGTAGCCACCCGTGCGCCTCCCCGCCGAGACGCGCTTGTTGTTGAATCCATCCGCAACGTGCTCGATACTCTATACGCCTTGGGACTGCTGAAGGCGCTGCGCATGACATGGCTTCTCTCGAGGTAGCTATACCTCTGCTTTTTCTTGGTGTGATGATTCACTCACTGGTTTGAATGACTTCTTTGATCAGACGTTCGAATCTACACTGAAGGATGTTGTTACTGCGAAGCGATTGTCCGCTTCCAAAATGGCGAACTTGACGGAGATTGCGTTGAAGTGCATGAAGGTGCGTCAGATCGCTGGACGCAACATTGTTGAGTGCTCATGATTGGTCGCTTGTCGGGTGACGCAGAATGACACCCAGCTGGTGTCTACTCTGTTCCGCACCCACAGAACTTTGTCCTCAGCATCCAAAGTCAACAGCCTCTACGTGTTCGACGCGCTCTCTCGCGCAGCCAGAAATCAAGTGAACAAGCACCGTCTAAGTCCCCCTATCGACCCAGCACAGGGCAACTGCGCGACGTTCATCGTGAAGGTCGAAGGTGTCCTCGATAGTTTGTTCCAGGATCTCATAACAACTCGTGATGAGACATTAAAGGTCAGTCTTCAACCTTTCTAGCTGACACGTTGGGGTATCCGGCAGACGGGAGTACTATTGCGGTGGTTGAACAGTGGTGAATCGGCGACGAAGGTGCTCCACCACTGCGTTTCAATGTGTCGTGCGACGCGTGAAATGGCTCCACAAGGTAGTCCGTTGGTCAACCTATACTGACCGTACTCTACGCTGCTTCGCCAAGCCCCCGATTCGACCTGTAGTGTGTCGACACGGGAGAGCTATCGCGACGACATCGTGAGCGCGTGCATACGATTAGCTACCTCCGCTATCACATGACCGTTCCACAGCCGTCATCCTTCTATCCGCTACGAATTGAAGTAGAAAGCCCGGTTCTAACCTTAACTTTGGTATGCGCCGCTTGCAGGAGAAGTCCAAGAAGGTCCTTGATATATGGGTCAAGAACAATACCTTCCCATCCGCCGCTTTAGAACGACTGTCGCAGCGTCTGGAGAATCCGGCAAAAGGTGCTTGTCGTTATCTATGTTTCTTCGCTGAGTGTAGTTTCCGTTCGCGCAATTCTAGTCCTTTTGTTTTCAGTCACTGTCTGCTTTGAGTGAGAAATGAAACTGAATCGTGATGTCTTCGTCAGAATCCGAAGGGATTGTTGCCCCAAGACCGGCAGACCCACGCAGTACAACCGCTCCCACATTCTCTACGACACCACCGCAACCACCGCCTGTTACCGCTGACACAGGTGCTGTCACGAACCTAATCAACCTTCTCGCAAAAGCCAGGAATGCGAATGCCGTGCCCCCAACGAGGTGAGTTTGAGAGCATCGCTGTGCATTGTGATCAATGGCTCAACCGCGCTTGCAGCCAAATACCGACAAATACAGCCACTCCCGTCCATGCATCCACGGCCACACCTCCACTGGCTGCAGATCCTCTTGCTTTGATCCAGCAGCTGGCGCAGGCAGCAGGATTGGCGAACGGAGTTCTTGCACAGCCCGTACCATTACCCGTGTCATTAGTCCCGTCATCCTCATCTGCAACAAGTGCTGTTCCTGTATTGCCTCCTGGCAGAGGTCCGCCGCAGCCTCCGCCATATCGAAATGATCATTACGGTTCCGGTCGTAGAGAGTCACCTCATGACACGTATGCCGGACCAGATCGTGGCAGAGACCGCGATGATTTCTACGATGAGCGCCGTGACCAAAGGGGCGGCCCCAGAGGTGGCCCCAGAGGCGGCTTCCGCGGTCGTGGTCGTGGAAGATGGGATGACCGTGACCGGTACGACGACCGGAACCGAGATCGAGATTGGGCTCCTCAACGGAGAGGCAGACCGAGTCGGTCGCGCAGCCCGCCCCCGCCAGGTAGATACGGAGGGAGGAGGGACAAGCCGCCGTACAGCCCGCCACGGAGGCCACCCAACTCTCGCTACGCCGACTCATCAGCCGCTCGTGACTCTGAGGGAGGAGGCTCCAGGGCGCCCGTAGTAGCCGGGAAGGACGAGTTCGGACGGGACATCAGGCCACCCTCGCCGGACAACACACCCTCGGGATCCATCCGCCACAGTAGTGCAGACACCCATTCTCCTACACACATGACGACAACACGCTCCCCGGTAGACCGACAGTCTGCGGGGCTCGCCGTTCATTCGCCGCGACGTGACGGGCCATCGTTCCGTCCACCGCCACGAGGCCCGCCGCCCGCTCCGGTACAGGGAGGACTAGATACAGTCGATCTTCTACGTTCGACCCAACATTGCCCGCGTCTTGGACTGCACTGGGGAATGCATGGAAGGTCACACATGGGTATCTTCCTTCTCAGGAAGAACTCATGGCCTACGTGCTCAGCGGCTTTGGCGCCCCTCCGACGGCAAACGAGTTCACGGGAGGCAGCGGTGGCCAATGGGCAGGCCAGGATAATACTTACGGTGGCGGTAGTATGTACCCTGACGAAGGGAGCTGGCAAGGGAACGGCGGGATGGACCAGGGAGCACTACACGGCAGCGATAGCGCGTACGGCAACGGCCGAAGCGTGACTTACGGGGGCGAACAAGCGCACGAACGGGACATGTCTCGCCGTGACGGTGTCCTCACTCAGCCCCCGGCTGAGCAATCGACACCCGGAGGAATTATGATGGGCGGTCCAATGGACCAGGAGGGAAGTGGCGACGCAGGTTCGGCGACAGGGCGGATGCAGAAGGTTGGCGACAGATGGGTCTTCGTTCGAAGTGCGGCGCCGCCATGACAGTGATAGCCAGTTGTACCATTGAGACGTAGTTCCCCACGATAATCAGCACCCATGCATGCCACTAGTCGTACATACTTTACACACTCTCAACTCCGTTTGCATGCTCCATACCTGCTAACTCGTATTGGTATCCTTTCCGTTTTCTCGTGCGCCGGGCTGCGGTTCGTGTAGAGGGCTTTGGCGTGGAAGGCAGACGACTGTGGTGGGCGAAGGGGTTCGGCCAGTATGTGAGGTAGCAAATCACAGCGCAGGCAGTGCCGAGGAGACCCCCGACGATTACATCTTCCTTGTGATGTCTCTGCAGCGCATTGTCAAATCAACGGAATATCAAGCAAAGCGGTCAAACGACGCACATAATCTTCCACTCGACTGACGGCGACCCAAGTGGCGAATGCAAGAGGTAAGCAGGAGAGGCTGAGCCGCGCAAGTCTACTCGCGAGGAAACTCCTTGCCGCAGCAGGTCGCGTGATGCACCACGCTCCGGTTATGCCTGCTAGCCAGAGCGACAGGAACATCATCCCGGAGAATGCTGTGGAAGAATGGCCGGACGGGAACGATCTCCGTCCGTCCAGAATCGTTTCGAGGTCGCTTTAATGTCCGGTCAGGGATGCTCGCACGCGTCGTTGAGCGTGCAGCTCACCCTGCGCATGCTTTTAACTCTTTATCCCACTTGCATCGTGATAGGAAGTCGGGACGCAGCCGCCCTGTAGCAGAGTAAGGTTTGAATAGGTCCGTATTACCTCCACACTTACCGACCCGGTTTTTGAGGACCTCTGTGGCAACTTCAGAGAAGGCTCTGGAGAACGGTACGCTTCACATCTGGTGCTCGCGTCGAACGCGGCTCACCCACCTTGTTGCGTAGAGTGCAAGAGCTCCGTGATGAAGGTCTAGAGCAGATCGCCTCAGACATGAAATGACGCCTATCACCGCGAAGGGGACGACGAAGGCGATGAACCAGTTCAGGTCCCCGCCAATCCTAGGATGCAATAGATATGGTCAAACCGCGGCGACACGAGAAAGTAGAAGGCTTCCGTACTGGCTTTTGTGATGTTTGTGGTCAATCAGGGTATCCTTGCGGTCGAATTCTCTTTCATACGGAGGGAGTCCGCTAACGATCCATGCGATGAACCATGCTACGGTCGCTACACTCCTGATTCACGAAGTTCAGCTACCAATCCTTCTACCACGGTTGTGATGTTCGGCCTTACCAGTCTACAATGTAGGATCTATCTAGCCAGTCAAAAGCGTCCTCCCCGAAAACATTTTGTAATCTATCGAGCATGGTGACCATGGTGGCCAAAGTAGCTTATGCAGTAGTTGAGTTGTGAACGCTGGTACATCGCATTTGACTTACTGGTAGTATTGCAGATTGATAGAGCAGGGCACGCGAGTGCAGACTGCATTAAAGTTAATCAGGCCTAAGTCGCGCCCAGCCATCCAAAACCTGAGCTTGTTGTACATACACACTTGTCTATCGCCTTGAGCTCGCGTCTTTGTATATGGTGGTGCAGTCAACTGGATCGCGAGACGCGGAGCAGAGCACAGCTCTATCGAGGGCGGGTTTGGGGTGGGTGAGAGTCAACCGTGCAAATTCTGCGAAGATATGTACCGAAGCTCAGCGCTTAGGTGCCCGCGGGATCCACTGAGAAAATTGGGGTTTTCACCAGGTTTACCGTTGTCCGTTGCTGGTCCGTTGGGCGTGGGTTCAGGACATTCTCATGCTGCAGCTGCATGCCGCAGACACGATTGATTCCGAGACTTGGCGCCCATGGCCACAGGCATAAACCACGTGCCCCTAAGCCGTCGTGGTAGACACGTGGCTACGACGCGCTCTTGCTCCGTAGCGCCCGCTTGTCTCTTCGCGACCGCGAGGGTGAGTAACCGACATTGGGAATGGCTCACAGTTTGTTGAGCTGTGAGTCTACAGATGTCCAACCCAGAGGACCTTCTGTCAGAGTCACTCGGAAGCCTCTACAACTACACACCCATTACCCATTCATCTGCGGGATCCACCTTCACCTACGACTACCTCGGGCGAGAGGACGAACATGATGGTGGTGACGACCCGACGGAGAACTATGCCTTGGATACCCCTTTCACCATAACTTTGACGACTCCTGACACGCAACCAGCCAATTGGGCACTTCATGCCTCCTCCATATGGGTATCCGCCCTTTACATCGCTGATCACGTTCACGATCTACACCTCGATCTGCACACCAAGCGTACGGCCGGCGAGGGCACTCGATTGCGTGTGCTTGAGCTAGGAGCTGGAGCAGGGCTGCCCAGCATCCTTATTGCGCGACTCTACCCCACCGCGGACATCGTGACCAGTGACTATCCCGACGACGAGCTGATCTCGACGCTGGCAGACAACGTCCAGAAGAACGAAGCATTCACACATTGTCATGCTATTCCGTATGCATGGGGCAGCGACCCATCTCCTCTGTTCGCGCCCTTTGCGGACGTTTCATCTAGGCGAACCGGGTTTGACGTCGTGATAGCAGCAGACACGCTCTGGAACCCAGAGTTACACTCGAAGTTCCTCGGCTCTCTGTCGGAAACACTGAAGAAGACACCCGATGCACGCGTCCATTTGGTCGCCGGATTCCATACGGGGAGATACACTGTAGAGTCATTCTTGAAGGCTGTACCAGATGCTGGTCTAGAAGTGGAGGAGGCAGCGGAGCGAGAGGTAGGGGGAAATCGACGGAGGCCATGGAACGTCGATAGAGCAGATGAGGAGACCGAAGAGGAGCGAAGACGGTGGGTGTTATGGATGGTACTGAAGTGGAAGGAAAGCGCATTGGCATAAGTGAGATGAAATGGGATACCACTGTACTCTAGATCAATGCTTATCACGCATGCTGAATCCCACACAATGCATTGGTGTCTGGGCTCGTGGGGGCCTCGAAGATGACTTCGAGTATCGAGACCTCGACACATGACTGACGAAAGGTCTTAAAATTATGGCGATTCACACGACACCGATATTCGGTTCGATAGATACGTTGCATATTGTTGCGAGTTACTCGCTGAAGCCCTTCGCCGACCGTCGTGAGATCATGTTGACAATATGAAGGTATACACTGAGCTTTCTGCTGCGTGAGCTGTGGCCCAGGTTCACCATTTAGTACACCTTCCATTTACGGATGCGCACTTTAGTCATCGATCTAGATCCGACGTCGGCTCCCTCGACTCGTCGGTCACGCCGCCACCAGCCCAGCAACCTTGCTCACTAACCACCATCTCGTCTCTCTCTGTGTAACATGGTCTGTAAGAAATGCGAGACTGTGAGTGGATCTCAACTCGTCTTGAATGCATCGCCTAATACATCGTTACAGAAACTCTCGAAACTTGCTGCTCCCGACCCGTTCACCTCGAGCTCGCAGAGTATCAAAGAGGGCTCTCGGAGAGTCGGAGAGAACAAACTGCTGAGTAGACCGGGAAGCTCGAAAAACAGATTTCAGGTGCGCTTAGCCTCCTCTGTGTATTCGCTTTGTAGCTAACAGTCATTGCCATGCAGCCGTACCAAGGAAAGTGTAAGGACTGTAAGTCGTCGGTTACACAGAACAGAGCGAAGTACTGTCACGGTGCGTCGATACTCAGCATCTCTTGGGCACAAACTGACGTGCTTCTAGGATGTGCATACAAACGTGGTGTATGTGCCATCTGCGGCAAACAGGTCCTCGATACGACTGGTTACGTGATGTCAGCCAAGTAGACGGCTTGTGTCGGTCAATTTAGGCGGTACTTTGTACTTTTATGCAAGTGTAATCTAGTCCTCACTCGCTATCATTATTTGGATCGTTTTCTGTCGTTTATGTATGCATAGCGAGGGTCGCTTCTAGCAAACTTGTGCATTCATATAGCTTACGCCAATGCAGCTGGGTCTCCTGATCCAACATAAGATATATGCATTACAGTCAACTAAACACAGATGCTATGAACAGATACAAGGATACATGTTGAGGGTATGTATACAACTTCGAAAGCGATGCGATAGCCAGATTTCCAAAGATCGTCGATAGTAGAAGAAGCACTCTACACATTGCGCTGCTTCGTCCTCTGCTCATAGATCTCCTCGTCGATTGTGTTCGTGCTGAGGAACCGCCAGATCTGCACAAGCCTCGTCTGCCCGAAACGCCTCAATCGCCCAACAGCTTGCGTCTCGCAAGCGTCATAGATTTCCTGGGACTGCGCCAGCAACGGCGAGAGGAAGACGGCATGGCTCGCGGACGTTAGGTTCGCCCCGCTCGCGCTTTCGTCCATGACGTTCAGGAGCAGGACGCGCTCGTTACTGTCATTCTGAAACTTCTCGAGGTTCTTGCTCTTCTGCGACGCAGAGCCCTTGATCTCTAGGAAGTCGACGCCGTTCGCAGACAGAGCCTCCGCGACCTTCTTCATGAGATCGGGGAACTGTACGAAGATGAGGACACGTTCGTCCTTCGGGATCTTCTTTCTGCTCACGGTCATCAGTAAAGAGGATGTACTCGCAAAAGTGAGAAACTTACTTGATCAGGTGGATGACCTGCTCGAGCTTCAGACCGTAGTGTTTGCCACGGCCATCACGAGCCTCATCGTCAATACCGAGCGTATCACCCTTGACGACGTTCAAGACTCGGGCTGCGGCCCTACACGCGCCGGACGCAGCGTAGACGCACTCTTCCTTGTCCGCGCACTCCATGACGCACTTCAGGCAGCCCATGTGACCACATGATGACAAGACGGCGACCTCCTCGATGGGCACCTCGTCTCGGCCACAGGAGGGGCAGAACACAACGGGAGGGACCTCCCTCTGTCGCTGGAGATCACGCACAGCGGTGAAGTACCGGAGCGACCGCACGCGTCCAACGAGCTCTTTCGTCAATCGGCGGATCTCGTGGGTCTGCTCACGGTGCTCCCAGATTTGCTCCTTCTTGCTGTTCGACAAGTTGTCGTCCTTGCCCTTGCCTTTGTTCTTGCCATCAACTTGCTTGTTGGTGGCCGACTTCAGAGGAGCCGGGATCTGTGCCTCGTCAAGGAGAGCTTGCGCTAGTTCCGTAGCGTCCTTGTCGCCGACACCCTCGTTGCGCGTCACGCGGACGTACTCGCGGAAGAGCGACTCTTGCTCGACCTTGCCGATCTTCTGCTCCATCTTCAAGGCCTCCTCGAGCTTCTTGAGCAGCTCCGCCTTGCAGTTTTCCAGCTGCTTCTTGCGCTCGTCGACGATGACCTGGCACGCTTTCATGGCGTTCTCCTTGTCGGATGTGTCGAGCTCAAAATGCGAGCAACGCTTCAGAAGTGCTTCCTCAGCAGTACTACACAGACAGTGTCAATGGCGTGAGGGTACGACGACAATGCTCAGACGTACCTGCTTTCACCGAGGGCCTGTGCCACTCGCCTTTCCCGGTCGCTCTCGCTCTTCTTGCCTCGCTTGACCGTCATGTCTAGGGCGCGAAGATGATGCTCGAGTTCAAGATAAATCGCTCGTTCAGCTGCCGGCAGATTTACGTTCTTGACCTCGGTGGCCGACGGAATCTCGTCGATCTCAGCGATGTTCTGCACCAATCGTCAGCAACGTCATCTACCCTCAAACAGATACAGCATACCTGACGAACGAAGCGGTCCAAGAAACCTTGTCCCACTTCATGACGATGCGCGTGCCATTCCAAGCTGTGAACTTCTCGGAAAGAGTGGAACTTCTCGACGGCTATGAAGAAATGAGCCAATATCAGGAGCAAATCCGCTAAAGGACTCACCAGTCTGCTCGCGCTTGCGCTTCTTGACCTGCAGCGATTGACCCTCACCGTCGTCATCGACACCGAGATGCAGATTTAGGAATGCGGAGATCGTCTTCAAAGCACCGAAGTCATGGATAGGAGGAGTACCAGAGAGAACCCAATGCCTCTCGGCAGTAAGGTTCGTTACCATAGAGTGAATCTTGCCGTCCAGGTAAGTGTACTCGTCGACGACTTTGCGAGCGAAATGGAACATCTCGAGCGGAGGCGCCTTCATCTGTGTCCAGTCTCGCCTGACGGCGGGCGACTTGAGTTTCCAGGGATCAGTGTCCTCGCGTCTCTTCTGTTTCTTAGCGGGCCTCTGGTCATCGTCCTCAGCCTTTCGCTTCTTCGTCACCTTGGGTTTGCCCTTGGACGTCGTCGCCTCATCGACGCTCATAGCCTCCGAATCCTCAGTCATCGGAGGAGTGGTCGCGTCGCTACTGTTCCCTTTGCGGCTACGCGCCTTCGGCTTCGGTTTCGGCTTAATCACCCTCTTCTTCGGCTTCGGTAGGTCCTCGTCGGACGACACAATGAATGAATCGGCGTCGGAACCAGTGTCTTCGGCGGGCGACGTCGCTTCGTAGTCTGATTCGACTCTTTCTTCTTCGCCGAACGCTTCGCGGGGGCTGCCTTCTTCTTGCCACGCTTGACTGGAGGTTCCTCCTCATCCGAGTCAGCGTTCTCCTCGTCTGAAGATAGCACCGGTGCCTTCCGGACATCCTGCGTCGCCTGGGCCGAGGTGCGTCTGAGTCTTCTTCGGGCTCGCTGGTCTCCGCCGCGCTGGAAGCAAGTGAGCCTTACGCACTGGGATGACAACCTCCACTATGAGACCTGTCCGTGGACTCACAGAGGTGTTCTTGCTAGTAGAATTGAGCGGCGCAGCTTTCGTTCCCTTCTGCTTGGGCTTAACTGCCTCGGGTGCTTCTTTCCGCTCTCCACAACTCGGCAGCTTCCCGATAGTTCTTGCCTTTCAGCGCTTCGTCGGCACGAAAAAGTTGCTTTCGTCCTCGTCTTGAATATATGCGTAGTTCGTGTGTCAAATGCTTAGCACAAAACACTTACCGAGCTTCCGACCCTCCAGTATCTGATCCATGACCGCAGAAGCCCCTCGTCTCTGAGACGATCCACCTGTTCGCGAAGCGAGCCGAGAACATTCTCCATCTTGCGTTGAAGTATCGACCATCTTGCAAGGCAGACTCCCAGCGGCAGCCAACGCCTCAAGGTTAGCCAGGTACACGGACTGTGGAAGAGGTTTGACGCGACGACAACAATGTCGGCTTCCTGTACCTCCTCAATCGTAAGGGCGTTGATGTTCGTCGCCGTCGCCAATTCCACCACCTTGAACCGCTTACCAGTGAACTTCTTCACCTCAGAGCCCCATTGTCGTGTCAGGTGGGGCGGCACAACGACGAGGGTGGCCTTCACAGGTATCTTGCCCTTCATATCCTGCATCTTCCTAAAGTCCTTCTCACGTCTTTGGAGGTGCAGTCGATGAGGCCGAGAGTGATCGCAGTCTTCCCGTAGCCGACTTCGTCAGCGAGGACACCGCCGCGGACGTGAACGGGCCGCTGAGCGCGGCCTTCAGCTCGCCATCCCAGAGGCTCCATGATCGCTTCCGAAATTTCCTCCTCAACGAACGGAGGAGCGTCAGGAGACTCCTGGGCCAGCATCCACGTCAAAGAGCGCAACTGTTCGGGACGCAAGGGGGTTTTGAAGCTAGGAGGCTGAGCGTGCTCAGTGTCGTGCCTGTTCGAAGATAGCCTGAACTTAGGCAGGTGAATTTTCGCTGCAGGTAGGAAATCCGTGGTCAACCGCCACGAGACAGAGACTTTCTCCGTCCTGCCCGCTGTCGGCAACCGAGACATAGCCCGGTGCATGAGCGAGGCGACGTTCACACCGATGCGCACGACGCCGACTCCATTTTCCTCGAGCTTCAATTGCGTGACGAACGGCGCCGGCCGACGCTTTAGGTTGCGCTCGTACTCTCCGGCCTGCGCGGTGTCCTCAATGGCAACCACGCGCTTCTTGACCTTGGTCCAAAGCAAACTAGGCGCGGTCGGTGCACAGCGCTCGCAGTTGACGTGTCCGCTCGGTAGCTCGGCGTCATGCCAGTCGCTAAAGCGATCTCCGACGTTCCGAATGCGCTCGATGAGCCAAGCCAGCGCCTTGAAGGTAACACGCTCGTGAACCTTGTCCACCTCTTTCCATGTTCCACGAGGCCACTCAGGACCTGCTTGATCCAGAAGGGGCACACGACAGACCAGGAGCGCGTTCGCGCTACGGCATGCCTCCGACGAGACGCCGATGTCGAGCTGTTCGCCCGGCACAGCGTAGTGGGCCGCATGTCCGACAACAGGCTAGACGGGCGATATGAGAAGGTTTCCGCGTCCACCGAATGTATTTACTCACCGCTAGCCGCACATCAGACGCCTTCATCCACTTGTACGGGATTTGGCAGCGGATGTTCTCCACATCGTCGGTATCGGACTGTCTCCACTTTGACTCGAGCTGGCAGATAATCGGCCGGGTCTCACCGTACTCATAGCGGCCTTTGCTGATAGAAATGACAAAACTGTCATCTGCCGGGTCGCCGCAGCGCGTAGGATCCAAGAGGAGGAAGAGGGGCGGCAAGTGGGCATCCTGGTCATTGGTCGACTTCCTGTGCAACGCCGAGTTCGCTGTTCCGCACTTGTCTAGCAGCGTGTACACGCCGCATATGTCCCTGTCGAAGTGGACGAGGTCTTTCTTGTCTACGCTAATCTCCAGCCGCGAGTTCACCATCTTGTCGCGGAACTCCTTTGCTTGGAGGCCGAGTCTTTGCTCCCACGATGGTGCGGGCTCACTACCGGAGATGGTGATTTGGACAGACGTTGTATACGGCAGAGCGAAGTCCCACCGGCCACTGAACAAGCCTGCCTCGCACGCGAACCGTCCAATGGGCGATTCGAGGAGCTTCCGGGTCTCAGAGTTGGCAGGCTCGCTGTCCTCAGGTTTGCAAACAGCCGCCACTCGGGTTGCTGCGGGTTCAGCTGGAGCTCTAGGTAGGCAACAGGCGACTGGTAAGTCGCCGCCCATATCTCCTGCCGCTTGGGCTCGACAAATCGCAACTCATGCGCGGCCACACGGAGAACAGCGTCGCACCACGAGTCCCATCGTTTCTCCGGGATGGTCACGTCTGCTTTATCCCTGAGATTGTCAAGGAGCTCGCGAGAGACATTAGCGAGCGACAGGGACATCGGCAGCGTCGATTTGAGCTCCTTCGCAAAGGCCAGCGGGGGCATGCGAGGGTCGGCGTTGACATCGATCGCTTCGAAGTTATGCTCCGGACGGCCACCGCACTTGATGCAAGACGACGAACCGCAGTCGACACAGCGGTTTAGCTGGCGGTCCGTAATGTCTTTACGGCCTTCGCATTCGCAAAGACGTGCGCTCTGCTGGGCTTGCTGAAGCAACTTCGCTAGCCTCGTTTCGGCCGTTGAAGCCAAGTCTAGCGGCTTCTCCACCAACTGATCCTCGCCTGAGACACGCTCGTCGACAGGAACATCCTTCCTAGGCGCCGGGGCGTCCACGTCCATAGCCTGCTCCTCTTCCTCTCCTCGTCGATGGTCATGGCCATGTTGTTCTTCGACTCGTACGTCGCCTCGTCGTCGCCTTCTTTGAGCAGCTTTCTACCGGAAACTAGCGCAGCGATGATGCAGGCGCCGACGACCGTCGTAGACATGGCATTGCCGGCCAGATCGGCCAGCTGGTCCTCCGTTTCACGTGTAAGCAAGAGCTCGTCAACAGGCAGCCCCTGCATCGATAGAGCCTCAAGACCGACCATGGGTCCGCCGCGATTCGTGATGTACGGAATCATGGATGGCGTCAGGCATGGGCATATGCCAACCTTGTTCGACCCGATTGTCCGATCGACGTTCTGTGACAAGTTCCAGACCTGACTATTGAGCAATCAGCATTAGCAAGTACGTAAATGAATGGTGCAACGGATGTCTCACGTCTTATACGAAGGGTCAACTCCCTTCTTCGCGATCGCAATAGACTAATGTCCATCAGATCCCAAACGCGCTCTACCTGCCCGACTCCCCAGTCGTTCCAGGCGAAGTCAGGCATTTTGCAGAAGCCACCTACGAGAACGTAAGTGGCAGTGATGGCACATCCGAAGATGACAGTACCTTCTTCCCAGCCGGTCAATGGCCGCTTCAGACCCAATTCTTCTTCCAACCTCGCTCGCTGGTGCCTAGACTCGCAACGGCCCCAGTCCGTACGTCCAGTTCGTCGATCAACGCCATTGAAGCTTTCCGAAACAAGCTTCTCCCTCGCCTGGTGAATGCGGGGATCGTCGGAAGGCAAAAGGAAGGCGTCTAGCGTGGACGAGGCCGGACGCTTGAGCTTACCAATCCAGTCTTTCCACTTGCCAGGGATGCTAGAGTGCCGCTGGTTGACCGCGAGCAGATATACACGCGTTCGCGTGTGCGGGATGTAGAAGTTCTTCGTGTCGACACGGAGGTAGTCGGCGCTGTAGCCGATCTTTTCGAAGTACTCGGCAACGCGATCCCATGGCGCAGAGCACACGTTCTCGAGGATGACGAGAGGCGGCTGGTGGTTCTTCACCCAAGACATCATTCCACGGAATGTCCTCCCCGACTCGCCGTTGTCGTCGATACCTTGCTTCTCGTTGTTGAGGTTCGAGTAGTCGACACATGACGTGCCAGCAACGAGGAGGTCAACGTCGCCCGGAACAGGTGCCAAAGACCCATATGCAGTGGTCCTGGTAAACGTGCTCAGAGAATTGTTGACCAGAATCAAGCGAAACCACATACGCATGACTGTCTCCAAGTTCACAGACATCTCGGAACAGCAGCGGCGGCTTGAAGTTGCGTTCAATGTACGCCTGCTTGAACGGCTCGATCTCGCACGAGAAGACGTGATCGAACTCGAGTTGCACGTCGTAGTGCTCGAGGATTGAGCGACGGATCTGCTCAAGTGCGAGCAGTGGTGACTCGGTACCAGAACACATGGTCGCGACGCGCATCTTCCGCCCTTCAAGGTGCTCAGCGACGGCCTTGATCTCAGGGACGCGCGAGACCAAGTCAGAGAAGATGGCAGGTATGTTATGAATCGGTGGGAGATCGGACGCGTCTGGGGCGGAGCTCTTGGACGTGGTGACTACCTGCGTGTCATCGGCTTCAAGTTCAACGTCGGACGCCTCGTCCGCGCTGCTTGGGAGCTTCTCCGCCTGGGCTTTCGCGGGCTTGCCACCAAAGAAAGAAGCAATCGACTTTTGGCCCTTCGAGGCAGAAGAGCTCTGACCTTTTGCCATCCTGAAAGACGGCGCGAAGAGAGGGAAGGGGAGGGGATGAGAGAAAGGCAACGTGTTAAGCGCGTCGCGTCAGCGAACGACTTGATTAGTCACGTTCGCGTATGGTCACTTGTGACTGTCACGCGTTTGGATCGAGCAATCTAATTAGGTGAGTAATTGATTATGAATCGCGTCTTTATGTTGCGATGCAGTGCTCAGACACGGCCGTGCAAGACCGGAAGTGTCGACAGTTGTCTGCGGAGCATTGATGCCTTCGCTCGACTGGGAATGGGACAAGCCGGTAGCACTTGAACCAGTCACGCAAAGATGTGGAAGCTTCTAGTGAAACCAGCGGGCGATGGTGCTTAATGTAACACGCGATATTCGCCGCTGAGTACTGAAAGATCTGAACAACAAAGGTTTGCTGACTACATAACAACTTTTTGTATTCACAAACAAAGACGTCCGACGAGAACGCGACGCGCCGCCATGAGTGCACGTGTCCGCGTTGAATGGCGAGCCGAGACTAACTTCATAAGGAAACCTGGGCACGTGGCGTCTCCTTGGACGTTGAGCAGGGATGCGATCCGAGCTCGTGCCATACAACGACGACGACCTCCCTTCCTCCCGCTGCGTCCAGGCGACACGCAGGAGCCTCTCCTCAACATGAGCAACGTGGAAGACCTGCTATCTAGCCCAGAACGGTGAGTGTGCGCGCTTCTCCCGTACTCGGCTAACGATCTCCCCAGTTCGCCGCCTGTGAAAGTGAAGTACAGTGCGCGCCGGAAGGTGAATGTGTCGCGTGTCTCCGTGTGGTCTGTCAATTTGAACGCAGGCCGGTACACAGAAGAGAAAGAGTACAGTAAAAGACGATACCGAGTACGTTGTCGTTCTTGCTGAGGTGTTGACTGTACTCACGATCGTCGACAGGGAGTCCCCGGCAGAAGAGACAAAGAATGAAGACGAGGAAGACGATGGTGCAAGTCCGGAGAAGCCTGCATCTAATGGTGCTAGTGTGAGTGTAATTCCCTTGCTGCCAGTGCAGTACAGGAAAACTACGACATGATCTCGCTATGCTGGTGTGGCCGGTGTACAGACAATGAAGCTAGAGTCCGCCTCATCGTCCGTGACAGCCCAAACAATCATCCACTGGCACATTGCGGTGTCGGGTTACATGAGACAGTACAGTCGGTTAATCGCTCGCCATTGTTGTTGACCCTTGGTTGCGTTCTCCCTTGAAGGCACAGACCACTCACACTTCAACAGGCATCTGCGAAGAAGCGTGCACCCAAGATGATTGACGTAGTGCAAGTCTCATGACGTTCCTCCCTCAGCTTGATCTGACGGTCACCTCCGGCCATACAGCCTGCGTGGACCGTCCCCAACCCGGGGTCGCCAAGAGTCGCCCGCCACAGGCAAGAAGCCCACAAGCAAGCTAGGAGGACTCCGCACTCTCGGGCAGGCTCAGTGGCATCTATCGCCCTGGATGACACCGATGCGTCTTCGGTGAAAGGTAAACCTCTCTCTGCAACCGGCTTCAAGACACCCGCACGGTAGGTGCTCGCCATAAGCGAGAAGGGGTGGGTTTATGACTGATTTACTTCCCGTCCAGGCGTGCACAGTCACCAGATAGTGTCGCTGACGATCAATCCGTCTTCGGAGAGTCATCGAAGTCGGCGCGTGCAAGAAAGACGGAGGCAGAACGTATCGAATTTCTCCAGAATGACCCGCTCACAGGCGAGGTGGAGGCACATCGTGTCTTCTGCAAGGAATGTCAAGAATGGGTCAATTTGGCCCCGAAGCGGAAGTACGTGATGCAGAACTGGGTCGCGCATCGGAAGCAGAAACACAAGCAACGCGGCAGCGCGGATAAGTCAGCTAACTTGATGCTGTTTGATGCTTTGCGACTGATCGCCTCGTTGCAGACACGACAACTCAGATCTCAAGTCTGAGGTCCTGCTGACAATGACGACGGTCACGCCGAAGATGACAATGCATCTGTAGCCGGATCCTCGGCGGCACCATTGGAGACCCCTCGGTCCGACAAGTCGTCGCGAGAGCGACCGAGCAATCGCATTACTGCGATGCAACGCAAGCTCTCGCTGGTGAACGACCCACAAGTAAGGAAGCTGATAGATCAAACCGTCGAATGCACGATATGCCGCGCGGAGGTGATCGTGAAGGGCCAAGTGGACTACGATCTGTCCCGATGGGAGGAGCACAAGGCTACGTGCACCAAGTGAGTCGCCCGGTGATCTGCCGCGGATGTCGCTTGACCTCGCGAACTCAGATCTACTCCCCGCGCCGCGGCTTCGTCCGAACCAACCGTCGCTGCGGCCAAAGTACCGCCGGGGACAGTACTGCGATCACCGCCTTCGGTGGCGTCGACGGATGCGACCGCTGTAGGGTCCGAGCCTTCCCCGTTGCGTGGCGAGAAGAGGCCGCGTGACGAGGATGAAGAGGACCAGGAGCCGCAGCGCAACGTACGCCCCCGCTCTGCATTCTACGAGGTACCGGAGGACTCGGCGGGCTTCCTGGAGTGGGTGACGCTGCCCTTCCGCTCGTTTGTGCGCGGATTCCGTGAGGGATTATCATCGGGATAGAGTAGGATCATCTCGACGTCCGTGCCTATCGCCATATCGCATTACACCACTTTGACTAAGGACTGCGTCCCGCCACCCTCGTTATCGCCCGCTCCGTCGCTCCTTGTCCCCCCTGCTGCTTGACCGTTCCCCCGCCTGTCTGTTGCTGCTGTGTTATTTGCTTCCGTGTATCTAGTCCGAATCTATCGTGAATGGATGTGCCCTAGCGGGCGAAATCAGGTTCCGCGAAGCTTTTGCCGATGGGCGCGGAGAGATGAGATCGGCGAGAATCCGAGGATGGGTCCGTATATGGACTGGCACGCCCGTAAGCGCGTGTCGCCTGGTTCGCCGTGCGGTGAATGCCGAGGCCACCCTCGCTGGGCCTCCTCCGTGCGCCTGGAGACCTGGTGGGTGGCGTCCCCCTCCCGCTCTTCTCTTCCCCCTTCGTCCCCCACACACGATTTCGACCCTACGATGGATATCAAGAAACTGTGCGCTCCCCCCTCACCCTGCAGCCCCTCCGGATGCTCACAGCCTCCCCTTCCCAGGTTACGATCGCCCAGTCCCGCCATGGATGTAACTCTAGATGAAATGAAAAATGAGGTGAGTGGCGTGGCCGCGGACGTCGCTCGACCATGAATGTACTTGTTGACACCTCCCTTCACTCCAGGACTACGGCACGAATTATTCTACTATGAGGTACGGAACGATCGCGGCCACCGAAGCCCCAACGACCTCACCAGACCCGCATTTCACAGTATAAATGAACCGAACGCACCCTCGGCCACGAGTGAACGCCACGCGAGGTAAGCCGCCGCCTGCTTGGATACACGCGCCTGGCTGACCTCGATGCAGCAGCGACAGCGCTCGCACCACGCTCGATGTGCGCGACGCGCCCGCCAAGCCTGTTGTACCTGACCAGCCCGACAACATCCTGAACTCTCCCGTCGGGCACCCGCCCGACGAGCCCGCCCTCGACTCTGCTGAGCGCGAGTAAGCGCCTCCCCTCCGCTGCGCGGAACGATGCCTCGCTGACACTCGCGTCCCCCGCCCTAGATTAACCCGCAGGCCCACCCCCGCTGAGAAGGCGCGCGAGAACAAGCTGCGGGCGGACAAGCTCTGCGAGATCTCCAGCCCGCAGCTGGTCCGATGTCGCCGCTGCAATTCCTGGATCAAGCTGTCCGCGAAGAGCGCGTTTGATCCTGCGCACTGGAACAAACATCGTGACCGATGTATACGCAGGTCGGAGACCGTCGTAGAGGAGCTACGGGAGACGAACAGCCAGGTATAGATGTTCGCGCACCGTGTGAGTTCGACCTGCTCACAGACACTCGACAGCAGGCACCATTCCCGTCTGACGTGAAGCCGCCTAATGCGGTCAAGCGCATGGTAGCCGCGCTGGCCACACCGCCGCTGACCCCGGATCGCGACGGCGACGAAACTTCGAGCGCGGATGCTGCGAACCCCCCGGCTAAAGAGGACTCACCTCTCACCCAGTTCTCCGACTCTACGCAAGCTAGCCCCCCGCCGTCTCCAACGCCCGTCCCTGCTCCGCCCCCGGCGATCCGCGATCCTGACCCAGCGTTCGAAGAGTACCTCGCCCGCTCACAACGTCGGCCGACACGTGACCTGGCGTCGCCCCTGCTGGTGAACTGGCAGGAATGGAGCTGGTCGCAGTTGAAGAAACCCGTGTGGTATCCCGAGCACGACGATTCGGACGATGAGGAGGAAGACGATCGGCGCCGCCGCGTGCCTGTCTCGCACGCGCGTGCTTCCGCCGGTGCCGACCGATCATGCGAGAGCGGTGCGCCCTGTTACGCGCGCCTTCTTCATGACAGACGCAACGCCGGCGCCGCCGCGGGAGCCATGGGGGGATCCGCTGTCCCCGGACGGCTGTCCTGATGAATTTAATAAAGGTGATCTCGAACGCATCTGATGTACAATCTATAATTCCGTGGTCTCGTCTTTACTCATGTTGTCTGCACGCTTTGCTATCGCTTCTTTCCCTCGTCTCTTGCTTTCGACGCATGCTTATTCTCGTCCATCTATCTTCTGAATCCTTCCCATTTGCTCAGATCTGTGTTGCCGTTGTAGCATAAGTGCCCTTGGTTGTTGATTGTCAAAATCCGTGTACTCCATCTGCTATTGCCTCTTGCCCAGAGGCGCTGGTGCTGGCTAGCGGCCGGTCGAAGTGTAATGTATGACTTGATCCAAGAGGCGGCGGATCGGCAGATCGGGTACACAAGGCCCCGGGGGTGGGGAGGGTGGTCGACCCTTGGATGGGCGATTCCGAAATTTTATACCAGAAGTTCGAAAAAACCGTCATACCCTCCCCAACTCGGTCGAAGTAGACCGTCGATAGTGTCGGATTAGTTGTAAATTAGCTTCCTGTCACACGCAGACAACCCTTTTTGCACGTGGCCCATTGGCTAGTCTACTTTTCGAGTTCGGTATTTTCAATCGCAGTCTAAATGTGCGTAGTGGATCGCAGGCGGAACCTCAAGTGTGTGGCTGAGCTTGTGGCGGGTGCGTCTGCGGCGGAAGCAACAGTGCGCTCTTGTCGCGTACTACTACTAGGTCGCCGTCTTTTCCACTGCTCCTCCTCAGCTGGACGATAGCGACTTTACCGCTATCTACCGTTTCCTTTCACGGGAAGACGTCCTCAGCTAAAGACTCGAACGTTCACCCCGGGCCCTTGCGCGTGCTAACACTGTAACAGTGTTCTCGACGTACCGTTGTGCGACAACTCCAAACACGAGCACGCAAACAAGGATGCGTGTGGTTTTCGAGCTCGTTTATCGGGCGCGGCATGCTCAAGAAGGCGACGCACGTATTTTCAGTAAGTGTTGTGTGCGCGGCAAGTAGCGATTCAAAGGTCTGTCCCTCGCCGTCCGTCTGCGACCTAGTGCACTTTACAGTCTGGATAGTTCATCAAGCGAGTTTGGTGTGTAGCGGCGTAACCGGAACGGCACATTTGAGCTCGCTATTCGGTTTGTCCTCTATCTATCCCCCGAGCCTCTGGTCCTTCTCACCCATACTTTCTCGTCTGCACCTACTCGGCATGCCCTCTTCAAGTTCCGGATTCTCGTTTGCCTCGGTATGTGTCTGCCATCTGGCACAACTGGTAGCTAGTGACCGTCAACCCGAAATTTTGTCTGTCTGCCCTCGTGCGCGTCCACTCGCCCGCTCACATGCCTGCCCGCCAATCCACATGCTCTCCTGCACGTTCGCCCGCTCGCCATACCCTTGCTTACGTATCATTGTGCTGAACAGCTTGGAGGCACACACCCGTACGAATAGTTGACCGTGTGTTTGTGCACTCGCTTACTCGCGCGCACGCCCGCTTTTCTGCCCGCACACTCGCCCATCTAGCTGCAAATGAATCTCCCGGCTCGTTCGCCTGCATGCTCGCCCGTCTGGCACCTACAATGCCACCCGCCTGCCGACTACCCGCCTGCCTGATCACCACTCTGCTTCATTGTCTGCCAACTCGGTTGTATGTGTACCTGCATATCTGCGTGTCCACGTCTCCGCCTGCGCTCTCACTAAGCCAGAGTCACACGGCGTCGAAGAAGGTGCGGATGTCATAGAGCGGTGTTCACCTACTCTACGTGGCCTGTAGATTTTTCAGCAATATAAAGGCACTTTTTTCACTGATTGAACGAAGGTGGGGGGTGGTCTGGAGGCAGGACCGCCGAAAAATCATAATATACAGGGGGTGGTAGGGTGGGGGGGTCCAGATATTGAAGTTTCGGAAAAAACCGGCCTTGTGTACGAAAATTTAATTCCTGCCGCCTCTTGACTTGATCTTATAATTGCAGACTTTCGATGGTTGTCATTTCCGACCAGTGGGGCCGTCCGCGCTCAAAGTGTGCGACTGCAGCCTGCTGCACGTGGACGCTTCCAACCATCGAGTGTACGTACAAATATTGGCATTGCTCCTCGGAGCCGAACATTGACCTCTCTTAATGGATCTCTCTTTACTTTCTGCAGTGCCCCGACACCCCGAGATGCCCGGTCGTGTCCTGAAGAGGATCGCCGCACCTTTGATTTCGCTGCATCAAGTTGTCAAGCTTGATTGACCGAGCGGGGCGTAGGGCCGTCAGGATCGAACGAACAGACAGCACACCGTCGCGGAATGATCAAGTAAGGTTCGTGCCTCGCCCAGATCTGCATTGCACTTACCCCGTATTACGGGTCAAAACTCTGCGGGGAAATGACTGGCGTCTTCGAGAGCCGCAGGTAGAGTTCAGTGCGAGCTTCTTCGTCCCACGAGGCGACCTGGCACGGGTCCTTTAGGTTCGAGTGGTCTTGCGCGTCGTCTCTCTGCCCTTCACTGCTGCTTGCCAGATCGATAGGCCCTGCTCCACTCTCGCGAGCCCGCCCGTACACTGCGAAGGCGTAAAGTCATTCTGTGTTGTGAACTCGTTCACCGGTAAGCAACTCTAGACTTCAGTGGCGCGGATAGGTGGCGATGCTGATGGCTGTCATACAGTATACGGAAACCCATTGATACAATGGTCTCCGACTGTGTGCGCTGCAGGGAGCACTTCAAGAGCTCGGAGGCCCTCGCGGAGCACTTGCGCACTTCGAAGGATCACAATATCTGCACTACTTGTGTCATGGACTTCACCGCGCGATTGCAGCTGGTCCAACACTACCTGTTCAGTCCGTTGCACAACTACTGTCAGCGGTGCGATGCCCATCATGGCTCTCCTGCGGAGCTGGTGCGACATTTCGAGAGTGCACACATCCAGTGTCTGATGTGCGGACTCGTGAGTGCTTCACGCATCTTGATACCCCTGCGACTTATTTACCTTTGCGCTGGTGTGGAACAGAGCTTTGCGACACCGAATGATCTCACCGAGCATTATCATCACACGCATTGGACGTGCATCGAGTGCCGGCAGGTCTGCAGCTCGCCCGACGCGTTCGACGAGCACTGCCGCGAGACCCACTACTACTGCGCAGATTGCAAGCGCGTTTTCAAGGACGGCGAAGCCCTGAAGGTGCACCTGGAATCAAGCATTCACACGGGCCGCAAGGTTCACTGCCCGGGTGTGAAGTGCACGAAGGAGTTCGCTTCGGGCTCTGCACTTATCCAGCATCTCGAGTCGGGCGGATGCAAGTCCAAGATGACGCGGCACGAGGTTAACCGCCTCGCCGTCCAGATGGACACGGGGAACGTCATCACGAACCCGGCGCGCTTGGTCACTGGCCGGGAGGTAGCGTCCCGCCGAAGATCACTACTTCCTGGGCCACCGAGCAGTCGCGAAACCCGGAGACGGGGAAGTACGAGTGCATGATCTGCTACAAGGAGTTCTTGAACCTCGCCCGACTCAACACGCACCTGCAGAGCCCGGCCCACGATGACAAGATCTATCGGTGCCCGGCGGGCTGGCAGGGTTGCGGTACTGAGTTCAGTACGCTCGGCGCCCTCTGCCAGCACGTGGAGAAGGGTAGCTGCGGGGTGCGCAAGTTCAATAGCACCATGCAGAAGTACGTCGGCTCGTTGGCAGACGGGATGAAGAGGCTGGCTGTCTGAGGATGCAAGGCGTCTCTTCGTGCGCAGGTTGGCGCACGTGAGGACGTCCTTGCGTTTTCGGATGTCGTGAGGTGTTTCAAGCTCTTGTGGGTCGTGTCCATTACTCTCCGTTCCTTGCTATCGACCGCTCTGTGTGTAAGATGTTGTATTACAACGCTCCGCTGATCGTCACTGATTGACCATAGACTTTTAGACTACCAGGCTCTAGCCACGCCATCTTTCGATGTCATCAGATGTCCTCGGTATCTGTACTAATAGTTCCATTTGTTCATATCATCTCGTACTGAAATATATCGCCCTTGACACGCGCCAGTTGATGCATCCGAGTAAGGCTAGTATGGACCACTCCTAGGCTCTTGCAATCAAGCTACTAGCTTAGCGATCGGGCACGATATATGTTAACTTACGTGATACAATGGAAGGTGAAGTTACTAGCAGGACGAACTGCAAGATGTTACTGTGTCTTATGACACGCGGAGGACGAGATTGTGGTCGCGCACCAGCTTGACGGACCATAGACATGTGGACAGTAAACCACAAGCCTAGCATCCGCCGCAGCCCCCTCCGCCCCCTCCACCTCCGCCACCGCATCCACCAACCCCACCCCCTCCGCAAGCGGAGCCTCCCCCGCTTGCTCCTCCTCCGCACGTCGCGCCACCGCCTGCCGCGCCTACACCCCCACCGCACATGGAAAAGCTTCCACACCCCCCACCCCCACCGCCAGAAGAACACGTTCCAACGACGGAACTTCCACTGCTCTACAGACGCGTGGGTTTCCCGTGAGCAACATCGCTGGGCATCCAAGATCCCACTCACCGCAGCGCAAGAGCTTTGGTTGGTTGAAACGCACTGCGAGCCTGTGGCGCCAGGACCCGCAGGCGATATGAACGGCACCGCCGCCATAAACACGATGTCGTGCCTCTGTCCGCGCTGATACTGCTCCGGGTCGAACTCGCCCTTGAGCATGCGCCGTTCGTCGCGCTTGCGGCGCTCGTGCATCTTCCGCTCGCGTAGCTCTCTCTGGCGGCGGAGCTCTGCGGCCTTGTGCTTGCCGAGCGCACTGCTCAGCTGGACCTGCACGGCGTTGTGCTCGCTTGCGTGCGTGGCGAGCGGGGCGTCGGGATGTGCCGGGGGACACAAATCAGATGGCTGCTCGGATCGTCTGCGCAAGAGCCGCTGGAGCTTGTCGCCGATGGAGTCGCCGGGCAGGGGGCACCCGCAGTAGGTGTATGGGACGCCGAAACGTTGCTATGGTTCGGAGATGGATCGTCAGCGTATGCGCGGCCAGCGAGTCAGGTGAGAACATACCTGCCAGACCCTGCAAGTAACATCGAAGGCGTTTGCTAGATGATTCTCTTCCACTTTGTCATCGCTGTTATTACGAAGGTCTGTCTTAGCTGTTTGCAGTGAGCCCGGGATGGCCCCGCGCTCACTGGTCTATGTAACGTTCGACGTATTCCATGCAGTCATCTGCGTACTTGCCCGCCGTCAGCTGGTGAGTATGCCAAACAAGATCGATGTCAAGGGTTGGCACGAAGAACGACGCCGGTGACGGCGCCATCAGGTCAAGGAATCTAACACACGATAGTCGAGTGAATACACCACTCTAATCAAGACAACGACTTGAGCGGCGTACGCATGGTAGCGCGTGATCGCGTGCACGAGCACGACCTCGTCTATTGGCTTGTCGAAGTACCCCGGAGCTGTCCACCCAAAGTAGTGCATCTTGGAAGTGAAGGAGCCCTGCCGGATGACCTGCGCGTGACCACAATAGCAACAGGTAACGGATCAGTGACATTCATTCGACAATAACCGAGGATGTCAGAGAACGCACAGCGCTTACGAGGTCTATTGAGAATGGGCTATCGTCTGTGTAAGCACTCAGAATCCTGTTCAACCTGAAGTTGAGGCGCCTTTTGTCAGTCATAGCCCCGATATCATATGCCATGATACTAGACGAACATGCGTTTGAGCAGACCTAGAGCTCTCTGAGGCATCGGTCGCAGGGTATCGTGAACGTTGTTAATGGAGTGGTCAAAATCTTCCTTGATCTTGCGTCTCCATTCTTCGCGAGTGCACTAGAACAACATCATACGTTTGTGAGCACCTGCATCAAAGCCTGCCGCCGGACAATAAATCGTGCAACTTACTGCTTTTGGTTGGCGAAACTGGTCGATGTTCACAATCCGGTCCTTGATTTGCCTCGCACGCTTGATGTACGCCAGGTCGGTAGGACTGCGCAGCGTGCCTCTGGATCGGGTCATGTAAGTCGTCAGGGCTAGTTTACACAGAGTACACTACATACGGAAGATATGCGTCCATAGTTGCATCGGGATCATTGTGATCCTTGACCAAATCGCTCGCGAGTTTATCCAATGCCAACGCGGGTTTGTCGATCGCCAACGAGCAGCATGAGCACGTCAGTTTGAACCCTTGTTGGGCGAATCCGCGGCCGTCTTCGCCCAAGTACGCTATAGTAAGTCACATCTTGAGAACTTCGTTGAATTGACAATATGAGACGCCTCTTACGTGCAGCGTTAGGTTGCTCGCACCTCGGACAGATGACGTCATGGTGCGGGAGGCGCTTCAGAGCTCTATCGGGTCGAACGGTGTCCCTGTCTCTGCAAGCCACGAACGCTTGCGTTCCTCAGACGGTCGATACTTGGCGGGATTGCCCATGACAACCTGGCGGTTGCACAGCGAGATCAACAATTGTACTCGGCACAATCTACAAGCTATCCGCAGGTGCTCACCAGTGCAGGTAACAATCTGTCATTCAAAGCGCGAAGAGTTCGCAGCGCGGATACGCGCAGACAATCGTCCCCGTACCATCTGCGACATGCATATTCTGAGGTAAGCGGAAATAGCATCTGCGGAAAGAACGCACGCGGGGTTTAGCATGTAAGCGTGCCATACCATTAGCACGTCGAGCGGTGGCGCTTCCGCGTGAACCCAAGACTCAGTGTCTTGATTCGCCGTTGCGCATTTCGCCCAGCGGTGGAACCTAGTGAGGCGTAAATATTGAAGGTGGCCCTAGATACGCAGACCCGGCTCACTTACCTCTCCACGGCTAGGCAGACAAACCATACCCACCTGCGTGACTTCTGCTCGGTAGAATCAAGCCCCCTTGCGAGAACAGGGAGGTCATCTTCAAGACACGTCTCCACGCGTTGCTCTAGGGCTTTGAATGCACCTAGCAGGCTCAAATGAGCTTTGACATACGTGATGTCAACGAGAGGCTGCGTGATCGTATGTGAGCCTATTAGGAAGGCCGGGGGGAAGCTGCCGTTCGCTGTTCCTGGGGCACCGACATAACTGACATAACGATTAGGCATACTGAACCCGGGGGACCTCCGTTCTGTCCGAGTAGATTTGTCAGATGAGTGGTAAGAGCACAGTGAGAGCAGAGCGAGGCGGAGCCCTTGCCAGTCGGTGCTTATGTAGTCCGAGGTATGCTCAGGCTGTGCGAAGTATCAATTGGTGACGCATTTGCGTGACAGCTGAGCGTCCCGAACGACAGAGGCTCCAAGTTCGTGGAGGCGACGTCCCTCGATTCGCATTGCCTACATGACAAGGAAATTGCCAAACGGAAGTTGGCAGTGTTCGGAAGATATTGTGATGTAGTGGGACTAGGCTAAGGCAGTCACCAGCGTAAGTTACTCACATTGAACCTCATCGCATTGCCACGTAGGGCCGCGTCGCAGGCGCGCTCGCTGTTAACATCACGTGATCGTGAATTTCCCCAAGCATGGTCCTTCAAGTTCGTGAGGAAGCACTGATGGAATAGAGCTGCACGCATATACTTCTTCTGCCGCTATGCCCGGTAGTATTATTGTCATTAGCTTATGTGAATTATGAGTAGTTATACTCGGGTTTGGAGCTCAACTGCCGCCACAGCCTGAGCTTCCTCCACCTCCGCCACCGCAGCCTGAGCTTCCACCTCCGCCACCACAACCTGAGCTCACTCCTCCGCCTCCGCAGCCTGAGCTCCCTCCGCCGCCACCTGAGCTTGCTCCTCCTCCGCCACACCCCGAGCTTGCTCCTCCGCCACCGCAACTCGCGATCCCTCCTCCACTACTGCCGCAGCCTGAGCTCCCTCCACTTCCACCGCAACCCGAGCTTCCACTTCCACTTCCACCGCAACCCGAGCTACCACCACCTCCCCCGCAGCCTCCTCCTCCACACCCTCCTCCACTGACACAGGTGCCAGCAGCACAATTTCCGGTACTCTGCACGTGTACGTCGTGAGCAAACACACATCAATCATGGAGCACGTCAAGACTCACTGCAGCGCACTGGTTCTGATTGACCGAAACGCATGACGCGAGAGGCAGCAGGAAGAGCGGCACCGGCGTCAAGAATGCGATGTAGTGCGCCTGACCACGTTTGTACTGCTCCTGGCTGAGCTTGCCGCTGTTCATGAGCCGCACATCACGCTGGCGCCGCTCGCGCATCTTCCGCTCGCGGAGCTCCCTTTGGCGCCGAAGCTGCGCCGCCTTGTTTCTGTTGAGCGCGCCGTTCAGGTGGACCTGGACGGCGTTGTGCTCGCTTGCGTGCGTGGCGGGCGGGACGTCAGGATGTGCCAGGGGACGCAAGCTAGATGGCTGCTCTGATCGTAAGTGCAGAAGCCGTTGGAGCTTGTCGCCGATGGTGTCTCCAGGGAGCGGGCAGCCACAATAGCTGTATGGGACGCCGAAACGTTGCTGCGCAGCGGCGGTAAGCCGTCGGTCTGCGAGGTATATTTCATTCAGACGTACCTGCCAGGCCCTACATGTGATGTCAAATGCATTCGCGAGACGGTTCTCTTCCACTTTGTCGTCGCTGTGTTGACGATCCGCGAATCAAGACGTCGTGCTTAGCCTATGGCAACCCGCACTCACTGGTCTATGTACCGCCCGACATATTCATACAGTCGTCCGCATACTTGCCTGCCATCAGCTGGTGTGTGTGCCAGATCAGATCAATGTCCAGGGTCGGCACGAAGAACGAGGCCGGCGACGAAGTCATCATGTCGAGGAATCTAAAAACAGATTCGTTGGATATTAGGATCACACAGTGCGAGTGCGACGAGCAGGACGACATACGCGTGATAGCGGGTGATCGCATGCACAGAACGACCTCGTCTATCGGCTTGTTGAAATACCCCGGGGAGGTCCATCCGAAGACGTGCATCTTTTGAGTAAAGGACCCCTGTCGAATGACCTGAATAGGATAGGATCACGATTACTCTAAGCAACGATGACTGGACGTACAGCGCCAACAAGATCTATCGAGAACGGACTATCATCCGTATACGCACCAGAATCCTATTCAGTCTAAAGCCAAAAGTATGAAGGGTCAGCCTGTAGTTGGCATCACGACGGGGAACGAACATGCGTGTGAGCAAACCGATCCTGCCCGACATGATCGCAGAGTTTGGTGGACGTTGTTGATGGTGTAGCCGAAGTCCTCATTGATATTGTGTACCCATTCTTTCTGCGTGGACTGTAATAACATGAATGAGCGGTCGTGGCACCGATATCAGATTCAGAGAGGGAACCGCGTTTGAACTAACGACTCTCTTACCCCTTTTGGCCGATGAAACCTATTGAACTGCACGATCCGGTCCTTGACCTGTTTCGCGTGTTTGGTAGAAGCCATATTCGTCGGGCCGCGCAGCGTGCCTCTGGATCAACGCGAATGGTTCGTTAGGGCTGTTGACTTCGTCCAACAAGCTGCACGTACGGGAAGTAAGCGTCCAGCTTTGCATCAGCGCTGTTATGGTCCTTGACCAAATCTCGCGCGAGCTTGTCCAATGCCAGATCTGACTTGTCAATCGGCAGTGAGCATTGCGAACACATGAGCATGAACCCCTGCTGGGCATAGCCAGTGCCCTCTGCCGTTAAGAACGCTGTAGCTTATGCTGTCAGTATCACGGCTCATCGACTCTCGGGACGATCTCTTACGTGCAGTGTTGCGTTTATGGCATCTGGGACAGATGACGTCGTGATGCGAGAGGTCTTTGAGAGCCTCTATCGGATCGAACCATGTCCCTGTGTTTGCGACCCATGTGCTCTTGCGCTCTTCCGATGGTTGATACTGGGCAGGGTCACCCATGGCGATCTAGAGGCAAAAATCAGCAAATTGGTTCGCAGCGTGCAAATGCAGTGCATCATCCAAAACTTACCACCGCAGGTAGTAGGCAATCATCCAGAATATGGAGACTTTGTAGCCTAGGGATGCGCAGGCAATCTTCCGCGTACCATCTTCGGTATAGTCTGAGATAAGCCAGAGAAATTGCCAACGTGCGGGGGAAGACTTACGTGGGGTTCAGCATGTAGGCATGCCATACCATGAGCACGTCGAGGGGTGGCGCTTCCGCTTTGACCCAGGACTCGATGTCTTGATTGGCATTTACATGTTTCGTCCAACGGCGGAACCTTGCGAGGTGTGAGTAATGGCTGAAATGAAAGCTGATTGGGCTACAGTCCACCTGACTCGCCTTTCCACTGCCAGACAGACGAACCACGCCCACCTGCGTGGCGTCTCCTGCGTAGAATCAAGGTCCCTCGCGAACACCGGGAGATCCTCCAGAGGACATGCCTCCACGCGTTTGGCGAGAGTATTGAATGCGCCAAGCAAGCTCAAATGTGCCGTCACATACTCAATGCCCACGAGAGGTTTGGTAAGACTATGCGACCCGATCGGGAAGGCTGGAGGAAAACTACTATTGACCCCTCCGGAGGGGCATACATCACCGGCATAGCGATTGGGCATAATAGCCTTCTGTTGTGCTGGCGATTAGAAGACAGAGGTAATAAAGAGCAGGGAAAGCTAGCGTAGCGAGGTACGCTGTCAACCTGTGCTTAAGTAGGACCGCATGTCTGCGGGACATGTCAAAATCACAGCTTTTGTCACTTGCGCGACAGGCGGGCGTCACAGGCTTCAGTCGTGGAAGCCATGTAGTCTTCACAATTGTTCGGATGCTGGGAAGTAGGCAGTGTGCATCTACACAATAGCCTGGGAGGTGGAAATTGAACAGGTTACAGGACGTACGACCGCTCAAGTTTGAGGATGAGAGTGGATGAGAGCGACTCATAAATTCATTGGCGCGCGATACCACTAATACACGTGACCGTGACCTACAGTCATACCGATTCATACGTTGACTCAAACTACAATTGATTTCACGCCGTCTTTGTATGTAACTTGAACAACCATAAAGCCTCCTATATCCCGAAACAAATCATCGACAAGGCAAATTAGCTTCCACCTCCACCACAGCCTGAGCTTGATCCTCCACCCCCACCGCCGCAACTTGAACTACCGCCACCACCTCCGCACGTAGAGCCGCCCCCACCCCCGCCACAATTACTGCTGAGTGAGAGTGAGAAAATACCATTGACAGCGTCTCCAAGTGATTGTGCCCTTTCTGACGAGATCGGTTCACCACCCGCGCTGCACAGGGAGAAGTTTCCGCGGGCACCACCGCCGAATACCGAGGGGCTGGCGCTGCCGCCGTCTGCATTTGCACATACAGATCCGTTGTACCACCCCGCAGAAGAGCACACCCCAGCGGCACAGGTCCCTGCACCCTACGTCAACGAGCGAAACCTCCGAGTCAGGACACTCGCCATCTGCGATGTGAGACAAGACGGTAACTCACCGCGGAGCATTGGGGCTGGCCGCCAACCGGGACGCACGCCGAGATAGGCTGTATGAACGGCACAGGTGTTAGGAATGCGGCGTAGTGGTTTTGGCCACGCTTCAACAGTTCCGGGTCGATGTCGCCTTTCTGCGCGCGTCGGGCGTCGCGCTCACGTCGGTAGTTCATCTTCTGCTGGCGTAATACTCTTTGGCGATGCAATTCCGCTGCCCGGCCACTGTCGAGCGCGGCGTTCAGATAGACCTGAACGGCATTGTGCTCGCTTGCGTGCGTTGCAGGCGGGATGTCAGGGTGTGCCGGGGGGTCCAAGTTCAACGGCTGCTCCGAGTGTTGACTGGACACGAACTTGCGCGTGAGGCGTTGGAGCTTGTCGCCGATGGAGTCGCCGGGAAGAGGGCAGCCACAGTAGGTATACGGGACCTTGAAATGTTTCTACGAATGATGAGCAATCATTGATAGAGAAGCCTAGACCACAAACTCACTTGCCAGGCCTGACAGGTAATGTCGAACGCATTCGCCAGCCGGTTCTCCTCCACTTTGTCATCGCTGTGATCATATCAGTCCACCGCCCAGCCTTAACAGAGCCTCCGGAACTCACTGGTCTATGTGCCAGCCTACGAACTGCTTGCAGTCATTTGAGTATTTGCTCGCCATCAACTGGTGAGTGTGCCATACGAGGTCGATATCGAGGGTCGGGACAAAGAGTGAAGTTGGTGACTGTGTCATCATGTCAAGGAAGCTTCATGGCATCTCATTTGTCAGATCCCTTCGCAGCCACAATGTCCAATACAACGCACGCGTGATATCGGGTGATCGCGTGCACCAGAACGACCTCATCGACCAGTGTTTCGAAGTACCCCGGTGCTGTCCAGCCAAATGCATGCATCTTGTTCGTGAAGGATCCTTGCCGAACGACCTATGTGTTGGTACTCATGAGCATTCTTTGCCTCCTTCGCCTCATTACACCACGGAAGGACTTACAGCGCCAACAAGATCTATGGAGAATTGACTGTCATCGATATACGCACTCAGGATTCTGTCCAGCCTGTTGAGTGAAAATGACGCGTAAGGTTCAATTTGAACACTTGTAGAACTCGCACTTACATGCGCTTCATAACGCCCATGCTGGCCGCCGCGCCTCGAGCCGCGTCGCGGAGGTTATTGATCGAGTAGCCGAAGTCCTCTTTGATCTTGAACCTCCACTGATCCGGCGTGTACTACAGCAATAGGATAAGCGGCTCCATCCCGGACGACATTGCTCAGTATCTGCGAGCTCGATACTCACTCCATTCGGCCGACGCAGTTTGTCATACTGGACTATGCGCTCTTTGATCACTTTCGTGCGTTTGGTCATGATGACATCTGTCGGACTGCGCAATGTACCACTGGGTCATGTTAGCGAAGGCTCTTCATGGACTCGTCATCTTCATACTTACGAGAGATAAGTATCCAGCTTCGCTTCAGGGTCATTGTGATTCTTGATCAAGTCCCCGACAAAATTGTCCAGCGCAAGAGCGGGCTTGTCGATTGTGAGTCGACAGTCGTTGCATGCCAGCTTGAACCCTTGCTGTGCGTAGCCGGCGCCCTCGGTGGTCAAATACGCTGCAGCGCGCGTCAGAACTAGACTAGGATCGCCAGATCACCTCTTACGCGCAGCGTTGGCAGTACCGCACTTCGGACAAGTTACATCGTGCTCTGTGAGGTGCTTCAGGGACTCCATGGGATCGAATGGAGTGCCCGTCTCGGAAAGCCATGCGTCTCTGCGCTTCTCTGATGGCTGGTATTGTGCCGGGTCGCCCATAGCGATCTGGAGGTTGCACAGCGAGGTCAACAACATCTGGCCTGTCACGGTATACACGCGAGAAATTCATGTAGGCTCACCACTGCGCGTAGTAACCTATCATTCAGAGCATGGAGACTGTACAACGCGGGTACACGTAGACAGTCCTCCGCATACCATCTATAGTGGTCTCAGTGGTCGTTGCCTGATGGACTGTATTACGGCGTACGTAGGGTTCAGCATGTAAGCATGCCACACCATGAGTACATCAAGTGGGGGTATTTCCGTTTCTACCCAGGCGTCGACATCCTTGTTGGCTGTCACGCACTTCACCCAGCGCCTGAACCTGGTAACCGTCAGGAGCACAGAGTAGACAAGCGAAGAGTAGCACGTACCTCTCCACAGCCATGTAGACGAACCACGCCCATCTGCGCGGGCCTCGGGAATCGTATCGAGACCGCGCGCGAGCTCCGGCAGGTCCTCCTCGGGACACGTCTCCACGCGCTTGCTGAGGGTTGCAAACGCGCCGAGTAAGTTCAAGTGCGCCTTCACGTATTCGATACCGACGAGCGGATTCGCGATAGTGTGAGGACCAATCAAGAAAGCAGGGGGGAAGCAGGCGCGGAGGATGCGCCACCCTCATCATCAGACATAATGAGTATTCGTTAAATCGGGCAGTGTTGGAAGGAGAGGGACCTTCAGTTGAGCGTCAAGCTTTTAAGTACAACTCATGATGCCTGTGGAGAACATCGCTGCCTAGCCGTGTTGGGGTGACCGTGTAGATGCTCCGAAAGAAACCGCTGACTCGGGTGACAGATAGTACTGGTAGTTCATAGTTGACATGACTCGAATGATTCAAAGACGACTTAGCAACAGCAAGCGAAGTGATACCTGTCGAACAGAGTTTCGGCAGACGCTATGTGGATGTCCTAGAAGTGCTGTGATCAAGCTGTGGACGTCGCGGCCACGTCGCGGCGCGTGCTTAATGAATGCACGTGATCGCGAGTGCTGCCGCCATTTGGCAGACGTGTCGCGCACGTACTGGCTACTCGATCGCACGCTGAGCTAGTACACAAGCTACATACATACGTTTTGACACAGCGCCACAGTGACGCACGTCTCCTGTTTCTACATACCATCTCTACCACATTTTACCCAGCTGCAGCAGCGCCACCGAACATGTACAGCACCACCGAACAAGCGATGGTCTAACAGACATACACACAGTAACCCATCCCCCGTAGCTCATCTCGCAGGACATTGACCAGTACCGCAGGAAAAGATATTGCATTCACATGTGCAGCAATAATAATGATAGCATCGCCTCGGACGCAGCCCGAGGACCCAGAGTGGTACGCGGCGGCTGCAACACCGCTCCGTCGAGGATCGGGCGGGCCCGCCCGTGCAGCAGAGTATCGAGGTATGTAGCAACCGTATAAGCGAGCAAGCGACGTCTACGCGCGCCCACGCGGGGACTGGTAACTTGTAAGTAAGGAGACGTAAGGAATTGCGCTATCTATAGCTATGGACACTCATCACCGACGTGAACAAGAGAAGCAGATGCGGGTGCCCGGCCGAAGGTCGGTGATAAATAGCAAAATCAGTAGGACATCAGGTATACGAGACTAGAGCTAGGTGCGCGCTGCATGAGGCGAGTTGCGGGGGTCAGAGGATGCGATGCGGGTTTAAATGAAAACTAGGTACGGTGCGGACGTCGTTAACGGGGAACGAGAGACCATGCGAGGTGCATCTACTGGTAGACAGAGATGTAGTTGATCTTCCACTGCGCGTCTGTGGAACAAACGAAGTGTCAATTTTCGCGTCCTCACTAACGCCGTAGACACGGGCGGCACGCACCGACAAAGTTCGTCGCGTTGGCGACGGCGTCCTGGCACGTACCAGGGCAACCCGAGGCAGCGTACGCCGGGCCTGCCCAGTCACCGCAGATCGTGGTGTCGATGACAATGGAGTGGTCGTAGAAGTGGCTGGCCATGTCGCAGCTGGTGCTAGGGAAGGCCGCAGCCGGCGTGCCCCAGCTGGTCGGGTCGGGGTTCTTGTTCGTGATGTCGGAGGGAATGGCATTGCGCTGGAAGTACCAGACAGTGATGCCATCCGTGTTCCAGAGGTGCGCAAAGACACCTCCACCCGCACCATTGAAGCCCGCGCCGAAGGAAGTCGTGTCATCCTGCTGGTAGGCACAGCCAGCATCGTTGTCGTTGGAGCTAGCGCACTGCGTGCCTAGAAGATGGGAAGTGGTGTTGGGCGAGCCGCTAAGCGTGCAGCCATCACCGGAGTGAAGGGTGATCTGATTCTGCGTGTTACGATTGACACCCTCGATGATATCGACCTCGCCGCCCTGGGGCCATGTGGCAGTCGCGCTGACCGTCCAGTACGCGGGCCAGGTACCGCAGCCAACGGGCATCTGGGCAAAGTCGGCGATGAAGAGACCGGAGCTGTAAGTCTTCTCCGAGCTGATGCGGACGGAGTTACGCGTGCCGCCGTTAGCCACGGTTTGGTTGGTGTCGACAGCAAGCGTGGTCACGTTGTCGCAGTCGACGGTCGCAAGACCACTACCGATAGCAGCGTTGGCATCGAGGTAGGTGACCAGGCCCGCCGTCGGGTCCGAGTCGCTGAAGAACGTCCAGTTCCTGTGACACGTCAGATACGGAGTAGTGTCGCAGGGAGAAACGCGACTTACAGGAAGTCCTCTCCCTGGTAGTGGTCCTCGATGGTGTAGTTGGCCGCACGGCGCATGTAGGTCGGCGTGTGGGCGACACTGGCGTGGCGGCGACGGAAGGAGTTGTCATTGTGTAGGCAGACGCGGTGAGCGGGAGCGCGAGGACGGCGGCAGCGAGTGCGTGGATCATGATGACTCTACGTTCCAAAGGGAAGGAAGGGACAAAGGAGGGAGGCCTTTTAACGAGAGACGGGCCAAGGAGGGGGTGATGAAGGAAAGAGAACGAGGGAGGGCGCCTCTTCCTGATAGGCCCGCAGCATTTATCAGGTCTTTGCGCGTGCCCCTCGGCCGTCACCGCCTCCTGCCCCCAAAGGCAGTTCCTCCCACGATATGCACATGCTTTGTCCCCTCCTCGCCTTGGGTTTGCCTTTCATTGTCTGTGCTTCTCTTGTTCGTTTTACACGCGATGGGTTGACCGTGTCTCGGCCCACGTTTGCTCGTTCACGAAGGCAAACTCCCTCATTCAGCGTACAACCCTCGCTGGTCAGTGAAAGCGCGGCCAGCCGTGTCCGAGGGGACGTGCCGCTTGATGGAACCACCTGCCGGTGCTGTGTCGCTGCCAGCATGTGAGTCGCATGTAAGTGCAAGTTGTCGACAATCACTTGTCGGGGAATTGGAGGCGCAAAGCAAACGGCATCTTGGCTTCTCCTCAACACCACGACGGAGTGCATTGCCCGACGCGACGCGTTTGGGGGTGCCTGCTGTCCGCTGGACCGTGGCGGTGAAAAACTTCAGTCTGAGACGTCCAGCCTGACCGACACCGTTTGTTGCCGTTTCAGACAAACATATCGCAGTGCAACGTGCAACCACGCGCAGGTAGTCTAGATCTCGCAGCTCAATCTCCGGCGCGTCTCTGCGCAGATCGATCATTCCGATTGCATTCACCTCCGGCTCCGTTCAACGTTGCGGATGGCAACGTTGACGGCAACGTAAAATGAAAATCCCCGGAACTCTGCAGGTCGCTCAACTTGTAGGCAGCGACGCAACGATCTCAGTACGTCCTTACATCGTGGTGCACAGTGTTGCTGCTGAGGGCCCCCGAACAGTTTGTGTATGCATACCGGGCGGCTACTGCGGAGGCCCGTCGTTAGGGACTGGGACGGTAGCTGGCCCGCGTCATGCGTGCCTCACTGCAACTCATATGGCAGAGGAGCTTTGCGAGAACCATGACACTTCCCCTCATGCTTGTATATTCTGCCTGAAGGGCGGTTGATTCATACAGGACGCTGCTGACATATTCATCATCGCTGTTCTTCTGCTGCCTTGACTTGCCCAACGACTTACGCCCAGAGACGGTTGCATGATGGTGCTCGCCACGCATGAATTGCATTTACTGACAGTTGACAAATCCCACCGTCCATTGTACTTACGGTAAGACACTATAAAGACTTACTTACGCATTGTATTATGTAGTGTTATGGGCGCTTTCTGCAATTCATACACAAACACGCTACTTGCACGCTACATAGGCATTGTTTTCGGCGCCCACCACACTCAACCGTCCGACCGGTATACTTTGGTAGTGGCACTCACCGCGCATTCTGCCTCAATGAATTCAGCTCAAATGGACGGTGGTAGGATTTCATCTGGTTCCCACCAAGCACGCCATGGCATACAAGAATGCAACTTTTGTGCGCGAACAGGTCATCGCGCCTGATCTGAGTAGCATGTAGATTGACCGAGACACCGTGACACAGGCCTGAAAAGCAGGACTGAAGTCGGAAGGCTGTTCGCCTGCTCGAGCTGCAAGCTGGCTCTATACTGCGTAAGTCAGGTCTTGTTGCCGCACACGTCTGATCATTGACCCCCGAGTAGAGCCCTGAATGCCAGAAGGCCGGCTGGAGCTACCACAAGCACGTCTGCAAATCCATCAAGGAGGAGCGCTCCCAGCTCAAAGAAATGGACAAGATGTTCCTCTCCGCAGGGGCCGAGACACAGGCGTTCCAGGCGCCCAACTCCGGCGCCCCTCTGCCGTCCGTCATCATGGACGAGTCACTGCGGACAAACCGCGTTGTGCGAAGCGCTCACATGGTACTTACATTGTAAGGGCGCAAGAGGCGGCAGGAATTAAATTTCCGTACACAAGGCCGGTTTTTTCCGAAACTTCAATATCTGGACCCCCCCACCCTACCACCCCCCTGTATATTATTATTTTTCGGCGGTCCTGCCTCCAGACCACCCCCCCACCCTCGTTCAATCAGTGAAAAAAGTGCCTTTATATTGCTGAAAAATCTACAAGCCACGTAGAGTATGTGAACACTGCTCTATGACATCCGCACCTTCTTCGACGCCGTGTGAGTGGCTTAGTGAGAGCGCAGGCGGAGACGTGCACACGCAGATATGCAGGTACACATATGACCGAGTTGGCAGACAATGAAGCAGAGTGGTGATCAGGCAGGCCGGTAGTCGGCAGGCGGGTGGCATTGTAGGTGCCAGACAGGCGAGCATGCAGGCGAACGAGCCGGGAGATTCATTTGCAGCTAGATGGGCGAGTGTGCGGGCAGAAAAGCGGGCGTGCGCGCGAGTAAGCGAGTGCACAAACGCACGGTCAACTATTCGTACGGGTGTGTGCCTCCAAGCTGTTCAGCACAAGGATACGTAAGCAAGGGTATGGGCGAGCGGGCGAACGTGCAGGAGAGCATGTGGATTGGCGGGCAGGCATTTGAGCGGGTGAGTGGACGCGCACGAGGGCAGACAGACGAAATTTCGGGTTGACGGTCACTAGCTACCAGTTGTGCCAGATGGCAGACACATACCGAGGCAAATGAGAATCCGGAAGAGGGCATGCCGAGTAGGTGCAGACGAGAAAGTATGGGTGAGAAGGACCAGAGGCTGGGGGGATAGATAGAGGACAAACCGAATAGCGAGCTCAAATGTGCCGTTCCGGTTATGCCGCTACACACCAAACTCGCTTGATGAACTATCCAGACTGTAAAGTGCACTAGGTCGCAGACGGACGGCGAGGGACAGACCTTTGAATCGCTACTTGCCGCACACACAACACTTACTGAAAATACGTGCGTCGCCTTCTTGAGCATGCCGCGCCCGATAAACGAGCTCGAAAACCTCACGCATCCTTGTTTGCGTGCTCGTGTTTGGAGTTGTCGCACAACGGTACGTCGAGAACACTGTTACAGTGTTAGCACGCGCAAGGGCCCGGGGTGAACGTTCGAGTCTTTAGCTGAGGACGTCTTCCCGTGAAAGGAAACGGTAGATAGCGGTAAAAGTCGCTTGCGTCCAGCTGAGGAGGAGCAGTGGAAAAGACGGCGACCTAGTAGTAGTACGCGACGAGAGCGCACTGTTGCTTCCACCGCAGACGCACCCGCCACAAGCTCAGCCACACACTTGAGGTTCCGCCTGCGATCCACTACGCACATTTAGACTGCGATTGAAAATACCGACCTCGAAAAGTAGACTAGCCAATGGGCCACGTGCAAAAAGGGTTGTCTGCGTGTGACAGGAAGCTAATTTACAACTAATCCGACACTATCGACGGTCTACTTCGACCGAGTTGGGGAGGGTATGACGGTTTTTTCGACCTTCTGGTATAAAATTTCGGAATCGCCCATCCAAGGGTCGACCACCCTCCCCACCCCCGGGGGCCTTGTGTACCCGATCTGCCGATCCGCCGCCTCTTGTAAGGGCGTGTATATTTTTACGGCTCTAAGTCGGAGCTCCTAACATAGGGAATGGGATCCCTTTGTTCGGCCTAACATTTTGAATGTTCCTAGAATCGGGAATGTAAGTGTTATGTTCTTCCTATGTTCCGAAATCGTGCCATGTTCTAGGAATGTACTTCCCATGTTAGGGAAGTTCACTTGATGGCTTACTAATATACACGCCCTTGCAATGTTAGGCCTATGTAAGCGCCTCGCACAATCCGGGTTGTCCGCAGTGAGTTCTGCGCGTTCGCGGAGAAGTTCAAGCTGCCGCTCATGGAGGCGGGGTACAACGGGATGCGCGTCGCGAGCGACCCGTCGTTCTCGGGGCACGCGATGCTCCTCGTCATGCTCGACCACCACCCCGCGCGCGCACAGTCGTCGCGCATGTGGGCCCGCTTCCGGGTGCTCTACACGAAGCCGATGACGTTCGACGCGCTCCGCGCGGAGTACGGCAGGGAGAACACACAGGACCTCATCGAGCGTTTGGAATGGCTCCGCGACATACGGTCGGGCGCGGCGGACTACGTCGCGTCGGTCACCATCCTCCTCTCGTGCGACTGCCACGTAATGTCCCCGCCCGTCCCGCTGCACTACCCCGTCCCGATCGGGGTCACGCCGGCGTATATGCGTGCGGTCAGGGTCAGCGATACCTGGGAGCAGAAGCTGAAAGAGATCGTCGAGAAGATCTCTGGCAAACAAGTCGTCGTCGGTAACAAAAGTTAGCCACATGCAGACTCTGGCGGCGTTACTGGCAAAACAAGGTAGTCCACAAGATCATGCGCGATGCGCGGATCAGGATTTGGTGGGATGGCGTGACTGATGGCTAGCTGGGTCTCTCACATATGGACCTACACCGAGGCGGCTATCCGAGTGCAGATTCAGAGACGGTCCCGGCGCGAGGATTGTAACACTAAACATTTTGCTGTGGCACAGCTGACTGATGATTGCTCAACATGTATTACCTGTACGCCTGTATCATGATGATCCCTATGTACTATGATGTACCATCCGATCCAAACTATCAATACCAATCTATTCAGAACTGCGTTTACCTGATACACCGAAATCTCTCATCATGCCTCCACTCTCGGTGCCGTATCATCATGATCGTCAGGGGGCGGTTTGACGATACCACTTTGTAGCAGGTCCGCCACGACAGAATCTGTCGTCCATCCAGCGCCCCTATTAAGTCGATCAGAACTCGCGGACGATTTGTATGCGCTGAGCTGGCTTACAGGACACTTTTGACAACGTCTCGCATGACGGCACCGCTCGCAATGTCAATTTTATCCACACCCGCCAAGCCATCTGCGCGTGTGGGTCCGAGATTGAGGAGCAAGACCGGTTTGTGCAGGTCCATAGCGTGTCGGAGTAGTCTGTAATACGGGTGTGTTGATGAATGTGCGTGAACATGACGGACCGCCACCAACCTGAAGGCGGAGAACGTTGCCAGCGTAGTGCCCATGAGAAGAAGACGATCACATCTCTCGACATCGTGGAATCTACATCGCGCCATACGAAGATGAAGCTTAGCCCTCACACAGCATATCACAAATGCTTACGAGCGATCCCTGACTCCTTGGTGATTGATTCGCCGAAAAATATTACTTCTGGTTTTTGCTGTGACAGTGAACGTCGGATCGATCTCGGCGGACTACTCAACCAAGAAATCACGCACGATATTGTTATGTCTATGCTCCAGTAGGCATTCAGGACAGTCAGGTACGACGAACTCGTCGTAGTTGACGCCTTCCAGCACCACCTGAGGGAGTTATGCATGAGCATACCTTTTTGCGCGTATGCGGCATGCGGCGTAAATAAGTACTTACATCACCATCTGGGTTCGTACGCGGCTGTCTACCAGTCGCTTCAAGTTCGTCTGCGAATGCTTTCCATTCTGGATTTGCAACGGAGAGCTGCTGCTGGAATATATTTCTATCCGTTATGTGCCCATGCGCACACCGAACACTCTATGGGCACGTGTCAGAAAGAGAACACCATGGTTCAACGACAATTTGGTACCCTCAACCTCCCATGAAGTTCTAGTATGCGCTGGTCCATGCGCGTTGTGTCCCAGACATGGGCGATAGCTTTGTGGTGCAAGCCGTCCACGTTCTGCGTGATAACCTTGTTCACGACGGAGGTGTATTGCAGGGCTGCGAGAGCGAAATGTGTTGTATTCGGCTGCGCGTCGCGGACGGGAGGATAGCCGAGGTATGACCGTAGCCTTACTCATCTTGAGTGAGATGCTCCTGCAGGATAGGACGACCAGAGGAGCAGAGGGTGCACATACCAGTATCGTCGTCTGCGCAAGATTACCATGTGAATGAGAATTTCAGTGGGATGCGACGCAGTACGCACCTGAACGCTGCGCCCTTCGGCGAAGGATCCATGAGCTCATGGTACTGAATACGCGCACGCATGTCAGACTTCGCACTGGCAGCCAGGAAATGGTCTCAATGGACATACAAAGATGGGCCTGCGCAAGTTGCTGTCATTGTTGTACACAGTGTAAAAGCGACCTCACATACTTGTAGTTTGGGTTCAAGTACCTCCCCTTCGCGCCGCGGTACGCTCGGATTCCCGAGTCGACGCTGACACCCGCTCCGGTGACAACGGCTGCATTTCCTGGCGACAAGAAGGTCGCTATGCGTTCGACCGCTTCCGCAGGTAAGATTGCACGAGTCTGAGCCGCATTTGCAGACCTGAGGATGGCTTCGGGGATGTTTGGGACAGAGACGCGCATGTGATCCAAGCGGTCGAGGACAAGAGGAGATTGATCTACCCCGCAAATCTCTCCTCCGACCACCACGATGCTCAAGCCTCCCTCGCCGCCTTCGACGTTACACACACCCGGATGGCAGCACTACTCAGTCGCATTCTCGCCCTTCCATACCAATCGACTCGCAGTAGCATCTGCTGCCAATTACGGCCTCGTGGGGAATGGGCGACTGCACCTTGTTTCGCTCGGACCCGGTCCTGGCGCGCTCCCCGGCCTTGCGCTTGACAAGTTGTGAGTTGAAGGGGCTTCTTAACATCGCACTCTCTCACAGTCTTATCAGCTACGATACACAGGACGGCCTGTACGACATCGCCTGGTCGGAGATCCACGAGAACCAACTGGTCACCGCGTCGGGCGATGGCTCGATCAGACTATGGGACATCATGCTCAAAGTAGGCCCGGCAGCAACCTCTCGAAGGCCGCATCTCCGCTCACGATGTCGCAAGCACATCTAGGACCTGCCCATCCGCGCGTGGCAGGAGCACACGCGCGAAGTGTTCTCCGTCGACTGGTCCAACATCCAGAAGGACAGGTTCGTGTCCTCCTCGTGGGACGGCACCGTGAAGCTCGTACGCACCCCGTCTTCATCTCCGCGCCTCCGCACTCATTCGTGCTGCCCAGTGGTCCCCCGAGCACCCGCGCTCCCTGACGACCCTGCACGCGCACCAGATGTGCGTCTACCAGGCGCTCTTCTCGCCGCACCAGCCCGACCTCGTCGCGACCTGCTCGACGGACGGGAGCCTCAAGCTCTTCGACATCCGCGCGCCCGCGTACGCCGGCGGCGCGAACACATTCACGCGGCCCACGTCTGCCGCGGCGCTCACGGTGCCCGCCGCGGGCACGGAGGTGCTCTCGCTCGACTGGAACAAGTACCGCCCTTTCGTGCTCGCGAGCGCGGGTGTCGACAAGGTGATCAAGGTGTGGGACTGCCGCATGGTCAAGCTCGGCGCGGGCCAGGAGCAGGTCGGCGGGGTGTGCGAGCTCCCGCTCGTCGGACACGAGTACGCAGTGCGCAAGGTGCAGTGGAGCCCGCACCGGCCGGACGTGCTCGCGAGCTCGAGCTATGACATGACGTGCAGAGTGTGAGTTTCATGTTCGCTCGATGCGATCGATACTGATGCGGCTGCAGATGGTCGACGACGCCTCTGCCGACGGGCGGCCATATGCTTCACATTAACGACGCGCACACAGAATTCGTAGCTGGTTGCGGGTGGTCGCTGTACGACGAGGGCCTCTTGGCAAGTTGCGGATGGGACTGCAAACTCAATATGTTCCATGTACGATAGTGGATGGAGGCCCTAGTGAGTGTATCAATAATGTGTAAATCACCGTCCATTTTCGTGGACCACTACCATAAGCTAGAATTAAGCATATTCCAATGTCCTTGTCCCACAAGAATCGGAAAGTCAGCACGGTCGCAATTCTCTAATGATCTGTGACTGCACATTCTTCTCAAGTAACAATTGACTTGGCTCTCGGCTCGGGCAGTATCGGACATGACAGTGCATATATTCACGCACGGAAATCATGCTGCTCTGGCCTCGTGCTCGTATAACATCCGACGGTTGGACGCAAGGCCCGGAGAGTATAGGCTAGTGCACAGAACAATCCAGGGCAAACACTGTGCGACCCGCAGTCATAATGATCTTCCCACTCATCGTCAGCTACGGCTGGCATGAGTCCTTCGCCAACATCTTGAATGCCTGCATGAGTCAGTAGATTCTTATGTCCTCAGCTTCGCGCACACGCGCGTAGAATGTCTGCCGTGTAGAGTTGTTATGCATGATGGTGGCAGATATGCTACGACACAGTACATCGGTTCACTTCGAGCTACAAATGACTCAGTCGATGCGAAAACATAGAGGGACACACGCCGTGCGTGAGCGGTGTCGCATCGGTTACAGGTTTTCATGGGGGTATCATGAAGGTCGTCGAGCCTAACTAATAGTGATACAGGTGTACGGACACATTGAAAATCTCAATACACTGAGCTGCGTCATTCGCGAATTGTAGTGTTACAACCCCTGCACGGTGACTGACCCGCCCCACACCCGGTTGTCAGTCCACCGTGACAGACCAGAGCCAGTAATGCCTGAGCTGGCATATAGTCACGGGCTTCCGCGACTGACGACCCTAGCGAGCGCGGCCAGAGATTTTCTCCACGATATCCTTCAGCCTCTGCTCCCAAGTGTCACCGAGGCTGACGGCGCGCATATACGCCGGTGTGACCTCAATCGGGACAGGATAGTACAGCGGGACAGGCGGCGATATGACGTGGCAGGGGCACGAGAGGAGGATGTTCACGGAAGCGATGTAGTCCGCTGCACGCGACTGCATGCCGCGGAGGCTCACGAGACGATCGACGAGCTCCTGCATGTTCTTCCTCCCGTACTTGGCGCGCAGCTCGTCGAAGGTCATCGGCTTAGCGAAGAGCACCTTGAAACGCGCCCACTCGCGCGACGACTGTGCGCGCGCGGGGTGGTGCTCGAGCATGACGAAGAGCACAGCATGTGCCGAGAAGGACGGATCCGTGGCGACGTTCATTCCGTTGTAGCCAGCCTCCATGAGCGGTAGCTTGAACTTCTCCGCGAAGGCGCAGAACTGGTCCATGATGACAGATGGTGTCGGGGCGTCGTAATTGATGTCTTGGGGCGCCCGTAGTTTGCTCGCTTCGGAAAGAAAGAGTTGGTCCATCACTTTCAGTTGGGAGCGCTCCTGCTTGATGGACCTGCAGACGTGTTTATGAAAGCTCCAGCCGGCCTTCTGACATCCAGGGCTCTACTCGGGAGTCAATGATCAGACGTGTGCGGCAAAAGACCCGACTCACGCAGTATAAAGCCAGCTTGCAGCTTGAGCAAGCGAACAGTCTTCCGGCTTCAGTCCTGCTTTTCAGACCTAGTAAGGATCCAGAGTCCCAGTGTCAATCTATACGCTGATCGTCAGGCGCGGTGATCTGATCGCGCACAGAAGTCACATTCTTGTATGCCATGGCGGGCTTGGTGTGAATGCGACGGCACATTGGAATTCATCCCGAGTGATGAGGCCTTGAGGGTGTACTGACTTGAGGCACGAAGCGAAGTGTGAAGCCGCGGTGTACACAACGCGTTGGTGGCGTGTAATGTTGTGGCGTGGGAATCGCATTGAGTGTACAGACTCGCCGCCAGCTCGCCGCTACTCGCGACACCACTACTGGCAGACTTGCGCCAGTCCATCTAAAGTCATCTCATTCGCTGATCTCCAACTGCGTCGGTGTACACTTAAGTATCTTGAAACCAGTCTACTCTGCTTAAATTGAAAGTCGCAAACCGTATGCAAACCCACAGTCGTAATCCGCACTCCGTCGCCGTCACGAATACCTGCAAACACTCACCAATATCACACAATGTATCTGGGAGGTACAGACCGATGGCACAGAAGTCCACGACCAGCAACTCGGAAAGACTAGCATTGCTTGCGATCGTCATCCTCCAAAACACGAGGTCGCGTTGAGGGAGTTTCTACGGGAGACTATGCGGCGGCCATGTTCCGTTGAGATTCAGCATTGCCGGTGAGCAAGTACCCATGGACCAGGACCTGCGCTGCCATGCGAGCGACGTCATCAGGCTTACATAGCGGCATGCACGCGCCGTTCCTCCGTATGTCTCTCATAGAACACAGTACTTATATTGCATGCGATTTCCTAGGCTAGACCAGTCGCTTGCAGCCATTCGAGGTGAGTACTTGAGTGACAGCTTTCATGAAGGGTCGACTCTCTCACCAACTGCAAAAACTCCGCAGAACGGAGTTCCAGAAAGCCTAGAAGACATAGAAGACACTCTTTGAATGGTAGCGAGGCTGTGCAATGTGCACGGACTCTGAGAAGTCAGGGCTGGATCTTGAGAATTCAATCGGTGGGGAACACTCGGGGAATGGCATCCGGTAAGTATGTCGGCCGGGACAAATCCTCTCTTTGTCTACACACGTTCACGAATGTGCATTACCAGCTTTGTGAGCCCGTATAAGTTGTCAGACAAACAAATGAGCCATAGAATGACCGCAATTGGACTTCAGAGGACAGTGGACATAGATGCTGGTCATGAGTTCAGAGACGGTCCGAATCCCAGACTAAGCTGGGAAGCGCATTTCTGTGTGATCATCGCTGATTCAATTGGTCTTGAGCTTGATTATTGACGTCAAGACATAGGTCCCCTTCTCCTTCTCCTCCATTCATGTGAACGAGGATGACCCAGCGACAGGGATACGTTTGCACATGACCAGTCATGTACCGGTGAAGGTGAGCCGCCCCGAGATGTCAACTTAAGCAATGTCTGACAGCCTGGCTGGACGGCAGTGGACGAAGCGGACAGTGTCGAGGCGCATATACGGAGTCTCACGATCGATCAACGGTTTCCGTTGAACTCTGAGCTCAAGATTCGATCGCATCTCCCACGTGGATGAGTCTGGTACGTAGAATCCGAACCCTCTTCCTGCACGGCGCATTGCTAGCTGATCGCTGTTATGCCATCCCGCACTCTCACCAATACTGAGTGTGATTTTGCTGGACCTTCTGAGGAGTTCGTAGCCGTACAGTGAGCCTATAGCATGGCCGTCGATTACGGCAATGTTGGCCTTCCATAGCCGGCAAGATGGAACCTTCGTGGACCTTTCCGTCCCAACGACGCTGAACGTGGTAGGCTTACATTCGCAGATCGTGTCCTCCTTGCCGTGCCTATCTCTTGCCGACGACACACTCTTCGGTCGGAACCTGTCTGTCCCTCCTTTCCCACTTGCGATATTTCGAGCTAACAGTTTATCCGGACCAGAAACATCAAGCAAAATATGTCTTACTCGTTCGAAGCCCTCCTCGCTATGCACTGTTCTGGGTGTCGCAACGCCTGTGGAACCCTCTGTGAGTTGGACTCATACATGTCACCGTTTCACACTTGCGGCCAGGTCGACAAGATCATCCGCACCGAGGGCTACTCCTCTCCGTGGGAGGATTCACGAGCAAGCTTGTCTGAAATGAAGGGGCTGGGACACAGATGACTTCCTCGCAGGAACGATCGTCCATTCGGTGGCGGCTATGCAAATACAATGCGGCAACCTTTAAAGCCATTTCCCTCCACTCTACATTTCGGCTTTTCGGTGCCCTCCTGACGCTCCTTCTTCCTCTCCTCTTGATCTTCCTCCTGCCGTGCACTTGTTTATTCATCTTTCGACACTTGAGACCAGCCATGTCGATTGCAGAAATCGACACAGAGAAGGGCTCGAGTACTGTGGTTAAGTCCGCGGATTCTGCGCAGACAGCGTCCTTCCGGCGGATATCCAAGGAGGAGGCAACGATCGTGGAAGCGGAGCGCGACGTGCCCGACTCGGAGGTACAGCAAGACGAGGTGCCGCTGTACAACCCCCACATCGACGTGAGCGGCGTTGACGAGAAGGCGCTCCTCCGCAAGATGGACTGGCAGCTGGTGCCGTGGCTGTCATTCTTGTTTTTGCTTAGTTTTTTAGATCGGACCGCTGTCGGCAACGCCAAAGTACGTCTTTCCTGTCCGTATTTAGAGGCTGCTGAAACGAGCACCGGGTTTGCAGCTATATGGCATAGAACAAGCGTTACATATCAACGACACGCAATATCTGATCGCGCTTACTATCTTCTTCATTCCATACGCAGTCTTCGAGGTGTGTTTCTTTTGATGACGCACAAGTATGTTAATCACGCCGTTCGTACAGGTGCCCTCAAATATCGTCCTCAAAAGGTTGCGACCGTCTTTATGGCTTTCCTTCTTGATGTTTGGGTGGGGAATCATGATGGTGTGTACATTCAGTCCATGTCTTGAAGATCAGTACGCTGATACGAGAATGTGCAGACCGTACAGGGCCTTGTACATAACTACAGTGGATTGCTCAGTACGTAACTTGTCGGTTGACTGGTCTTTGTATGACTAACACAACTATCATTATCACCTTTTTGGACGGTGCGTTCATCTGCAGTCATGCGGTGGCTTCTGGGAGCCTTCGAAGCGGGGCTCTTCCCCGGCGTAACATACTACCTTTCATGGTACGCTAAGCGGCATCGCATCACGATACAGGATTCCGTTACTAATCATGGTCCTCACGTACTAGCTGGTACAGACGACAAGAGTTCGGCTTCCGCGCCGCAATCTTCTTCTCCGCGGCAACTCTCGCGGGAGCGTTCGGCGGCCTGCTTGCGGTACGTGACATATCCAGATCCCTCACACCCCCATTGCTAATTCCCTCCGCTCCCCTGCTGCAGGCAGGCCTATCGCAGATGGCGGGCGTTGGCGGGAAGGGCGGTTGGGCGTGGATTTTTATCATCGAGGGCCTCGTCACGGTCGTCGCGGGCGTGTTCTCGGTTTTCATCATCCAGGACTTCCCCGACACAGCGCGCTTCCTTACAGAGGCAGAGCGCACCTTCATCGTGCGCCGCCTCCAGGCGGACGGCCAGATCAGCGCGGCTGGCGAGAAGCTCAAGTGGAGTTATATCTGGCAGTCTTTGGCGGATTGGAAGACGTGGCTTGGGAGTGAGTGATGCAGCTCGGTGGATAGACTTGCATAGAATGCTAATCGTCTGTGGGTCACAAATCTTAGTGGCGTTGTATATGGGTAACGAAGGCCCGTTATACGCGATTGCCCTGTTTATGCCAAGTATCATCGACCAGGTGCGCAGATTTTCTGCTCATTCTGCAGCGTTTCTTTCTGACTGATAGCGTCCGCACAGCTCGGATACAGTGCGACACCCGCGAATCTGCTGACCGTCCCTGTCTACGTCCTTGCATGCATCGCCACGTGTCTAGTAGGCTGGCTCGCCGATCGTTATGGCAGGCGAGGTTACTGGAACATGTACGTCTGCAGCCTCAGTAGGCACGCGACCTTTGTGATTGACTGGTGTATGCTTTCAGCGGATGTATGGCCCTCGGCGGCACTGGATTTATCATCCTCATATCCTCGCGGAACGCAGCGCTGTCCTACTTCGCGGTGTACCTCGCGGCATGCGGGATATATCCCTGCGTGCCGAATGTCGTCGCGTGGATGTCGAATAACCTTGAGGGCTCGTACAAGCGTGGTGTGTCGCTCGGTATGATCATCAGCTGGGGCAACCTGAACGGCGCGGTCTCGTCAAATGTCGTGCGTAGTCCTGATTCTGTGCTCCCTGCCAATCAGCCGCTAACGTCCGTTACCCGCGGTTCGCACAGTACCGCGCACAGGACGCGCCTTGGTACACGCTCGGGCACGGGATCCTGCTCATCTACATCGGCATCTCGCTGATCTGTAGCACGGCGTTCATTATACTCTTCGCGCGCGAGAACCGGCGGCGCGAGCGCGGAGAGCGCGACGAGGTGATCAAGGGCGTGAACGAGGACCGCGACGACCTCGTGCGCAACGGCGTGTATGCGACCGTGGAGGAGGCGAGGAGGGAAAAGGGCGACACATGGAGTGGGTTCCGCTACCGCTATTGAGCGTGAATATGGTGCGTTGTGTATGCTATGACATGTGCGGTGTGAAGGGAAGCAGATGTAGCAATATCGACGGCGCGGGTCCCTCGCTGGTGAAGAGCGGCACGCTGCCTGTTGGAATGTATGAATATGACTCAGACGTTTGCGTAAATCATTATCTAGATACGCGACTGCCGCCACCAGGAGTGGCAAACACGCAAGACTCCGGACAGCGACTTCAAATCGCGTCAAAATCGTTCGTACCCATGCCTCGCGAACCTCGCGCTGCAGGCTATCATTAGTGTGAAGGCGGTATCCTCTTGAATGTCTTTCACCTAGCAAGGTCACGGTGGATGCTAGAACCTTGTGAGGTGTCGAACGGCGGAACGGAGTAGCCCAGGTGTCACTGAACATTGACAAGACTGGCAATTTACGGGTTCAAGTTCTTTGCTTCGCCACGCGTTTGAAAGGTACCGGAACGTGTACTCATGTTAAGTTGTTAACGGGCTAGAGTATCAACTTTTGACGTACGAGCAGACCGATGAACGTTCGGACGGGCGTTCCAACAAACCGGGCCTCGGCCCAGGCATCAACCGCAAGAAGTCCCTTTCGAAGGCGTTCTGCCGTGGAACGCGCAAGGGCACGAACTGGAGTCCTTTATTCAGGGCCCAACCGCGAGCTGTATTGTTACGGAAAATGTGCACCAGACCGTCCTGAGCTTGCGGGGTGCGAGTCGAGTCGGCATTGAGGCAGTTGCGTGCGTCGACGATTGACCTTGCCAGCTGTGTTCATCGGTTATGTCCTGCCCGAGCTGCCGTGTACGAGGGGCGCCTCACTCATCTTTCACTGAGAGGCCGTCTGGAGCAGTACTTACTAGACACGATCTGGACACGAATGCCGTGAACGCCGGTCTGAACACAGCCTTCATTACGAGACACGACGTGGGGGCAGAACGTTCTTGACAAAAAGATGAGGCCCCGCTGTCTCGAACACTGTCGTATCTGAACCGTTACGGTTCAGAGATGTTGGACGCCGATCGCGACGACAGTTCGACGAGCGAGCGCGCCTCCTCCTCCTGCCAAGCCCACGCGCGAACGTTTGAACGTTGACGCGGTCATGTGACGCGGGCAGACCTTGATCAATTCTTTTCCCCGCACAATACCCCAGTCCCCGCAGCTTGGCACCCCGCGTCGTGCATGCTCATCCAATGCCAATCAAGTAGTTTGGCCTCGCTTTCGATATGACCTGCACGGTATGATACTTACTGCTGCTGAGAGTTGCCACCAGTGACTGAGACACCCAGGTACCCGGATCTGAACGCCACCGCCAAGCCGGAGAAAGGAGGTGAGCTGCGGGGTATGGATGGGGTCGATGTCGCACCTGATAACAGCGCGCCTCGAGTCCCATGATGACAGAAATTCTCCGTTAGACATTTCTCCCGACACTGGGGCCGCAGAGCCGGATAGCGCGTCGAGCGATGACGGCCCCTCAAAGGGCTGTATAAAGGTCTCAAATGGACGCGCATCACTCCGACCGCCCCTACTCGGACCACCAGCACGCGGCTCTGCACGTCGCACAAACGAGTACGAACTTTGACGAAACCACGACCAGCGGAAGGAGAGATGGCGTCCCCGGACTTGGAAAAGGCGGCGAGGTCGTCCTCGCGAATCTCCGGCGAAAAGGCCCACGAGTCGCATATAGAACAGACTGCATCCGACAAGGAGGCGAAGGTGCACACCGAGGTGTTTAACGCCGATGTCGATATTTCCGGCGTGGACGAGCGCAAGCTCATGAGAAAGCTCGACCTCCATCTCGTCCCGTGGTTGTCGTTCCTGTACCTCCTCAGCTTCTTGGATCGCACGAGCATTGGGAATGCTAAGGTGAGTCATACGCGCCCGTGCTGGAATGGTCGTGGACGAGGGCTTATGTAGATGGGGCGTAGCTGTATGGCATGGAAAAGGATCTGCACATTACCGACCAGCAGTACTTGATCGCACTCACGCTATTCTTCTTCCCATATGCCCTCTTTGAGGTGAGCTTCTACTCTCGATTGCAGCCGGTGTACCCTGACAAATGGATGCATTAGGTGCCGTCCAATATCTTCCTGAAAAGACTGCGACCGTCAGTATGGCTCTCCTTCCTGATGTTCGGATGGGGGATCATGATGGTGAGGGACATACGAGTTGCATAAGCGAAATTGCTCACAAGAGTCTGTACAGACCATACAAGGCCTTGTCCATAACTATGGCGGGCTCCTCGGAATGCGATGGCTGCTCGGCACATTCGAGGCTGGGCTGTTCCCTGGTGTCAACTACTACCTCTCATGGTGCGTACACCCCGCCGACCAGTGTTTGCGGCCATACTTGAACAATCGATTTCCTCAGTTGGTACAAACGCTCTGAGTTCGGCTTACGCTCCGCCATCTTCTTCTCCGCCGCGACGGTCTCCGGCGCGTTCGGCGGTCTGCTTGCGGTACGTCCCCTACCGTTCATAATCAACCTGTCACCTCAAATTGTCCTTCTCGATCACAATCGATAGGCTGCGATCGCGAACATGGACGGCGTAGGCGGTAAGCCCGCCTGGGCGTGGATCTTCATCATCGAAGGCCTCGTGACTGTCGTTGCGGGCGGGGTATCGTACTGGATCATCCAGGACTTCCCGGACAATGCGCGCTTCCTGACCGAGGCGGAGCGCACGGTCGTCGTGCGCCGCCTCCAGTCGGACGACCAGTTCAGCGCAGCGGGTGAGAAACTAAAGCTGCGGTATATCTGGAAGAGCTTGGGCGATTGGCAGACGTGGTTGGGCAGTGAGTCGGTTCTCGCTTGAGTAGTCGTGGGTGCTGAGGGTTTCAGTGCTGCTGTATATGGGAACGGACGGCCCGCTGTATGCGTTCTCGCTGTTCTTGCCTAGCATCATCAGTCAGGTGAGCCGAGTGGTGTCCTGTGTGGATGACATCAGTTGACGTGCGGTCTGCTTCGCAGCTCGGTTACACCGCCACGCCCGCGAACCTCCTGACGGTGCCGGTGTACGTCGCCGCGTGTATATGTACCTGCGCGGTGGGCTTCATTGCAGACAAGCACGGCTGTCGGGGTACCTGAATGTGTACGCATCAGACGCGATATCCGTTCTCGCCGCACACGCTAACAGTGACCTCTGCAGCTTATGTCTCGCTGTTGGCGCCGCTGGCTATATCATCCTTATTGCTTCGCGAAGCGCCGGCGTGTCCTACTTCGCGGTATACTTAGCGGCGTGTGGAATCTACTCCAGCATCCCTAACGTGATTGCGTGGGTCTCCAACAACGTCGAAGGCTCGTACAAGCGGTCCGTCACGCTCGGCATGGTGATTTCCTTCGGGAACATCAACGGTGCGGTGTCGTCGAATGTCGTGCGTCTCCTCCTTCCCAGTCGCCGATGTCACTTGACACTGATGAACTGTTGGTAAACGTCGTCAGTACCGCGCGAACCAAACGCCATGGTACACGCTCGGGCACGGCATCGTGCTGGCGTACATCGGAATTGGGCTCATCTGCTCCATCACGTACATCTTGCTTCTCAGGCGCGAGAACGCACGGCGGGACCGGGGTGAGCGCGACGAGATCATCGAGGGCGTGAACGACGGGGACAAGCACCTCGCGCGGAACGGCACCTTTGCAAGCGTTGCGGATGCGAAACGCGAGAAGGGCGATCAGTGGAGCGGGTACCGATACCGGTTGTAGAAGGCGGGTGGCCGCGATCTTGTTGGTATTGCTATGATGTATTGTATGTGTGTATCGCGACGACGTATTCTCTGTACTCTTACCTCTCGAATTGTAATGATACTCGCTGCATCACGTGTCCGATGTCAGCTCCTGTCAGCTGCAGGTAAATGAATCCGCCGTTTATCGCCGCAGATATGACCTTGAGACGAACAGTCTGACGCCTGTTCGTCTGTCAGAACGCCGTTCTATCGCCTTGTAGCCTGAGTGCCGCATCCGCTCGGTGGCTCTGGGTGGCGGGAGGTGGCGGGCCGGTGGCGGGGAGTGGCGGATGGAAGGCGCACGTGGGAGGAATAACAGTGTCAAATACGCTTGGACGCGTTCGGACGCGCGAAGTTTGTGGCCGCCAGCACTGCTTGTCTCTGCCCCGACGCGTCCCGCCATCCTCTTTATACGCTCTATCTATTCCTCTATTCTTCACATACCCCAAAAGCTCTACAGCACACTCATACCACCTCTGTAGCATAAACAGCCATCCGCAATGGGCCGCCCACTCTTTTCCAACCACCAGCAGACCCCCGCTGTGCGCGTCGAGCCCGAGCAGCCGCAGCCGACTGCGAAAAATGGACGTACTGGAACGCGTTCGACCCAGACTCGGACGAGTTCTTTGAGCGCAGCGACGCCGTCTACGAGGCGTTCATGCCCCAGGATGGCACGGCGCTCCCCCAGCCGCCCCCGCTGATCGAGGTGCCCCCGTCCAGCAGCTCGAGCGAGGCGAGCTCGAGTGGCCGTGGAAGCCCTACCGAGGAGGCACGGAGGGACTTATCATCCGAAGAGATTGACCTGGCGCTGAGGAGAGAGGCGGACTTAATCAGGCTCAGTGCGACCAGGGAGGACGAGATACAGAGGCGAGTTCGCGAGGCCAGGGAGACCTTCACAGATACGCGCTCGCCCGGTCCTACTGTGCCCACCGATACGGACCCTCAGCGCGTTCTCCGCTACGTCCAGGGCCTCGACAGCATCTCACGCCAAAGCCAGGAAGCCACGCAGATTATCCGCGGGCTCCTTCCGTCCGCGGACCCCGCAGAGCGCGCAGCCGCTCGTCGATTCGAAGAGTACATGGCGCACCGCAACGAGCCCATCGACGCCCAACCGAGGAGAGCAGACTCTTCCGCCCCGAGCGGTGAGGAAGTCATCACGGCTCGTGGTATTCCGGTCGCTGTGCCTTCTGCGCTTCCCGTCTCTGTCACGACGACACGTTCTACTCTCGACCCCCTTCCACGCCTCCCAATGGGGCCCGTTACCTCAATGACCGCCTTTCCACTCCTCCAAGCCGCAGCCCTGCGCTTGACATGTCGCCATCCCCGCCTCCCTCCGTCACGCCCCGCCTGTACTCATGGTCCTCTCGCAATCCTATGAACTCGACACCCACTTCTCCGGCGCCAGCAGGGCCCCTGAGAAATCGCGATGCACGGCTCTCGGTTGAACACATTTCGCGTCTGTCGGACGCGTCGCCAGCTCGCACGAGGTCTCGCCCGAACGTGCGCCACGTGCCGGACCGTGGCTACAACCACTTCCCTGACGCGCCGCGCGTTGACCTCAGCTCCTGGATCGTTTCGTGAATCACGATGTTATGTTTCTTTGGTTCTTGTTTAGTTCGATTCGTTGATGCTTGCATGGTTTAATGGCAGTTGTCTGTAGCACTAGTAGTCGACTCCACACGCTCTCTGCTACCGGTGCTCTGGGTCTCTCACGTTCGTTTGCTCTTCGAGTCCTGCTTCGGGTGTCCTGCTGTGTGAGTGAAAAGTATGTACCGCAGTGGTGCACGTAGATTGATACAGTGCTTGAGTTACCGTCTAGAGCGTACGTGTCTGTAGAGGTACTTTAGCCACGAATACTGCAACCTTTAGAGGGCATATGCAGTGCATCGACCTCTTTCGCTATTCAATGGTCCGACATCGTTTGCATTGGTGGCAGGGACAGCAACAAACAGCATGGGTATCGTATATGTGGTTTGTTCGGGACTTCCTGGGAGTTGGAAAGCTTTCAACGGATTGCCGTACTGCTTCACACATAGTGGTTAACACCCTGTTGGCTCGTAAGATACCTGGAAGATGCACGCCCCATCATGAACACTCACCGCGATGCACGCTCCCACCCCCGTCGTCCCAAAAGCCCCGGGGAACGTCACGACACACGGTGCAGCCCATTGCTCAGACGGCCCCGGGCCTACCTGTGCGCCGGGCAACGGCATGAGATACGTGCTGATGTGCATCTGTCCCCGGCGGTACAGCTCCTCGTCCATCTTGCCCTCCAGCACCCGCCGCCCGTCGCGCTCCCGCCGCCGCCGTAGCTCCAGCGCTCGGGCCTCGTGCGGGTCGGTGAAGTACGCGGGGTGGTTGCGGCGCGCGCGCACGGCGTCGTGTTCACTCGCGTGCGTGGCGCGGGTGCGCTGGGGTGCGTGGGCAGCTGGAGCGCGCTACGATCTTGGACGACCCGAGGCGGCGGGTGATTTGATGGAGCTTGCTGCTCATCTTTTCGTCTGGGAGCGGACAGCCGCAGTGCATGTAGGGCATGCCGAAGCGTTCCTGATGGCACAGCTGAGATTCGCGGCGAGTGACGGGCAGGGCCTGCCTACCTGCCATGCATGGCATGTCTCGTCGAGGCCATTTGCGAGGTAGATCTCCTCTACCCTGTCATCGCTGCAAAGAGGACGTCTAACCCACATAGAAAGCGATAGCAATATAGCACTTACTGGTCGACATACCATCCGACGAATTCCTTGCTTTCCTTCGTGTACTCATCACCCTTCAGTTGATGTGTATGCCATACGATGTCTATGTCGAGCGTGGGCACAAAAAAGGGGGATGACGCAGAGGATAGCAGGTCGAGGAACCTGACAACGAGTATTCAGTCAGGGGAGTAGAATGAAACGCGACGTTTCACATACGCGTGATAGCGCGCGAGCGCATGGGTCAAGAGAACCGCGTTTTGGTTGTCGTCGAAGTATCCTGGCGTCAACCACCCCAAGCTGTCCATCGCATCAATGAACGTGCCTTGCCGGAGAACCTGGAAAGCCATAATGTTACTCGCCAATTCGTTTGTCTCAATGTAGGATGCAATGCTACAGAGCAGTACTGACCGCGGCAACAAGGTCGACGGAGAATGGCCTGTCGTCCGTGTAAGCGTTCATTGTTCTGCTCAATCTGCCACTTCATGGCGATTCAGTATTCTGGGCTAGTGAGCTGATAAGTGGCGCACACTAGCATTTGTGGAAGATTTGAGATGGAATAACCAAATTTCTCCTTGATCGAGTGCTTCCACTCGGTGCGCAACATCTTGGAACAGGTCATATTATTTTCGTGCGCCCTTGCAAACCAACGACGAACTACCTTAGAAACAGCGCGGAGCGAGTCGTGAAAGGCGAGTCTATTCTTGATCTCCCCGGCGCGGCTCCAGTCTCTGGGGTTAGTTCGAGTGTGGAGTGTGCCACTGTAGGTATGCATCATCAACAACACGGGTCGCGACTAGTAGATCGCGGAAAGTACTGACGCAAGGTATACACTGGGTTGCCTCGGGTTCGAGCGATGATTCGCAACGAGATCATCTGCGAACTTGTCCATGGCGAGCGCGGTCTTGGTTATAGATAGACCACATATACACATATAGCGGAAACTCCGCTGTAGGTAGCCAGAGCCATCTTCGTTGAGAAACGCTGTTGTGTGTTAGCCTGAGCAACAAATACTCGAGAACAGGAATACAGATTGTCAACTCACGAACGTCATTCAATCTTCCGCATCCAGGGCAGCGAGTAGCGCGGTGCAGCAAGCAGCTCATAGAGGCCAGAGGGTCGAATGGCGTGTCCGTTTGCTCGAACCAGGTGAGCGTTCGCTCTTCACAGGGCTCATAAAGTGTCAGGTCGCCCATGAGTATCTAGACATCACAATGAGCCAATCCTCAGCGGAGAACGAGTCGCGAGTTTCGAATCACCACAGCCGGCATGAAATAGCTGTTGAGTAGCCTCAACGTCCCTAACACAGCGATGCGATCGCAGTCTTCAGCGTACCACCTTTGATTCCGCAAGTCAGTCACACTCTGAGCCGACTAGTCCGAAGGACCTACGTAGGATTGAGCATGTAAGCATGCCACATCATCAGAACATCTAGAGGTGGTGCCTCCTCCGTCACCCATGTGGCAAGTTCGGTGCGCTTAACGTATTTCACCCAACGGTGGAACCTGAAGAGTACTCGGTCACCAAGTCGCACATATAGGTATTCGTTGGATGGGAGCATACCGTTCTACGGCCAATCCACGAACCAGGCCCATCGCTGCGAGCCGTCGAGGAATTGGGCGATATCCGGTAAGTAGTCATCTGGGCATGTCTCGACCCTCTGCCTTAACTCCTTGAAGGCGGCTAGCAGACCAAGGTGGGCCTTCACATGTTCGGTATTGACGAGGGACTGGGGCACTGTACGGGAACCAATCCTGTATTTCTCCTGTTTACTCAGAGACTGCAAAGACGCAGAGGACGATGGGGCGCTCTCTATGTGTGGTCTCCGAAGGTATACGTCCGGCGAGGAAGTCGGATGGGACATAGCCGGACGAGCGGGCTGAGGCACCGGCGAAGACGACAAGTCAGATGCATTCTGAAGATGTCGTGTGGGTTCCAGACGACTTGTGGAACCCTCGAGATGGGGGGATGGATATGAACGGATGCTGGCATTACTTGAAACATTTAGAGTTTGCTCAGGCTTGGGTGACCTCTCGGCCGTCGATGGGAGCTCAGGCAAGGAGCGAGACGGAGGCCTAAAACGGGAAGAAGAGCATTAATATTGCCAGTAGCGTCCACGTCGTCGCCTTATAAAGGTGTCAAGACTTCATTCGCGCACATGAAACCCCGCGAACGGTCTACATACTCAATGTGAGCGCGTCCACACGCAGACTGTCTTCGGTATCGATTGGGACTGCGACTGGAAAGCTCGGGCTGTCGGCTATACCTGTCGAGTGCCCAGGTATGTTGGGGACACTACCCTCTTCTTGGCGCTGCAATGGATCCTCTTCCGAGTATGGAGGAGGAGGTTCTTCGACATGCTGGGACATCTTGGTACTGCACAGCGGGAGGCCACAGCAAGGCCACAGTCACGGTTTAGTCTCGGAGACTAGCGTAACAATCAGAACGACATACCTACCACGTTACCGTACGTCCCCTGAGGAGTCTGTCATGATTGACAGGTGAGCGCTGCCATACATATCATTGATTAGATGTGAGAGAGAACTGGTCCGAGTCCTCCGAGCCGTTGAGGCGCTGACGGCTTCAATATGGTGGCACGGTGGGTGGCACTGGGTGCTCCGAGTCCGAGTCGCGTCGGCGAGCGACGCGTCGGATAAATGTCGGATCCAAGGCGGGCAGCGGCGAGCGCCCTCGAGCTCCTCCTCCGGCGAACGACTTGAAACCTCTGGGACTGGAACGACCTGCTCTCTACGAACTCTGGGACGGCGTCCCTGTACATCAGATTGCGCGCGCGGACAGTCCGCTCGCCGTTCGTGGGCCAGCCAGAACGAGAGGCCGTCGACAGCGCGTGCTTGGATCAAGTCGCGCTCGAGCACGGCTACGAGTCGTCGGTCCATCCGTTCCTCGTACTGCGGCCTTTTTTCTACCGTTTTCATCTTCTTTTCTTGCTCCGCTCCCCTAGTTTGAGCTGCCACTGGTCGCCAGACAAAGCCATTGATCGGCTGCTGCAGGTTGCCCTGCCAGTGTGCGGCGCTTCGTCCACCCGAAGACCAATCCGCCTCTTACTTGGCTGTAGCTATGCCACCGCGTGAGTTTGGACCGGACCGTCTCTGGTCTACCCCTCATTGACTTCATCTCACTAAAGATGGATATATACTAGGATCAGTACGCCTGGCTGCTCCACGCCTCCGCGGGTTCATTCTGCGCTTCGTACACCTTGACGAGCAATCTATTGAAGGACGCTCAGAGCATCGTGCAGGCTGTCATCATCCCGTGAGTTCTCGCCCTTTCTCGGCGCAGCATTGTGGCGGACGCTTCCTGAACAATGGGGGCTCAGCACTCGTTATTCGCGTGCATGAGATATACTTCATCGTAAGAAAGCCATAAGGTTGCGCCTGAGACACTGCCACACATACACTACCACACATACTATACCTCTTAGCGTACACCTGCCTACGGCCGTACTTCTGCCCCGTCCGCACAACGCCTTTGCGCATTTGCCGGGCTCATGCCCGAAGACTGACTGCGGCCGTCTTGCGTTGTGTTCGACGTGTGATCCAGTTGCCATAGGTATGTAGCGTTCGCTCATGCTTGACGGGTCTATCTAACATACCAACATGCGAATGTGCACATACGCTCCGACCTCGCCGATCTGATATTTAAGATGTCAAATCACGGCCAGTCAGTGTACTGCATAAGCGCACTACTGGTATGTCATCCCGTGTCATTGAAAGTGTATGACTTTGCTGAGGTTGGGTTTGTAGATGATGTGGCTATCGCTCGCACGCGCTACGTCACCTTCACCCTTGATTCTTATTCAAACGTACCCCCGCCCATCGCAGACTTCCATTCTGCATTCCACACTGTCGGCCCTGTCCAACGTGCGTAGCCTGGTTGTATGCGCAGTTGGCCGCGCAAGAGAGGTCATTCAAGCGCGTGCACGACGGACAGACGGCGTCGGCGTCTGACAGGTATTGGGTAGGTTCGAGGGTCCGCATACAACGTATCATGCAAAGGAGCAATGTCATGCTGGACCCCCAGTCGCACAGCGTCGAGTTGTCGCTCATTTTTTTGACGTATAGGCGGCCGAATGAATTATGCTACACATCCTACTAAAGACGCAAGACACAGCATTCTTCGCTAGTACTGGTTTGAATGCGGTACTGGCCCGCATGTTCGCTTCCTCCGTTCGTAACCTTGCCCACGTCTATGTGGACCCCTTAATTAATCATCGAACAAGCTCAAGGCTCGGACACGATTGCCTCACGCGCGCTCACCAGGACGAGGCGCACTGTATCCAAGGAGAGCGGTCCTTGTCTGCGCTTCTCGTGTACTCGGGTTAGTGACGTGTGTATTTTTTCGGATGCTTCAGGCCGTAGAGGGCTATCCTCGCATTGGCTGCGAACAGCCCGGATCTCACGGCATCCACTGAAAGCGAAAAACCGCTTGCGACATTGTGTGTCGGTGTTCGACGCTTCTATACGTGCCGGGGGACAAACACGTACGAGAAATTTGTGTACAGGCAAGACAATGTACGCTGCTTTTTCGCGAGGCGGGGCTACATTATCCCGATGCATATATATACATCGCCTATCATTGCCTTCGCTGTCCCTGCGCTTTCCCCCTTGTCCAGTTCTTGCAGCACACACTAAGAGCCATTCAAAGTCCCCACGAGGTACGATGCCGCTGTCGCCAACGGACATCTTTACTGACATCGTGGTTTTTTTTCTTTAGCGACGCGACCACGGTCGCCAGAACCGCGCGAACCGAAGACCAAGACAGCGTATCTTGGCTTGTCTGGTAGCTATACCGTATATCAGGTAGTGTGTCATCGCACTTGTTCTTGGAGAGCCGCGGTCTGAGCCAACGCTATTAGTAACGTGTTTCCATCGTCGAAGGTCTCGGGAGGTTTCGCCACGCGTGTGCAGGAGACTTTCATCGGCGCGACCGCGCGGCCACGTCGCCGTAGCGCACATCCCACGTCAAAGCAATGGACAGCGTCGAGTCGATGTAAGTCTCACTGTCCAGCGCCAGCCGCGGGTTGCATGGTTCACACATAGGGACTACAGTACAGCCGCGACGTCCGAGGGCACCTCTTACGGACCTTCGATCCCGCGGCTTCCTGTGGAGGTCTGTGAACGGATCATCGACCACGTAGCAGCGGGAGTGAACCTCGGTTATCATTTTTTAATGAAGGGCGAGCCACATCTGTCCACTCTCACATCCTGCGCGCTCGTATGCCAAGACTGGTACTACCTGTCGTGGTACCATCTTCGTCAACGCATATATCTACGAGACCGGAAGGACGTCCTCTCGCTCTCCAAGACACTCCGCGCAAAACCTCGCCTCCGTGAGGTCATTCAGCAGGTCGTCATATCGGGTGCTTCTCACGGGGAGCGTAAACCGATCCGGCACCTGGAGACGTTTGCCGCTATGCTCGCGGGCAAGGCTCCGAGGTTGTCGTGGATCACCATTGAGGATGCTGAGTGGACCATCGGCTCGATCCGGATGAAGGACATCGGCTTCCTAGGGGTGTTCAATTGCATTGTCACTGGACGCATATTCAAAGTCACCTTGTTGAACGCCGCCCAGCTGTCCCATCTCGTTTCAGCACTCCCGCGGCTCAGGAATTTATGGTGCTACAGTGTTGACTGCTTGCAGAAACAGCACGTCTCCCCGGCCTCTCTCCCACTGAACTCTGCAAATCTGGAGGATCTCGAAGTGCGCTGGGTTGCACCAGCAGTAGAAGACCTCTTTGCGCAGATCAGCCGGGCTTCTCGAGTGCGCTCTTTCGATCTTGGAGTGTCCGGCGGGTTGGATCCGTCCGTGGCAGTCAGCAGAAGCCAGATTTTGCTGGATGCGAGCTCCACATCTGCAGAAATGGTTGCGCTCCATATCGACCCCAGTTCTCCTGTTCGTGACGGCGAAATTGATGCCACAGTTGGAAAGTCTTGGCACGTTTCTCTCGAGTTACTTGGCTGATTGTTTCATGTCTACAGAGCAACATTACAACCTTTCACACCATGGCCACCTGCGGAGGTTGGTGATCTGGCTGTACCACCCCTTTGAAAAGTGGCCTTGGATCCCGCATATCCTGTCTCACGTCGTCTCAAGACACTTCCAAGCTCTGTCTGTTATGTTATGGCTCCGGATGGACCACATGGCCGATGACCTGGACGGAATGCTGACGACAATGGAGCAGGATGATGTCCTAGCGCGATTGGACAGTGTACTACAGGAGAAGCGCTTCTCCAGTACTGTTGCGTCGCGCGGCATCTGTATAGGCATTCGCCAAGGTAACAACACTTGGAAATCTGGCGACGAGCTTATCGGGATGGGTTCAGCACTACGAGAACGGTACGATCGGTGGGACGAGCTCGTCAGGCGGAACATGCCACGCTCGCATGCACGAGGTATATTGAGGTATGTAGTACTATGGACTTGGTCAAATTGCCAAGGAAAGCTGAGTGTCCCTTGTAGCACTGTGCATAACTTCCGAGAATTTTCCAGCTGGAAGGATGACATGTACATGGTACATTATCACAGTATGCAGGCTGAGTCGAAGAATATTGCCGGAGAGGAAGTGCTCCCCCGGGCCGAGAGTCCTCGAGGCAGCACGGATTGACATTCTTCAAGCAACTCTGCATCTGCTCATATCTTCGCATAGAGTTGGCGAGTATCGCACCATCATCATTGGGCCGCTCTGCTAATTCGTTATGTGGTCTCAACGTAGAGAATGGCCCCGCGGCCGAAACACGGGTCGACTCGGAGACTTTGCCGGTGTCTGGCAAGGATTCGCGCGCTTACGCTCGTATGTAACACACATGAATATATCTTGAGAATTGAGAAAATGGACGGAGGGCGGTACTGTTCGACTTAGTTCGAGAAATTAGAAACTGAGAATCGAGTGCAGATCACGGTCACGTGTACAAGTGATATCGCCCTCAAGGAGCTTGAGCGCTTCGCTGGCGTCCCTTTCAATCGCTACCTCTATCCGACCTTCATACTGTGTTGCTACACCCGGTGACTTAGGCGGTAGCCCTCTCTCACCACATGAAGAAACCATCATTGCCTCCACGGACAAGGGTTGCGTCGAAATGAATACTTTCACACAGCTTCGCGGTGAGGGAAAGTGGACCATAGAGAACCATATAGAGCATCATTCTTGGCCTAGGCAAGGACTCAAAGTCTTTTGTTCGCCGGGAACTCGACGTCTTTTCAAGATGCCTCTACGGCGTAGGAGAATCATGAGGAATGGTATTCACTCTCAAAGCCTTTTCTGCCGAGGAAATGATGGCGTTTTAGCCGTGCACCGCATCATGCTGCCCCTGTCTGATACCGACATCCAAACAATTGTGGAGACTATATGGCCTCCACAATCTGAAGTTCGTGACGCCCACCTGTCGCACAAAAGCTGTGATTTGACATGTTCCGCAAGCATGTGGTCCTACTTAAGCACGCACAGACTGACGCCGTACCTCGCTTCACTATCATTCCTTGCTCTTGATTCCCTCTGTCTTCCCTTTCCAATACAACAGAAGGCTATCATGCCCGATCGCCATGCCGGTAATGTAGGACCCTCCGGAAGAGTCAGCGGTAGCTTTCCTCCGGCCTTTCCGATCGGGCCAAATAGTCTCACCAATCCTCTCGTGAGCATCAAGTACGTGAAGGCACACTTAAGCCTGTTGGGTGCGTTCAAGACACTCGGCAAACGCGTGGAGACCTGTCCTCTTGAGGATCTCCCGGTGCTCGCGAGGTGTCTTGATTACACCCCACAGACACCACGCAGGTGGGCGTGGTTCGTGTGTTTGGCAGTGGAAAGGTGAGTCAGCTAAAGCCTCCATTATGGCTGTCGCTCACACCCGCTAGGTTCCGCCGATGGACGAAACATGTAACTGCCAATCAAGACGTCGATTCCTGGGTCAAAGCGGAAGCGCCACCCCTCGACGTGCTCATGGTATGGCATGCCTACATGCTGAACCCCACGTAAGTCTGCGCCCGTACATTAGCAATGTCTCTAGCTTATCTATCGTAGATGGTACGCGGAAGACTGCCTGCGCATCCCTCGGCTACATAGTCTTCAACTCTTGGATGACAGACTATTGCCTGCAGTGGTACGCTTAGAATGATGCGTGCGCCTCAAAGCCATTTGATTGATCCCTGACTCTAGATCGCGATGGGTGACCCCGCCCAGTACCAACCATCGGAAGAGCGCAAGCGCGCATGGGTCGCAAACACAGGCACATTGTTTGACCCGATAGAGGCTCTCAAACACCTCTCGCATCACGACGTCATCTGTCCCAGATGTCATAAACGCAACACTGCACGTAAGAGACCCTTCCAATAATAAAGGGGTTGTGACGCTGACAGCGTAGGCTACAGCGTTCTTAACGGCAGAGGGTGATGGTTATGCCCAGCAAGGCTTCACACTCCCGTGTTCGCAATGTTCACTGCCGATTGACAAGTCGGATCTAGCATTGGACAAGCTCGCGCGAGATCTGGTCAAGGACCACAACAGCCCTGATACAAAGCTGGACACTTACTTCCCGTACGTGCAGCTTGTTGGACGGAGATGACGAAATATTGACGTTGATCCAGGGGCACGTTGCGCGGCCCGACAGATATGGCTTCTACTGAACACGCGAAACAGATCAAGGACCGGGTCGTACAGTTCAAGTACTTTGTTCGGCCAAAAGGGGTACATCACTAGGCTGCTAGGCCCTTCTCTGACTACTGCTCATCCATGTTGTTCTAGTCTACTACAGAAAAAGAATGGGTACGCCAGATCAATGAAGACTTTGGCTACTCCATCGAAGACGTCCACCAAACGCTGCGGTCGTGGTCGAGCAAAATCGGTTTGCTCACGCGCATGTTTGTCCCCCGTCGTAATTGCCTACTACTGGCTGACCCTTCACGCGTCTGGCTCTTAGACTCAATAGGATCCTGAGTGCGTACACGGATGATAGTCCTTTTTCGATAGACCTCGTTGGCGCTGTACGTCCAGCCGTTGTTGATGACAGAATGTCTGTGATGCTATGTTATGTAGGTCATTCGACAAGGGTCCTTCACTGACAAGATGCACGTCTTCGGATGGACCTCCCCGGGGTATTTCGACAAGCCGATTGACGAGGTCGTTCTCGTTCATGCGATCACACGCTATCACGCGTATGTCGTCCTGCTCGTCGCACTGTGTGATCCTAATGTATCCAATAATTCTTCGTTGTCAGGTTCCTCGACATGATGACTTCGTCGCCAGCCTCGTTCTTCGTGCCAACCCTGGACATTGATCTGATCTGGCACACACACCAGCTGATGGCAGGCAAGTATGCGGACGACTGTATGAAATATGTCGGGCGGTACATAGACCAGTGAGTGCGAGATTGCCATAGGCTCAGCACGGCGTCTTGATTCGTATCACAGTGACGATAAAGTCGAAGAAACCGTCTCGCAAACGCATTTGATATCACCTGCAGGGCCTGGCAGGTACGTCTGAATGCAGTATACCTCGCAGACCGACAGCTCACAGCCGCATCGCAGCAACGATTCGGCGTCCCATACAGCTATTGTGGCTGCCCGCTCCCTGGAGACACCATCGGCGCGAAGCTCAGTCGGCTTCTGGCTCACGGTCGGAGCAGCCGTCACCTGCGTCCTCCGACACACCCGACGTCCCGTCGCCACGCACGCAAGCGAGCACAACGCCGTCCAGGTCCACCTGAACGCCGCGCTCAACAAGAAGACGGCGGCGGCGCTCGAGCGCCAGAGGAAGAGACGCGAGCGGAAAATGCGCTCCCGGCGCCAGCGCGATGCGCGTTTCGTGCGGAGCGGCGAGCTGGACCCGGAGCAGTACAGGCGTGGCCAGGCGCACTACGCTGCGTTCCTGATGCCGGTGCCGTTCAACTCGCAGCCTATCGCGTCGTGCGTTTCAGTCAATCAAAGCCAATGCGCTGCTGTGAGTCCTGACGTGCTCCACGGTGAAGGAGTTTGCTCACAACAAAATTTGATGTACATGCACAGAGCACCGGAAATTGTGCTGCCGGAGCGTGCACCAGTGGAGGGGGCGGCGGTGGAGGAGGTTGTGGTGGAGGAGGCTGCGGTGGAGGAGGCTGCGGTGGTGGCGGGGGAGGGAGCTCGGGCTGTGGCGGTGGAGGAGGAAGCTCGGGCTGCGGTGGTGGAGGTGGAGGAAGCTCAGGCTGTGGCGGCGGTCTTGAGCTCTGAGTCTGGTACGACATGACAGACTTGGCGCCACTCCACTTACTCAGAGGCCTACGATCGACGGTTGTGTACATTCATATCATATCTGGCATACTTTCACCCTCGCGAACCGCGATAGGTCTCCAGTGTCCAGATGCCGTATATCCCTGCTACTTCGATGAAGGGCAATCATCTGTCGGAAAAACAATAAACATACCTCTTTTCTCAGCCCCACCTCGAGTCCCACTTGCCAATGCTGTCAGCAAGCACCCAATTACAAGTACCATGTTTCCTCGCATCATGACTCGATACTAGCAAAGACCATGTGTCCTCTGACTCCGGGCGCGGAAGTCGTATAGGCGTCTGCAATGGCGAAGACGGTGAAATATAAGTCACGGGAGCAGTTGATACGCCGTGAATCGTCACAGCAGCGAACGCGGTTGAGAAAGCGACAAATTCCTGTCGAGAGTATGCTGATTATCAGCAGGAAGCCCAGCCAGCACGACACGAAGAAAATGCGTACAGAACTTGATCGATGATGGCTTGAGTGAATTGAGACGACAGCAATCCGCGCCAACTGATATGTGTGACGTGGTGCAGTCGAGATGGACTGGGCGGTGTATACACCGCTATGTACGGGTCACATCTATCATTCGCCGACAATCTATGCAAGCGGTGAGTTCATGATGACGACATCAATGCAAGGGATTGATATTAGACCTTTGGCTCCCGAGGCATGCCATAGCAACCCACTCGAACAGAGCTGACATGTCGTCATTCCAATCCTCTATCTCGTCTTCGGAGTTCGGGCATGGACTGAGAGCGGGTTCTGGAACATATACATGAGCTGTTCGAGACACTGTCGGCTTGACGACATGCTCTACTGAGCCATCGAGAGGTTGCGCGGTAGCTCCTTCAGAGAGGTGCCAAGCGCATGTCAGACGTGGGGTGTTTGGTTCCAGATGAATACAAACCAGTGCTTCGTAGATGGTACAAGATACGCCAAGGCCCGTGGTACTCATCCAATGCCGCTAGCGCAGTCTGTTGTTTTGACCCGTATCGGTGCACCTTCCGTGTGGCAGGATCATCGGGGACGCCTTCGGTCAGCGCGCATTGTATAACTGTCATTGTAAAGAAAATAATTTGTATGCCAAATCAGTATGATTCACAATGAGTCGGATAGAACGGCTGACGGTACATATCCTTGCAGCCGCTCCAACGCATTGGTGTTCCTACTATGCCAAGGCGTTCGTAGGTTGGCTTGTCGACAACAAAGGTCAGCAGGCCTCGCGAATCAAGGCTGAACACGATTTCTGTTGTCGCGTCAAGCACACTGACAGCCACTATGTCGCTGAACAAGTTTGAGTGCACTTTCCGACCAAGTATAAATGGATCAGTGCACCTTTGCATTTCGAATTTGTTGACGAACGATTTGGCATAGTCGACAAACCTGGCAAGCGTTGAACTACAGCTCCAGTATGTGCTAGTCAACGCAGTCAATCCATTCTCGAGGATTGCTTCCGACGAGAAGATCACGTCGACCTGTGAGTAGGTCAGATGCGAAGCTTCGGGACATAGCAGATTCAAATCCGAACTGACATGCCTGCTGAGCGTATGGGTAGGGTGAACGGTCAAGCTTCTTGCCCGTGTCGCCTTCGTATATGCCAGAAGAAACTACTGTTCTGCGGCGTTCCTGCGGTGTAGCGTTCATGAGAAGGAGGGGATAATGTTGCGGATGTGTGCGTCGCGGCCGTGACTTTGCCGTGACTGCAAGCTCAAGAGTACAAGAATAAGCGCTTGAGCTGCTGCTCCAAAGTCCAGTTTGACTCAGACGAAAGCAAACCGAATCGCGCTGGTGGGAATCGGGCGAGGCCGAAACACGGCCGAATTCGGAAGTACTTACGCTATTTTGTTAGCGCTTGCTACGCAAGACCAAGTTGAGGCCAAGCTGCAGAGTGCAGATGACCACAAGTTTCGGTGAAGACAGTACCATGTCCAGAAGTGCCGTCACTGGCAGTATGTTACAGGCTGCAGTCAACACATCAAAAGATGATCGAGTTGTACCGCCGCAAATTGCGCAGACACGCGCCGCTGCCATTGCCGCAGCCTTTCGCCCGTAAGAGGCTGCAGTATGTATCGTACTCCCCCGGTCCAGAGGTCGCGATTGTTGTCTGCCTACGGAAGACTAAGTATGTATACACTTTGGTCCATGTCAAATCACTGTCGACCCTGTTTGCCTTGCGCCCTCTCCGCGCGCTCCTTCTCCACCCACGCTCCCGCGTTTCTCGCCGCGTCGTATGGGCGTACCATGTACATCATCAAGTATCCCTGTAGACTTGCCATGGAGAACTCGCGCTCCGGAATCGCCTCGGCGAACTGCACAGCTAATGTTCTTGACTTGGCACGAGGCAACGTAGCGCTACGCAGGGACTGCGAAAGTTGTTGTTGTTCGGGCTTCTCGGGTGCGTCTGGCGTCGTCGGTGTCGATAAGAGGTCCTCGTCGTCACTATACTTCTCATTGAGCTTGTCTTCTGGTGCACCCGGAGGGCTGTAGAACGCTTCGAAAAGACCCCTCGCCTGTTCCTTGCTCGCAAGCTTGAATTCGATATGCAGATCCATGCGGCCTGGGCGGACCAGTGCATGGTCGAGCGCGCCGTAGTTGTTCGTCGTCGCGAACAGAATGCGACCCTCTTGCGCGCCAATACCGTCGAGCGCGTTCAGCAGCCCGCTAAGCGTGACGCGACCCTCCATCACGTCCCGCTTCCCTTCAGGCTCTATCGTCTCGCCGTCTTCACCTTTGAAGTTGTCCTCTTCCGGCGGTGGAACGACGGCAGACACGAGATTGCGACCTACCCCTTTCTTGAATGCGACATCGACGTCTTCAAGGAGGGCAATGCATCGCTCGGGAAGGTCGGAGAGTAGCTGGTTGAGACCGGTATCGTCGAGCCCAACGCGGGAGAGCGTGAGGACGTAGACGTCCAAACCTAACTCTCCAGCGATGCTATGGATGATCGACGTCTTACCCGACCCGGGCGCACCGTGCTAAACGCTGAGTCAACCATCTGCATTCAAATGAAGTGTGAAGACCGCAACGTACTAATAGGTAGCCTCGTCGGAAGGGAATACCTGGTGGTAGGTAGTATTAGCCACGACAATACAGTCCTGTGAGCATCGAAGACTCACCTCTTCTGGTATACCAGTCCTTGCTAGCGAGGAAGTTACGAGTATCGTTGGCGAGAAGTTCCTTGACGCCTGTATCAAGGACGATGGATTCCATGGGTCGTTTTGGTCGTGAGATGATGTGCCGCCATTTTTTGATCTGCAAGCAATCAGAATCAATACGGAGGTATCTATCATGCGACTAGACTCACGCATCAGAGCCGTATACAGAGACTAGTTGCGCTTCGGCTTGCTGGTATGCTCGCTTGGCCTCGAGAACAAGATCATCCAGTATCCTGCAATTCCAAGACAACAGGCTGCACATCGTTCAAAGTGAGAACGACCTCAAACCCAAAAAAGTGGAAAATTGACGTACCTAATTTGAAGGGACTCCTTGACTCGATAATAATTGCTTGCAATGTGAGAGCGGCTGACAAGGGCATAATGTCCCTTGTACCACATCCTGTGGCTGTCTAACCGACCGGGCTTGTAGCTCACTTTCCGGCTCGACAGGCGATCGTCTTCTTGGCCCGGGATGGCAACCTCGTCGGGATTGATACCGTACGTACTCGTGGTTGCCTCCACGGATCTCGCGTTGCCTAACGCAGTTATTGAGCCGGATTCGCATAGTTAAGAGAACATTCGAAACCTACGCCAGGATGGATGGCGCGCAAGCCAATACTGAATCCATGCTGAGTTCAGCAGGCAATTAGCTTGAGTAATAGCGACGCACATAGACACGTACTGTATGCCACGTCTTCGTCATCGAAGGAAATAGTAACCCAGAACGCGTTGATTGTAGTGTCCCAGAGGTTGTAGAAGAGGCGACGGGAGATCTCGATTATGCCACCCATGATGATAAGGTTCAGCCATTCAGGCATTGATGAGAGGGAGAACATCGTGAACATTGCGTATAGAGAACCGGAATGGTCCTCTAGGCCTCGCGTCGACGAACTACTCGTGTTCGCAAAGGTAACGTTGGGCTCTGAGACAAACGGAATATTCGGCGTCGCGCCAAGAACAGTCTGTGGGCCAGCCATGGTCAGCGGTATCAGACTCACCTAGAGGACCTGACAATGGTTTATATAGATGCGTTGGACCCGATCCATCTAACCGCAATGAAGACCAGTGCTACTGGCGCTAAGCGCTGTACTGCCCCGCCGGGGATCTGGATCATACCCGCTCATCAACAGCATCAGCGGCCAGCTCCTCCTGCACAGCGCCGGGGCACACGAAGGTCAGATCAGTGTAGGCTCATAAGTATGGGAGTCCGCGCCATACGCGCGATCTAACATACCAGTGTGAGGAATGTATAAGTTATATGCAACCTTGAACTCTCCGAGTCGTAATGCTCCACTAGACGAGATAGTCACTATGCGATGCGGTATCAAACGGTCAAAGCTGTGTGATGCCCCAGTAACCAGGACTTTGAGACGCAGCTGCGCAGGCGGCGCAGCCTACGCTCCGGGCACTGGCACTGGCAGGACTTGGGCAGGACGGTTACATTTGTGGATCAGTCGTCGTGGTGCGGCCGCGGCACCGGGCGCGCGCCAAAGACGGACTCCCCGACGCGATCACCTGACCAAGTCTCCTGTCAGAGTGGCCCCGGGCTCAGGCTCTAATTAGCAAGTACAAACTTGTGTTCACCACCAATCTATTCGTCGATCCTTCTCATGAAGCGACACGTTTCGGCTGATAATTTGATACTAACCACTCGAAAGGGGTACGTGCGCTGCTCGATGGAGATTACCAACTTGAAGCGGAGAGGGTGGCTAGTAACCCGTTATGTCTTCGGAACGTCGGATACTTAGTACTCAGGAGTCAGAGACCCCTGCTGCTCCCCTTTCTCCAATTCTTTGCCCACGTCGTTACGGTCTTGACCGCGTCACGCGGTATCATCAAGTATCCCTGCAGGCTTGCCAAGGGAAACTCGCACACTGGCGACGCAGCCGCAGATTGCGACGCCAGGGTAGTTGACTCGGTGCGAGATAGTGAGGCATTAGTCAAGGAATGAGAGACAACTTGAAAGTGTCGTCCGGGTGCGCTTATCAGTGGGTGACGCGAGATGGTCATCGCCGCTGAACTTCCGAAATCCACCGTGCATGGCATCCGGAGGGCTGCAGAACGCCTCGAAACCCCCCATAGCTTATTCCTCGCTCGCGAATATGAAGTCGATATGGAAATCCATATGACCTGAGCGAACCAGGACAGGGTCGAGTGCTGTATATTTTTTTGCCGTCGCGCCAAGAGAGTCCGCTCGTCCTGTGCACCAATGCCATCGAGTGCGTCGAGCAGCCCGCCTAGCACGACACGACCCTCGATCACGTTCTGCGTCACTGACTGGACCAGTTTTCCGTCCTCGCCTATATAGTGCACACCTTCATCAAGTGGTGGGATGAGGGTATAACCTACGCCGGTCTTGAACGCGACATCGTCATCTTGAAGCGACAGTAGCTGATTGTATTCACAGTGCACTGCCTACGGCTACAAATGCTGTCATCAATTGAGCGACGAGAAGACGGGAGGACAGCTTTCACGATACCGCGTACGTGTAACTCGGCGATATCGGTGTTTAGCATCGACGCCCGGGTTATCTGGGGCGTTAGACGTGTCCGCCGCCCAACGGGGTCACTGAGCGAAACCCAATTGTCAGCTTGAGATCTTAAGAAGCCATCATCGACCCCTACAATTCTTGCATTGGTGATACTTCGTCTCACTAGCAAGCTCTGACGACAACGATACGACATCCCGTAAGCGTGCAGCATTTGCCATTTGGAAGGTGACAACCGGTAGGGTACAAATGCCGTGTTGGCTAGTGGGAAAACCAACGGTAGCATGAACTCACAGCCTACAACCTCCTATCGTCAGTTTACGACTGCAGCTTCCAACAGCACGTTCCTCACCTTCTTAGTTCATCCCTTGATGCCCCGTTATTCGCGGTTTCAACCACCGTGCCCTCTGATGAACCCAGGAAGCTGCGTTCGAGACGGCGTCATGCGGCTGATCCTTGTACAGCATCAAATACCCCTGCAGGCTTGCCATCGAAAGTCGTTCGTTCGGCACTGCCGCCGCAAATCGCACGGCCAGTTGCCGCAACTCACACTGTGTGTCCTGCTCGTCCTGCCTAGGAAGGCTGCAATGGTTCTCGCTTGTCGATGAACCCTCTGCCATGATAGGAGAAGGCGGAGGACTGGGGAGTGTATCGCCTTTAGCGCTAGTGCTGGATCGGTATCGATGTTGTACGGTGGCTCGCGATCGTCGTCGTCTGACTCGGATAAAGTGGTAGAATAGCCGCCTCGCCTGGTCTTGGCTAGCTAGCTTGAACTCGATGCGGAGATCCATGCGCCCAGGGCGGCATAGCGCCGGATCCAGAGCAGCGTGGTGATTCGTGGTCGCAAAGAGTATCCGGCCTTCCTGTGCAGCAATACCATCTAGGGCATTCAGTAGACCACTGAGTGACACGCGACATTCAGCCGCGCCCTTCTTATCTCGTGTTCCCTGGGCCAGCGAGCCACCGCCGTTATCTCCGAACCCCTCTTCCTCCGAGGGCCTGCGAGAGACACCTCTGTGGAACGCAGCGTCGATATCCTCTATCAGTGCTATGCACCGTTGGGTAGTTCAGCTACAAGCTGACTGAGCGTATCATCATCCAGCCCGGCACGATTGAGGGTCAGGATGTAGATATCAAGGCCTAGTTCGCCTGCCATGCTTTGAATGACAGACGTCTTGCCCGACCCAGGAGCGCCGTACTGAGCCACGGCCATGGTTCATGAGCTATCTCCAGAGCGGCGAAGTAGAACTTGGATATGTACGCACAAGGAGATACCCTCTCCGAAACGGAATGCCTAAAAGCGGAGATTGAAGAGAAGGCCCGGCATGTGTGCTCAATGAAACTTACCTCGTTTTGCATACCATTAGCACTGGCGAGGAACTCGCATGCGTCATGCATTAATCTTTCCTTGATCCCACGTCCAGTATGATTGATTTAGGGGACGTTTTGGGCGCGCAGATACTTGTCTCCAAGCTCTCCCGCTGTAAGCCCTACTGAAGCAAGTCAGCGGATTTCACGAAGGCGCGGACATGAACCTACGTGTCTTGAACATAAGCAGAAACAAATTGTTTGTGCCTTCACGTAGCATTTTTGGCTTCCACCAGAAGTTCATCAATGATGAATTGTTACGGGTGAAGAACTATGAAACCCAAGCGTCAGCAAGGGGCCACGAAGCTGTCATCACTGGCAGTTGTCACCTGATATGCAGAGATTCTCTCCAAATGTCATATTCTCCGTGGACGCGTTCGCGCTGCACGACCGTCCAATATCCCTTGTACCACATGGTATGCTTGATTTTGGTACCAGGCATTAGGTCAAGGTATGGGCAGTACTGTTCCTCTCCACTTGCTGGGGGATGGTAGCTCCATGGGAAGGGACACCGTATGTCCGTGTAGTCGCTTGCACAGAGCGCGCCTCATCTGAACTGAGTGGTCAGCTAGAGTGAGACAAGAGCAATACTGCTGACGCCAGGATGGATGTTCGAGAGCCAATACATGACCCAAGCTTGAAGTAATCGACGGTCAGAACGGCGAGCAGGGTCGAGGCCTCTCACTCACTATAGCAGGCATCTTCATCTTCGAAAGACACCGTCACCCAACAGGCTTGATGTACAGAATCCAGAGTCTTCGAGGATATTTGACGCAGCAAGTCAAGCATTGCTGCGAGTAGGAACAGTCTCAGCCATTCGGGGAGGCAAACGCGAATATGCTGAATCAGTAGAGTGCCGTGAGCAGCATGTCGGTCTGAAGATGTCGCGCTGAGTGTCAAAGGCCTCGCGCTAGCAGTCGTGCCCGTATAGTTCGTCGATTCGTCCATTTAGTGCTCGAAAACGCTAGTGACGCGACCAGATGTGCAGAAGCGGGAAGAAGACGCGAAGCGCGTCAGGTATGGATCCTTGACACAGTTCTTATACGACTTCGAACTGAAGCTCTCACAGGGGAAAAAACTGGGGTATGCGGGTAGAAGACGTAGACGCACACACATGTTGGGAACACGCGCGGATTGACGCGGATTGACGAGCGTAGACGGATAATTTCGAAGCATGATCAGCATATGCACATGTTGAGGTAAGGTCATGCGTCCACTAGCAGACAGCGCGGTAGACCTCTTCCATGTTCATTCCATGTCGTGCGTCACTGAGCAAGACATGTCGCATACAATTGTTTCGCGTAGGCAATTGATCTGCCGAGTAGAAGGCGAGGACACATTAGGCCAATGGAACCTGAACTTGAAATATGCCAGTGATCAACGTGTACGGATGCGGACTGACCGTAAGTAGATCCGGAAATGGCGAATGACCTAGTATGCGTACTTACCTATAAGTATATATAGGACGAACCTTCTACCCGCCTGCGCAACGTTCAGTCACATAATTGGCCAGGTTGCTGGTCGCTGATCGTTGGGGTGCGGGTGCAAAACGAGGCGGAGGTATCGCGCATGCAAACGAAGTGCACTGAAGATGCTGACTTGTGGGTGTCCACTGTCCAAGCACCCAATAAGTAGTACTACGTGGCAGGCACGTGCCTCGAAGTCGGAACAGGTTCCTCGTCCTTCCGCACAAGGGTCCTCTCGCTGAACTCACAATCCCCGAAACCCTTCGCTGCAGCCCTAGCCTCATTGGCATCCTTCAGTTCGTTGAGAAACTGCTCTTCCGACATACGGACTAGCGGCCCGTATTCTTTCAAATATCATCGAAGGCCTAGCTGTGGCAGTGTGCCACACGAACATCATCGTGTGTCCTCAGCCTCACGGTCCTAATCAAACTGAACATCATCAGGTCGTTCGTAATGTCGGAAGCAGTATTAACCATCTGATCCCGCTAGACTCACCACGTCCTATGTGCGTGAATCTAACTACTTCCCATTCCCTGGACTGACTAGCTGCAGCGGTATGGAATAGATGTGAATCTCGAATCTCACTGACCCTGCTTACTACATTGAGCCCTATTCTGATCAACGTAAATGCCGATTCACTCTCATTCTACCCAAGCAGCGTTGACGTTTTCGAACAGCCTGCTTATGCCGTTCTCTCAGTACAAACGCGCGAGCTATTATTCATCGAGATGTGGATCGGTCAAATGCTATGCGAAGCCTTCAATTGGGTGATCAAACATTATCGAGGAGATCGTCCAATAGTGAGTACTCGCTTGTTTTTATCGGCCCCCGCACCAGGTTCGATGCAGCTCGTGTTTTCAATGACCAGGGTCGCATACATGGAACCGATCATCGCAGTAGTGCTGGACCCTGTGGCTCCGTAGAACACTGTTTCAGACCGCATAGCCACACAAGCATATGCGTGATATCTCGCAGTCTAGAACCGTCATCTCTGCGTGTGGTGGTGTAGTCTTCTCCGGCTAACGATATGGACTTCAGGCGAGCTCGGCGAAGGGTTCGGCTTTCCGTCATCGCATAGTCAATGGATGGGCTACTTTGCGACCTTTCTCATCTGCCACTTGACATTCGCCACCAATTCATACCCACAGGCTGGCGTGTCGTGACATAATCTGGCGAGGGCTTGTCCTTGTGGTCTTGTGGCGTGGGCGATAGCGGTGGCCTATCACGGTAAGCAGAGAAATTTCTACGAACCACAGCGATGATTGACGCAGCTGCTCAACCTCTTTTCAGGTACTATCTGTCGTATCACACACCTCGCCAGGTCATCTGGGGCCTGCCATAGGCATCCTTTTTGGCATGTGGTACTACACGGTGGTCGAGATCCTGCCTGCTGTGTGGCCAACGTCGCTCTATGGCCGCGCACGAATAGCCGCACTGGGGAACCCAGTCAGCACATGGTTTAGGATCCGGGACGGCTGGGCGGTCTGGAGCGACGGCGGAAAGGAGGAGAGTGGCTGCGTTGGAGGGCTGAATGGGAAAGGTCTAGATTAAATGATGTTGGCAGTTCTCCAAGAAGGAATAGTGCAGTCATAGGTACGCGGCGTGGTGTCGCGGCGCATGAGCATAGAGCTCACACATGTCACGACGGTCTGCAGCTGCTGACTGTGTCTTGCTATCGATGGTGACGCGCCAGACATCTTCCATCGGTGTCCTTGCCTCGTTGTGTGGCCCAATACACACAGCTATATTGTCGCCGTTCGAGGGCTATCACGGCTGAAAGAACTGAAGATATCGCGCCTTAGTACATCACCATTTCTGTGCCTGGCGTGCTGCCCAAATTATTGCATGCTGCCCTGAGGTAGTGACTCATTGCAGGGCTTCGCGTTTACTCGCGATGGGACTTCACGAGGCCACGCGAGGCACCTGCGCCGTCCACACCATTAGCGTTCACTATGTGAACAGACGACGTGCTCTGACTGTATGAAAATTCAATCATGTACAGCTGAATGCGTGGCGAGCCCTCAGGCTGTACATATGACGGTGTCTACGAAGGTCGAAAACTGCGTCGGACGCGCCACGCCCACGTGATCGTGTAAACAGCGCCATTTGTTCTGAATCTCTGCGCTGGTACGACGTACACCGAGCGCTCTCAGACCCCCAGACCTCCGATTGCGGTTTCTCGACGGTAGGACCTGTGATGCTGCAGCATTCCTGCAGTATAGCATCTGGAATATCACAAATCTGGGGATATACGAGGGGCGCGACATCTTTCCACGCGAAACATGTCTTCTGCACATCTACCTGAATGTCCGATCCCCATCTTCACCACCGTTGCCTCGTATCGAGAATGGAGGAGAAAGGCCTTTGATGCAAAGCAGACGGTCGGGTTCGTGGCGACGATGGGAGCACTGCACGAGGGGCACCTGGCACTAGGTACGTGCGGCCGAACATTGATCTTGGAGGCTACTGAGAGCCTGACGATTTCAGTGAAGAGATCATTAGCTGCCAATGATCTCACTGTTTTATCCATTTTTGTGAATCCCGCACAATTTGCGCCTCATGAAGACCTCGCGACATACCCTAGCACCCTTCCCCGCGACTTGGAATCACTCTCGGCCATGTCTCTTCAAGTCAAGGTACAGGGGAGCAATGAGCCTCTGACTCGGACTCCTTCGGCAGTCTTTCTCCCGACGGTGTCGGAGATGTATCCCTCCGGGATCTCGCAAGATGTTTCGCTACAGAAGGGAACATTCGTGGAAGTCAAGGGCTACGGACACCAGATGGAAGGACAAAGCAGGCCCACATTTTTACGTGGTGTCGCCACTGTTGTGACGAAACTTTTCAATGCCGTTGAGGTACGTTTCCATGCTGTGCGCCATTGTGGACCGTCACGGAATGCCTTCTAGCCGACCCAGACATATTTCGGTCAGAAGGACATACAGCAGGCGCTGCTTTTACGCCGCATGACAAGAGATATGTTGCTGTCTCATCCCTCGCCTGACAAGCTCCACATTGTCCCGACCGTCCGGTGCGTGCATTGTGTCCGCATAAACGATAATGTAGCTCATATCCGAATAGTGACCCTGCATCCTCAGTCGCGTTGTCATCCCGCAATGCTTACCTCACGCCGCGCGAGCGTGAAGTGGCTGCACCAGTTCTCCATGCAGCGTTGCAAATCGGAAAAAGCGCGTGGCAAGATGGGGCAAGCAAGCAGGATTGCGTTCGCCAGGCTTGTGCCCTCATAATGGACATGGCAGAGAAGCTCAACGCATTCGACAATGAAGAGAAGATCAATGTCCGATTGGACTATGTCGAGATGAATGACACGGAGAGCTTTGACGTGCTTCCGGACAACATTTCACGGGTGCAATGGGATTTAGAGGGTTCAGAGCGCGAGGGTCGGCCTGTCATCCTCAGTGGTGCGATGTGGGTCGGACGGACTAGGCTGATTGACAACATCATATTAGGGGACACACGAAAGCTAGGAATAATCGAATAGACATTGTGGGTTTGGCAGTCTATGATCACGCTATTGATAGCGTCTCGGGGCTCGTCGGCATCGACGGTGGGTGTCCACACGTCCGTTGGACGACAGTCTTGAACCAGTTCCTCCAATCCGCCAGGACTTCGATGTTCGAAATCTGCTCCTTCGTCAAAGTGACCGTGGGCGTGTAATTAACCGGTGCCGAAGGGGTTGTCGCAAAACAGATGCTTGACAGGACCATTGTTATCCTCTCCATGCCGTCAGATTCAGAAATCCGACTGCGCGGATGCGGGACGAGCCGCCTGATGCTCTCGTCGCCGAAGAAGTCGACGAGGTGCTCGAGCTCCATGTCGCCGATGAACGTCACTCGGAAACGTGACCACGGGTAAGACGGCAGACTGTCGTCGGGAAGACGCTCCAGGAGAACGAAGAGCACAGTCCTTGTCTCGGGGGCGGTCGCACTACTATGAGCGGGGCGGATCAACGAGTTACACCCAGCGGTGAGGAGTGCTGGCATGAACTTGTCTCCGAAAACGCGTAGCTCGTCCAGGAGTTGCTCGGGCAGCGCGGCGGAGTGTTTGGCCGCCTGAGCGGCGGAGACTAGCGAAAGGTCGGAGAGGAGCTGATAGTCGACTTCCTCCACCCGAGCCCGGCGCTCGCGGTCAAGGCGGCAGCGCACTCTGTGCGTACGCCAGTGGGCCTTCTGACATTCAGTGCTCTGTTCAGGCGAGTCAGATGAGTGTTGAATAAGCGGCCACTGTTCTGCACTTACACAGTAACGCGCGACTTTACAGCCACTGCATGTGAAGAGCCGGTCTACCTCCTTGTTACCCTTTTGGCCTTGAAGATAGTTTCTTAGTTAACGACGATTGCGAGGACAAGAGGGGAGACACCTACAATGGGCACACTGGCTGAGCATACGTCGCGCTTCTTTCGTCTGCGCCCCCGACTGTTCATAGCATCGAATGCGAATCATGTCGTTGTCGACAGTGATCTGTGAGCCGTAACCAACAGAGGTGTGTGATAAAGTCGCTGCGATGTCACGTTCTGGGAGATGGTGCGTAGGTACCGTACGAGATCAAGGTGAGAGAGAGAGAGAGGCTGACGAGCCTCCATCATAGAACGCTCTGACGCAGACAGTCAACCATCCACTGGTCTGCTTCAGAATTCAGCATCAGTCTGAGGGTATTCGGATTTGGGCTGGCAGACACCGCACGCCTTGTCGCTCCCGAACCTCGACAGTACACAGGATCACATATGAAGGGCAAAGCAGTCACCTACGTTCAAACTGCATTGGGGTAATATGCATAAAGTCCGAGCCACATCACTGGAATCCATTCCTTTGCCGACCATACATCCAGCTGATATTACGGCACTAGCGCTTCTATGTATATCGTCGATATAGCATGTTCGACTCGGGGTCCCAAAGGTTGTCATATTCAGGCTCGGATGCGTCGAAAGGTACCTATGGACGTGTCAGCCCTACCCAAGAGCATGGAACAGGAACATGTACCGTACCTCGGTGAGCTTTTCATCGAGATCTTTGCATAGGTTGTCCAGCACTTCTGCCACTGTTCGCAATCCGTCCGCGATACATTGAGCACACCGATGGTCTTCATCGTCGTCATTGCCATCCCCATAGACTTGCTTGCGAAGGTAGACACTAGTTTGAAGGGCTTGCCCGCATGGTCGTTCACGCAGAATGGAGGCAAACTCATCTCGTGCATCCTCCCTATCCACGTGGAGGACGTATCTGTGCCAAGGATACTGGCCAGATCCCCAGACACAGCTCCGACAGGCATAATGCACAAAATTGCCCAAGACGCCGTTGTCTTCGTCACCAAACTTGTGTAGGGTCATTGTTCTACAATCCGAGTGCTCGGTGCCCTCCCAGCGTTCGACTTGGAAATGTTGCCAATCGTTTGTATAGAACAAAAACTGCATAGCGGCCCCCACGCAACGGCCGCGGAACTCCATCAACGCGAAGATTGCAGCGGGCGGGATAGATTGAACCACCGGCGACTCGAACGAAGGAAGTTTGAAACGGAATGTCGCCCTTGCGCTGTTGGCTAGGTCGTCCTCGAAACCCAAACGCCATACAGCGCTGTACACGGCGAATGCGTCCTCGGCCGTCTCGCTGAACCTGTCGTCCAGGAGAGCTCTACGCACATCTCTGGCGACGTCGTCCATCTCGTACTTCTTCATAGCCTCGAGGAGCACAATGGTCTCTTGCAAGCTCTTCAATGCTGGATGGGACATTGGATAGCAGAAGCGAAGGAGATGGTCGAGCGTACGGCTGTTCTCCGGATTTCGACGACGGGAGTATCCTTGTCCTTCGAGGCGTCGCCAGAAACATCCGCTGGCTGCGGCAGAGAGAACATACCCTCGAATACAGAGGAGGCCTCGGAGAGGATCAGTTTGTGCACTCTGAAGTCATCCTCGTCTGACGAACGGAGGATCACGTCTGCAGATTCCTTCTTGAACGGGTGTTCGTACGGCATGGGTAGAGAATGACAGGAATGGTTGGAAGCACGATTACGACGCTATGCAGTTCACTTAGGACGTGCACCATCAGTGAACGACTCTCTGACTCGGATGCAAAGACACTAACCGTCACGGTGGAGGAGCGCAGTCTGGACGCAAGATTGTGGACAGCCGTGCGGCTTATAAGAGACCGGGTTGACCTCGTGTCTGTGCCAACAACAGCCGTGCAGCGCTCGATCAAGGCAGGAAGTAACCGTATATCGCCGCTCTTCCCGGGTCTCGCACGTTCCTAAGCCTGGCATTGAAGCGAATTGGGAGATGGGCCGGCTGATCATGGAATGAAGACCGTCAGCGAGTACTGAACCATCCACTTAGCACTTTACCAGTCGTTTCGCCTTCTGAGTATCGATATAACAGAGATATGCATAGCAAATGAATGCGAGATGTAGCACTGTACACTTCCTCCAGTATCCTAGTTTGTAGATGGCAAATGAATGTGAATAACTTATCTCCAACGAACCTGATACCTGATTAACTCAATCGTGGAAGGCACCGAACACGTCCTCGACCCTCGACTCCTTCCCTTTGTCACCAGTAGCATCTGCCCGGCGTTGATGACCGCCCAGGAACACGTTCCGATTCGGCGTTCGCCTTAGACGTTCGACGTCCGCACGCACGATCTCGTTGCAGAGCATGTCCAAATCGAGATCGTTCTCATCGTAGCCAAACGGCTGCTCGATTTCCTCTCCGGCGGCGAGGAAGCCTAGGTAGATGAACGCGGCGATACAGACGCCCGGTATGGTGTACCACTCGAACTGGCCGAGGAGCTGGAAGGGCAGAAAGAATAGGTACACCCACACCGTATGCCGGATGTGTACGGCATAGACGAACGGCAATGGCGTTGTCAGGATGCGTTCCAAGGAGCCTAGAGCGTCCTCCAATCCCGCCAGCGCGCCGATCATGCCTCCGAGACTGGATCCCGGTACGCTCTCGCGCTCTTCAAGCACGGACATCCACGTCGAAAGGGCATATAGGATCTCCAGGGGCAAGCTCTGACCGCCACCTGCGACGCGCGGTCTGTGCTTCACGTGCGTCATGCGCGAGGCGTCGTTAGTTTGGAGGTTCACGGCACCCCGTTCAGACACGGTGATCGCGACGCGAGGTTCTTTGGCAAATTTGCGCTGCACCCCACCGGTCGGCGCGCTCTCGTCGAATGCCTCTGTGACTCCTTGATCAGATGCCTCCCCGGCGTCTGTGTCTTCCGCGACGGTGATTCCGATCTGGTTCTCCTCGTCCTGTTGGAATCTTCGTCGCCCCAAGCTCACGAATGGCCATGCCAAGGCTCTACCAAATGCATTCAGCAAGGCGCCAGCCTCCTCTCCAAAAGGGATGAGGTCGCTGGAGACGGCCCCGAACACGCCCGAGTTGGTACGCCGCGCTCGTCCAGGGAGCAATGGGTGATGCTCGTGCGGATCATCACCCGACGCTACGCTGGAAAAGCTGGAGGAAGAAGCGTGGTGTGAGAGTAAGTGCTGCGATGCGAATGTTCCGTATGCGTTGATAGGTGGTATCACCGGGTCCGAACTTGCTCCTGCAGCTCCTGCGGTGGGCGTGACCTGCTCAGGAGAGGCGAGAGTTTGCGACACCCCATTAGAATGTTGTAGTTCGTCGCGAGGATGGTGGCGACGGTGATGTGGATGATTGTGAAGGGGTTTGACTAGGTCGTAGAGGTCCTCGTAGTAGATGCCCATCTCACTTCTGAGGTGATGCTTGACAGCAACCGCGAAGCCGAGCACCAGGTCTAGCGCCACGCGTTTCTCCTCCATACAAGTCTTTATCTCTTCTGGCGGCACCTCGCGGTCGGACTTGGGCGCAAGTCGAAGCGGGACATGCACCCATATGAGACGCGAAAGGGTACGTAGGTTGCGGATGACGTCTGACCACGAGCTGCGGCCTGTCCAATAGCGGTCATAGCCAGACATGGCGCGGTAGGATATAACGAAGCCGATGACAACACCGAGCACAGTGAGGAGGACGGGAGGAATGTCGAGCCTGATCTGGGTCTTCATGGACAGCGTGACCACACCAGCTGCGAAAAGCGTGTGTAACGTGACCGCGGGCCATATTCTCCATATCACGGTGTCTCTTCCGAAGGTCCAGTGGAGGAAGGTCTTTGGTTGCCCGAGAGGCACCTCATAGACGTCGGTGTACAGGTGCCAAGTTCGTTCCGAAGAGGCAGGAAGGAGCGTGTGGTGGCCGGTTGAACTGCGTTTCGTATGAGAGGACTGGTGGGAGAGCGATGGCGTCGGTCTTAGGGACACCATACCGTTGTGGGCAGACTTCTGCTTGTCTGCTAGGTTATGCCTTCGCGCCTAGATTGTGAATGCAGTCCCTGCGGATGCGCTTCGGCTCAGACGAGACTAGAGAAAGTTATATCTGGAGAATACAATCAGCGTTCTGAATGAGTAGCTATGGCCCAGTGAAATACGGTAATCACGTTAGGACTGGCCTTGAACGGTCTTGTGATCGTCTGGGACCGTCACTGCGGTTCTAAGCTGGATCAGTGATGAGGGGAAGGGTCTGTTCGCAGCGATTCAGTGTCCCATGTCGCCTTTGTATCATTGCTCAGTTGAGCACTCACATATGGGGTATACAGTGTGAAGGGACAGGATGACAGTGAAGACCCCATCAAGTGCACGTGTGGCTGCATCGACGTGTTGTTTGTGTGTGTTGTGTGCGCAAAACAACTGCTTTGGCGTCCGACTCCGTTTCCGAAAACGACATGTGTACGGTCACCATTTTTGATGCGGCTTCAATGAACATATTCAACCAACGAAAACTAGCCCCAGGCGATCTATCCTGAAATCATTGTTCAGCCTCCTTACTCAAATGTGAGTCATCTATTGCAGTGTATACGGTCACTGTGTCTTCGTCACGAGTTTGCCTGCCACTGGCAAGGTTCAGACTCTCGAGACGATGTTGTTGCTTCTTCAAGACACGCACTAATTTGGGCTACTGTAGAATCTGGCTCTCAAATAAAGATATGAGGGTTTATCGGTTACTCCGAGGTGCGATGCTCCTGGGCTTCAGAGTAATAGCGAACGCTTCCGTCACTCTTACTACTTAACGTCAGAGCATGACCGCATGCGGTTCCCTGCCAGGCGTTGGGACCTCTGCAGTCCGACTTCCCATTCCAATCCGGCGTCTATAGGCTAGTAGCAACGTGCTTCCGGCGTGCTGCGAGTGCGACTTCCTCACGGTCGGTCTCTCGCTCTGTCCTTCATCGTTCGTTGCGCACCACATCGCTCAACAAAACCCACATGGCAATGGCATCAGATCCGTCGAGCACCCCTCCTTATGCTTCGTCGCCCTTCGACCATCCGAAGGCCGATCTCATCCTTCGTTCCTCCGACCACGTCGACTTCCGTGTCTCCAAATTCATCCTCGAAGTGTCCTCAGTCTTTTTTGCCAATATGTTTGAGGCTAGCCAGGCCAATGACGATGAATCCCGAGACGGTTGTCCAGTCGTCCAGATGCAGGAGGACAGCGAGACGCTGGATAGTCTCCTGCGCATCATATACCCTAGGAAGGATCCTATCCTCGACGATCTCCCGAAGCTTCATGCCGTCTTGGCGGCTGCACTGAAATACGAGATGGAGGAAGCGACCAACCTAACCGGAGCGGTACTACGCTCTTTCATCCCGAAGGAGCCCCTTCGTGTTTGGGCGATCGCGGTCCGCAACCGGCTCGAGGAAGAAGCACGAGCAGCCGCGACGAGGTGATCCGTCGAATATTCAGTCTTGGATAGCTTCCCACCCGAGATGCTGGATATCAACGCTGGTGCATACCATCGCCTCTTCCGATATCACCGTCTGGAGGCAAAGGCGAGCAACCTTCAAATTCTGCGATCCTCCGGCGCACATGTGATGTATCTCCCGCGCCGCCATGTCGTTAGTGATCACAGATCATCTCGCCGAGCATAGTCGTCTCGCCTTTCGGACATCGTCTGCGTTCTTCGGATGGGCAGGAGTTCCCGGCGCATAAGGTGTGCTCGCAATCGCGTCTCCTGTCATGGCGGCGATGACGATCAGCTGCCGGACAGAATACCGTTGCGGAGGGGACCCCAGTCCGCGTCCTATTCGGCGGACGGCCTACCATCCTGTTGTTTGAAGAAGACAGCGTCACATTGCGGACCATCTTGGGCTATGTTACCCCGTCGCGTCGGGGAGGATGTTGCCGTTCAGGAACTCCATGTCTGCTGATCGTCATTGATGCGGCGAAGAAGTACGAGATGCATGACATCGAGAAAATCTGCAGGGCCGATGGGCGAAATCGGCGGCGTCAGATCCTTTACGAGCTTCTTGCTCGCTAGGTGTCACGAGGCGGTGTCGAGGCACATTGTGCTGCACGGATGCTTCTAGATGTATCATGGAGAATCCTACACCCCCATTCTGGAGATTCGCCGTCATCGATGTATCGCGATGCGTGCTGTACCATCGCTCGTGCAAGACTGCTTTGGATAGATCAAGATTGTACAAACCTATCGCCTTCAGCAGATCCGCGGTGACGAGGATGGGGCCATTCCCATCAAATCTGCGAGTTGCCGCAAGAATTCATACGAGGCGGCTCCAAGAAGTCTACGACATCGATTGCCTGGGGTTACATGCCAGGTACTCGGACGCGTGCCCCCATGTTTATCGTTGGCAGAACCATCAATAATACCCTGCGCCGACTGGGCGCAGCCCGGTTCGTTGGTCACTGCATTGGAGTCGCGCCAGGAGACGTCGATGTCGCCAGATATATCTGTGCTCAGTGCTCTCAGCCGGGCGATCAAGCAAAGCTGACGGAATTTTCCAAAACACTACATGCTCAGATATCCGATGAAATCAACAAGGTACGCCTTTCGTCCTGTATGCCTGACACCCGCCGGATGAACTGACCAATTCGCATTTGTAGGCTACGCAGACCACATCATGATAAGTGGCAATGCTTAAGTTAGTATCTCTCTCTACGCCGAGACAATGTTATCCATACCCTTGCGTACGTTCGCCGTGGCCGCAATGTCGCACTTTCAGATACTGAGACAGTCCAAACAGCCATAGTGCGTTGTACATCAGCTTAGCTCAGGAAGTCAACCGCCGTGGACATCTATGAAGCATCTTTGTACGTCTTGTATGCAGCTTCGACGCGCCAGTCACTAGGTTCGCGAGTCACTAGTCAGCGCTTCAAGCCGACTCTCTATCGCCACTACCGTCACAATAACTAAGGGTTAGGGAGAGGCAGAGCAAGCACACATCGCCAATTCTCGCTCGGCGCTCAGTTGCTCGCCTTGTTTGGTCTAGGTTACCGGTACTGTTTGCCTCTGTGGGTCCGATATGATATCACATGCACCTGCTCTCCCGGTCATCGAAAAACCCCGATATTATGTTGGGACGTGCCGACCGACGACTCACCACCACCTCCAGTGTGTACATTCGTCGCCGAATACGTTGAGCTTAATGCGCCTCAGACTCGATAGGCTCGAGACTCAAGAGCCCGTGCCTCACGAAGACACGTATATGTAAACCATTGCTATTGCAAGATTTGGTTAGAGTCAGAGGCGGGCGCTGGTGGGTTTCTTTTGGCTTAATGTAATGAACCCCAAGACTACACTCACGACTTGACTTCAGAGCGCATCTGCGGACCACATACGATGTCTAACATGCGAAGCACCGCGCATTGCGCTTCAAGTTCATGCTTGCTGCAGTCCGATCCCTGTGTCGAATTCGGCGTCTACTAATAACGTGCCTCAAGCGTGGCGAGCATGATGTCTTCACGCTCAGTACCCACTCCCTGATTCTGTCCTGGTCGTTCATCTTCCGTTGCGTACCACATCGCACGACGAATCACGCCATGGAATCAGACCTATCCAGCATGCCTCCTTATGCCTCATCGCCCTTTGACGATCCCGAAGCAGACTTCATCCTCCGTTCATCCGACCGTATTGACTTCCGAGTCTCTAGGTTCATCCTCAGAGTCTCCTCGGACTTCTTTGCCACTATGTTCGTGGCCGGCCAGGCCGAGAACGAGGAGAATCGAGACGGCTGTCCGATCGTCCCGATGCATGAGGATAGCGAGACTCTGGACAGTCTCTTGCGCATCATATATCCCAAGAAAGCTCCCATACTCGACGATCTTGCAAAGATTCACGCCGTCTTGGCGGCGGCGCTCAAGTTTGACATGGAGAAGCCGATTGATGTCGTGGGGGCGACTCTGTGCTCCTTCATACCGAATGAACCCCTTCGTGTCTGGGCGATCGCCGTTCGTAACAGACTGGAGCCAGAAGCACGCGCTGCCGCCGACGAGATCGTTTGTCAGGTCGACCTATCTGTCTTCAACTTCCCGCCCGAAATGCAGCATATCAGCGCCGGGGCGTACTACCGCCTTTTGCGATACCGGCGCCTGGAAGGCAAGGTAGAGCAAGAATTCAAGTTCTCCGAGCCCCCTTGTCGCCCCGACCCACCGACTCTCCCATCCCATCGATCTCTGCGGATTCTCCACAGTTCATTTCGCCGAGTCATAGTCGTATCCTATCTCTCGCGGACATCCTCTGTCGCTCATAGATGGCCAGGAATTCCTCGCGCACAAGGCGTTCCTCGCGCTTGCGTCTCCCGTCATGGACGCGATGATAACCAGCCTACCTGCGCCAGCCAGTGGAGACCTCACAACCGACAAGACGGGACATCTTCCCGTTCTATCGTTTGAAGAAGACGGCGTGACGTTGAGGGTCATCCTCGGGTGTGTTATCCACTCTCGAAGGAGACCTGGCAGCGACACGCAGGAGCTTCTCGTGCAGCAAAAGGTCATCGTTTCTGCAACGAAATATGAATGGACGATGCGATGGAGGGCCTGCGCACCAATGGTCACTTCTCTCCTCTCAGATCCTCTGCGAGCGTACTTGCTCGCAGCGTACCACAGGTCGGAGGCGGAGGCACGACAGGCGGCAAGGCGGCTCCTCGACCGGTCTATGAGCGACTACTATGTAGCGGCGCTGGAAGATCTCCAGCTCTGACTTATCGTGATTTGCTGCTATTCCACCAGCGTTGCGATGTGTGGTGCAGCAGTGCAAAATTGAAGTTATACAGCATCTACCAGTCCTCTCTGGCAACACCGATTATGGCAAACAACCCCTCACCAATATAAAAGACTCGGAGGCAAAAAGAAGGGGAAGAAACCATATTACAGCTCAGACTCTGAACTGGAGGAAATACGTCAACCGCCCGCCGAGCAACGCACCGACGCTTTAAAGCCATTCCTCCACAACCTCGAAAACGACTGGGGTATAGCGCTAGTCAACCAGATATGTGCTGTAGAGTCATGCGCTCCGCCGGACGACAAAGTCCGACTCGGATTGCTGGGTCCGTACAAGAGGCTGCGTGATAAGCTCTCGGAAGATATCACGAAGGTGAGACCTCTACATACTCTAATTGAATCGTTCGACGTCTCACGCCACTGAGTGCCATAGGCATACACGGAATGCATAGGCCTGCGATCGCAGGATGGGACGCCGGAAACCGTGTAGCGTGATGTCGTTCAAACACATACCAGACTTCGGTAAACTGTGACCGGTTCCATCCTATGCATATGTATACTATCACTGACAGCACCTTCGTAGTCTCTGCCACTCAGGATACAATGGTACAATCTGCTTACTGGTAGTATGCCGACAGTATCCTCCGTACTACTGCTCGCTAGTCACATATGTCGAAGGGCCGTTCAACGTCTGTTTGATCGTGGTACTGTGGGTAATTCAAAGTCGGTGCGTGCTACTTCAAGTTGCTGGTCGAACGGCGACATCATTGAACATGATGTGAGAGTAAGGGCTGAAGGTCATGACTCAGCGGATGTCGTCTCCTTCCCATGCGCAAGCATGACTCTTCTCGTGCAGAAAAGCGGTAGCAACGTCGTCGTCCGCTACTGCTGTATTCGATAGAATAGTCCCGTCAGCCCGAGATCGATTTGTGCAGACATCGATTCGGGCGTGCCAGGAGAGCCGGTGTGCGATACAGAATCGTACCGCAGAAGGCGTCTCAGAAGTCCACTTAGGGCTGTACTGCCTTCATCGCGTTCACGTCTCGAGTCTTCATGCTGCGAATCATGCTGAACTTCATCTTCAGCCGGTAGGGGCCGAGAGCTCGTCGGAGCGAAGTCGTCGATAGACGGGCCTTCGGGCTGAAGACATCACCCTCTTTTGCCAGTGAAGTCCTAACTATCTGGTTAGAAGTACCCAGCAAGTTTATTCTCAGCCGGTAGGGGCCGAGAGCTCGTCGGAGCGAAGTCGTCGATAGACGGGCCTTCGGGCTGAAGACATCACCCTCTTTTGCCAGTGAAGTCCTAACTATCTGGTTAGAAGTACCCAGCAAGTTTATTCTCAGCCGTGTTCGTTCGTTGCATTTGAGGTACGACTACATCGTGAGATGATACAACGCATTACTTCGGTAAGACTGCCCCATTCTACTCATGTACATCCTACAGGGGGTATCGTTTCGGAGACGACCGCTCAGGCAGTCGGGTCGTTAAACTGTTGTTGAGTTTGGCCCTGGTCATGGCGCAGATTACCTTAACAGTAGGTGAGTACGATGCCACTTTCTCATCGTGCCAGAGCACTCACCAGCAATCTCTTGTTGACGGTCGCCCGTGATCGCGCCAACGACGGCGTCCTTCTTCCCGCCGAGGCGGTCGATGGTGCCCTCTGCATACTGCTTTGCCTGGGCAGCTTGGTACTCTGCCTCGCCCTGGGCGTGCTCCTCCTTCCCGGATTGCCTCCAGGACTGGGCGCCGGTGAGGTCGCCGACCGTCTCGACGACGGTTCCCTTCAAGGAGTGGTACTGTCCGGTGGTCTTGCTACACATGATCTCGTCAGTATGGTGTGGATGTGTCTGGAAGGCCACACGACTTACTTGGGCTCGGCGGCGTTGTTGCCACTAGTGTTGTTCTGAGAGTCGGACATGATGATTCGAGGTATGGGAGAGTTTGAGTGATTTGGTGAAGGGTATGTGAGACTGATGGGTCCTCGAACGGTGGCTGCCCGCTCTTATGTACTGCGACGAGGGTCTGACATTGGCGCTGTTGCACAGCATAAGAGAGCACCAAGTCGCGTCATTTGGCGGAGCTTCGTCGTTGTTTGCGACCCAGCCTGCCGGCCTGTGATTCTAGGTAATTCTCTGAAGTGACGCATTTACACCACTTACCTTTCCCAGCTGGCAGCCCGTCGGGATGGCCCTGAGAGAGCCAGGACGGCTTGACAGCAAGACGTCATCGAGGCTCGTCCGACACTGACGTCATGTGGCGGGCGCAAGGCGAGCGTCCGCGCGAGATCGAATCTCGCGATTTGCTTCCTCTGCGACGCGTGACGTCATTTTGCGCAAGACGCGCTGCCAACCGAGACGCGTCGCCCGTCATGCCAACTTGACGTGGAATGGTCTTGCTCTCCTCGACCTCTTTATAAGAACGACACCTGCGATGTCGCCTTCTCGAACTTGAATACGACCCCCATCATACCCACACAACTCGTTCACCGTTATGTCTGGCAACAGCAGTGAGCCCAGGTGCGTGATCGCGTACGTTCATTCAGTTTGAGCACTCTGACGCGCATGCACCCACTTGTAGCAAGACATCTGGTCAATTTCATTCGCTGAAAGGCACCATCAACGAGACCATCGGCGATCTCACCGGCCTTCAGTCTTGGAAGCAGTCGGGCAAGGAGGAGCACGGGCAAGGCGAAGCCGAATACCAGGCGGCACAGGCGAAGGGCTATGCGGAGGGAACAGTTGACAGGCTCGGCGGAAAGAAAGATGCTGTGGTGGGAGCTTTGACTGGCGACCGCCAACAGGAGGCTTCCGGTGCGTGTGTCTTTTCGACTTACAGAACGCAATCTGACGACCCCCTTGAAGGCAATGTTCGTCAAGACAAAGGCCAGACCCAGCAGGACTTCAACTCATGAGTTCCAATGCCTTGTGCGATGGCGTCATGGTGTACGATATATACGAAGGGTGGTGTCAATGAGCGCGTCTGATTCGTAGTCATTGTCCACAATTCACCGACGGCCGTTCTGGAATCGACAGTCAGGCAGAATGAAGATATGCACATGTTCAGCGACATGCCAATCAAAGAGCATATTGTCCGTCGACGAATCCAATTTGTGCAGTTGAATCACAGGCATCCGGTACGTGACTAGCTAAACGGGAAAGTTCCTTGTTGTGTTGAGATGACTCGAGACGATCAATACAAGCGGCCAGTGTACCGTACGCTGTCACCCATCCAACCTGCAGCATTCATACGATCCCCGGGCCGGAATTCGGCCATCGCGTGGATTGACTTACTACGGCCTGGGGCCTTCCGCATCTTCGTCGTACCTCGTATAGTATGTAATCCGAACATGCCTGCGGAATGATCAATGATCAGACCTTGTATATGCCATGCTGGTCCACGTACTTGGTTGATTTTGTCGATCAGTTGGCCATACAGCGCCTTGTACAGCGTCCGGATTGCCGACTGGTCTTGATCATCCGGGGGCGGTGTCGGAAGCCAGGTCGATTTGGATGAGACCGACAGATCCTTCAGTGACTCCAGCGTAGTGAACAACGCATCTGCGGGCGATTCTAGTCGCTTGCAAACGTGCGAAACAGAGTTTGCCAGTGATGCACAGTGGGTGCAAATCCGCGGAGGATTGTCACGGCAAGCAGAAGACACGTTTGCTTGGCACGAATAATAGTGGCAACTACAAGTATACCCAGTGCACTGGGTAGACTTCCGTGGGACGGGAAAGGCGTCTTTGAGACAGGGTTCCACCTCCAGATGGAGCACTTGCGCTATATCGCAAGCCGTGGTCTTGCACGCTCGATGATACAATAATGCGTTGCGATATATAGATGACGGCGAGCTCTCCAGTGCGGGGACGTAGTAGTCTTCCAAGGTCCGATCAAGTAGCCGCAATGCCGCCTGACGCATTTGTGAAGAGGACTTGCGAGTCGCTGCCAGTAGATATGCTCGCAGAGGGTCTGACGCCACCAGCCGCGACCACTGGCGCTGCAGAACCTCCATCGCGACGTCCATTTCGTATTTCTTCAGCGCATCATCGAGCTTGGGTAGTTCGAGGAACTGCCTCGCGTCCCGATCGGCAATAGGGCGACATAGGTCGATAAGGGCCTTCAACGTAATACCATCCTCCTCAAAGGTTAAAACTGGGACATCACATGCCTCTGGCGACGCGGATCCAGCTGTATCGTCGTTCGTGTGACGAGATGCGGCGGGTAGGCTCGTAAGCATCGCGGCCATGACAGGGGATGCAAATGCGAGGAACGCCCTGTGCGCTGGGAATTCGCGCATATCTGACGAGCGGCATATGACATCCGTGAACGTCTGGACGCGACTTTGAGGCGAGACGACAGATGCTAGTGGAGACAGTGGAGGTGATGGAGAGAGGACGGGAGGGAAGCGAAATTCGAAGGTATCTTCAACCTTGCCTTCCAAACGCCGGTATTGCAGGAGACGATAGTACGCTCCAGCAGTGATATCCTGCATTTCGGCCGGGAAGGCGTCCAATACTGAAAGTCCCTGACGATTCATCTCCTCCGCTGCAGCCCGGGCTTCCGTTTCGAGTCCGTTACGGACCGCGATGGCCCAGACACTGAGTGGCTCCTTCGGCACGAACAACAGGAGAGTCGCACTGCCCAACATGACTGCCTCCTCCATCTCGTACTTCAAGGCGGCAGCGACAACGGGATGAAGGCTCAGGAGACCACCGAAGGCGGGATCTTTCGTCGGATAGATGATCCGGAGGAGAGAGTCCAGCGTAGTGCTGTCCTCCTGGACTGGAACGACTGGACATCCGTCCCGCAAGTCGTCGCTCCCCGTTTGAGACCCGTCAGCGGCAACGGGCGGCGCTTGACCGACCTCGAGCATGGAAGCGAAGACGGGCGACGCGAGGCGTAGGATGACGCGGAAGACGCGAAAGTCGACGAGGTCGCTGGTGCGTAGGATGAGGTCCGCGGTTGGATCATCGAAAGGGGCCGATGCATAGCGAGGGGCTTCGCTTGGTGTAGGCTGTGCCATGGTGAGCGTAGGAGTGAGGGCGTGAGGCAGACTGAGGACAGCAGCGAGGGCAAGGGGTATAGGGCAGGGCAAGGTTTGAGGGCAGCAGTGAAACACGCACTGAGCACGTTGCACAGAAGTGTGTGTGCTGATGGCTTCGTCGCACGATGCTCCAGGATCATGGTCACATCTCTGGCAGGAGAAGGCTCAGCAGGGCTTTAACTCATGGATAGATTGTGCGTGTCTTGCCAATATGTAGCAATGTTAGGCTTGAACCCGTTCTGTAGTGGCTTGATAGTAGAGTTACAAGGTTTTGTGCGACGGCGTTATGGTGTACGATATGACGGATGGTGTCAATGGGCGCGTCTGACTCGTAGTAACTGTCCAATCCACAAGCGGCCTTTCTGCAATCGAGTGTCAGACGAAACGTAGGAACATGTACGTATCCAGTGACATGCCCATGAAAAACGTTGTTCGTCGACAAACCCAATTTGTGCAGCTGGATCACAGGCATCGGTTACGTGACTAGCTAGGCGGGCAAGTTTCTTGTTTTGTTCAGATGACTCGAGACGATCAATACAAGCGGCCCAATATGCCGTACGCTGTCACCCATCTTCCTAGTACCGGACACCCAGTCTGATCTGCACAACTCACACTCGTGAGCACGACCCTGGACATTGGCCATCGCGATTGACTTACCGACCATCCACAGCCTATACTTCTATGTAATCCGAACATAGCTGCGGAATGATCATAGGGACCGTCAACAATTATACCATTCAATTGCGATGTGGGTCCACATACAGTGTTTGTCCTGTCAGTCACTTTGTCAAATAGTGTCTTGTATAGCGTCTGGACTGCCGACGGGTCCGTTTCTTCTGAGCTAACGCCATCGATCTCGTCGGATGAGACTAGCGAACTCTCCCAGGTTTTCAGCGTGGTGAACAATGCGCCGGATGGTGATTCAAGACGTCGGCAAATCTGGATGATGGACTCCCCATGTGAAATGCACCGGCTGCATACCTCCAATTGTAGATTACGGTAGACGTCGGAAGATGAATATCCACAACACGCGTAACGGTAGCCAGTGCCAGTGCATCCGGGAAATTTCCGCCGAACGACGAGATCGATTTCATGCCGGCCACCGGCGATCCATGTACGGACCGCATGGGCTACATCGCTAGCAGCGGCCTTGCACGCACGATGATACAGAAGCGCGTTGCGAAAGGTAGACGCCGGAGAGCCTTCGAGTATGGGGACGTAGTAGTCTTCCATGGTCCTATCGAGTAGCCGCACTGCCGCCTTATGGATTTGTAAAGAGGACTTGCGATCCACTGCGAGTATGTATGCCAGTAGAGGGTCTGATGCTACCAGCTGCGACCATTCGCGCTGTAGAGGCTCCATTGCAGCGTCCATCTCGTATTTCTTGACCGCATCAAAGACACGCGAAAGCGACAACAGATCATGACTATCGGTGTCCGAGTAATTTGGGTGGCACAGTCCGATCAGGGTCTTCAAAGTCGCACCATCTTCGTCGAAGGATAAGACGGGCAGGGTGCTCGCAAGGGCAGACGCCAAACCAGATTCTTCGCTCACTGCATGTTGTTCAGGAAGGCTCGTTACCAATCCAGCCATGACGGGAGATGCAAGGGCAAGCAGGATTCTGTGGGTCGGAAAGTCCTGGCCATCCGAAGACCGACAGATGATGTCAGTCAGACAACGGAGATGACTATGGTCCGGTGAGGAGACCCTGGGCGTGATTGCAGCGGCAATAGGAGTAGGGGAAGGTGGAGAGATGTTAGGCGGTACCAGTGGCGGATCGCAGAACCCGAAGCCCTCCTCTACTGCGCCTCCGAGACGCCGGTATCGTAGGAGGCGATAATACGCTCCAGCAGTGATGTCTTGCATTTCAGGCGGGAAGCTGTCCAGCACTGAAATCTGCTGACGATTCACCTCGTCTGCGGCAGTTCGTGCCTCCACTTCGAGTCTGTTGCGGGCGGCGATGGCCCAGACGCGGAGTGGCTCTTTCGACACGAACGACAGCAGCGCTGTGGTTCCTAGGGCGACCGCTTGCTCCATCTCGTACTTCAAGGCTGCAGCAATGATATAGTGAAGCTGTGGTAGATCACCGAGTGCAGGATCTTTCATTGGATAGATAATCCGGAGGAGTGTCTCCACGGTGGTACTGTCCTCCTGTATTGGAACGACGGGACACCCGTCCCGCGATTCGTCGCTCTCTGTTTGAGACCTGTCAGCAGCACCGGGCGGCGCCTGACCGACCTCAAGCATGGAAGCGAAGACGGGAGATGCGAGGCGTAGGATCAGGCGAAAGACGCGAAAGTCAACGAGGTCGCTGGTGCGCAAGATGAGATCCGCGGTCGGATCATCGAAAGGGGTCGAGGCCCAGCGAGGGGCTTCGCTTGGTGTAGGCTGCGCCATGGTGAGCGTATGAGCACGACGGCGAGGCAAACTGAGGGTAGCAGCGAGGGTAAGGCACAGTATGGCAGGGCAAGGTTCGAGGGCAATGATTGAAACACGCACTGAGCACGTTGCGAAGAAGTGTGTGTAGCTTCGCCGCACGATGCGTCGGGATCGTGGTCACATTCTCGATAAAAGAGGAAGTTCGTCTTCCAATCTCAATGCAGAGAAGCTTGCGGTCATTCGCAAAACTGCGAAAAGAGAAATTGGGTAGCCGATGAGATGATCGTCATCGCATGCTTCGACTGCAAGGCCATACTTGACGTTTCCAGTGAAAAGGAATGACTGAATGATTTGTATGGATTCCCCCTGGATTCCCCCTGGATTCCCCGTCGCAAACCTTGATACTGTCACTTGCTGGCGGCCCCACGTTGCCAGTGGACCGTATCCCCACCGACTCCGATGCACTCAGCTGCTCGCGTGGTTCTGCTTGATTCTTCAGACAGCATGGCACTTCGACGTAACGAGCGGAAGCCCCGGCAGTCTTAGTGATTGCGACCAGTTGCGACCAATATGGACGGGCGTGGATGAGCAGAATATTGAAGTATGAGAGGCTCGAACACTGGAGAAAGGAGAGCTAACTCTGACTCGGACTCCGGAGGGTCGAACGCACGACCGTGTCAGATCGGGATGAATCTACAGCTCGGGCGCTTCTTCGCGGCTTCCGCCGGGTTCTTGACAGAACGATCGACCCAATCTGGCGGGCATATCGGGGGCACTATCTTCAAACTCTCCGGGCACCTGCCAAGCACACATCGTCCGTAAGTACGGGTCAACTGAGGCGAATTCTCATCGTCATTACCTGCGAGTTCTGTATGTAGAATCTTAAGGCCGGTGTCTGCTGTTCTCAGTTCCCCGCTTATCAAGATGGCTCATGCCGACCAATCGTCATCGGCTTGATGGTCTAGAGGTATGATTCCTGCTTTGGGATCTTGATTGCAGGAGGTCCCGGGTTCAATCCCCGGTCAAGCCCGACGTTTTTGCCTTTTTTTTCGCGTCCACACTGCCATTCAACAATACAGCACACAGGCTCTACCGTACATAATCATACACTGGGTAGCCAGGCTGCCCTACACTAGTATAGACGTTCTCGTTTCATGGTACTCCTGCAGGTCATAGCTTCCCCGCGCCTTGTACACCCCACCCCTTCTCGTCCTCACCGAATGTCTCTGCAAAAGCGCCGCCAATCTCTCCCAGCATGTCCTGTGTGACGACGCCCCTGCCCTGCTTCGAGAATGCGCGCCGCGATGCCGTGCGCGTCACCATCGACCCGCCAACGGCCGCGAGCAGCGGAAGGCGCGACAGTGGGAGAGTCTTGTCACTGTGATGAGAATGCGTGAGCAGGTTGGCAGACGTGCAGGCGGGAAGATGCGGGCGTACCCATATGCTCCTGTCTCATAGCACTTTCCCCACGCGAGCATGGTGCCGACGGTCCCGCTGAGGATGTCGCCTTGCCCGCCGCAGCGCTTGTACCCGCCCGGTGTGTCGACGACGACTTGTTCTTCTGTGGATTGGCTTCCGGAGAGCTGTCAGCAGAGACATAGATTTCAGCGGAGGATCGGGAGGCAGGCGCGTGCATGAGCTTACCGTGCTCCCCGTGTCGGTCGCGATGATGTCCTCTTTGTTCTTCTGCAGGATTGTCACGCCGCCCAGCACGCGCGAGATCCGCATGGCGTGCTCGTCGGGCGGGCTCTTTGGGTCCACGCCCTGTAGCACAATCGGGGCAGCACAAGTGAGACTTCCATGGGAGACAGTGAGGACGGTGCGCAAGTACGCACAGCGTTATCACTCAGCCGCTTGAACTCCATGACGTTCGGCGTGAGGACTGCCTTGCGGTAGCCTTTGATGAGGCTCAGGTCCTGACCGACCATCCACAATGCGTCTGCGTCCAATACAACGTACATGTCCTGCAGCCGCAGCGTGATATTTTCATCAACTCACGCCATGCACGCGGAGATGAAGTGACGCGCACCTGCTCTTTCGCGATGTTCAGCGCCATCTTGGCGAAGTTCTGCATGTAGTCTTCTCGTCCCAGCCCGGGCCCAATTACTAGTACATGCAGGCGCTCCAACAATGAGGACAGAGCTGGCTTCACTTCCGCGGGCGATCTTCGATGCCCGTTGGACCCGGCACGCGGTGTTGATCAGTGCTCCGCCCAGGATAGGCAGCAGCGAGAGCACTCACTGGTCCTCACGGAGAATGGGGTGGACGATGAGGTCGGGGGAGTAGGATTTGATGGCACCAGCGGCGGTCGGCGAGCAGATGACGTGCGAGAGGTCTGCGCCGATGCGAAGAGCTGAGATGGAGGCGAAGAACGGCGCGCCCGTGTAGCTTCACCACGACTCGGGATCAATCTCTATGTCCCATGCAGAGTAGGATAGCCACGACGTACTCGAGCGCGCCGCCGAGGACACCGACTCGGCCAGACTGGCCCTTGTGAAGGGAGCCGTTGAGAGGCGGGATGATCTGCCTGATTTCGTTGAAGAGTTGGCGGGGAACGGACATTTTGATCTCGTCAAGTCAGTCGTTTAAGTCGTGAGCGTCGTACGAGGCGATGTGTGGTTGTGTAAAAGAGTAAATGCCACAGCCGTTGGGTTTTGTACGGGGAGAGCGTCGAGCGTGGAGGCAGCACGCCCGGTGACGTCGCCGTCCCCAGGGACCTGCCGTGGGGTTAGGGCTTCACCGACTCCAGCTACTCTCTCGCGCCACCATTTTGCCTACTTACATATCAGTCAGGTAATAGACTCTCCCGCTGTGGTATGACCAGTATGTATATATTTATAGCTAGGGCCTTGCCGTGCAGTGGACTCAACGATCGTCGGTTCAGACGCAAAAGAAGATCTTCCAGACTGATAATTAACAGAATGTCTTACTCACCCACTCTCCGAATCCGACCCGCATCGCACGGAAATTCACAAGGAAACGCATGGAGACTCGGACGGCGGCCCACGCGCGGGTACTTACGTTTCCTAACTCAGCAACACTAACCCAGAAGTTCCAACATTATTGAAGTCCGTGCTCGACACGAACACCAATATTCCGTCGAGCATGCATGCATGCGCAAGCAAACACCCAATCTAACTACCACTTCGACACAACAACATCCACACAGACTCAGTCCAACTCGTCGTTGTATATCGCCCTCGCGAACAGTTCTTCCTCGAACTCGCGGGCCAACAGCTCCCTCACCTCGCTGGGGCGGTGGACGGGCGGGAACGGTGGGCCATGGTGCGGGGGCGGGAGGGGGCGCAGGATGGGCTTCGGGCTGCCAGGAGGATGGTGCGGTACGGGCGGGAGGCGCAGGATGGGCTTCGGGCTGCCAGGAGGCAGTGTGTGCTTCGGGCCGACACGGTGCGGACCCCGATGCAGCCATCCCCCGCCTCTGGGCATCACATCGCGCGCCCAGAAGCTATCCTCGAGGTCTCGCTCGTACACACCCTCTGCTGCACGGGGCAGACTGTGGAGGGGGTCGGTTTCGGTGCGGCGTGCAACAGTGCATGGATAGACTACTCACAGTCCAGTGGGGAGGGCCAGAGCCGGCGCGGCGGTGGCAGCAGCGAGAAGAATCGAAGAGACGGCGGAGTAGCGCATGGTGGATCGTGAGACGTGCGTGACAGAAAGAACTTCAACGACGGTCGTGAAAAAAGCGGGGCTATACGGTGGTCGGCATCGGCATCCAAGAGGACTACGAGTGCTTTGGTACTCACCAACCAGTACCCTCGCTTGAGTTGAGCTCGAATGAGAAGAGTGAACTAAGGGATGGAGGGGAGAGCGAACCCCTTTTATATGTAGAACTCGCAGCGCCACACGCGCCTGCAAAAGGGTGTCTGGCGTTCTGCGAGTGTTCCACCACACAAGCGGCTCTCAGGAGAGCTCCGAGAGTGCAGAGAGGCAGACCGGCGCCGACAACTACGGTCACATCGCGGCCACACAGGTACACGCGGAGTTCACATCACCGTGTGCAGTCCGGTCAGACCCCCCCCCGGAAATCTGCGCGATATCAGTCTATGCCGTGAATGTTGTGATGCAACGTAGAACGCACCGTGAAAAGTACTACTAAGTGACATTTCATGCTGAGATTCATCAGCATGAGCTCATCTGGCCGCTCGTCATCTTCTGCACTATTCGCCGATGAAGCAGGACGTGGATACGATGAAGCAAGGGAGAAAGAGGTATCGGCCGCAGTGCGGAAGGAAGCTCGCTGTCACCACGGTAGGCTGCAGAGCATTCAAGTTGACGTCCTTCAAGTAAGACTCGGTGGTGCACAAAGCAATTGACTTGCTGCTCAGGCTGTGTAGGCAGCAGTGTCAGCAGCGAAGGCACAGTTCGGAAGGAGGCGTACCAAGCTTGGGTTGTGACGAGGCCTCGTTCTCATCACTGCAACGTCCGAGTGCAGAACCCAAGATACGTGCCACTTTGCTGTCGAGCCTTCAATCAGCAGATCTCAATGTCAACACTTGTATGGCGCTGTACATATCTCACGCGGGAGACTTCCGACGTATTGTGGATTTCGTATCAACCTCTATTACGACTATGGTCGAACGACAACGATGACGAGAGCAGTACATGCGGAAGTCTACTTAAGACCCGCACCAGAAGACCACGCACCGAACCGGATATCAAATGAGAAGCAGTTGATGTTAGTACAAGTGTAAGAATGCGAGTATGCTAGGTAGGATGAATCCAGTCACAGCGGACGAAGGGACAAGGAAGCAGAGACAAGTGGCGAGCGCAATCATGCCTTGGGCTTGCGCACGTACTTGCGCCTGTACTTGCTGTCGATGCTCTCGAGGTAGAAGCCGCCCGGCCAGATGTTGTCGAGCGAGCCCTCGGGGATGTACGACCCTGCGTTGTGGTTCTTCTCCCGGAGCTACGAGGTCTGCTGTCAGTATCCCACTCGCAATGCACGGGAGAAAGTGACGACTTACATTGAGCGCATCGACGTATGTTTGGCACGGCACGACCTTCATGCTCTCCAGCCTGTTGATGAGGTCCAAGTTCTCGCGGATCGTGGTCGTGTCACCCTTCACGCGGATCGTGAAGAAGCTGCTCGCGAGACCACTGCCGAACGCGAACATGCTGATGCGCTTGCCCCTAAGCTCAGCGGGCTCGACGCTCGCGAGGAGCGACGCGAGGCCGCCGTACAGCGACGCGGTGTACATGTTGCCGCACCGCCGTGCGCAGCGCATGCCGAACTCGACCGTGCCGTCGAACTCCTTCTTGGCGACGCCGATGAAGGTCTTCTCGAGCGTCTTGTCTGTCAGCGACTCCTTGTAGGGCTGCGCAAGGATCGCATCGGCACTCGGGACGTTTGCGTACTTCGGCGACTTGGGGTTAGCCATGAAGTCGTTCCAGACCTGATTGTGTTCGTTAGGACGTAGTTACACTCGAATACGCGTGAACAGACGTACCAAACGAGCGTGCGCCTTCTGCACCATCTTGCCGTACGGGCTGTGGAAGACAGGGTAGTCGACATCGTCAAGCGAGAACGCTGCAAGCGATGTAGCCGCCTCGCCGTTTCCATTCAGGCTCGCGACCTTCTTTGCCTTCGCGTGCTTCCGGCGGTAGGCAGTGTATGCAGCGTCGATGGCGGAGACGTAGGCGGTGATAGAGAGGGGGCCGTCGACCTCAGGGTACTCAGACTCGAGTTTGGGCTTGTAGAAGTCGTACGTGTTGGCCATGTGTGTACCATGGGTCGCTACATGACAAAGAAGGAAGTCAGCAAACCGCGCCTGAAACTTCGCCAGATAAGGGGGTGCGAAATCGGTATCTCAGTTCAAGAATAGGGACGCGTCATAGCCAGCAGGAGCGAAAAGCGCGATCAGGCGAAGCCATAGGCTAAAGGCAAAGACACGATACTCACGCTCAAAGACCAACGGGGCGTTGGGACCAATCAGCATGGCAAATGCACCCGCACCGCCAGTTGGCCGGCCGCTGCCCTCGGCATAGATGGCGATATCGCCGCCTACGACGATCGCGTTCCGGCCGTCCCAGGACGAAGACTCGACCCAGTTGATGGCGTTGAACAGGGCCGCGGTAGAGCCGTAGCACGCGTTCTTCGAGTCGACGCCCTCGACGTCAGTGTTGCCGGCCTCGGCGAAAAGGTCCATCAGGACGGTCTTTGTCGCCTTGGACTTGTCAATAATGGTCTCCGTGCCGACGTCGATGCGGCCAATGGACGCGGGGTCGATGTTGAACTTCTCGAGCATGTTGATGACGGCTTTCCGCGACACGAAGTCAAGGCGTGACTTTGCACTCATCGTAGCAGGTACTCACCAGTCAACGCGAACGAGTTGATGTCCTCCCGGTCGTCACAGCACGCCATGAACTTCTGGCCGAGACCAATGGTATACTTGCCCTTCGAGACACCGTCAAACTCCTCAAGCTCCTCCTCCGAGATACACTGCACACGACCTTCTCAGAACCAGGCATCGAAGAAAGCGTTGCTACCCACTCACCCTCTGAGGGAAATACATCTCCATGGCGAGAACACCAACGTCCTTGGGGCGTGCGGGTGCCTCGACATCCTGGTGGGCGCGCGCAGAGCCGTTGAGAGGGACAGTCATGGTGATGGGCAGGAGTAATAGAGTGGTACGGTCTCGCGAACAGGACGTACAGGGAGGGCTAAGGGAGAGAGGACGGCGATAATCAAGTGTTATATAGAATCTGGGTGCGAGATGGGGCGACAAGTCGGAAAATACTTTTTTAGCGAAATGGAACGGCTGGTGGTACGACCAACCCCTCCTGCCAGCCAATCCCCGCCGCTGATTGGCTGCCCCACGTCCCCTCGTCCGCTACACACCATCATGGCCTGACCTGCTCCAGCGCCCTCCTTTGTCGCTCTCGAAACCCGACGTCCTGCAGAGATAGCATCATGTCGTCGAGCGAGGGTGACTTCACGCGCGCCGCGGCGCGCTGCAGCCACCGTCGCACCTGCTCGATTTGGCTAGCGCGCGACTGCTGGCATCGCGCGTCGACGACGGCGCGTTCTTTTGTTTCGTGCTGCTAACCCACTAGCGGCCGTCGAACAGCTGTGCATGCCTCCTTATCTGCATGTCTTGTGTTGATCTTGTTATCGCCTGGAATGGACCGCGCTGTTAGAGCGACTCCATGGAAGTCGCCTGCTCAGCCAGTCCGGTTCATGGAGTCCCGGTTTCTCCACTGGTCTTGGTCACTCCAGACACGCTCGTCTTGTCCTCATCTTCAACTTACTCTCACGGAATCTTCAGGTCCCAGGCACGTAAACTAGTTCGCCTTCCTCCTGCGGCTTCACTCGCGATGGTCTTCTACGAACGCGTAACGTCCGACCCGGATTCGAAGGTGAGTCTGCCTTGGCGACTGTACGTACGTGAGCAATATGCTTTTCCTGACTTCGATGGGCCCGGTTCCGGTTATCTCACCCGGTGGTCTTTCTAATCGTACGGCGCCAGCGAGCCATCTTCCGATTCTACAATATGAAACGCAGTGGAATGACATGCAAGGGGACATGGCGTCTGATGTTGCAATCGGCTTACAGTGTCCTGTGTCCTATATAGCAAAATTGGATGACCGGCCAGTCCTACCTTCTGGACGAACATGGGAGTACGACTACTCATCTTGATGTTTTTCAGTCACCGTCACACTCATTGAAGGGCCAGACCTATGCGATTGAGCCACGATGCCCAGGCACTGCTAGGGCTTACGTTTGTGCAAACCTCCCCCACCCGTGCATGAATACGCCTGTTCGGTATGTTGACGCGAGAACGTCACTGCAATGATGGGGTACTTTTCTGTGAAGTGTCTCGACTGCCAAGTCTCCGCACGTTTACAGTGAATAGAGCAAGAGGCACTGATAGGCGTGTAGAAGTGTAGACAACCAGCTTCTCGAATTGACACGCCATCAACACTGCGGACCATACTGTCTCCGTGAGGTCGGCTATCGGTGTCTACGGCAGCAACAGCCTACCTGCTCCGTGCCTTCGGTGAGTGCGCATGAGTGTATTACTGAATGATATGATCCTAGACGAACCTCTCTAGCTGAGCTTCGGTGACGCAAGAAGGATGCGTTACTGTAATGCGATACTGTAACGGTGTGATGTTTCCAATCCCACTACTTTCTCTTGCTTACTCGACTTTTGCTCCTGCCATAGTGGTTGAGTACACCATCCCGACTTTAGATATGAGCGGCAAACCATGGACCGTACTGCACTGCGTCCCCTGTTGCAATGCCGGTATGTCAGTGCAGGCCTATCGCATACCAAAGGAGGCTTAGCAGTATAGCCCAGTACTGATATCACCGAACTCAATTATATCGAAATTGCTGCGTGTGGGACCCTGGTGGGACCAATGTACTCGGGCTCAATCTCAGACTGAGTGAAACTTGACAGAAGCGCGCTGATAAGAAAAATATGTAGCACGATTAGTCGACGGTGTAGTACCACTGCACTCAGATATGTATGGCATGATCGTGATGGGAGACGTTGCAAATTGAGAGCACACTGTGCAGCACAGTAACAAGATCCCAACAACTCCTGAGGCTCAGCGAAAGGCATATGGCGGTTCATTCCGGCCCGGCTGCGGCCAACATCCAGCTGTGGCGCAGGAGCTCTGATTGAATCACTCGCCATTACTGAAGGTTTCAATTTCCAGGACAGTACTGTCTATCGCGCATATTCTGACTTCTGACTCTTCGTCCACATACCCAACGTTGCAGATACTCAGTCTTTCATACCGCGAAAGGATCTGTTACGACTGTGAACGACCCGCAGATAGCCACATATATCCCTCCCTCATGCTAGAGCCACCTCAGGCTGAAGGAGTGACGAGCGCACAGGATGACTTGCACGAAGCGTTGGACAACATACACATAGGTGAGGGTATCTCAGCCGTACAGCCTGCCAACCCAGAACCCAACCCCTGGTACGACCCTGCGTCCGAGGCCCAACATGACGCCGGCAAGCACGAGCGTACGCTGCACACGCCCGATCCCTCATCCCTGGACCCAACGGCCACGCAGAGCTTCGTCTCAAGAGACATCGCAGCATCGCAGCCGCACGCGAGCGAAGATATCCTTTCAGAGTTCGACCCTCTGGCCAGCTCGGAGGAGAAGGCTGCGCGCGAGGCATGGGCTAGCTCTGAGGCCCACCCTCCACCTCCACAACTCCCACCGAAGGACGCGACGTCGCTTGCTGCAGTTGGCTCAGAACAAGCCGCTGAGGGCGCCTCGTCTGACTCTCAAGACCCCTCAACATCGGACGCACCGTCCGCAGCCGCAGCCGCCTTCCCTACGCTCGCCGCTTTCGCGCGCACCTTCTCCATCCCACTCGGACGCAGCCAGCGCCCACAGTCTCTCGACACCGCCACCGCCGTTCCCTCTCCAGCGACACTCTCGTCCTTCGCCCAACAGCAATCAACACCGCTAACACGCACATTTATGGTCGACCCGGAGAACTCTAGTGCTGCAGAGGTTTCGGGAGGCAGCGGCCGGAGCACGCCAGGAGTCCGCGATCCCGAGCGGGACAGAGGGAAGGCAGCCGAGAGGGCCAGCCCACCGTTTGACTTCCAAAAGTTTCTGGACCAGATGAAGCTGAAGGGCGCGGAGCCAGTGGCGAAGTACTTGCGGTCGTATGTCAGTGCCATTACTTTCGTGTGTATAGTTGTTGATTATATAGGATGCTACGTGCGTGTGCTACCCGATCGGTCGCGGTTGTGATTTCGTAGCTTCCTGAGCAACTTTGCGAAGAGGACGTTCACGGTGACTGATCAAGTGAAACTGATCAACGACTTCCTGAGTGTAAGTGATCTCTATCATCTTCTCCCTGTTGTAGTATTTAGAACGACATTTTTCATGTGATGTAGTTCATCGCGGAACGTATGCGAGACACGGACGTATGGAAGAACGCTACGGACGCAGAGTTTGATAACGCGATGGAAGGCATGGAGAAGCTTGTCATGAATCGACTCTACGACTTGTACGTCATCCTTTGCGTAGGTTACATACTCACGCATCCAAACATATTTTCAGCACCTTCACGCCTGCGGTAGTCCGGATGACTCCACCACGGCCAGTGACCGTGGACGATCTCGAGCGCGACCGCGTACTGTCACAACGAATAGCGTTGTTCAAATGGATCGAACCCAATCATCTAGACGTCCCTGAGGGCGAGGGCAGCGAAGGATTCTTGATGTTCGCCCAGCAAGGTTGGTTAGCTCATTCTTCACATGCGGTCGTTGACCTAAATCTCTCTGATCTTCCTCACTCAGAACTGCTCAAAGTCAATCACTACAAAGCGCCCCGGGACAAACTCATCTGTATATTGAACTGCTGCAAGGTCATCTTCGGTCCGGTTCCCTCTCATTGATCCGCGACCTCTGACTGACATGCCTTCGTGATTGATACAGGTTTGCTCAGACACCTTCACAAGGAAGAGGGCGCAGATACTTTCGTGCCTCTATTAATCTATGTCGTTCTGAAGGCGAACCCGCCTAATCTCATGTCTAATGTGGAGTGAGAAGTGCGAATAACCATATACCTCGGCTTTAGACTGACGATACACAGGTTCATCAATCGCTTCCGGAATCCTGCGAAGCTGCAAAGTGAAGCAGGGTATTACCTCTCTAGTCTCGTAAGTTCCGCTCACCTCGATCCCAAGGTGCTCAATCGATTGACGTTGTCCAGATGGGTGCAGTTTCATTCATCGAAACAATGGATCATACATCGTTATCCAACATCACACAGGAGGAGTTTGAGAGGTATGCAGCTGATGGGATTTTGCCCACTGAGCTAACGTGGATCGCTAGGAACGTCGAAATGTCTATCCAGTCACTACCAGCCAGCGGAACCGCGACACCCGAGTCATCTACTCCATCATCTGGCATCTCAAGAGCCTCGACACCAACCCGACCATCCCCTCACTTGGGCGAGGAATCCGCGCAGCCCCTCGCGCTCCCTACGCCTGCGCAGGCATTGAGCGAAGATGCGCGACGTCTACTGCAGAAGACCGGAGACACGCTCTCTAAGCCGCTGAACGCCATCAGCCGCATCTTCAACGAAGTACTCGACAACGCCGAGGAGTCCTTCTCGTCCCTCCCTGCCTTCAACCCCGACTCGACACGTGACCAGAGGCAGTATCAGCACCAGGAGCAAGACCAGCAACCTGGGTTCGGGGTCCCGCAGACGCCCTTCGGCGCAGGGGACGATGGTCAGCAAGTCGGCGGGTATTCGACGCCCTTGCAAACGCCCTACAAGCAGCGCGTACGAAGAGTGCCATCTCCGCTCTCGACAGGCCAGTCTCCCGGATCATACTCGCTGGGTTCGCCCTCAGGTATCGACACACCAACACGACCGCGCGGGTCAGCCCCGATGTCGCCGCAGATGGCACCTCCGCGGAGCGCCTCCGCCATCCACTCGCGGCCGGGTTCGGCGGACCTGCGACCACAGTCATCGCACGTCTCGCGGACACCCACGCCGAGCTTGGACCTGGCTGGCTTGCAGGACGAGATCGACGCCGCGCACGAGCGCGCGGCCGTCGCAGCGCGGGAGACGCTGAAGCAGATCTTCCCGGCGACGGATCCAGAGATCATGGACTGGGTTCTGGAGGCGAACGAAGGGGACCTTGGGAAGAGCATCGAGGCGCTTCTAGAGATGAACAGTGGGAGTTGAACACGTTGAGTGCGCAACGGGCTTAAGTATGTACCAGTAACCATTCTGCAATCGATATTCTTGACACATGCATCCCTAATCGAAAATATCTGATGAACTGGCTAGTCCAAGTAATATTTCATGCATGACTTCTACCAGTTGCTCCAGTCAATACTCATCAACTACACCTGCACGGCAAGGCGCTGCCCCACGGCCAGCGCCGGTGCAGTATTCAAGGTCTGACATCGACGGTTACAATTCATCAAAGTTCACCTGAATTATGAATAGACCGTCAGCACAGTCCCAAACTGATATAGCGAACCTCGTACCGCGTCTATCAATTGTTGGACTTTGCGAGCAATGGAGTCGCCAAATGTGGCGTAGGCGGACGGAAAGGAACAAGAACCACATTTGGTTTCTTGTATAAGAGTGACGAGTACGGCGGAAGCGATGGCCTCTTTGATTGTTCGCGGAGATGGACGTGGAAGCAGAATTACCACAGCTCTAGTGATCGCAGGAGCAACCCATCCCGCGACGTTATCCATATCGTAGTACACCGAATGCCGGCATAACATCATTTTTCGAGCTTTGACGTCTAGCCAGGTTGTCGTCGCTGAGCCAGCAGAAAAAATAGCTGTACTGCATCTAGCATGATAGGTGAGGAGACGGTGGTAATGTTGAGTCGACATGTCCTCCATGGAAGGTGAGTACGAAACCTCGATCTCCTGAATCGTTCCACCCAAGAGTGATTGTGCGGCGTCCTTGGCTTGCGTTGTCCAGCCATGAGAACACGCGAGAAGGTAAGCTCCGAATGGATCTAGAGATACGTATTGCGTCCAGTGCAGTTTCACGAGCCATGAGGCCTTCTCGCCCATCTTGTATTTCCGTGCCGCGTCCATGAGGCCAATGACGAAGGCCAGTTCTTGCAATAGCGGGCCAGGAGCGCAAGTTGGGTGATACAGCCGTAGGAGGACGTCGAGGATACCGCTGTCTTCTTCAATGGAGATGGATACATGCTCTCCAGTCGATGCAGCGACTGAGTGCGGATTCGTGTCTTTAGGTGAGACACTAAGTACCGCCGATGCAGCGACTACGAGCATCTCAGCGAGACCAGGAGATGCCATCGAAACAAAGCTCTTCTGCACGAAGAAACGGACCTTATCCGATGTTATGATCTCTGCATCGCAAGCGGGGGAATCGAATGGCAATTGGGCATTCGAAAAATCTGAGCATGAAGCTTGGGGTCCATCTCGTTCCTTGGCTGAGTCTGCTGGCTCTGGCGCGCAGAACACGAGTTGCTGCCAGTCCATTCGCTGCCTGCAGTAGTGCAACAGCTTGCGATAGCATGCAGCGGGGATCTGGTCCAACTCGGGGGTGTAAGGGTAGCATAGAACGAAGATGCCGAGTGAAAATGCCTGAGCGGCGGCGGCCTTTGCTACTTCTTCGAGGTGAAGCCTGCAGGCGATCGCAAAGACACGCAGCGGTTCACTTGCCACGAAGTCTTGTAACGCACGCTTGATGAGCCCAGCAGGTTTGGCCATCTCATACTTCATCGCAGCATCGAGTGCCTGATGAACGACATCGAGATCACTCAGATCTGGGTCCGCAATGGGATAACATGCATCTAGCAGGGCGCGCAATGTCCTGCTACTCTCCACCAAGTCCACAACTGGCGCGGGAGCGGCTTGATGCGAGGCTGTGGGCTGTGGAAGGCTGAACATATCTGCGAAAACTGGAGAGGCAATGGTCAGGATGACACGGTGGGCCTTGTAGGACACCCCGTCGGAAGACCGGAGGATGACATCCCCGTCTTCTCGGTCGTACGGCGACTGTAGTTTCACTGGAGTCAAGCCTGCGTCTGTTCCTTCAGCCATACTGAGCGGCGGAGGGACTGTTGATACTCGGCACAACCTGCGATGTATGTGAACTCGAAAATTCAGCTAGACTCTAGAACCGTCAAAACTTGTCCATCAACGTTCAACTCTCTGTAGCCGGTGCGTTGAGATGGTACGTACGTGGTCGTTGTTGGCGTGACACTAGAACAAGTCTCGCTCAGCGACCTGGAGCTCGAGGGGACGGCTGTAGTCTGAATACTGAGCAAGGTACCGATAGTAGTCACTGTCGATGCTGGGTCACGCCAGTCACATTTTGTGGCCATCAGCCACCGTGTCGCATTTGGCAACTATCGTCGATGATTCCAGTGCTTACTGTCCGTCCGTTGCTCGAGTTCATGCAGTACCATACAGTTCTAGTCACCATCTATGCCACTTCGTTTCTTTCGTTCTAATTGATACTCAATAATCACACCAACGTACGGCTCCTCCCCCTCCTTGAAGGCCCTTGACGATGCAATACTATACCGAACATAAATGACATCGTTGAAAGTTGTGATCCAACGATGTCTATGAGCTGCAGTACACTGTAGTGCATTGGTCATATTTACTATGGCGTACCGTTTGATGCAAAAATGAATCCCCCCTACATGAATCGGAAACACCCCTACATATGTTCGGCACCCACTACATACACTTTCGCAATACCATTACATACACTCTCATTGCCCACACTACATATATTTCGGCGCCGACCCCACTACATGTTCTGCAACCGACTACCCCTACATGTATCGCACTGTCATTACGTAATCCATTCTCAATAAGTAAGTCCTTTCTTAGTCTTTCTATGGACTCGAATAAGGCAATGGCTTTCTTCGCCCCGTCGAGCGAATGGGCAGAACCGCTGCTCGCCTTGTACGACGCGTTGCGAGCATCAACCCGCTCGACCCGCTCGATGTTGAGCGTCGCGAGCCCGCACTGAGTCTGGCCACGGGCACCTGCGCCGAAGGCGCAGGTGCCCGTCACATGACCCACGACTTCCTAATACGGCCAGGATCGCTCGATGGGATGGCAAAGCACGCAGACGGAGCGATACACAACGGAGGGCTGCGGAAATGGGTGAAATGTATTTATATGAACTAGATGCAGCACATGTACAAAAATTAGACCAAACGGGAGGATACTGGATTAAGTAGATGGGATAGAGTATTATGACTGCAGGAGCTCCTCCTCCTCATACTCCGAGTCGGTTTCCATCGTGTCGTCAGGTACTGTAGCTGTACTAGAGCTCGAAGTAAGTAATTCTAATGATTGGGATGAAGGAATGGGGGTGTCATTAGCTATAGGGCTATGTGCATTATTGTACTCGATTGCGGAGATCAGGGCCTCGATGAGAAGGTCTTTCTTACCAGTGACCTTGACTTTGGCACCGGGATTGGCCCGCTGATGCCAGTATAGCTGCAGCTTGATGTGCTTATCGACTGTGATGGTGCGCTTGTCGACAGTGCTCCAGTAATTGGCATCGAGGATCGGGGTAACACCATCAATGACCGCGTTCTTCTTCTCTTGCGCAGCGACACGAAGATCGCGTTTCTCGCGGTGCCTATGAACGCGTGCACGTTTTGCAAGCATGAGTGCATTGCGCTTCTTCTTGCCGAGGCCGGCGCGATCGAGTTTGCGTCCAAGCCTCTGCCTGTCCAAGCTGTTCAAGACGAGGGTGAGAATAGTCATTTTGCGAGACAGACCAACTCAATATCTGCCTCGGAAACCTCATACATGACATGCATAGCTGCCGCCACATAGCCCTCCCGTACAATGCGCGATATCGAGTGCCGATCAAAATCACCATCTGTCGCATACCCTGCAGCAGCGAGGACGATCTGGGATGCATCCTTGACCTTCGCATGTGGGACACCAAGCGCAACCAACTCTCGTATCATCGTGCGTGTGTCCTCCGTGATCATGCCACTCTTGGTCTTGTATGGGAAGATACGCTTCAGTGGGCGTTCCCGAAGCTGTCCACGAAGTTCTGAAAGAGCAAGCTTGTCCTGCTCGCAACGTTTACGGAAGCACTCAACCTGGCGAAGGAGCTTCTTTCGCTCCTTCCGCAAAGCGACCAACTGTGTGCAAGGAATCGTAACCAGATCAGAAGTCGGCATACCATAGGTGGCAGCCTGAGGCGTCGTCGCAGCGGTTTCGTGGAACAGCGAGGTCGAAGTTGTGCCAGCCTGAGATGCGCCGGCCTCCGAGTCAGAGTGACTCGTGGCCACTGAGGTCGATGTGCTGGCAATGGGAGGAAATGGAGAGGGAATGAATGTAGTGCTGGGATAAAGAGAGGTTGGTACTGCCGTAGTGTTAAGTTCTCGCTCAGCGAGTTTGGCCTCGAGCCGATGAATACGGCGTTCTGCGTTGTACTTGTCTCGCTTCGCAGCTGTCACAGCCGACTTAGCTGCAGCCTTGCTCCGCTGGCCCTCTGCTTTTGCAGCCGAGAGCTTATGCTTAGCATCAGCGCAGTCCTGTTGCAACAGCTCAATCGAGTCTGCGAAAGGCTTCGCTGCATCTTTGCGGTCCCGGCGAGATGCAAGACTGCGCGTGGTTGCTTCCCGGTTGCGAGCCTTCTGGGCCTTTGAAAGCTTGACACAGCCCCGCGCCATTAAGCAGGCGCGCGGGGCTGATACAGACGCGAGACGACCACCAAACCTGCACGCCTGAGTTGGACAAACGTGAGGTGGAGGTTAAACAGAGTGCTGGGAGACAGATCGCGGCACGCCGCCACAGACGCGTCGAGCAGGCGCTAAACACGCTTTACATAAGCAAATTGCCGTGTTTGGGCTCCCAACTGGCGAACCATTTTCATTCGCATGGAGGGCCCTACCTCCCAAAGAAAATTGATAGACATTGACATTTCAACCGTGGCTACACTTCTAGGTAACAAAAACACCAAAAATCAACTCGTAGGTAGGATTTCTATGGAAGATCTGTGCCTTCGTGGACGAAAAACAAACATGTTGTTATCTACAAAGTTGTACTACATGATATTGAGACCACTACTACCCTCCGATTTCCTACTGATGGAGGAGGGGAGTCGGAATTTCGTGTGCCATTCCTTCAGGACCTCGGATGAAGCACCCGGGACCACGGGAATTGCCGAGATGGCTGAGAGGTGCTCGTGGCCACTGAGTCGGCGACGGTGGGCGCTCCGGGCGCTAGTGCCCAGCGCGCTACTCTCGACCGCCACCACCTTTTCGTCTCTCACCACCTCCCGGGCAGCCACCACGACCGCCCGACCTCTCATCAAGGCGCTCGCACTGTCCCAACAGACAGGCGAGCTGAAGCTGAACTACCGCCAGCTCAGTTAGGAGTGCCCGACAACCCCTCTGTGCATGGTACAAGACCGGTGCATCCTTCCTCTCCCGGGCCTCAAAAGCCACCCGGGAGACCTCCAATCGACCCTCTCACCTCCTCTCTTGTATCTGGCGACGTCTCTTCAGCTCCCGCGGCTCTGGCGACACGCAACAAGGCCGCGCGGCCCCGGACTCGCACGACCCGTGTGTAAGCTCGGCGCCGAGCAACAACACTGCTCAGACCACCGAGAACGCCGCGAGAGAGATGCAGAAGGAGGAAGGGGAGAAAGGCAGGAAGAGATAAGAGGGGGAAGGGCGCGGGACGAGCAGAAAAGACGAGCACGAAGGCTCGTATACTGCAGGTACGCCCTCGATGCCCGTTCCCGCCTCGCTGTCCCCGCTCTCAGTGCCCACGCCGGCAGGCATATTGACGCACGAGGCGTCCGTCGTGCGTCCTGCTGGCCACGAACACGGCACGCCCGACTTTCGGGATGACCTCTGTGTCGTACCCACCACGTTGCACGGCAACACGGCGGATGCACAGAGCTGCGCGTCCGACGTGCCCGTGTCATCGACACTGCCCGCGCCAGCAGGTGTACAAACGAGCACGAAGCCCGTTGTACGGCAATGTACGCTCTGCTGGCCACGAAGATGGCATGTCCATCTTCCGGGACCGACCTCATGGTCGTACCCGACGTTCCGCAGGATAGCATGTCGGACGTACATTGCTGCACGTCTGACGTGCCCCATCCATCTACGATCTGCCGCACAATGGGTACATCGAGCCTACCACTTGATGTACACGCTGTCAGCGAGAACAACGATGCGCCCGGTGTATTCGCAAATGTACCCAGCACGCTTGCCGACTCCTCATGCGCGAGCGGCGGCACCGGTGTACACAGTACACCCCACGATGGTGGACCCCGTACGCACATCATGGCCGCAACGCCCGCGTCGGAAGGCAGCATGACGAACAACGAGTTCGTTGTGTGCCTCCCTGACGTCAAAGATGGAGTGGTGGGCCTGTGCAGCAGCACTACAAGTGTGTCTGCTGACGACACGCCCGGAGAGGCCCCTAGTTCTGCCGGGCCGTCTCATTGTATTTCGATACCACCGCACGCGGCGGATACATCGAGCTCATCGCTGATGTATCCCCTGTCGCTTTCCCTCAGGGCATGCGTGATGTGCGTCTGCCCGTGCTCGGCGCTATCCTGCCCATTCCCATCTCGACTTCTCCGAGTCTGCTGCCCACACCGATGTGTGGTACAACGAGCACCGAGCTCGCTGCACCCGGTGTTGGCAACTCTACGGAGCCACTGACACCGTTGACCGCCTGGCTAACGAGTCCAGCGTTGTCGCGGCACACGACGCACGACTGGCACGTCTTTCTAACTGTACTTACCACTACCTGCTAATCTGCCCAACATACAATGAACAATGTGTGTGCCTCGCGTCCGACCTCAGACCTGTCACAACCTCCATCGCGACCCTTCTCACCCGTCTCAAGGCCGTACGATGTCTCTTCCGATACATCCATGAGACCTGCCGCTTCGCGGCAGTGTACGGAGACGTCGACCTACGGTGCACTCCGGATTTCAGATGATCAAGCTGCTCCAGATACTGTATAGCGGAGAGGACATTGTGAACAGTGTTACGGACACTACGGACAGGATTAAGATGGCATATATAAATCTCTTCCGTGCTACGTACAATACTTAACCGTGACCCGCATGTATTCACTGCCCGAGCCTAGATACTTACGATGCATACAGTATTTACTTATTCTGTTCCTATCTTGTACACTCAGGTGTGCGTCTCGCCGAAGGCGCGCACTTTACCAAAATGGAAAGCAGCCTTTTACTCCCAACCATATCATCCGCGCGCGAACTATTCACGCTGTATGACTGCGGGATTGGCCATCAACAAGAGTGCTCGTCGTGCTCTCGTCTCAAAGGTGTTAGCTTGTCACTGCACCTGGGATAGGCTCGTTGCCGACTCCCTTACAGTCCGGCTCGTTGCTGACTGCCAGCGCGAGCTCAACAGCCGCGTGAATGACCTTAACGAGGACTCAACAGTCCTCGTACGACCTCTACGGGTTCTACGCCCCCTTAACGACCTCACGATTCATCAACTCATCTGCCCCGGTCGCCGAGCGACCACCATAGTTAGTCTCGCCGGGTAGCCCACCCCTTGTGTCCAGGACTCGAACTGCCGAGCCCTAACAAACAGGGGGATCATGCCGGGTGATCAGTGGTGTTTCACAGTCAACGGACAGGTGTTCTATGTATATGAAGGGGATGAATACCATTCCGTTGAACGTTCAAACCGTTCTATGTGAGGATCTCAATGGAGAAGGTGAAGCAGCTGCTCGAGAGTGTGGTGCTCAGTGGACAGATTATCGGTGAAGGTGCCAGCCTTGTCATGCCCATGCGAGGTCGACTCCTTGTGCATGCGATGACTGTCTGGTCGCATGGAAGGTTACTCGCGTTCCGGTGGAGGATGTGAGCATTCTGTTGAGGTCAGCCTTGCTGTCAAGCGCGACGAGGATGGTACACCCATCGTAGATGTATCGTGCCTCTTGTGGCATAATACCTGGTCTATGTACATGCGGGGTGAGGTAGCCACCACCTCAGAGACAGGTGAGGTGACTCTATCTGTGCCGTACTCGTACTCATACTCGCCCGCTTGCCAGCTGACGAGTAACAGGCGATGAGCCCCACTGGCAGGCACTTTGATTCTAGCTCAGCCATCGAGTACATACGATGAGGTCAGTACATCTGGCGACTCGGATGTACTGGGCCTCATTGATTGCTCGATGACCTGCTTGGTGGTCTTGGTGGTCGAGGTCATGCACGCATGCCAGGTCGGTTCTTCGTACGTGCAGCGGGTACCCAACGTGTAGGGACTCGACACAAATGCGCCGAGGTTGGACTTGCGTCCGCGTGGGTTTCCGTGATCGAAGCTGACGGACTTGCTCGTCCCTGTGTCGGACGACATGCCCGGCTTCCTAGTCTTCGACAAGACTGGCAACCGTGAAGATGGCAGTACATCCAACAGAGTGGGTGTACTGTGTTTCTTCACGCCGTCGTGCTCAGGGATTGTCGAAGCTGACGTGTGCAGTGGTGTCGACGAGCTCGCTATGCTCGGCGACAACGTCTTGATGGAGGATGTAGGGCGCACGTTCGAGCTCAGCTCCTCGTACGTGCAGCAGTTTTCCGGCCAAGAATATGTCGGTATATCCAAGGTGGATGTGTCATCCAACTTTTGACTCAAGCGCAGGCCGGTTTTGGCCTTGCTCGTCGGCCGAAGGTTCCTGCGCCTGCGAGCTTGACTCCTGGTGTGCACGGACTGGGGCCTGATCACGTAGTGCGGGAGGCCTGTACCGCTCGTACGAGCTTGAGTGAGACAGCTCATCTTCAAGTTGCGGGCGAGTCACAGTACTCGTTGATGGCGATGCTGACGGAGTCAGTACATCCTTTAAGTTGGATGTACTGTCCTTCGTCGAGCTCTCGTCCATCATGGCCGAGTTCTTGAGGCTGGACAACATGGCCAGTGTCAAATCCGGAGCCTTGCATCCCGTTGACGTAGAGGCAGTCGACGCTGGTGCAGGCCGCGATGTCGATGAGCTGATCGACAAGCTTTTGGGCGCGTTGATCACGGCGTTGTCACCGGTGTCGGTCTCGCCATATGCAGCGAGCGAAGGGCTCGCTCTGCTCGATGACAGCATCTTGATAGAGGAGGACGAGCCAGTCGTGCTCAATCGCACGCTGACTGCGTCGCTTGACGGAGCCTTGACCGGGCTGGTCTTGCCCCTTGTCGGAGTAGGTGTGATCGACAATGCGGATGAGTCGATCGACGTGCTCAGAGGTACATCGATGGCGACATCATCGAGAGTGTTGTGCTTGCCATGTGCAGTGATCGTTGAGCTTGCTGTACTCGACGAACATGTCTTGACCGTGGAAGTGGGGGTAGACGCGTCGACCGTGCTTGATCACGCGTCGACAGCATCGCTGGGCGTAGGATACAGCCCAGACATGCCAGACATCGGTATAGCGATCAACGTGCTTCTCTGAACGTTGGTCGGAACTCCTTGTATTGCAGATATTTCGGCTTGTCTTGAGTCCTTGGTCTCGGACCGAAAACCGCGGGCAATCCCTTCCCCCTCCTCCATCGTTGCAGAAGGAATTTGATCAATACAGTGTACATCGAGCGAGCTGTTGCTCGACGTACCCAGTACATGGGGTTTGAGATACGCGGCGAGCACGTTAGAGCGTGCGTTGCGCGCGTTGCTAGGCTCGTCAACAGTGAACACGTCAAGCCTCGAGCTCGGCGTGCTCTCTGTACGAAGAGCAGGTGTTGTAGTATATGAAGAAGACGCGCCGGTCGTGCTCGTTTGCACTCCGGACACGTCGTACTTCGTGACGGTGGGCTCGTTGACCAACTCATCGCGAAGATTCAGTACCCTGACTGAATCGCCAGCAGCAGGTGCAACGAACTCATTGTTCGCTGTACCATCTACTGGGATGGGTACCGAATGCGTGCGCATCAAGGCATAAGCTTGACGGATATCAGTAGGCACGAACAAGCGTGCGGACCGTGCATTCGAAGACTCATCGACAGATAATACATCAAGCCTCGAGCTCCGAGTCGACGTAATTCCTATATGATGGATGGATATCGCATGAAAGGCGTACGACACGTCGGTCATGCTGAGCTGCACGCCGAACACGTCGAGCGTCGCGACAGCGCTGGGCTCGTTAGCCAGGCCGTCGGACGGATCCTTGATGCTGGACGACATGGCCAATGTCGACTACGGAGCCTTGCATCCCGTTGAGGTGGAGGTCGACGCTGATGTGGGCCGCAGTGTCGACAAGCTGATCGACGAGCTTTTGAGCGTGTCGATCGCGGCGTCGTCGCTGATGTTGGTATACATCGATGTGGATGCGTCGATCGACGTACTTCTGGGCGCGTCGATGGCGACGTCATCGCAGGTGGTGGGCTTGCTGTGCATGGTGAGTGATGAACTCGCCGTACTCGACGAGTATGCCTTGAAGGTAGATGTGGACGCGCCGAGCGTGCTTGATTGCACTCCGGCTGCGTCGCAGGGCATAGTATCGATGATGGACTCGCACCTTGACGAAGGAGACATCGCTGACGTGCGTCTGGGTACGTCGACGGCGACCTGGTCATGGTTGCGAATGTCGGTCTTGTCGTGCACGCAGAGCGACGGGCTCGGCGTAGACGACAATCGTGTCTTTGCGATGAAGCCAGATGCGTCGGTCGTGCTGGGTAGCACGCCGAACACGTCGTGCGTCGTGGCGGCACCCGGGTCATTAGCCAGGCCGTTATGAGGATTCGCTACCCCAGTAAGGTCGCCAATACCGGGTGCAGCGAGCTCGGTGCTCGTAGTACCATACATCGGTGCCGGGGGCAGACTCGTGTCCATTGACACGGGAATGATAGGTCGTGGCGAGGACGCTCATGGATGGGATGCGTCGCGCGCACCCTGGAAGTCGGCTGTGTGTACGTCGAGCGGCGGGCTCGACATATGCGCAACACGACTCGGACGTGGTGTAGAGGATCAATAGGACGACCCGGTAGAACTAGCATGTTCTCCGGGTGCGTCGCTACGCCGAGTAGGGGCGTGTTGGATGGCGGCGAGCACGGGTGGCCGTACATTGCGCGTGTTCAGAGAAAGAGCAGCGGCGGATGCATCAAGCAGAGGGCTCGACGTATCCGCAGCGTGCTGTGGTAGAAGTATAGGAAGAGGCGGTGTGGTAGAGCTCGAAGGCTCTCCAGACACGCCGCCTCGCGAAGTGGGGGCAGCAGACACGGTGGTCGTGCTACTGCTCAGGTCCAGTGTGCCGACTTGAACGTCAGAGAAGTGCGCGACGACCTTGTTGTCCGTCGTGCTACTTCCCGACTCGGGCACTGGAGCCGGTGACGTGCGTACCGGGTGCACCTTTGCAGAGTGTACCTCGGGGCCATCGGTCGCGCATGAGATGCCGACGAGCATGCCGGGTACATTTGCTAGTACATCGGGCGTTGCGTCATTCTCGTCGACAGCGGGTACATCGAGTGGTGTGCTCGACGTACCGTCTGTGTGGTGGTTCGTAGGAGAACGGGGCGCGTCAGACGTGCAGCGATGCGCGTCCGACGTGTTGCCCTGGGGAACGCCGGGTACGGCGCTGAGGTCGTCCCGGAAGTCGAAGACGCTGTCTTCTTGGCCAGCAGAGCGCACCACGGCTTCTTGCTCGTTGGTACGCCTGCTGGCGCGGGCAGTGTCGACGACACGGGCACGTCGGACGCGCAGCTCTGTGCGTCCCCCGTGTTGCCGTGCAACGTGGTGGGTACGACACAGAGGTCGTCCCGAAAGTCGGGCGTTCCGTGTTCGTGGCCAGTAGGACGCACGACGGATGCCTCGTGCGTCGATACGCCTACTGGCGTGGGCACTGGGAGCGGGGACGGCGAGGCGGGATCGAGGGCGTACCTGCGGTATCCGAGCCTTCGTGCTCGTCTTTTCTGCTCGTCCCGCGCCCTTCCCCTCTTATCTCTTCCTGCCTTTCTCCCCTTCCTCCTTCTGCATCTCTCTCGCGGCGTTCTCGGTTGTCTGAGCAGCGTTGTTGCTCGGCGCTGGGCTTGCACACGGGTCGTGCACGTCCGGAGCCGCGCGGCCTTGTTGCGTGTCGCCAGAGCCGCGGGAGCTGAAGAGACGTCGCCAGATACGAGAGAGGAGGTGAGAGGGTCGAGTGGAGGTCCCCCGGGTGGCTTTTGAGGCCCGGGAGAGGAAGGATGCACCGGTCTTGTACCGCGCGCAGAGGGGTTGTCGGGTGCTCCTAACTAAGCTGGCGGCAGTTCAGGATTGTCACTGACTTCAGCTCGCCTGCCCGTTGGGACAGTGCGAGCGCCTTGATGAGAGGCTGGGTGGTCGTGGTGGCAGAGTTGCGGTCGTGGCAATGGTCGTGGCGGTCGAGAGCAGCGCGCTGTGCGCTAGCGCCCGGAGCACCGACCGTCGACTCAGCGCGGGCTCGCGACGCTCAACATCGAGCGGGCCTAGCGGGTTGATGCTCGCAATGAGCGCGTCGTACAAGCCGAGCGGCGGTTCTGCCCATTCGCTCGACGGGGGGAAGAAAGCTATGTAACCGAGTCCATAGAAAGGACTTACTGAGAATGGATGATTACGTAATGACGGCGCGATATATGTAGGGTAGTCAGTTGCAGAACATGTAGTGGGGTCCGTACCGAAATATATTGTAGTACTGTGTGGGTAGCGGGAATGTATGTAGCTGTGTTGCGAAAGTGTATGCAGTGGGTGGCGAACATATGTAGGGGTGTTTCCGATTCATGTAGGGGGTATGGATTTTTGCGTCAAACGGTACGCCATAATTTACGGCCCCTGATATCGGCACTACAAACTTGCGAAATCGACCTGAATAATGAGCATCCGTCGCGGTCAGTGCACTGGAAGGCCATTTGGATGTAGCGAATTTCTTACGTCGTCAATCAATTGTTGTGCTTTGGAAGCAACAGAATCACAGAATGAGATATAGATGAGGGGCGACGGAGAACAGAAACTGCATTTCTTTTCCTGGATAGAGGAAATGATTTCGGCGAGACGGATACCCTCCGTGAGCATTCGCGGAGACGGACGTTGAAGCAGGAGTTCCACGGCTTTAGAGATCGCTGGAACAATCCATCGAGCGGTCTTATCATTGGTATAGTATGTCGAACAAGACCTGCATGAGCTCGAGATGTTCTTGATGACTTCGTCGTCCGAGAGCCAGGTCGTCATCGCAGTGCCGGCGTCGGAAATAGCTGCGCTGCAGTTGGCATGATAGGCGAGGAGACGAAAGTAAGGTTGGGTCGATATGATTTCCAACGCAGGTGAGTATGATGTTTCGATTGCCTCGAAAGTCTCACCCAGGAGAACGCGTGCGGCGTCCTTGGCTTGCATCGTCCACCCGTAGCAAGAAGCAAGAACGTACGCCCGGAATGGCTCATGTGGGAGATACCGTGGCCAAAGGATTTTCAATAGCCATATGACCCTTTCTATTCGGTACTTCCGTGCAGCATCCACCAAACGAGTGAGGAAGTCAATGTCTTCCCCGGGTAAATCGGGAACGTCTAGAGGGCTGCAAAGTTGCAGCAAAGCGCCAACGACCGTGCTATCTTCCTCGACGGCAAGAGAGGAATGCTGTTCCGCTCGCTCTCTGTTACGGCTCAGATACGCATCCGAGTCTCCGGCTACGTCAACGCACTGAACAGCTTTGAGTGCCGTCGCAACGGGAAATCTATCGGCAAGGCCAGGGGCAACCGTAGAAATGAACTGTCTCTGCAGATGGAAATGAACGTTGTCTGATGTGATAATGACTGAGTCGGCATGGGGGGAGTGGAATGGCGGAGGAGCGTCAGATGCTGGTGGCAGTGGCGTTTGTTTCGCTTGACCTTTTGCACGTTTTTTGACCGCTTTTCCACTGAGCTTACTGGTCATACAAAATTTGAGCCCTTTCCAGTTGCCTCTTCGCCTGTAGTGTTGCAATAGCCTATGATAGCAACCTGCGGATACTTCGTCCAGTTCCTTGACATAGACCAGTCCCGCCTTGAAAATCGATCGAGCATGTACTTGATGAGCGGCAGCTTTAGCCATGTCCTCGAAGTCCATTTTACAGGCGATCGCAAAGACGCGCAGCGGCTCTTTTTCTACGAAGGCCTGTAACCTGCGCTCGCCGAACTGAATGGCTTTGGCCACTTCATATTTCGCGGCCGCCTCCAGTGCGGTTCGAACAGCGTCGAGATCGTTCAGGTCGGGATCCTTGAATGGGTAGCAGGCATCCAGTATAGCGCGTATCGTTTTGCCATCCTCAGTCAAGTCCACGATCGGCGGCGAGACAGTGTGCTGATCAGTCTCTGAGGGCGTCACGATGTCGGAGGACTGCGGTAGGCTGAACATGTCTGCAAACACGGGGGATGCCATCGTCAAGATGATACGATGAACCCGGTATGAGACATCGTCGCAAGAGCGAAGGATCACATCGCCGTCTACTCGGTCGTAGGGAGCTTGGAACTTTTGTGGCGCGCTCCGACTGGCTATCGCGACCGTGCCCGAGCATGAATCGGACTCTAGGGCGTCGGCCATCTTGTTTGAAATTTCGTCTGGTCGTACCGTGGCAAAGCTGAATATCAGTAACTCAACAGTCAGAAGATCAGCGTTCCTAACATGACTGTTTGCAAGACGTACCTGATGTAGTCAACCTGGTGGCAATATTAATCGAATCGTAGTAGTGCGCCCGGGCCAGTGATGATAGGTACTGTAGTTAGTAGTTGGATCATTTAGTACCATCAACTTCCACATGTTGCAAACGATCGAAGCACGCACCTGAATGTACTGCAATGAGCTCACTGTTCCGGCTCACCCACCAGCTTGAGCGTACTTATGCTGAACGAGTTACGGACAAGCTGAAGGTGTGGGAAAAGGATGGCGCGTTAGCGGGTAGCGCGCGCCTGTAGGCCGAGAGCTTGCCACCACGCGCACCTACTGCGTTCGTGACTTCGTCGTCCTGTCCTTTACAACTCGCTCTCGGTACTTAATATACGCGTATATGAATGCTCGATCTAGGTCTCGTTTATAACATATCATCACCTCTGTGGCCACTGCATCACCTCCAATTCGTTACAAGAGCCGTCCTCGAACCGCCGATACCAGCTAGACATCTATGTCCTATCTGACGTCTCCTCTTCGTCCAAGTTCCAGACCATCATCGCGTAGCTCCAACGGCCGATCTGCGAGTCCTTCGGTATCTCTGCCGGATAACCCAGGTATGCAGGCGTGGTACGCCGGCACGGTCGTCATAACGCGGGGCAACTAACAGTGTTGCCAGTTGCCATCCGCAATCAGATGTCTACGCTCAAACATACCATCCGACACCAGCAAGCGCAGTTACAGAGCCTCGAAAACACTATTCTTCGCGGGCCTCGTCCACTACCCCCAGGAATCATGAACTCGCCTCCACATTCACCGACCGACTTTGATCAGACATTTGCGTCCGGAAGCACCTACATGTCTCCCCGAGTACAGAAACGCAACAGCTTCGAGGTGTTACATGGTCTCGCAGGGCCTGAATCGAGCTTGCCATTGCCACGGAGAGAGGAGAGGAGTCGATCGTTTGGCGAGGAGAATGGCATCCGGGAGGGCATACCGACTTCTTCTTGGACGCGCCAGCAGAGTCCGACGCGGACGCTCAGTCGTACGTTTCGTTCAGTTATATGGTGCCGGGGCGTGTGTTGATTATTGCACAGGAATACCGGTCTCATCTGTAGGTCAGTGAAGAGCCCCAGTGTGATGAAAACTATCTAACGCGGTGCAGGTAACGCACGGGCCCTCGCCGAGGAAGGACAGCAAGACTCCTCGCATCTCAGCTCCTCGCCACTGTCACCAAATCACGGGGCGTCTTCGACCCCTCACGGACCAACAATCTCACCCAGCCGCAGGTCGTCATTTGCACCCGGCAACACCACCAAGGTGCTCGCAGACCTCCAGGCCGGTGTCATGAACGCGAAGACGGCACTAGAAAACACGAAGGCTCAGCTCCGCGTGAGCCAGCGTCAAGTCAGCCAGCTGACACGACAAACGGAGGACCTGAAGGAGGTGCGGGAGCGTCTCCGGCTGGAGAACGAGGGGCTGAACAACGTGGTGGCTCGCAAAGAGCGTCTGCTACAAGAGGTGCGTCGGAACCTCACAACATGTCGAACATTCAGCCGACCCCTTGGTAGGTTCTCGAGCGCGCGCGCAAGGCAGAGGCCGAAGTGATCGCTGTAAAAACGCAGGTTAAGTCTGAGACGTCAACGTCAAAGAAATCCCTGCGCGAGATGGAGACGGCCCTCACAGAAGCGACGGCACGCTCGCAGAAGGCAGAACGCGAGTATGTTGTGCTTCGCGATTCGATCAAGGGTCTCGTGTCGTCTTTCCAGACGGACACGGATGGTCTACGGAACGAGATGCGTAAGCGAGAGGAGAAGATCCTGCAAGAGGCGGAGGAGATGGGCAAGCGCTACACGCGGCTCATAGAAGAGGTGAGGCGCGAGCGAGAGGATGGCAACTCTGTGGTGGGTGAGGCCAAGCGGCTGCGGGAGGAGAACGAGCGGATACGGAAGGAGGTGGAGGAGAGCTTCCGGGAGGACATTGGGCACCTGCGCTCTGAGGTAGACAGGCAAGGAAAAGAGAGCGAGCAGGCGTGGCAGACTGCACGGTACGTCGCACAATCATGCCTGGGTGATCACACGCTCACTAGTCTGACTAGGAACCTGGCGGAAGAGCTCGCGCGGCTGCGCAGGCTCATGCGGACGGATCCACAAGCAACAGACCTGCCAGTACCAGAGTCCTCTGTTCCTTCATGATCATTCGGACTCAAATATTGCCTCATGCATAGTGCCCAAATATCATGTCCTTATATACCTCATCCTCGTTATCTATGCTACGCTCATCTGTGGACCCAGTCGGCATGTTATCCCTGCATTCACCGGACATTGCACTAAAATTACATCCACCTAGTCCTAATCACTATACAATCGTTTCATATTGGTTTCGTATTGGACAAACACTCAGCACTTGAGCCAACAGCCTGTCAGCCGATTTTCTCCCTCTGTCGTGACCCCAACTGTACAGGACCTTTCGGACGCCCCTTGTTATCCAGCATGATCGGGAATGGTTTTCGTGATGGTTCGGGGTCTAGTCCAGACAACGTGCGTTTGCGTTTAGTTTTGCTCATTGGCAGATTTAGGTTCCAGTCGCTTGTAAAGTTGGACTGCAGTGGGAGGAATCGTTCTGGGGCATCGTCGGGTGGTGTGGGGAGCAAGGGCGGCAGCGGTGCGGGGTCGTCTGCATCATCCGGGTCAAGCCTGGACAATGGCTCGGTGTCGTCCCATATGTCAGCATCGCCCTGCTGCTGTGATGAGTTGGTGACAGGCAAACTTGGTCGAAGACGAACCTCGAAAGATACAGGACGACGTAGACTCTCCATATGTCGTGTATTTGTGCGCGATGACACAGGTGTCTCGAGTACAAGGCGATTGCGGCTATTAGTAGCCACCTCCTGCGCCGTGGCGAGCTGCTTCTTCAGGTCTCGAATCCTTTCCGCCTGTTTGGTTTCCTGCATCCACTGTTAGTCAATACATCCGGGGGTTCGAGCATCACAGACTGCACCTTCGCCTTGTGAGCGTGAAGGGTCTTGTAGAGACCCGCGGTTTCGTCCACTTTCTCGGTTAGCTGCGCGGCATGCTTCTTCTTTCGGTCTCTGAGCTCTCCTTTCAGCTGCTCAATCTCCTTCATCGCGTCGCCCAACTGTTCGCTGGCGGCTTGGGCGGTCTTGATGACGCCATCCGCATTCTTCTGGGCTTCCTGCACTTCGCTGTGCAGACGCTGGTTTTCCTCCCGGGCAGCCTGTAGTGCGCGTTGTAAAGAAGATACGTTGTTCTTTTGCGAGTCCAGAGTTACGAAAACACTCGTAAGCCGCTCCAGCAACAGTGCGATGGACGAGAGAAGGGCCTTGCATAGAATCAGCATCAAGCACTAACGGGTACGCCGAACGTACCTTCACTGCACAATCACCCTCCTCCATCCCGTTCACCACCTTCCCGAGCTCCTTGGCGGACCGCACAACCGACTCTGGCTTGCTATCCGGGCCTATCTTGTCGAACTTCTCTTTCACATACGTCGCCTGCTTCAAGACTGCCGGTGAATAGCTTCGCTGCGAGGGGCCTTCGCCATCGCCGTTGGCTTGCGACGCATCGCTAGCTGGATCCCTCAAGTCGATATAGATGGATATGCCACTGTGGAAGGGTTCCCGGCACATAGGACATTCGTAGCGACCGCGGACGCCGGGGCCACTGGCAGAACGAAGGCGTTGGAAGCTGTCCGCGCAGAATCCGTGCCCTATCAAAAGCAAGACAGCTGTCATAATGAGATCTCACATAATAAAGCAGATCCTTACCGCAGGGCAGAAATCTGAACGCGCTCAAGGGATGGTTGTCAAAACATATGCTACAATACGGCTTTATGCTCATCGTCGGCGCGTCAGAACGCTTGCATCAGTATCTGATAATTGTCGGGCTCCGTTGGGTCCAGAATGACGCACGACACAGAGTTGATGAGGGTGCAGAGTGCTGGATCAATGAGTAGTCGACAGCGTCAAGGTCAGAACACGACGCGCCGGGAGCTCGACGCGACCAAACGCGTCTGTGGCGTGGAAATGTGAGCCACTGTGTAGTCTCCGTAAGTAGCAGACCTAAAAAGCCGGCAAGCGTCTTTTAAGCCACTGCGCTAATCGTCCCGTTTTGGCTAGCTTCCAGTACTTACTGTACTGTACCGCTGTACATCTTCAAGACAAACAACCCGCGACACAGGCACTCTTCAGTCCTCAAGGCTTCGAGAGTCAAAGTTCACGCGTTGCATCTCAACTAGAGGGCGCATGAGTACAGTCTATCACCGTCAAACGAGACACCCAAACATGATGATTTTATAGATTATTCTTGAGCCACTTGTGAGAGTAGAGACTTTACGACGGTGTATAAATGCATTATTAGGACCCTATGTAAATGTCACAGCTCGAGAACCGACGTGTTGTGGGATATAGTAGAGTAAGTTGTACTGTTCCGTCCTGCGCCAAATCACCGTCGAACGAGACACCCATATCCGGCGATGTCGTGTCTGATCACGGTGTTATCGCATCTTATCAGACCAGATAAGATCTTTAATCATCATCAGAGTCCTCCGCCGCATCGCCCTCCGAATCCGACGAGTCTTGCCCAACACCGCTCTCGCCGCATCTTCATCGTCGTCCACGTCAAGGATCTCGTCGGCGTCGATGGTCCCGTTCGCGGCTGCAACGAAATCGGAAAGCTTTGGCCGCGGGATTGCTGGATCAAGATCTTTCGTACTAGTAGGTCGCATCGGCTTGGTCCACATTGGACGCCGCTTTGCAGCCTTCGCAGTGTGGGCCCGTTCCACTTCGTGACCTGCTCCTTCCACGCTGCCAACCTCGCCTCATTTCGGCTCTTCCTCCGCTCGCTCAGCACCTTCCACTGTGCCTCGCCATACGGGCATGTCAACTTCTATGATCAGTGCACGTGCCATTATCTTGTGGCTCCTTGGGCGAACTGCACAATGTTGACGCTCGCCTTCACGTCCACATCTTTCGTGCTCGATATCATTCATTGTCTGACCGATCTCTCCAGAACTTTCAGATAAGCTAGATGTACATTCGTTCAATGTATTCCGCACTTTTTTGTAACAAAAACGGTCTCTCAACGGTATTGATGTAGTCACAAGTATCCGGGATGGTTCTGGAAGTGTGTAACAGTGCAACATTTACTCAATTAACACGACCAACACTGCATCTCACGCCCGATGCTTTTTATGGTTGCACGAGAGCACAAGGAACTTAATTTACATGTAGTTTGTATGGGTGTAAGTGCGGCGATACACGTCTCAGAGCCGCGTGTCTCGTTTGACGGTCGTGTCTCGTTTGACGGTGATAGACTGTACCATGTGGCGCCGAGTCAGCTTCAGGTCACCCACAACATCCCCCATCACATATCACTGCAGGTGAGCTTTGCTCGACTTCAGGTTCATGAACTCTTTTGTAACTATATGCCTGACTACATGTGCTTCAATCTAGTAAATTCTGCGGTAGCCGCATGGTTGCGTACTAAGGGCCCATGGTCGCAGTTCCCTTGGACCCCGAGTCATACGGACTTCTTCTCGTCGCTGTCCTTGTCCGAATGATTCACCACAACAACCGCCGCCGGATCCAACACATCCACGCCCATCCCCTCAGCTACACGCAGACAGTCAGCCCGACTACCGGCCAAACAACGCAAACGGCGCTTACCAGCAATCTGCTGCACCGGGCCCGTGAACCACTTCCGTGCGCTCAGCAGCCAGAACCCCAGGCTATACGTCATCACAATCCCCACCGCGACCACCGCGTAGTTCAGCGTCTGCGAGTCGACGGGGTTCTCCTCCGGCAAGACGAACGCGATCGTGATGAAGCAGATCCACACGACCGCCGTAGTAGCGACGGGGAACGAGAGCGCGCCGAGGTGGAAAGGGCCGCGGACGAATTGCGAGGCGTAGATGACGCGCAGGGCGATGGGGATGCCGTACGAGGTGTACAGCCCAATGGTGGAGATGCTTGTCACGGCGGAGAAGGCGACGGAGCTTCCGAGGCTCGGCAGGCCCAGGATGAAGCTGAGCGTGCAGGCGAGCCAGACTGCGGGGGTGAGCATGTGAATCGGTGTATGATGCTCACAGCATAGAGGATGTACTGACCTGTGCGGACGGGTGACTTCCATTTCGCGTTCACCTTCTGGAAGAACTTGTGCCCCGGGATGCCGCCGTCTCTCGCGAACGCGTACATCATCCGGCTGTTGGACGTGATTGAAAACGTCCCGCACCAGAACATCGCGCCGATGACGATGACCTGCCATAGCACATCCGTAAGGGACTGTCTAGTCGATGCCGTTTTCTGTAACACGTACCATGAGAACTATGGCACCCTTCTCGTGTACTGTGTCGAGGAAAATCTGCGCAATGGGTTCGCCTGTCGCTGAGCTGACCGTGCTCTCGAGGTCTTGAATGGAGAAGAGCAGAGAAATCATGAGGCACCATCCGAGGACGGCGGAGACACCGATAGACGTGACGATGCCTATGGGTCCAGCCGTGGCTGCGTTGCGAGTCTCCTCGCTCATCTAGTTAACGCATCACAGTCAGGGCACCATCATGTAGCTGACCAGACCGACACTGACATGCGCGCTCGCGTCGAAGCCTGATCATCCTCAGCATACCAAATCGACGAGAAGCACGAACATACCCGAAAGCGAATATTGCGCCATCAATATCCCAACAACCACTACATACCCCGGGCTTGCCCTCACGCTCCACCCTACCCCATCTACGCCCGTCCCATCAACAAACGTCTGGAACACGAATTGCGCCGTCTGGTGTGTCGGCGCCGCCGCGAGCACCGCAATGATGATCGCGAAGGTGCCGATGGCATGCCACCATATGGAGACGTTGTTCAGATATCGCAGGAGGTGCACGCCGAAAGTGTTGATGAGACCCTCTGCGATCACTACGGCAGCGTAGATCCCGATGGTGGTTTTGGCATCGGGAACGAAGGTAGTGTTGAAGGTGGCGAGGGTGGATATGAAGGTCGCACAGCCAAAACTGCGGTGCATCATGTTGACCGAGGCGAAGATGACGAAAGAAAGGGAGATGCGTACTTGATGCTGGTGGTGACGGCGACTTGGCCCAGGAAGTTGAACCATCCCGTGATCCAGGATGCAAACGCGGCGTGTTCTGGTTTGCAGAGCATGGCCGCCCAGAAGTATGGACCTCCGCTCGTAGGATGTGCACTGCAGATCTCTGAATTGTAAGGGAGCGGGGAGTAAGGATGTGATATGGATGTCGGTTTTGGCGACTCACCTGCCATGGACAGGCCGACGAGCATTGTGAAGAATGCTATGGACTACTGCTCAAGACGTCGGTCCTCAACTGCAGTGTGATAGAGGGCGTACCGACGACTGCCCATCCCCATACCATGACCACAGGTCCTCCCGTACTCTGAACGGCATCGGATGATCATCAGGTGTTTGCTGTTTCCCAGTCTACTCACCAGACCATACGCAAACGTCGAGCTTACACCAGTGATGATACTGATGATTGAGAAGGACACTCCGAAGTTCTATACAAGTTGAGTTTCGCATACTCTGTGCTTATGCTTGAGCTTGAGCTCACCTGCAGCAGTCCGAAGTCCCGTCTTCGGTGGTACTCAGCCACTACAAACGTCTTGATTCAAAAGGCTCGTACCTAAGCTCCTGCTTGTAACCCATCCTCGCTAGTTCCGCCTCATCTCGGTCGCCGTCTAGGATCGCGTCAGTCACTACCACTCGAGAGCTCATTGAGTCGGTCATCATGAATGAAGCGCAGATCTGCGCGCCACGGAGTCTCCCATTTGAAAGAGTCCCATTAGTTTCTCATTGCGCTCGTGGCAGTTAGTACGCGATAAGGTAGTCGAGAGGCCATCCAATGAATTAGATAGAAGCTTGGGGGGAGAGTTCAAGCGTCATGACCGCGGGAGTGATTGCCCCCGTTCGTCCGACGCTTTGACACATGACTTAAATAGCACTTCAGTAAGACAGCTACGTACATACCATAGCTGCCTTACATCGTAGTGCTGTTGCACAGAGTGCATGACTGGGAAGGGGATTTGAAGCTGGTGTGTGTCTTGAGTGCGGTCAATGTCAGTGCCAACACCGATCGCGAACGCGTCTGTGGCGTGGGTACCGTGCCATGAACTGGTTCGATGCTCCATTGGCATGTCTGAGAACTGAAGCCAGTACTTCTACGCAATCGACTAGATTACTGTAGCCGAGAGCGACCCGCTCTGCTTCTGCTACAGTCATTCCAAAGACGACTTGGCTTCGAGCCTGCGCTCAGCTGGACATGTTTTGCTCTCCTACCTACTTGGCGGGTACTGACAATCACATGCACGATGGTCAGTCGAGTCGGGATGGATAGCCGGTTCAGACACCTGCGCGGTCACTCTCTGCGGCGCTCGTGTGATTGCTCTCCGAGATGGTCAGGCGGGCAGACTGTGGGCCCTCCCTTATAACCTCCCTTCAAGTTGCCACGTAGCGTTAGCTAGCCTCTGTCCGTCTTCGCCATGTCCGTCATCACCACGCCAGTCACCGAGTTGTTCGGGATCAAGCACCCTATCCTGCTTGCTGGTGCGCCTAGTCCAAGTGGAATCATGGGAAAGCACGACTGACCTCTTGCTCGTATAGGGATGAACGTGGCTGCTGGTTCTGAACTTGCTGCAGCGGTGACGAATGCGGGAGGTCTGGGTGTCATCGGAGGGCACGGTTATACGCCGAAGATTCTTCGCCAGCAGGTACGTCCAACGTAGTACGCCGTTCTGGTAGCAGAACTCATCCCTATCTTCACCCGTAGATTCGTGCCATTAAGGCAGATCTCAAGGACAAAAACGCGCCTTTTGGTGTTGACCTCCTGATTCCCCAGGTCGGTGGTAATGCACGGAAGACCAACGTGAGTCAAACCAACCAGCCCAGTCGATCTATCACTGAACACCGCTCTTCACAGAAAGACTACCAGAACGGGCAGCTGCCGCAGCTCATCGACATCATCATCGAGGAGAAGGCCGCCCTCTTCGTCTGCGCCGTCGGCGTCCCACCTAAGTGGGCAGTCGACAAGATGCACGCCGCCGGCATCCCGGTCATGAACGTGAGTGTCCCACCCACCAAACGTCCTCCCGTCAGGCCAACCCTCTCTGGATACAGATGGTCGGCCACCCGAAGCACGTCGCGCGCGCACTTAGCGTCGGCGTCGACCTCATCTGCGCCCAGGGCGGTGAGGGCGGCGGACACACCGGCGACGTCCCCTGCTCGATCCTCATCCCCGCCTGCGTCGAGGCGGTCAAGGGCAAGACCTCTCCGCTCACGGGCAAGCCCGTATACGTCGTCGGCGCAGGCGCTGTCGTCGACGGGCGGAGCCTCGCCGCGAACCTCGCGTGGGGCGCGGAGGCCGTCTGGGTCGGCACGCGCTTCGTCGCGAGCGTCGAGGCGGGCGCACCGAAGGCACACAAGGAGGCGGTCGTCAAGGCGGGGATCGACGACACCGCGACGACCCTGATCTACACCGGGCGGCCGCTGAGGGTCATCCGGTCGCCGTATGTGGACGACTGGTGAGTCCGGGGGAGTGATTGTGTTTTGCACGCACGGGGTGACGTGCTGTTCTAGGAACAACAACCGGCTGGAGGAGATCAAGGAACTCACGGCGAAGGGCGTCGTCCCGCACGAAGAGGAGCTCCGGAAGCACCCCGAGAAGCACGGCAAGGGCATTACCTTCCTCTCCGGACGTGTCGCCGGCCTCATCCACGAGATTCTCCCCGCGCAAACGATCGTTGACAATATGGTCAACGAGGCTGCTGCTATAATCCAGAGCTCGGCGGCGAAGGTCCAGGTTAAGGCGAGGCTGTGATTTAGTCAACTGCTTTAGGTGATCCTGCCTCGGATGTTGACGTTATTTGATTGATCTCATTATATGGATACGGGCAAGTTATTGTTATAGGATGCCTTTACATTGCTCGAAGGCTCCGTATGCTGGAACTTCCGATGCGTTCTCGGGTTTGAACACCGTGGCCGGGAGTGGCCTTAATTCGATGCAAATTTTCAAGCGAAACTCTGCTTGCGAGGGCTGACTCGGAGGGCGAACTGGTTTCTGCTCCTGAGACCTTACTGCTGCTCTTCTGGTACGCAATGTGGAACTGCGGTACGATCCGGCATGTGTCTGCTATATTCGGTGACATTCACGTCAGTCACTTATTACAGACACGCATGGGTGATCAGATGGCGTTGCATTTGCAGGGATCGGTCCCCATAAAATTGCACATTCATGATGGATATGAATGTGGCCGATTGACTCAAGACGAGCGACTAGACTACGATGGTTCCAAGCTCGCTCAGCTGGCTGTACATCCCACGTGCGATTGCAATCGTACGTATAGCCCTGGGCCACAGAAGGTGGCACCATGCCACGACCCTAGCGTCATCACGTCCACCTCGAGGCATAAGTCAGGGAAGTCACAGAGGACAAGGAGCTGTACAACCAGTGCACATAACGTCCGATGCCGTAGTGTTCTGTATGAAGGGACGCCCGCTCAACCTCTACAACATTCATCCTCAACCTCAGGCGGGCCACGAATGTATGGCAAGTGATGTGCCAATGGGTCGTGTGGTGTTACCCAGAAGACCGCCATACGAGTGAAGGGCTCAATGACTTCCGGATATATAAGCATGTAAGCCTTTGACTTGTTACGCCAGTCTACAGGTATGTCGGCAGAGGAGCTGGCGAAGGTGATTGCGCTTCTCAACACAATGTGGGCCGCGCCACTTTCGGTGCTCTCTCGAACGACTAATGAGACAACAATCTACAGGTTCTCAGTCGGATGCTGTGAAACGGCAGCGTGCGGTGAGTTCAATCCTACCGTGAAAGTGCACAGGACAATCTCATTCTGTTCATAGCGATCTACACTTATGATCGTTGTCTCACCTTCGGGTCGGAGGTGGATCTCATATGGCGCCGCCAACGGATCACAGTAACGACTGGCCTGTATCTGCTATTGCACCTATCGGCGACAGTGTATATGTACACCGGGATAGTGAGCACTGTGTTTGCGAGCTGCAGAGTAAGGCATAGTTCTTTTGCGCGGTAGTCGGAACACTGACATTATTTTAAGAGGTACATTGAACCTAGACAGGTCTGGGCTAAGCTTATTCACAAGGTTATCACGCAGCGACATGGTAACAAATATGATTGAAAGTTGCGCCGCTGTGTTGTTCCATGTCGTTACCGGTGGTGAGTGAAGACTCGGCGATATTGTTCAAGTTGTTGCCCACTCACAGCGATCTCCTTCATGTCGAATAGCATTCATGGCATTGCGTGCCTACGCCATCAGCAACCGTTCCTTGCCTCTTACATTCGCCATTTCTCTGTCTTCCTTGGTGATCCCTGCGTTGGACGTGGTACGTCCTCTCGTCGTTGCCTGCTTACATACATGCAAAGCTAAAATAATCACCAGTATCAGATCTGTACAGCAATCGCACCAGTTGTACCTTCCCCCGTTGACTGCATGGTCTTTTCGGCCATCAAAACAAAGATTGAACGGTGCGTCTCACAGTCTGGAATTGTGTCTTGACAAGTAGCTTTAATCCTACGATGCGCGTTCTAGGCCATGTGCGGAAGGGTTTCGCTTGACTTGCGATTGGAATGAACTGACAACGATCACTTCTTGCCCGTGTTGCCAGTGTTTGCTTCCGGGGAAGCATCCACTATGATCCCCGAGGTATGGCTGTTGGTAGCGACCTGGCGGCATGTCTACATGGTAAAGACGGCCAACGAGGCTCAACTTGAAGTTGATACTCCCTTAACAACGCTCAATCTTAGAGACGGTCAGTAAGAAGTCATTCAGAGGTCAACAAATTGTTCTTATCTAACTTATTACCTTCCGTGCCACGGCTCACTACCAGGCACTGTTTATTTTGTGTAAGTCTGCACGAAATCTGAGCAGGACACTTTGAAGCTGATTTAACTCAGCATTTTCTTCGTCCTTCAACTAGTCAACACCTTGCTGCTCGTGACTACTGTCGGTGTTGCAAGCTTTGCGCATCACATTATGCTGACTTCTACTTGATACTTGAGTTAGACTTCCACCAGTCCATTTTCCGTTCCCATCGCTAATGCGTGAGTTGCCTATCATTTCGTCTAAGACGCGACTCAATTTGATTGCGTACATTGCGCAGACTTCAGACGATCCTCCTCTCCCGCTTCTACCTTAACTTGCATGAAGCGAACTCGCCTCAAGCCATGCTATCTTCCGGCACATCGCAGCTATCCGATCTCAGTTTCGTGCAGGTGGTCGGGAGTTTAGCGGGCACGATCGCCTACAATACAGGGAGCCCCGCAGCAGAAGGCATGGATTCGCGGAGCAGCAGTGATCCCGACACCGATGAAGAGCTTTTGGGAGTCCAAGAAGCAGACATCGAACGACCGCCAGTCATTGTTGCCATCCAGGAGAGCATTCCAGAGTAACGCTCCACCCAGATCCGGAATACTCCCGTAGAAGGAGTTCCGAAAGCTGCCTATAAGAATATCATTCGAGACTTCGCGACGTTCAAATCAGTACAATCATGCTGAACACATGCTCCAAATACGCACCATCTCGTCCACTAGCATAGCGTCCACCTTAGCTGAGAGACTCTGGGAGAATTGCTGCAAGTGAAATGCCGCAATAGGCCCACAGGTCTTGCAGGTGGCCGCGTTCTTCAAGGCACAGCGCATGGCTTGTCGATCAAGGACGGTCTGCCCGCATGGTACACCGTTGAGCAGCTTAGCTACTTGCAGCAGCCACTCACACCACCAATTTCGCAATCCCCATGGGTTGCAGAACGCGCGAGGAAGTGTGTACGCGGTGCAGCCTGTGCAGGACACCCACACAAACCTCTGGTCAGGCAAGATCCCACTGGTCAATCCCTGGTCTGCGTTGGAGTAAGGAATCATATGGTCTAGTGCGAGGGTCTGGGCTAGGGCCCCCATGGCCTTGCGGTGTTGCAGTAGGTGATAGTAGCACGAAGCCGGAATCGCTTCGAGTTCTTCGACATAGCAGTCGTCCAAGGGCGTCCGCATCAGTACCAGTGTGGCGTGTCTCGCCTCGCGCACCCAGTGATGTGCGCAGGCGATGGCATACACCACCAATGGTCTTGTTTCAGCGAACCCTAGGAATCTTGCCTGCAGCGCCTCGATGGCGGCCACGAGCTCGTACTTTTTTGCTGCTTGGAGTAGCAGAGACGCTGTTTGAGGGTCTGGCGGCGCCTCGGGACATGCGACGGGGTAGACGTACTGCAAAATGGCAGCGATCGTACGGCTGTGTTCGGGTAGTGTGAGGCCGACTACACGTCCGTCTCTGCTCCTCTGCGAGCCTTTGATGGACTGGGAGCCATTGGTCAGCGTTAGCTGGAAGTAGGGCGAAGCAACCCGCAGGAGGTCGGAGTGCACTTTGAACTCGACGCCGTCGCGGGCCCGCAGCTTGAGATCGGCAGAAGGCAGTCCGAAAGGGTACGGCAACGATGACTTGGCCTCCCACTCCCTCCTGTCGTACGACGTCAACGGTGCCCGTGTCGACGCCTGCGGTAGTTCGGCACAGAGGAAGGGCATCGCAGGGAGCGCGTCGGCATCGCCTGCATTGTGGAACTGGAGGAGCCGATGATATGCGCCCGCCGTCAAGTCCTCCAGCTCGGTGAAATAGACGTCCTGTAAGGGTTGTCCAATGGTGCGCTGCGCGGCAACACGTGCGACGTCTTCAAAGTGATAGGCGTATGCTGTAATGTAGACAAGCAGTGGATGCGCGCCATCGAGCGTGAAATCGGTGAGCTGTCTCTTCATCATCTCTGTCAAGCCCTCCATGAGATACTTGTCCACAGCCGTCAAGACGTCCCTGACTTGCGAGAGCGACGTGAATACGGGCGTAGTAACAGGGTAGCAGAGGCGGAGGAGAAGATCCACGACCTCGCTCGTCTCCGTGACAGGTACGACAGGGATACCGTCTCTCCTGGGGCATTGCTGGACGGGAGCTTCTCTGGCGATGTCGAACATATCCTCGAAGACGGAGGACGCCTCCGCCAATATACTGCTGCGCACCCGATAGTCGACTCTATCGCGGGACCGCAAGATGATATCGGAGCGGGGAGAGTTGAACGGCGCAGGGGCGTCTCGTCTGTACGTATGGTCGGTGGCTTGCAATCAGCAAGGTACTGATGAACGCAAGATGCATAGGGCTACAAGCATGAGGACTTACACGACTGGCATAGTGGGGTCGATGGTCCTGGTTGGTGATCTCGATCGGCCAACTACAAACCTATAAGTGAAAATACGACAGGGGAGTGAAACGGCTGAGTAGGCACGGGTGCGGGAGGTTGTGGATGGGTGGAAGCGAAGGCCAGCTACTACGGTACGAGTTAAAGTTCTGGACACGGCGCGATAGAAGCAAGTGCGGAGGACATATAGTACTCGTAGTCCCGTCTGCAATCTGGGTTCACCAGTCACGGTCTTCCGACGCATGTGGAGCTTCGAAAGCGTGGCGTAGTGAATGTCAACGCCAGTGATACGCAGGTACCAAGGAGCTGGGCCGGCCTCAACGAGCATTCTCGTCGCATTGGCCGCCTCGTGTCATATGCTGCACCACCAAATGAGACAGACGATGTCCCAATCTGCATACCACGTTGACACAAAGTGATTATTGTGATAGAGCAGACCATTCGGTGCTGCATAGTGAAGGGCTTCGAAGCACGGGTATACGGATCCATGCCAGATCGACGCCACTGTATGACCTCGTTACTTAGTAGCGAAAAGATGGAAAGGTCCGCACGCACCGTGTTTTCCATCGATGGACAGGAGTCGGTGGGCACGAACCCTAGCAAAGCCCTTCACGAGAGAGCTATGCTGAACCCTACCACGCACGCATTCAGTAGGGACATCAAACTGAACTTGCTGTCAGGGGATGTTGTTTTGCCATGACCGCATCACATCGCACCGAGTCGTGCAACGTGCACGGGATCACGACTTCCAAGTCTTTGTCAATGATCCATCAGTACACTAGGACACAATGTGATCCACGCAGATAGCTCAGCCACCTCGTCCCTTCATTCCACGAGGTGTCGTTAGAGCTTGCTGTGTACCCTGTAGTTCGCTGTCCTCATCTTGAGCCTTATGAGGACCCGAGAGGGAGAGCACATATTACACTCTCAAATATATATTGCAATCGGCAGCATTCAACAGATCACGAGGTTAACGTTTCGATTCCGAAAGAACTGTAGTCTCATACCAAGACCCTCCACACGGCGCTAGTGTGGGGGTTGTGTCGAACCTGTTAGAAAGAACCGCACTTCTGCGGCACATAAATCCGTTGCAATTAGGCACTCTCCGGCAGTAACTTATGATGACAGAATGGACATGAATCATATCGGGAACTCACTTTCAAGACTCATCAGAGTCGAAGTCGAAGAAGCCAAGACGCCGAAATGCATCCACCTCCAAACGGAGCCCATCGTGAGTCACCGGACGGAACACAGACCGATCCGCGTCGCCCGAGCGCTGCGGTCTCAATCCGCCATTGAACTGTCGTCCTCGTGATGGTCGCATCCGGATTCCGCGCCATGTTATATTTGCTGCGTCGCGACGACAGAGCCCGTGGACACGAGACGGACGAACACGTCAAGTGGTAACGAGAGCGGCACCCTGGAAATGCCCGGCGTAAAGACTGAATGCAGGAAAGCGCACGGATGGTGGCGGCCGGAGCTCGAGTCCTGGCCACCGATACAGCCATCGCGGACCGCAGGCTCATCCGTGAATATCGAAGGCCACCCGACGTCGCACGCGCATGACACCCGGTCCTGCCCTACGCACCCCGACGGCGTGCCGACGCCAACCATCGGGACACTAGTCATTGGCGTTGATGGACGGATGGCGGAGCGAAGCTTCGCGGCGAGCCACCGGTACCCACACCGAGCCCACATGCACGTCATACGGGGAAAGGGCTAGCAGATGATCGAACGCGTGAACTTGCAGGTTGATACGCGAGTGGAGGGTACGGGGAGAGAAAGACTCTGGCCCGTTCAGGACGTGTACATATGTCATGTTGCTGTAACCCGCAGAAGCGTCCGCACATCAGCGCCGGTGTCATATTGCATGTGTACATACTCACCGCAGCAATGAGAAGGTCCACGATGGCAGTCCTCGGAACATCGTGTGGGACAGATCGCATCGCGAGGGTGCTGTCGTCGGCCGACGCCACCTCCCCGCATCTCCACAGTCGAAGAAGCGAGGTTCCCGCGTCGACGGACTTGGCAGGTCCAGGCAGGACTTGGGCAGGACAGACGGTTCGTGGCGCGAGCGCGGGTCACGCTGGCTGGGTGACCCGCTACAGCCCGCAACGAGGACTCGATGCTCGGCTGCGCGAGTCCAGTCGAGAGTCATGAGGAGTCACAAGATACGGCGTGCATGTCTGAAACAGGAGGTGTGAGCCCGTCGAGCAGAGCACTGAGGATGCTCCCGGGCTGCTGGGATACGTGCACGTGACAGTGAGAACTGCGCGTCGGTGTCAGCTGGCGGGGACAGTTACGAGAGCGGCCGTCACGCGCGGGCAGCGTCGCTCTGGCGGGTGGTATAGGCATCGTGCACGAGCAGGGTTAGGTGAGATTGGGTCGCGAGATGGAGTGATCGGGTGTGGCTGTAGCCATGGATGGCTGATCAGCGCGCATTGGGAGGACCACGGGATGAATGTTTTGACTCCGGGGGCAGTGGTGCAGGCTCCGAAGTGTCAAACTCGTGAAAGTGGTTCCTCGGTGACTGTGGATTCGGTATCAGTGGCACGGAGATTGCTGGACGGAATGCGCGAAAGAGCCACTCGACTGACATCAAAGGCACGCTGGCTGGCTAACTAGGTACGCGGCGGCGCCGCTCACTCCAGGCGGTGTCGCGTGCGGACTCGCAGCGCACTGGATGCGGACGGGACATGCGCGGGCGATGGGTCGGAGGAAGAGAGGCGGACGGAGCTGTGGCTGCATGTGGCGGCGACTGAGAAGAGGCTGAGATCCGTGGCCGGATCGATGTTCCTGGGTACGGGCGTGTGTGCAGCTGTCGCCGTGTGGCCCATACCGGGCATGGGGCATTCTCGGCAAATCCGCGAGCCCGACCCGGTCCAGCGCACACGCAGGCGGGCGACAGGGGCGAGCAGGCCGCCGCGAAAAATGCACGGCAGCGAGGGCACACAGGCATCGATGGGCCGGCGGCGG